TTGTCGCTGCTAGAACCCGATCCCTTTGATTGGTTGCCTCGACCCGAACCGCTTGGGTTCGGGGAGGTCTTACTGGTGAGACCCTGGGCTACATCGTACCTGTAGTTGGCATCGATCCGAAGGACTCGTGCCTTCCATTGCGCGTAGGTTGTGGGGCGCTCATTGTCCCCATGCATAACCGTCTTGCGCACTGTGGGCCTAATCGCCGCTTCCACCGCTTCGAACATCTGCTTTTCGTCTCCGAATTCCCCGCACTTGTGAGCCAACCGCTCGAACTTCGCGAAGAATTCGACTGCGGATTTGAATTCCGACTGTCGAACCTTCTTCCATTCGGCCTTCCATATCGCGAGCTCCGCAACTTCTCGGAATTCTATCGTGAGGTCACGGGAGAATTCGTCCCAGGTAGGGAATCTCCAATGACCCCGATTGTCCCGGTACTTATAGTATTGGTCGCCCCACCACTCCTTCGCCTTCTCCCGTAGGTACCCTTGGGCGAAGGTGATGCGATAGGGGTTTTGCCCCTGGTCGTTCATGGTGAAGTGGGTTGGGAATACTTGAAAGTACATCTCGCAGTGATGGAGGAAACGGTTGATGTCCGTGGATTCCCCGGTAAAATACTCGGGTTGCGTGATCAACTTTGGTTTAACATCGTTCCATGGGTTATTGTCCTTCCCCGCGGCCAACGTCCAAGGGGGAATTGGATCCGGGGGCGATGGCATGTGGGGCGGCACCGGAGGGTTGGGTGGTCGCGGTAGGGATCGTAGTCGATAATTGTCCCCTGGCGGTGGATAGTCGCCGGGGTATGCTGGCTGTCGTGGGGGCTGAGTTGGCGGCTGAGTTGGGACCGTGGACTGTTTTCCTTTGTCCGAGGGTCCTGCGCCGGGATCATCCATATCGTCGTCGTCAGGGCCGGCACCCGCCCAAAACTCTTCAGTTTCGAGTGGGTTCGGCATCGGCTGAGGGCGTCGGTACGGTTCGCACCCTCGTTGAGGCGCTCCCGGGTTCATCATATTCCATACGATGGCCGCCCAATGCCACGTTTCTACTTCGAGTATATTCTTCATGAGGTAGACGTCCCCCATGTTTTTTGCGGCTTGATAATCGACCCCCGCGTCAGTGAATAACCACTGGGGGTCCTTTTCCATATGTTCCATAATGATTTCGTATAATCCGTGCCACGGGAGGATATTGAAAATATCAGGTCGCGGGGTCGGACCCCGTAGCATGACCTGAGTTACTGCCGCCATTACTGTTGGTTCGAGAGCCTGGTTGGGCGGACGACTCGGCATCCTTGGCCTCCTGCCTCTCTCGGGCGAGTCGGTCAAGCTCCTTGTTCCGCCTCCACCTCCCGATGTCGGAGTCCTCATTGGTGATCTCCTCCTGATAGACTCTCCAAGCTCGGGCTCTGGCTTCGAGGTCGGTCCCTGCCCTTCGGGCATATCCTGTGTAGCGGACGGCGGCCGCTCGTATTCGGTTGTCCACTTCTCTGGGAGTGGCGTCGGGCTCGAGGGGGAGGTCCCAGAAGCCATTGGGCCCGTAGAGGGCATCCTCCTCGGCGCGTCGGATGCGTGCATCGTGCGCTCGGCCTCGCTCCATTCTGGCCTGAACTTCTGGGGACTCCCGGACATCTCGAGGGAGTCAGAGGGACTCGACGTACGTGTGGTAGAGAAGCGGCCACGGACGCTGGGCTGGAGGGACGGGGTCGGCGAAGGCTCGTGACGCGACTGACGGTTCCCAGTTGGAGATTCCGGCGAGACGCTCGGAAGAGGTAACTGTTCCAAGTTCCTCGGCGTCGTAATCTGGGAACTCGCCCCAAAGCTCCCCATCCGTCGGCTCGTGCGCGGGGACGGGGGAAGGGAGTATTGGGGCCTCGGACCCTTCAGAGACCGGGTCGGACTCTCCGCTGGTCGGGACTCCGGCCACAGGAGTCTCTTCCCCGTCGTCGGCGTAGACCCAACTGGTGTCGGGGTACCAGGTGACCGGGGGTCCTCTATTGGTTGGCCAGGCCCTTGGAACAGACTGTGGGTGAGCTGCACCGGTGGTAGCCGCGGAGGCTCCGAGGCCAAGCTCTCCGGAATCGTCGTAGAAGTCGTCTCGGCGACTCCTGTTGCGTGCCATTCTTGCGCGATCTCTTGCATCGTCCGCCACGATCCTTCTGCTGCGGGCTTCTTTCCATGCCCCTGTGTGTCCCCACCCTGAGTGGGTTCCCTCGCTCGAGGAGCCTCCGGAATCGGGGGCATCTTCCTCCTCACCCGAGTAGAGGTCGTTGAGGAGGTCGTCGAGTCGGGTTCTTTCCCACTCGGTGAGCTCGTCCCCTTCGAACTCGGTGTCAGGGCTTTCTTCGCCCTCGACCAGATTCCTGGTGCCTTGTCTTCGGCTTCTGTTGTCGCCAGACTCGCCTTGGACTGGAGACTGGTCGAAGAGACCTGGTAAGGGCGAGTCTCCTCGGTCGAGGAGTACCCCCCGGGTATCGGTGATGTCGATGGAATCGGCTGCTGCGCTGGAAGCGCTTCTGTAGGAGTCGGTGCTCGACTCTGAGGATCGCGAGCTGGGTCGCGACGATGTGTAGAGGGATCCTCCAGGTTCCCCGGAGGCGGTGGATTCGACATCTTGCAGACTCTGCTGGGATGCCGCGGGAATGTGAATTACCAGTGGTGGATACGCCGGCGCGCTGGGAATGTAATGAATGGGGAGTTGTGCGCGGATTTGTCTCCGCTGGCAACAACGGCGAAGTTGGTACAAAGTAATGGAGCAGAAAAAGAGTATAAAAGTCGCAAAGACGGCGAGAATGGATTCGGACCAGGGCATTCATCCGGGGATCTATCCGTGGCGTAAGTCGACGATGGACCATGCAAGCTGGTAGACAGCAAGGATGGTGAGAACGATGAGAAGGGCGATAATCAAGCTAAGGTCGGTTTCGTAGTTGGAGCCGTTCATTAACAGGATTTCGCAGTTTTCGGAATCGGGAGCGCTCGTCACTATCAACAAGGTGATTGTCAATAGGGAGGCGAGTTGGAGGGCGAGGATGAAGGGTTTAATTGTTTTAGAAATGGCGTAGGAATCCGACCCAGAGTAGCAGGAGGAATCCTGCAAACACTGGTGATGGGATGTATACGCAGGCGAGGAACACTCGAAGGATGGTTACGACAACCAATCCTAGAGGGTCGTTAAGAAGGAATTGCAGCACGGAGAATGCCACAACAATGAAGAGAATGACAGGGAAAATGTTGGGCAACGGTAAGTCGTTGGGCAACGGAAGACGAGCTTCGGCTAAATGTTAGCCACTAACTCTAATCGACTTAGATCGTACTAAGGTCGCTACTCGCACTTCGGTAGACGACGCTTTAGCAAGTCAAAGGCGACGTAAGTCGATGGGACAGATAGTCACGAAGGACGGAGTTCGATGTTAGGTAGAATTAACCTTAGCCGAAGCTGGGGTTCAGACCAGCTGAGGCTCTACTTAAATACACGTGAGTAATCTAAAAATACTACTGCACAGTCAGTCCGTGATGATCGCGCGTCGCGTAATCCGGCTGACTAAAGAAAAGAAAAGAAAAGAAAAGGAAAGAAAAAGAAAAAGAAAAGAATAACCGTAACATTGACGCCATCTCATCCCCCTCCGATCTGTCCCATTGGGCCTTTTGCCATCAGCCATCCATTCTTTTCTTGGGAGCTGCAATGTCGGCTAAGAAGAACTCATGATTGGACTGCGGTGTGAGGCTCTGAGCAAGATCGGATGAAGCTGAATAGATGAGTCGAAGGATGTTGTGGTTGTGGTTGAACTTCTGATACATCCGTCAAAGTGCGGAACTTGAAGGAAGACCGTCGGCCCGATTCCGAGTCCTATGTATATAGGATACTCGGTTATTATGCTGTCCTGAACTGACCATGGGAATAAATCTATTTGGGGTATCAATCCATCACGGCATTTGCCGACTTGGCTACCTGAGCAAATCGTGGGAATATTTCTATTCATTCACGGCAATTGCCGTCCTGCCTGAGCTGATCGTGGGAACCTTTTCTATTTGTTCGCATCCTCTGCTCTCATTATTCCCATCTTTTCCCGTCTGTCCATCCATTCTTTCCTGATCAGCACTCACTCGATTGTTTTCTCTTTTCTTGTTCTTTGGCCCATTTTCATCTCCAGCATTCAAGGTCTCTATATGTTACTTTGATTGACACACTTTTCCAACTGTTTTCTTGTCTTCTTTTCAGACTTTTTAGGAAAAAGATCACCATCGAATGGCATGGATTCTCGCCCTTTCAGCAGTGGTACTATGGGAGATCAGCATGTGCAACTGAGTCGGGGTATGCAAATTGAGTTTCTCGATACATTCCCTTTAGTTTTGGACCTCAGAAAAATTCACGGATGTAGAAATGATGTATCTCAAGATGTCACAACAGTCAGAACTTCAAATTTTCAAGAGGGTGTTGCATGGGATATGAAACAGTACCGAAAATGGGTTGCTGTGTTAGGTTGCAGCACCCTATAGCTGCATATAGTAGAACGCTAAAGGCTGGGAAAGACTAGTTAACATACTACAGTCATAATATTATTCTCCAGACAAATTTGCGAGGCAACAGAGAGTATGGAAGCTCTTGAACGAAAGGATGAAGAAAAAATGCGTGACAAAATGTGACAAGATGCCCCTTCAGGCCTCACTGTGATGGCCCGTGACACGAATTTGCATATATCGAATTTTTGGCACTTTCACTCGGCATCTTGCCGACACCAGCACTGTTGCTCGTAGCACCTGTAAAAAAAGATCACGCATTTACAAGCTGTTTTTCAGTATATATCTAAGTTATTGGGAGAAAGGAGCTAATGGACCACACTACAGAAAATGATTTGTCGAATTTTTGCATATCCTGGCCATCCATAGTACTGGGAGATCGCAAGTGTGAGGAACCAGCAGGGGACGATCACCTGAAAAACTGGAAAGCCTTTTGTGTCTGAGGACCTCTTTTCCCAGACCATTGATACAGATCATCTACTGCCTATGAGCCTCATGGATTTTAGGGTCCAGATGTACATGATGAAGAGGCTGTGGACTTATATGAAGCAGTATGAGAATACGGAGAGCTGGACTAATATTATGATTCTTCAGCTGGTGCGTCGTTTCTATGTTTTCTTGCCATCATTGACTGAACCGCTGTAGATGCACCATATGTTGGTTTTCCAGAGTATGCACGATTTTTTGGGTGGTGACATTCCAGTTATATGCATTGATTGGGACAAGGAACTTGTGGATGCAGCGATGTATTATTTGGTCGAGCTGAGTGCTGATAAATGGACGAAGGAAGAATGTGAGGCGAAATGTGTGTAATCCTTTCTCTAAAATTCTCTAGCTAATACTAGACTTTGTATAGTCTGCCAAGTCTCTGCAAAGGCACATGGTCATAACTCCTTTTTCTACTAAGTCGATCTATGTGTTCGTGCCCTGTTGCTCAATGAGGAGATCAGCTACATCCTGCCATTCATCATTATTTTAGAAGCTAGGAAGGATGGTGAGCACTACCCCCAATTTCCTCCTTTCTGTCGTAGCTCATCGCCTTACAGGCAAGGCTCATGCGTTCTTCACTCATCTATCCTGCTGTCCACTGCCCTCCATCCTCAACACCCTCCCAAAGGTATGTGGAAGCGCCTCCTGCACCGACTCCAAGTGTATCTGAATGTGGCGCATTGAGGATTGCTGCAGCCTGCACTATCGTAGCCCAGTGGTCCGAGAGCTCTAACACTACGAAGATCGTGTGGTGTGTATCCTTTGGAGATGCAAAGCAGAACCTGAGCTGGGCACGGATGGGAAGGTGGTTGGTCTCCAGAGGTATCAGAAGTGTAAGGAGGTCTTGTATTGCTATTGGGAGCATCAGGTGTGTTTCGTGCTGTTTGAAGGAGGTTTTTCCCGATATAAGTATTTCAGTCGTTGGATTGGCCTACCCATAAACGCATTTGCAAGGCTCCTCCTTAGGTTGACAAAGTAAGCATTCTGTTTCTATATCCTAACCCGTTTTGCCTCTGACGGCTAACAGAAATGAAATGACTGCACTTTAAGTCTAATATTTTAGTGCTGTAAACTATGGAATACTATATGCTATGCATCATGTAATGCTTTTTCTCGTCATCTTGCCATGCAGCATGTCGACGTGTCTCCGCCTGGGCCCTTGCTAGGCAACAAAACTAGTTCTGATATCAGATCTGTAAACCTTATAGCAAGAAGTACCGGTTCCCAAGCATGCAACGGAGAGTGAAAGATTGATACGCTTCATTAGCATCTCCCAGCTTGACGATTCTTTCTCAACGTTCTCAGGAAAGCCACCTCATTTCCTTCATATGTCTTTGTATTGTCATTTACCACTTATTTTATCGATGATGGCAGTTCCCTTGTTGTCTCATTCATATGCCAAAGCGTGTGTAACCGTTCGGGATGTGAAGTGGTACAGATGAACCTGACACCATTTTCATGCACATCCGTTATAGCTACTAGTCCATGAATCCAATTATTATTGTTATGTTTTTCTTTTGTTTTTTTGTTTAAAAAGGCATAGGACTCGGACCTGCCATGCGGATGCATTGGCCTTCACCAACTAGTAGATAGAATGCTAACAGTGATGAGAAGTAAAGTTAATATTTGTCAGAAGTATCATGCGGGGCATTTCAGGCAAGTGGTTGAGCAGTGAAAAAACGGAAATGCATCACTTGTGACTAGTAAACCCCTTTTCACTGGTCCCAAGTGTTTCGCTGTTTGGGGGTGTAGAAAGCCGATCGCGGGACAGCGCGTAACAGGTCACGGTACCGATTTGAACACTCAGTATTAGCCGGTGCCCCTTATCTTTTACTTTGTCTGTTTCAAACTTAATCCTTGCTTATACTCTGGCTACTGTACGGCATGCCTGACATCTTACTTTGCTTTGGAGCGTCTCCGGGGTATTTGATATGTTACGTCTCTACCCATCGTCAACCCCATGCAACTACTCGGAACTAGCTCTGTCAGACCCGCACATGTTGCACCTTAAGTCGCCAAAGGCCTCACGCTCCGGACTTGCCTTCGACTCCGGATGCTGAGGATAAAGCGACATTGAACACCCTTCCTACTTGAACACGCGTGGCCGATCTGAATCCCTAGTTCAAAGTGCTTGTCGGATCTCGACGTTCCTTATTTTTCTGATCTGCGTATTGTGTTGACTTGGTTGTAATTTCATGACTCTATCTCACACCGTCTTCTTGCGTACTGCATCAACAACGATTTTCTTCACTTCATTCGTATTGCTTGCTACTGTGTTTTGGTTTATTTCATAGTGATACAATTTCTGAGCTCGAGGATATGTACTTGTGAAATCAACAGTCATGGGACGCATACTACTTACTAGCATTACTATGTGCGACATTTTCCGTCGTTGACCACTACCTCGCCGATATACTGGACAAAAACACTTCCTGCCTTGGCTTTCAAATTGATCACGTCTCCAGTCCCCTCAGACCATGCAGCAAGATTGCCTATAGAACATTCCCTCCGCTTCTTCCACCACCAACAGTGCAGTAGAGAACTGCACATCGCGACGAGCGGTAACATTCAACGGTCCCTCCAAGCGCTTCCGCGGGATCCAAAGGTAGATGTTCCCTGAACTGGAGTACACGTTCATGAGACATAGCGGTCCTGGGCGAGTCGGATCGTCCGGAGAGATGGTGCCAGGTAAATGCTACATGACGTCAACAGTGCCACGACTTGTGAAAGGAAAACAGCGTACTAAACGAATCTCGATATCGCCGCGAGAGCGTATGTCAACTCGGAAATTGGTCTGCCGGTCTGACTTTATGACTTCAATGTTTGTGTCGATTTCTCCCCTTTTGGCTATAATGTTAAGGTTGTTCCTCTGAATTACCTTAACATTGTCCTCATAGGTCACTGATTCATAGGGAGTTCTGGGAGGTAGAAGTGTTGACGGAACAGAGATCGCAGGGTCTATGAGAAAGTTTTGTTCGATAGGGCCCGAATTTTGAACGATCGTCATATAGTTGCCAGGTCGCTTAGATTGACGATGAGTCTGAGGCTGACGGTGTGACTGCATGACTTCTTTTTCTCGGTTGGAATATGATTATGAGACGAGTCTTGTCTCGAACTTCTGGATAGCTGAGCGCTCCTCTGCTGTATCAAGGTATCAGATGATCTTATCGCAGAGGCATCGACGTAGAACTCCATACCACAAGAGCTGGTTTCAATACAACGAAAGCCGGCGATGGCTCTTTCTCTGCTGGAGAGTCGAAATTGTGCTATCATCGTACCCATCGTTCAGCTGCCTACACTTTTGCATTCGCAACCAATCGTGAGATAGGAGGCTATACTATCCATTTTGTGCACAAATGCCCTGTAGTTACAGGGGAACGAGTTGTACACAAATCCCTGTAACTACAGGGAGCAGCATTTGTACACAGCTCAGGGAATGGCCTGTAGCACAAGCGCTCAGCTCGTGCACAGCCATGCCAGAGTTGTCACGCTTGGATTTCCCATGCTTTGCTACACCCTACGCTCCACCCCTCCCGCTCGTCATTGCCCGCTTCCCACTCTATTTTTCCCCTTTTGTATTGAGGCTGTATTGTTCATTTAATACAATTCATCCCAGTAACTACATGTGCTTGGATGCATTTACTGTGGGAATATAGCATTCCCAATCTGATAGTGGATTCAATTTTGGGGATAGTAGATGGATATGGTGTGTTTTTTTGGTATAAAATGTGCACTAATGACTCTATCATGACTATATTTAATGCATGTATGAACTAGTGAAAAAAGAACATTTGGAGTGGATTTCCGGAATTTGCCGGACAACCCCTAAATTGACTGCAGCAAGCAATGGATTGCAATTGTACAGTCATGAAGCTCTTCCATCCCTCTAAAATCAAATATATTGGTGTCTATTGGCATTTATATATCATGTATAGCTTAGTTATTCATATATTCTAGCTGATTTGTAGATAAATATGAATTATGGTGTCAAATGCAAGTACTCTACATCCTTTATCCCATAGTACATGTTCAAATGAGAATACAGAGTCAATAAAACCATGGATTTCATCTATTCTGAGTAGTATATATCTGAAAATGTACCTGCCCTGAAACCGTGATACAATTTTATTTTGGTCAGATGAAAGTGCACGGAGGTCAAATTTCTAACAGTTCTTCTAAGCAATGAAGTGAGTAACGATGTTTCTATGAGAAGATCGCTGTGGATCAGACACTTTGTTTGGATAGTATACTACGTAATCTCATATATGCAGCCCATTGTATTCATTTCTACGGTGTATAGAACAGCATACAATGAGTATATGCTAGCAAATGAACCAAAAAGCGGTTTTTCAACCGTAAAATGCATATTAGTCAAGGCTGGGATTCATTTAATATATAGGAAAGTATAGAACTATACTGTATAATACAATATCATTACATTCCGATGATTCTCGGGCCTTCGGGATGCAGGAATGGAGCAGAGGATGCATCCCCGGTATTCATTCCATTCGCTCAATCGCTCCGGTCCGTGAAACCGCAGAGTGATCGAGTGGCTGTGCCACTTCTTTTTCCGCTTCTTTCCCTCACCATGCGCGGGACGACGACGGCGATGGCGGCCAGGGAGGTAACAGCAATGACGTGAGGGAGGAGGCCTTTAGCATGAATATCCAATGACTAGATATATTCCTTTACTCCATATATCTACTTGTTAAATAATACAATATTATTTTTATACAAGCCATGGGATGGGATCAGATTTTGCGAAAGGGAACAGGAAGCATGGGAAAAAGTAATCAAGAGACGATGCACATGGTTCCTATCACCGGCTGTGACGAAAAAGGCAGCCCTATAGTTACTTTTGTATTGGATTTTATTTTTGGCTCGATTGTAGTATCACTTTGCTTGTCGAGCACAGTGCCTAAGGACCCTAGCACGTCGAAGGCGACAGCGAGCTCGACTGCTCACATAATCACGCACCAGGCAGTCACAAGAGGCGTCACAAGATGGCTGACTCACCACAGCAGGGGTGTATAGTACCATTCCCTGACCTGTGCACACAAATGGCTCCCCTGTAGTTACAGGGATTTGTGTACAACTCGCCCCCCTGTAACTACAGGGATTTGTGTACAACACGGACAGGAAAGGTTGGAGATAGAGACATCCACCGATGACACTATAACCGTTAAAGTTTGCTACGGACGATAGGCTGCCGTGGGGTAAAGGTCACAAAAAAGGTTGGGAAGGGATCGACACTCACAGTATACCTGGATCGCGATTTATCAAGGAAGACAATAGACTCTGAGCGCCTATTTTCAAAGTTATCTAAGAATACGACACAGGTAGGTCGGGTCTCGTGTATGCTGACTCCAATAGAGTTATCCACCTCGTGGACAGACCATGAGAGAAAACAGCAATTTAGACACCGTCCCTCAATAGGTGTATAGCGTTCCTCTGTCTAGGAATGTGACTAGGCGCAATGTCTAGGGCAGCAAAGTTTATCGCAATGTACTACCACAGTACCGAAAGTCGGCAAGACTGATGCTAACTACGGACAAAAATATGGACAGCTTTTCGGGCCTCAAATGAACGATTCGGAACGCATCCGATTCCTGGACTCCACCGCGTCACGGTAGGCAGCGGTGTATTGGGCTTCACACCTTAGCCTCAGGCTTAAGGTACCATGCCAGAACTTTATGTAAAGCCAGATGCTCCGGACTGGCCTCGAATGCAGGTGCTGGGCATAAAGCAACATTAAGCTCCCTTTCAGTGGCAGACGCGAATTCAGTAGTCCGATAGCCAGTCAGTCTGCGAGTGTATAAATAATCCCTTGAGTGTATGCCTGTCGAATTTCGATGCTCAATATTTTCTCTGACCTGCGTATTGCATTGATTTGATTATAATTTCATGATGGTTCTCACACCGTAATCCAACACTTTCATACCGTATCACACGTCGCCTCGTTCACGCTGTGTAATATGATATCCAGTAACTCATTTCTATACTCATGACATTTCTGAGCTCGGAGATACAGAGAAAAAAAAATCTAAGACTACAGGATTCAGCGGCAGCCAAATTATCAAGCAATGATACAGCCCCCGCTTTCAGGCTTCACAACCGGCTCGTCATTATATTGCACCAACACTCCTCCCGCTTTAGCTTCTAAATTGATCACATCTCCCATCCCTTCCGACCATGCGGCAAAGTTACCGATAAAACACTCCCTGCGCTTGCCCCTCTCGTTGAAGGTGGTCAAGTCCTTCGTCAGTGCAGAGGAGAACGATACGTCGCGGCGACTGGTAATATTCAACGGTCCTTCCATGCGCTTCCGCGGAATCAACAAGTAAATGTTCCCCGAACTCGCATAGACGTCCATGATGCACAACGGTCCTGGACGGATCGGATCGTCAGGAGAGACGTTGCCAGGCAAACGCTACACGGCGTTAAAAGCATAATGACTTGCGAATGGAAAAGACTTACTAATCGAATCACGATATCACCGCAAGCACGTACGTCAATTCGGCAACGGGTCAGCCAGTCTGACTTCATGACTTCAATGTTTACGTCGATTTCTCCCCACTTGGCTTCGATATTAAGATTGTTCCTACTATTCTCTGTTTCATGAGCAGTCAGGGGAGGTAAAAGCTCCGACGGAACAGAAAGTGTAGGGTTAATGAGAAACTCTTGTTTGATAGGGCCCGAATCTCGAATAATCGTCATGTAATTGCCAGGTTGCCTAGGAGGCGGGGTAGTCTGAGAACGAGATCCATAAGGCGGAGGCGGAGATTGTGGTGGCATGATGGATAAGTTCTTTTTCTCAGTCTGAATATGATTTAGAAGAGACGCCTGGATAACGATGGGTAAGTACCTTGTTTGTATTCGACCTTCCAGACGCTGGCTGGACACTCCTCTGCTGTTCCTGGACAAGAGAACGTATCAGACGATCTCATCACAGAGGCATCAGCTCGGAACTCTGGCATACCACAAGAGCTGGACTCAGTGCAACGGGGGCCAGCAACAGCTGTTCTTCCTCTGCTGGAGAGTCGAAATCGTGCTATCATCATACCCATCGTTCAGCTGCCTGCACTTCTGCCCTCGCAATGAAGCGTGAGAGATGCAGATACCCACTAAGGACTCGGACGCTAAAACCAAAGCTTGCTCGACGGCAGGCTGGTGTTGGATGAGAGTCAACACAGGTCAAGGTATATTGTGGGGGATTGACAACCCACAGATTTCTTGGATCGCGGCTTGCGAGTCATCAAGGAGGAGACGAACAGTCGTCTTTGAGCGCCTATTCCTTTACCTAAGAATACGACGTAAGCTGGTTCAATACAGTTTCCGCCTTGTGGACACGCCGCTGTGAGAGAAAACGGTAATCTAAGCGCCCAAATACCAGAGAAAGTTGTTGAAGCGACAAGTTGAACTACGATACGTTGCGTTTCATGAGACTATTTACACAGAAAATCCATTGGTTGGGTTTGGACAAGGTGGCTTTGGCTGAAATGTAGTTGTAATAGATGAGAATACAGACTGGCGCTTAACGGCGGTATGCGATCGAACCATCCGAATAATCAGGCCTGGGGTTGAGCAGAAGCGAAGCTACCCATGACGTTGTTAAGTAGAGTGTTGAAAGTGCAAGGTTTGGAATTTGAAATTCATGCACGAGAAATGACTGTTGAGATTGGTTAGTGACTGTCGTAGCAACTACAAATACAACTATATAACAAAGATATTTCACTTGTATATCCAAGATGCTATTGTTCATATGGTACAAGATATCATCCATCTACCATGGCGCACTGGGTGGTTGGACGACCGTACGAGGCTCCAAGAAAGGCCTTCCTGCCGCAGCGGAGGAAGACGAAGATGGAGTGTACCTCACACCGGTGCTTCGTATCGGCCCGAGTGACTCCTCCCATGGTGGTCTTGTATTCGTCGCAAATGGATTCTCATCTACGTTCACACTCAGATCCGGACCATCTGGGCGGATGGTATGTCGGAAGGGCCTGGAACCCGCAAAATGTGGTGGGCGCGTTAAAGGGCGGTTAGTATTATGGAGGAACGGAGGTATAGCTGGAGGAGGTATGTCCGTCACCGTATCACCATCGTCATCCAACACGATGGGTGATGAACGTGTACCTGCACCCTGCATGCGGTCCGATTGGGTTACTTGGCCCCATGCGGGTCTTGGCGGATAATCAGGGCGAAGAGGTAGCGGCGGCTGCATTGTTACAGGACTCGGAGGATTTTCGTTCGGTATAGACCTGAGTAAAGACTCGTAGTTGCTTGGACGGGCCGTATGGTGTAAGCCTGGTGGTCTCTGACCCCAGCGGGGGGCAGGAGGGTTGTGTATTGGTGGTGGATTTGGTATACCTCTTTCTATATGGGCTCGGATAGGTCCTAAGTCTGCCCGCGAATGAGCCATAAACATATTGTTGTGTCGATTAGGACCAGATAAATCTGTTTGAGTCGAAAGTCTGCGCATACGATGAACTGGTGGATGAGGAGGAAGTGGCGGTAACGTCGGTAGCGGCTCGGTAGCTCTCGGCCTCTCGTTCCTATTACGAAGGTTCATTTGTTCCAGATTCTGTCTCGTAAGGGGAGCATTCCCCCTCATACAGGAGGCGCTCTTGCAGGAGGATGACGGTCAGGAGGCGGCCCAAGGAAAGGCAAAAACCAGTTGTCAATGCCGTCACCGCCACGAAAAGGAAGTTGTCCATGTCCCAATGCTAGCAAGTCGCGGCTGGCACAATCGCATGCTCCCCACTTGGCATTGCAATGATAGCAGAACTGTGTGCCGCAGCGACATGTCATATGGCTACATCCCACGGAAAGCTCGACGAGATTGCTACACCCAGGACAAGTCGCCCATTTCTTCTTATCAGCTAAAGCCCGTACCTCTTGTTCTAAAGCATCTGATGCACAGCTATGCGAAAGTATGTCTCCACTTGCAATATTTCCGCGACAAGAATTGCAGGTAATCGTGGTACAGGAACATGTCAGTGGAGCGGAGGGTGACTTGCCGTCATTTTTAGGACCCAGGAAGCGACTGCATTTGGGATTGGAGCAATAGACACGTATAGGAGTCGAGAACTCGATGGACTTTTCTTTGAATGCAGCTACAACAGTGGCTTCGACGTGAGATTGCACAAATTCGATTGGGATAGGATCACGGCAGCATTTAGGCGGGAAGAGAGACTCGTCTTTGGTTGCTGCAGATATAAGCGCCTCCATACATGAGGCATCAAATGTATGACCGCATGGTGCTGTTATTATAGGTCCTTCAATGTTATCAAAGCAGACGGAGCAAGTAGATCTGGTACTATATAAGCAAAATGAGAGGCAAACAAAGAAGGAGCCGACGTACGGTTCGCCGACACTGCGGCCCCTGGAGGATGATGCAGCTGGGATCACGGGGCGAAACGGTCTGCGAACCGGCTAGTGTGAGATGAGGCGAAAATACACCGATATCATACTCACCGTCGAGGAGGTTGGTGCCATAAAGGAAAGGGATTGACTTGAAAGTCCTCTGGACCATCCCGTTCAAAAGGACGATCAAAGTTCCGAAGAGCCCTTTGTCGTTGTCTGTTTGGAAGTGGTGCTGCTGCCTCCCGAATCCTATCACGAAAGCGGGGTGGCTCCCAGTCGTGAAAAAGCTGTTCAACCAGAGGGTCGGGAAGCGGTGCATGACCAAACTGCCCAAACCGGAGGAGATTATCCCTCGCATCCTCTGCAAATAGCCTCAATGCCACGTCTTCGTCGCTCATGGGAAAATGGGAGTGGTGCAGCGCTTGCTGGTCGAGAAAATGGTTGACCTCCTCGAAACTGAAGCGGCCGGCGAAGACGTCCGGAATGTGGTCGTGAAAGTCCATTGCTGGCCGGAGAGATGAGAAGAGGACACAACGTCCTCGAAGATAGGAACAAAGCTGACTTTTTGTAGGATCCCAACAAAAGGACCAAAACGTGTCATAAGACCCTTTCATCCCAATTTAGATAACTGCTTATTCGCCCATTTAACTACGGTGAGGAGTCCTGGAAATGTAGTCAGCATGTACAGCGTGTCGCTGTGAGTACTCGAGGAACGTTTCAGCTACCTTGGCCACAGATACCTACTGTAACAAGCTGTAACATCTACGAAAGCATTTGCAGTAGCACTACATGCGTAGTGATAGTTTAGATTTTCTGAGTATATGTTATTTTAGCTAACGACGGCAGTACAGGTCTGCACAACAATGGAAGCAGTTCCATTGTTCTGCGCCATCGTAGCCAACGGTTGACATGATGCGGACGTGATTCCGAAACAACATTCTACAAAAAGACAAAAACATCGTCGGTAAACGCAAAATATAAATGCGTAAGCACCAGACCCGAAATCGTACCATCAAACATGCATCATGGAAAGTTGGAAAGGTCTGGCTCAGCTCAGGCTGTGATTAATGATTCTGCGCTCCGCCATTCGAATCATGCATATCGGACCGGGTTCCCGAATGACATCATATACTGATAGGCTCCTAGATGCGTATACTACAAACAGAAAAGATCATAAAATAACAAGATCATAAATACAATAATCTAGCAGGACAAGTCCCTTCGCATTAATCCTCGTCATCTGCCAACAGATCATTCACTTCATCTTCCTCCCCTTCGGAATCACTATCAGCGGGACCGAGCAGGGAGTCGTCAACGACCGATGACGTATCTATCTCTTCTATCTCCTCCTCTAGCAGATGATTGATGTCAGCATCAACCGCTGACGCCGTTTCAACCTTGACTCTACAAAGGGACAAAGATCAGATCAGACGACCCTGCCTGACCGGAAAGAACAGACCTGGTCATGGACTTGAGGGGAACAGGTGTTGACCCCGTCTCATCGTCAGAATCCAGGGTCAAGTCGATGAAAACAGGCATCCTTCGGTGCGCTGTCTCGAGGCCATCAGCAGGGTATACAAAAGTCGATGACAATGAGACTCACGCTGCTCGTTTGGGATTTGAACGAGTCCGAGTCGCTGGCGGTGCGGTGTGTTCCGTCCGCTCCGTTTCGAAGTCGGACCCATCATCAGAGCCAGAGATGCGTCGTTTTCTACAGGGAGTAAAATAAATACAAGGAGTGACCGATTTCGCAGCAGACGTACTTGGCTTTGGTCTTTGGCTTACGACTGTTCGTTTCAGTATCTTCTGAGCTAAGGCTTGTAACACTATCGGACCGCCTAAAATACTCATTAGCCCAATATCTCCAGATTACTAGAGAAGATAAATCTAACCTCTTACGCGTTCTCTTGGGCTTTACATCAATGACCTCATCTTCATCGTCCAATGGAATGAGTTCGTCAAGGAAGGTGAAGAGCTCCTTCAACTCATCCAGGTCCCTGTACTCCTCTTCACTGAAGTTGGCGAGTTGGGATTCGAATTTCTTCGACAAGGCTATCTCGAACTTGTTTATGGCATTCTTTGCCGTAGCATCCTTTACCGGCTGACGCTGCAAGGAAGATAAGCCGGACGACCACGGCAATTCTATCGAGTGAGTCATACTGATTGTAGCCTGAATAATAGCATCTTGAGAGTGCGTAAAGCGTTGCCATCAGCGTTGTCGGGTATATGTAATTTGCTGATATTCGTGCAAAGTGCTTTCTTGTCGTCCTCTGCAGAGCAGTGAGTTTTATCTCACCTACACAGGATGAATGCTCACTGTCAAGTGTGTCCTTTAAGAGGATCTTCACAATATCGATCGTCATCATGAACTGAATGGATGCAGCATCGCAATATAAAGGGTGCTCCTCGGTGATAACCGTCTCTTGGTTCACTCTACAAACCAAACATTAGGGCAAGTCAAATAGGGGTCTTTTACAACAAACCTGAAGTTGTACGGGTTTGTCCATGTCATAAAGTGTCCGATGATCAGCGTCGGAGAAACCATAACGTCGGTAGATGTATCATTTCGGGCGTTACTAAGCTCCTGCAAGGTGTCAGTGAAAACCTAGACACGGACCAAATCAGCAGGCGAAGGCGATAAAAAAAACAAAAGAAAGAACCTCTGCCACGAGTCGCTTGTTAGCTGGCGACGACGCAGAATAAAGATTGAAGAAGTGTAACAAAAGTTGACGGAGCGGTTGGTTGCTGGTCGTTTCCGGCGAGAAATACATCATGAGCAAGTGAACAATGATCTGGCAAGACCAATGTCAAAACTGAGAACGACGGAACAACAACGGTACATTCACCAGTTCATCCGTGAAGATGCCTGCCATGATGAGTTTCGCCAGTCCATGACAGATTACTTCTTGAGCTTTTGCTGATGTTTCCTCCTCCAGTTTTGCAATCAGACTATCAGCTACCGCTCTGACCTGCAGAGTACTTTTAATACAAAGATCAGCTGACAATCACAGGCGGACTGACATTTTCTGGGCTCAGAATGGCGCGTTGATAAACCATCAGGATGTCGAAAAGTCCTTGCAGAATGATTATCTTCAGTTCCTCTGGAGCTGTAGTTGAGTGTTGAAGAAACATCTCGACTGTCTTGATTGTTGCAAGTTTCTAAAAAACGAACGTCAGAGTGATCGTACACACATGCATCATGCTAACATACCTGGTCGATGAGGCATATTAAAGCGAGACATGTCCAGGCCTTGTCCCTAGAAATATCGTCGAAAGGCTCTTTTACAGTCGGGAGGATGAGCTCTTTAAACAGTCCATTCAATGACGAATTATTGTTTATCGTCTACGTCTATGTGAATGGCTGCGGTATGGCGAAGGACATCAAACTCACGTCATTGACCTGCTCCAACATCGCAACACTCATCGTCAGGCATTTAAGGTTGATTGCAACCTTGTCCTCGGTAGACTTCTCTTGGACAGATTTTTGTGTATTAGGTCGCACGGGCGTACTGGGCGTGCTTTCAAAGCTCGCATCGGGATCCCCCTGTGAAATCATGAAACATGGGTGCCGGCAATATTGGCAGGATACGAACGCTTACCTCGGCCTCCTGTGCAATAGCATCAATATCGTCTCCGGGGTCTCTCAAGTCCTGGATGAATTCGACGACGACTCGTATAAGGTCTCGCTCACTCGCCGTGATGAAGGGGAGAACCTGCATGCACCCCGTAAGAATATTTTCCGGGACATTCTCTTTAAGCATAGCCTCTACTGGATGTCAGAACCAAGTTCATTCAAAGCGGAGTATACTCACTGATTAAGTCGTAGGTTTTCCGTCGTCCAGTCTCGTCACCATAATCAAGATGGGTTGTAATTTTCAGCATCTCCTCAAGAAAAAACTCCTTCATGTCCCTGTGTTCCTCGTTCCGGTATTCGTACAAGAAGCAATCATTGAATGTTTCTTGCAACGGAAAGAGATGGTCAGTCACGAGAGGAAGATAATTTTCCAGCCGGTCTAGCTTCTTCATCTTGTCCTCTTCGTTCTTAAATCTCTTCAAACTTTCGATGTACACACGAGCAAGAAAAGCTGACTCTGGAGTCATCTGATGAGCTGAGCAGGTATCAATACTTAATAATAGTAGTCTGTACAAAGCGCTTGCCTTTACAAGTCAGCAGCTTGGTTTCGGAAGGTTTGGTTTCAAAGACGCTTAAGAGCGCTTTCTCTGCCGATTCCGGTGCAACCAGCAAGTCGAACAGAGACAAAAATGCCAAAAATTTGGCATTGCTTGACGCTTGCTCGTCCTTATCCGGACCCTCTTGCTTCACGGGCATTTCTTCAGCAAGATCGAACCACGTTGCAATAAGGTCTCTGGCAGCGTCTACGACAGAGTCTTCGCGATCGCCTATTCCAGTGCACACAATCCTCTCTCGTTGTGCAATGGTGATTCTGCGAGGATGGGTTGGGCCCATTTCGTTATTTTGTGTGGCGTTCCGTTTGAGAAATATGTAACAATTTTTCCTGACAGGAGATATCGCAATCTTGTAATCGATCAAGTATGGCATCCATTGTGTTGTCGTTGATAGGTATATTCCAAAGGATTGCACGACGAACTTCCCTAGATAGATAAATCAATGGACTGTTGATGCACACGCGCACCAAAAACATACGCGGAATCGTCAGCCGACAGAGCATTGCGTAGTGTCAGCGTAACTTGTATATCTTCACTGTCGGGGTCCTCTCCACCAGCAAATTTGCAGAGTCCAAGAGCAGCTTGAGTTCTCACTGCAGCGTCCTTGTCTTGAAGACGGTCCTCCAAATGCTTCCATATAGACTTCCACAATCCCTCACTGCCAATACCGTTGAGCGAGAAGAAACCGAAAGATGATGGACTCACTCAATTTCCCCTAAGTGTGATACCACAGCAGAACATGTCTGAACGACTCTAAAGCGCACATTCTTGTCCTTTGCTCTGAATCCTGCGAGCAAGAATTTACAAAAACCGAAAGTGAACCGAGATGCTAATGTATCCTCGTCTTTCACATTCTCGTAGTCGTCGTCGACAGGGTCCTCTTCTCTTCCTCGCAATTCCTCGACCGCTAAGACAAGAAATGAGCTTTGATTTATGAGTGAAAAGAGAGATACGCACCTCTTTCATTAATTAATTTGACGTACGCCCCCAACAACTTCACGATGTTCTCCGCAGATTTCTCGGTGCGCTTCAAAAGAAAGATGCGGCTTAGAAGCTCGCTAACAATCTCCAGGAATTTTGTCTCTCCGGACAATCGATTGCCTTCAGAGAATTTCATGCTGGCCATTTCCGCATGACACTTGTAGAGCTCGACGACATTCTTCTTGTGACTGGTGGCAGAATGCTGGGCTTGATCGAAAATTTGACAAATTTTGGAACAGATCTCATCTATAGAGAGAATATTCTTCTTCTTGATCCTAGCCGGCATATCGCAGAGGAGAAAAAAGCAAGGAAATAGTCGTGAAGGTAAGGTCTTTGATTGAATGTTGATGTTTCAGGGTTACGACGTTCACGATCACGCTAGTCACGGTTATCACGTGCATCGTCTTCGCGACTGTGACAGTCCTAAAAAAGTAACTCGTTCCCTTCTCATTCCTGCTCATTCTCACCGATCGCTCACCAACCAGTGACCACTAGCTTTCCGCCCTCCTGCCACACTATCAAGCTAGAAAGGTTCTAGATGGAATCAGGATTCAGTTATTTTCTTTGCTGTTTCCCTAAAGGCCAATAGGCCGTTCAGTATCAATGGGCTTTCTGTCAGGCGACGGAACATTTAAAAGTCTTTTATCCGACAATCACCTCAGCATGGAAAGGCAACGGCGGGACAGCATTTAAAATGTTACTGCCATAGAGATACCGACCCGCAGAAAAGAACGGCCGCGGCCGGTTGGTGGTACTCTGATAAGACACGAAGACAGGTATCCATCGTTGGTAAGGACCCATCAGCCAACAGAAAGACGCGTTGGTGTTTGAGCACTCGCCAATGTCGCTCTTCCCGAGTTGCACAAAAGCGCCTCAGCTAACCTCCGAGAGAGTGCCATTCTCTGCCCTTCTCTACCCCCATGAACTCTGCTTCTGTTATGGACGCGTCTGCGCCTGTTCTCTCTCCTGGTGTAGGGTATGCAACTGTCTTGGGTATGGGTATGGGCTTTGCGGGGCTGATGCTGCTCATCACCAAATTAACTGATCGTTATACTGAGCACCATGCTGGTGGATCGTTGGAAGAATTCATTTCGGCAAGCCGCTCGTTGAAGCCAGGTCTCATCGCTTCAGGGATTGTTTCTGCAGCAACGTGGGCTGCTACACTCCTGCAATCATCCACGGTTTGCCTGGCTTAAGGATTATCCGAGTCAGCCCCCTGGGTGTGTATGAGTTGCTAGTATGTGCACTTCGTATACTGACGTCGTTTTTCTTCTAGTGGTATGCGGTAAGTGCACAACGTTGTGTAGGCTTTTTATTCGCTAAATCGCTTTTAGGCTGGTTCGTCAACGCAGATTGTCCATGAATCTTTCTAGCTGTTTTTTCATCTACTGATCAAACATTTCATAGATGGCATTCGCCCAGAATGCTATTCAGTTGAAAAGAAACGTGCCTGGAGCTCATACCTTTCTTGAAGTAATTGCTGTGCGATGGGGGGACGCCCGCACATTTCAGTTTTATGTTTTTTTTGGATTAGGAACCAGTAAGTGCTTATACCTGCGTCTTGCCGACGAAATGATGACCGCGTCGTAGACATTATGTATGATTCATTTTTTCTTCTGGAAAAACAGCAACCTGACTTCTTATAAGTCTAATGGCGCAATTCATTACTGGTGGAAGTAATACCGTCAACACACTCACGAGTATGAATACGATCGCTGCATGTTTTCTTATACCTGTAGGCGTCGTAGTCTATACATTAGTCAGTGGTCTTCGAGCTAGTAAGGATGGTGGATATGCGTCGGATTATATACTCACGGAGCTTTTGATAGCTTTCTTCTCGGACCACCTGCACACCACTCTGATCTTCGCAATCATACTGGCCTTCGGATTTTCAGCCTTCGCTACGAATGAGTACTTGGGTCCCCTTCGAAAGTGTATGTTCTTTTCCAGGTTGCCGCAACAAACTATCCTATCACGGGCAATGCTGGTGGTTCTTACACGATATTCAGATCCATAGATGGTATGGTCTTCGGCATTGTCGTAATGGTTTTTGGGTATGTTTACCAATACCTTCATCGTTCGACGCTGAGCTGATATACGTTCATCTAGATTTGGTATAGTAACTTAACATTGACATCCATCCCCCGTTGACTTTATTATCGTGTCATAGAGACTGTTTACCTGGATCAGACCTATTGGTCTGTCCGGTAGTTTTTTCTTCGAATGATGGTACTCATTGTAGGATAGGCAACGAGCTGTAGCTAGCAAGGGGAGCACTTTCGTCGAGGGTTATATCTTGGGAAGCTTTTCCTTTCTCCCTGTTCCCTACGTATTCGCTACTGCAGCGGGTCTTGCCATCGTAGCCCTTTCTGCCGATTCCACGTCGCCATACGCTCCATTAAGTGCCGCACAATATAGTCTGGCAGCACCAGCTGCTGCTACAGCACTGTTAGGGAGATCTGGTGCCATCTTGCCGCTGATTGTTCTCTTTTTAGCCGTGACTTCAGCAGTATGTTCTATTACCTATGCTTAGCGTGACATATAGTTGACTTTCTACTCTAGGCATCAGCTGAACTCGTCGCAGTTTCGGCTATCATTACTTATGATATCTACAAGCGTTGTATCCACCCCGCCGCCACTGACAAGCAGATCCTCTGGGTATCTCATGTCGGTGTCGTTGGTTTCGGTATTTTCATGGGTATACTGGGGGTCATTTTCTATGAAATTGGCATCTCTCTTTCATGGCTATGTGAGTATTCCAGACATTATACTCTACAATTACTCATTATCTTTACTTTTCAGACGGATTCACGGGTCTGTATCTGTAATGGCAGTTGACTGAGGGTCTGTGACTGATATTATTATTAATGTGCAGGCGTTTTTGCCTTTTCTAGCGCGCCACGCCAATAGATGGGGTTGCCTTGCTGGTTTGTGGATTGGTTTCTCATGTGGTATTGCTGCGTGGTTGGCCACCGCTGCAGGTTATGAGGTACGTTTTATTTAATTCTATCTCCTACGTATAACGTATTCGACCATCAACTTACAGGACGTAATCGATGTTACAACCACTGGGGGAACCTACGAGCAACTGGCCGAAAACGCAGGGTCTTTCTTCATGGCTGCAATCATTTCAAGCATCGTTTCACATGTGTGGCCCGAGAACTTCGACTTTGATATTACCCGAAGGATGAACACTTTTCAGCCGGAGGACACCGACGCCGAAGGCCACGTTGATGCGGTAGAAACAGACTCTGCGCACGAGACGAGAATCGATACCAATGTCAGCGAGGTCGACATGGAGAAGGGTGTACATGTCCACAACGATGCTTCCGATGATGATATGTACAAAGACTTTATTTTCTCAGTACGACTAACTATCGTTCTATTCCTAGTTTAAGTCCATCCTCACTAATATGAGCCCCACATAATTGACTTCCTTTCTTTTTAGGTTCTGTATCTTTGTGTAAGTTTTCGGAAATTTGTCTTTACGGATGACTAAGGTTGAGTTCTTGCATGATGGTCATCCCACGAATATGGTCCAAGGTATTTGAATCTCAGTATTCTAGTCCGATTACATTTTCTCATATTATAGAAGGCCAGCTTCACATGGTGGATTGTTCTTGCGTTCTTATGGACATTCGTAGCGTCCTTCATTGTCATTATCTACCCTATTGTACGTCGTCCTCGTATCGACTTCTTCATTGACTGCTGACTGTTTCTGCAGTGGGAGTCTCGACATGCGTTATGGGAGATAATGCGAGGCATGATGACAGATATGTCTGGCAAACGCAAAGGTATCAGATGAGGTGCTTGTGTACATATTTTTCTTCGTAGATATAAATGCCTTACTGTGCCTAACCCTTTGATACGTGCCGACCTATACCGACCAGGCGTGTATCCACTACGTGATATATTATATGTATATATCGTTTGAATTGTTGACGATTCTGAGTGATTATACGTCCCCATAGGGGAGGAAAACACGAATGTAATAAGCAATCCGACGGAACTAGTCTAGCGAAAGGACAAGGTACGCTGTTTCTATGGCCTTGAAGTGGGCATAAGCAATGGGAAAGAAAGTGAGATCATTAAACCACTCACCAAATCATCAAGGCAACGGTCGCGTCGTTTACCACATCGTAAGCTGGTATTCTTTGTGTCTTTCATGGCACAAAAACTAGCAGAAGACTTTCTTTCTTTCCCGCGACCGAAGGGTATCCTTTCACGGTCGCTGTCGTCATCGGGTTCGGGATCATCAAGAACAGATATCAGCTGCATATCTTCAATCCGGAGCATCCTCAGCGTGTCCCGGCACGCTACTCTCGTCTCGATGGACAGACTTGTATAGGTAATCAGAGTTTCGATATCCGTGATGCATGAGGCAATGCAGGACAGAAGCTCGTGCGGAAGATGATTCAGACCATCTGTTATCTCGAGAGGATTCTGATCCAGGGGAAGCCAGCATGGGTAATAGTCGATGAGATCGTCGAGATACTGGCACAGACGCAAAAGCATCGATATGCCCGGCGTGGAAGCATACCACGATGGAAGGAAATCTACACAATTGGTATGAACTACGTCTCCGATCTAAGTGTTCAGTCTGACAACGGCCCATTTGTAAATGGAAGAAATGACTCCAAAAAACGTCAGGATTTTTCTTGGATCGGGAGCGCATGTGCAGTGATACCCAACTACTGACAATTGTAACGAACGTTCGTCTTCCAGATGCGTGGCAACATAGAGGCAGAGATTATCTCTCAGTCACCAGACTGGCAAATCATCACCGTTCTTCGTCAACGAGAAATAATTTGATCGGGTCAGGAAATTGACCGAGTAAATCGGCTTGGCAAGCACCATCCATGCAAATGCGAATGCAACACGACAATGGTCTCTGTCGATATCTTGCGACCGGAAAGGTTCAAAAATCCGAAAAGCTTGTTAAGAGCTACAGCCTACCGCGGATTTCCGCAAAAGAAGACTTATCCGCTACACGACGACGGACAGCCTCTACTGAGACAACTGATCGAGGTCGCCGAGAACAATATCGTCTGCAACGCCAGCGCCGAGAGAAAATTTCTTCTCTAGGAGCATGCCTTCCAAACGAAACACAGGTTGAGAGTTGACGTGAAAAACAAGGTTTTCCTGGCCTCTCTGTTATTGAGTTCGAGTTTTGAAGAGTAGGGGGCCTGTATACCATGTTTTTGCGACAGGTAGGTGTCGTATTCTGCACGAAAGGCAGCTAGCCACTTGTCAAATTCCTCGCGATCTTTAGGTATAGTGTCTAGGATATCGAGACCTGGAACCCCCGGAGAGGCATCATGATGGTAGTAGTAGAGGAAGTACCATCCCCGGCCTCCATCGATAGACCTTGAAGCCTGGTGTACCCATGGCAAAATAACAGCCATAATTTGTGATAGGAGTAGGACGTAGCAGTAGTCATCTCGTCTGTGACTTAGCTATCGTTGAACGCGACACCGACGTTGACGAATTTGTCTCATAGTGACGATCATGCAACGATGAATGGAGAGGGTGAGTCATGGAAATCGTTGCCTTGATATTTGAAGAATTTTGGAGTTCTAATCCTCCGTGTTTCAGCGTTAAAGATGTATCAATATCTCGAAGAAATAGAAAGAAGTTGGTTGGTCCTTGCACCACCTTGATGAAAGTTGGGGTTTTGGCAAAATTTGACGATATTTGTCTGATCCTTCCGACACGCGCCGAACGCGCCGACGACGAATTGCCACTGACCACATCATCCTTACCTTGCCTGGTAACATCCAGCATGGCGTCAGACGGCCACGACGAACCGACGACAAATGGGACGACTTCTACTCATATCGACAAGCCCGCTGGCGGACGACCACGACATGGTTCCGAGTCTGATGCCCAAGAGATGGTCATTCAGTCCCTACGTACCCAAATACAGGATCTGTACTCTCAAGTCACGCAGCTCAACGCGAAGCTCGTAAAATCATACGACAGAGTATCAGATCTGGAGGACGACCTTCATGTTACCTCCGCCAATTTGCGGTCTTCGACGCTAAAAGTATCAGAGCTGGAATTCGAAAGGACGCAACATCTCTCCGCTCTGAATACGGGTCTGCTGGTGGAGAAGAGCAACGTTACTGCCGAGCTCAATCGCCTGATGGAGAAGGCTACGGAGGAAGCAGCTCAACGTGGTCAGGCTGAGACGGCGCGGGCGACGATTGAGAAGGAATTGGATGACCTTAGTGCGAGTCTCTTCGATCAGGCCAATACCATGGTTGCCGAAGCGCGATATTCCAAGGCGCTTAGCGAACGAAAGGTCGAGGAAGCAGAAATTGCGTTGAAAGGCGCTGAAGAGGCCGTTGCACTCATGCAGCAGCAGATGCAAGCACTCCAGGCTGACAAGGAGGAGGCCGACAAACGTGCGCTGGAAATACGAGTTTCGATGGGTAAAGGGAAATGGGCAGAGCGACGTGAAGATGGCTCTCTGAGACGCCCGTTGCGCCTTATCTGTTCTCACCTCCCGTACCAGGAGTTCCTCCTGTTCGTGGCCCACCTGCGCACCCTTCATACCTCCACCCCGACACCGCCAACAATGACCACTCTTCTTCCGCTTCCATTCATTGCGCGCCTCTCGTCGGAAGACTCGTCAGTGATTTTCCGTCAGTTTATTGCATATTCATGATGCTTACTCTGTGCTAGAGAGCCTACTGTTCGCCTTGATCTCGCCCCCTCGTTAAATTGGCTATCGCGCCGCTCCGTTCTTGCTGCAATCCATAATGGACAGCTTACAATTGAACCTATATCATCTACCTATTTGTTACAAGATACGTTCTCAAATGCACCCTCTATCCCTGGCCTGTCCGGAAACAATGCTGTCTGTGCGCTATGCGGAGAGCCTGTCTTTCCCAATTCCGAATCGCGACCTTCTGGTTCTGGTGGTTCCTGGTCGTCTTCTCTGTTCAAGAAACCATTATCTTACACTTTAAACGGTTCAAACGGTTCGAATTCTGTACCACCTTCGCCAATAAATACGAAACCTACTCAGGTTTACGTATTCAGAGTCTCTTCACCACCGTCCTCATCATCGGCCCTTCCTAACCTCTCCATTCCTACGACACCTTTCGCATCGACATCCTCGCAATCGCAGACAAATAATTCTGGTGCTCATTTAACGACCAACCATCACTCCAGTGGTAGTTCTCAGTCAACGGCTGCATACCCTCTTTGTACTGGCGGCTGGTGTCTCACGCGGTTGCGACAGACATGCACTCTATGGGCATTCGTTCGCACGGGTATCGTGGAAAGAATATGGGAAGAGGAAGTCCCGTCGTTACCTCCGCCACCGATACCGGCTGCGTCGAACAGTGACAAACCTCCAGTTCCACCACGGCGAAGGGGGCTTTGGGGTATGGCCAGTGCTCTTGGCGAGAGAGCAGCAAGCTGGAGTGGCGACGATAAAGAAAAGAAGAAGCTTCAAGTGGAGAAGGAGAAGGAAAAGAAACTCGACCTTACGTGGGAGCGGGACCAAGCAAATGCCATAGCCCAGAATGAAAACCTACGAAACAAGAAGTTTGAACCGCCGCCTCTGCATCCGTCCTTATCCGCTGCTCCCAAGAGTCCGTCAGCCGTCGTTCCGGCTCCAGTCCCACCGCCACTTCCCAGACGAAATGACCGGCGTCCTGTTCCACAGCCTCCACCAACGACAGCAGCACAGGAAGCGGAACCGCCTACGTCGGGAATCCGTCCTCAAACTCCGACACGCGTACCTCTTCCCGACTCTAGGCCCGCTACCCCCGTCTCCCCTGCAGCACCTCCTCCGCTTCCTCGAAGAGCTGCCGCGCGTGGACCCCGTCCTATGCCCGGATCAAGACCAGGTACGCCGAAGCCTGAAGGAGTGGCAAAGGAGAAAGCGGAGGAAGATGAGAAGGAGAAGGAGAAGAAGGCGCCGGACAGCGTACGGGAGAAGGATGATTCCAACACTAAGGAAGACGAGGAAGAAAAGACGGAAGCAGGGAAAGAAAGCGAGAACACGGAGAAAGAAGTCGAGCGTCCCGCAGCAGAGGAGAGACATCCCACTCCTGAGGCTCCAACCACTGAACCCTCTGAAACGCCTGGAACTGAACCAGGTGTGGCAGAGGTGGAAGAGAAACATCCTGCTCCAGAAGGGGTTGAAGAGACAAAGCAATCTAGCTCCGAAGGTAATGAAAGCGACGCGCCTTCTTCACCTACGCCTTCGCATGTAAATGGGAAGGTAGACTTCGGAGACCGGAATGTCACGTCCACTTCTGATGACGAGAACGAAAAGTTCGAGTCGCCGGTCGAGTCTGTGCCCGAATCCGATAACGAGAAGGAGGTGTCAGACAATGAAGATGAGAATAAGGAGGTTTATATCGGTGATACCACTTGGGAGGAGAGGACTTGGAAAGAACTCGTACGGATAAAGGAAGATATGTTCTGGGCACGCGTTGGTGGATTGAGGTAGTATTGTTATACATGGCCACTTCGAGACTTCAACTTCAACTTGTTTGCGCGTTCTCTAGAGCTGCCTAGTTATTTATCGACTACACTTTTCTTTCTCTGGAATCATGCTTAATCTAGAACCTCATATAGATACCCTCCATCCATGTGTCCGCGTTTCATCTGGCTGTATACATTACATCACTTGTTTCTTTTTCACCCATTCTTCGTGCCGTCTGACCAATTCTGAAATGATATCTTCTTCGATTTCTTTGGTTGGGTCGTGGGCTAAATCAATACGGAGCCAATGATCTACGAATGTAGAAGTGGCCTCCTCTAGCTTGCTGGTGGAAGCATCGCCATCGGGCTGAGAGTTGCGAGAGACGAAGACCACCTCAAATTTACGTCGATGAAGGTCATTCCCGATGACCACTTGGTGACCGTATCGTTCTAGTGCTGCATGAGCTTTTGGTATCAGTAAAAGAGGATCCGTTTCGAGCTAAGAGAAGGCAGGTAAGAAAACAAGGCAGCCCGGCAAAATTTGTCCTTCGTTACCTTAAACGAGACAATAAAACCGTCATGAGTCCATTCATCTACCATAGACTTGAGGATCTTTGGCACTTGATCCATTTCAATGTGTAGGCTTCCCTTGCCAGATTGGATCTTGTGCTCTGACTGAAGGATTTTAACGCAAGCTCAAGGGCCACAAGGCGTTACGCACCATCTTCTGTCTTGGAAGGAAGAAGTCACTGACAGCAGCGGCCAAGTAATACATTGCCCTTCTCCGCATAACGGAGAGCTCCTGCGAAACAGCGCGAAGAAGCCAGAGATAATCATTGACAGTAACGAATGTCAAGGTGAGCAACGTTCCGTTAGCATGAACAGACTTGTACGCCGTTAAGACCTCGAGTAAATGAGCCCTTTTATTGGCTGTTACGCTGATCTGGGGTTCTTTGCTGTCTGTCTGGTCTATTTCGAGGAAGTCGAGGAAAGGATTGGTAGAATGGGAATAATGTCGGCTGAATGGTTGTAGACTGAACTGGCGATGCATGAAAATGACGGCATATCCGGCTTTGAGGAAATACTCCGCAGATGTGGCACCTCTGGTACCTGTGTTTCCTTGAGTAAAGGTTTGGCGGAATACTGCTCAAGTCCACACACCGGCACTAAAATTGTCAAGAAATCGGACACTGTTGCACATCAAATTGTAAGCGTCTCCCACTGCTGCACAACGGAACGCTCTCACACATTGAGCTCTAGAGGAACAGTGGTCCCTCCACTCTATGCTTGTAGCACTGAGCAAAGCAGTCAAACAAAGGTCGAATGGCCTCACCGTAACCAAAACTACATTTCGATTCTGTTGGATTTGCTGGGCGACAAAGGCACGAACGGCATTGACTTCATGCTCGAGATTGGGTGGTGGACCCTGCGTAGCAAAATACGACTCTGCGGAGAAGGTCGTAGGTTCGCTGTGCATCGTCAATAGGCGTGCATGGGCGACCCTGGACTGTGAGGTGTCATCATGCCATGTGACATTTTTGGTCGCGATTTCGAATCTCGCGCGTTGATCGTCTTACGATAGAAAAATATATACAATGTTATCATTGAACTTCAGAGCTCGAAGAATTCGAACGCTGCTGTTCAAGCTAATTGGAAGCATTGAATACTATCAACCTCTGTCGTATAGTCAATTGAAAAACCGTCCGCCATCAATGCTAATCTGGAAATGTATGTCTATGACAAGAAACGTATACATAGATTGAGTGACGCTTACAGTCTGACCAGTGATGAAGTGCGACTCTGGCGATGCAAGGTACGAGACCAAGCTGGCCAAATCCTTAGGGTGCCCTATCTTCTTCAATGCAGATGTGTTTTCACTCTGGTGGACCTTTGATGGAAATTCTAGTATCAGGACATAGCTGGCGAGAGCTCAAGAATATTGTTACATATTTGGCGAAGTCTTCTCCGGGGAACATAGATCTCGACAATGGTGTGTCGATAAACCCTGATGACTAGCAATAAAATGAACTGAAAGACGAGGGAACCGATGATACACACCGGGTGCATAAGCATTGACGGTGATCTGGTGCGGTCCCAGTTCCATCGCTGGAGAATTAGTGTCTAGCCTTGGGGTTTAGTCATAACAACAGTTAGACACACCAGCACTCTGTGTCAGCCCGCGAACAGCGAATTTTGACATGGTATAAGGACATGTGCCTGGCAGAGCTAAGAGGTAGTCAAATATGGACGAAAAGAAAAATCCAGACATTCGGTTCTGACCTCTCATCCCTGCGATAGAATTTGCGCCAATAATGCGCCCCCCTTGACCTTGTTTAATCATCTGCATCGCAGCATACTTATAGCAAAGGAATACTCCTCGCGCATTTACTCCTAAAATGTGGTCCCATTCCTCCGCCGTGGCTGATTTTGGCAGATAACAGAAGATCAAATACCAAAGATATAAACAGGCGTTCCGTAACTCACTGTTCATAAGACCAGAGAATCTAGGACATATGCCGGCATTGGCTACCATCTGGATAAAACGTCAAGTCAAATGAAAACAAAAAGAAAAAAGACGAAAGATACTTACAACATCCAGCCTGCCTAACACTTTTACCGTCTCATCAACCATGGCCTTTACCTCGTCCTCCTTCGAAACATCGGCTATGTAAGTGGATGCTTTCTTTCCCAGCTTCTCGATTTCGTTGTGAAGGGTCTCCAGATTCTCTTTCTGGGAAGCGATATCGTTCAGAGTAACATCGAATCCATCGCTTGCAAGACGAAGCGCGATAGCACGGCCTATTCCGCCCGCGCAGCCTGTCACTAGTGCAACTGGGCGTTCGGTCATGGTGGTAGGCTGTACGTTTGTTTCCTGTCCAGGGAAAGAGATATAGAAAGAGGGGCCAACACGAAGGTCCTAAATCCCAATTCGCTAAAGACTGCGAGAATTCCTCCCATATCCGATGGGGAATGCCCTCATTGCGAACAGTGTATCATTGAATGGCCGCATGGCAGATTTCGCAGGCCCTTGTCATAAGACCGGCCCAGCATTCAACAATGTCCCGGATTCGAGGAACAGAAGATCCCACACTTAATTCCGAGAGCCTTAGATAGCCTCCCTAGAAAGGCCAAAGAAATTCAAGAAACTCCACGAGAGCTGGGAACGCATTTGGAACTTGAGGGATAATACCGAGTCCATAGCAATCGCATGTACTTGCCTGACTGGTGCGGCATTGGCCAAGTACTAAGTAAAGCATACGAGGAAACTTCCAAGCAGATAAAAATTGCGTATATTCACCATTCGGTCCGGGTGTTGAATGCTCTCAACATATATCTTACGACTGGCGGAATACGGTCAATTGAAGAACCATCCGCCATCAACAGAAATCTAGAAAACAAGTACGTCTGTGACAAGAAATCCACATACATAACGAATGTCACTTACGCTCTGTCCAGTAATGAAGTGCGATTCTGGCGACGCAATGTATGAAACCAAGCTGGCTAAATCCTTAGGTTGTCCTATCTTCTTTAACGCGACTTTATCTTCATGTTGGTGGGCCTTTAAGGAAAACACGGATTAGGAAACAATTGATGTAGCTCAGAGATATTGTTACACTTTCAGCGAATTCTTCTCCAGAATACACAGATCTCGTCATGGGAGTGTCAATAAACCCTGATACACATGAATATAAAAAATTAAAAGACAAGAAACCGAATGATACAGACCAGGTGCATAAGCATTGACAGTGATCTGGTGCGGTCCCAGTTCCATCGCTGGAGAATTAGTGTCTAGCCTTGGGGTTTAGTCATAACAACAGTTAGACACACCAGCACTCTGCGTCAACCCGCGAACAGCGAATTTTGATGAGCTATAAGGACATAAATTCCCATGGGCTAGTAAGAGAAACGTTGAATCAGGACACAAAGTGAGGCACAGAATGGACCATTCTCACCTCTCATCCCCGTGACGGAATTCGCACCAATAATCCGTCCTCCCCAACCTTGTTTGACCATCTGTATCGCAGCGTACTTGTAGCAAAGGAATATTCCTCGTGCGTTTATGGCAAAAATGCGGTCCCATTCCTCCACCGTGGCTGATATCGGAGTTCCAGAAAATCTGATTACCAAGACGTAAACAGGTGTTCGATAACTCACTGTCCATGAGACCAGAGGAACCTGAACATATACCTGCATTGGCTACCATCTAGAGTGAAACGTCAAGTCAAACGGGGGAAAGATTGGGAGAAAGCTTACAATATCCAATCTACCTAGCACTTCAACAGTCTTATCAACCATAGCCTTTACCTCGTCCTCTTTCGAAACATCAGCTGTGTAAATGGATGCTTTCTTTCCCAGCTTCTCGATTTCGTTGTGAAGGGTCTCCAGATTCTCTTTCTGGGAAGCGATATCGTTCAAAGTAACGTCGAATCCATCGCTTGCAAGACGAAGAGCAATGGCACGGCCTATTCCGCCCGCGCAGCCTGTCACTAGTGCAACTGGGCGTTCGGTCATGGTGGTAGGCTGTACGTTTGCTTCCTGTCCAGGGAGAAATATATAGAAGATGATACCGGGCCTAAACCAGGAGTACGAGAAGCCTTCACATGTTTGATAACGAGAATGCCGCATGGAAAACCTCGCAGATGACCTGTGCCCTCGTCACAAGACTTCTAAATGTTCAGTAATACACGAATTCGAAGAGAATGTAGTTCTAATGTTCTCACAGGGTGCAGTGAGTTCGAAAAAGGAACTCCTAGAAAAGCCAAAGCTCCCAGACAGTGGGGGAAACACTTGAGACCTCGAGAATAGACAATATTGATCCACAAGAATGATGAACGTTGTGCGTAGGCAGGCTAGTAGAAAAATTGCAGCAATTTCCAAGTCGATACTTGGTCATCCAAGTTGACGCCAAGCTGAAAGACTGCCTTCCTGTCTGGATTCCGGCAACCGGGCTCCCAAGGTTAAACCTCGCCCATGCCTATGAGAAGTATACCTGAGTAGCCAGGAATAAGTCCGTTTTTCGTGGAGAATCATGTCACTTATGAAGCGGTAGGTTCTTAGCTGCAGAAAAGTCGAAGTCCTACCTGGATTTCAATATTAGAACATCCCCCGTCACACTAGAAAAGATTGTGTTATATTACGCAAGGACAATACCATTGATGCCGGAGGGCTTTCCACTTTACGAGTGTGAACCAATCGGCCGTAGAGAGCAGTCCTAGCTTTGACCAAACAAATGCGACATAACCGTCCCGTCACTCCTTGACGTATGGGGGAGGTGGCTCAAGATCATTGATCCTACCATAACCCAAAGCATCCGCTGGAGATTTGCCGTCTGCGTTGTCTTTAGGGGGTGTCGGCGGGAGGGGCAGCGGCGAAGTAGCATCCAAATCTGGGTCAAACCGGTCGTCTGAGTCCGGGGCACTGACTGTAATATATGGAAGAAGCTGCTCCTGCTCCTCGTCTTTATTTAACGTCATGTCGCGACGTCTGATGGTTTCTCTTTGTCTGAAGTGAAGACCGATGATTAGAAGGACAAGCAGACCGGCGACTAATGAGTAATTAGACTCGGACAAGAATTAATGTACTGTTGCAATGTAACGCACGTATACCGAACATCAATATAATAACGCTACCGACATTGACGGTGCATGTCCTTGGAAAGGTAGGCTTTGATCCAGGATTGGTAAACTGTACAGTGCTGACAAAATTGTGATTGTTGGTTAAAATCAAACCAATTTCGATCTAATTGCGTACCCATTCCATTTACAGGTGGAAAAGGCTGGGAATCGTAAGGAATCAGTCGTTATGTCGATTCAGAAACCACACTCACCACCGCCGATATGTGATGGAGAAAGGTAAAAGAGTTTCATCTTTTCTTATGGCTGTGTGTAGTTGAGGACCGTACTCGGGGCCAGGCTGCACTGGCGCGTACTCGTAGATAGGGAACAGCCACTAGAGATTCAGTCGAGACCATTCGAAATGATAAGCCAAAGACGCTGAGTTTGAACCAGGTAGATTTGTACTGCCCGCCGCCTTACCCTCTTATGACGCTATGACTCGTGTTGCTTTCGGAGCAATTCGGCCGACTGTGCAACTTCGCTCACCGTTGTAATGGCGGACGACACTGCAGACAGCGCAGCAGCAGTCCAACAGGAAAATGCGCCTCGTTCTACATCTATTCATAATGGTGCCAGCTTACTCGTGGAACTTTCTCCGCTGAGCTCGCAGGCGCACTGAGCAACGTTCACCTGGCATACAAACGACAGATAGAAGCCGCAAGGTGTCGGAGGACGTTCGTATCGCAGAACTCGAGCAGGCACTCAGGGCGCGCGAAAGTGTATTGGCAGAGGGCAGAGGCGAGGGCTAAGCAAGTCTCAGAAGAAAATGCACAACTCCTCCACACCCACCAGCAACTTGTGCAGGGATTCTCGGATTTTCGCTGCGCCGCTGATATCTCGAGAAAGACATCTAACGAGGTGTCAGAACAGCAAGCTGCTTCACTCATTGCGGAACGAGATGGCGCGTGTTCGGACGCTACAGCCATGCAGGTAGAGGTACAGCAGCTCCGGAACGAGATAGCTGGGCAAAAGTTGGAACGCGAAGCGCTGAATGAGCGTATCAAGAAGCTCGAAGGCGAGGCGGACTCTATCCGAGCAGATTACAAGAAAGCCGATGCAGAGAGAAAACAAGCCAGAGACGACGCCGCGGAGGCTCGAGGGGCGCTTGCCGGACTCAAGAGCGCGTTGGGAGCGATTGGGTTAGAGTATGTCCAAGAGGATACCAAATTTTATTTCTCTAAAGAAATCATTCCACGCGTGGCGGAGCTTTTCAACGAAGGACAAAAGGCTCAGGCAATCTCCCTGGCATTGGCATCAATACAGGACAAGCCAGATAGCACGAAGAAACCTTTGTCGCCCGACGCTCTATCTCCTTTCAATCTCGCTACGTTCATCACTATCATGAAGGACATTCTATCTGATGTTGCAGTTGCCGGCAGTGGCTGGGAGGCGCTGTGCCGTTCGAAGGAGAAGGAGGGGAACGCATTGCGGGAACAGCGCGACACGCTTTCCACACAGTCCTCTAGAATGAAGGAAGCCAAGGACGCGGCTGTGAAAGAATGGACCGAGATCAAATCGACTCTCGCTCCTGCTGGGCTGGCGTATACAGACACTAACAACATTGTTTTTCACGAAGGGCTTGGTCTCTGCCCTGAAGGAACTCACACCGATGAAAGAAAAGCTGAAGCAGACAGCTGATACTCTGTGCTCCGAGGATCCTAACAACGACCTCCAAGCGCTTCTGCAAGCTCCCGAACCTAAGCTATCCACGCTCAGAATCTGATAGCTTCTATGCGCAAGTGGTTCGCTGTCGCACAAGCCATTAGCGATGCTTCATTAGCATTGTGCCGATCCAAGGAAAAGGAGCTTACCGAACTCTCGGTAGGGAGAATTTTGCAGCAAGACGAGATTCAACTTCTCAATGAGAAAGTAAAAGAGGCCGAAAGTCAGTGATATCTGTTTCTCCTATTTGAAACGTTAATGAACGATATGTTCTATAGCTCAGCTGAAGGAGCTCGACGCGCAGAGTCAGAATGAGGACTCTTCGTCTGTTTCGACTTCGCAACCCACCCGTAAGCGAAAAAAATCTAGTCGAGCATCGACGTCCGCCGCCCTCCTCCCGTCTCAAATCGCTTCGTCTTCCAGTCAACCCTTTCCAAGTTCGACTAAGACGGCCAATCGCGTGAAATCCGGCGGTCGTCTTTCTAGTCCCATTGTCCCTACCACAGACCCTACCCCTTCGTCCCGTAAACGTCCACGATTGACCTCATCTTCCATCTCTGTGTCTACTACATCAACCATCCAGCGAAAAAGGTCGCCGTCTGTCATCATTGTCGGTGATAGTGACGACGAAATTAACTCGAAACCTCCTGTATCTAATAAGCCTAGTCCAAAAGATCGGGCTGGGAGGGCCAAAAAGTCTAGGAAATCTTTTGTGGTCGATGATGACGAACCAGCACCAACAAAGCTAAGAAAACAAGGAGTCCCATCAGGCAAGGACAAGGACAAGGACAAGGAGGACCCGTTCCTCGAGTTCACGTCCTCCAGATCTAAACCGCCATCAAAGAGCAGCCAAATAAATAAAGGTATCGCGTGCTCACATACTTCCAGTGTTCCCGTGCTGACTATTATTTGAGGGTCTGGGAAGAAAGCCTGAATTCGACGTAATCTCATTCTATTTTGTAAAATTGCCGACATCTTATCAGAAAAATGAGGTCTGTATTTTGTATGCTCTGTTGATATCATGCATCGTCGATTGCAATATTTATGCGCGCTACCTTTACGACGTACATTCTAATCCTATCCTGCAATTATACCTGGTTGACAAACGTACACAGCTATTTATATAACGGAATATCAAACAAACTTAAGCATCAACTAGTTGGGAAGCACCGTGGCCCAACTATAACCTCGTTGCGTTAGGAACAGGCATATCTGAATCCCAGAGACTCCACACCAACCCTTTACTTGGCCTGACGCCGTCCTTGATGATTTTTTCATATGCAGCCTTTACCGCGTCCGATCCCATATACCCTTTCGATCTCTACCCAGCCGCCACAGTCTCTCATCAGTTCCTTCCAAGCTATTTCCTGCATTGTAAAGATCTCTTCTACCCTGAGCTCATGCCGTCGTACTGCTAACCACTTGGCGTGAAGAAATGCTCCTCCTGGGGCCAGAACGCAGACGTCGGATCTGAGGAAGGCGTAGCCCCGAGGGTATGTCCTGCCCTCAGTTCTGATGCATCAGAGGACGGCGAAAGGTTCGTCATCCCCAATGTAATAAAAGCTGCAAGAACACCAGTATAAGGCGAAGTGAAGTGATCGAACACCCGTTGGTTAAGCGGCGCGTTTCCTGCCACGTCGACGTACACCCAACGATCTTTCTCCCGCCCATGAAAGGAGTCGGACGCCGTGAACGAGCTGTATTCAAGCACCTCATCATAAAGCTCCAGACCCTTCGTGAACTCCATGTTTCGAGAAGAGGTCAGGCCAATGATCTTTGGGGTTATATCTGCGTTTGCCCGTCGTTTACGGATGAGGTAAGCGGCGCAAAAAGCGGTTTTGGAAGAGGCCGACGAAAGGAGGATGGTGGACGCGCCACCCCCGATATTTTTGAAGACCAAAGCCAGTCTTCAAACCAATACGCAGTCCAGAAGAGTGGCCGGTAGAGCATAGTGAGGTCCTCCGCTCGTGGGTTAGGGGTGTATTGCGGGTCTGTCGCGCACCGAAGGACTTGATTGTATGGTCGATAGTCTGTTGACAAAAAATTCAGAGGGAATTCATAGAATTTTATTCCGTTTGGCGTACCTGCTGGTAGGTGGGGCCTGGAAATATAGAACGCATATTTGTTCACGTCCGAGGGAGACACCGGCAACAAAAGATATCTAGTCGGTGCCAAGTAGCCATAAACACGTTCGCCTACAGCAATTTTGGGGTGCCCTGATGTTATAACCGTTGCAAACCCCCAGACAGGCACGATCCCATGGCTTTTTGCGCTCACTTCTTCATGCTCAGGCGTGGTATGAAAATCAAAGTATCTGTGATACAGCTGAAGCTTAAGCTTTGACCTAAGAAAACTAGAGTCGTACCTATAATGCGGATGCTCGCCCAAAGCCTGATAAGTGACGTTATTCGCAGAGAATCCAAACCGGTCAACTCGAAGTAGAATGTGGTTGGCTGGGATATATGTTAGCTTGGGTGTCGAAATGACTATGGCCACGTCAGGACTTTGGCCGGACGGCGGTCTGGGTACGCAAAGGGTGATATTGGTGGATACGTCCATGGGTGTAGACGTCAAGCCAACCTTATGTAAGTGACACGGGTTTCAGCATGGTCGATGGGAACGCGACCGCATCAATTGTGCGAGTGAAGTACAAAGTTAACCGGTAATGCACAGCCACGCGAGGTACTCGTGAACTTGAGAAATTCCAGGAATGTATTATTCATTAATTCTATCTAACATACAATAATAAGTATTAGATGCCGTTATAGGAATATTATAGTAGGTAAATTAGGATGTTGTCTAGGCCTATATTAATTGGTTGTCTGTGATATTATGATGGAATTTATCAACCGCCGTCAGTCAGCGCAGCGCTCATTGCTCAGTTTCCGCGCACTTTCCTCAGTTCGTTATCTGTTACAAGTTTTAGATTCCGTTTGAATCGCGTCGACAGCGTAATTTCATTGTGTACTCACTAACGAAAGCCGAGCTGGGTGCAACCACCGTCAAAGCGCCGATGATCATCTGTAGTGCCCTTTGTACATTTACCTGCTGGGGCTGAGGCAGCGACGACACCAGTCCGATCAAAAACCTGTAAGCAGTTGACCACAAATCCTGTGTAGAATAGACGGCAAAATCAAGGAACCACTTCAGCACGACAAACGAAAACACTTACACCCAAAATTGCGTCGACGAAAGAGAATTCGGCGATATTCATCACGCTCAAAACCTGTGTGATTACAAAGGCTGCCCTATCCATTCTCTCCAAAGAATTGGGATTCATGGATCTGACGGGAAAATGAAGAACAATCACGGTGGCATGCGCCAAGGTGTGGATCATTACTGCGGTAGCCGGCGTACTTAGCGTTAACATGGCTTGGAAAGTGGGCAGGCTCTCAATGAAGCGTTCCAGAACGTTGGAAAACGAATCAAAGGTTGCCTTGAAGTGATTTACTTGTGTGTATATTCATTCCTAATAATCGTATGTCGGATGCGTGACTCAAGCGAAGAAAACAGTACGCCTTACCGGGACGCACCCTCGACTTGAAAAGCGAAGCTTGCTCGAATAAAATTGATGCCTTGGCATGCAGGGCAAGAATAGATGTCCCCGCATCTGCTTCACCGTGCAGGAGTCTCTGGATGGTGTGGCTAGTTCCGCCCAAAAGACGAGAAGGCTTTCGAAAGAATTAGCACAAGCACAAGCACAGAGATATGAAGAGACTTACCCTGGAATATTTCACTAATATCCAGAGGCCAAGGCGCGTCGATTCTAGTCGCGTCTCCGTCGGATAGGTTGGAAGGAGATCCATCCACAGCAGTCCAGCAGTTATTTAAGATTACGACCGTCCAAAGACCATTAAGTCTCTCTCCTTCCTCGAGAGCGTTACGTGCTTCTCCGAGAATAGACACGCTACCTCCATTCTGAGACCTGATCTTATGCAGCCCAGAGCTAAGCACGAGGGAGACCGCAGCGCTGGTATGATATTTTCCCTCGAGCATCTTCATGTTCCGGAAGAAATACTGAGCTAGAGTACCTCGGCCTGGATGCATTGGATAACTCCGTAGGGATGGACAGAGCAGTTTGCCAGTCCTTGAGAAGCAAGATTTACAGCTTGAGCAAGAAATTTGTCTTCCCAAGCCGCGATTTCCTGGGAAGGGGAGAGGTGAATTCCCCATAGGTATGCGACACTAAGCAGAGCAGCAACAGGTCGTTCAATAAGGTTGCTGCTAGTTGCCGACTGGACAAAGTGGGCGATGTCAAGGAAGAATCCGAGTTCCGCGCAGTGACGAAGGAACGTCTGCAAGCTGGAGGTACATCAGTGAGAATTCGCAAGAGCACATAATCATATACTCACATGACCTGGTGAACTTGTACAGGCATATTCTTTTGTGGGTTAATATATGCGGCTTGGATGATTAGTGACAAACTCACAGGTTCTTCGTTGCGAGGATTGCCTGAGTGCGACAAATAAAGGTCACTTCATCAGATTATCAGAAATTTCGTACCTTGCGATGGCAGAAGAGTATTGTACGGCTGGGTCAAAAATATAGGCGACCCAGGACTTGCTTGTCGGGCAGTCTCGAGTTCATGAATACGTCGTTCGACAGTGGCTATCTGCTCTTCTAACATCCGAGTCTTCGTCATACCTTGACCATAATATTCGCATTCGTTAAAAATGGAAGAAGCCTCGCATTGTCCGCATTTTGGCTGTCTTCCATCACACCTCTAGAGCTGAGTGTTAGTGAGCTGAAGATAAGATACAGGTATGTAACTCACAATCTTCCGGTGCCTACATCGTAATAAGCAGGGCATAAATATCGTTCCAAATAAAGCTAGTGACTTCATTTACCTGCAGTTAAGACACGCGCCGCCCTTGGGAAGCTGCGGGGTGCGAGAAGAAGTGTTACTCCGGCGAGAGCTTGAAGCCATGTCAGTTGATGAATATTTCTTCATCTTCCGCCCTCCCTATATACCCGTCACAATCCCACATAATCAGCCGAGATATCTATGCCCCGGTAATTGGTCGAATCGTTTCACTCATTTCCAAGACACGTAGTCGAGAGACGGGTGTGAGATAAAATGGCACGAACGGACCAGTGTACTGGTGTTTTGCAGTTATGGGCGCCGGGAAGAACTCGCAATTCCCGAAGATCAGTCCATCCCGAGACGGCGAGTAGACTGTGTCCTGAACAACGAAGAGAAGTGACGAGCGCCGTAGACTCATTGCTAAGGTTTGGGTGTCGAATAATCTAAGCAAAGCCGACGTTTCATCTAAACCTGCAAAAATCATTGACTGAACACGGACCGACTCTGTTGATTGGTGGGGAACTGCAGACTTTCTGATGCCAGTGCCTCGAATATAATCTGTAAGAGTCGCTTCCAACGCCAAGGAGTTATTCGATAAGCGTTAGCAGAGTGTGACGAGAGAATAAAATTGTGGTTGGATCCTGAGGATCCTGAAGATATCAAACGACCAACAAGAGTCACAGAGGTGAACTGACTTCGACTGCGCTGCCCCAGTGCTCGACTTCGAAACGTCGTGACCATCACGTTTGAGGGTGACGTTCAATATCAGTAATATCAACCCTGATAGTACCGCTTTGTCATACTATTTGCTCCTCCACATATGGCAACTTCTTTATAACTTTAGGAGGACGACGAGAGGATGGTACGGAATGCTTGACCTCTAGCTTCATCTTGTTGGTGACCATGTATGATCATGTACGAGTATCTCTCACCGCCAGGAAATACTGTGCTACAAACGAACGGAGTTCAGTGGCATCATTCAAAGAGCTCGTATATTACGATGATCATCGGTATATTGCAAGTTGTGGCAACTTGTTTTAGCAAAGCATTGATATAAACCGTTTCGGAGATCAGCGAAGTGAATTATAAATCCAGATGTGCCATAGCCCCAACAACTTGAGATTAGCGAATCAAGGAGAACATGGGCAGTGGTCAGTCTCAGGTTTGGGAATCGGAGCGCACTTGAAACTAATACATTTTTATCACTATTAACTAGATCCTTAATGTACAATAAAACCGGGTAGCTGGAAACCCATCCTCCCTGCTACCCCTCAAAAGAACCTGATTGCGATACAGTGGGTATAAGCGATACTTAATACAATGGTTGGCGCATGTGAGAAATGCGTATGTGCGTTATTTATCATAGCTTATCATAGCGAAATCGACATATCCGGGTCCAAAGATACCGACGGGCTTCGTCTGACCTCCCCGTTACGAAGGATACGGTACGGATGTACCCTGGCGCCCTTGGCAAGGGGTCGGTGGGGTTGACGAAACTGCTGCAGAGCTGGTCCGACAAGAAAAAGAGGCCTGGGAAGGTGGGGCGTGGTCTGCAGACGTTTGGAGTGAGGAAAGTGGTGGAATATACGGGGCGTCTGGAGGGGGGACAACAACAACGGCGTCTGCAGCATCCAAAGGACATGGAACGAGTCGAAGGCGGATCCCAGCGGGGAATGTCAAGGAGGGGTATCGCGAAGATGATGGAGACGGTGTCCGTGAAGATGTAGAAGAAGAGATGGAGGCTTGTCGGTGCAAACGACGATTTTGATGCACGGCTCTAGGGCACGACTGTCCATAATAATCAGAATGAGTTATTCTAAGGCAAAATGTTGACTTACTAGGTAATTTAGAGGTTTGTTACTAGTATCAACTTCCTTGCACAAAGGAAGAAGGTCCAAGCTATGAATCGACGGAAGTGTGGGTCGTTGTGAAGGCATAGAGAGGTGTGAATTTTGGATTGAATGTAATGGTCCACCGGGGCTCGAGGACCAGCCTTTTGATTTTGAACAAAGTTTGAAGACGAAATAGCAAGAACGGGAGGGAGGATGGAAATATTGGTACGAAACGAGCATAGTTACTTTATATCACTCAGAAAGAATCCGGCCGACCCATTCATTGTAAACAAAAGCATCGCTTCAATAGCCCGCGTGCGCACAATGAACGTTGAACATAAACCATTGTTTTGTCACATATGTCACAATGTGTCACAACTGTCTCAATTCGGAGTTTATATTGGGTTTATACTTCGAATGAATTTAGTTATCAACTTCGAGTTGTTAATGTATTTGTTTCCATTCGTATAGCACTTTGAGATGAAGTTCCTTGAAGTTTCGATTAAAATTCGATTTTTAGCATCAAGCTGTGAGGACCAAACGCACTTTCAAGAAGGTCACCGCGCAATTTGAAAATGCGGACTTTGAAACGCGCACAATGGCCAATTTTCTATTCTTCTCGCGAAGCTTGTCTATCGACTTGTTGCTTCTTGCGCCGCCGCCTCACAAAAGTCCACCACCCTGAAGATGGCAGAGCTAATACCCAAAGTCCAAATAGTGAGCCTTGTTATCGGCTATTTTTCAATAATAAACACCCGTAATGAATCAGCCTTGTATTGCAGATGAGCGGAGCTTCTGAGGACATGTCAGCCGCGACATACAAAATTCATGACGAATCGCATACCATAGGAAATGCTCTGCGATGGATGATCATGAAAAAGTACGTCTGTTGTCACGGTGGTGGCCCGTCTGACATCAGGATTTCTAGTCCCAAGGTCGAATTTTGTGGATACAGGTATGCATCAAACTGTTCCCCATTCTTTCCTTTCTTTGTTCGTGCCCTACAAAGACAATTGGTCGCGTCGACGTTGCTCTCGGCTCTTTGTCGCTGCATAGATGACGCGCCAAGGGAGTTTATACGGCACCATCTTTATTGTCCTCATTGTGCTGATGCAAACGTCTAATAGCGTCCCTCACCCTTCCGAAAATTTTATACATGTTCGCATTCAAATGTACGGTACGTATCGTGACCTTTCGGGTGGAAATCCAACGCTCACATAGGGGTCCAGATCACCTATCCTCACTAACCGCTCTCTTAACGGCCCTGGATGATCTCGATGCTCTATGCTCCACCATTGATACTGCATACCGATCAAGTCTACAAAATGACATCTATGAGCGATGGGAGGAAAAATCTTGATGCTAGTGTATAGATACTATGCAAGATTTCGTGCTCCCCTGTGACACGAAGGCAGGCCTCTTGCTCGTATGGCAATAGTAGACATTTTTCCAAAGGTCACGTCGATTATCGGATTTCCGTCATCTTGTGCGAAGAATATGTCCACTGAACAATGGATAAAAGCAATTGTCGCACCGTACTACAGCTCCCGTCCAGTCTTCTCTCCGTCATCGCCTCCTTTGGGTATTTCTGCCTATGCTGGATCGGTTCATATTAAATCGTGTGCACTTGGTGCATTGTCGTCATCATTATACGACGCCGAACTTAACCTGCTTACCACTGCCATGTGAACCAAGTCGTTACTTTCTCGATCACCCTGTTCTTACATGTCAGGTCAAGCCAAAGGGCGCTGTACGAATGTTAATACCAATCACAGCCGTCCCGGTGTCTGACAAGGAAAAAGATGCAGCATTTCGTTGATACGCCTACCTTCATAGACTAGGGACTCCGTTTAGATTGCTTCACCTATGAAATCCTTGGAATTACTGATTACCTCTTATCCGTAGACCCAAATGCGATCTCGGCGGTCTCATTCTCTTGTCCGTGATTCGCTGTTTTTGGACTGGCGGTGTTCCCGTAGCCCATAAGCTGACCTGAACTACATCCGGCGGTGCTCTTTCATTGTTGACCAGATGATTATCGCTGATCCGAAAAGCCAAACCTGTCCTTGACTCGTTCTCGTTGTTGGTACAGCGCTCACAGTGGATGTGGTTGCGAGCGTTTCATGAGTTGATAAGAATGGTGAGCGCGACTGAATTTTTTTTAGATCGGGAACCAGTACAATCTCCCAATTAACAAGACCATAAGATGGAAATTGTTCGACTCATGATGTCTCCAAAAAGCTCTGTTAGTATTCGCACTGGATATAGCTCGGCATCCAAGGTACGCCGTAACGAAAGATGTGGATAGACACATCGGACGCCTCCGAACGTTTTGGTGTTGTTTCCTTGATCAGCGTTGATGGAGTGCCGACGTCTATACGGGCGATGTTCGTGCCCAGTGTATGTATGGGGTTATCCATATCTCAGCGTTTCTGACCTGTTCTTCTTGTAACGTTGAGCAGTTTGGCTTTGCATTTCCAGGGGCGGGGACCTCTCGCTACATGTACACATCTTGTATCTACAAGCAGTCAAATCGGATTCCTATTTTCAGAGGTTATTTACAACTGTCCACCGGCTTCCTGCTATTAGTGCCCATCGGAGGGCCTTGACATTCGGTTCACTATAACTCCAAGCGAGCTGATACTGTCTAGACGAACAAATGGAGAATCCTTTGATTTTGTCCTTACGCCTGTATTGCCTGGCAATGCACGATGTCGGAGTCGAGTCCAAAACGAGCCCAGAACATCCTATTTACCTGCAACACCTGGATTCTCAGCCCTTCAACCTCATCCGTGTGGAAACACAGCAATGGTACACGGACCAAAAGATGGGTCTTGATAAGGCGGTGTGTCCCCGTAAAGGAATGTACATAATTTACCGACAGAATTCATGGAAGCTGTCCCCATGCATGAATGACCTGGCACTTGGGCTGGTCTCACTTCGGAGTTCCGGACCGCACTCAAGTGCCCAATTAGCAATCACCCCCTTTTCACTTACATACGGTCACCATAACGAACGTGCTCGTCGATTGTCTGGCAACAGCAGTCATCTACGCAAAAGATGGTGACATATATCACATTCAGCTCTTCTTTCCTGACTGATATTCATGTAGTACGCAGACATCGAAAGCCTCGTGCTATCTGGAGAGCTCTTCAACGGAACCTCGCGTTCCTCATCACCCATTCGAACACCATCGCCGTCTTCAGACAAAGGATGGCACGATGATGAGATAGATACAAGCAATGCCTTGGTACCTCCGGAGCCTCAGCAGGATTCAATCGGGATGGGTCCTGGGCGTACTGGTGTCAAGGGTGTCATCCGCGACCGCAACGAGGCCGAAACCCTTGAACGACAACGACAGGCCAATGAGATGGCGGAGCTGAGGACCCGCATGGAGAAGAGCAGTCTTGGAGGGAAAACCTACTTGGAAGAGGAAAGAGAAAAGGCGGACAGGGGTGATGAGAAAGTGGATCCATTGGTGAAGAACGAACGCGAGCGAAGAGATTTCTTTGGGATGGTAAGGCAAGGAAAGTTCGGACATCTGAGGGAAGTTGGCGTACGCAGTTTTGTCCAGGCCGTTGAAAAGGAGGATCAAGGAGCCTGGGTCATCGTGCACATCTACGAACCGGTGGGTGTCGCTCCACCGCTGTCTGCACCGGGAACTAAATACATTACAGTCGTTGGACAGATGCTATACTCTTGATGAGACTCTTTCCCGCCTGGCTCGGTCACATCCGGACACGAAATTTTTGCGTTGTCGGGCATCGGCCCTCGGTTTCGCTTCAACTGGTTCATCAATGACCAAGTCAACGACGCACCGACCGCCTCGTCCTATTCACGATGACGACGACGACCCCTACAGCGACAAGGACGATGACCACGACGAAGACGAAGACGAAGACGAATATGAATCAGATGAGCAGGGTTATGCTGAAGAAGACGTCGACCTTGACATGCTTCCTACCATGCTGGTTTACCGAGGTGGCCAGCTCATCCACAACTGGGTACGAGTGGACTGGGAGGCGGGAGCCACAGGTATTGATGAACTACTCGAGAAGTGAGTCCGAGGAACCACACTGTCTATGTTCATATCATGACCTCACCAACAGGAATGGCATATTGCGCCCAGCTGAATCCTTTCTTGGGAGAGATAATTTTGGTCTTCCGAGTGATGACGAAGACGATGACCTCCTCTGGGACGAGGAGAGATGATAGTCCTGGACGGGATTTACTTATAGGCATATTGGAGAGCCGGTAAGCGTTCTACCATTACCTCTTCACTGCTTATCATCAAGTCTATGTCAGATTTCTCTTGTATCTCCTCGCTTTGTATATCTTTAGTGGTCAAGTGCATCGTTGGTTCAAGGATCAAAAATCCTGTCTCTTTGCCGGTTTCCAGGCTCCACGTCTCAGACTGCATCATCGCCTAGTCTGTTCAGTATGTTCTCCTCAGGTAACGCCCGCAATTCTTGGCTATGGTTCAACGGCAACATCTAGAGTTACCCCGCCCGTGGACTCCATTACAAGAGCGGATTTACATTTACCTCCGGTGGTCAAGATTGAAGCTACATACCTCAAGCTCTAATGATCATTTTGGGAAGATAATCCCAGTGCCGTGCCACGACACATAGACGAACGTGCTCCCGTCATTGCACCTTCGGTACATACCTAAGACGAAGAAAGAATTAAAATCTATGCTGGATTCGTTTCACCATCCGCTAGGTCTCGCTTTTCTCACAGCGAGGATATAAATCATCTCTCGCACTCAGCACGAAGTTACCTTGCCAGCCTTCTTCGTACGACGCAGACTACTTAGATAGACTGGACTCAGAACTCCCCAGTCATGTTTTGTGTCATGATGTAACCAGGGACTCCGGTTACTCACCGGCTACTTCCGGGATACTCAGATAGGCAGTAGCGTACGATTCTCTCTCTCTAGTTTACCATCACCTGTATCGTCTCGACGTCTCTTACAGAGCTCGTTCCTCGCACTTCGTGTGATTGAGTTCTTCAGTGTTGCTCTGTGGCTACGAGCCTACACATGATCTATCAAAATAATCAAAACGTACACAGATTAGCTCAATCCACGGGAAAGAAAGAGGTAAAAAGTGCGAGAATCCCACGAGTGGCTCTTATCACCGATCAACAGCACAATAGGTCTTTACTCTTTACCCCTCAAAGCCTCAAGCATGACAATCGCGTCCACGCCCTTTGACGTTGTCGAAGATGCTGATGTCATCCTTCGATCTTCCGATAACGTTGAATTCTTTGTCCTGAAAGCCTTTCTCTCCTTCGCTTCCTCTTTCTTCAAGCACATGTTCTCGGATGGTAATCCAGATGAAATTAAAAACGGTTTACCTGTCGCTCCAGTAGTAGAGACAGCAAAAATTATCCGAAAACTTCTTCTCTTCTGCTATCCCGGCGAGCCTCCACTATTCGAAGACGTCCAGGAGGTCACAGAACTCCACGAGGCTGTTTCCAAGTACTGTATGGACAGTGTCGAGAAACGCATTCAGAAATCCCTCCTCAAATCACCCCTCATTCTTCAGGAGCCTGTGCGTCTCTTCGCCATCTCGGTTCATTATGGTTGGCGAGAAGTATGTGAGGCAGCCGCTAAGAACACCCTTTTTCATCCCGCCAGTGATCATCCATCCATCAAGGAGCTTAGGCTGATCACAGGTCTCGATTACCGGCGCTTACTGGATTACCATAAACGATGCAGCGCCGCTGCTGAAACGACAGTGCAGCGCACGTCTTCCTCGAGGCGCAACATGTATTGGAGAGGAATACCTGAACCTTCATCTTCGTGGTGGTGCGCTGGCTCTCCGTGCTGCTCAGATGCACGTTCTAGCGGGTGTTGGGTGTCTGTGGCACCGTGGAAGGAGTATCATGTCCATCTGTGGTTGATGCGGTACTTCGAGGATGTAGCAGAGAGGCTGAAGGAACGACCTAGGGGGAAAACAGTGATGGATGATGATATTGTGAACAGGTTGCTTAATAATATTAACTGCGCACCGTGCAAGGCGACAATGGTAACGGAAATGCGTATTCTCACGGATCGACTGTCGTTCGAGGTGGAAAAAGTGATTTCGCAGGTAAATCTTGAGCACTCCTTTGGGTTCGGTCTGCTTATAATTAAATCTGAGTGTAGGTCCCGCTTGAATTGGATCTACCTTCATCCTCGAATATGTAGACTACTTTCAAACTTTACTGGGTTTCCTATAGATTTTCCACATAGCATATGTACATAATCAGTGATATGACGATGACACGGAAGCTGATCCGAGGCAAGCCGATCATGTAGTCTAAACTTTTATCCTGTTCCCAGCGTTCACTTCTATTCCCAAGCGGTGCGCGCAGTAAAGAATGGTCAAAGCTTGCGAATAAGGTACCTCGCCGAAAACCTATCACTTACTGACGATCTCGTACATATAGCATCAGTTTCAGCATGAGCCCAAACGTTGATGGCCCTTGAGTGTTGCTCAATTGTGATTTGGTTGCCTTGAACCCTGACCATGCTTTGGTTAGTTTAGAGATGGGACTAACCTCTCTGTCTTCCAATATCATGGCCTTTTCCCCTGTCTGCACTCTCCCTTTCGCTTCAAATCCAGACATTGATGGCATAGGAATACGTGTTGCGACTTATCTACAGCTTTTCATAGGTATAATCACTCTCGCTGTCTCTCCACGTAGGGCTGTCGACTCGTGGTGGGCTGCTATAGTAACCTCCCTTGGGCTGCAGATAGCTGCAATCGTGGATTACAAGCAGCTGTCGCTGTATCATGCGCTCATTGTAACTTGGCTCGCTTTCCCCGTTCTCGTCATGTCATCCTTCTACGGGTTCTTGTCATGGACGGAACGACTCTCTTACGAGATCAGGCTGGGCATTAGTGTGCATGGGGTCACATATGTCGCGTATGTTCTCTGTCACTCTCCTATTACTTACTGTTCATGCTCGTGCGTTCAGGGTCAACCTATGGATATGGATCACTGCGCACTCTTTTGGCGTCCAGAGTGAATGCAATGATCAGGTCAAGTTTGCGTTATTTGTGCTCGCAAGACCAACAGGATGGATACGTTACTTAGTCCTTTACATACGTGCGTACTCAAACAAATTCATTATGAGCCTTCTTGATCTTCGTCTTTTATAACAGTTGGCGTGTGGACCCTTGCAATTGTTGTCCCATCTACTGTCGGGGTGGTTTTTCTATGTCTTCGCTTCGCCGCTCGCTTCCACCCGGCCCTGCGAGCCTGGTTTGATGCCAGCCCGACACCCATATTCACACGAAAGCCTTCCCTCAATGCCGTTGTTGCTGCGCTGACAGCACTCAACCTCTTCTCTCTGGTACTCAGCACATGCATGGTTGAGCTAATGGTATCCTCTAACACAGATATCGTGGAGGGTGGAAACGATAAATGGACCTTCGGACAGGTCATAGCGATGATTCTAGTGGCAGGGCCTTTGGTAACCCTTTGGAAGACAGTATTGGAGGAAATGAGACATGTGAAGGGGGATTCGTTGGAGCATAGGCCCGCAGCCGCGTTATTAAATATCATAAAGATGAAATGGGGGAATATGAGGACCAGGGGAGATGATCTGGAGAGGCGAGTCATTGTCATTTGTTTTTGACTCGTAAGGTTTAACCGAATAACCGCCGGACTATAGCACAGATGCACGCTCGAAGACTTTAGGATCAGATTATGAACTTCAAGATGTCGACCCCACGATAATTGACCAGCCAAGAGCATAAGGGCGATTACACAGACAACATGTAATCTATATGCCAGTACTGATCTTCACATAAACGCCGAGTCACCTACGCGTAGGACTTGATCAAATGTCAAACCAACAATATTCCTGTACAGCGACGAAAAACCGGGCAATGGATGTAGGGGCGACGCCTTGGTAGGGAAAAATGTATTCAAATAAGTTCGAGGAAAGGTATAATTGATTCTGTATGAATCAAGTTACCCGAGGAGGGTTTTATAGACCGAGATTACAGAGCAGTGCGATAGTCCAGGGAAAGTGGCGTCCGACGCTTCCCATCTTCCTTGTGTCTAGATGGGAAGCGATGGAAGCGATATCTGCGTGAATACCTTATTTGTAGGGTACGAGTATATTGTTAGATTAGATTAGTATTCGGTGGAATGAATTCTGTGGTGTCTTTTGTACATAATGAACTCTGCTGAGGCTTCAAAGATATATACAGATTTCGAGGCAGCAACTGGAGGAATAAGAGAGTATAACGATGAAATGGTGCTGGGAATTTTTGTCTGATATCAATCCGTCTTCCATTATCGCCAGTTTCATAGTGCCATTGATGTCACGGCTTGGAACGGTCCAGCTGAATTGGGAACCAAAACTCGACCAGAACGTTCATTTTCACATCGCGATCAGTTGACATGTTGAACTGAGCCCAACTTGGGTTTATGGTTTAGCGGGCGGTGTATGTATTGTGGCGGAGTTTTCAGCGGTTACAATGCGGGTGATCCCACTATATGCATTACCAGAACCCAGTCACGAGAAAACCGCATAATGACCCCCCAGAAGCACGAGCAGTTCACATGAAAGACACGGGCTTGTGCGTTCGTTAAAACCCTTTAGCTTAACTACGATTGGACAAGAGCTGTTAGCCAAAGCGAGTGCCGATTTGGATCATAGAGATTAAAAATGGGATCGTTTGACAAGAGGGGGATACAACGTTGCTAAACAGGCTGTTTGTCAGGAAATAATGGCCCGAAATCGGAGTACTTTTGTCATCGCTTGGATCAAGAAAAAAAAAGCAAAAATGAGTATACAGCCTGGGCATTCTAGATGATTTTGTATGAAATGATAAGGGCACAGTATGTTTATTTTGGCTGGACGAACCTTCAACGAAGGTGGGATCGGTCAAATCTGAGATCTTCCGACGTTGCCATTACCAGATTAGGATTGATACACAATGACACATGACCGCGGGAAACTCGTCTCCAGTCCCTGTCGTTTCTTGGATCTTGACGCCGCGCACGACGTCGACGGCGACGTGCAAGCCATCATGGCCAGCGTCAACGGCCATTTCTCTTCTGCTGGCGACATGAAATCTCACCTCCAGAGTCTTCTTGATAGCAAGGAGCAACAGCTCCAGCAAGCCGCGACTTTTGGGCAGCGGGTTCTCGCCCAACGAATGGAACTTGAGGATCGTATCCGGCAGCTACAAGAGGTCGAAGCCGACAAGACAGACGATGAAGACGTTGAACCTGAGGCGGTACTGAAATACCAGGAGCTTACTGATATGATGATGAGCTGGGATACGGAGAATGCATTACTTTCAAGTGCATTCAACAGTTCAGTACGTCCTACACCATGTCGCCCTCATTTTGCTCTAAGAGCTTCTGATAGATGGAATGCTCCTCTATTGCCGTCTCCGACTTACCTCGAGACGAACCAGAACGTTCGCGTACTTCAACCAACACTTCCGCTGCACAATCTCGGCGGGCCAAGAATGCTGCACATCGTGCCGACGACGTCGGTGCGTATGGAATACTTTCCTTTTCTTTTGCTTACAATTCCACCAGAGTTTGCTTTTGAAATTGGCAGTGGTCTTCTCAATGAAGTACGACGGCTTCAAAGTCTTCTCGGCGAGCGAGACAAGGCCATTCAGGACATGAAAGAGGAGAAGGATGATCTTGATGGTACATTGGAGTCACTTCGAACCGCTCTCAAGCAGCAAGAAGCAAATGCCGGTACGTCCTAGCTTATCTTTTCTCAGTGGCTACTAAATTTTAGTGGTAGACAAGTACAAAGAAGAGAACTGGAATCTCGAAGTTAGCCTCCAGGACCTCCGTACCCAACATGCCGATACCCAATCCACCGTTCAGCGCCTTGATTCAGAACAAAAACGGCTCACGAAACTTCTCGCTGCCTCCCATGACGCCTCCGAGCAGTACAAAAACGAAAATGCCCAGCTTCAAAGTACTATCGAGGACCTCACAGCAAAGCATGAAACTGACGTGGCTTTGGCACGCAAGCATGCCGCGGCTTTGGCGCGGGATAAGAGCGATTTGCAACAGGCCATAGATAGGCTCAAAGCAGAGAAGGAAAGGGCTGGCAGGAAGTTTGGTCGGTTCGGAAGTCCGGCGACCCCTAACACCACCGAGGGACGTCCAGACGAGGACTATCTTACCCCCGCTGGGTATGGTGATGACGTTTTCAGCAGCGCTGCCTCGACAAACAGGAGAAACAAGGCAGACACTTCGTTACTGTTTGGCGATGAAATGGATGGAGACCTCTCACCCGATCAGAGCCCTATGTCAAGATCACCATTCCTTGCTGCCAATCATCCGCTCAACGAGATTGAGGTTCTGAAGCAACGTTTAGCGCATGCACACCGGCAAATTGCGACGTTGAAGGGTGGGTTAATGCGGGAAAGAATGGGCAAGGGTAGAGGGACTCCCGTGGAAGATGAAGATGAAGAGGACGGCTTTGAGGACGTCGATGATGAGGACGAAGAAAATATCAAGCCGCGCTCTTCGTCGACCAGATTGAGGGGTAGAGGACGGGGACGTGGCCGTGGTCGTGTGCGAGGACGGGGTCCAACCTTGACAGAACGCCTTATGGCTGCTGATAGTCCATCATCGGTCAGTGAGTATTACGATGACGCGTCCCCGACGCGCCGTGCTTCTGTACCTCCCATCCATTTCCAAGGCGCGGACGAAGACGACATGGAGGATGTCACCGGAGAACCGGACGACGACGAAGATATCTTCAAGGCCGATATCGAGCCGTCAGCAGAGTCACCATCGAGGCGTTCAAGTGTAGCAAGTGTAGACGGTATGGATCCTATGTTCGCCAACGTCCTTCGGCGAACGCCGTCAACCAGTTCCATACCTCCCAATACTAGTCCTTTACATCAATCTCTTCTTCGTCGTTCGACAAGAGGCGGTACTGTCGGAAGAAGATCCAGAGGCGGTGGTGCGTTCCCAGAAGGAAGACCTCCTTCGTTAGTTGGACAGCCGGAAGATTTGACTTTTGCTCTCAGTGGTGTATCTCCTCACGGCGATAGCATTGGTGAATTGGTACAGGTTGAAACAGCCGAGTTTGGTTGTCAAACCGAGTTTGAGGAGGAACAGACACTGGAAGCCATACCCGTATCTGTGAAAGAGAGTGCGCATATGGGAATTCAATCTGAACCAGAAGCCCGCCCCGCAATCATCTCGACGTCTGATATGTCTACACAAACTGACGTCGAGGAACCTGCTTCCAAACCTGCTTTGCGCGATGCAGGAATGGGCACAGATCCCGAGCCTTCTCCCTTGATGGTGCAAGCAGAATCCCAGACTCCTCGCGTCTCTACAAAGGAGATCGATGTCCAAGCCTCGCTGCCGCCTGCTGCCGATTCACTAGTGCGGCGTACTACCATCACGCAACGTGATTCCCCTGCCAGTGGTTCTCGTTCCCGATTGGCGTCCAATGCAACCGTTACTGCCAGCAAGACTTCACCGCGTACTTTCATTGGTTCTTCCTATGGAGAGGAGTCAGACGCAGATACAGAGACAGGTACCGAAACCGACATGGAAGATTATCAAGATGCTCGACAGAGTATCATGTTGGGATCGACACCTTCACAATCAAGAGATGACTTCCACTCCATTCGAATGTCTTCCATGCATTCCGAGTCCAGAGATGATTTCCATTCTGTGATGACCATGACCGACAATGAATATGAAGACAATGACGACGATGATACTGATGCCGAAAGCATCAAGGCATCGAGATTGGCTAGTACTTTGCCTTCTCCTATCCCGGCATTTGTTTCCCCGCCTGTCTCATATGATTCCAAGTCTATCGAGGCCATTTTGATCGGAGAACCCCCTGCACCACCACCGAAACCTGAACTCAAAGAGATGTCCATTCAAACCGACGAATGGAAGCCACCTCTCCCTACACCAGCCGTTCCCGTAGCTCCTTTACTTTACCGAGTTGGATCTACTTCCCAACAGTTCCAGTTCATTCCCCCAACCTCTCCGCAATTAGCGTCCAATTCCAACGGACCATCAACTATACCTCCCGCCGTCCCCACTCCTACTTCTCATATATTCAGAGATGCCAGTGTTCGTCATCAACGCACCTCAACGGATTCCCGTAGACAGTCTATTGAGTCTGCACTTTCGTCCATCTTTGATGATGGTCCGACCCCGAAGGGGCAGGCAGCTACGCTGGCTGTTGTAGACAAGTCTCGTCCACCAATGATGGCACTGCCCCCACCTCCCCGAGCTCCCCCGCCCCTGGGAAGCATGCCTCCTCCGAGTTTCATACCCGAGCGAAGAATACCCACTACCTCAACTGGAACGTATGATGTTCCTCCTCCACGTCCATCATCGCCCCCGCCTCTAGAACTCATTCAACGTGCAATTACCCCCACTTTCGGATCTGTGCTTTCAATCAGCAGGACTACTTATGGTCCTCGATCACATGGATCTAGCATGCCACCTATGCAACAAGGGCTGCGTCCTCTGCCATCTACAAGTAGCTTCCGGTCTGCCGCGAATGCTGCAGCCTTGTACGTCCCTCACGGCCGAACCGGAAGAGAAATGTCGACGACGTCACTAGTAACCGACCGGTCGCCTCGATCATCGATGTCCTCTGATCAGAATCCGTTCCGCAATCCAACAACGCCCCAGAATAGGGCGACGGATCTTCCTGGACGTGGAGAAGGTCATCCCACGGATCCGGCGATCATCCATTCTATCACGCAAACAATGATCGGAGAGTTCTTGTACAAATATACGAGGAAGACCATCGGGAAAGGGTACGGAGAGCGAAGACATCGGAGGTTTTTCTGGGTACATCCGTATACGAAGACTTTGTACTGGAGTTCGGCGGACCCGGGATCATCAAATGTATCAGAGTCCAGTGCAAAGAGTGGTATGTATTTCCCCTCATTCCGTACCGTGTTTCCCGGTTAATCTGGTGCTTTAGCCTATATCGAGGGGGTGCGATCCGTCCTAGATCCTAACCCGATGCCTCCAGGCTTGTATCAGTATAGTGTCGTGGTGTCTACCCCTCAGAGAGAAATGAAGATTACGGCGCCGACCAAGGAGCGGCATGACATATGGCTTAATGTTTGTCTGATTACTTGCTAATCTCTTCCGATTTTCAAAGCTGATCCCCCTTTAGGCTTTGAAATATCTACTGTCAAGACCAAACGCCATCAATGTCAACTCTCCGGGGAATGCCACTACAGTTCCTGACAGTCCGATGTCTCTTGGTGACTTTGCTGATGACGACCGACGCCCTATCATGTCGAGCCCACAAAGTCAGAGAAGTGGACGGAGCACGCGGCGCGCAGTAGACATGTTCAACACGACACCAAGAGGCAAACGGAGCAGATCGCAACTTTCTGTTGGTGGTTCCATTGGCAAGCGGTCCGGAACACCGGCTGCAGAGTACCTACGGTGGAGCGGTCCGGAGAGTCCTTACAGCCCGACGAAATCCTTCGTGGACGTGCATGGAGATGACGAGGACCTCGATTTTGAGCTGCATGGCGAGTCTGACGACGAGAATGGTTTTGAAGGGTTGGAGAATGTGCGTGCTTGTTGTGATGGAAGACATACCGTAGGCCATTCTGGGCGACATCATAACCACCACCATCATAACGGGAGCGGACTTGATCCTAATGCCGCTGGTCCTTCAGAACAGGCTCGGCCCGTATCACCGTCTGCGTGGTCGTTCCGATCGAGCACAAATTCTCACGAAAGTGGAAGCGCAACCCTGTTTTCATGGGGTCGGAGTGACGGCAAGCTTCGATTTGGGTCGCGACGCTCTGCGAAAACGTCAGTCACGTAGTGATCTATCATTCTGCATTCTCTGCATCGGATTGGAACAGTTGATTTAGTACATGGCAATTTCATTTTTTTCCCCTTGTTTCATACTACACATACGTTGCTCTGCCTATGCTCCTTGATAATCCTGTTGCCATATTATGACTATACCATTATCGCTCCTTTTTTTTTCCAAGTTTTCTTCTCTCCCGAAGCGCATTTCGTTCGTATTATCCATTTATCCATTTCTTGTGTTACGACATAATACTGAATATCCATACGCTCCTTCAAGAAAACTCAGTCATCCACATTTTGTCACTATTGAGTGATCCCAGACGGCCTGCTTTTGTTCCCTGGAAAAAGAGTACCACCTGGATGGGAGTTAACACGCGTTTCCCTTGTAATCCCTCAGATAGAAACCTTCTTTGCCCTCAAGTAAGGCGAAGAGCATGTACTTTGCACACTCTTCGGGGGCAGTCGTGAACCGCCGGATGATGAAATCCACTAGAGGCAAGAATAGGCGCAGGAGGCAGTAAGAATAGTTGTTGACTCCGGCAGTATTGACAAACCAGGCCATATGTGCCTGAATACTATACACTTGGCATATTCCTGTTCGTAAATTATTATTCGACGTGATCACCTCACGATTAAGGCTTACTTCAACCATGATATCGTTGTATGGAGCACTTGCAATGCCAACCAGGTAGCCTCCCCGCCACGACTTTCTCACTCCTAAGTCATCACAATTGACGCTGGACGGGTACACTTGTGGCGGCACCAAGGAGTTAACAATGGAAGTAATTCGTGAATGATCTTGAACCGTCGTGAGTATTATCGTAAGCTCAGCAGCCTATCGATCCTCTCCTCTGTCTCATCTCTCCCAGTCCATATCTGGAAGTACCCTGCCGGTAAGACAAGGAAATTGACAGGCTTGTAGACAAGTTCAGATATCTGCTTCGTGAGGACCTCGATGTTGGTCATTAGCACCGCGTCGCAATGGATGAATTCACGTAGAACTGGGTCTTCTGCCGTGTTGGGAATAGACGCGAAGGTTTTTTCTGCGGTGGACCGATTACGGCCAATGATAATGAGGCCGTTGGTGTAGTGAGCGATGGCTTTAACCATCGCTTCGCCTATGCCTGAGGTCCCCTCGATGAAGACTGCGACGGGGGTGTAGGATGGTGACCATGATGTGTTAAAGTCTCGTACAACGGTAAGCTCTGGCATGCTAAAATTTGGAGCGAGTTACGCGAGCCATGTCAATATATATTGGGCGACGTCGCATATATACATTGAACGGCGCGTAGCGAGGCGGCGCGGCATGATGGCCTGGGTCCAAGGAAATTCTATGGACGTCAACTCTCCGACTTCTTTCTCCAATCTTGCTCCTCTTCCAAGCAATTTTCAAGCTCGAAATACTTCATCCGTTCTGTTTGGCGCCTTGGACTAATCAGTTCATCTGCTATGTCGCACCTGTATCACCACTGACCGGGACCGCCCCTTTCAACGTCTGGAAAGAACTCGGTAATGCAATGTTTTCTTCTACTGTTATTTTGGAGGAATCGCTTTTACAGCGCGTTATCCACGTAATAGTTGGTGAACGTCTCTCTGTTGCTCGCGAGGTACTAGTAGTCGCCTATAACGCAAGTTTAGGATCTCCCTCAATTCCGTCAGTTTAACTTTGAGAAAAGGTAATGTTTTTCATCCTGACTTCCTACGCCGGATAAATCTCTAAGTGGGTATATCTTGTTCCAAGCGGTAGGGTTGCATTGTGAACGAAAAGGATTACATCATGAGCAATCAGAAGCCTAAGAGAAGGGCGGCTTGGGAAGAAATGCGTATGGTGCTGGGCCCGTATCTATAGATGCTGTAATGCATTGGCGCCAGATATTTTACACCCACGCCGCAGGGTCTTTTATGAACATGCAAAGGGAACGATTAGTGGTGGCCAGGGGCATTCTTTAAATATCATAGGATCAAGAGATTGTCCACGGTAACATTTCCCTAGCAAAGGGATTGCTCTAGAACACAATACAACGATACCAAAGAGTTCCAGACAGCACGCGGGAACGTCGGTCCTGCAACAAGGAACACGACATCACGAGCCTCCTACGAAAGAAAATCAGCTTCGATCAATCCATATTGAGTTCGACCTGGACAGTAATGATAAGCCCAAAGAGAACATCAGAATGAAGAAGTAACTATACCTTCGAAATCCGTTCGATCTCATCTGTGAACAATCTCACGAACGGATAAATAATCCGGTAGGCACCTTTTCTCCACGCCTCAATCCTACTAGCTAAAATTCTTGATGAAAGTCTTCCCTGTGGGACCTTCGTCCATAGCAGCCTCTGACCGGGGTGGCCGTTTTGATACTTTCACCATGCCGTCAAGGGGGGTAGAAACCGAGGTATTCGCGCGCTCTGGGTAATATGTTTATAGCCAGGTCCTTCCAAGGGTCCTTCCCACAAGGCTGAGAACACCAGAAACGGCCGTTCAAGAACTCAGAGTCTGAGTTTCCTGCGAGTAAACGCGCAAGGCAATACTGTCTATAGTGGCTAACGTGTGGACGATGATAGTTTTTGTGTTCATTGTTGCGAGTCATAACGTAGTTCCGCTTGTCGACGTTGGGGACAGCAAGGGCCCGCTTGGCCGCTTGATTGGTGACAGTTTTCCAGCCAGGAAGATGGCGGTGACTACAGACACCTTCATCGCTGCACAAGGGATTAATTTAGAAGAAGAGAACTCAGCGTTGTTGGTGTTGGAAAGATTACGAACCTTTTCCAGGATGTAGCACTGTATGGCGTTATCGGAGCCAAAAGGAAATTTGTCCCAGGGAGCCTCGCGCCACTCTGGCGCCACGGTGATATGCGGTAAGCTACTTGCAGGGTCTGATATTTGCGCGGGTGAGAAGACGATGGGTAGGGGAACAATTCTGATAATTCATAAGGTCGAAAAATTATCCCCGTACCAACGAAGATATCCGCTTCTTGGGGATTATTGTAGGGGAGCACCAGCAAAGATTTGTGGGCTAAGGTCTTTCGCTGGAAATGACTCCGAGGCAGCATGGAACAAGCAGAAACGGAGCCCCGTCCATTGGCTTAAGTAGTCAGGACAAGCCTGCTGATTTTCGTATGATGAGAATCGTAGTTTTTCTGTTCCTTATCCATGAAACGCTTGCCCAGTGTATAAAAGTGTATGTGAATATCTGCCAGGATCCAGAAACATACTGCCGCACGACGGCCCGGGCGAAAACTGCTTCTTAGAACAAGACTGGCTGGACCCTATATGCCTGGCAAGTCGGAAGTTGCGATCCGCTAAGCAATGCCTAATCGTTGGATTTGGATGTCAAATCCATCGTTGTCGAAATTGGACGTTCGACAGTTTCGGAGCGCTTCAGAACTTGAAGTCGGGCCGTAAGCTGGAATTCGAGGCACGTGTTAGTGCTTACGCCACATGGCTTTCCGGACCGTTCGCCACTGGCCACCTCCATTCTCAGTGTCCTTTTACGACTGAAAGGTATCTCTATTCGCACACGTCGCTAATACTCTTACGTGTGATTTCTGTCTTCTGGATGTCTGTCGCAGAGCCCTCTACAAGATCGCTCACTGTCGGAACTCCATTCGAGTACAACGAAGGGCGTGAACCGGACACCGTAATTTTGTCCTCAGACGAAACAGAATTTTATATCAAAAGAGAATACCTCACAGCTGCTTCACCGTTCTTTGCGGGGCTTTTTCCCCCGCAAAATACTCCAGTAGAAACGCGAAATGGGCTCCCAGTAGCTCCCTTGCCCCATGATGGTCGATCGCTTAGAAGTCTTTTATATTTTTCTTATCCGATTGCCTTGCCAACAATGGAGATCGGGGACTTTGACGTAGCGTTTCAACTCGCCCACCAGTACTGTATGGACGGCATTCAGGAGCGCATCAAAAATGTTCTCTTGAACTCGGCCCTTCTTTCTCAAAAGCCGCTCGCTGTGTTTGCCATTGCTACATCCAATAAGTGGCAGGCAATTGTCATCCGGGCTGCGCGTTTTACGCTGCAGCACCCGTTGAAATTCACGGAGGAACCCATTGAAGAACTGCACCGTGTTACTGGCACGGATTATCATAACCTCTTGTCTTACATCGGCTGTGCGGAGATGCGGCGAAGAAAGTTCTGACACTTAGATTTCACCGTCCGATAACTCGACATGTGTCTAATCCCTCACTCGGTGCCGCAGCACCGTCAGTCCGTCCATCGTTGGCTGCACCAGCTCCGACACCACCATCTTTCCCATTTGGTGTTCCAACTTCTACTGGATTTTTTTTGGCTCAACCCTCCTCGTCCTCCCAACAGTGTGCTCCAATGTTCGGCAACCTGTACTGGATGGCCTCACTGCCGGCACTATGGATGATCGCCAGATCTGTCGCCGAACGGCCAGACCAAGATGCCCCATGCTCCACTTGCTCTTTCGTCGATGTCGGTCTTCCCGGCGGCCAAGTTGTGTATGCCTGGGTGGTCAGTTATATCAAGGACCTTTCCTCCAAAGTTAGTGAAGCGCCACTGAGCGGAGCCGTTCGAGATAATACTCTCCTGGACAACCTCATAAAGAGTGCTTCGGGATGCAGCCGATGCTCCGTAACTCTGTACTCTGACGTACAGAAAGCCTCATAAGTTATTTCTGATGCCATTTCGAAGGCCATTTCGAAGGTACGAATTTTTCCCTTGTGGTTCCGAAGGTGGACCGACTGTCGAACTTCTATGAACCTACAGGTACAGCTCAAAGTTGCCAAATGAAGGTGAAACCCTTTATCCATCGTATTTATCAATAAAGCTTCGCGCAGCCACCGTCTTCTCATATCATCATTTTGTATCATATTTTCGGTCTCAATCAAGTTCCTGGCTACCGAAATACATGTCTCTCTTTCAAAGCTCAGACTAGGGCACCTGTAACGGCATAACATGTTTGGGGCTGAGAAATGCAGAAAGCCTGAGTTTGTCTTCGATTCGTACCACTGATCCATTTAGATCCAGGTTTCCCTTCCTCAGGCCGAGTTACTCGCACGTAGAATGAATCTGGCTAACTACGTCGATCGCAATTCTCTTCATCACAAGATCACGTCATTTGTCGAGCCCGTAAACAGACCATCATACCGCTGGTTGCTCCCTGCCTGAAACGTAACCTCCGGTCTCTCTTGATACCGCTTTTGCAGCTGACTCACCCATCAAAACGAAACGTCCTCTGTAGCTTGTCAACCAGGAAGCGGATTTCTCATGTCACATCCAGCCTGACCTTCCGATAGGACAAACGGGTGATCTGCATCCGAACCGACTACTCGGACCTTGCACATTTTTCTAACTTCTAAGCAATGAGCCTATGAAACTCTAGGTATGTACATGCTCCCACCTGTGTCCCGATGATCAGCCTAACCGTGGAATTCCTTAAACCCATTAGGTGCAACTACTCCCAATTTCACTCTGTCAACACTTGCACACTGGAATTTTATCATCATGCCATCACAAAAGGAGGAAACACGGCGCGATCGGATACAGTATTGTTCTGATCCCTTATATTCGACGCGTTCTCATCTAGGCATGGCTGAGTGACACTTATCCGTTTGTACTTATACCCCCTCTTTCTGTTCCTTCTTCCTCCCTCCTCCCTTCCCGATGCCTGACTGGAAATCCCAGTCAGAAATTACCCTCGATAACAATGTTTTCATCAAGCTCATGCACGCGCTACTTGGGGTATATGTGTGAGTGCTGCCTTATGTCGTGGATGGGCCGCGTGGCTAATCTGCATGACGAAGTTGGGAATTTTTTGTTTCTCTCTCTTTCGATTGGGATTTCATGTCGAGACGAAAGAAGTTTCGTTGGCCCATGGTAAGTGGCATGTATTCCTAACGCTGGTCACTGTTCTTATTGTACCCTCAGATCTTCTACTTCCTCAATAGATACCTTCTCTTATTTGCGCTCGTCGGAATGTGCGTTCCGTTTCTCATCATCTATTTGAAACGAGGGTTCTTACCTTGGCAACAGTGCAATCGCGCTGAACATAACCAAGTGAGCAGTTGACGTTGTCACCTTCCGACATGGATTTGTTATTGAGACTGATCTTTAAGGGAAGTCAACTGTCAGGCGTTGTATACGTTCAATCAGGTGTGTTCCATAGTTCGCTTCCTCTGACGCCACACTGATCCCCTTGACCAGCTGGCCGGTAATGCCGCCGTTGGCCTGGCTAGTATCAACCTCAGTCTCCGAACGTGAGCAAAACTCCTGCCTTCGAGGGAAAAACTCGCCCTAATGCCTCTTCCATGCAGAGTAGCGGTTTACGCCCAATCGAAAATCCTAATTGGTGTTCTGATTGTGCTTATACTCGGCCACTGGTCTTTGATACTACAAGGTACGCTCTGGGGCTATACTTTCACCGGATTTTGGGCCCTCCAACACGAATTCTATACAGGCGTTCTCGTAGAAGCGGAATGGATTCCCGAGACGGAGACCTGCGTAATCACCTCGGCAAACAATACAATCCTCGCCGCAACTTTCATTTATTCTATGGTCTTCGACTTCATCATTCTTATGCTGAATACGTACAAACTCGTCGGGAGAAGAGGTCCTTCTGGCGGGAGCCAATTGACGAGAATGTTGTTCTCTGATGGTCTCGTATATTTTATTATTGCGTTAGTGCCGATCGAGCATCCTCCATCTAATAGTCTGATGAGACTAATAACGTTTTGTGATTTACAGGTTCCTGTCAAACTTAATAGCGACGGTTTTCATGTGCCTCAACCTCAATGCTATTATGAGTGTTATCTTCAATGTCCCTGCGGCTATCGGGAGCACCGTGAGCCGATCATCCCTTGTTTTTAGACTTGGCTTGCTTATCCATTTCCCAGATTGTCGCATGTCGTGCTGTGAGACGACTCAATAAATTCTACCACCGAGGCGTTGAAGTGTAGTATGTTCCTTCCTTACGTTGCCTGCAACCTGATCCGAGCGCCTTGACTAACGATGCTTCCATAACAGCGCCAGCGGGTCAGGGTCGAATTCAAACGATACACCACCGCGATTTCGAACAATGAATCAAGTTGCCGTAGGCGGTCGCACTCTGCGCGGTACATCCACTGTACGGCCGCCGCCCTCGGATCTGACGAGTGGGGTACACGTGCAAATGGAAACCTTCACTCGTACTGACAACTTCAATAACGGCACTGTCTCTCCCACCCATGTAACTTTCGAGGATGACTCCACTGACAAAAGGGGAAGCGTGATCGTGGATGACCTGGAATTTGGCGACTCCGAGAGCAATAAGCATGAGGAGTTGTAAAAAAATGCGTATCAAGGGGTGCAGGAGGGACGGAAATAGAACTGTATTGGAATCTGGAGGACGGATGCTTATAGTCGGGGCAGTCCTTCTGATAAGTAATGTAAATTCGACGTTTATTTCTTGTACCGGCGGAATGCTTCAAATATACAATGTTCTAGACCCGTCTGGTCCAAGCCAACGCCTTCAAGTATAAATACAGAACAACTTACTTCGAGTTCGAGCCCACTTCGAAAAATCGCGGCTATTGAAAGTTGCTGTAATCCCTCTTCCGCAACCTCACATTTAGCGCAAGGCGCATTCGCAGGAATTAAGAAGCTCCTGTCAGCTGGGTGGGCATATGGCTGCGAATGCCGTAGCGTTGTCGTAACTAGAAGACGCCACGGACACCAGGTTCAATCAGTGTGATATGGGTCGTCGTTCTTCCGTCTCATATTGCTGCTTCACTGCTTCGCGGCAGCGTTCTGGCAGCCGAAACTGAGATGTCAAGTAGGACTGGGTAGTGGACAGGGACAACTTTACCAAGAACCGAAAGAACTGTCACTGATCTCGCACCAAATTTCGCACCGATGCACATGCAAAATCCTCCATCCCTGTTGGAGCGCGGACCACTCCGTCGGCGTTTTTTAAACCAGAACGATATGAACAATTGTAGGACTTTCAAGTTCAATACTAGATCACCGGTGATAAAACGTTCGACATGTATAATGAATGGATCACAGAATAAACATCATAACTAAGGAAAAATACAATCATGTATACACCATCATCTGGATGAAATTTGCCTGATTAGATGGCACAGAAGAGATGCGCAGGCACTGAAACTCACACTTGTCGAGCGTTTCTAATTTTACAAGACTGCGTAGGGGTATACCGGGTAACATTATCTATGAGAAGCGTTAACTTGAGTTACGCATGACAACCCACGGGATCACTCACAAAAATACGCCTCAAAGAAACAGCGTCCAAAAGTGGAAGACGCAAGGTAAACACCGAAGCACTCAAATCGAGTTGTATTGTGCGCAATATAATCTTTTTGCTGGCTTCTTCTCTCCTTCCCCTCTCCTCCATTCTGGGGTCTAATTATCGATACAAGTCCCACCCAATCCCCTTCGGTGATACGTACACAAAGTTTCAGCTTTTTGAGTTCTTCGGGCGACAGCAGATAGACAGAGGTCGAGAATCCAGTAACGAATGCAAAACGAGCGTGGAGTGCGATAACAAGAAGTGCACAGGAAGTTCAAAGGGCCGTGCCCATTTAGTATGGAGGCCTCTTGAACTCGTCGCGAATATGTTGAGCCTCTGGGTCATGATCGAACATGCTCTCGGGCGAGCCTTTAATGACATTGCCCATAGCATCGTATTCGACGAAGTCTCCTGGAGATTCGAATGTCTCCATCTGGAACAATATCCGAGTTAGAAGATGTCAAGAATTCTCGTAACGATATCACCTGTACATGGACACCGTCAACAGCACTAAGGCCATTAGTAGCTACTTTGGGGCGCTTCGGCGGTACTGCTGACGTTGTCGTTGTACGGAAAGCAAGTGTTGAAGCCACGGTAGTACTGGAGAAGATATATCAGCTAAATATTTCCGTATGGAAGAACCACCCTACCCCAAGAAATCCGGGCCTTCTGACGTATATTTACTTAAACGGCGTACCGCACGGCAGGCCACAATCTGTGGAGAGAATGAGATATAATCAATATATAGATACGATAACTCACAGTCGATGCAACAGCTGCAGGAACATTGGCTATAATAGACATGACAGCATTGAGGTTGAGAAGCATGAAAATCTGTGGAACGTTGAGCATGAAACAGAAAAGCAGCACAGACAGACTTACGGTAGCGAGTAGATTGGCGAGGAAAGCGATCACGAAGTAGATCAGGCCGTCGCCGAAAATCAGTGTGACTAGCATAGAGCGGCCAACTCGGGTAGCGCTGGAAAGGTGGTGATCAATGCGAAACGAGCGAGGTTCATACAGACAAAGCACCGACCTAGGAGCTCTGAAGACCAGTTTCCAGCCCGTCAACATGAGAACAGTAAAATCAAAAGCCATCGAGTAGATGAATGTGACAGCCAAGAGTTTGTTGTCTGTTGAAGTGATAGCACAGCCGCCTTCACTGGTCCATTCAGCCTTCAAAAGTACACCTGCGAAGGTCTGAGATTGACGGCAGCCATAAAGTGGGCTAACTCAACAGACCGTGAAGGAGCAGAGACCAATGGCCCATAATAACCACGACAAGCGGGATTACAACCCAAAGGCTACGCGACCATACGGCAATTCTGTCAAATGGAGACATAAGAAGTGGTCTGAAACCAAAAACAGCACCTACGTCCGAAGAGAAAGATTAATCGATGCAAGTCCAATCGCAGCATTCCCAAAGAGCTTGACGCTGTATTAGACGCCGGTAAATGCGTAGATCAAGGAGGTGTACCTGGTTGAATGTATACAAAGCTTGACAATCTATCGGTCTGAAAAGATATTGATGAATGGCGCAAAGGGTGATGGAGCGGATATTACTTTGTGACATTCAGTGCGACGGCGCTGAGATAACGTTTAGGTCAGGGGATAAAGAGCAAGGAACGGGATCCTCACATTCCAATGAGGGCGATGAGGAGGAAGTAACGGTTCAAAAAGTAGAAGATCTGGGCTGCCGTGAGCGATCAACGGACCTGTGAGTAGCTCGACCACGCACCAAGGGCCACCGGAACGGCTTTTTACCCGAGACGTATTGCCAGTCGAATGGCAAAGATGTGAACCACTCCCATCTGCGAGAATACGCGTCAATGTGTCGTTCGAAGGCGCATATATCCAGGTATAATGATTGAACGTACATATAGAGGCCCAATAGTGTATGCATGAAACGTGAAAAGGCCACTGAGATACAATGAGCGATCCGAAGAGCATCGTCAATCTGCGACCGAGTGACGTACCACCGTCGTTGACGATTTCTTCAGCTGATTTCCAGTTGACCATGGTGGATCCAGACGAGGTCGTGGAGGAAGGAAAGGCAGGAGGGAAACCGAGTGATGAGCAAGGGTAAGAAGGGGAGGGAACGAAAAAGGTAGCACGCCGTACGAAGCCAAGGTGGGGTCCTTATAAAACCTTGGTGAGCGGACATTACACGACCTGCCATCGGATGCCACACTTCTTCCTGAGAAGATCGGGGGATCAGTCACCCTCCCATGTCCTTCTATCCTCCGGCGCTTGCTGTTTTCCTGACATTTTACGGCTGAGCGTGTGACCAAAACCATCCTCCAATCCTCCTCGCCATACCCACGAAATCGCGTAAATCAAAGGCAGAGCAAAACTTTGACCTCAACAATACCCACCCAATATGGAATTTCAACGGCCACTGATTTTAACACGGACAAATTCCAGATTCAGATCCTTCGGTCCCCCACTGGACATCATGGGCCAGAGTTTGACCGTCTGACCAAATGTTCGTATTCTTGTCTTCGCTGTGACGGCAGCCTGTCTCTTTCTGCGCAACCCAACCGATATGGCCATGAAATTCATTATCCATGTTCATATAATCTGATTGAAAACGTCTAAACGAGGCGCCCTCCTGCCGATTGACGATCCTTATACCCCACAGGACATATGACTTTTAATCTATCGCAGAACATAACCTCCAGGTATGATGGTTCTCCCAAGGAATTTTGTCCCTCGTAAAGGGGGCTCGAGTTATTTTTGACCTTCAGGTTACCTGTCGAGGCTGCTGATTTCGTGTTGTGCTTATGTTCTCCTAGCACCGGTCGGACCCCAGGACTCCCGTCAGATGTTTGGTATCATGGAAGTGTGATGATGATGGTAACAGCGCGTCTACGCTTATACCTGCTCTTTTACTACCAAAATTCTATCATTGTTTCTTCCTTAGAGAAGAGAATTCGCCGTCCTTCTGCCCTTCTACTGCGCTTATTTGCTACCTCTACTCGCCGTCTTCGATTTTGGGTCATTGCTAGGCGGCATTGTCTAATCAAAAGTCTATTTCAGCATCCTCACCCTCCTTGATGTCTCCAAGCTAACACCCACGGTCTCCGCGCCACCTTGTTCTAAAGCCTCCGAATGTTGTTAGAAGAGCTACGTCCTCAACGGAAAGACAAAGCGCGGCACTGGAGCCCGAGGGGGAATTTGCTAAGTTCGCCACACTCTTTCCAGAATCTCTCGTACCTGGTTGCATATGTAATGCGAAGACCTACTTGCCTCGTATGCATTCGGTCAACTGTGATTTACTCCCGACGTGTTGTAAACTATTCCTTCCGCATCATGATGGTGGAGGTGGTTCTCCGCCAATATTGACTCTGCGACTCCCTGGGCTTTTGGAAACACCAATCAGCTCTGGTATCTCCTACCTGCGGCTCCATTCTTTCTCTTGGCACTGTTGCGCTTACTATTGTTCCAGAGCCTGATAGTGGCAATTTGCTTTCACAACGTATTCAGTCGTAATGATGCACCGCTAATCCAAACGCTGCGACGTTGACTTGGTGAGAATATGATCTTCCGGTCTCGGCTTTAATTAACAACTTTGCTTGCACATGATGGGATTAGCTGCCACTTTTGGCGGCGGCGGTTTGCACTGGTCTGCCAGTGTCAACTACCTCGAGATTTCATGCGTCCCTGCACCTACCGCAGCAGTTGTGCTGTGGTTCATTGCCCGGCCTCGTTGGGGCCTCACTTCCTCAGACCACCCAAGTCGGTGTGATAGCATATACGCAACGTGCACTTCTTGATCTTCCACGACTTGTACACCTGTTGATTATTCGGGGCACCTGGGAAGAACATTGAAGCCTTTGTCCTCAGCATCTGGATGACTGGACCCGTAAATCCTTAGGTCTACATCATTGTTCTTATAGTACTGATACTGGCGACCTCTCGCCGTAATTTTGATGATCCCAGCTGTTGCCATTGCCTTTCGATACCAGTCACTACCACTGGCCACCACTGTGTTATTGGTTATTGTTAACACTGATTTTATTTGCTGGCGACGCCGGCCGCTTTTCCCCGATGAATCCGAGGCCCGCTCTTATTCCTTTGCCACCTGGGGTGGTACCTAGGGTCGTCGTTCGCACCGTATTTCATCATGACTGGCGTTTTACCTTGCCATGTATATCAGGCTACGAGACAAGACAACTCCTCGACGCTCGCAGTGCCTTTGGCTACCTATGGGGTGGTTAGTCGGAAATCTCAATCGACTCCGCCATCGGTATATTCACCGCATACATACATACTCAGACTCAAGTGGTATATAATAAAATTCACTTTGTGAAAGTTATTATTTGCATGTTCTATTCACTTAGGCTTGTGTTGCTCACCTGAGTCATATTTAGTAAGGGCTGGGTTTATCGCGCTGTTGTGTCGCAGAGAATGGCGCTTCTCATCGGTCAAATTTGGGCTGTATTTCTTTCCATCGAATTCTAGAGTCCGCGTACTACCCCGATGGTCCCGACATCACCTGCAAGAGCGCACGTAGAACCAGGAAAGACTTTCTTTTCGCGACGAGTTAGTATTTCCTCCGCTTTTTCAGTGTGGCGCAGGTGTATTTGTGGCGGCTGGTATACAAGACCGCGGCCCCTGGGTGTCGCTATCTCATCCATTCAAATACCTGTCGGTTGTACGACCACGAGATTAAAGCTCACTGCCGCTCAATGTCAATGCTACCCTTGCTCGAAGTAAAGGCAGGTATTTATTTTTATTTCAAACTGTCCAGCCACTGATTGATCACGTCCGAGAAGTGTGTGTCCAGTGGCCACTTCTCATGGAATAAGCAGTTCACATCACGTTCATGACACTTTCTAGACTTCCTAGTCCCATTCCTTAATTAATAAGACCTGTACCAGGTTGTCTCCCACGACGTCCAAGTTCGCAATTGTCGGAAATTTCAGTTGAGGACTCATGGGTATCCCGGAGTACTTATTATGATTTTTTACCAGTATATGGTCTTACCTTCCTGGCTAACATCGAGGATTTAATTTGACCGATCGCTTTACCTGCCCAAGATGTATTCTCTCTGTTAAAGCCGCTTAAAACAACTGCAGACCGCTGCTTGCAACATGTTACACCATCCTGCTTGATTGCCTGTAATGAAAGCGGTAGTGAGTAGAGCTGATGTTAATATATAAACATAACGATGAGCTCTATGTCGACTCTAAATTATGTTTGAGGAAGACATCAAGAAAATATTCTGCCTGCTTAGAGCGGGAGTCGAATTGGCCTTCAAGGTGCTCATGTGATTCGACAGCATCGGTAAATTGCGGAAATACTTCTTCGTTGTTTCCATGTCTGTCCTTCCCGTAATTACTACCGGAACTCAGAACTGGTGTCGATTGCTACCGACTCAGCTGGATGTAACTTGCATGAAACCCATATAGATCGCCAGCATGGTAATCGTGTCTCGTTATGCTATTCTTAAGACGCGAACTTGTGACCCAGCTCAATTGCCAGTACGTCTGCTGCATCTGACTGGTATTATGTGCTAAGTCCTTGCGCCTTCCTTCTCGCGTCAAAGTTCCCCGTGCTTCTATTTATCCCGAGATCATCAAAATCTATGACTCCGGATCCTGAGAGAGACACTGTATATTCTTTTACAGGCTTTTACTCAAGGCAGTATGCTATCTCTCTTTACACGACTGTTTCCTACTGTCTCCGACACCATCGGTCGATGCCCGAGATGTACGGCCCAACAGCCTTGGAAAAATACGAGATTTATTCATCTCTTCCCACGTTGTCCTGAATTCTCTGAAACAGGCGTTATGATAAGCGGACGCACCTTCGGTATCGGCTGTAGTAGAAGCGACTTGTTTTGATTCTCATCATTGAAAATGAGCTCGTGAGGACATGCTCTTTCAGTTTGGGGGCTCTTTTTCAGCGAAAGCTCTAATATTATCTTCATCTATACCGGGCTTTTTATTCAATGTATGACCTCATCGGCAGTCCACATGTACAACAGCCCATATTGCGAGGGCTTGCGTGGGAAATGGCACTTTTCTTACTCCTTTGGGTCAAAAAATCTCGTCGTGATCGCCCTTCAAGCTACATCCTCCCCCCTTCTGTCATTATACACCTTTCCTTCGTCAGTAAACCACGTGTACCGTCTTTCACACAAATTTGAAACGTCTTAACATCCTTACGGCCACATGCGCAACCGAACGATGTCCCCGAACTATACAGTGTGCCCTTCGGGCTAGCCAATTGATCTGGATGCTTTGGTATCTTGATCGTCTCGGTTCTGCAGGTGATTAGCACCATACCAACCCATCGGACTCCTGGTCTTGTACCACGGTACCGATTCTTTAATGCGTATTCCTAGCAGAGGAGCGCATGAGGCACTCTGTATAGTAGTATTTTTAGTAACAAATTCACTAAGAAGGACATCTTTACGTAACGTCCTCATCCAAGAAAGATAGTTACTTAGAGGATATACAGATGCAATAGTTTGTAGATCCAAAAAGGAAGGCCCGTCTTAAAAAGTAGAATACAAACCCAATACCCGGGACTGAATTTGAAAGAAAATCCAAGATATAAATGTACGCGGATAGAATACAGAGCAATAGAAAGCGGCAAACTTGACATCGATAATCAAGCTATCAGGCATTACAGGGCGCTCGTGAGGGTAGGGCAGCAGGTCCAGGTAACATGCGGAACTGGAAACAACATCAGATTTCTACGGCTAATTTTAAATTAAGGAAGGGAGCACCTGAGACGGATGGTATGGATGCGATGGCATAGCAAGATAAGAATTTCTTTCTTCGAACCTGTCATCTGTTTCATCGTTGACAACGGAGGGCACAACCGGAGGCAGCGGCAAAGATAGCTGCCCGTTTCTACTGCTGGAATCGGATTCGTCTCCATCATACTCTGAGGATGAAGATTCTACTTCCCGGAGCCGCAATGCATTGGTACAAGACATGAGGCTCGAGGGAACCCACTTCGTGCTGGTGGAAGGTGGCTGGACCTGGCGAGGGGCAGGGTGCACTGCGTCAGTGTTAGAGCTCACCCCGGGAGGCAACAAATCGACAGTGTATTGGCCGACTTGATTGGTCTCGCCGGTCTGGGGAAATGCACCGTGGGTACGAAGATGCCGCTTGGCATTGGAACGTACACCGAACGTCTTCGTGCAGCCTGGGTACGTACAAGGGTAGGCTGTAAAAACGGCGTCAAATAACGGACAAAAGATACTGAGAAGGTTACGAACGTCGGACGTTGTTGTGACTGTTCATATGTGTTCTCAACCCACTGGGTCTGCGTACTTTAGTGAGCAATAAATCCAAGAAAACCGTGAGGACTGACCGAGGAAATTCGTGGTGACAAATCTCGCACTGGTGCATCTTGGATTTCTTCTTTTTCTTCGCCGCGAGAAGATCAGAGGAGTCGTGTGGCGTAGGTGGTTCCTGTTTTGGAGCGGGGTATTTCTCATACGATTCGCCGTAAATTGAATTCGACTGCTCTGAGTCAGATGAACACCAGCTCTGCCTCATAGCAACAGCTTGCTGAGCAGTCCTTACGTCGTCGAAGTGCTCTCGGACGGGAGCGGAGAACAATCCGGTTGATCTGGAGCCGACAGCAAGCGGTACCGAGGGGCAGTCAGGAAACCCGCGAAGAGGGGAAGGTGCTGTTGAGGACGTTGGAGGAGATAGACGCGGAGAAATGGAAGCAGCTCCCGACAAATACGGATGGCCTTCCATCCAACGAGACTTCCTCGACAGCCGAACTGCGTCGTATCTTCGAGGGGGGGGAGACGACATTGCAGCGTGAAGTGCTGCGGGAGTCATAGTGTAGCCGGCATTCTGGCCATAAGCCAAGGAATAGGACGAGCGGATTCTGCCAGTACTGTCGTAGGCCCCGGAGTCGGATGATTCATGATGCATACTAAAGTTCGTCGGCAGAGAGTGCTGAACTATATGTGCTGATACAGGTGTTGGAGCCATAAGAGTCGGGGGCGACACTACATGGTATTCCGATTGACGGTGGTGATCATCGAGGATCGGATACTCTGAAAGGCCGCGAGCACTAGCAGAGTTTGTAAGAGGCCACTGAATTGCCTCATTTGACGCGAATGTAGAGGACGAGGTATACATCTAAAGCCAGAGCGTATCGCGGGAAGGAAAGGGACCTGGTGTTGCGTAGCGGAAGCGAATCCTTAATAAATACGCCAATTTCAGTTCGAGAACGTGGGCGGAAACATTTGATGGACCCACAAAAACACACAAACCTGTTTAGTCAGGGTCGGGGATATATTGTTGAAGAACTTGATGACAGGCGATGCTTGCCGGATGCGGTGTGGGCTGGGGGATATTACGCTCGTGGTAACTGACAGCTGCTCCACTTTTGTACGCTACGCATGTACACGACCGGAAGGTCCACGATTATATCAGTAGCACGCCAACAACGAGGCACTAAACAGCCCGAATACAGCCAGAAACCGCAGCGCACCAGACACGACGCCGTTTGAGGAAGAAAGAAGCAGGTGGACCCCAGTAAGACCTCAAGCCAATCTCTGTTTACTGTAAAAAAAAATTAATTAGCGCCAATCAAAAGAGATGCCGAAGTAATTCTTTCGAGGTTCTGTCCGCTCGGCAAACGAAATCAAGGCCAATATCGCGAATCTGAAATGGAGGAGTTGCTGTTTCCAAAAATTCTATCCCCATGGGAGATAAGTTATCCGGCTGCCTTTGTCTGAGTTGTAAAATATGATATCACACTGCTGTTGGCGCCATGAGCATCTTAGATGCAAAATGAGAACAACAGGCGCACCGACCCGCCAATTCGGATCCAACTAGCTCGCCCGGGGCCTAGGAGGCAATAGCAAGTGTGATTGCTAGGTTCATAGAGACAGGTGACTGTTTGGCGCATGGGGCGCTGCTTCTAGATGATGAGATCGATACCGACACCAACAGGTATGTACCTTCGCTTACACGTATTGAAGCGATCGATTGTTCCTTTTCTCTTCTTCTTCGCCTCAAGTGGTTGTGGGAGGACCGCTATCAGACATCTTCAGATTCTGCACCAAGATAAATCGACAATACAACATGATAAAAATTTCCAGGCACACCATTATTGTACTTTTAGTATGTGATTGCTATTATACCGGTTGGACGCGGTTCTTTTCAAGTTGACTTTTAGAGAGTGCTTGCTGAATGTGGACTGTTGAAGACGACGTAATAGAGGTGCCTAGAAAGGTAACTTGACGTTATAGTTTGCGCCTAGTTCGGGGCTAAACAGGGGAAGGAAGAAACAGTCCGGTACTTTTAGAGCATTTGAGGCGGGCGAGGGAGGTGGACCGCATGTCGTCGTTTGGTGTGTAAATGCATGACATGAATTAATAAATGCACAGAGATGATGTGTAAGTAATCCAAAATAGTATACAGACTGAAATGAAGGCACCTCAAGCGCATGCATCAAGGGGAATTAACGCAGCGCGACGCAAGGTATATAACTCACCCACCACCGAATCACAGACTGGCAGGCGCCATGGTTCAGACATAGCTTTTGTGTTCTCACATTAGCGCCTCTCTCGCAATCACCACAGTAGAACTGAACATACCGAAAACGATCTAGACGACCCTTTGCTTGTTCTTGAAACATCTCAAACTTTACAGACTCCGACTCTATATCTGTGTCGGGATATCCTCCGTCTGTAATCTTGTCTCTCGATGTATTCACGGGCTGATTGAGGAAGACAAGACTTGTCCTACCCTTTCCGAGTTTATTTGGTGGCTTTGAGATGGGCTTTGGAGGTGCAGATTTCGGGGCAGGGATACGGTAAGGGTGCGATCGAGACAATGACTGCCTGACGCCCCGATACCTCCCGGCAGATGTCACATTAGTTTCTCGCCGTTTCAAAGTGAAGGATGCGTGCCACCCTGCTGTAACGGCCTTCTGTCTAGAGATATAATCCCTTTCAACGCTATCCTCGACGTCCTCCAATTCATCGTCAGATGCCAGCGGAGATGGACTAGGACATGAAGCAGAGCCTTGTCCAAGTGCATCATCGATGTCGTTGGGTGACATACAGTCGCCATCATCGGCCAACTCGTCACCCAACTGATTCCTCAGATCGAGTGCCGCCACAATTTCATCCTCTGCGGAGGGATTTTGAAACAGCGGCCTACGATCAGATTTCTGAGGATATGGCCGTGGAGTGAGGGATTGAGCTCGTCTTGGGGATGCAAGAGGAGGACTTGAGACAGCGTCGACACCAAAATACAAATCATCTAAGGATTTGGTTTTCGACGGAAGCCGTTTCGGGGTATCCCGCGGACGCAGGGGAGATGACAGCTCCTCTGTATCCTGTGATTCAGAGGGCGAAGTTGGGGAGATATACCCATCCTCTTGTTCCACTGTATGTGCCGTCAGGACTTCCTCAATATCGAGCGTCATCTGCAAACCTTGAGCGATCACCGAACCGAAATCGTATTCGTCAGCCTCAGCGTCGGTAGTGATCTTGACATTCTCCTTTTCATCGCGCAGACGAGAGGGTCCGGCGACGGAGGTTTGAGAAGTTTTATTACGCTGTGACTTGGCCGTCGGCGGAGTAAAAAATTTGGACAACCTTTCGTCGTGCGTTCGCTTCTTTCTCTTGGCAACCATGTCCTCGTCCATCACATCCGCCAAGGTCCGTTTGCCACTGGCCCTACCTACGATCATCTTGTTCTTCTTCACAACTATGGGGATTTTTGATGGTGATTTTTCGGTTCGGGGAATATTGGCATTAGGTCCTGAAACACAACATCAAAACCAGCAATCTGGCGAAGGGAGAGAGGACCCACCAAAGAACATAAGGATACCATCATGCTTTGGCTCGTTTAGGGCTTTGCCCTTGCCCTTGTCAGACCCATTACAAGGAATAAACGATAACTCCTTCGTCTTCATCGATGCATGGTTCATGAAGCTAGGATTGATATCTTGCATAGGTAGCAGGGTGATAGGGTCGATATCGCCCATCGCGATTTGCTTCGCTAAAGATGGCTCGATATGCCTAGAAGTGATGCCAAATTAAGCGAACGGCACCGCGAGGTGGTATATTTTACCTTACCCGCCTACATGAGCGTCTAACTCCTTGTTCCATTCTTCGTCGACTTCGGTCAAGTGTACCAACCTTTCAAGCGCCGGATCGTAAACTCTTTGATGCAGAAAGCAATTTTCGGCTAACTTGAAACTTTCTAAATATCCCCGAGGCACTGGTTTCTTGCCTTCAATTGCAACCATCCTCACGACCTGATCCACAGTTTTCCATCTCCGCAGCAGCGAACATGCTGTTTTCAAACCAATTCCAGGAATACTGGGGAGGTAGTCGCATCCGCTTAAGATGGCCATGGCACGAAACTGTGCATCAGACCACCCGACTAACGAGATTCCATGAGAGTCCGGACCACTGGCAGTGACTGAGGCGAAGTCAGAGCGAGATATAGAGACGACAGTGTTCGCAACTGTGTCGAGTTTGAACAAAACGTTCTTGCATCCAAAGACAAGCATGTCGGAGTCCTCGGTGACGATGGCGTCAACATAGCCAGTGCGTTCCAGGTAGGCCATTTGTGCGTCAGCCTCGTAGGGTGCCACTGTGTACTTGATAGTTTCTGCTCTTAGAGCCTATGGAAAAAGACAGTTACAAAGACTCAAGAATCAAGATATATAAATAGCCCGCACCTTTATCACTTGGAATGCCATTTGCGGGGTCACGTCTACGCACTTGACATAGAATTCCCGCGCATGAGCATGTTTTCCTTCGGCTGCAAGGGCTTCCCCCCGCGCAAGGTTCTCCTCTCGCTTCTGCTTTCGAGTAACTTCGGTCCCTTGTTTGGCGGGAAGGGGACCGCCATCAAAGACAACGTAGGGTTCGATGTTGTGCTGACGCAGAATCCGAATTCTTTCCATCACGTATCGCACATACCTACGGGGTAAATTGCGGTCAGTCTCGACCGATACAACGGGGAACCATAGGGACCACGGTGTCGCCCGAAGCGCGCCTTTCCCTGAAGGCCACTCACTTGCTTGTTTGTTTTCCAGTAGCCAGTTCGGTAGCACATGAATATACACCACGATGCAGCCAAGCATACGCGTCGATTGCCACAGTCTTGCCAGAGAATTCAGACAAGGGTTTGACGGTCTGAATAGACTTGAGAGCTGGTAGCAGCCCAGATATTCCCATGAATCATAAAAAGGAGAGTACTCAGTACTGACAAGAAAAAGATAAATGCGAGTGAAGGCGAGAATGATAAGAAGCAGGGACGAGAAACTTGGAAGAGGGCGACCAAATGTCGCTGCTGGCAAAGATGAGCAAACAACGCGTAGAGTGTCACATAGTGTGACCATGACAACCATGACGTCAGTCTCGTACCGCCTGCCGCCTGCCCCGGCAATTGGGACACGTCCGAATAAATACGTTCTCCCGCTTATACACTCAAGACAGACATGCTACAAATAATGCGATAGTACTCTATCAATAGGGACATGAGTTATCGAATGACATAGCTAAACAAGGGGAGGCTCAACAAGATGCACGACCCCAACAAGGGCAACTTGACGAGTACATCGTGAGGTCGCTGCCACTATTATGCAGCCCATCTTCCAATCCAGAATCTACATGCAGCCTTTCTAATGGAAAGTGCCTCTTTGTCGAAACTCGCGACGTCCATAGTACCAAGCCAAGGTTCACCATGCCCATTAGGAACTACTTCTTCAATGGAGAAGCCTTCAGAGCTTGCAACCCTCATGAAGTTGTCACAAACGTTGGGAGATGTGTATTTTCCGGCCTATGTATCTTCAGGACACGGTGCAGCAAGGTAATTGGCAAAACAGGTACTCACCGCGATATACACCCGGGAATCAGAGCTTTTCCGGAGCAACGACTTGAGCGAAGCGACGAGAACATTGTGGGAGGTGTGAAAATGCAGAAGATCTGAAAGAATCACAACATCATATCCCATTGCCTCATTATCTGTTAAGGATCTGGGCAATTGTAAGAGAAAGATGAGAATATCTGATACGGCTTCGAAACTCACAGAACAGATTGGGCATCCGTACCCCATTCATACCCTTGGCAACAAGTAATGCATCCATCAGAGACGTGCGCTCGATTTCGATTGACATTTTCTCTCAGATTTTTCATGATCCCGTCGTCCGGATAATCCGTCACTACGACAAGTGAAGGGGGTTGAGGTAACGTGCTCATTAATAACGACGGCAACGCGCAACCTGCACCCAATTCAACTACTTTGTAGCAGTGGGAAAGAAGCCGTTCATCAGATAATTTAAGAGAAGAGACAATCAAAGTACCTGTACGTCCTTGAACGGGAATTAATGCTCGTTCAATACGCTCTGCAAGAAAGAGGGAAGGAGAAAAGAGATGGTCTGCCAGTAAGGTATTCGCCTTATATGATAGTTAGAACCCAAAAGGCTGTGAACTTTTATAACACACCTTGCCCTCCTACAGTACCAAGAGTTGTCGGAGTCTGTCTATTATTGATCTAAGGGCATCCATACCTTGGGTGCGACGGTAAGCCGAAGAGGTCCGTAGGATATCTCAGAGTCATCCAAGACTTTCGATTCGCCGATAAATGAGAGCGCGTCGTTGAATATGTCTTCGTACGGTTCGCTCATGGTAGTCGCGTTTAAGGTCTTACGGATGGTCCGGGCCGACGGACCAAATTGCCATGACTCACTTTACTTAATCTGTTTCAAATCAGTTCAAATCCCACTCTCATCAGTACTACGTGATGGCCTCCGCGAACGTTGTCCTCAGAGCAGAGAAGAGAGCTATGCGGAAGGCTTTTTCCTCCACTCTGAAAAATATTTCTCCTGTAATCATTGAGGAGCAATGTGCTGTCACTTCCATGTCCACCCATTTCTTCTAGTCCAGCTGATTTGAACATTTTCACAGCAAAGGCTGTTGCAGATCGTGTACTAGCTCTGGACGCCTTCCGTAAGAGTAAAACAATCAGCTGCTATCTCAGCATGCCAACGATGGAACTGGACACGTCCACGCTAGTTGAGGAAATTGTGCGCTCTAGTGCGTAGCACCCTGTCAGCGTTTAACCGGATATCGATGTTGATTTTGCATAGACAAAACCCTATTTGTTCCAAAAATATCGCCAGATGGCAGTATGGACTTTCTGGAAATTCATGGTGCGGAAGATATCAAGTCGCTACCAAGTGGCCTATGGGGCATTCGAGAACCTGGACCCACCTGGAATGGGTTCCCGCGAAGAAACGGTAAAACCGAATATGCAACAATTTAACATAAGGAGCATGGATGTAGCTCAACGACGTTATTCAGCGACAGACGCGGACTGCGATAAGTTGGACATGATTCTAGTTCCTGGTCAGTTGTGTCATGGTACGATGTGGGCTGTTCTGTATCTCTTTGTTCAGGTGTTGCTTTCGACAGGACGCTATCTCGTCTGGGCCACGGTAAAGGGTATTATGATAAATATATCTCAGGGTATGAGGCCAGCGGAAGGCCGCGCCCTTTATTAGGTGTGTGTGGTCTTTCCTTGCTCACTAATTGAGATTGACATCCTTGTAAGTGGCCCTTGCCTTGGAAGAGCAAGTGGTGGACTCAAATCTACCCGTTGATGACCACGATCAGAAAATGGATATGATTGTCACACCCACGGAGGTTATCCACTAATGCAGCGAACGATCGTCAGTGTTACACCGTATGAAAATCTCTTTATTCACACCGTTGCTTCAGTAATAACATGGCGAAGAAGAACGAAGCATTTGCCCCATAAAGGATTCACGGGGCTACAAATAATCAAAGACAGCAACAAAGACGGAGTCAGACTCGAGATCTATACATGTGTATAATAGCCGCATCTTTGGGAGGGATCTTTGACACGTCCAGATTTTTGTTCCTAAAATGGAGAGAAGAATCTCTAATGCAGCAATCCAGATATTCAACACGAGTCACTGCAATATGTCAGGTTTTTTTCTACGGCCCAGAATGAGAGTGAGAAAATATGGATCTGTTACTACAACTGTGTCTCCTGTCGAGAAAGATCGATGTAATTTAAGTTTTTGTCCAGTTGGAATATTCGCCAATGTATGATGTTAAGGTCTTCGTCAAAGAAGTTCCCATCGTTGCCTCCGACCATAGCTCTCAATCCATTCCACGACTACTTTCTGTCCCAATATGTCGAGGAGTGCCGTTGGCACACACATGTAGATTGCCTCTGCTTCGATCGGATCGAATTCCTTATCCATAGACACCCGGAACACGAACGTCTCGAGTGTCGGGAAACGCCGCAGGGCAGTCTCTGCTAAACGAGTCCAATCAAAGAAGTCTTCCTCCATTATGGCAATCATATCCGCTGAGGAATAGGCATATAACTGTAGTACAAATTCAGTGAGTTGTGGGGCAGAAGGTAGAATTTCTAGCGTGTTCGTGCACAATTGAAGGTCAGGTAGTAGTGTCTGCGTTTCGAGCTCGATACTCAAAGTGAGTGACACGAGCTCGGTGAAAGCGGGGGTAGTAAAGGTCGGAAATTCAGCTACGGCCTCAATCAATGAAAGAATGCTCCGATCAAAGAATAAAGACTTACATGCTGCTTGAGCCGGAATAGAAAGTTCCTGGAGAGACAGGGCGCAAAGACTCAATAGGCAGCCCAATGCGTCGGTAGAGAAAGTGGAAGCGTCTGAGTACGCGATGTACCAAAGATCGGAAGGGCGCGAAATTGCGAGTACCTCGTAAACGAGCCAATCTAAAGGCGTCAGAGCCTTTTCAATGATCAACTCCTCGAGTTTGGTCAAGTTACCCGTGAAGACAAAGGGAGGGTCGGAATCTGATGAAAGCGAACTTGAGATTTTAACGCGATTCATTTGAAGCACCTTGAGAGGGGGAAATAGTCCGAAGAATGCCTTGGCGTGCGCGACGTTGATGAACGAGCCCGAAAATATGAGAGCTTCAACAGAGATAAATGCGGAGACTAACTGCTGCGTTTCCGGCGTAACGTGAATGACACGAGTCTGGGACGTGCTCCAAATGAATTCTGTCACTTGAGGCATTGTGGGGAGGAGAATATTGGCCGGATTGCTGGTATTACGAACTGAAGGGTCCGACAAAATACGTTCAATAGCAGCGAGACGCTCCTCAGAGTCAGGTAAGGACGGGGGAAATTGGTCGTCTAGTATACTGAGTTCCAGATCCTTGAGACGTGCTCCCGGTGAAAATCTGGCTACTCGAACGAACTTGATGACATGAGGGAGAGATAAACCAATATTCGTCCAACGTGACAGATCCTCTGGTGACGAAAAATTGGCATAGGAAAATAGGTATCGAAGAGACGCTACCCTCCATGATTTTGAAACGAGAGACGAAGATTTTAAGGCAGGCACATCATAGCGATTGTGTTGGACAATTCCGCCAATCACTTCCAGAGGGAGGTCAACTAGTGTGCCGCGTTGTTGAGATTGCAGTGGAAATGGGAAGGAGATGACCCACGATTAGTTGTTGGGTACGCGAGCTGGGTACACGACATGGAAATTGAAGGCCTTGAGCCTTTTTGAAGAATCTTATGAGACGGTGTGTCGACTTGATTATGCTGCCGATATGAGCTACTGGTGAGCCCTAATAGTACAAGTGACGAGCGAGTGAGACGGTTGAATTGATCAAGTTGAACTGTTTCCCTTCGCGGCGCCTTTATATTTCTGGATCAGGTGTTTACCCGATGCGCGTACAAATATGCAACCTTTTTAGGTACAAGGCATGTTACTTCAAAAGTTCCTTGTTCTCCGGTGGCTAGATCATGTGCGAAGAAGCACCATCAGCAACGAGGCCATTAGAACGATGATCTTCTTCACCTCCATAAATCTTTTAGAAAAAGTATTTTTGAAGATACAGCGATTTTATCAGGAAGGAATTAAACCCAGCAATGTCCGTATCGAAATCGAAAGAAGGGGATGTGAAACGAAACGGACGAAAAATACAAGACATAAGACTAATCAGGTACAATGACAAGAAAAGAATAGCGAAGAGCAAAGGTGAAAGAGAAAGCCAATGTCATCAACCCACCTCATCCTTACCTCTTCTACGTGACGGGACCCGGCGTGCAAGGCGAGCATACTAGCCCGTCAGACCCCGAAGGGTCTCTCCTGGGAGAGAATAGACCCAGCCTTCGCCACCCCCGACGATCCCATACCGGCGCGTCCGGAAGGAGGAAAAACCTCGTCCTTATCTCACGGCGCATGCATCCAGATGTCATTCTAATCACACATCTCCAAATTTCGTCCTCCTTCCCATCACCAAGGTCGCAACGACGTCTCCGTTTGGAGCCCGCATTCCAACCGGACTCCAGGAATTCCGATTACCGATGCTTTTCTGCTTCCTTACCGCCTTCCCGGCAGCTGCTCGAATAGCGGCACATCCTTGTCCACTCCTTACCGACAATTCTGTGCTGTATGTCGTTCCTTGCGAAAAGAGAGTCGAAGATGCCAGACTTTCGGTATCGTCACTCTCCGACGATAGGCACTCGTTCCACTCTGGGTTGTGTGCCAGCGGAAGGGTCAGCGGGAAGGCATTATTGTAGTCATTGTACTCTTCTGTCTTCTTTGTGGCCCTGGAGGGCATCGGTTGCCGTTCGAGATCCGCCTTACGCGTTTCCCACTCATGAAGGTTGGACGTACACTGTGTCGCGTATACTTGCATTTCTGTGATAGGGCATTAGCCATATATCAAACACACCAAAGTGAACCATACCTGGAACGGCCTTCGCCACCAACTCCAGCAGCGGCCGGGCAAACATTTTGATGAAGAACACTTGAGAATTCGCCTCGCTCAGTGGCGTCTCAGATGACTGCACAGTACAGGGTAACGCCAACGACTTCTCGTATTGGGCTTGTGACGTCCATTCGGCCATAAGCGCCGTTGCCCAATGCTGTGAGATGTGATACGGCCGACTGGGGTTACTGATATCTGAACATTTTATGATGGCCTGGCATATTAGAGTCTTCCTTTGGGTGATCGACGCTGCCTCTCCGGCCACTGTTCGTGAAAATCTTTCCATGAAAGCAGCATGGACACTCATATCGGTGGCCATGACTGACTCCCACAAAAGACGTCTCGCCCGGGGCCGCTCCAGGACCGCACCCAACCCGTGATGCTGCATCATTCGGAGTAGGAGAGAGCAGTGCATCTGTTCGAGAGCAGAATGGTCGTTAAACACGACTGAAAGAGGGGTCTGCGCATTTTTCATGAAGACGTTTGTAAACCCAGGATGTCCAACGTCATGTCCTATAGCGGCAATGCACACCAAGAACAGGTCACACAATCCAAGAGAGGTAATGAGAGGGCCACTGTCGCACGGCCGGTGGCTCCTCCACATCCGTCCGTTATAAAGCAAGATAGCCAGAGAGGGTACCATCCCGGCCGATTTGAGGAAGGAATATGAGGCTTGGAGCACATCTAGAGCATGTTCAAAGTTGTGATACGAGTTTTCGTAACGGTATATTTGCCGTAGATGGTGTATGAATGGACCCATTTGTTCTGGTAAGCGGATAAGTTGATCAGGTTCAGGCACGAAAAGTACAAGGGCAAGCACTTACGGAGAGACACGCCCACTGCCTCCTTCATCCCATCGATACGAAAGAGGGCTTCGAACAGGATCATTGTACATGCCAAAACTTCTTCTGGAGGTAGTTTGTGAGGCTCGAAATTCCACGAGTTTAGAGAATAGATGAGGCGACGGCGGACGTCTGGAGACAGATCGGCGGACACAGTGCTGCGCAAAGTTAGTGCAGGAGCAGGATAGCAAGAATTAGAGACATACAAATCATGCTTATGCTCGTTGACAGCGTGGAGCGTCTCGTTGTACATATCGCTTAATAATTCAGCGAACTGGGTCCTGGGAAGTGTTATCAGTTGATTGCTCAATCGCTAGGTATCATACGAACTGCAGGGCAGACGAGCTCCCGACCCATCCATGACCTTGAGATTCACTGGCAGTCGCGAGATGAAGACCACCGACATCAGCACTCTTCGGTCTTGTCTGTCGTCGTATGACTGAGGGTCCGGACATTCCAGCAGGGTCGTTGATGGCTTATCTATCGGGAAAAGGCGATCGCCAGATAGAATTGCTAAGTTAATTCTGTGCACGCCGAAAACAAGGCAAAAGGAACAAAAAACGAGAGAATGTAGGCGTGCACAGTCGTTGCAGAGGCAGAAATAGAAATTGTCGTTCTCGGTCGCGTGGTGGTAAGAGTGACAGCTTGCTCGTGGCAGCCACATGGTTTTCCATTTCCACAGTCCCTATCAGCGACCAAACAGTGCCACCTAGTGTCCACTGGCTTGCCCTTTCTTTCTCAGTCACAAGGGCTTTCTCGGACTTTCTGTGTAGCAATACATTCCTTGTTCTTGTAAAGGCCTTGTTTGAATGTCGTCTTGTTCGTTTGTCCGCTTTCCTTCCGGAATGTCCCGGTACCAAGCGTCGGCCGGGCTGGATTCTTGACTTACGGGGTCCGGGCACCCTTCAGACCTTTTCACGAAACGGGTTTTTAGCTTGAAACGTCCAATAACAGGCTGAGACTGATACCCTCTTTGCTTCGTGATTGATCTCAATTAGCGTCTTCGCTTTTATATCAGGAAGTATCAGGAAGCCAGTTCTGAACGGCGATGAAGTGGCGATAGATGTCTAGGTCATTTCAGCTCCAGTTATCATTTACATTTACGATAGCGGGAATTATTTTCTCGATACCATGCTGGGCGATACTCCACAGGATCTGCATACCGTTGTAACCAAGGCATATCAGATCAGGAAGATACTTTTAAAAGGTACGATGGTGCTGTTGCCAATCTTTGCGGGCACGGCCGTCCCTCCGTCAGGCCTTCAGGTTTGACATAGACATACTTACTTGCTTTTCATTCATGTTGTCGCAGAGGCTCCTGAATGACAGGAAGGAATGAAGCGACATACTCATTCATGCCCCAAATTCACGTGACACAATGCAATCTTATTCTGAATCTAATTGCCCTGGACCACATGTTATTACGGCCATGCGATAGTGGGGCATGCAAAGTTCCTTGATGTTATGGCAACGTCCCAGCTGGAGAATTCAGCTAGGTCTCCAGAAAGCGGTAGAAATAGTGGAACCATGGAACCGGATCGTGTGGTTTTTCTGTACCAACAGAGCGGATGTCAGAAAATGACCAAGAAAAATGGAATAAATAGATACCTGTGGCCACCAAACTGACCAAGGGGTGGGCAGCTGTATATCATGTGTTGCGTCCATGCGACGGCAGGCATTGAGAAGGTGCATACTTGAATTCGTGATTCCAAGGCTGAACTCAGATAGAATTTCGACCTTTGATCGGTAGCTATAAGTATGAGTATGGTGCATTAAAATTTCCTATGTCCTTGACTCCGTAAGTGCGCATATTCAGTGCACGAAGCTGTCAGAGCAAAACACGTTCTACACCGCCATGGGACATCTAAATCGGGATCGATATAATTTGGCCTTGTTTCAAATCAACGCCTTCCTTTTCACTTCCATCTCGCCACGACCCTTTCTTACTCGCATACATACTTCAGCTTCGCGATGCTGGCTTTCATCGTCACCTTGTTGTTTCTCTTCTCTTTGGCGCAGGGCGCAGTCCTTCTTCGTGAAGAATCGCTATTCAGTTATAGTACCCCGACACAAACGACACGCTCCGCACGGGATGCTTTCTCTTCGGAATCGAACAATTCTCAGCGGCGAGTTCTCTCCGTACTGAAAGAAGTTGTGTTTTCTCGGTCTTCCTCTTCTTCAACACGCCTAGTTCCATCTCGACGGCAAGACCTCAATACTAGTCCAACACCCGCTCCTACTGGGCCGAGCTCATCAGAAACTACAGTACACATCACAGACACTAGTGACTTCGCAATTCTGGTACCTAGGAGTGCCAGTTAAGCCCGCATCTTCACCCTTTTTCTGCTTCTATTCTGACGGACCCGGCACTGCAGATGAATCTGTGTCTTCGTCAGAGAACGACGCCATAGCGTATTGCAGCTCTGGTTCTTCATGTTCCAACACTCTTCCCGACGGATTTATCACCGCAGCAAAAGTATACACAAGTTCTGAAGGGTCCTATATTCAAGTTCTTAATTCACATCCCTTCCATGATTCTTTCTCACGTCACGACAGATTACTGGCTGCATGAATCCTTCGAAAATGTCGATGTCTTCCATCGATGAGGGTGGTCAATTCGACGTCAGATACCCAAATGGTGCCCAGTGTACTTTCGGTGGCTATGGCGCTAGTTTTATAGAACAGTATGTATTGCTATCGGCATTGCAGGGCCGTACTTCTTATCCTTCTTAGGCTAGAACCGTCTGCGGGTCGTTTCTGCCTTCGGTGCTGCGCCTCACCAAACGATCAAACCAACTGTAATTCTCACCAAGATCGAGCTGGTTGCCTTGTTGCGGTCCCTGGTACATACAACTTTCCGGAGAGCGGAGTATCTTGTGATGCGTAGGATTCACGTGGTGCAGGACCGTCACTGATATACTGATATCAAAGCCAACTATGGATTATCCTTGTACAACATAATTCACTACTAATCATCGCATTTCTAAAAACACAATACGGTGGCATCAAATGAAATAACGAAGTTAAACTAGTCAAGGAAAGTAACTTAAAACCCCTCTGTAAATGACCGCCATGCATACATGAATGAAATATGCTAAACGGGAATCTGAATGAAAAAGGCACTTCCACGCCAATATATGACGAAAGGCATTAAACTCGAAGAAGAGAGAGAAAGTAAAACTACAATGATGACGACCCATTTCTTGCGCCACCTATGACAGTGCTTCGGCGACAACTTTACAGAACGTTTCCGGGTCGTCCCAGTGAAGCTGAAAGGAGACGCAGCATGAGTCAAGTACAGTTTTCTGATTGAATCTACTCACCAGATGATTTGCATTCTTGACATCAATAAACCGATTCGGACGAACAGTCTTCCCAGAAGCCACCGCCGCAGTGTATCTTTTCTCGTTCTCCAATGCACCCAACACCATATGCCAACCCGATCGCGTGCAGACCAGTGTCGTAAATCTGACATCGGGAAGGACTGACCTCGCCAGCTCTTCGTCGTACAACGCTCGGTCAGCTTGTCGATGCAACATCGGCTCGACGACCGAGCAAGAAGATGGTCCCAAGTCCGCCGTGAACGCCGCAGCAGGGTCGACTATCGTCTGCAGTTCCTCAGGCGTGATATGGTCTATGGATGCGTCGTTGCTGATCCAGCTGTAGTCAAGTCCCGCAGACGACCGAGAAGACAGGTCGTGATCGAACCATCCCGTAACGTACTTCATGAAGTGCTCCGGCGTGCGCAGGGCCTCGGCGAGTTTTTGCACTGAAACGCCAGGAGGTGGATCGGAACTGTAACCGTACGCCATCATGGGTGAGTCTTGGGGATTCCAATTAGTAAAACAGTGGCGCGCTTAACGTTAGTAGTAGCTCACCATAAATGATTGCAGCCCGCAAATATGGCTCGATTTGTGCATACAGCTTCTTTGGTATCACATCTGGCTGACCAAACAGAGATAGGATAACCGGACCTCCGGATGACCACCCTAGTATCGCGAGACCGCCTGACCTGTTGTCTCTACTTCGGAGCGTTACATGCTCATTGTTGATGAACCATGCGAGAAAATTTGCGACATCCTGTGCAACAACGTGTAGGTAGCCCTCTCGGCCGTGACGGAGATCATCGAGCTGTGCCTCCTGGAACCTGGCGCTTCCGGGGTAATGTCGGCGGTTCACTACGACGGCGCGAATGTTATGTCGTGGGAAAAGCGGGAGGACTTTTCGGAAACTCTCTGGTGTAGGTGGGTTTGAGCTAGGCATTCGCGATCGTGACTAGCGGTAGTCCACGCACCTCCAGTGAGTGCTGTACCATGGTATATGACCAAAGTGGTGTATGTTGTAGAGTTGGGTACGGGCCCGCTGTCTTGGAAGAACAGTCGTCCGCCGGTGGAGTCAACAGGTGCTGCGACCATATTGTGGAAGAGATGACATTGGTATTCAGTGACAGACGAGCTTTATATGATTCGTGTCTTGTGCATGGCGGGCGCGCGGCGATTGCAAATGTGGTAATTTGACACTAGACCATTCATCGGTCACTGTAGAGATATCAGGAGTAAGCACGAAAACTTCTTAAATCAGGTTCTGTCATCACATTTCACCAAGCAGTGCGACCACGAAAGACTTTGCCGGTCTCGTGCCACGCGCTACAATCAAATCCGTCGTCCGATCGCGGCGGATGAGGCAAAGGATACATGGTAGGAAACAGGGTAGGAGGCTTAATCTCAGGTTTGGCAAAAAGGCAGGACCCGAACAAAGAGACATCCTCGGAAAACCCGACTGTCGCTTAAGAACGTCGATTCGAGATATTCGAAGGCAAAGTATTCAAACGAAATTCGACTTGTGACAACGTCGCGGAACCAAATCCAGAATTTGAGTGACAGATTGGACGTGGATTCTCCAACTGAGTTGCCCTTGGACTTCCCTTGCCATCCCCTCAGGTTGAGGCTCACCTAGCAACAGAGAGGGGAAGCCGTTGAAACTTTGCGGAACCATTAACAAGCGCTTGGTTGTGAACTTGACGGCGAACTCGACGGAGTAGTCTGCGCCAAGTTTTAAATAGAAAAGCGCCGGATGAGCAATGGCCAGGTACAGGGATGTGTTTTTGTCGTCATGAGGTGCTCCATAAGCAGACGCTATCCCGTCTGTATGGCGTCCGCATTAGCACATAGGAATCAGCCAGGTGAGGCAAACCTGCAGGCGTTTGACATGGAGGGAATACAAGAAGGAGAGTGTATAACCTAAGCCGCTTGGTCCATCAGAAAACGCGCTCTGATAAACGTTCTTCCAGATGAGATAGATGGTGGTCCTACGTACTACCCATGATACGATCTCACGGCCCGGACTGATGCGCCACATAACCATACGATGTTCACATCTGAAGGCGCTCTACAGGCGCAACAGCGGCCTTTCGACTTGTAATTGTCAGATTTGCAAGCTCGGCAAAGTCCCAGAGCGTCCTTGTGGTACGAAATCTAGATGACGCGGACAAAGAAACGGTATCACTAGCGGCTCCTTGTAAAGTCCGCCTTGGTGCGACTGGCACAAACGACGGGAGAAAGCTGTCCTGACAAGAAGTCCCGGCCTTGCATCAAAACCCTTATAAAGGACAGGTAGACTTCCAGGTTGTAAAAATAAGGATATGTTTGCATCGTTCCTACGTTCTTTTTGCCTTGGGATGAGTACGGCGCATAAACGGTGAAGCAGAAACGCACCGAAGGCACTATTTGATCGCACAGGCATCCGCGGCTAAGGATGTGGGTTCAACTTTGGATCTGCGCGTATACGATCATCCTATCCATGGAGATCCGTGCTTTGAGCCGAAGCGTGGACACGAGTGTATGAGCGGTTTCCAGACTTTCGTCATGCGCATCAGGTAAACGGGACAGGCGAAATTCAATACTGGACATCTGACTCTGAGAGATTTTCCCTGGTCCGTCCAACCCGCAACGAGAATGGAAAAGATCAACAAATAGTCGAAGCTTATGCGCCTTTTGTACGACAGGGTTTTTCGTGTTTACACAGATAGTGTCGAGATGGGGTAGCAGCAGCTGATCGGTTGTCAAACGGGTGATCGACTGGTCTGTGACGACAAGATTAATTGTGAGATGTCGAAGCTGGGTTAAGAAACGGTAGAGTGGGAACAAGTGAATTGGGGATGTAGGATCACCACCGAAAATGGTGATTGCATGAAGTTGGCATCTCGATTGCTGTAGGAACGCAGTCAAGGCGGAAATGCTCCATGTGCAGTAATGCATTTCCATCTCCGAGAGGGCGGGCAGTGTCAGGGCTCGTAACAGCTCGTCCAGATTGTCGTTTCCCTCTCCCAGCACAATTTTGGTCAATCGGGCATGTTCACAATGTATCAAGGGTCCTCTGATGCGCTTCCACCGCCAGATCGTAAGGTTATTCAACCCAGGAGTCAGACCGCATACGCGTGTGACGAAACGGGTGTTGGTGACTTGGTTTATTTCAAGCGATCGAAGTTGTGCCCAAGGGAGACGCCATGTCGCATTGTGTAATTCAATACCTCCGATAGAGATGCTGACAAGATTTAGGGAGAAGGGGTGCCAGGTGAGAAGCGAATAAGCGTCCCCCAGCCCCTTTATGAAGAGGCTGACCCTCTCGAAATAACATGGATTAACTGTTACAACGTCGGCGAAGATATTCAATGCCGCGACAGGGAGGTAGAGAGCGAGTGACCGTCAGCGGGATAAGTTGGACTGTATGATGGACAAGAGAGAGGAGCCCAGCTTAAAGATCGTCAAGGTTGAAGCATCCACTGACACTGAGATCGGAAGAGGTTTCGATCGTTGGAGTTGCTCCTGGAGCAGATATTTGGCTTGATGCAAAGACGTAGCGCCAGTCCCGCCGATGCGATCCAAATTGATCCCAACGTCGGTCCATAATTGAGGCATGTCATTAACTATAGCCCTCCACAGACTGCATACCTGTACCAATGACCACGGGACAACGGCTGCGCTCAAAGAAGACGAACTAGAGTCCGTCGCGTCGCTCTTGCACATTTGAAATATGTTGTACCAAAGCTCGACTGGCATCCGACGAGCGGGACTCAATATGAGCTTATAACCTTTCAGCGCGGTCTCCATTTTTGTCTTCTCTTTCTGAAGAGCGAACAAAGTGGACATATATGCGTGGATCTGCTCCTCAAGCGCGTCCAGTCTCTTCGACATTCTGTTTCTAGCATCTTGAATGTGGACAATCTGTGCATCGGCAGGTGCTGCGTTGGACCTCAGGAATATCTTGTTCTGTGCAGAAATAACTGCGTTCGATTCGGGAGGACGGCAGAACGAACAAACACAGTTGGGACATCGATAGTCACTTGCAGTCGTTCGAATGCTCGCAGCGCTCCTTGCCTAGGGAGTGAACATTTTAACCTATGTGGATGAATTACTAACGAGACCCAGGACCGACCGTCCGCATATTGTTATGAAGCCAGGGAGCTAGGAGGCAGATCTATTGGACAAAGATATGAGTCAGCACACAATATCAGACCCAGACGAAGCGGTTAACCGACGTACCGGAGCAAAACAAGCTTCCAAGGTGGTGGTGGTCCAAGGCAGTACTGGGACGCTGAACGAAGAGCAATTCTAGGTTATCGCACGTGATCTTCCAGGGCGATAACTTCCCAGCGGCTATTGAACGGCTGCCGCTTTGCCAGGATAAGGGCGGCCACGACGATGCACGACTCTTTGTATGAACGAACTCCACCCCAAGCGTCGTCTCCATCGATGATGTCAACGACATCGCACAGATCCCGTCGGACTCACCGTACCCAGTACACCATGCCACAGCCACATCCAGCACCAATTCCATCGCCAACACCGTCCAACATAGCCGAAAATCTGCATATGCCTAGTAACGAATCCTACAACTTTGATCCTAACGAGCCATATATCGCGGTAGCAGGGCAAGAGAGTGTTATTGCTGCGCAATCACCGCCCCCGCCTGGGGGATATCGACCACATGGAGGTGGCTGGGGAGATTTCGTCGGAGGGTTCAGAAGAGTCCTGGGAGTCGGAGGTGGGAAACGTAAGGCAGATACGGCGCCGATGCGAGTCCCGTCGACTCGTATCTCGATGCCGAGACCTCTGGTAGTGCCTGTTCGGGACGTCGAGCGCGATGCCCGACAGCAGCCGTATCCTCAGCCTCAACAACAACAATATCGTATGCCGACGCCTCCACCGCCGGCTTCTGCTCATGGAGCAAACGATTCTGTTGATGGAGGGACCACAGCTGTTGACCACGAACCTACGCAGCCGGTACATGTACGCCATAATCCTCCTCCATCCCAGCTTCCTTCCCATATGATAGGCAGTCCGGTTCTTGCTGAGCCTCAGCCAGGCTCTGATTATGCTAAGATGTCTGACATGGTCACCCCACCTCCTACAGAGATGTCATTTTCTTCATATATGTCACGCGTCGCGCAGTTCTTCCGTGATCTCAATAATCTGCCATGGATCGCAGAACGGATTACGGTTGATTACGTGCCTGGTCAGCCTACGCAGCGGCTGGGGAGGAGAATGTCAGGATCAACAAGACCTTCCCAACAGGTGATGTCCTGGTATGGTGGTCCGCATGGATCTGTGAATTTGTTGTCAGATGGATCAGCATCTGTAAGATATCGACAGATGCCGCCGCAGTCACCGTATGCATACGGTTCTCCTCCCCCACCTATCCATCTGATATCCCAACAACCACAGATGGGCATGGCGTATCCAGGTTCAGGCTCCGTGAGCCAGCCACCCCAAGCTTTCATGATGCATCCTCAGTATCCTGTGGGCTACATCCCATATCAGCCCGACACCGCAAATATCTATGCGCCCCAGCCCCAGGTCGCATCAATGCAAATCTCCGGACAATATCCATACCCTGTTTCTCATCGTCCACAGCAATCCGTATAATGGCATCTATCTTGCGATACCTGTTCTCTACAACTCCTTGATACTCTTTTTTTCACTTGGGTGGATCAAATTCTTGAACGACATTTATATCACGAATCAAATATCACGTAGTCCGCGCCTCGTACGACGTGTTCACTTCATCCGTTTTCTTCAATCTACGTCGCAATGCTTTACAAAACAGCTTTACCCGCAGAAATGTATCTATATATAGCAGAATATGAACTGCCTCCCTATCATTACGCCGTCGGCTTGATTCAATCACAACGGAAGTCGGTTCCACTCTGATATGTTTTGCGAGAGGTACCCGGGTACATTTTAAGAGACTGATTTCACTGCTGCCGGCACAGGAACACTAAAATGTTATCCTACCACGGGTCGAAAACATTTAAATGGCACGGCAACTGTTAGAATCATTACCCTTTTTTGGATCCTCTTGAACGTCTATCTCTATCTCCACTTAGACGAACCTGAAACCGAGCTACCCCCATACGAACGTGCGTGGATTTCTACATTACTTCCCCTCCCCTGCCCCCCTTTGATGTATTAATTCTGCTAGCTACTGTTAGCAACTCTTGCCTTTCTCACGTAACCTGGCCTTGGTCCATCATACAATTTACCGACTATGACTGTTTCATTCGCATCCTTAAGGACTACTACGGACTCGAACATTTCCCACCGTAGTCATGGATGTTCACGCCAACCCATTCCTTTCGGTCAAATAGTTCTGGATTGTGATTTCGCTATTCGAAGGTAAACCGAAGCTCTCCTGAGTCCTGCAGCGGTCGCATGCTCTTGCACAATTTCGTCGGCTGGTTGAAGGCCGAGTGGTGCGAAAGCTTGAAGTCGGCCCCACGGACAAGGATATCAGATGGAGTTCGTTTCTTATCCTAGTGGTTGAACAGCCCACCCAACGTTTCGCGGCCGAGAGGGAGACGGTGGGTGAAATAGTTGATGGTTAATTTCTGGTTCGTTCTCAAGTGGTCCTGCTCGCACTTCTAAATTTAAATCTAATAAATGAACACAAAAACCCGGAGACTTCGTTGTCTACACCTTTGGAGGGCGTACATTTAAGTAGCTTAGCCCCAAATGTCCGCAAATTCAAGAAAACGAAGGTGTGGTTCCCTCATTGTTGTGAACGCTTCAAGTTTCAAAGTACATACAGGTCCACAAGACGAAAAAGAAAAGAGACAAAAAACTCATTGGAAAGTGTAGTGTGGATTCAGTGAAGAAGTGAATACGGCATAGAATACTTGTGGAATGGGTTGTCTTCCACGGACTTGAATAGACTCGAAATCAGCGTACGAGGACGGGCTTTGTGGCAGTGTTTTCGGATCACTCAGTCCGATATCGGGGAAAATCATTGTTTTCGTGTTCAAACCTTACCGTCATATTCTCCAGCAGGCTCTCTAAGTGACTGGGTATGTCAACAATATTTGGATCAACCGTTCAGCCTGCTACAATTTCTCTATTCTCTTCCACCGGATCACAGCCATTGTACCTATTCGAATCAGCGCAGGACGACGCCCTGCCTGAGGATTCTTTCCTTCATTTTCTTAAGGACTCGTCTTCAGAACCAGCTCCAGAATCTCCACGTAAACTTATCTCTCCACCCTCTATTGAGTCGGATGTCTGCGATGAAAACGGTTATTCATTGTGTCAGACGGTACTCCATATACAGTCTCCCACTATCCGAACGACGTACATTAAATCCAAGGGAAATCTGGGCCTGAATCACCCGTGGTTTAGTCTCCAGGTGCGTAGCCTGGGCCGGGAATGGAGTTTCGAAGTTGGATTTGTAGATCAGATGAAGACAGTCCGTGTCGTGAGGCTGTCAACCTTCCAGGTAATCTCTTCTACGCATCTCTCTTCACTTTTCTTTTGAAGATAATTCCGGTTTCTTAATATCCATCTTTGTCTGTTGACTTCGGGACCTAACGATCAATTTTTTGGGCAGAAATCTGCGCGACTAAAACTCCCAGTACGAGGCAAACCGGCGCTTCTCCACCTGCCGTTGTCTTTTCCGATGGCCTTTGAGTCTTCGCATCTTCTGACGGCTTGGTCAACTGTCACGCTTAATCTTCCTTCCCTCATGCCCTACTTCTCCGACCTGTCATTGCTTAAAAACAATGACGATACGGCCCGCTCGCTTAGTACAGTCACCGCAGGGACCTTCTCGCATGTCTCATACGTGAAGATATACTCGACATGCCGACTGAGACGGATTTGGTTCAGTCAAGAGGGTCCTGCGGCGGAACTTCCGTGGGAATTCCAGTTGTACTCGGACGCGTAAAGAGCGCTGTGTCCGGGACAAGGGTACATCGGATGTGATCTACGGTTGGCGGAGGTGACAGTATAGGTGCACCTGTAGTATGCACATCCTCGTCTTATCAATCGGGGCATGCACCTGTCCATCAGCCGGAGTGCCTATCTCTATCGGATTTCATTGATGCGCCGGGTTCATGGGTCAAGCGTGTTACACCTAATCTCCCCCAATCTTGTTCTGCCATCCTACCGAATACGGATCAACTTTAACGTATACGTAGTATGTGCCAATTCTAGGGAATGAGTAAAATGGAGTCGTGTTTATTATAATGTGTAAAAGAAATCGGTTCTACGTGTACATTCCATAAATTGCCTGATTATACTACTACTAGACTCATACGAAATGAGGGGGAAAATAGAGAAGCAAGAGTACATATTGATTGTGCATGAGAGATTCGAAATTGAATATAGTCCGTAGATGCGCGATTGACAGTGACCGGAATCCCCGAGAGAAGTAAAAGAGAGACGACGAACGAAAACGAATGGAAAGTGCATAATCTCAACCCCTGCTTATTATCCGTAAAACGTGGTGCTCGCTGCACTTCCACGAACATGGCTAACCATCCCCATGCCAATATTAGAAAACGGGGATGGATGATACGGTACACGCCTCATGGGCTGGAAAGAGACGGCCATCAAACACTTTCTCAAGGATAGACGAGAGACCATACCGTGGTACTGCGATTCGTGTCAGAGTAAGAATCAGCAGTATACGACGGCTCATACAAGGGTCCCGGTGCAGAGCTGTCACCGGTATAGGAGCTGTAATTCAATGCGGAAGTCGTGTATGGTACAGAACCGGAACTGGCCATATCATAGGTCAACGGCGGAGTGCCTGAAGAGACGCTGCTTCTAGACGACGGCGACGATCGAGCAACGGGATGCTGTTCCTGCTCCCAATGCTGTTGGTACGTCGTTGGGAACTTGCATGTCGCCGTCGCGGATATTACTGCCCCCGTTGACGATGAAACGGGGGTACGTGCTGAACGCCGGTGCCATTGGTGATATGGAGCTAAATGATATCAGTTTGTTGTATTTGAGGGGGGAAATTTTCTTACAAGCATTGATATCACGAGGAATGGTACCGTTGCTGACGAGAGCATGACTTGGCTGGTTCAGCATGGATGCGATTCCCTTGGACTGGTCATTTGCAACCCTCTCCATGCATGCATTGGATAGAGGTGGAATTAACGACGAGTCAGATGAATTTTTCCTGGGCGGCAGAGAAGCGGGTCGCGGCGGTAAAACATCACCCATGAATCCTGCCAAGGACGACGAAGAGCTGACTAGACAGAAACCATAAACATAACGAAGATATAGAGATATGAAGATCACTCACGCTTGTAACTCAGTCCACCTGGATCACGAAGATGTCTTCTACCCCAGTTGTCAAAGTCACCCTCTTGTTTGGGAGAATAATTATATGAAATCTGGGCCGGTATGGTGGCGGTAACCGTAGCTGGTTCTGCCATGGGTATAGGCGACAAAGATGGAGAGGGATAGATCAGACTCTTGGCCCTTGAATATTCGACACTTGGTGATTTGGAGGTGAAGACAGCTTCCGTCAACTTGTACCGCTGACTTTGCCTTTCGTCGTCGCCCCCTTCCTTGGTCTCATCACGCCTTCTCTTCACTCCTGCAACATCAAAGCTAGGTGATAACCGTTCTAGCCTGTCGATGTCTACGCGAGGGTGCTCTGATAGGTCAGAGCTGAAGATCCCACTATCGTAGCCGGGAATCTGCCACTCAGGCAGCAGTACAGGCATCGACTCGAGAGGCCCTGGCTCCTCCCCGCAGTAGGTTAGGTTGGAAGAGGGCGTTCCACCGTGCGCGGTGAAAGGGTCGAGGCGGAACACGCCCATCATACTGCGCATGTCGTCGTTGGCCTGCGTGGCACGGAGAGGGACCTGCGTCGGGGGTGCGAAAGGCTGGGAAAGCAACGACCGTCCGAGAAGGGAATGGGTGTGCTCCGGGGAAGGCGAACATCGCCTGGCATCAAGCAGAGGCTCGATGATAAACTTGGGGGATCCTGGTTCCTCCTTGACGGATTCCACAGGTTTAGGACGATGAGTGCGAGATTTGTACTTTGGCTTTGAAACGGGACAAGACTTTGGCGAGGACGACGAAGAGAGAGGCTCGAACGCGTGAGCCGCCGGATAAGCTATATCATCATCCAGAGATTCGTTCCAGAGATTGTCGGGGGCCAGGGTCGCGCTAAGCGAGGACGCAGAAGCTAGCGTCGATCGTGGTACAAAATTCCAATTCCAATGAGAGGGTCCAGTGAGTGTCGGGTATGGAATTGGTGGCTCAGTCACCACTGATGATAACAATCGACCGAACTTTTGCATTGCGCCTAGTTTCTGGTCAGTATCGTAGTCTGCTGATGATGGATACAGTTTTGTCAACGGGTCCAGAGACCGGTAATCTGGAATAGACAAATGTTGATCAATGCCGGAGAATTGATTACCATGTAGGACATTACATTACCTCGTATTTGTCTTGGGCGCGTATATGGCTGGTCCAAGTATTCACGACTCCTTGTCTCAGTAAGAAAGAATAGGACCGTCTTACGACGCGTCTGCCTTCAAGTACGACACGGATAGAACAGACAGTCGCGGCGAACTGGAGGACTGAAACAGAAAGGCCACATACTCCCATCCAATCGTTCCTACATTTCATTCATACCTCTATAATGCTCCCATGAGATCGCCGCACCCCCATCTCATTCCCATGCACGGCAGCGGAGCTCCCCGTTCCACCCCTCTGGGTTGCAGGTGGCCTCCAGATGCACCAAGATTCGTTCGTCAAAAGAACCGTATCCTTCCCAGTTGCTCTTTCCGGGCATGTTTCGCAGACGGATCCGCAATGCTTCTTACGCCGCAATTGGCAACAACTTTCACATCGTCACATCATACTCCGACGCAACTCCACAGCCAAATATTTACGTCCCGACATATGCCGTCGTCGGCATACCTCGCAATCCCCATTCGGCGCCTCACCACTTTCACTTCATCAGACTTCTTCGAACGATCTTCAACTTCGTATAGGCATTGATCAGGGCGGTTGAACGCGCCTTTCCACGAGATTCACAACCCCGTTTCTTTGTTCAACAATGAATAGAGGTTCAATCAATCAACATTTCATCCACTTGACCATGTCTGACATACGGTCTTTTGTCACTCTTCGATGTAAATTCACTCTCGCAATGATCATTTTTTAATGAAATGCATCCGATAACGAGTTGTCCAATTTGTCACTTACCGCTCAGGATCTCACACCCGCCACCACCGACGCCACAAACATTCGGGCATCGGTGAACCCGCCACATTCGAGAAGTTGCGCTTTCGCTGCATTGATCGCCGGCCAAAGAATCGCTAGCGTCACCGTGGATATGTCGGGACTTTGTTCCCCGTCTTGAACCACTAGAAGCTTGAATCGGACCAGAATCCATGGCTTTACCAGCGCAACACCGAGCCGTATAAAGTTCTGAATATATATCGTTATAGACCGGAAATAGTGTCGAAACAAGGTGAAAAAGAATAGAAGGCGCCGAAGCCATCACTTGGAATATCGACCTTGAGAGACTGAATCAACAACTGAATTAGGTACCTAGACAGTGATGGTCGCAGCTGTGACCGAGGCACGCGAAGTCGTCGAAGCAGAAGCATCCCTAGGAACGCGCAAAGAGGGGAAAAGACGCCCGCCTTGTTGTTGTCAACGATGAGAAGTTAATGAACCCTCTACAGGTGCTTGAAGCAGTAGCAAGGCAAGGGGGTGGAAAGGTTATTGCGTTTACCACACGTAAGAAAGTTTTCGCATCTGCTAGACCGGCGGTTGTCTGAGGCCTAGGGTTTCATTTTGCCGGGAATGAGAAGAAAGCGAGGACCAGCAGAAGAATAACAGCACTGAAAGCACGGGAGGTGTTTGCCATTTGACGATAGAGTTTCACAGGATTCAATGAATACATACCGGGATAGTTGGGTTTCAAGAAGGGTCGAGAAGGTCCCGAACCGTTCATAACCAAAGAATTAGAGCACCACTGCCCAGTCAGTACAATACAACTGTCGCGACCGGTGATCAAGTAAAGCGTTCCCGATCGAGCGCAGGAAAGGAGGCTAAAGAGCATGGATGTATGGGCTGAATGAGCTGAATGTACCGGGATTTGGACATAAGAAGGCACAGGCAGAGGTGTACCGTCATTTCGTTCCCCGAAGATCAAGGAGAACGACGATGAGACGCAGACTCGGTCAAGTTAAAGGGCATATGAAGCATCGGGTGAAGAACGGGTGCCACTCTAAAGAAAGGCGCCGGATGATCTTCTCAAGTTGATAGGCAGGTACGATACACACCTAAACCGTCAGTCTTAATATAGAGAAGCGTACCACTGCCCTCAAGACCCGGTCTGTATATCATCCTGGCACATCGTCGAGTCAGACGAGATTTCTTCTCACACGAAAAGCGTCGACCACATGTTACAAATAAAAATCAATTGCTTCAAACCATCAGCTGGCGCGGCGCCTACGTCGATATGGCCCGAGCAGCAAGTGAAAACCCCCAGTATCGGCAAAAGAGTGGAAGGTAACCCAGGAGCATAATTCTTAGTCCTTTGCGTGGCGGTCAGGAGAGACGCTGATGATATGTCCGAGCCTGTAACCGCGAGCATGTCCAGATGACATACAAATCGGGCCAAAGCCAATGAAAATTTGCATCGTATCCGCGAGCTAGACCGTGGTGCCTAAAACCTTCCTTCGTCTCGGTCGAGAGTAAGATTAGTCTTTTGAGGTGGCCGTAAAATAGGCATCGGCATCGAGCGTTAAGGACAAGAACATAAAATGGACGTGAGCTGTCCAATACAGCTGTATCAGAACGATAGAACGAGACCAAAAAAATCGGCGAGAATCTGTAAAACGGATTTAGTTAGAAGAATGCGAGGATTGTCGTAAAGGTAGATCTACCCGTAAAGATTGAGTTGAGTGTGTGAGTCTCGGAAAGAGAAATTCGAAATTGGAGGTTGAACAATATCCCCACGTGGCCATGACTTCTTCCTCTCCGAGTCAATTTACTTTTCACAAGTACTATTACTACAAGTGCTTTCCTTCGCTTGCTCAATCTGATGGCTGGCTATAATGATTGAAGAGCTCGGAAACCAGCCAAATGCCATCAATACTTTTGCCAAGAATCATCCGCCAGCAAACTTCCTGTTGCCAGCTTAACTAGAGTGGGAGTGTATGATTGAAAGATCCTCGTCTTATAGTGACTGATCTTCAATTCTGTAGGCCGTTGTCCACTATTCGGAACTCGTGTTGATGGTCGCATCTGGTCTTCCTGAGCAAAGGATACCTTGAACTTCCTTCTTATGCTCTCATCGCCGGCAACTACAGCGTCCTTACACAACGACCATACTCAATATGTGGCTTTTGAATGACATTATCTATCGCTGCTTGGTGCAAGTAAATGTCTCCCGCGGTACTCTGAGCGAAGGTACCGATAAGGGCAAAAACCAGTTCGGTTACTAAGTTTCCATCGCAGTCTTCTGCCAAATTTTTCTCCCTCGTGTTTTAAATTGGTTTGTACCTAGGTCTGTTTCTGACCTCGCGTAACCGCAGATGGTGAAGTTTGAAAAACTGATGAGCTAGGCCCTCTATAGATATACACTATTTAAGCGGCGTTCCTACCCCAACCAGGTGCTGGTCCCCGTTACGATGTACTCGGGACCACCGATCCGAACTACATCAGCATCGTCCCCAGATTTTGTATCCTCCTTCCACCAGTCTGCGAAACCTACGTTCAGGATGATGGCAGCTCGTGTGACAACTCTACCTGCGGAGATTCTATCCTTGATCATCGGAGAGGTAAGCTGTGGCATGACAGCAATCTCTTTCCCATCTGATGTAGCGCAACAGTTTTACAATGCCAGCGAATGGGAAGATTTACGAGCTCTGAGACTGACGTGCCAGCGTCTCAGCGAGCTCATTACACCCATTCTATTTTCTGACGTCCATGTCAACCTTTGTGGATCAAAAATATTCAAGGCGTCATCTCAACTCGAAGACTTTTCCTTGCGGCGGACTCGGGTCACCCAGTTCGTAAAGAGCTTGAATATTCTGTCGTTGGAGCAGCAGTTTGATGACATGGGGGTGACTTCTTCTGTTAACGTTGCGAAAATGCCCATTTTCTAATCAAGAACGTAGATACAAGCGCTTCGGGCTAGCTTGAACGCGTCAAGGCATATTGGGTCTGCCATTCGCTCCTTACGTAGTGTCGACCACGTATCGTATGTTTTCTTTCCTGCCCCTTTGCATTCTTATATTTTTCTCACAACACCCCAGATTACACGTCTGCCAGTACAACCCGAAGAACAGTACCGGAGTTGTGCTTGACGCCCTAACGTATCTCCCAAAGCTCACGAGTCTAACCCTTTCCGGAGACACTGCGACAAATTGGTGTGACATTAATTTCCACGGCTTCATGAATATCGTCGAATTCACAATTGAAGCTCCGACTGGAGAATACCTAGAACATCATCTCCACACTTTCATGACTAATAATCCTCGTCTTCAACGTCTATGCGTGACCTTTCAGCCTCCGCACCTTCGTATAGGATGGAGACTTGACGTGGCCTATATCTTTGATAAAAAGAAGGGACCGTTCGCTCTTGAGCACCTAGAGCTTCACGGCAGATGGAGAATATCCGACCCATCTTGCATAGGGCAGCTTCCCTCTCTTGCGTCACTTTGCCTTTCTGATGACGATGACGAGGGAAGTAGCTTGGCCTTGCTACTCTCACATCTAGTAAGCCCTCTGAAAAAGCTGGTGTTCCCCTTGCCAGCTGCGAAGCAGCGAAGACTGGGAAAGAGTGACCACATTTTAATGGCCCATCTTTCTTCGTATTCGGGCCTAGAAGAACTCACCGTCAGCGCTTTGGGAGTGGCCAGTCAAACGGAGCTCTTTCGAGAGGCTCTACCTTGTCATATTGATACACTCACAAAGGTTGTTTTAAATTATGCGTTTTGGGACATCTCCCCTTGCGACTACGATTTTTTGGCTGTTTCCCAATTCCACAATCTTCAGCATCTGGAAGTGACCTTGCTGTCCATCATTCTAACGGCCAGTGAAGTAGTCGTTCCGACGGTTGTAAGTTCTCTATGTTGCTTATGAGCTGTTATGAGCTAAATCTAGTTACTTGACATTAGGTTGCGTGGTTAGACATAGCGACTCGCTTGTATAAGCTTCGCAATCTTCATTTACATGTTATAGACATGCCCGCAACGCTCCTGCCACACACCGACGAACCTACAATGAGCGTGGAAGAAATCATACAAGTCTACAGCAACTTCGACAAGACTTATCCCCCTCATCTTCGAGTCCACGTACACGCATGGGAAAGAATGTCCATCACATACCACATCATCGGCGCTCGCTTTATGCCACTATACACTTTCAGGCACAACGTTAAAACGCACGAGTTTCCTTGTGAAACTGATGGCAGACGGAAATTGTTCAGGATATGGGCTGCTGGAATGCCTTCCACCTTCATTCGTTATTGGTTCGAGGCATATCCAGTGGGATTGTTGCTTTTTATTTTGGGCTTAACGTTGGCACTTGTGATAGCGTTCGCGGTGAGAATCTTCCATACTCTAGATGACGTGGGGAAGTTCATGATAACTTATCTATCAGACGTACTGGATGGGTTCCTCGCGTGCCTTCGAGCGACCATGTCAGGCTGTCGGGATACCCTTAGAAGAATTACTTCAGTCTGTTGAAGATAACATCATTATCATGATGTCTGCATTGTCAGAAGAATTTCCACACGGACTCAGATCCTCGTAACCAAATTAGATGCATGTGTGAGATTGGGGTGGGGCCTACTATTATTGTTGCATGCCACTTTTGTTTTCACAACTTCCGAGTGTATAACAGTCTTTCACCTAGCTCCACTCACCACGCGCGCCTTCCCTCGTCAATATCGATGGATCTATCTATATACAATCTGTTTGTCATTTAGGAACATGTATAGACCGCGTAAGTGTATAAGCCATTGTAACAAGGTTCTGCCCTTGGAAGAACCCCGAACTTTAGAGCGGCGGAGCTTGCAAGGATCGAAGTACTTATGGTCGTTATAGTCCGGTCTTCGCGTGGTATTTGGATGAGTTCCGCAGTTTAATGAGTGAGAACCCCGGTCGTATTAATCCGTTGTGCGCACCCTTGTAGGTCAAATGCCGCCCGTGAACGTGCACGTAGTGTGCAATGAACTACGCCACACGATGTGACTTTTAAGCTTCTAATAATTCATCGACATTATCAGAAGCAACACGATGAATTTGGACGAGAACTATGACCTCTGGGTCGCGTCGAATTCGGGGACTAGTTGACGACCTGGTAGGATCGTCTTTGACATAATGTTTGAGTATTCCAATACGATTCTGACTAGGCATGAAAGGAGTGTACCTGTTCATGTTTCGTTGATTCGTTGCCTGGTGCTACCAGTAGCCGTGAACCGAACAACCTCGCTTTTTTCTTTCATAGACGGAGAGTCCTTAGCTGTCATTATTGTGTCGTTTCGCAGACATCGTGTACTATGAAATGGGTCGCCATTAATTTTTGCCTGGATTTCCACTGCGCATGCCTTTTGCCTCATGGGGCACCTTCTTTCCTGCGATGCCAGTGATGAGATCGATGGGACTAAAGACAGAAGAGTACGTGGAAGATACTGAGCAGTAAGCTCCGAGACTAGATGATGGCTCCACCATTAGCAGCCGCGGATTCAGTGACTACATGATAGAACCTCGTTTGAGTGCCGTTACCTCTTGTTTCAATTTGCTAAGAGAGCTCTTTCTGTGCTCTGACCTGTGCATATTTTGGTATTTGATGGCATTTAACTGAACAAGGCGAATTGCCCACCACAGTCCTGAAGGACCGAATTCCGGAACTTACGTCTCCTGGTTTTGATCGGGCTACTAGAAGGAAGTCCTCGAGATCAGCTTGACACTGCTTCCAGGGCAACATTGAATAATTCAGCACATATATTTTGGGCTGTTCGGCGACTCAAAGGACACCACGACTATTTCCCCTTTCAAAAAATATGGATCCAGAGTCCGTCAAGCGATATTGAACCGCGCGGCTTCTAGGGATGGCTTTGACTGAGGTCAGTGGAAGCGCGTTTGGACCCAAGTGAAGCGCAACCTATAGATCGTGAGATGACCAAGTCATCCGTGGAATCGTCTTTACGTACCTCTCCACTGACAGCACCACTTCGACCACTGGCCAATGGCCTCACATCAACGTGGTAGGTTGCGAGCTGCAGCAAGTCACGGAACAACTGATCTGGTTTGTCATGAACCACCAGATGATGCCGGATAAGTAACGTTGTTTGATGCTTTACAAAAGAAGGGGTCAGGATGATTCATCTCGCCCGGAAGCTCAAATATATACCTTGATGCACTGAGCCCTTAAGGCGCGGCAAAACCGAAGAATCTCAAGGGCAGATACCCCAATCCATTCCAGCGTCGAGACATCATCGAGAATGATAAGTGAGTCCGGAGTGCAACCCTTCAGGCCTTCGACAACAACGTCGAATATCGGCCTCAATCCAAGTTCTTCTAGTTCAAAGGAAGAAACGTCGACAAATGTAAGACAGCCGGAGTTCTTCTGCTGCTCAAAATTCACGTTCTACAAAAATTTTAGCTTGGAACTCAGGATTTGAATGTTAGCTACATACGTGCTTCGATGATATAGCCTGCCATCTAGCCCACCCTTCAGACACAGACAGAATAATTCGTTTCGCCTCCTTGCGCTCTTTTACGTGCGAAATTAGCTTTTGGTGGAGAATGAAGTCTGCAGGTGAGGGCAACTCATCCGTGATGAGCTGTATTATTCCCTGAGGCAAATCTAAAGGCGTAAAAGTCATAAAGCCTCTCTGGTCGGGACTCGGGTACGAATTCCTAAAGGCAATAGCACTGCCACCGGTAACTTCCGTCTCTAAACTCTTTCCTTGGCAACTGCGATGATACAAATGAAACGTTTTTTTTGGACCTTGAAGCTTTGAAGCTCGAAACTTGAACTATTACCATGAGCGTTATGGATATTCCTCCTCCAGGGTTAGTTGTAGCACTTGGTCACTCTGGACGACGCTGACAGGGACAGTAGTTACACTTCCGAGCTCAATAGTCCAATATCCGACACTCCACCGTTATCAAGTTCTCTTTCAAACATTCCTATCCTGCCTCCGGTACCAGAACGAGTACCTTTTGGCAATCCGCCAAGGTACGTCCCATAGTTCATCTCTCGTCTCAGACTTTAATTCAAAGTTTGCAGTTATGGCATAGCAAGCCGGCCGGTTGAGCCATTGGTGTACTCCTTCTCTACGGTGGGGCCAACTTCTATGCTTCTTCTTCCTCCGCCTTCAGCGCCGGATACTCGCCCACGATATCACATCTCCGTCAGCACCAACTGCTTTACGCCAAGTTCTTACATAACAATCGTCCGAAAGGGAGCGTCAGAGAATGGTGAACTCATAGGAGAATTCGAGTTGGTTATTTTCACACCTCAAACTGTATCACGAGCACTGACTGTGGTCCGCGCGCATCAGAATGGGTCTGACCAGTAAATTAAAGCCTCCAACTGTTTATGTTCGTGGTCAAGAAGCACTGCTAGGCAACACCTTAGATGACTCCAGACGACACGTAACAGTCAGTCTAGTTTTATTTCTGAGTTTCTATATATTCATTGGGTTCTCATGCCCAGAGTATTTTGTGGAAAGGACAGGTTGGTAACCTTTTGGGATGATGGCTCCACTACGAAGGTGTGTATATTAAAGTCCGTGACGGGATTTATCAGGCTCACCAACTACAGTGCTACCGTACTGAGCACTGCAGGCCTCTTGAAATCTTAGCAGAATTCATCGTGCCAGGAGGACTTCGACGACTAGGGGAGCCAGCACTGTCCACGAAACTTAAAATATACCCGGAAGGTCAAGAACACTTCGATGATATCCTGATATCCATCCTCGTTCTGGAGAGGAAACGTACCACCTTGGCTGTGAAAGAAGAAGTTATAGTTGCAAGTTCGTCGATCCGAAAACCTATGAGATCTGTACACACATCTTCACCGCTTCGCGACACCGCTGCGGTAACTGATGTTGGAGGACCTTCACGACAGCGACGATGGCATTACACGGAGGTTCCACCGTCTGCAGAAGGAGGTGACTACAACAGTCAGCTTCATTCATTGTAGGATGAGGTCGGTGACTGGCACGTGCGTCGTCGTTATCAAGCATCGGTAGTCTGGGCTCGCTCACATTTGGCAATACTTTGATGTTTCTGATTAGTGGACACTCTGCAATAACAATTTTGGCTCAATATAATGTCCAATCAGCTGTTCATTTTAGGACCATCTCTTCACGTCGCTTGTGTCCGACATATCCGTAGTCTATCGCAGTCAAGCAAAACATGGGCAACCATCAGATATGGCTCGGATACTAATGATTTCCCAGCAGCGTTTCAGCAACCGTGGAAGGTGGGCTCCTTTCTTTACGCGGGTGCCCATAGTAATGAGACTTAATAGAACATTTCCCTGGTCAATCATCGACATCGCCCATCTCCATGTTACTTTCTGCGCCTCATGCGGGACATTCGCCACCCTGTGGCACGTGAACCACTCATATCAGATGTCGTTTATAACTACCGGAAGAATATCTGGCATGGGGCTCGTCAACTAGCTCGTTCCATGTCTAGTGCCCACCTACGCGACCCTCCGAACGACGTTGACCATAGTCTGGCCACCCACTGTTGAGTTAATGTCGGCACCGACGGTGTACATATTCTTCTGCGATCAACATATTTTCTAGACCTGGAAACGGCGGCATAACCGCCAAGGACGTTTCAACGATGCCAAGAATGTCTCTCTACTTGGCAGAAAGATAGATGCCGCATCGACATTTTTCGTCAATATAAAACTACTGCTTACATTGCCTTTGCGGACTCCTTCATCCTTTGCTCTTTTTTATCTTTTTCGGCTGGCCCTCCTTCTTTGCCTTTTTCCGCCGTTCTTTTGGTTCCCTGGCTCTACCATTGTTGTTTCACTCACTAGCTGGCCTGGTCCTTCTTCATTTTTTCTATTCCTTTCAATCTTCACGAACGCCATGCAGGGCATCGGGTTTCTTCTTTGGCTCATTGTAGCACCAGTTTTGGTTGTGAACGCCCATTTCGCCCATCTATATCGACGGCACGTCGACACGCCGGAGCTTGGAGTTTTGTTCCAGGGTAACCAGCAGTTCAAGACAAAGATGCAGACCGAGAATCCCACACTGTTGGCCCACCTTACTGAGAACGGACAAGGTAAGCTGGCGCGTATCTGATTAATCAATCACCGATTAAAACGTATAATCGATAGAACCAGAGTTCATGTTCATCGGATGCTCGGATAGCCGTGTGAGCGAAGGTACCATCTTCAACGCCAATCCAGGCACGCTTTTCACGGAACGCAACATCGCGAATCAGTTTGTGGCTGAGGATGTGAATGCGTACGGTGACACAAGTTGATGACACGTTTTGGGATTAACAGTTTCGCAGGCAATCAGCTGTAGCTTATGCCGTCTCCGAGCTTCGTGTTCAGCACATCATTGTGATGGGTCACTACGGATGCGGCGGAGTCGCCGCTGCAATCGCCACTCCACCAGAAGAACCACTCGATGTAGCGAATACTGCTGTGCAAAATTGGATTGCCCCCATCCGAGCATTGTATCAGAATTCAACGAGGTATGTCCTATCCTTACTCATCGTGACATTAGTGGATTTTGAACCAATCCGATAGAGCGGAAATCGTTTCACTTCGAGAGAAGAACGCTGCCCTTAAAGTGGTCGAAGAACCGGAGCCAAAAGAAGGCAGGTGTTGGCCTTCATTCTCCTCGATATCCCTCCGTACTTAATTTTTTTTGTTTCTGCAGCTGGTTTTCGTGCTCTTGTCGAAGAGAACATCAAGGTTAGTGTCCAGGCTATCGCATCATCCACCGTCATCCAAGATGTACGTTGTCTCGCCATCTCGACTAGCTGTGTCCCTGATGAACTCATAGCACTTCGCCGCCCTTGCTCAAAGCGGCGGTGTCAATGAGGCAGGAGAGACGCTTGTCCATGTATTCATTCATGGATTGGTGTATGACATTGCCAATGGCGAAATACAGAACCTAGGTATCAGTGTCGGACCCCCAGGTGCCGAGATCCCCTCAGTTCCCTTCGCTGCAGTTAGTAATGGGGCGGTGGAACCTTTGGAAAATACGTCTGAAGACCCGTTACTTGTTTGCCAGAAATTGTGCAAGGCAAAAAGGGACTTATTCTAGTGAATGGTCTACATACTGGAGATAGAACACTGTTGTAGGCCGTTCCAGTGACACCTTACCGGAACTCGAAGGCTACTGAAATCTCAGTGTATATGGGGGGCTTGCTTCATATAAATTGCGAAAGGAACCGACTCGGCCTCGACCCTATTAGCAATACCTTTACTTGATCCTTGTGTTCTGGCAATAGCGGACTCCATTAGACTCCATTTCACGTAAGCTTCCGAATTACTGTCCCTAAAGTTAACGTAATTCTAATTGCAGTTCTGTAGCGTAGAATTACAGTCGAGAGCATTAATGATGGTCACGGACTGCGCTTATACCTTTCATTATCTGCCGCAGTGGAAAGCATAAATGCATACATATCATAGATATCACTTGCGAACATATCATGGTACGTAGAGATGACACGTATAGGACGGACACGTAAATTAATATGCTTACAGCTTGTTAAGCGAAGCAGTGGTAACATTCTGTCCAGCTGCCTTTGCCCGCTTGCGCAACATTTGAGTCGACTTGTTGCCACGAAGTCCACCACCCCACTGTCGGCGCTGCTCCTCATACTTATCAGAGCTAAATAATATTATCAGTGACGGGTATTTCATAGAGAATATGACCGAACTCACAAGTTAGCCTTGGCAGCGCTGATGAGGGTAGCAAGCTCGCGCTGGTCCTCACTCTTGACTTCCTGCAAGGCAACAACGGCAGCGGTCTTCTTGTGTACGACGGTACCAAGACGGGCCTTGCCCTTAACGATGACGTAGGGAACACCCATCTTGCGGCAGAGGGCAGGGAGGAAGACCACAAGCTCGATGGGGTCAACATCGTGAGCGATGACAACGAGAGAAGCTTTCTTGGCCTCGATCAGAGCGACGATGTGGTTAAGACCGTACTTGACGAAAAGAGGCTTCTTGGTCTCCTGCAAGAATGAAACATGTAAGGAAATGAGCATAACTAAACCGATCAACGCATACCTCCTTCTTTCCCTCAGCAGTAGCAGCGGCAGTGGCCTGCAGGCGCGCTTTTTTCTCCGCGGTTGACTCTGGGCGGTATTTGTTCAAGAGCTTGAATAACTGCGTCGCCGTGTTCTTGTCCAAGGTGTGAGAGAATTGAGCGATAGCGGGAGGGACCTTGAGGCGCTGGTTCAGGATGACCTTCTGACGCTGAAGACGGACATATTCGGGCCACTTGACGAAACGCGTGAGGTCTGTCTGATGCTGGATGTCTTGTCCTGTACCAATAGTCAGAGATGAATAAGACCCTTCCAAAGGGACGACGTACCAATACCGAAGTTTTTAGGCTTAGCCTCGAACAGAGGGTTCTTTTTTGCCTTGGTCGCCTTGCTAGCGCCAAAGGGAGCGGCAGCGGGCTTCTTGGCGGATCCTGATTTTGGGGCTTTGGGCTGGTCATCGAGACGAGGCAGTCAGTGAACGGTTGACTCTCTTGCGCCTCGGAGCTCTAGCGCCGTGCACTTCACAGTACATGGCCCAGCGTATCGCTTCATTGCATCAGCTCGGCGATTAGAATGCATGTATGCAGAGTCAGCTGTGAGTCAAAAATTGAGCATGCCTGCGAACGTCATCCAGGTGAAAAACTTGCCATCCATCTCATTCCTCCAGCAAAAAGGGCCATGTTTGCACCAACGCCAGAGCTTCGAAGGTCGAAAAGTTGATTCTTACCATTTTTAACGGTAATCTTGAGGCCTTGACGGTAGAGCTTGAGGATGGAGGATGAGCTACGCCCTGCCCTCCAAAAGATATATTTGTGTATGACTAAGCGAACGGGCTGAGCGGGCCGAGGAAATTAGGGACTTCCAAAATTATTTAAATAATTACAAACCTCTTCGACTTGACATTGATGTCTGTGCTCTCGAACGCAGCTACGGACGAGTGCTAACTCACCATCACACCATGTCATCGAAGGAACATGAAGAGAGGCGACGCGTACGCGGACCCCGAAGGCTGTTTTCTACCGACTCAACCAAAACATCGTCGTCTCGTCGGTCTTCGTCTGATGTTTCTCTCTCTGATGATGATACTCGAAGGCACTATGCGGGGGGGCAATCCAAGTTCTCCCCAATGTCCCAGCTGGATGAAGTGCCGTTGGAGGAGCACGAAGGGTGGATGAGGCAGGGTATGGTTGAGTCACCCCTCAGTACCCCAGAGAATCTATTTGACGACGTGCCGTTACCTCGCTCTGAAAGTCCCAAACCAGCAAAGCCCAAGCTCGAAATTCGGACTGGCCCGTCACTACTGGCAAAGGCGTCCGCTAGCTCTGACAACGGCACTCTTCCATCTCCAGGAGCAGCGCGGTGGGACCGTATTCGCCAGCACGTTTTACCCCCATCTGCAGCTTCCTCCGGCGCTTCGAGAACCTCATCTTCACATGTGACATCTTCCTCGTCCTCCTCTTCGCAGAATGTTTCCCGTGCGCCCACTCCCAAGGCATCCCGATTTGTTCAGAGACTAGGATTCAAGCAGGTCGTTGAACATGCCAGAGAAGTTATCGTGGATGACAATCGCAAATTCTCCTACGAGCTACAGAAGGTATGCTGGCTGGCCAGACATGATGAACCATCCTCCGCAGTGAGAATCGAGCAACATGGGACGCCCTACCTCCCCTTCATGTCCAGCACCTCCCTCAATATGCATGCACCCTCCATGTCTATGAGCCAGTCTAACAAGAAGCACGACATGCGTCGCCAGTCTATGCAATCTTTATCTTCCTCCCCTCAGAGTACGGCATCCCTGAAGCAGCTTTATCACGTATTATTACTTCACTCAACGCCGACCCCCGACGGTAGGGAGCCGGCACCACAGCTTCCGCTTGAGAATTTTGTCCTATCCACACTGCTAATCCCATTTCTCACCCTCGAGAAAAATAATCGTCTTGATGAGGAAAGGTGGTTTGCCATTGAAGCATTTGAGATTATTCGGAAAACCTGGAATCCTTTAGATGAGGCATGTGTTTTTCCCTCTAAATCTCTGTTCTGCAGCTGACTGTACTGTAAGATTGCAGGTGTGGAAAGAAGCATGTGGTGTATCAAGGCGGCCCTTATCCCCCCTGCTCCCATTCGCATACGGCTCCTTACATCGCTGTGGCACCTAACTATTCCTCCGGAAAGTTTTTCCCTTGCGACCTCACCTACCACTCTGCAGGGACTTTGTCAAGGCCTGTTTTCTCTTCTTCCTTGGGTGCAGCTGCATACGGAAGAAGGCAAACTGTTGACTCAAATCATACACCAAGTCCGTACTGGGTCGTGCGGCAAAATGCACAAAGCGTCAATTGAAAGCGAATATAGTGCGTCCCTTGTCAGCAGCGACACTTTACAAACCATTCGCGACGCGCTCGTCCTCGAAGCTCTCGGAAAGTGCATGGAAAATTCAACCGATGCTGACAGGCGATGGCTACTAGTGAATTTCTTAGAGGCAGGTAGCTACTACGACTATCATTAATCGCGTCTAATGTATGTGCATTCTCTAGGAACAGTGGCCCATACCCCCCCGGGATTTGGCGCTTTCACCTGTCCTGGAAGCCATATATTCACGCAAATTGAACGTGTTCACGCGCGTATTCTGCTCACTGCTAGAATCCACGTCCCCAGAAAGCAACAGGCGAGCGAATGACGCTCAACATGTAATCAAGTTCCTACAGACACGGGTGATTCCAGAGTTGGATCGGCTTTCAGCAAATAACCTTGAGGCAAAACGTAATGTTATAAAATGTACCTTGGTTATGTTAATGGCTGAAGATATGAACGATGTTGGTCGTTGGTGTATATCTGCCATACGTTGTTGGTATCGAGATGCGGGTAGCTGGAAAGATAATTTCGAAGAGGGATTGAAGCTTGTTGTAAGACGGACTAGAATTGTGTGCATGAGGTGTGCTGACCTGCATTCACCAGATTTCTGAAGGGCAATGGCAGCCCGTCATCATTATCTTAACTTCGTTGGCTGAAGTACTGCCGCAAGATGTTCGGAAGCCAGTAATAGCGTTTATGCTACCGCCATTGTATGACGTGAGTCAGGGCGGTTGCTCAATTTCATCATCGCCTTGACCTCCGCTCCACAGCGTTTAGTTGATAATCCTCCGCCACTTCCTTGTCTTCCCCTCACCACTCTGTTCAATGGCTTATCACAGGCTTATCCTCAGATCTTCTATAAACCCCTTTTTCTTTGTGCGGCATCTGTCAAAGAAGTCGCTGTTGTCAACCATCTCTGTACGATCACAATAATATCAAGGTTTCTTCCCGACTTTTGGGTCCGTGATGCAGAGATGATATCTGTCGCGGTCATGAGTGACATTGGGGGTAGCGGTGATGCTAATGGCAAGGGAAAAGCAAAGGAGGGTGCATGGGGAAATGCCCGTCTCGGACAGTCTGTGCTGCTGGTTGAGCTAATAGGAAAGGTACAAGGTATAAGGCGGGAGAAGGAGAATACCTCGGTCAGCTCGGTCAGTCGATCTTTTCTGTGACGATCATGGAACTTCGGTCTCATACCTTGCATATATAGATTTCGGAAGTTGCTCTACTCGAGATGATCAAATTCGCTGTTGAGCTAGAGGCACGCTTGGCCCTGATGCTCCAGGCAAAGGTTCGCACCTCTTTTTGTATCGCGTAATTGATAATTGAGTCGCAGATAGGAACGTACATTCATGGTGCCACCGTCTCAGCGACTATTGTTTTGCGTTCTGTTCCGAGAAATAAGACTGTTAACACGTTCGATGAAAGGGTATGTCAAGTGGATTTGACATTCCACTCTTTTCTAAACATCCCTGAAGTGCTCCTTGGTTACCTCAGATCATCTCATGGTACACCGCTTACCATAATGACCCTGAGCAAGATGCTTTCAATGACGAAGTCAACGATGCAGTCACCATTATTCAATCTCTTTTCGTTATGGCACAGGATGTTCATTCCCATAAGGTAGCTTGACTGATCCTCTAGAAAAACATCTGCTTATAATCATTTAGCGCCGTAGCACTAGGTTGTTATCCTTTGCACTTGACCCTGCTACTCCCGGCGCCAACAACGGATCGGAAATTTTGACTGTTTTAAGTCAGCAGTCTAAACTAATCAAGTCCTTGTCAAAAGGCTATGTTTCCCGGGCAATGAAGCTTTTGGTGACCATATCTCTCCTGCTGACACCAGAAAATCTGCGACGAATAGGGCCTATTGTATGGCAGCATTACTTAGACGGAGCTGAAGCTTCCGTCCTAGCGTCGGTAAGGACAGTACTTATTACCTTAGTCGTCTCTTTTAACATGAGTGCAGGCATGCTACTTAATTATGCAATGTGCCGAGAAAACTTCTGTCGATCTTCAATCCGTGATAGAAAAAGATTTGACTAGGTAATATGAAAATCTCTATACCATACTCCGTTACATCTCGTTAACTGTATCGACAGTGCGGACCACAGTACAAAGCTCAAGGCTGTACGTCGCATGAGCACGTTGTCAAACTGGCGCTTCCAGATAGCATCACAGCATGTCGTATCTGATCGTCAGCACCGTCCTTTCAAATTGGCTCGGGGACCACTTCCTTTTATTGCAACAGACATGGGGTCGAGCCAGTACGTTCGAGATGACGATTATCTGGAGACAAAAGACAACCTTCCTTTGGAAATGAGGAAACGTTTGGCCGAGATAGGGTGGGTCGAAGACGACACTCCCATCAATCAGCAGATGGAATGGATACGTACACCTATGTCGCTACTCCCGGTTCAACAACTGGACCGCTTGGACTTTTCGAATACGGAGAGTTTCCCGTCGTCGCCTGTCGTCAGCCCAGCATCTTCTCCTCAGAAGGGGTCACCCACCCTTGGAGACGCATCTGACGAAGTCGCTCTTCTCCGGCGCAATTCGAGCTCTGGTGGTCCTATGTATGGCGTAAAACGAAGGGCAGTATTTGTGCCAACGTTAACCCGTATTTTTCCTGTTCTCGCCTCTATGGCGTTCGATGACGACTTCATTATTGCATGCAGTGCCCGCAGCGCCGTTGTTGACCTGATGCGCAACGATGCTGCATTGTTGGCCAGACCGGTTTTGGATCTTCTTGTGGAAGGTTCAAAGAATGTATTAGCTGCAGTCGACTCTCTTCGTGCTCTGCTTCACGTACAACAGAATCTTCCCCCCTCCATGGCTCATCATGTTTTCAATTATCTGGCCGGATTTCTGAAGCATAATGCGAAGAACGCTATGACGGAAGAAGCACTATTTGAATACGCTCACATCATTCCTATAATCGCGAAGTTGGTTCCGCAAGTCAGTGACTTATCGTTGCGAGACTTCCGAAGAGCCAAAATCGATGCTTATTTTGTTCCTTCCGGTGCCTTGTGGTTCCCTCCTAACCCTAACCCTTTCATGTTCCCCGACTCTGCAGGAGGAACCAAGAATCATTCGGGAGAGATTTCTCCCCGTCTTATTGCCGTGACCATGATTCGCATCTCTCAAAACATTCTCTTTCTTGACTTGCTCAAGCAAAATCCTCAGGATGTTCAACTGGTCAGAAAGAGCATGTCCAGACTAGTCCTCCCTTCTATGGATGATCCATACGAGGCACGAGTACTTGAACTAAAAGATTTTGTTCCAAGGAAGAGGAGCGGGAGCAGCAAGACGCAATCACGCAACTATAAATCGAGGGCTATTTCAGTACTTATCTCTCGAAGTTACTTGCCACTTGTTGCACAAGTGTTTCGGTCCATGTCCCGGCACTTGAACGACAGGAGCGAACTTGCGGTTTTGGTTGATGGCCTGAATCGGATTCTGCTAGCTCATGGCAGTGACATCGGTATTGTCAGCCAAGCGTTAATTGGTCAGTATCCTTCGTTTGAGCATCACGATTCGTTTCTAAGCGTAACCAATAGCATTCATGGTGGCCAGCACTCGGTTTCACCGTCTTTTCATATCGCGGGGCGGATATACCCTCTTCATACCTGCAATCATAAAAGTATACACCGAAGCTGAATCCCATCTAGGAATCAGACTTGCAATTGAATACGCCGTTAACAGATTCTTCGCACACCACGGAGAGGCCTTTGTATACCAAAGTATGGATGCAATGGCTCATGTTATGGCCATAACAGACATCAAAGCAGAATGGATCGCTAAGGGTGTATATGCCCTCTTCTCGTCTTTGAGAAAACCGATCTCTCCGGCTACTCAAGATGCTGCTGGGATCCATAACTCTAACAAACTTCAAGAGCGAGAAGCTCTTCTTGTTCTTACCGCGGAAGAGAAGCCCCAAACGTTCTTGACGTCCTTGCGGCCTGGTGGAGGTCAGGGCAAAACTCCAATCGCTATTGATATACCCGAAGAATATGAAGCCAAAAGAATGCCGGTGGACAATTTCGTTCGCCTTTTCCTTACGGTCATAGCGCATGATTTAACCATTATACGCTCTGAACAATTCCTCCGATTCCTCCGATTCCTTACTCCGCATCTGTATCATGCGTCCTCTTCGGCGAGGAGTGTCTTACAACAAGGAATCGAAGCGTTGGGTATGGTGCTCCTCAGAGCATTGTCTAAAACCAAAACTGAAGCCCCGAGCCGTCTAGCGGAAGAGGATTCTCAAGACGTAGCGATGGATGAAATTCTAGATCAGCAGTTGCATGAAAAATCCAAAACTCCCAGTGATTTTGTGTCGATGCGTCTTCAGTATCTGTACCTTGTCGTCGCGTTTACTGGAGCTGGCGGACATCTCTCCATGCAAGCATCTCACAGAAACCTAGAACTTGTCAAACTGCTCCTCCGTGAGACCACGAATGAACTCAGCAACGCCATTTCGTCGTTCCTCGCAGATTACATGAAATCAGCTTTTGAGCAAGATACTCCTCGAGATCTCAAGGAGCTCCTTGCGTTCCTGAAAGATTTGGCTCCTGTCATCAGCTCATATTCGCTCACCGTCGACTTCTCCGGAGTATTTGAGACCACGGGTCGCCTTTGCGCCAATCCGCAATACGCTAAGGATCTGGCCTTTTCTCAATTGGTTGTTACGCAGATATGCTCGGCAGGTCTCAAGGCATGCGCATTAGCCGCGACGGAGAAATTGCTGTTCACGCTTCCTTGTCGGATATCATTAGTCAAATTGGCGAGCCACGCTGTGTGCTTATGGGGAGCGGATATCATGGCTGAGATAGAAAGGCACAAGCCTACCTATGACTTCTTGGCAGGAGTTATTCTACCCTTTGCACTTTCCATGCAGACAGCGACAGAAATTGATATGGATAGAGGACGTCTAGATCCTTGGCATCGAGAAGTCCACGCCCGTGCTTGGGTACGACTCTTGTCATATACTATGTCGGCTTGTCAGAAGACAAGACGCCTTGCAGACGGAGGGTCATCCCGGGAGCGTTCAAAATCTCAAGAGCGCTCCCCTACGCTGAGAAGAAAGAAGGAGCAACTGTGGTCCTTTGTTACAGCATTGCAAGTCTTGAAGATTATTATAGTCCGTGCTCACAGAGATCTGGCATTCTCTCTCCCGGACATGTGGGTGCGCATCGCGGCATTCTTACGATCAATGCTGTCAGAGGGAAACGCGGAATTTGCGACATTGTCTCGAGATTATTCTCCGTCTCCGTCTCCTACACCCTCCCCAAGATCTAGTGGTTTGTTCGATGCAACGTTCTCTCAGTCGTCCTACTTCCCTCCTTCGTTACATCGAACTTCTTTGCCTCAACAGACATTTTTTAGTCCCCGTATGGTTGACTATTGTCTGTGGTCTCTCTTCGAGTTGCTTTCCATTCATCGAACACCCCTGGTCCTGCAGATGCGACTTTTTGTGCAAGAGAAGGTTCTGGCATTGGATCAGGACTTGAGATCTCAAAACGCCTCTTCTTCGTCGAAAACGTCTCGGCCAGTTTCTTCAGTTTTTTCAAAGCCTCGGCGGCGCTCAGGTCTTCTATCGCCAGAGATTTCACCACGAATCTATCCTTCCACATCCTTGAGTATTCAAGACAGTAGCCTTTTCTCTCTTTACTCCAATCAACAATCCGCGTCAAGTCCCGTGTCTACGCCGATATTCCAAGACACGCGTCGCATCGTCCATCTTGGACTCACACACCAGGGCCACTCTACCTCGGTCAGCTCACGAGAATCCGGCCAGTCCCAAGCGAAAACGACCAAAGTCAGATCACTGTCCCTCATCAAGGCGACATATCGTAGGATTCGAATCGTGCAAAGCTATATGGGTTATCAGTCTATGCTACTGCCTCTTCCTGGGGGAGCGAGTGATCTGGACACATCCCCATCGACGTGGACGCAGGTACAGGCACTTCAGGAAGTTGTGCGTGAGACCCAGGAGCTCATCGAGGAATTTGAAGAATCACAGACAGCAGAAAGCGAGACGACTGTAGTTGATGTAGATCAATCTTTGAGACATTAGTCTAAGTGTATGGCGTACTCATTTTGTATAAGAATTAGGACTTCTAGATGTATGTTCTTCTACCATCTTCAATTTGCGTACTGGTTCAACGTTTCTCAAACCGTTACAGTCAACAGGAGTGGCGTCAGCTTCTCGCGACCTACATATCGTACGCGCTCAGTTGTAAACGCATTGGCTATTGCTCTGAAGAGTACCTAATAAAACTCTTGACATTTCGTATTGATTATACATCAAGGATTCGATGATATCCCATCTTTCCAGTATCATATCCATGAAACCCACAGGACGTCTCAAAAGTCAATGGTCATGAAGAAAATCAACCCTCTTACACATGCGAAACAACAAAAATACCCAATTGACAGACACAGAGAATAGAAACGCCGTTATCAAGAGTTCAGAGCAGAATACAGCAGAGTAGTTCATAAAGAGCAATCATCATCGTGAGGTCCGAAAGCGCATGGAGATCTTGCTGATCAATTGTAGAGGGGTCCATAATGCGAGAAAGCATTCGTTTGAATCTGATGAGGTAGGGGGTATCGGCGACGGGTAGGAGTCCCTAGGAATGAGTCAGTTCCCCATCTAAAAGTGAGATCAGCGGCGACAAGAGACAGGAGATAAGGCTAAACTTACTTAGAGAGAACAGAACTAGATCTGGAATTGGACCTCGCGTTGCAAGAGTGAAAGTGAACAGGATGTGAATATCCAAAAGCTTGATGGTAAGGGTAGGAAGAGATTCGAGGAACCGACTCTATGCTGCCGTAGACTGCGCAACCATGGTTGCAAGATGTATTCGAAGGATAGCAGAATGGTCCGAATGCAGGAGCGAAATGCGTCAAGGATCCGTCAGTCGGTGCAGCGGAATAGGGCTCTTCGACATCAAACTGCCTTGCGGGTGATCGTTGAGGAAGAACACTAGGCGCGATTTGCACATATTGAACATCAATGCGATAGTTCGCATAGCACTGGCCTTGAAGAGCTTCCTTGGCCTCTCGAGCGCTTGTAATCGACGAGTACTCCACCCTGACAGATATCGTACCTGAGACTGATGGCGACTCTATGATATCAAGTTGACTGATCTTTCCAAAGGGGTCCAGCAAAGGATGCAAGTCGCAAAGCTGAGAAAACAAGAGAGCAGGAAGATCGCCGATCAGGAGAGTATTCGTTGGTAGCGTTGTTACGGTGAACGCAACACTGTCTGAAAGATTTGATCCAAAGGAAGAATTCGGTGTGATATCGGAGAGCGAAGGCTGACTGTCTCCTTGGGCATCTTCCAAAGACATACGGGAATTACTGTGACAATGGGATTCGAACAGAATAGCTCTGTCTCCGCCGTCTAGAAAACCTATGTCGGCCCACAAGCGTTATTGCGGCGTGGAAAGAGCTAAAGAGAAATGAATACCTTGAGAACGTTGTACAATTGCCCACGAAATATCAATGGTGTGTCCTCTGTAGATTGAAGTCATATATACACGATGGTAGTGAACGTTCAGGGAAATCTTACCTTATCTGACTACGGGTGAGCGAGAGCATTGCATTCCTAGCTTGGTCGTGATTCGACATTACCACGAAACCGCGTCGGCGAGAAGCATTATCCACTGTAGCAAGAATTACGCAATGCGCAACAGATCCGTACCGAGAGAAAATTGTTGCTAGCTCGGCCCTGAGAAAATGGATATACTGAACTCTTCCACAATGATAGAAATACTTACTTCGTGAGATCAAAAGGTAAACCGAGGACGTATAGGTTGCGGCGATCGTCAAGACGTTTGGACGTACTGCCATCATCTGCGATGGGTATCACAGAACTATAGTACAATTCAGGACTCCAGACTCCATAAGGGTCGATATATGCGTCTTATACATACAGCGGTGTACCTGAGACGGTATATCCTGACATACACAGAGCCTTTCTGTACACATAGGTTAGTACACCAATAAGGGGTTAGACCAAATGACACTCGCTTGCAAGCATCACGATTGAAAAACGTGATATCAAGATGGTGTCCTGCGGCATCTTTGACATCAGCAGAGTTACGAACATCGCCTAAGACGTCATCATATTTAGCCAATCTCTTCTCCCTAATCATCGAGACTCGCCTATCAGCGTATTGAACAAAGATATCACTTCTTGGCGATTAACTAGAACACAGTTGTAAGTCATATAAAGGAATGCAAGGAGAGAAATGTACCATTCATGGGCATATTCTCTACTCTGACGCCGAAGGTAGTCTTGCTGTCGCGGTTACTTTGAACTTTGGTTGGCGGGCGCGGATACGTAGTCATTTTAAGCAAGAAGAGGTGAGGGATCGCTGTAGCAAAAATCAAGAAAGTGATAGAGAATATGTGAACTGAGCTTGGGTTCGGCGAATAAGCAAGAAGGTGGGAGTACAGGAGCAAGAGGTCACGGCATTTGCCGCAGATGTCGCCGTCGAAGATGTCAATGTTATATTCTCACGCCACAAACGCGTCTTCCCAACTCTCATGATACCCGTTTCGCTCTCGACTCTGCCATTGCCTCCCTCAACGCTATCATCCTTGACGAAGGCTGGATATGAAACCCTGCAGGATATACAAGAAGTCTCTCCTGAGGATTTATCAGAAGGTTTGCTCCTCAACCTTCCACCTTTCTACTGTGCTCATGGTACCTGCTAGAGCTTGGTATACCTCTCCCAACATCTCAAGCCCTGATATTTTCACATAGAAATGTCTTTATTTCACTTGGATCTACTCTCCCGATGCAACCAGCCAACTTGTCTAGAAGTGAAACGAAGGCCAGGGTATCTACCTTGTGTGCTCCTCTAGATAGACTTCTATCTGGGGGCGTTTCAAGGAGTTCTGTTCTAGAGATATCTGGTGCTCCCGGAACCCCGAAAGAAATACTGGCGGTAAAAATAGTTGCGTCATTTGTCAAAGCTGGGGAACGCGTTCTATTTCTTGGTTGGTTAGAACGGACTGGGAAGCGCTCGTATGACTCATCAAAACCCAGACCTCCAAAACATGACAAGTGCGGTAGAACTAAGAAGCTCTCTCGAAGGCGGGTGTCTCGTCTATTCTCTTCCTTTTTTTCTGCTTTCTCATGTACAAATAGAGATATCAGATATACCGGCGAATTTCTTGGAGTTAGTTTCCTATATGCCGATGCACACGCTTTCTGAACTCATGAAATTCATGTACAACCTTTCGTCCTATTTACGAGTAAACGCAGACGTAGGCAATTCCTGTTTCGCAGTTACGCAGTATTTTGACGTGACGCATATACATACCCCAGGTGGCTTTGCTCGTTGTCAACTCCATTTCCTTTCCATTTCAGACATCTTCGACGTTGACTCTGCAAGCGAGAACCTCTCTTCTCAACCGTATCAAAGAGACCTTCTCGAAGGCCTGCGCGACCAATAACTTAACGGTAAGAGTATTGTTTGTAGCGCTTCCGGTAAAAAGCCCTGATCACCTGTTCAAAGATCGTCGCCACTTCCCAGTTGGCTACGAAGTTACTGAAGTCAGATGGAACTGCGGGAAACTTTGACACAGGAGCAAGGGGCATCATGGTTCCACAACTAGGTATAGCCAGATCATGTGTTTTGATTCAGAAGTCCAAAACCTCTTTTTCTAGGAGCGTATTTACCTCCTGGAAGGTCTTACCGCGTCATATTATCACGCAAGACACGAATGTCAGGGTAAGGTCCTCCTCCTTGGCGGGCACCTGATCTTAGACATCCCCAAGTAGGACTCTGCGACTGTTGTATTCGCCCACGACTGTGCACCAGGACAACGGGCACCATGTGCTCGAAGAACCATATGCAATGGTAAAAAATTTCCAAACCGACTTTATGTAACCCCAGCCACTCAATAATGCAGGGTGGCGATTCAATTTCATCTGATGACAATATGTGGCGGTGAACTGACAGTGGGCTTGCCCTGACACGCCGGCCGACAAAACTTTGTTTTGCCGTTAGATTTAGATTTCGTCAATGTAAACTGGACAATATCTTCTAAGGGGTTCTGTCCGGAGTACCAATCCCCTGTATCTATCCATGTATAGGAGCCACCGGTCGCCGGCGCCCACAGTTAAAAAGATGAAGGCCTTGCTTGAACTTACACCATCCTGTTCGACCACTCAACTTTTTACAAGCCTACTCCATTTCCCGACGTGTCGATATGCCCTCTATCAAAGTGAAATCGAACTCCGGCAGCCTAACTTACAACTACACCATTTCGACACCAACATCACCCAATGCTAAATCTATTGACCCGACATTGCCTACCGTTTTATTTCTCCACCCTGTCTACATTGGCATAGACATCTTTCAAAGTGCGTATGCTAATGCTTCAGCTCCAACGTGTTATAATTCTCTTGTAGTGCAGTTTGGGGATCGCACTCTTCGGAAGTTTAACCTCGTTGCAATGGATCTACGGGGGCACGGGGAAACCGGTGGTAGCGCTCCGAAGCATTATGGGCAGGATGACGCGGCAGCAGACATTGTGAAATTCATGGTAAGTCAACACTATCATCTGGTACGTCTTATTGAACTAGTCCCAGGAAGCACTACGGCTACCACCGTGCCACATTTTCGCACTTTCGATGGGAACCATTATCGCGCTTCAAGTCGCCATTTCCTATCCGGAGAAAGTTCTTTCTTTGTTCCTCGTATCTGCTTTGGGCCTTGAAGAGGTACAGGAAATTTTACATCTACTTCCGACGCCCTAATGATGACCTTTGGCATAGCCTGCAGATGTCGCTCAGGGCAGACAAGAAATTGCTGATTGTTGGAGCGAAGGTTTCAAAGGTTCAACGGTCGATGAAGCGGCGCTCTACGACGCAATATATGGCGCTCTTCAACTCGGTTTCAACAGCGAACAGTCCTCCATGGTCAGAGCGTCAGTTCATTCACATTTTTTAATCAATCACCCCTAACACGCTGGTTGTTTTTTTTTTCAAAGTTTGGTTAAGCGTACATTACCGCAAGCCATGACCAATTGGGGCGCAAAGAGACTAGACGTCTACAGCACACTCACCGTCAATTTCTTCACGGAACGAAAGGCTCATTTTCTGGAAAACCTGTCAAAAATTGTTGCCCCGGTTAAATTGGTACTGTACCGCAGATATCGCGTACCCCTTGGAGCTTTCAGAGGAATTTCTGAAGAACCTTCAAGATGCTAGGGTAAACGCTTCTCTTGATAAAATCGAAGGTGCCTGTCATTTTGGTTGCGTTACGCATTCGGAACAGTCAGTAGCGCCTATCTCCTCTTCTAAATGATCGTCTGATTTCTTGTACAGAGTCAATCCCCTTTTTGTTGATTTCGTTTTGGAATACACGACGGGCCAGATACCTCCGACGCCATCATCTGTGATTTCACCCTTTGAGGCGGGTTTGATTAAAGCTGGGTGGACAAACGATGACTCAGATGATGAATAAAAAATAATAGTGGTGTATAGCTTCAACTTTACCTCCTTTCATTGGGAATTTGTTGAGAACTTTATATGTACTATATGTACTATTAGAAATGCAATGTAGAATATAGAACTCGTCAAACGTGAACTTCAACTTTTTCCACATTAGCTTGGACTCTGGAAAAGTCCTCTGATTGGAAAAAACGTACGTGTACTTGAAAATAATGTATAGGCAGCAGTTGCATCCCGTAAGCAAGCCAGCAAGGAACCGTCAACCTTACGAAATCTTTACGTGATGTAATTTTAAATAGTGTTTCTCCACTCGCCATCAGAACTCTCCGGTGTTTGGATCTTTCCTTCCTCCGAGCCTGGGTGAGCGCTCAAGATATCGATATGTGGCTGTAATCTGGATCTGTTGAATCGATTTCGCGGAACTCGACTTAGAACCCATCATCCGGCGTATATAAGAACCTGCCGCGAAGGTAGAATTACCAAACTTAACATAAACCTTAGCAAACTTGAGTGTTGCTTCCGATCTAAAGGATTAGTCTCGTAAACCAGACTCAACGATCCATATGAAGAAAAGTCGTTCAATGGATGTAGAGTCTGGAATTAGATCGGGGGGCGGAAGGGGAGGGGGGGGGGGCGAGCGCTACTTGATAAATGTGATGGCCGAACCGGCATGGCAGGCGCGCGCCATAACCGTGTCCCAAAATAGACGGCGACTGACTCCTCTCTTTATCTCTTGAATGCCTTAAAGCACCTAATTCTCCTTGTTTCACAATAATTTATCATATATGCCCTTCGAGCGCTATTCTACATCTACCACATTCCCTAATACCCTCCCTAACCCTTCTGTCAATTCCCCTGAATGGCTCGAACAAATTCTTAAGGAGATGTGTCATGTTCCTTCACTTCGAGAATTCCAGCTCAAGCATGCAATCCAACTCAATGATGGCATGGTCCTGTTTCTTGTTGTAGCCACTGGGTAAGGGAAAACACTCGTGATGTATTCCCCAGCGGTTGCATCGCAGGCCCGAGCAGAGGCTGGTATAGCGATCTCAATCGTGCGTGACCGGACTAGCGTCGCGAGATACATCCGGACGACTTTCAGTGTTGCCAAGGGGGTCTTGATGCTGCTCACATTCATGGTCAACTACGGGTGATAATCTATGTATGAACGTGTCATCTACGGCTTGAAAGTCCATAATATCGACCTAGGTCATAAAAGTGTGTCCTGGGGAGCAGCCCGAGCGTGTAGAGCAATGGAGGGACGACGCGACGTCGTGGTGAGAGTGAATTCCAAGTTTGGACACACGCGCCCACAGTGCCGGATTCCGGCCATCACTATTTTTAAGTTCCGGGCATCCCCCCCCCCCTCTCCGCCCCTCGATCAAATCCTAGACTACTAAAGGATAAACGTAGCTTCCTCAAACTTCCTTTAGATTTTCTTATCGATTTTGGCAGTTATTCATATAAACGATTTACTAGGTTGCGGTGACTGTTTTTGCCAATTCCATGTTGTAACTCGTTGAAAAGGGACGCCAGTCATCTCCGGAGATTTGGTCTCAGGACTACAAATACTGGGGAGACTACCTTCCACGACAAGGCGTCAGGTTCTTTTCGGTACACATGGGAAGCAGCAATACACCCCGGAGCCCTGTCACCCTGGCGGCACAGGTGGTGGCGACGGAGGTTCGTTAGTCGCTACTTTGTATGCGATTGTTCTCGATGTCAAATTGCTCTTCATCTCAAATTTGCGGCACGGCTGTAGAGAAAAATCACCGTCTTCTACATACTTTGGGTGGCACACCGTGACAGATGGGCCGCGCCACCAAAGAAACGGACAGCCACCCTAGAACTCTAACTCTGGAATGTACGAATATCATCTCTATCTAGGGTAAGGAGTTTGTCGGCGAATAAATAAAACCAACCTCCTCCTTTTCACCATCTGACCGGCTTCTCCACAAGAAGCCGGCGTATCCAGTTTCTCGAGAAATGCGTTCCTCGCACTCCGAAAACAAAGACTGCACTGGGCGAGATCTGGATCGTCGAACAAGTTCGCTCGGTTGCCGGTCCTCTCAGTCCCCAACGCACGGCGTAGACTACGACATATACAATCCAAGACTTCCGCGTCTGATTACTACTACTGAAAACAATATAATACAACATACAATTTGCGTAAGATTCGTGTCACGTCATGAAGAAGGAAATAGGATAATGCATCACCAAAATTTACCAAACACGCTTCCCCTAGGACCAAGTATCATGCCAACCCCTTCCTGGATGGCAACACTGACCGGTCGCATTGGTGCAGAATCAAACACGTGTGGGCATGGTTGCAACAGCGGAGGAGAACCTAACCGAGGATTCTCCAATTCACGTTCGTATATGGAGGGCTGACGCGGAGACATAGCAAGTGCCTCATATTGGGGCTCGTCGAAGCATTTCCGAGCTGCGCGAAGCCGGTGTAATACCTAAGGCGCCCTGTCAGATTTTAATTCGCGCTATAGTATGGATGGCTCCTACCTGCTCATAGAATTCGATCTCCCCATCCAGGTGGTCCTTGGTAAGTGTAGAAAAGTCTTCATTCTTTTGTGTGTGGAAGGTTTCCATTTCCGCCATAGTAGTGTTCAGCACAGTTTCGCAGCGCGCAGCCATATCTTCGTCGGCCTGAGTATGATATCATTAAATTTGTAGAACCTAACTTCAGTCGACATGACACATACATGAATTTCCTTCGTGCATTCTCGATACCGCGTTAGTGTAGATTTGTGTGTGCTGACCACACCCTGAATATAAAACGTCAAGAATAGAAGAACCACATAAAAAGGCAACGAGTACTTCATATATCGACGATGGGTGCGAAACGGCTTTGAGTGACTCGTGTGTGGCTAGCTGTCTCCTGCGTGCCTAGTAACCGTGCCACATAAATCAAACGCGGTAAGATCTCACTAAATACTCACATGATCATCATAAAGATCTCCAATGTTTTGAAGAGCCTCGGATGTTTTCTGCATGGCTTTAGTAAGCTTAAGGCAATCTGTAGACAGTGAACAAAGTAGTGCTGGCGACACCGTATGAAACCTTACTATTGCACCCTTCGCGCCAGCACCACGCGCCATCCTCGTTCATGAGGCCTGCATCTTTCGTATTATAGTGATTGTCCTCTTCGACGGTGCCTGTAGTAGGCGCTGAAGCGAGAGGCTTAGAAGTTATCAGCGATAGTAAAGAATATGACAGCAATCGTTCCGCTTTCGACATTTCTAGCAGCTATGCAATTAGCAACAGTAAGGGAGGAAATTTAAAATCTGACAGACCAATCCGAGCTTCACGAACACGACCAAATATATTCCTAAGGCCTTGTACGCCTTTCCCAACAGCTCGCGTGTGAGTTTCAAATCGGCTAACAGCTTCTTCCGCGTCCTCAAGGTCGAGATTAAATGCGGGGTGATATACATGAGCGTAGAATGATGAACCTGCGGGAGGCATCGACAGATGTTGAGGTATTAGCCGTTTCCATTCCTGTCACTCGATGAGCATATAGCAAATAATCTGCAAAAGATTTCGCACAATGTCACTTTCGCATCCCAAAAAGAAGGTTACTACCTCCGCATACCTTGCCACGGGATGGCGAACCACGCGTCCGATATATCTCTCAAGGTCCCCGCGACGCGCCTCCACAAATTCCTCACTGAACCTGCCGGCATATTGCTTTTCTGGAAGCGGTGGTAGCGCGATTCCAGGAAGACGCCTCGCCAGAGCCGTATGAAGAATAACAAACTGTGAATACCTTCTTTGCACAGTTATCCGTGTCGGTGACCCTGGCGGCGTATCAGAATCTCTTTGAGGATGAAACAGGGAGGTCACGTTATACACTGTGAATGCCCCGGAAAGCGAGGAGGTGCGTTTAGACGGGGAGTGGACGAGGACACGAAACGGTGGAAGTTTCTCCTTCCATGTATACCCAGCATCGACAAAGTGTCGATCAACGTCTCCTTGTTCTACCCTGCTCAGTCGATTTCCTGGCTCTTCTGAATCGTCGTTCCCTTCTTCTGAATCGATGCTGGTCAGCCTATTATGGGATGAAGCCTCCGTGACAACGGCATCTGCTGCTGTACCCTTGAGAACCCACTCCTCTGCCCCGCTAGTTACAAAACTAGAAAATCTGTTGAGGCTCTTGCCTCCCAGAAGACTCTGACGGAAGCTTGGGAAGACCCAGTCTCCGGTATGTTGGGGAATAATAGGCTGATCATTGTCTTGTGAGGTTCTGGGTGATTTTCGAGGAGTAATGGTGCTTGATGAAGCTTCCCTACGGTGGGACTGAGAGATGTCAAGGTCGGGAGCTGAAGTGAACTCTGATGTAAACTACGATGACAAGGTGAATGTTTGCTCGGAAAACGAGGCCACGATGTTCGCACCGTATAATACGACCGGGGCAAGAGGCCCATCTCCCCCGATGCGTCCTTCACTAAACTCCACCCATCTGCCAGATCTTCTTTGACGACTGCAAGCTCATCGCCAGCGTCAACCGAGAGTTCTCTGAACTCAGCCTTTCCTTCAAAGTCATACAGCGCCCGTGCTGGACGGTGACTCTCTTCACCATCTAGTTCATCGTCAGAAGGAGGAGCAGATCCCAATTCAAGATGCTCGGTCCACGCAGTTGACGTGTTGACACCAGTGTCGAACTCGGATTGTGGACGGGAGAGAAAAGAACTCGTCACAGGAGACTTGGATACTCTTGGTAGTGTTGCCATACAGGTTGTCTACACGTTCAGCTAGATCGTTCGGTCGTGTTGATTGCTGGAATGACCCTGTGAAATAAATATTGACGCTTTACAACCAGGTAGCGCGAGAATATGGAGAGGTGAGCAATAATGGTGGTGTAGGTATATGAAGTGCCCGTCGGATTTGCGGCGATACCCTATTCGGGAAAGACAGGGGCTCATCATCCCTCCATATGAAGTATTCGGCTGGAATTTTCACCAATGGCTGCCAATTAATGAGGCACCATATCATACATAGATAGACAAACAGAGTGGTATAACAAATCGAAGCTGGGTAAAAAGTGCTGATGAAGTGAATGCAAAGAGACACATGGGTGGTCCGTACTGGAATTATGGATAGAATGCGAATGAAAATGCTTATATGCTGTGAACTGGTGCCAATGCAAATTAAAGTTGAACGTACAGGTCGTAACCATGCGTGAATCAAATAATATTAACGATGAGTATTTCATCGACGCTCCCGATCCAGCCTGGTGAGCTCAAGAAGTAGCTCTGTCCGTTTGTACCAGCTCGTCTCCCAAGGAAGTCTATGCGCAAATGATGTTGGTACAGCGGTTGGGGTTATATATGTCTTGCGACGACGGCCGGCTTTCTTGGTCTTCACTGGGGTAACCTTCGTGGAGGGTCCTTCATTTAGATCCACCTCAACGTACTCGCCATCCTCGCCATCGCTTTCCACGAGGGTGACTTCTGAATCGTCACCACTGCTGCTCCCGCTGATCGACATAGTCAAGTCGTCCCCTAGTTCTTCCGGCTCCTCCTCTTCTTCGGCGGCTCGCATAGAACGAGCCTTAACCTCGCCAGCCATATGCATATCAAACATCCAGAGTGCCTTTGACATTGTCCACATAGGCATTGCTACAAAGTATCGGTCCATATGCACGCAGAAAGGGTCACGCAGAGTAGATATATCACCTCGACGAGGGTGAATGGACATAGGTGGCAGTGGGACCGCTTGAGGAACAGACTCATGAATCTGTGACACTCCGTCATAGGCTGCATCGATCCACTCTTCTTCGCGCAATGCCCAGAACCATTTGAGATGGTGAAGGCCATGTCGGGAGTAGCCATGTTGCTCATAGTCATGTCGGTTAGGTAAGGGAGTAGGGCAGCGCGCGGGAAAGGGCGATAATGGCGAGGGGAGACATGAGAATTTTCTACGGGAGGTGGTGGGGGGTAGCAGCAGTGGAGTGGGAAAGGCTAGCTCGGGGGGCTCGTTGCACTCGAGAAGACGATCCAGCTCAGTGTCTGAGTCTGATTCAGAATCAGAGTCGCTATCTTCTGACGACGAAAGGCCGGAATCATCGGCGACTAGATCATCGAGGGATGATGAAGATTTCGACCGAGGAATGGGCCCGGGAGTGGATGATACGTTCATTTTCTTGAGTGCAGCGTACGTCCACTTCAGGCTGTCGAACTGCTGACGCGCAATATCGGTCTCTAGCGCAGGTGCATCCTCAGATTCAAGGACTGCAAACTCTTCACTAGAGTTGCCGAAGAAGCCAAGGCGACTCGTGGGTCGTGATGGGATGTCTTGGCATTCGTCCGCGATGTCAGACTCGAACTCAGAATTTGAGCTGTCAAAGTATGAATGATAAGCCGCCTCTGAGAGTGGGCTCGGCTGGAATCTCGAAGGCATTATAAGGGCGTTAGGTTGATATTAAGTTGAAGTAAAATTGCTCGTTGAGAGACGTCACGATAAGCGGAGATGTTTAGTTCGTTTATACTAAAGACCGAGGTCAGAACGCGCTCAAGACTGAAAGTACTTCAGGTAAAAGGACGAACCAGGTAATACTTTTCTCGTGTTCCTCTGACACACTACAAAAACAGGCTCGTGTCCTGCAGAAAGCCGCCTAAGTCAAAACCAGTTAAAGGGGAAGACTGTAACACCATGGGCGAGACGACACACCTATTTCCTGAAAACGGGCTCGTCGTCGGTCTCAACGTTGGAGACGCAGGTGCCAGACGACGGTGTGTCACTTGGGAGAGATGAGACACCAGGCACCGAAGGACTCGGAGACAAAAGTAGGCAACACGTGATTGATGTACCGGGAGACGCTGTATATGGTAATTGCCGACTGATTGGCGTCCGTTGCTGCCGTACGACTCTCTACAGCCTGGCGGCAAGGGAAAATCTCACGCCTACAAGCCCAATTCTACAAGCAAGTTATTGTTCTGTTAACAGTGGAAGACTAGCCAATAACTGCACGTGTAACGCTGTCCATTCCATCCCTGCATCCTCGGCTACATTTCGATGCCAGCCCCTTGCGGATCGTATCTTCTCATGTTAGGTCCAGAAAAGTCGCACATATCTCCATAACAGGGAAAGCTCATTAGCTTTGATCCTCCGTGATTGTGGGTGTCTGCGGGCGTCAACGAAAAGATCCGGCCGCTACCACTAAGTACACTAGATTCAGGGAAAATGAGAACGGACTTGGCCACCAGTTACTTTCGGAAGAGGAGCATGATAAGCGCTCTTCGATATAATGTCAAGGAAAGTAATTGCAATGGGAATACTTGCGCTCGTTATTTTGTGGTCTCCACTTTCCTCATGGTGTTAGACGCCTTTCTATATTACGAGTGCCGCGTCCAAAATTCACTCCGAATCTTAGGTGATTCAAATGAGCTAGTCCATAGCGGTAGTTGTGGCTCAGTGCATCTGATCATGAACTACTCCTCAATATGATTTGAAGCTGTCAGCGCGTCGAAACATGTTACATGATCTGATTGATTGTGTGCCTTCTCTTATCAGCGGAGATTAGTGTAAGTTTCAGTGTTAAGTATCCTGGGCGGTGTCAAGTTTAAACCTAATGGATGCCTGCCACCCATAGCGATTACTATGGTCATATACCAGCAGCGGAGTCGATGCACGGCGCTGCGTCGAGCGTCGATTTTTTGGAGAATTCGTGTTCAGTGGGGCTTATATATCACACTTTCCATCCAAAAGAGTCCTTCAGTTCGTCAGGAATCAACGCAAATACACACAAAATCTTTCCGCATGAAAACTATCGTGGTGTGTTACATACTCTAGCTCAACGCTGATGCACGGACAATCCCCCTGTGTCAGGGCTATTCAGAAGAAGAAACGCATCAGCATCCTGTGTGCGGTACAGGAAGTCGGGTTTCGGTGCCGTCGTCAACGCCTTAGGGATTGGACCATCGGCAAACTCTGTGGCTACTTCCACTACCTGGGACAAGAGGGATTCTTTGTTAAAAGGAATGAACCCGGGGGACTTGAAGGGAAGAAGTTCTATGGCGTACTTTTGAAGGTCAAAGACCGTATCAGAAGCTGAAAGAGATAATAACTCGACGGTTGTTACATACCTCGATACTGAACAACTCGTAATCCGAAGCAGCAGGTAGCTGTTTGTGTATATGGAGCTCGCCCTCGAATATTCGCCTGAGAGGGTCGTCAGGAGAATCAGGCGACCACCAGATGACCTTTGATACATCGATGACGGCTGTTTCTGTGCAGTCCTGTAGGCGTTTCTTTACTCCAATTCTTGGTTCTAAATACGTGATGCGACGCCGCAAGATTAAGTTAATTGCCTTTGGGAGGTCGAGAGCGCGGAAAATTCGGATATCGGTACTATGCATACGCAAATAACACGGAGTAACAGATCCTCGGGTATATACGAGCTGGGTGCGGGGTCAAATTTTACTTGAAGGCGACCAACTAATCTTACCGGGAGGGGTAATGAAAGCTATGAATAGTTATGATGAATCGTACTGAAATTTTGAGCAAGTCTACTTACTGTGCAATGCAGCGTTCCACTGCTCCCATCCAAAAGTTTACCGGTGGAGATCACTGGTGGGAGAGTATGCCACCCAGCAGGATCAGAGTCTGGTCCTGCCAGCGGAAGACTGTTTTCATACGCCATCTGGCGTAATAGAGACATTGGTTCAGGAGTGACCCTAGGGGTGTACAGGACAGGAATTTGTAACCTACGAAGTTCTATGTATTAGCAATAAACCAGTAATATGGATCGAAATGACTACTCACTTGCTATTCGTTTGCAATTTGCCTCTATTAACCCGAAAAATCAGTTGATATCGGACGCTGCCATTACAATTGGCTTCTCGGAACGAATCAGGGAGACGTATGAGAGTCGCAGTGGATGCATTTCCGACCTGGTGAGACAAACCCGTCGGAAATGGAAGATCAAAAGGCCAAGAATAGTCCCCCGAGAGTTTTCCAGAGAACTTGGTACTTGAACTAAACGGCGAACCTCCCGGATCACCCCAGTCTTTGGACCAGATGGTGATGAGTTCATCGAGAAAGGTATATGCAGCGATATCATTACAGTATTCGCCTGTAATAATTTGGCCTCTGATCTAAGGAACTGGCAAGTCAATGGACACGCACAACGAGAAAAGGTAAGATTATTTACCGCAAGAGTGATGTCTTTGAGTTGAGTAGGTTCTGTGAGATGGAGAGCAAACATCCCCGAAACGTGATTACCAGCAAAGTAATGCGGGGCATCTGTGTGTGATCGCGCGTTGCTTTTCAACCTCACAATGGCCCATGGCTTTCCTTTACTGGTAGGCATATAGAATTGATGGACCGTATCACGATGATGTTCAAATCCAGATCGGGAAGGCGTCTCTGGTTCATGGAACACAGTCGAGTATGTTGGTAACTCGGTAGTCTGAGTCGAAAAAGGGCTCGTAATAGAATATGTTGGTAAAAAGGTCGAAACAGTCGCAATAGAAGAGTCGCTCAAGCGGCGCGAGTCACTGTATGTATAGCCAGTACTGACTGTGCTGTCGATCGATGTCCAAGTACTGGAGCTGGGCGCAGAATCGGTCTCCGTAGCTTCCGTTGGTTGGTAAGTGTACTGTATTTCAAGGGTTAGTTTCAATATACCATTCTCCAGACAAAAGGACAACGTACCTTCACATCGCTTCTCGGTATCACATATTCATCAAGCACTGAAAGAGTTGAGTTCGAAGATGAGAAAACAGAGAAATCCAGTCAACACCACAAGGAATATACTGACTTTGTACTATAGTGTGCTCTCCCTGCAGGCGAGAACCACGCAGGAACGGTGAGTTGTTCCGGAGCGATAACGGGTCCCGCACGGTTCATTTCCACGACAGCCAGCCCAGGTAAACATGTTACGGCCGCAGAAATTCCACCGGGAATCGGAAGTAATTCGGTCACGCGTTCCTCAGCTCTTAATATCGGCAGGGGATTTAATATCATCGGCAGTATCACGAACTGCACATAGACTGACGCTGCTTGGGGCTCGAAAGAGGCCAGATGGAAACCAATAAAACTGCCAGGCGGATACCGAAGCGCCCGAGATCTCTTCAGAACACCGTTTGTTTCCTATATTTCATGTAACTTTCGTTTACTCTCCCATTTGCATTCACTATCCTCGGCACTTGCAGAAGAAAACACAAGGTCACAGAAGAGAGCGGCTATTTTATGTTTCGCGTTACTACCCTCACCCGGACAGTTGACATGGTCGCCTGTCAAAATATTGAAACCTGAGGGGCGATCTGTGGGTGGAGATGCAGAGGCTCGACATCAACAGGAGCCTAACTTTGCATTCAAGTTCAATATTAACAGGGCCTTAGAGGCTCACAGATCTGTGTGACCCTTAAATTACATGCAAGAACAAGGTGTGATTGCCTACCACGTTTTGCAATGGACTGTGGCGGTCGCTGACAAACCAGGCGAACATGCCAGAGGTACCCTGGTACTAGCAAGTTAATAGTATGACTGAATGAAGAGAAATGGAGAATGAAAAGATGGAAAACAAGCTGGGTCGTACGGATTCGGCGAGTTGATTCAAGGTATGTAGATGCGTCCATCTCAAAGTCTCGTTGGATAGCATCTATACGCCTGGGCCTGACGGAGAGGCTTGGAGACATGTGCGAGGCACAACTATCGACCAAGCTTGATAGGCTGCAAAGGCGGAGCTGCTTAGATATAGGCACCACATCAGCACTGAGAGAGGCGGAGGACAGAACAGGTGAACTTCACTGTTGAGGACCATATAAGGTTTGGGTGAGTAAATCGGCGTGTTGGAGATTTGGAACAAGGCAGCTGGTTCCTGGATGGCGCTGTGAATGCAGAGTCGGCTGCGTATTGCTCAAAGTCCGTCAGGCAGAGAAAATGCTGCGAAGACTTTGTCGTAGATACGGAATGTAGTAATATAATAGCCGATGGGTCGTCCGAACGCTGTGTTCGAAGGATTATTTTTGAAACGGTATCTCTGGAGTGATGGTAGACCGTGAAGAACGTCTTCGTTGTAAGTATAGAGAAGATTCAAGACCTAGGCATATTAGAATCACATACTTCTATTACTACCTTTTCCCCTCTGAACCATCCCTCTTCGACAATACAGCATCAGTTTTCGAGTATTGCGTAGCAGTAGGGTCAACCATCTACACACAATTTCCAAATGAGTAAAATGAATACCGCAGTAGGGGTCAAGCAAACCTCATATTTTGCAATCAGCTCGTCTACTTGACGCAAACCCACATCTGGATCTAGGTCATCGAGGGCCTGTTGCAAAGCGTCGATATCGGCTTCAATGTCACCAACGCTTTCTTGTAATTTCTGCGACAGCTTCATGAACTCCCGTTCCCACTCTTCTGGATCCTCTGGTGGCTCGATGCCATTGTCGCGCATCATCTGGTCCATGCCTTCCTTCATTTGTAGGATCTCGGTTTCCTCCCCTCCCTGACTGAGCGCCTCCTGCACGTCTGCGGCGACAAGACCACCTGCTTCCTGTTCTTCGGTGGTCGCCGAAGGGATCGAAGGAAGGTATCCTAATTTGTAGAGATCCTGTCGGACGGTATCGTCACGTTCTATGATTCTTTCGAACAAAGAAGCCCCCTCCTTTGACTCCGGTAGGGGACTTTTCCCTCCGACTTCATCAAACTTGGAAATTTGTGTATCCTCCATGTCGAAAATGTAAAGTTGCTCTCCTCCGCCCACCTTGAGAACTAGACTCCCGTCCTCGTCGCTGAACATCACACCCTCCACCGGCGAGCCTTTGATGCCTTGTCTGATGCGGACCATCTCAATTTGAGGAAGCATCATGAAGTAGGGACTAGGTGAGAACAGAGTCGGGATCAGACCATATTTCTCCCAATTGGTGTTCCAACCGTCAGGCGGGTTCGTATGAGAAGGCCAGTTGGCTTTGGCGTACTCAAAGGCTTTGCGTGCCTCTTCATCAGTGACAGAGTAGAGAGGGTAGGTTTCCTCATCGCTGTTTTCTTCATCCTCATCCTCATTCGCATTCTCGTTTTCTGCATTTTCTTGACTGTAACGTCCCCCCAGCGCTTTGCTTTGTGAGACTGTCTGAGAAAATTGTCGCGGAGTCCCAGCTGCGTAGGGAGAATGATATCTTGATAGATGTATTTTAGGCAAGCATGCGGGTGTTGTGCTTAGAAGCCGAGGTCGAGCTATCCGTGCTAGTAGGCGCGTACGAGAACGAAACATGGTGTGAAGGACGGAGGAAAAAGTTTTCGGGCTTACCGGTCCGGTCCTATCTCTCTGTATTAAATTGCGCGATCACATGACCCTACTCACTCGACGGACAGACACATTGGACGCTGCATGTAGTAATAGCAGAAGTATCCGCAACCGCCAAAAAATTGGAAAGACGATCCATTTTTTCCAAAATTTCCCAGTCATATGCTCAGCACTCAAAAAGTACCACAACTTGTACCATGTATCTTAATCATTCGCATTTATATCTAAGTGCGTTTCTACATCCGTAAAAATTTATTGACAATCCGGGAAACCGAGCGATCCCCAGCCAGTCCAAGAAGGATGACATTTTCGGAAGTGGTAAGTCTTGTCTATTGCCTCGAGCTCCCCAATGTCTTCATCAGAAAGACCAATGATCTTCTTGTTTGCTAAACAAGTAGTGAGTATCCAGAGTGAAAATGTATCTGAACCAAAGTTACCTTCAATTCTAGCGTTAGACACGGACTTGGTGAGAACTAGTTTCAACAACATTAGTATCTTGAAGTCATAAAGTTGGCATAGGCACGAACCTGATACATTTGGCTTGTTCGCCCACAGCGACAGCAGGATGGTTACAGGAGATACACTGTACTTTCCCGCAATTTTCTTGACAATGTCACTTTCCAATAGCGAGTACTCCTCCGAACCCAACGGGGAGTAGGCCGTAATAGCAATTCCTTTGCTTGCGCAAAACTCAATAACATCAGGTTGCGTACAGGATCTGTAATCGCAGGTCATTTCGGCCGAGATCGTCCGTATGGAAATGCATATACGGGTGTAGTTCAATCTGGTTGATTGCAGGAATAATGGTGGCTATTGCCAGAAGCTGCTCCATGAACTCGACAGAAACGTTCGAGACACCTGCGATTAAATCGGACATCGTAAGTTGCTCAGTAGAGGAAGCAACAAACCCCACCAATAGCCTTCACTTTCTCGGGATATTTCTTGTAGATTTCCTCCATTTTCTTCCATGTATCAAGCCAATTAATCTGTTTATACATCAGATGATAAATGTGATCGTCAAACCTTGATACGTACAGATTTATCAGGAGTCTTGCCGTCGAACATTGGGGCAGGCCAGTGCATGAGCCCTATACTCCATCAACAATGTTTCATTCTTGATATCGGAGTGCTCACATAGATCAAGATAATCCGTTCCAAGCTGCTCAAGCGAATATTTCAGCGCAGCCTCAGGATCTTTCTGATCAGGATTATCGAGTTTCGTAGTCAAGAAAAAAGAAGCGCGGGCGACACCAGACGCCTTAATGCCCTTTCCGACTTCAGCTTCGTTACCATACGCTGTTGCAGTATCGATATGCTTATAGCCATTCTTGAGCGCGAATTCTACGGCCCCCTCCACTTCTCCCGGTTGCGACTTCCATGTCCCTGATAAGCAGTGATGATGTCAGATCGAGAATGGGGAAAGCTTGATGGACGCACCAAGACCGAGGGTAGGCATTTCAGCGCCGGTATTCAGCTTGATGGATGTTGAGGCTGGCATCGTCGGTTGTGATGATGAGAGGAGAAATCAGGTAGAGGACTGAAGACTCGGATATGTCCTTTCCGGGGTCATCCAGACGGGCCGGCGGCCCGATACGTGTAGATACGCGTCATTGCAACGTCATTCCTGTGGTCTTCCTCGTGCTTCAGTTCTTACCTCAACCTCACTAACGCTCCTCATCCTTCTGCGACTGCTCTTGTTCAACCTATCTTCTAGTAATACTGTTAACGATAAGGACTCCGTCCCCTCTATCTGTTGCTTGCTCCATACAACGTCAGATAGATGGTTATATCTGTGGGATTTCAACCGTTCTCTCCCGATTACGAAAATGGGGCACCTCTTTCGGGAGTGGCGCTAACTGTTCTGATTATGCCACCACTATCTTGTCAGGTCAATCTACCGGAATTTCCGTTTTGAAACTTTGGCTTCACGCCGCGACTTGCAAGGCTTCTCAGGAAGCGACATCTCAATGTTGGTCTTTTCCTCCCTCACTTTCTGGCCTTGAACTGACATATAGTCACCATAAGACCGTCTCGGAGGAGCGTGTGATCTGCCCGTAAATGGATATTATAATGAAGCTCTCACCTTCATTCGGATAGAACCATATAAAGAAGGCAGAAACGCCATAGGGACTATGCGGAGGCGGCAATCCGTCAACGTGCTACCCCACAAGGCCCTGAAATAACCATGCAGCTGGGCTGGACTAGCGTATAGCTGGGGGAGGCGATTTTCTGCTAGCGCATTCGGCATGAAGGTATTATGCGAAAAATTTCAGCGCCTCATCTCTCTCCGTTGGCTAACACTTCTATTATTCCATAGGTTCCAGTAATGGGAACGCCACATATTCACCTACAGTCATCTAACGTTGGTTCTCACACTGAAAACTTATTAAGAATGCTAGAATACTCGTCTGTTAACTAGAAGCCTAAATCAGCGGCTATCAAGCACAAGACACAAGAAAGACCAACCTATCAGGTTCGTCCGGCTCTGCATCATTGTAGGGAGGAAAGATACGGTGAAGGAAGTAGCCAAAACCCGTGGTGTGGTTCTTGATCAATGATTTCGGAAGAGATCCCTTGAGTTTCTTACTGGGTAAAACTTCCTGCATCGTCTCCCATCACGCATCCCACCGGTTAGCGGGCGACATTTGGAGCCAATTCGCAATATCGGCTCGTAGTGCGTTCTGCACTGCGGCCACTCTGTCTTCGTCTTCCTCTGCCACGGGCAGTTTTCCATCCCTTAGCTGGGCTATAAAGCAGAAACGAGTTTTTTCAAGAGGCGGGAGAACCTGCCACCACCTATATCGCTCGTCGATTTTCCGAGGATCAAAGGGGAAGATGGCCTGACAAAGTTCGAAGCCTCGAAGCCTGGAAGAAGATAAAGGATTTTCATTGCAAAACAGACGAGGGAGCGACTTACTCGTCGGGCGGGATCCGTAGGGTGTCTATAGTAAGGCTCATGTTTAGTAATGGAGGGTCCTGGTGGAACGGATGAGCGTCTCTTTATAGTTGCGCCACGAACTTATATTATGGCTCTAGTGGTTCCGGTACGTGTCGTCGGAAGTCACACAAACTTACATAAATGAACGGAATAAGAGGTAGGAATGAAAATGGTATACCAAGACAAAGAACAGGTCCGAATTGGTCTTCTGCCACAAGTCTACAGAAAGAGCAAAAGTTTGATTTTGTCCGAGCTAGTACGTTTCGGGCTTAAGTCTTGTCTGTATTAATTAGGCATTACAGTTGTGTCGTCAAAAAAGGCCGATTTAATTTGGCCGTATCAATCGGAGTCGCTTTCTTTAAGTCGCCTGATAATAGAGTTTGTAGTATAATATTACAAAGGCTCACTCATGTAGTGTTGTTGGTATCGATTAGGGGTTAAATCACTTCGTTGTGGCTTATCATCAACCGAAGAGCCGCTGGTTCGATTCCAGCTACCGACAGTTTATTATACGGCCCTCTTGTTTTTTCTTGCGTTTAGCCAAATTCCTAATGCACGGCGTTGCACGCATGTTACATGTATGACAATAAATATCATTGATATGCCAGACCTCCAAAGCTATACTTGAACAATGAAGTGATTTAGCAATTTCGCTTATCAGTGTTTTGTTACCTGTAAAGGTCTGACATTTTTCAGAGGTACCTGAACAATCATTTCTGCCGCCATTTGCCACTCCTGTCTTTCTCATGATGGTTCGTAGCATTGCATGTCGTCCCGTATTCAATATCCCTGACATCCACGCCGAAATGGATTATGGAGATGTAGATCTTTCGAGCGTGCGAATGGCGTTGCACGGTCAGTTGCCTGAGTCTTTTCTCTATCGAGGTAAGAATGTCATCTCCCTGGCTACAACATGTAGTGTCAAATACACTTTCATTCGCGCGATTCACAACATCCTTTCCTTCCCCTCTTCGTCCGCGAATCGTTCGCTCGCTTGACTGAGCTCACGTTAATGAAAAGAGGCAGTTCACATATGATCCCGGATCATACGAAATGAAGAAGCACTCACTTTTACGTGGCGAAGCATCGTGAGACCAGCATGTTGAAGACAGACTCGCTTCTTCTGTGCTGCGTTAATCGCAGACGAGGCGGATATATCGCGTGTGCCATGTAGAGCCTAGGTCTCATTTGACTTTTGGGTATAAAAACCTCCCGTCCAAGCCCTGGGCTCCAGCTTCCAACATCCTCGAAGGCAATGGACTCCTCAGCATCCCCTGGCACTGATAACGTGTCTAGCAGCCAAATAGGAGGCGGTGCTGTGCACGTTGGAAGCGGAAGCCATGCTGGTATGTTTCGCAATGGTATTCCCCAGAGCTCACCTCTAACGTCGTCTTTAGGCAACGGCATTACCACCGCCGCCACTCGGAGTGCATCCAAGCCCTCTAGTGAGCAGATTTTACCTTTGTCCTTTAATTTCCAGAAGAACTCTTACCGACAACTTTTGCCTTGCAGGTTTTTTCACCAAATTCTCTGACCGAGTGAAGATATTCTTCAAACGTATGTCAGGCGGGTCCAAGTCCTCGAAAGGGACCGCAGTTGCCCCTCCTCAGTCCAAGGGAGTAGGCGAGGAAGGCCCCGTCGCGAAGGCAGAAACTGGAGATAAGGAGACGATAGAATAAACAACTCAGGTTCTGTGTTTCCGAGCTTCGTTTCATCTTGTTTGTTTCATAGATGTCTGTCTTTCACTCTTGATAGTAAACTGACTGCATGGGATCTATATAGTTCTTTTACGCGTGTTGAGCCAGAGTAGAAGAGAAACAGATGCCATTGTTCCATTCTTATAGATGAGAAGCTGCCGCTAGAAGCGTAATAGCAATACTGTGAATTCTGCGAGTTCCGGCTTCGCCTCGTGTCCTTGACGGGGCAGTCATTGGCACCGTTTACGCCGTAAATCTTGTGCTGAGCTAGATCAATGAACACCTGGACGGAGGTTAGGAAGACTGGAAGGTTGATTGATGATGGATAACACACGAAAGCGATTCTTCAAAGAGCCAGTGGTAGTGAACAAAGGCAAGGTAGCGGCTCCGAATCCCTGGTTGATTTCTTGCTCGGTCATGCCATATAAAGTTTTGTGGATCGCCGGGCCTCGAATTGTGAGATCTGCCGGCAAACAGCACGTTCGCTTATCCACGGACTTTTGGTGCATCAATACAACTTCCGTTGCTTGGAGAAAACTCTGTACACCCTGCACCTGTTTCACGTATGTCCAGCTGCTCTGCATTCGCCGTTCTCTGACGATCCTTCAAGTTCCTTGAGTCCCCTACTCGAATCTGTTTGAAGACGAGTCTGATCAAGGCTATGTGACATGCCAGGGACGGACCGATACTTGCTGTTCAGTCAAATAGGATCCCCAGCCGCTCTGACTGAAGAGGCGTCTTCGGTTGTCACCCCTTAATGATCGCAAAACAGCCAAAGCCACGAGTTTGACATCGCATTGGATTTTGGACGTCAAGTCTTCCGAAGATACCATTTTATTCAGGATTCTGACACACGCTATGGTGTTTGACAAGGCTGTTATTCATCCGCGAAAGGGGAGTACTAGGGGAGATAGACTGTATCGGTCGAACTCGGACGGAACTTTATCGTCAAAGCAGTGTCTCCCTAGTACGTCCTTATTCTTTAGACAAATATCCTATACAACATAATTGACGTCAGTTAGTTCATTAATGAACTATGTACGCGGTTCAGCACTTACACCGATAGTAGGGTTTTCAAAATTAGAGAGCAGGGCACCCCGTAGCAGATTCTGTGGAATATATAAGCGTTCCGTTTGAGACGTCGAGAGTAACGACAACAACCCACCAACGCAACAACGGCTCGAACCCAGAAGTCTTCAGCTACCATGATGTCGCCATTCAAATATGTCAAGCGCATGCTACGCTCTTACTGCCGCCGTCGCAAATCGACCACGATTACCAGGTGCACCCTCTCGTTTCGTTGCCTGCTACTGTTCTTCTGAGCCGTCTTCGCAGGGATGAACCGGCCGGACCCTCTAAAGACACAGAGTCAATTACGTCCAACGAATCATTGTAAGACCTCCACTTGCTGTTCTACGAGTTGTTGACTTGAGCTCTGCCACAGTGTCGCCAGAGGCCGGGCGAACGTTAATTCTGGTGCCTCTGCTGGGACATCGGGCGGCCCGCAAACTACCGGAGGATCCAGCAGCTCGCAGACGATCGCAGGCAGTGCTCCCAGTAAACCATAGAATGAAAATTTGAGTCGCACAAGTATCCCCGTATTCAAGCCAAAGTCCACGTTTTTGTAATTTATGTATGTCATCTCTCTGGAAGATGTCTGGTACCGCGCGGTATCTGAGAACAGACACATGTCCCACTGACGATCACATAAGGATAGTCCAGGACCAGGCATTTGCGGAAAGACCGTTGAGACCCTAGAAGTCCGCATTGGAGTCGAGATCAACCGCTAGTCAGGCTACAGAAAGTGCGCCTTACTTCCTTGCTAGAACCAAGATCTGGTAAAGACTGCGACGGGAGCGCGGCGGTGGAGTAATAAATATTTAAACCCCATACCAGTCTTCCATTATATCTCTTGACTCAGCATAGCAGCATGTAATTCCTGGAATGTAACAAGGTCGATGGGAAAGCTTACATTGACGGATAAGCTTGAACATCATTACTGTGAATATGCTCCAATGTTGATCGTTTTTTGTGATCGATAATACGGCGGTGCACCATAAAACCTAGGAGTGCCTGTAAGCTATTCACGACCTACGCCCGGTGTCCCCCAGTGCACCGTGCCGTGTAATACTGCCTACCTACCTACCTACGACGGTGGAAGGTAATTAGATTCGACCCGAATATCGAACAGGCCAGGATCGCAGTAAAGACATTTTGAAACGAGAATACAAGAAGCGTTCAAGCTTGGTGTACTCGCGGAATTGGTCAGATATGACATGGATACACGTCCATGCGTTGAGGGACCTTTTGGAGTCTCCGAGCCTTTGTGTCGATATCGGTACTAAGAAGCCCTACGGTTCATTTAGAGTCACGTCGAATGAAGCGTTGTAAGACCATACATTTCCACGAGATGTTGACTTGAGCTCTGCCAGAGTGTCGCCCGAGGCCGCCCGATTGTTAATTGTGCCTCTGCTGGGACATCAGACGGCTCACAACTAACCGAGGGTAGTGCTCCCGTCAAATCATACGATAAAAAGGAACCCTGAGTCATAACTAGTAGACCTATGTTTCAATCAGAGTCTGTACCCATTGTAGCTTATTGACGTGCTGTATACCATCTCAGCGATCCACGGGTATCTGATGGCTGATATCAGAGGCAATGCTGACGAAATTCTGTGATGCTGTGAGGTTTGTATTAGAGCCAAGATCGGCGACAGAAAGCGCGCCTTACTTGCTACAACCCAAGATCTGGTGAGCGGGCGTGACCTCTGCGGGGATATCAGACGGCTCGCAAGCGACCGTGGACAGTGCTTTCATGAAACTTTGATCATGCAAGTATACCCGCGTTCAGATTGAGCTTTGTAGCTTATACGTTCTGTATACCATCTCGGCGATCCATGGGGTATCTGTTTTTAGCGATATAAGGATGGTCCAGAACAAAAACGTAGGATATGCTGATATCTAACGCAGGGTTAGCGAAATTCTGTACGTTATGAGGTCTGTATTAGAGTCAAGATTAGCTACCTATCAAACCTTAGAGAGTGTAAACTCGAACCAGTCTCACTGCTGGTCAATCAAAACTGAAGTGGGAACTGGCTCGACTACAGAAAGCGTTTTCCTTGCTTATCTGCTTGCTACGACCAGGATCTCGCGAAGGCTGCGACGGGAGCGTCGCCAGTAATGACCGCAGGATGTAACCGATCATCTTCCATGATTACTTTTGAGCTTGAGGTATAGCATTGCCTGGATGTAATAAGGAGCGACATAGACGCGTTGAAGGATCTGCTAGAGTCGTAAAGAGCCATAAAGTTCTTTCAGAGTGTCCATGATCGTAGTAGAAGCAAGAGACGCGCGAAGGCCTTATTTGGTATCTGCTAATTTCAGACAGCGACCATCTTCATGATTCATCGCCTTCCTCATATGAGTCTGACAGCTTAACAGCTTGACTCTCTACGCCCATGACTCGCAGTCCGAATGGCAGCCCACGAAAGAAACACAAGCCATCCGAGGCTACAATTCACGACGATTCGGAATACCAGCCTACGAAAAGACTGTCACCAAGGCACCAAAAACCGTCCTTGGGTGCGATGATGGAATTACCAGAGGACGTTTTCCTCGAGGTGTGTGGCTAGCTAGAGTTCCCTGGCAACAGAACTCTGACTTTTCTAAGATATGCTGCTTCTTGGAACCGCGAGACCTTTTACATCTCGCTCGCTTGAACAAGGCATTTCGAGTGGTACTCATGAGCAAGTCATCCCGAGGTGCCTGGAAGTCAGCGCGTACCAACGTACCAGGACTCCCCGATCCCTTCCCCGGCATGTCAGAGCCTGCATGGGCCCGTCTCGCTTTCATACCCGAGTGCACTGTACGACCATGAGCCCCTCCTTTCTCGCTCGTTCACTCACTTCTAGGAACTAGTTTTGCTCTAATACAGTCCGCATACCAGACTTTCTCCTTCGGTCCCGGATCTGCTCTACTTGTCTGGACACAAAGTGCGTGTTGTTCCTCTCGCTTCCTCAGGCAATTAGTCCTGACTTGGCTTGACGAAAGGGTAATTGGAAGGAAAGAACTGCATCCCCCGCTGCATCGCTTGCTCCCCGACCAGCCTCCGGTATTTGACCTCCTTCCGTCGGTACGAACGAATTTTCGGGGTAACAAATCGATGGGTCGTTATTGTCTGAAGACTGAATGGGATGACATCAAGAGGCAAATATCAAGTCTGACTACAGACCAAGGAAAGGAGGAATTCATGGAAGATAAATTAGCACGATTAACGGGACTAAACAAAGTAAGTGCCTCTGCTACCTTTGTATTTGAATCTCACTCACGATATTCCAAGCACGCCGCACTCTGCGACATCTGGTACAAGCAATACCTCCGTCTCCGAGAGAAAGAAGCTCAGAAATCCCGATCTGAACGAGTCGAAGCGTCAGTAATCTCTCGCTTCCCCCCCCCCCCCCCCGCAATGCACTAACACCTATACACAGGATCCACGCAAAATTGAGAGAACTAGGATATCTAAAGCTTTATATGTGTGACATATCCAAACACCCGTACGTAGACAGAATGTCTCCACTCACCGATCGAGGTATGGGGTTTTACTGGACTGCATCGTAGAATATCTGCTTACCAGACTGTAGGATGGGCCAGGATTCGGGACGATATGGTATCTTTCGCTGAACTGGTCATGAAGACCAGAGAGAAAGCGGAGCGAGAACGTCTAGAGAGAAATAGAGAAGCCGTTCGCCGATTACATGGCTAGAAAAGGGCGGCTTATAGCGGTTCCTTTCGAGGAATCGGAAGTCATGCAAACGGAAATTTCTCGAACTGACACTCCTTGCAAGTTTACTTATGGCCGCCGGGGTGGATCAGATTTGGGGTAGATGAAGCAAGACTGTTGTGTAGAGCCATATAGAAAAGGACGAGAAGCCTAGATCGGAAATAGAGAAAGATTCACGTCTTCGCTACCTCCACACCCAAACAACCCTCCCCAAGTTTGATTTGGCGCCTTTTTACAATCTGAATGCGTGTTATTGTCATAGGCACCGTCAAAATACTCGCACCCATTCAACGTGCCAGGAATCCTGCTCGGCTATCTCGTCGTAAACGGTCGCGCCCTCCACCTTTCCTGAACCGCCCAACTGCAGCCCTTTGATTCTCAGCTGCGGTCTCCCTAGAGTGGTATCAGCGTTGCAATCACCTCCCTCACGGCAAATTTTCACCCGCGGTCCTTGTGGTATCTTTTACTTGTGATTCGGAGGAAGTTGGGAACCTTCACAGTCCGACTCGTGTATGATGGGCACGAGCGAGCAGGAATACAAGAACGCTGTGGGAAGGACGTGTAGAAGAAATACAATGTTCAATCAAAGACTGTGCGTATAGAGCCCGGGTCTTTGTCGGAAGGGATGCGATGCCGATACCAGAGCTCAAAGACTTGGACGATCACCACGTTGGAACTATGATTAAAAAACCCGGGCGTGCTGTTCATTCCGCCATGACAATGAGGAACAAGGAAATACAAGAGCGTACTTGGACGTAGGTCCACACAGCTCAGTCGTACCCAATGTACTGATGCTCTCTCACAGCACACACCAGGGCGTATGTCCACGTGAAAGAGCCTGATGGATTTCGAACGCTCCATCTTTACTGAACATGCAGAAGAAATACAATGTCTGTGTGGTAGGCTCACGTATAGAGCCTGGGTCATTGTCGGAGGGGAGGCGATGCCGATAAAAGACGACTAGAACTATGATTATGATCAAAGAATCCGCCTGTTCAATCCGCCATGGCGATGAGGAACAGGGCTCAGAGGAATACAAAGAGTAGGTCTTCACAGCCCGGTTCAACTGTATTCAATCTAAGTTACTGATGCTCTCTCACAGGATGTACAGTACTTTGGACTAGGGTGTCCATGTGAAAGACCTGATGAATTTCCAACGCTCCATCTTTACCCAACAAACATGTCGCCGAATGCAGTCGATAGTTGGTGATAAGCAAATTCGAATCGTCACGTACAGAACTCGGATGCATATCTTCTTATGATCAACGATATGGCGATTTTCCGTATGGACTTTTACATCTCTTGAGGGGGGAGACTACCGAAAGCAAAAGGGTGTTCAACAAAATTCAGAGGGACGCCGGGCGCTATTCTTCTCTCTGGAACCTCTTTTCGTCTCTCCAGGCACAAATTACCTTACGTTGCGTTGCGTTTAGAAGCAGCAGGATTGGAAGCGCTTCCCTCACAAATCATCAGACGCATGCATCAGGACTCATGAGCTTCCCGGACGGGGTGCTCATTCAGTGTACCTCGCGATGCACGCAGCAATACAAGGGCTCATTTCGAACCTTAACGGCGGCGGTATTGAACGGAGACCAGCGTCCCGCGGTGGAAGCTCACTGCCTCCCTCACACGAAGGGGGGTCAAATACAAGACCTCTACGGCGAGAAAAAGTTGCTATCAGAGCAAGAAATACAACAACGCGCGCAAGTTTTCCTGTATGATGATGATGATGATATCAAAACGACTCGTTTTCTTTAGGTTGCGGACACAAACACCTCGCCGAAAATAGGTCATCATTGATATCGGGACCAGGATGCAATTTATCGGTGTCAAGTTCAAGTTTACGACCTGACTACTAGGTTCAATCTTGCAATGTAATGTAATTCGCAAAGGGAAAGAAAAAAATGGAACCCACCCGCCCAACCACCTAGAAATGCAAAGTACACCTCTCGCCAAATTCAAAGTCAGATCGCAACGTAGGGCTCCTCAATCATGTGCGCCGTTCCCAGGCACTGAGGCACTCTTTTACCCCAAATGGACGGGTCCTTCACCTTACCTCGATTTGGTATTCCCTTTCACTACGTTGGGTTGGGGGTATAAAATATGGTTGTCTAGGTCGTAAGGAGAGTACAGTTCCTCCTGTCTGTCTGTTCATCTATTCGAATAACCTTTCTTTCGAAACCAACTCTACCCTACCATACATACAATGCGTTGCGTTTCTCTCGTCGTTTTGGTTCTCAGCTCTCGTGAGTGGTTCTCCTCTAGTTGGTTTTGAACAGGGTTGATTTATTTTCCGCGGTAGTGACGGTTCTCGTCTCGTCTTCGCCTGTCCCTGTTCCCGCCCCTGTTCCCGTACCCGTTGAGGCTGAGGTCGATGTACGTTTTCTCTATCCCTCCGAACGTCCTGCGGTGCTCATCTAGCGCTTTATAGGCTCGTGACCCCGAACCCAACCCCGACCCAGCGGGGTGCCTCACCTCGCGATTCACTTGCTACTAAGCATAAAGCATAGACTCTCCCAACACCACCACTATCTATGTATGTCACCCCCTCACATTATTCGCACACTCGCGCTAACCATCACCTAGTTGATCCCACCCGTTGTCCATAGCGCCACCAACTCTCGTTAACTTCCCACCGTCGCTAGTCCGACTTGCCCTCTTTCGTTTTGTTTTCCTTTCCCAACCAAAACTCTGCACTCTGCATCCTATTTCCTCTGGCTGCCTATCTTCATCGTTTCCATTTCTCCTCAGGCTACCCCATCTTCATGGACCCGCTCCCCCATCCCATCCCTGTATCGCTAGTGTAACCTCGCTCTCACTGTTGTTGTTGTTTTTCTATATACTTAAATGCATATCTATTATCCTGTTTAACCAAGAATGGGAATGAAAGCTCAAGCGCTCAAGGCCTAGATAGTCGCTCCAGACAAAGTTACTTGGGCCGTTTCCAAGGCGGAACTCGCTGTGATTGATCGATGGCTTCAAGTCGTCTTCGAAAATTGAAAATCCAAGAAAACGTTCGGCTCTCGGGATGTGGCTTTAGGTTTTGGAGAAGTGGTTCTTGTTAACTGTACGACGAAGATATATGCGATGTCAATTCAATTTCGCCCCCCCCTCCCTCCCTACCCCTCGCATGTATCGTCCCCTGCAAAGGAGGAGCGCTTCGGTAGCAGCAAGAAGTAGCAGTGCAGATATATGTATGTCCATCCCTCCTATTTGCACACCCACGCTAACCGTCACCTAGTTGATCCCACCCGTTGTCCATAGCGCCACCAACTCTCGTTAACCTCCCACCATCGCTAGTCCGACTTGCCCTCATTCGTTTTGTTTTCCCTTTCCCACCAAAACTCTGCGTCCATCTCCAGGCCACCTCATCTTCATATAAAACCCCACGTTTGCGTCATCATCCCTGTTTCGTTTCTCCTCAGGCTTGTAACCCGGATGCCGGTTACATCGGCTATTCCCGATGTGACATAGATACGAGGGATTGCCAGGTCACGTCTCTTTAGTTTACCACCACCATCTGTACCGTCGTCTCACGAATACCGAGCTGGTTCCTTGCACATCTGTGTGAACGAGTTCTTCAGTGTAGCTCCGTGGCTACGAGCTTCCACTTTTTTTTGCAATCCAACTTGCTCTCTTCTTTCGCTTTCGTTCCCACACTGGACCCTGCCACGTCATCACGCCGTTTCACGCGCCGTACCGCGCAGCAGTACCACCTACCCATCTTGGAAGCCTTGGACAATCCAGACTTACATCAACAACCCGACAAACACGCTACAGACCCTCGTCTATCTCCCGTTCCCAACCGTTCATCGTCACCATTGACTGAACTTGATTCTTCTTGCTCGCCTAGCCCTCAACCAATGTCTTCGAAATTAGATCTCCCTACCCTCGCCAATGTCACCTCGATTGCTGCACTCACATGGCTGACTCGCTGCGCAGACTCCTTTGAGGCCTGGTCTGCTCTCAATGCCGATAAGAAGATCAAACCCGAGACGCAAATACTAGTTGCTGGATTGAAGATGGAACATGCTGAGGCCGCTGCTTGGTGGAATGAGAACCGGGAGTCGTTAAAGAAGCTGGCATCATGGGATGAGTTTGTCGCAAAGGTGAAGGATCGTTTTGTCCCCTCCAACTGGCGTTTGGACGCACTTGCTGCCTTCTACTCGGTAAAGCATGCACCTGGGACGGACTTCCAGTCTTTTGTGTCAGACCTCCAAACTGCACGGAATGCCCTCGCATCTGCTGGCACTGGCTACACTATCACCGACTCTTCTGTCAAAAATCATCTGTTATTCTTCGTGCATCCCATTTTATCCCTTCGCGTCCGCAGTACTACGGGTTTTGCGTCAGTCTACGGAACCATGAAACTTGATGCCTTGGTCAATCTGATGTCTACGACTTGGGCGAGCCTAATTGCAGAGAACGTTGTTCGAATCAAGAACGTTCAGACTAGTGACCAATCCCAAGCCATTCCGACTGCCCACATCACTTCTACCCATCCCACAGCATCTATGGCCGCGTCAAACGGCCCACGTTACCCTTTTCCGGATCTTTCCTATGCCGAGAAAGAGGCTCTTCGGGCTTCTGGAGGTTGTTTCCATTGCAGGAAGACCCCATCTTCGCCGAACTGGACGCAGCACAGCGCACGTAACTGCCCTGGAGATTCAGCTGCCGGTGTCGCTCCACGAGCCACCCGCCCTCTACTCCCTCACCAACAAGTAGCTGGAATTACTTTTGGGGATGCCGAGATCCCGGAAACGCCAGGCTCCTTTGTATTAGATGGACCCGACTCTTCGGACTCGGACTACGACACCGACCATGACTTTGACTAAAGATTTCCCTCACTACCCGTTGTCTTTCGCATCGCTTTCGTACTCGCTTTTCTTTGATTGCTATCGTCTTCAGCCATGTTGCAATATTTTGGTCACTTCTGTCCTTATGTTCGCACCCGTGAAAGATAATACTTTCCTTGTTCGTTTCGTCCGTGACAATGGTCTTCATGTTCCAGCGTTCCTTTTTCTTTATGTTTCTTTCTACTTGGACTAGTACGTTTGTTTTTTTTAGAGTGGGGAGGAGTGTAACCCGGATGCCGGTTACATCGGCTATTCCCGATGTGACATAGATACGAGGGATTGCCAGGTCACGTCTCTTTAGTTTACCACCACCATCTGTACCGTCGTCTCACGAATACCGAGCTGGTTCCTTGCACATCTGTGTGAACGAGTTCTTCAGTGTAGCTCCGTGGCTACGAGCTTCCAAGGCTACCCCATCTTCTTCATATAGACCCGCTCCCCCATCCGTGTATCGTTAGTGTAACTCTCGCTCTCGCTGTTGTTGTTTTATATACTTAAATGCATATCTATTATCCTGTTTAAGAACATCCAAGTCTAGATGTCGCTCCAGACAAAGTTGACTTATCGTTTCCATGGCCTGTGATTGATCGATGCTCGTCGTTTTCGCGACGAGAACCAGAAAATCCAGGATAATAGAGAAACCCTCCGAGGTGCTCCAGGTTCTGGAGAAGTGGTATTTGTAGGACGAATATATGTGTGGGTTCAATGTTTATTCATCCCACGCTGTTGTTGTTCTTTCTATGGATCATCTGTTTACACCTGCGAGGATTGACCTGAGTCGCGCCGAACCTGTCATCAAATTGATACGAGATTGGACGGTGCCACGGGATTTTTAGAGTCTTCAGCGAAGGATTCGTTGGTGTTCCTTCAGGATCGGATATGAGATTCTTAGCGTGACGGATGTATTGCACGCTGGTGGTCTGACATGAACATGAAACGTTGGTTGCAGTTTCGTCTTTTTTTTTTTCGTTTTTTCATGGCTTTCGAGGTTTCAATAGGTTGAGACTCAAGACAGAGGCCCCTCTTTACGATGATGGATCAATTGCAAGCGATCGAGGCGATCGATGGACGGAACAAGATCAGATGTAGATTCGTGTAGGTCCACGGACGGGTCCGAGCGGATGTAACAATGGCGTATAATAACAATTGTGGTTGCATTGCAGCGACAGGCAGTGCGGAATAAATGAAATGACCGCGAATGAAATATGAACAAGGGTAACGTACCCGGGCTATGTATAAGGTAAAGAAAGTGATTACTATAGTACTGTACGATACGACTAAAATACAACAAGTAATAAGAGAGTGTAAGAGTTAAGTTTTTAATGGGCGTAAAAGTTCCGACCAGCGGATTAAAGGGAAGCCTTTAGGGCCCGTAATTGCATAAGGACATCCTCACGATCGCGACGGTTCCACTCTCCCGACCAGCCCTTTTCCTTGCGGCGGCCCCAATACTGACTGCGATCGACAACTTGAAAATGCCTGCGCTCGCCCTCGTCAACGCTATGTGAGCGGACCTCGTCTTTAACGACGGGTGTTTTGGGAGTGGCGCGGACAGACGCTGAGCGAGAGAATTTACGGGGAAGGAGGGGAGTCTCCGAGTCGTCTGACACTTGCTCGAGCTCCTCCGGTTCTTCCTCAAAGGAAGGTAGTGGAGCGCGTTTGGGGAGGGGAGAGAGTATGGTGTCGATACTGCAACTGCGGCGTCTAGCGCGGCGTGCAGGAGTGGACGACACGAGTTCGGGCGGGACGTTCTCGCCGAATGTACGAGCGAGTTTGGCCATTCGCTTCCGTCGCTCGTCGGGCTTTCGCTCGTGCACGGGGGAGATGGGGGAGAGCGGACCGTGCTCATTGGTAGGGAGAGCAGCTGTGTGTATGCGGAGGACGAGGGCTGGGCCAGTGCCTGGGACGAGAGAGAGGGACATCTGCTTATTGTGTGTGTGCACAAACTCGCATTGGGGCGTTGTGCCGAGGAGTGCGCCGAGTTTGCGTGTAGAGCGTAGGATGCGTGTGCGTTCGTTGGGTGTCATGGCTGTAAAGTGAAGAAAAGGGAAGTGAGTGGGTGGGTGAGCCCTGCGAAATATAAGGGCAACCAACTCGCCATTGTTCTTGTTATACCCGGTACCGCTAATTTCAAATTTAGCCCTTTGCCCGCTACAACGCCGACCGAAGCCAAACTTGGCTTCATTGTCGCATTGAAACGCCGATGTGACTACACCCGCCCTCCCGCCTAGTTCGGATGGCTGTGTGACGTCGCCAAGGTGAAACCAGCGCTGCGCAACTACACCCGCCCTTTGCATTAGCAACACCGACGTGTCCCCCGAGCCCCGCCCTACAATCGGTCCAGGTCCACCCGGAGCTGTCCTTTTCCCGACCCTCGTACCCGGCTAGGGTCCAGGCATTCAGGGTTACGAGATTTACCTCACCTTTGCCTACGCTTTGCTTGTTCCCAGCCCGGAAGGTCTTCACAGTACCTTATCCTGCGTTTGGTTGCTCTTGTCGTGCACTAGAAGCATCGAGCCCTGGCCCTTGTCTGCTGATCATCGCTGACCAATCCTGGAACGGCCATCAACGACTGCTCGCCTATTTTCTTCCTGCGACCACGTCTTTGCTTTGATCACCGGCTGTCCGCCTCGACACGGATCCTCGCCACATTAATCCACAATTCCACGTCACTCTCAATCCCATTCATTTGCATCCACGTAAACATTCGCGCCAGCCTCCCGCCACCATACCCGGACCCAGCGCCATCTTACCTCCGCTCTGACACTTGTCCCCGTCGCGAGAAATCTCCATCGCAGTTTCACTCTCACCCGCTTTTCGATTCCCTCAATCCATTATTGTCCTTGCTTTGGAAACTATTGTTCATCGGTGACTCCCCCAGGTCACTGCGCACTTCTTTTGATTCAGCACCTCCGATACGGAACAAGAACTTTCTTTCCTCCCCACGCGTCTTCCCATCCCGGACATCTGTGCGCTATCAAAAAGTACCACCGCCTTACTCATTCAGAATCATAACGCAGAAGCACCTCACCCCCGTCTTCGCATGTCGAAACCCGGTATTCACGACCGACACGAAAGGAACATTCCCATTTCATGACGCTTACTTCTACCCGCCATATCTTCCGTGCTTTGATCACCGGCCGACCCTTAACGGAGACGTCAATCACTCCTCGACTCGGACGCGGTTATTTTCTTCTTCGGCTTATGCTCCCGTCCATGCACGTTCATCCAGTATACGCGTAACCGTCCCCGCCAAACATTTTTGGGTCGCGCCAACCCATCCTCCGCCCCGCCATCTTACCTCCACTCTACCATCGCACGATATTTCCTTCACCGCACCCACCCAATGTCTTGTCTCTGCTTTGGAAGCTCTTGACTCCCATCTACACGATCTGTTTTTGGTTCAACCCCCTTACGGAGGAAGGACATTATTTCCCTCCCCACGCTCTCATCCCAGCTTGTTTGGGAGGCCGACGTGTCCCACTATCACATCGTCCCATCCACCTTGCTCACGTCCTCCCTCGCCTTGTGCTTATTCCGGAAGCTCTTGACGCTTCCACGGAACCTTTTCCTTCATAAGCATCCCCGCTCGGTCTTTGTCCCCTGATCCTCCGCGAAACACGACTGGCCTAGAGGAACATACCCACGGCCATCAACATTCCGCGCTTATTTTGCATGTACCCGCCAGGTCACGTCCTTTGCTTTGATCACCGGGTCTTTACTTGACGGAGATGTCAATGGATCCGTACCTCGACACGGTTATTTTTCATCTTCGGCATACTGATATGTATCCACGATTCTCCCGTTCGTGCTACAGACACGCCCGCCATGTAACCGAGCTCAATATACCGTCCGAGTCCGCAATCCCATTTTTCCCGTACAGATCACACAATCCAAATACAAACTTTCAAGTTATTTTTTTTTTGCTCGCGCCAGCCTTCATCGCCCCGCGTGCACAGACTTTTTGGGAAGCTGACGTGTCCTCCGCCCAACTCCCTCTCACGCCGGAAAATCCATGTCTCCAAAGTTGAATCGAGCCTGAGTGGAGAACGTGATTGAAGGGCCGTCCCTTCATCGTTTCCTTCGCATGTCAAGTTGCGCCAGTCGGATTCACATGAAGCATTTCATCCGCGGTGGCATAGAACATGGAACCTCCCAAGTTTATTTCGTCTCGTTTAGCTTTGTCACGTACAAACCACAAACCACAAAGCCATCCGGCCCAATGACGCATCGCGCCAACTCCCCATCCTACCTCCGAAGGGTCGGGCATTGTGATTCCCTCGTTGTCCCTGCATGCCCTCTCTCCGCAGCCTTTTAATTCATTCGGCCCGTCGACCTTGTTTTTGATTCGACGCAGATGATGATGCTTCGAGTTTCCTTCCGTAGTCCGGTCTTTGCCAATCCCAGACGTTTTTGGGAGGGGATTCATTATCCTTCCTTGTGCGTGTCGTGCGGTGGAGGGACGACCTTGCCTTGTGAGCGGAACGCTCGTCAGATGGGATCCATACTGACAACAAAATGCAGGATCCCACCCTCAGAAATACTGAGTACATATCAGGAATGCATGCACCCACCTCGTGGCAACGACCACTTGCTCCAGAAGGTCCATGCCTGATGTTACTTTTCGTGCTGCTCGCCGAGTCTTGTGCTTATTCCAGAAGCTCTTGTTGCAAGTAGTTCCTCTACTCGGTGTGTTTATCCGGAACGATCACAATGCTTCCCTTTCTTGTGCCACGTTTGGATGCTCTTGTGCGTTCTCAAGAAGTACCGCATTAGATTCATAATGCAGAAACACCTCGCAGTTTTCTCCGAGCCCTAGTTGATCCTCTTCGCGATATTGAAACTCGTTATTCCCATTCAAGACCTTGCGCTTATTTTCGATGCGCCAAAGTTTCCGTGCTTTGAACACCGGGCTCTTAACGGAGATGTGGCTGTACCTCGACGCGGTTATTTTCATCCTCGGCATATGACTCCCGTTTGTGCAACAGACACGCCCAGCATCTAACCGAGCGCCCGTCCACCTCAATCCCACTCTTCCTGTACAATTCACGTTTCCACCGTCGCAACTAGGTATTTAACGCATTTTGGCTCAACATCTCACGGCTCACACGAGGCTGCTTTTGTTATGTCCCATGCGGTCCTGTTAATTCATTTGTCGACATCCTTTGTCGTGGTATGGACCACCCCATGTGATTCTTTCTGCTGGAAAGCTTTTCTTGTGATCATCCACCCCGCCTTCCTAGAGCACGTACTTGACTGGGGGAGATTGACGAAATATTTTGTTGGCCTAAGCCTGAAAAAGCGTTCATTAATGCAGAAAAATCTCGCTTGGTCTTGTCAATGTCCAGTGCTGATCCTCCTCGCTGATCCATGCAGACGCCGAAGCCCGTCATCGGAACATACGCGTATACACGCCTGTCAATCTACTGCTTACACCCGTCCATTGTCTACATCCCGCCCAATCTCGGGCTGTCCCCGTCTTTTTCGGTCGACATGTAGCCTCCCACGGTACGGCGCCATCTCACCTCCGACCCTCCCGTCGCGAGAAATCTCCTTTACCTCTCACACGCGAGTTGGAGTGTTGTTGTATCCTTGCTTTCGTAGTTCTTGTTATTGTATTGATATATGTGGCTGCGGCTTTTCTACCTGGCTCCCCTCACGTTCCAAGGGGTGTTAATTCATTCTTCGGATTGAACATGGTCCATTCTCTCGGCTCTGGCTCCCTCCTCGCCTGCTGTAGCGTGTTTACTTCCAGATATAATGTCATTGTCAATAAATCAGAAGCTTATATGAATCAACGCCAAAAGCTATCTTAGGGTAATTGTAAGAAGCAACAAAGAACAAAGTAACAGTCCGGGGCATCATGAACGCATAATCTTCTCCCAGAGCGAGGGGAATAACAAGAGCTTCTGAAATAGAGTACAAAGGCTCCAACGTAGTCATGTGGAGACCAAGGTTACGATGGAATGGCGGCGGCGGCGCATGCCAGTGAAATTTACCCATCAACACTGAACAAATATCCTTTGTATTCTGATAGATTCGAGAAGCTGACAACTAGCTCGATTCATTCCGGCGAAAAAGTCGTTGCGTTGAACGTTGAGAAACCATTTTAGATATCCACAATAAAGTTACACAGCACACGAAAGCAGAGATAAACAAAACAACATGACCCGGAAGAGGACGAGAAAAGACACGAAAGTAAAATTAACTAGCGATACAATTCGACACTTGCGACTTCTATGATGAATGAAAGTGCGAGAGGAATGAGTGGGTGGATGGATGGGTATCCGCAGTGGGTAACGCGCCGGACAGGGAGAGTTATAGACAGGCGGTGCAGAAGGGATGGAGGGGTAGGTGGGTGGGTGGCGCTCTAGACTTTTCTATGTCGTCTACTGGAGAGAACAGTCAGCATACAATGTAGGCATCAGTGGGGAGAGAAAGAACGTACACATCAGTATTGCTTAGAAGCATGAGAATCGCGCGGTGCGGCAGCCAGCTGGGTCAGGCTGAGCTTCAGGGTTTGGTTCACGGGCCTGGGACAGAAAGGTAAGATGAGGGCTTAAAATAAAAACCAGAGAAAGATCGACGTACATCGACTTCGGGTGCCTCGAGTACGGGAACTGGTACGGGTTCAGGCCCAGGAGAGGGTACGGGTGTTGACGCGACGAGGACGGTCACTAGAGGGCGAAGTCGGTTAGCGTCCCAGAATCAATAATAATACAAGAGAAGAGAAGGACTCACGCGAACTCAACACCAAAACGACTAGTGAAACACAGCGCATATCGAAATTATGTACGAGTTAATTGTTCGACAAAAGAAGGAATGCGAGAGGAGAACAATAAAGTCCCTCTCCCCATCCTCGAGGGTTTATATGAGAGCAACCACAAAGCTCAAAGGGAGTTCCAAATCCGGACGATACTTTGTTGGCTGGTGAGGTTGAAAGGTTCGGCCGGATTTGGAACAATGTTGGTTTTTGGTTCCCAACAAGGAAATGGTGGGACGAGGAAGTGGGTGTTGGGTGCAATGTACGAATTATATCCGCAACGACATCATATGGTACTAACGAACGGCCTTTATTGGGAGTATCTCCATGCTCGGGCGAATGGGCCGGGACCTGGAAAAATTAATCATTTGGCGACGCACGGGATACCGAGACCAATGTTGAGGAAGTCCTTGGTCCTGGTCTCGCCTCAGATGCAGTGAAGTCAAGTCCCTCCTAGACTGGAAGGCGTCCCGCGCAGGTGTACCGAAACCCTTGGACCTTTGTTTTCGAGAACAGGTTCTCCCCTCAACTGATAGACAGAGATAGTAGGCGACTAGCGGAGATAAGGTGTTTTTTTTTAGCTTCTTCACACCCAAGCAAAGTCGATAGGTTTTCACTCTCCGAGACCAGTGGCGGGCAATTTAGTGACGGGATCATCAACGCATTGGCAGTTAGAGTGGATGGATGACGCGAGAGGGATGATGGAGCGCAACGCTGGAACGTCAATCAGAAGTGAAGCCGTACAGTAAAGTTCGCGATAACCTGTTTTCTGGGGTAGGCTGCAATTGCCATAGCATTGCGATTCTGGAATGGAAATATGATGAGGTTCGCGCTGAACATTGTAGTCCAGGGTAAGTTGGAAGACTGCTACTCCTGATTAATTCGTAGCCTCGTGATCAAGTTCTTTTGGGCCGGTGTGAAATATTGTTAACGGCACGAAAAGGTTCTCCGGACTGACGTACTTGAGACTCAGCAATTTATTTTCTGCGTAGTCAGTGTCGGGTTATCTTCGTTGTGGATTACGCCGCAAGTTCCTCGCTGCATGGTCTCGGTCCTGGCCAGGAAAAAGAACGAAGTCCGTACTGGGTTCAACTGCGCGGGTTGAAGACAAGATAACCAACGACAAGTCCTAGATACCTCGTGCCAGTTAACCCTGGAACGCTTCTGGAACTCAGTTTCATCCGTGTGGCTCCTCCCCCAGATCATATAATGCATATGGCGAACGAACAGTGTACGTGAATTGAGTTAATTGACGTTTCAAAGCCGACTAGCAATTCTGTACTCCAAAGCAAGGGCACCTAGGACCACATCCTGAGTCCATCGCTGTTTTAAATTTTTTGGAATCATAGCTTCGTCTCGCTAGTACTACTTAGTACCCAGCCAGTGAAAGCGTTTCGTCGAAGCCTGCACCTTCCAGCTCTCATCCTCAAAGTTGATTTCGTTGTTCCCGACAGTTCTGTTCAGTAAGGTATAGGGATAAACAAAGTGAACTGAGAGCTTGAAGATCAATGGCTGAAAAGTTGATCAGAATTGAACCGACGTACTGTACTTTGCAGTAACATATAATGTTAACGACGCAAAAATATTTCAAAGTTTTCCGGACTACCTAACGCACTTGAGGCTGATTCTTTTTCAGTAGCAGACGGAGACTAATGTTACACTGTTCACCGAAGAGAATCAGGAATCGGTCTCTCAAAGATAGTACATAGTATCAACATCTGTGGCAATATTTACTCTGCTCATAGCTGCGTCCGCAGGCACGTTCGAGGGTATCGTCCATGCAAAATTAAACGACGAAACCTTTCAAAGGATAGTACATAATGTATGGCACTGTACACTGTACACAAAGCATGCAAGTCAATTTGTCAAGACTCAAGAGTCAAAACTCAAAAGTTAAGCAACTGAGGCTAATAGCCTAACTTGTTACTTGTCACTTGTTAGTTAGAAGGCTAGCGGTGGTTAAAAGTATAAGGCCAACTGAAAGCGATTTACCAGTGTCGGTAGCTGGAATCGAACCAGCGGCTCTTCGGAGCAAAGTAACCACAACGAAGTGATTTAACCCCTAATCGATACCGACATTACATGTTGATAGAAATGTAGTTATATCCATACGTCTGTGGCCTAGATTCTGTACAATAATCTAAGAGTCATCCAGAGTGTATAGCGAAGTACAAAAATGAAGTTATATCATACTAAAAGATCCTCATTACAGGTATGCCTCTATCCGTTAGTATTATCATAATCCTACAGCCTTTCACCGTGGTTGGCTAAGAACGCTCCTCCTCGTCCACTTCTGAAGGACTGCCTATCTCCTCCCATAGAGAGGCCCCGGCTGGGAAACCCGCTCTCATCAACGACGTCGCCCTTGGAACCGAGTCTTTGGGGAAACGAATGTCCTACAGGCGAGGCCAGCGAGGGAGATTGCGAAGACGTCCCAGAAGAACGCGACTTCGACTTCGACTTCTTCTTTACTGGGAGAGATGAAGGAGTGAGACTAGGCAGATGAGCGGTCGGGCCGAGCTGTTGGCTATGGTACCGAATTTGCGAGGAGGCATCTGACGAAGTGAGTCGCGAATCGGAACCCCCGCTGCTGCTGTGATGCTCTCTCCTGCTGATATACATTCCTCCATCAAGGTCTGCACCATCATCCGCTTCTGTATCAGCGTCTGGATGAGACGGAGGAAGCGTGTGGTAAAACCCGGGAGAGGGGATATGTGGGTACTCTCCAGTGGCAGAGCCACTTCCTTGAAACCCCTCAAATTCTTCACCATCCACGGACCCAGCAGCCAAAGCCTGCGCGAGCCGCTTCATCTCCTTACGCTCTCGTCTTCGCTTGCGCCTCTCTTCTTTCGCGCGCCTTTCCTCCTCCTCTGCGACACGTGCTCGCTCCTGGAGCTGTTCCGGAGTCATGCTGTCTATCGCTGCCGAGTCGAGCGGTGCAGCGTCAGAGTCAAATCCCGTAGAAGACGTCCGTGACATGGAGGTGCGGGAACGGCGAAGTGTATTATCTTCCTCGTCTTCGTCGAGATGGATGGGCGGTTTGCCGAAGAGGTTGAACCCAAAGAATGTTATACGCCTAGAATGTCGTTTTCTCTTCCTTCTACGATTGTTGTCACCAATATTCGAGTGCAAAGATAACGTCTCTGCCTCTGTGTCAGTCCCCGGATCCTGCAACAAGTGTTCGAGATTTTGGGGAAGCCGCTGGTAGCCGCTGTTGGTGGGGTCATCATGATCGTGGACCTCTCGGGCGAGGCAGGGCATGCAAGCTGAGAACGCAGCACGGAAGGAATCCGACCAGGAGAATGAGTCCATGGTTGTGGTCGGGGAAATTGAAAAAAGTCGTATCTTGGTTGAGGTTGAAGGTCAAGCGCATGATAAACCCGCGTGGCCCGAAGTTGCCGGTCGGTTTCTCAAATGCCCATACAAATACTGATGGTAGTGTCGGCACACGCCTTTTGCTTCTTCGAGGTGAAGTTCGAACCCGCGTCCAGGGCGCCACCATCCATTCAGAATTTTATTGAGTGGTTCGGCTTTGGGACGTCTGGTTTGGATCTTCGCAAAATCTCAATTGGTCTTTGAAACACTCAACAGTAATCGAGCATTCTATCACAGCAGAAAAAAGAGAGTTGGTATCTAAGCGATGACCAGATCGCCCGTTAACTAATTATTAATGGTGGCTAGCTAGATATTCAAAGCCTTTGACAAGTCCGGCATTTATACTTCATGACATCGTTCGACCTAGACCAGTACTCGAGCATTGTGTGCGCCTATAAATGGTCCCACTTCGACCCGAAGTCATCACAGACTATAGGAGCAGTGACTGAGTATCCATTACACCGCTCACCGTCTCTTCGGTGATCTGCATACCTCAAAAACAAAAGATGTCGAGGGGAGAACATTCTGGTCCATGATATAAGATATAATACAAAGCAGTTACACCACACCGCGCCGGGCGTTTCGTTTGGGATTCCATAACAAATATAAGATCTTTCTACCAGAGCGCCACCTGTGTACCAGACTTTCGAAGAGCGTCGACGCGAGACAGAGTGTCCGGTCTGAGCTCGCCTCCCTTCCGAACGCCGATGGCGGCAGACTTCAACACTCGCTTTTCCAATATGTCCAAGATCGCACTCTCATCCACCTCGCCTGACCAGACGAGCTGCAGATGCTCTAGCTCCTGCAGCACCTCCGCATCACCGAGTTCCTTGATGAGCTTGGGGAAAACAACTCTGATACGCGTATCAATCCCTTCAACGATAGATAACCGTCTGAGTTGAGGAACTGCATGAAGGAGGGAGAGCATTTCGGGATGCCCGATAGTAAGTGCGTTCAACACGAGCTCCGTGAGAAGGGGGGATTTTGAGATGTATTTTTCTAAATCGCAAATTGTGTTCTTCATATCATCAGATTCACTGCTGTTTGTGCAGTCGATATCGATAAGCTCCAAAGACGCTAGCTGGGGCATTGAACCCATCCAATGAAAGACTGGGAGGCTATCTTGGAGAATGAGCCTCTGGAAGGGAAATTCAACATCCCCGAATGTCAGATAACCGCATCCTCTGAAGGTCGCAGTCGTGGCGTTGGGGAAGTCGTAAGACCTTGTTGGGTAGGCGAACGAAGGAATATTCGCGAAGTAGATGGTAGTGATCTGTTCATCTGGTAAACGAAAACACGACCCCTGGAAGGTATTGACTGCAAGGGTATGTATTTTAGGGGCGTATTCGAACAGTTTGACTGGGGGCTGCACGGAGAAGCTCAGTCCGGCGGCGGCTGAAAACTCAAGATTTTCGAGTTCTGGGAATTCTGGATTGACGTTCCCCCGGAAAAAGTTCAACAAATAGGCAGCGTTGGGATCAATTCCGATGCGCTTCAATCGTTGGAGATTCAGCGCACCGAACAATGTATCCATGGCAGAGCCCAGGTCCCGCTGGACACTGTTAAAACCCGATCTTTGGGCCTTGGTGCCCTTGCAAAGTTCCACTGACATTTGTAGATTCAAGAGGTGCTCGCCTGAGCGCTGTTCGTATAACTTCATTATATTCTGGAACTGTGGAGGGGTGTCGTGAGAGCCAACATTGACAAGGATGGATTTCCAGAGCGGGGGAAACGACAGGCAGACGTCACGCCAATAAGCGCAGACAGAGGAAAGATAGAAGGGGGTAGTAGATACTAATGGCATGCCGTCGCGAGAGAGGAAGGCGTCGTAGGATATAGAGGTGCAGACGAATTCGAATATATCCTGGAGTACATCACAAGGCAGCCTGCGAATCGGGGACAGAAGGGATTCGAATTTTTTCATATAACTCGTGAGGGACTGTCGACCGGTTTTGAGTTTCTCCAACGCGGTGTTCAGTCGAGATATTTCTGCGTCGGATTGTGATATCTTCTTCTTCAACCCGATGATGATATCTGAACAAAGTTCCGTCTCTGATTTGTCGAGCTGCCTTCCGTAGCGTAAATACGCGGCAGCATCGAGAGGCAAGGCAAGGGGTTGAGTATCAGATAACTGGTCAAAGTTATCGCATCGTGGGATGGAATCCATTTGGAATGTTAACTTGCGACGATTAGAATAATCAGATAAGAGCCAAAGGTGCACCTACATCCCAGACACGGTCGACTCTCCAGGGGACAGAGCGATGTCTGGTATGAGTTTTCAGTACTACAAAGAGATGGTCAGATTAACTTTGAAAAGGAAGAAGGAGCGATTTGGCATTCAGGATTTGCGGCTAAAGATAAATTTATCACTGACCGGCGAGAGCAGAAGACAGATGTGGTTGTGTTCCCACGGATCTGACCCGGCTCCCCTTCCCCTCCCTTTCTGAACTCAGAACTCCGTCCGGCGTCACAGACTCATACAATTTTTCTTTTCACTTTATACAAGTCTGACCTTTCATTAGCAGCTGACCATCAAACGTCGAAACCAAAATTTCCCCACGACGGACGTACACTGAGAAAGATATACGTCGACTTTGGCTACATGCGGAAGGTTGGACTCTGGAGACGAAGATGAAAACTGTGCTCACAGTGAAAATTCCTGCTGCTCGTGCCTTCTATGTCATTTTCCCTCTCACGTTGAGGTAACGGTTTGGTACTAAAACGATGGTCCTTTCTTCGGGTAGCAACTTATTCATTCAAGCATCTTCTTGCTCACTTACTGCGCAACTGCTTCATGGTGGAGATTATGGTGAAAAATTTCAAGAACAAGGAAGACGCTGCGGTAGGATGCTGAGCTGATTCTTCTTGCCAAGATACATTCACGTCACTTCTCATCCTTGTCTGTACATTTTCCCGATTCTGCCCTTGCTTGATTTTAGACGAATATGTGGGAAGATATATTGCACATTACAATAATTGTAGTATAGTGGGGTTTTTCGCAAGCGACGAGCCTTTAAGCTTTACACCTAGCAGCGACTACGTGAGCCCTTCATACGATCAGTCCTTCGTACCCTCTCGAGTAGGCATGATAACTACTTGATTTAAAAAGAACAGTACAATGCGTACTCAAACAGGAATAATCAGACATTCTTCAGTAATATGCAAATCCTTTAGCTGCGTCGATTCATCTCTATCGAGAATTTGCAACACCGACACTTTCTCAAATCTTTGCTTTGGCAGTCTCCGCCCTACCACCCAACTTCGGAAGTCCGATTCATCCACGCAAATCAGTGTGTACGTTTCTGCAGGTATCGGATACGTGTGGGTGGCCATGATCTTGAATCGATGTTTCATCCCATCCTTGCCTTTAACAATCAACTGTCCATGTCGATTATCCCCTTCCACAACAGCCAACCCCCGCACCAACCCCTTAATACATTCCACCTCACACCAGTCTACACCCGTCTCCTCATCCCGATCAAAGAAGATACCGGCGAAAGCATCGGTGGGCAGGGGCTTCGTCATAAGCTGGTGCCACGATGGTCTCCATTTTGCGCCTGCATTGCCCGGTTCAGGATAGAAGGAGAACAAATCTGCCCGACATTGTGCATCCATCGAATTCACGAGCGCTGTCCATGCCTCCTCGAGAGACTGGCTCTCATAGTATGCTGGTATCACATTGGAGAGCAGACGAAAGGCCAGTCCCGCGACTTTGTCCACTGGGTTGGTCGACACCCGCTTCCGCATGTTCTCCAACACCGCAAACACACCATTTGAAATGTCGTGAGAGTTAGACTCAGACTGCAGTTGCTCGTGAAACCTGGTCAGTAACGGAGTCTCATACTTCCCGTCCTGTTCCTTGGCATGCAGTGGTCCATCCCATGTGTCCCCAGCGATCACCATCTTTCCGCTAACCTCCTGCAGTGTCCATGCACGTCTGAACCAAGACCGATCACTGTCCAAATCGCCGTCCTTCAAACTCAAAGGCCGACCCAGCCCACTCAAGTACCACACGACATCGGCCAATAGATACACTGCTCCGATGGTAGGCACATCCAACATCCATTCTTCCGTACGCATATTCTCCCCTGGTCCACCCACCTGTCTCAAACAAAGAACGTCCAACCACACATACTCCAGTCCAAGATTGAGCATCTCAATGCGGACAAGGTTGAGGCTGGTGTCTTTCGGGATGGGAACAGGCCATTCGTATCCGTTGATAGGTGTCGACACATTGACACGATCCTTCTCATCCATCCAAGCATGCGATATTGGCCGAGGCTGGTGCTTCGACTCAATGTCAGATCTAGAATGATCAAAGGAGATGCCCGTGCTCCACCATGGCACCACCCGATTACTGTACAGATCCCAGATACGTCGAGGTTCCAACAGTGGTTCGACGACCTGGTTACCAACAAGTGCTTTTCGTCGCTTCTCCCGGTCCCCCTCTTCCCATTTGCGTAATGTGTTTCGTATGGTGCTCCAGTTACGAGTGTACCATACCCGGCGGAGGCGGCCATATGCCATGCCAAAGTCATAGTTGTTTGCAATGCAGTCTTCAAGAAGGGAGGAGAGGGATGTTGTATCCACGGTGCGTGACGTTCTGAGTGTCGTATTGAGTTGATCCAAGAGGGCCTGAACACCGAGGGTAGCGCAGGGAGTGTCAGCAAGGCAGGATGATATCACAGGCTCTGTACCGGTGTACGCCCGCTGCAACGGAACGATGACCGACGATCCCTCTTGGCCAGTCTCAGTGAAAGCGGAGATGGTGACCTCAGGAAGGGAGATGTTCTGGGAATGGTATCAATTTCCCCTCTGTTTGTTTGCCCACTGACCAACCTCTGGTTGAAGCCAAGGTTCCTCAGGTGATGCGTCAGGAGATGGATCTTTAATTGCCTGAGCAGTCGCAAAGACGGAGTATGTGGTTCCAAATCAACATCACGTTGCTGTGAAGCCATTGGTATACGACCTTGGATGGCGCTAATGTCATCGTATGAACATTTGAAACGAGAGGGAATAATGCTACGTACTATTTGACATTTTCTTCAGAAGGGCACGCAGGTTGAGGAAGTACCAAATGAAAAAGTGTTTGCGTTGAGGTATCGCCACTTGCAAGTGACAGCTTGAATCCTCCCAGGCTGCTGCGTGTGAATAACGTGATAGAAATCTGCATTCTCTCCAGCTCATAAATGCTTTTCCACATGGATTAGCTCAGTTCGCTGAAATCGAGGGTACTACCTTGGAGACTAGGAGCAACTTCATTTTGCAAGGCCAGGATTCTAGTAGACACGTCGGGAGAGTAGCGTCTAAGGGAAATCGAGATTAGCAGTCATGGCGCTTGTCATTTTTGGTCCTAGTTGTCAAGTGCTTTGGGCGCTTCCCTGTTCCTCGCAGACGCCATCCTCAGCGTTCGTCATGAACATAGCGAAAGTCTCTTCAGAACTTCCAGCCATATCCAACGGAAAATGAACCTTATTTGAAGTAGGTATTTCAGAGTCTTCTCTAGAACCGCCCTAATGGACTGGTAAAGATAAAACGACCCACGACCGTCCCGCATGAATGCCTTTACCGATGGGAACGAGTTGCGTCGCACGGCATGCACAGTGATGAGATGCTACCGTGGTCAAAATCAGATGAAGAGAGCGGTGGATCTGATAAGACTCACCTGATATCCAACAGCTTGGTACCTCCAAAAGATGGACTCGGCAGACGTCGTAGTGAAATCTACGACAGAATCGTCCCATGTGATCATCCCCTTCCTGTGGATGGCTTTGCCTAAGAGTGATGATTGGTAGGTCAAACATACTGTCTGAAAGAAAACTCACATTTGCTGATGTTGTATCCCCTAGTACAGATACCAGTACTTTATCTGCTTGCAGGGTGAACGAGTCTTGTAAATCAAGGTACATCGTGTTTGGCGAAATAGTCTGTACAGTCGGCGTCAAAAACGAAAACCCACAAATAATATTCTCATACCATCTCATCGGACCCTCGAACCTTACCAGCATTTATTCCTTCCTGCCTCTTTGATATGTTAACGATGGAAACCCCGGTCTCCGATTTTTCATTTTTTTCATTCAGATTCACGAGTTGTATTGTCGGCTGGCGGTATCTCGGGAGAAGGGACGGGCGGACATTCAGTCTTCTCATCGGAGCAAATAGATCCAGAAAACGAGAAGAGAGAATACGTCCGAAAGAAGCCATATCTCAATGTTCAGAGGCTAGGAACATCCAAATCTCGGACCATCGACGAAGTTGCCACAAATCAATAGTAGGTTCGCCAACGACGGCAATCTTGATATAGCCATCGGAAGCTCTCGTATTCTATGGGACATTTTTGGAAACGCTCTAGATGCAGCGTGGTGATGGCCTGTGGCGATGGTAGGAGATGAAGGACGGACGAATGGTGCAAAATATGCTCGAGAGCTTCGATGATCCTTCTGTGAGGATGCTCCTCCGCAAAGCTCGTTGCACGATGAAACATCGGAGTAACGGATGATAAAGACGTGTTCAAAGTTGGGGGAAAAGGAAATATCGAAGAAGAGTGTGCTGCCGCCAGTCAGAATAACTGTCGACGTGGACGGAGAGTACCCGTCAGTGGGAGAAAGAGTACATCGTGAGTTCGAGGAGCAGAGTTGAGTCAGATTCAACGTTGGGAAGGGCCAACTGTGAGTCGAGCATGAGTGGTACGTTGACCAATGCAGGGTGGCTGTACAACATTTGGAATTATAGCCTTGATGTGCAGCCATAATTTTGGAAACGTCACGAGCACTACCTGTCCTGTTATATTGGCGGTATGCGTCGAGCATCGATAACAGTCTTAAGGCGACGGGATGCCAGAGCGATGTCATAACAAGCGACGTTGGGTCGTCTTGCTTTGACCACCACTATGCAAGCTGGAATTTCCGTCTTTCTTCCACCTTTTCCAGTTGTTTGGATGCCCTTCCTGGTCGAGACGGTCCCGTTGCAAGAGTAGCTTCCCGGCGATCCCAGAAAATAGACCGACTTTTATCCCCGTCTTTCCACAGCTTTTCGACACGCAAATGCACTGTTCCTCTCTCCGAGCAAACATTTTGTGACGCCAGGTCGGTTCGGTGCCAAGTCATAACAGGACTTTTCTCCAAAATGCCACCATTGTTTAAGGGAAGGAAACGGGCATTAAATCTCATTGGCTGAGGAGGTGTCGTAGTCCTTGTCGAGGAACACATGGTGGCGGAGAGGATCCGTAGATAACGGCGATGCAACTTCTTGGAAAACGTCTAACGTTAGATATTTTAAACGCCTTCATTGACAGCCTGATCCACCCACCAAAAATCGCTTGACAGCGTTGAGGTTAACGTTGGCCTGGTAAAACACCGACATCGAGCGCCTCAAGCCTCGCCTTGAACAGTGACACGTAGGGCGAATCTGGTTCTTTGGGAGCGGAGAGTGAAGGTTGGATAGTATGATGGCTGCACGGTGGAGGAAGACGTAGATGTGATGGACTGGGTGCCGACGAAGTCTTGTAGTGCGGTGATGCTGCACGCGCTGAAGATGACATCTATGTGCCGTGCTATTGTGACTGAGGTTACATCTGCAACCTTATCAATCTCAGCGAGCTGGTGTGGCCGGTATAGATGGTCTACTGTCGATTACCGAGCTCGCACGTCAAGCTTCAAGGTTGTAGACTCGTATCCCTGCAGCTCTGCTAGAAATTAGCTCCGCAGCACACCGCCTGCTATGCTTGATAGCATACAGTGCTTTGGATTTACCGGACGTCGATACGTGGATGGGACGCTACCGGGGTGAAAATTCGATGAAGGTAGCGGTAGGTTCAACAATAATCATACCTGATATCCAATATATTAACAGACGTCGGTCGAGCGCACTGTTCCTCTCATACCTCCTCAAGTCCCGCATTACTTCACTCAGGCTAATCTCTGCCTTCACCGCACACTCCCGAAACCCACGCCATATCCATGACCACTAAGGAGTAGATCTCCAAGAGGCCAGTTCTTAAAACTTCTTGTCAGAGGGCATTCTCTCTGTGTTTGTTGCTTTTGTAGCGTCAATAGATACGTAGGGATAATAAAAAGAATCAGGGGTGAGAAGACAGCATGGAACGTGGTGGGGAGGAAACGATCAAGCCCGGCGTGTCTATTTGGCTGGGCCGGGCCAAGACGTTTGATTTTGGTGATGTCACACTTCTTGGGTTCATTCCCGACAATTACACGGAATTTACGACTCACGGCGAGCGATTTTTCTTCTCATCTAATAAAATTCTGACCTTTCCCTAGCTTAATGCCACACGCTCGAGACCAAGGCCAATTTCCCCCGATGGATGCATACTAGTGTTGCCGCCGCTCGGCTCCGCTCGGCTCCAGTTGGCTTTGACCAGCTTTCCCTTTTTAGTAGCTCGGAACTGAGCCGAGCGGGTAAAAAAATTCCTCGGCTCAGCTCCGCTCCGCTCGGCTTCAGGAAAAGCGGCAGTTCGATGCCATAATAGGCAATAAAAAAATCAGTATCATTTTCCGCCATGTAAATAGTCTCGATATGCCTCTACATCCTCCGGTACACTATCTCCTGCAGTTAATGTTGCCTCCAGCACTGTGACTTCATCCTCCTTCGACATCCCGGCAGTAAAATTAAGAAACTGACCTCGTTTAAGGGAAAACTTCAACATCTGCAAGGCTTCCATCAATTCCGGTGTCATTCGGTTTCGTCGTGCGGTTGCGGTTTCCTTTCCTGATGAGAAAACACGCTCACAAGGTACAGATGTGCCTTGGATGGGAAGAATGTCCATAGCAAGCTTAAAAATAGTCGGATAGACATGTTGATTGTCCTATATATCTGTTAAAACAGATTCAATGGGTAGTATTCATAAGGACCATACCTGCCAGTATTTGACCATATCATTGCTACTCTTGACATCAGCAAGGTAGGCATTTACCTCTGCTTCAAGGCCTTGTGGATGAAGAGTCATGTCGAAAAGATTGTCGCCAAGGAGATCATCTGCCCATGTGGACCGCGTAGGATTAAGCGGTCGCACAGGTGTCGGTGGCATGGTTGCGGAACAGCGATAATCACGAAGCTGTATACAAGAATCATCAGTATCCAGAACAATGATATATGATCATGCAATTACTGTCCTGATAAACAACTGTCTCGCTTCTTCTTCTTCAGGCATATAGCGAGTATACCAGCGAAGTTTCATGTTTGGATTGAGGACTAAACATAGTATGGTTATCAGCACAACAATACATATCATACTGTTCAAATTACGTACTTGTAGCCAATGTATATGCTGGAACAACCTCAGTACATCCACGATAAGTCTTTAATTTGCAAAGTCCCTCTTTGATTGCGGGATTTGCATCAGGAAACTTGATGGCGAGTTCTTCCCAAAGTTGAATCATCCATCAGAAGCTAGGGATTGCCAGAGCTAGAGTTGGAGTCTTGTCTGCAGATAACCGTTGCTGGAAAGCATGTGGAACCTAAAAAGAACATTGACGTTGATCTTGAAGGGTTAGGAGCAGTGGAGCATACCACGAGAATCTGATGAATGATATGCAATGCTTTCCATTCATCATCGGAAAGCTTATACTGCCTCAGCTCAGCGAAATCTTGCTTATCAAGGAATTTTTCGATACCCTAAAAGTGTGAGAGGACATGATTAACATTAACCACAGATTAATACCTCTCGGAGATAGATTGCTCTTTCAATCATGATATCAGTTGAAGACCAGTGCACATCAACATCAAGAAGTGGCTGGAGTATTTTGATGTCCAGAGACCTGAGGACCGATGCAAAACTGTGTCGATGAAGAGAAGATATGCGTATCTGCAGGGCCAAATATATGCTTGAGTAGGTGTACCACTAAGCACAAATTGCCATACCACCCGAATCAATGCCCTAGTTGCAGCAATGGGATCACGTTCAATGTCTAAATTTTCTAGAACAAAATCTATAAATAAGATTTACATAGAGCGGGAGTAGTCAACACACCTGAAAATAAGACACCGTTTAATGCTGTTACAGCAGATATCACTTCTTTGCATGCAAGATTAATGATGTGTGCAAAACATCTGGCCAGACATCCGAGAATTAGATCAAGTTCAGATAAATGGTTGAAGTATCATACCATATTCTCTGCTCAGTTGCAACGAAAATGAATCCACGACGGAGAAGAACATGTTCGACATGTGTAGTGATGTCCGGGTCAGGCTTAAAGCCTGCTACCCGGCCTGACCCAGCCCGACCCGACCCTGAAAAGCCCAGCTCTAGTGGAGGGCTTTGGCAGGCTCAAGGCTCAGGTGTCGACTTCGGAAAGCCCAAGCCCTGGGCTTTAACCCTGGGCTTTCGGCCCAGTAATCCGAGTCACCGTCTGATGCTGGATGGCATCCGTTGCGGTGCTGACTGATTCCAGCCTTCTTTACTCTCATGTCCATGGTCACCTCTGCGCTCTGACTCTCACTGCGTGAAAACAATGAGGGACACCATCATACCAAGTGGTCTATGTAATGAGATATCAGAGATGTAAGTGGAGACTATATCAGGTACATCCTGTCATTTGAATTTCATCTCTTTGGTGGCTGATAAACTGTACAGTTCTTACATGATACAAATAACTTGTAAAATACTGAAAAAATCGTAGTAATTGCTTTGTCCTTCATGCTTGTGCGAGATGAGCCTGATCCTAATCTTATTGTTGATGGAAGACGCAATCATCGGCGTCCTCAGCGCTATGGAGAAAGTACATCACTGCCACCACCCTCATCATCGCGAAAACATGGTCCTGATAATCTGAACCCATCAGGCGACAATGAGCATACTGCTGTGCCATCTGTACCTCGGCAGTCCAAATGTGTATGTACCAATGATGAGACCCTGGAGGAATGTGATGAGCCTGAGGTGCCAGAAAAACAAGCAGGTACGTGAAAAGCCCGGGTCTACTACCCAAGCCTGACCCGACCCAGTGAGGGTCAGGGCTTAGGGCTCGGGCTCGTCAAAATCTCAACCCAGGCCCTGAATTACCCAGCCCAAGCCCACAAAACCCGGCCCGACCCGACCCGCACATCACTAGACATGTGTCATAAAGGTCCCATTATTTGCCGCATTATCCATTGTAACCCAGCCAAGCTATATAGTATGTTAGCATATGAAATCATTTATTAGTTCCGAGTACAAGCCTTCAGCTGTTGACAAGGATCCCTACTCATAATTCCCACCCTGTCTGTAATATAGAGAAACACAGCTGCCAAATGTTCACCATTGTGGCACCCAGGAATCTGATGATAACCAATTAGATCAGAACGCAACCATAACATTGTGAGGCCATCCGCATTCGTGCCAATAGCCTCTATCCAGTGCACTGTTATCGCCATAAAATTGACAAGATTCAAATCTGTTGACAGGTCCATAGTCACAGATATGCAACCCTGAGACGACTGGAACTTCTTAGCATATGGAATCACAATCATTTCAGTACGTACTTCCATTTCAGCTCTCAGTGTCTCAATGTGTTTCTGCCACGTCTCAATGACTCGCTGGTGGATATATGTACAGTGTGGGATATCAGACGGTTTCAACTCTTCTCGGAGCATGAGAAAAATTTGACATAAATGCAGAGATTCAACTGCATTAATAGACTGTAACATTGTCAGTGATATTCTAAGATACACTTGAACATATTCATGCACCTGATCATTGGCAATGATCCATTCTACAATAGCATCGATAAACACATCATGCAAGTACTCAGGAACAGGTAGTGAGTCAGGATCTGCCACATCTGCATCATGGCACTCCAGGCTATTCTCACACTGAAATTTTTGAGCAGCCCTTCCCGCTTTACCTTTAATTGACACCCCGAGCCTATCACATGCAGCCACCCAAAGATGCATGTGTTCCTTCATGAGATGATTTCAGAGAACAGTAGTGCCTGTGCTCATCCGGTATGTTTTCGGTCTTGTGGCTGACTTTTTATTAGCCCTAGTTATCAGTTGAGAATGAATCAAACCATGATAAATGGTGAGCATACCTGCACAGTTTGCAGATGCGATGGCTATCTTCCTCTACAAAGAATGGCCATATATCGCCTGCACCACGAGAGTCCTTTTGAGTTGGTGAAGGGGAGCTTGATGGCGATGACTCATGGCTCAATACAGAAGAAGATTTTGAGCTCGGGGATGGCAATGGAGATGACTCTACAGGTGACAATGGAGGGTCTGGAGCATCAAAATGAACAAACCGATATGTGGTCGCTTCACGCCTATGAGGAGGGGGGTGGACAGGCGTTGATGGAGTCCTTATATCCTCAGGACCTTCGAGTACATGAGGCGAAGATGGTGGGAGTGTTGGACCAAACCAGTCTTCATCGTTGTCTTCAGATACTATTGTTACACCTAGAATACATATGTCAAAGTCTGTATTGAACATGGATATGCAACATACGTTGAGGAGACATGTTTACTATTTCAGGAGGATCATTTTGACGATGATGACGGCCACGACGAGGACTCCCTTGGTATTCGTCACCGCTGGCACCAATGACTGAGCTGGATGTTGTTTTGTGATTCTTTGTAGCACCATGGGTCAACGTCCAAGAAACTATTGAGACGTTGTTAGTAAATACACAAGTTCTCCTTAATTTGACAGACATACCTAATGGCAGTGGTGACTGATTGTGAGTATTTACCGTTGTTGCTTGAGTATTTTTTGACTGGTTCAGCGTTGTACTTGCAGCTGATGCCGCACATCAGTGACACACAGATAATAATAACAGGAGAAAATACAGAACCTTGCTTTTTTGATGTTGTGTGGGTTGTCCTCCTGCTCTTCGGAGGAGCATCCAGATCAGTCCCTTTTGGTTTATAAGTTGGGGCCATGGAACTATGATACCGTCCACATACCGTGATGGTTCTCTACTTGAAATGCCATCTGCAACCCTCTGCCAGGACAGGTCTGATTTGCTTTTCTGCATGGTGGCATCAACAAGGGAATAGGCAGCTACAAGATAGAGTAGTATTGAGCATGAAGGGAGAATTGGGAGGGAGCATTGCCTTAGACATAGCGAAATATAAATGTTTTTGAGGCCGCTGTATGTGCATATGGTTGCTACCTGTACGGTTTCCAACAGCATATGCGGCTTTCAGAGCAGTGGTTGTTGACAAGATGAGAGCAAAAAAGCATAAAAATTGACAGGAGACTCACTGAATGACATCTAAACCCAACCTTTTTCCTTCACATTGCCACCTGTTGTAAGCAACAAGGACACACAACTGACAGATATACCCATAACCCAGAGACAGTCCTGGATACAGCCGAGGACAATGGCAAAATTTGACGTTTTGATTCATTGGAATACGACTTGAGGGAGTGGTGGCGCAGTGTTGACCCAACAACAGGTCACTCCAAGTTGACAGAGGAAAAACAGGATACTATTCATGTATATCTAGGACAGAGTTGCTATAAGATGAATCAGATACTGAAGGAGGTGAAAATCGTCGAGATAGAGCAGCAAGCACACAGGAAAAGACGATGAGAGGGGGAGAAGGTCACGGTATGCGTCAGCATCCCGATTAGGAACCAGCTGACAGCTTAGCCAGCTTCGAGCGGGGTCAAGCCAGCTCCAATGCCAAGCCAAGCCGCAGAAGCTACAAGCTGTTGGGATGGCCCGAGCTGACTGAGAGCAGAGATGATGATATCAGGTTGTGATTCTGTCTTCTCTACGATGCGAAGCTACGATCTGACTACTGATGCTGCCAAACAGGCCCAAATAGTGCATGGATCCCTCCGGCCACGACAGGATACCCTACTACATGTGCCCCTGTCAAAGAACGAGCGGTGTCCTCGACGCTCACTTGTCAGCAGGCTGCTCCTCTACATCCACATCTGCGCCAGTTGCCCTCTCTTGTTGCTCTTCTCTCCGGAGTCGGCTTTCCAACTCTGCCTGTTGTGCTGCCAATCTAGTACCTTCTCTGGGGATGAAACTATGCAAACGCCGAGAGCTGAATTCACCCTCCAATGTCTTTCCATCAAGGATTTCGAGCTGGTACGAGTTTACGATTTGCTCTCGCACACGGAGTGGCACTGACCACTTGGGAATTAGTTTCTTTTCCGTTCTGAAGGTGTAGTCCATGTCACTTCTGTAAACCTGGACGAGCTGACCCTTCTTGAAGACAACCTCCCTTGGATGACGAGCAAGGACTCTGGCGTCGAATGTTGTTTTGCGCTTGATAGCGTGTCGCACGATGCTATCGTAGCCATCAAGCTGCTGCTGGGCTACAAAAGCCAGATGGCATTGTGCATCATCTTCGCAAAGCACTGATGATGAATTTTCTAGTGTTGTGGATGCTGTATTTACCATCATCCCCAATAGAAGCTCTTTTGGTGTGTATTTTAGCACCAGCAGGATTCGTGAGTTCAAGCAACGAATGGCCTCATCAAGATGATCTGGCCACGATCTTGGTAAGTCCGTGAATTTATACCCTTCTGGCAGGTCCTCCCCCAGCTCTGGAGCACACAACTGCTTGAGAACATGCAGCAGGAGACGATTCGTGCCCTCCACAAGTCCATTCACCCATGGGGAGTATGCTGGGATGACATGGTGCTTTACGCCCCACTCTGTGCAGAAATCTTTGACTTCGTGGTTTTTGAAGTGTGCCCCGCCATCCATCATGAAAGTTTCTGGTGGAAGAAAACCCTGAAAGATGCTGTGTAGCCCCTCTTTTGTGGTCTTCGTGCTCCCTGCTGTTTTATATTTGAATGCCCATGCATGTTGTGAGAACGTGTCGAGGTACAGCCCAATTGTATGGTAACCTCCTTTTCCACTCGAGAGTGAGAGATAATCCCCAACTATCAGTTCGAATGGGTGCCTTCTTGTGATGGGCTGCAGTAATGAATGAAGGTGAGTACCCCCAAAATTCTTGCACCAAGAACATGATTTGATAGCCTTTGTAATGGATTCGTCTAGTTTCGGGCTGCAGATCCTGTCGAGCAATGCGATCTTGACTGAGTCTCTTCCCCAGTGACCTCCCTTCTCATGTTCAAGGCGAGCTAGGCTAGTAGCCTCTTCTCTCGTGACACACTCTACTCTCGGTCGTGCCCTCGGTCCAACGCCTGAGCGCCAGAGCTTTCCGTTCTCTATTGCATAGTTAACAGCTCAGTGCCTTGCATGCTGTTTTGTCCATAGACTTCCCGTGATCTGGTTGTCCTCTAGAGCTTCCACCACCTGTTGAAATACTGGCTCGTTGTGGAATCTCTTCCACAATGCTGATGGCTCATGATGATTAACTGTAAACAGATCATGCCTGAGACCATGTGAGTGCTCCCAATCTTCACTGACAGTTCATTCACTGCCGTCTCCAGATTATCGTGGTACTCCCTCCCAGGTTCTGCTCATGCCATCTGCCACGACATTTAGTTTGCCTGGCACATGTCGAACGTCAACGATATGATGAGCCAGAATACCGTCTCTCCACCTGGCGTGGGCTGCATTCATTTTTTTGCTAATCAGCACATCACGTAGAGCCTGACAATCAGTCTCTATCTCAACTGGGTACCCCCAGATGATGTCCGAGAACTTATCGAGGGAGAACTTCAACGCAGCGAACTCCAATAGGAAAGGCTTGTAATTCTGCTCTGATGATGATGTTCTTTTAGAAGCGAATGCGATAGGATGTATCTTTTCGACAACTTTCCCACCGGGTAGGACCGTTTGAAAGCGTTGTGTGAGGACGCCTGCGAAGCCTTCTTTGCAGCCATCTGTGGTAACGATAAAATGACTGCCATCCCACCTTGGACTTTTCAGTACTGGTTCCGATGTTAGCACTTTCTTCAGGCCGATAAATGCCTTGGTATGTTCTATTGTCCATCGGCCATTTAACTTGTGATTTGCCATGGTGCGTCGCCACACCGACTTTGAGCATTTGGGTGGAATGTTGACCTCCTTTGTAAGGTCACGCAAAGGTCCTTCAATCTTTGCATATCTCCTGATGAGATCTCAAAAGTGTCCTGTAATACCCAAGAACGAAGATAGGTTCAATGCATCGGTAGGCTGTTTCCAGTTGATGATAGCTGTCAGCTTTGCAGGGTCAGCTGTAACACCGTCTGGTCCGACTTTTGCTCCTGCAAAAATGCCTTCTGTCACAAAGAATTTGGACTTGCTGGCTGATAGTGATAATCCTGTATCTCGAACTTGTGTAAGAAGATGTCGTATCTTCTCCATCATCATTCCAAAGTCATCTGATGCTGCAGCTCCATCATCAACAAATAGCTCCATTGTACCATCAGCGATGAGATCGCTCAGTGTTGTTGCTGTTAGATGTGCAAATGTTGAAGGGGCCCCGGTAAGTCCAAAGGGCATGCGCAGATACCAGAAGTAACCCTTTCCTTCCATGTAGAATGCAGTGTATGGTTGGGATTCCTCTGCAACCTCGACAGCATAGAAGCCAGATGCAAAGTCAAACAAGGACAACCATCTGTGGCCACTGACGGCTTGCTGCTTTGCTCGCATGTCACCTTGAGGCATAGGTGCAATTTCTGTTACTTTATTAACCTCTCAGTAGTTCTGACATATGCACCATTTCGGTGGTTTTAGTAGGTCTGTTTCAGCACATGAGGAAGGTCGTGGTGGTAGATTGAATGCTGGTGGTAAGCCTGCAGCGAGACATTCATCATTGACCTTGTGCTGAAGTTCCTCTAGTGATAGCCCCTTTCCCTCATGAGCTTTCTGTGCGAGCGTTATCGGAGATACACATTTGACATCACTTGGATTGCACTGTTGGATGATCCCAGCTGCCTGCATCTCGTCGATCTTTTCGTGTAGGTACTGTCGTTGTAGTGGTGTTAGGGGGCATTGATGAACCCGCTTTGAGAATGATGCATCTTGTGGGATGTTGAGATGATGTACAGCTCCATCCACCCTTCTCACTTCGCTAACTGAAAGTGCGAAACAGTCTGCATAGGACCTGAGGAGCTCTTCAACCTCTGAGCGCTGGGTTGCAGTCAGGTCTGGTCCAATTTTTATCTGTCTTAACACCTCCTCAACTCGTTGTGGTTTGAAGGCGCCATCAGCACCTTCATTTCTGGTGTGGAGAGGATTCTTTGACAGGCCCTCAACGTGAACTTCGGATCCTAGGTCACCTTCCATGTTGTGTGAGTCAGACACGATGCAAACTGGGGCGGGATGGCAAGCTTCCCTGGAAGGGGGTGCGTTACTTCTCCCTGATGAGCTTGAACGCCTTGCCATTTTGGCTTCCATCTGCTGTCACCTTGTTTCTTGAACAATGCGGGACATATTCAATCGTGCTCTCCATCTGTACCATCTTCGTCTTCCTATTCCCTTAAACTCGTGCCAATATTGATGCCATTCAGCTCTCTTTGCCTCTCGTAACCGATCTTCAGCTTCTTCCCTCTCTCTGCGGCGCTGAAGAAGCCTGGGTGACTCAACCTTCTTTTCGGACCTTGCTTCTATCATGCTTTCGGCACTGAAGGGCATCTCTGCTAGTGTTTCATCATAGATCGCGCTCTCAACAATATCAGCTTCTTCTGTTTCATTGACATCGGTGATTTGCACTCGCCTCACCAGGGGAGTTTTAAGTGAATTGGCCACACCCCCATTAATGTTCCTTGTTCTCGTTTCTGATTTGTGTTCGTTCAGAATCTCGGCTGATCCACCTTCCACTGGGATGTGTACTGTGTCCCTTTTGTAATCATGCACTGCCTTGAATGCCTCCAACAGTGGTTTTCCAAATAAAAAGTCCCAGCCACCCCCGCTATTGAAGACTTCGAAGTTTCCAAAGACTGAGACGCCTCCTAGTGTTATGTGTCCATTCCACTGTGTGACAGATCTTACAACATCTCCATTAGCTACCCGTAGGCACTTCTGTGACTGTGACCATCCTTTTAGTTTGTCTTTCAGTTTGTGGAACAGCTGGGTGTCCATAGCTGCAACCATAGCTCCATCGTCGAAGAAGGCTTTCACTGCTACTCCCTTCTCGCTCTCTCCCAGCCATATAGATGCTTCAAATGGTGTGCATATCTCAGGTGCATATCCCACGGAGTAGACGTCAACAGTAATAGATTGTGTACCGGAGCACTGTACTTTGCTATTGTCCGTATAAAATTCCGTGAGAGCTCCCATGAACCCCTGCCGCAATGCCCTCTTCTGCATCAGGGACTGACTGTCTTGTTTATCCACTAAATTGCTGCAGGCCGTCCGGTTGTGGTCTAGATGGACGACCCTTCCTCTTTTCCCTGCTCTTCATCAAAAATGCCAGTCCATGCCAAATGACTCACGAAGTTGACTGCATGTGGTGCTCCACCCCTGCTACTGCTTGTACTGCCTTTACCCTTCATGGCTAGGTCACATAGGCATCGCCATTCACTCTTCTTATAGGGGATCCATCGATCTTTCGCAACCGGACATGGTCTGTGGTATATTGCCTGGCCACACCGAAAGCACTCTCCACTATCCGGAATGGCGGTGCCAGGAGTTAAAGGGTATGGCGTGTTGTAGGTAACGGTTGCTGAAGCTCCATGTGCTGCATCCCAGGCTGTACACTGTGCAACGTAATCGCTTGCAGCCTCTTTTGTCAATGGTGGGACTGATTTTTGCATATGTTGTCATACGATGGTTGTCATGAATTCACCCCTATTTTTCGCTTATCTTATCTTATCGCGATATCTTATCATGGCAAGTCGGCAACTCATCATTCGACTCTCATCATCATTCCTCGTACCTGATCCGCATCATTCATGACCCGCTCGGTCACATCGCCCACACGGCATTACCTCGCACCATGGACCACATCACTGGGACTCTGTCATGGGCTCTGCAGCCACACACGGTGGGAGACAGCACCATACAAACCATGCCCTTCTTACTCGCAGGAGAGCTTCTAGCATCATCACGCTCACACCGCATCACCGGGGCATTGCCACAACACAACCATCAGTCTTCCCTGATAGGTCCCTGGATCCACCGCTCACACGCATGATCCGTTTGATGGCCCATAGACCAATCACACTCTATGGGCCGGATCCTTCTTCACCCAGTCATGCTTCTTTAGGTCATCTGTGATCACACCCTAGGATGGACAAGCCGCCACGTACGCTCCTCAGAAGACCGTGCCCTATGGACGCTAGTCTTCTTACTCACAGGAGGACTCCTCCTATACCAAACACCATACGATACAGAGGACATAGAAGACAGCGCTGCATTGGGACAGCACGCACCGAGACACAGGAGCAGTACATACTAGTAAATACCACCATGTATTTAAACGAGCCTTGCTGTGGTCTTACACCCCAGCTTCGGCTAAAGTTATACACTCCTAACTTTTCACGCAGAACCTCCCTGCTTCCAAGACTAAGGACTATCATTCCTAACCTAGCGATTGCAATGCCCTCTTCACAACTGAATCACTGAACGCGAGTGACAGTTTAGAGGCAAACGTTGTTCAATCCAAGTTAGTGCATTACAATTAGCCGAAGCTTGTATTAATACCGTCATCGTCGTCGAACGACGGTGACCGTATTGTCTTGCTTGATTGCTGTCACAAGCTCGCCAGCAACAACACTTCTACAAAGCTACACTCCACAAAAGCACCGACCCTCACTACCTCATCAGTGAGCGAGTAACGGGCTTTATCCCAACTGCCCTCGTCGTTTTAATCAACAGGACGACCGCAGTATCCGGAGCATTCCAATAAGGAACCCTTGTCGTTATACGACGAGTCCTCGGGGTTGCTCACCCCTACAGAAATATTTCATACTCTCATCATCATTCAACGACGGTGACTGTATGAATCCAATAGGCTCTATCACAAGCCGTACTCCCATTCTAGAAACCTTACTATCCCTGGTAAGGCACCCCTTGTACCGCAGCACTCAATCCCATCCGCAACCACGAAATGGATCAACTCCCATTCGCCCCAACACTAGGAACAACCTCCAGACCCAATACCCCGGAAGTCCCCAATTCGCAGCCGGATACTGGGAGGATGTTGGAGGATCCTGGGATGATCCTGATACCCCCATCACCCCCGATGTCCAACAGTTCTACACCGACGAGTACAACTGACTCATCGAGGGGCGAACTCTGGAAGAGGGTAGTAGAAGCAATGGTGGCAAGGGATGTGCGACAAAAGGAACAGAGCAGCGAAGAACCACCTTCGAAGGAATCGTTACCCCTTTCCTCCCTGCCCGGAGAAAGGAACGAGAAGGTGGACGAACCACAGTCGGAAAAACCGACGCAGGAGGACATCAAAGAGATGAATCTCCAGAGTCATTCGGAAAGGCTGGACCAATGTTCCATACCTCAGAGCTCAACAGGGGAATCTACTCCCCCACCGGAACTCCAAGAGAGGCATGGGGAGTCCACACTGGGTCAGGAGATCACTTATCAGACTCATACCCCAAGGGAGACATTTCCCATTGGAGCCCAGACACCGGCTCCTCCTATGAGGCAGAAGTCATCCGGCTCGAATCCGAAGTTGCCTCAAAAAGATCCATTTGCTTCTGTAGCCGGGTATATCAATGGTATCACCAAATCGCTTTACAACTCACACGCAGAATCCACCAAATGGCCAGGAAGGAAAGAGGAGTGGCCGAGGAAAAAGGGATACTGGATTGGGGATCGCTCTTTCCAGTGGATTCCTGGATCACCCCTGAAGAAGGATCCTGGGACCTACCCCCCATGCACTCCAACTCAACCGCCGACGACACCTGGCACTCAGTTGCCGGGGACGGCTGGGAATCCCCCTGGCCAGATACCGTGTTGATGTGCTCGGTAACGGCGAGTGACAAAAGGCTAGCGAATGGATATGAACACCACAACACCAAAACCCTCTACTACTCTACACTAATCACCAATATTATTGAGTTTGGGTGTTTCGAGTATGATAGAAGCACTCTGCAGACTTCAACAAATCAGGGAAAGGTTGTTTAAAGACGTATATTTGGTACTAGTGAGCTACACAAGATGTAATACTCGCGCTAGCGGGGTTTTAAGACACGATTGGATGAATAGTGACTTGTGTTGAGCAACTGCGCTCGGTCTAACTCGGATACTTCGAAACTAGTGGCACTCTGGGCCAAATACTGGGTCTCACAAGCGGTCTACACTTGACTAGCAGGCACCCTAGGCTCGACTAGTGGCACTCTTGGCCTAAGAACAAATACTTTAACTCCAAGAAAATACTTTAACTAACTTCGAAATGCTCTGAGTCACTCCAAGACGGAATAGTAACTTTAAGACACTTCAATTCGTTCAATACTATAGGTGACTAAGCGACTAGTAGACACTTCGTCGAGGTTAAGCACAAAAGCCTTTAATTGGGGCACTAGAATACGGACTAGTAGGTCACAATTGCGGGGATGGCTTGCCTGGCTTGCGAGGCCACCCCTCCTACTACTTATATACTACAGAGACAGGTACAGAATAAATATAAATAGATTCTCTAGGGGTAATATTGGTAAGGATGTCTTGGCTAGTCACGAAATATGGGGAATAATCACGCAATAGTCGGCCTAGCCTGTTCTTTCTGTCGGATAGCAGGTCGAGGGACTCTGCTATTGGGTCGTTTCCGCACCCTTTGCCCAGCAGTGCTCCACTAGTGACACGGCTATACGAATAGTTGGGTAACCGTGCCTGTAGCAACTGCTCGATTGTGATCGGGGCGCAGCCCGGCTATACTAGTGCCGATCGTATGAGATCTGTATCACACTAGCCGGATCTGGGCTAAGGGTTATGCCTTTACTGGTTCATTTCTAAGTCCTTTTCAGAAGTGCTCGCGTGACTAGTCATCCTGACTTAGGCGTTCATGCCCAGATCGGTCCACTAGCGACTGAATAGTCGAGATCTGTGTGGGTTCTTACTTCTTGTTTGGGCGCTAGCAGCTGTATTCTTTACTAGTGACCGTATTTTACTAAGTCATACTAGCTTTGGAGGTGCTAGTCCGGTCGGCTGGTAGGGCTGACCCACTAGTGGTATCATTCCTAAGTCCTGACTCGACTAGTAGCATGCTAACTTGACTATCAGTCCAAAGTCTCAACTATAGCCCTTGATATACGACTAGTATAGGATAGACCTGCAACAGTATTGTTATAAAATCGCAAAATCTAGGTGTGAACGCGTAGACGGCGTATCAGCGTACGAAGCCATATGGCCCAATCCCATGGCCAGAACGGCCATCAATGAAGACTTATGGGACTCACTCTCTCCCCCCGTATTCCTGGGAAGAGAATACCAAACTATCCCGGAAAAAGAAGAAGGAGAAGAAAGCGAAGATAGTGGTACCTCCACCGACACCTCCTCTCGGACGGACGAAACCATCCATGTCTTTAGTGCTGAATTTCAGCACTGAAGACATCTTCAATACCAAGCAACCGGGGGGAGACTGGACCAAACCACACCTACCCACTGAGGTGTTTTGGACCACGTCTCTAGACCCCAAACTAGGAAAGAGGATCCCCTCTCTTTCCCAATACAGAGGCGCATCGCGCCCTGAAAGAACAAATGAAGAAATGGACATGGGGCGTCTCAAGCGAGAAAGGCGATGTTTCCGATGCGGAAACACTGGACATGTATGGAAGAATCGCAGATGTGATCTGCAAAAGGAGTGGTTCGTCAAAAATGCTGAAGGACAGAAGAGCCACTTCGCACGGCAACAGCAAAAGGAATCCACAGAGGAACGATGCATTCGTTGCGGATTCCCTGGACATACTAGATGGGATAACAAATGCCCATCTGACAGGTCCCAATGGCGCTCTGCTTGAAGCAGAGCAAGACCCTTCAACAACAAATGCTGAGGGGGAGGCGTCGACAAAGGACTAGGCAAGTTAGCCTAGGTCGACCAGGACTAGTGCAAAAAGAAAGGAGTCGATGACGGACCAGGCAAATTGCCCTTGTACAACAGGACTCAATTTTCTTTCAGGTAAAACCCTACTCAATAAATTTTTACTCAGAAATTATGTTTGTAGGTACCAATACAGACAATAAATCCCTTTTGTTACGGTTATACAGGGAAGGAGACAACCTTTAAAAACAAAAGAACTCCGAGGATTCAAAACAAATCCTGACACCATCGCTATGGATATGTTGTGCATCTAAAGCGACAAACCCAATCAAGAGACAATTGATCAATTGATCCAAAGGATCGATGATCTGGACCCTGATCAAACTAATCAGAGGCCCACGGAGGGACTGGAAATCCCAGCCAACCTACTGAGGCGAAGAGACGGACCTCCGCCATAGGAAACACGGGATTCCCAGGCTGTAGGACCAATCAATCTTTCAAAAGATTGACAGTCAAGGGAGCTATGACTGATTTGGTCAGCTCAACAAAAACCCATCCATGCGAGTTGGAAACTTCCACGAACGGGGAAGAGGCGGTACACTAATACAGGAAGAACTCTGGCCGACTTGCCCAAATAAATCAGTGAAGCATAGGAGCAACATCTCAACGTCATCTGCCATAATGTCAAAAAGAGATGACTCCCCCACTGAACCCTCATGGCGAGGTACACCGAGCGAACCTATGAAATATCAGACAGATCTGGATTGGCGATGTGGATCTAAACCGGATTATTCGCATCATCCATAACCCGTTTAATCCCACCAATCATGTCATCATCACCCTTGTCTGATGATCCGTTTGATGGCCCAATAGATCCAATCATACTTCTATGAGCCCGACCCTCTTCTACCAAGTCACGCTTCTTAAGAAGCTAACTGTGGCACCTCCAGCGGAGGATGGAAGCAAAGTCATATACATTGGGACACCTCTCCTATACTAGCGTAACCAATCCAGAAGGAAGCAATATGCTAGGACATAAAAAGAGAACCCCACCAGACGAGACAAACACTTCCCACTCCACTGGACGATACGGGGTACGAGGGATTTCCCCCGCCGCCAAATCGGCAATGAACCCCAACTGTCAGGACATGCTGCCTTGCAGTGGCGCTGACGACACGAGAGGTCAAAACGAAGGCCAAACCGGGGCCAAACTCTCGGGAAAGCACGACTTGTGCGCAACTTCAGAAACGAGCAAGCGAACCGTTGCTGCTGGTGGCGGTGGATCAAGAACGAGTAGGCCCCTCTGTGATGGCAGGGAACCCCTCGGAAAAGCGGAGACCCATGCCGCAGGGACAATGGAGGCCTGCAGCGTAATAGAGCTAATGAAGGTTTGGCAGTAACTTCCATTGTCCCCGGAAGCAGGATCAATACCCCAGCTCGGATCAAGCTCCCAGCAGGGGAGAAGAAATTGCCTGACACGGGGAAAGTTCCGAGAGAGTCGGTGAACCCCCCACGCCAGGATCAGGCTGCGCTCAGTCGCCTAGGTGAAGGTCAGCCGACAACCCGAGCCGCCGCTCCTACCCCAATTGTAGCAACAGCTCACGTTGGAAAAGCAGCTGAGGCGAGGAATCAGGAGGGCCCTACAAGGCCCCCTGATGAGCCAATATGTGTGCGTCCACGACGGGTTACCGATCTACCCATCGGGGTAAAGGACCGGGGTAAGGACCCCTCAAGACCAAAGACCTCGCAGGGCGAAAGCCATACTGCTCGAGGCAGAGACCAGGACAAGAAGTCTCTGGGTAGTAAGCCCTCGGGGAGCCGATTCTCCCCTTGAGGCAACCAAGCAATTAAAACGGTAACTAATCGCTGAAATACCTAATAACAAGGAGTACCGGAAAATGAACACCAACTCGACCGTTAGTTGGTGCTCATTTTCCGAAACTCTCCATTCAATTAGTTACCAAAAAGAGTTTATGGGACTCTTAAAAACCCGGACTGTGCGGGCCATCCCCGAGTGGAAAAGACCTTAGTAGCGCAAGCGAACAGGCAGGAAGCTAAGTAACTGCAGAAGCACAAAGGGCCACAAAACCTGCAGCGAACAGCAACAGGAGGAAGTCCCCAATGCCGAAAGAGGGAAACCTCGAGTACTCATTGGAGGAGTACCCTTCGGACTCAAGAAATTCTGGTTAAACTCATCCAAGAGGAGGAACTCATGAAGCGTAGAAGTAACGCTCATACTCTACAAACCCTGTTAAAAACAGTAACTGACACTCTGCTCGTGACTGTTAAAAACAGCCGGTAAAAAGGAGAGGCGACTCACCCATGAAACCTCCCCGATGAGAGAGACCAAACGCACCCTATATGCATAGGTGGACACGAAGGGCCATGCGCCTCAAATCAAGAAGGACGCAAAACCCATTTACAGTGGATATATCATTGATGGACAGGAAATTTAGGCGATTAATGCACAGCCTAAACAACCTGCCATTAGAGAAAATCCATTAAAATCCTATCCCTACCCATTGACGATGGACCCGCAAAACGTGAAAATCAGAACTCACGCATGAAGTGGTCTGTACCCCACCATCATAAGATAGCATGGAAAGTACTCAACGAAGGGAGTTATTGGTCATAATAACTACCCTGAATGGATCATACCACCGCCATATAGGAGCAATACCGAAGGATTGGGACAGTAACAATCATCCCAATTCCCTGCATTCCTAACCCCGACGAACTTTGGAAGGTAGCAGACCGATGAATGACACCAAGTTCCCTGACTACAGAGCCATGCTAAAGGATTGGTTGGCGACACACTCCTTGCATCTGAGTCGCTGAATATCAGCACCAGATTGGAGCCCTACGTGTGAACAAACAACCTTAGCATACACCATAGTCAAAACTTCAAGATGCCACCATGTTAAACTACACTCCCAAAGATCCCGGATTGATTGATCAATCCTGATCAAAGGATCGACAATCAGGGCCACGATCAAATTGATGCAGAGGCCAAAAAATCAAGAGCCATTGGCTCAACTATTGAACGATAAATCCCTTTCGTTCAGAACCACAGGGAAGGAAGGAAACCTTTAAAAACCAAAAGCTACGAACCATAGAGGAGGAGAAAACCTTCGAAGAAATCATACGGCTAAACCGGAAAACTCCATTGCGACGAGAAAAATGAATTATTGTTAAACGTCGAGGAACTTTCCAGGATAACCAAATTAAAGGATGATAAAACCCTTTCATCCCGATTAACAGGGGAAGGACAAAACCTTCGCAAAAAATCAATGAGAACTACCTCGTTCAAAGATCGCTGACTGAGAACAGTCAACCCCTATATTATAGCTGGACACGCCCTACCGGCCTCCAATTAATTAACCAGAGTTATTGGACCCCCAATCTATGGGTACTGCCAATCCCTTTCGCTGGGAAATACGAGGCTGTGGAAGCCATACAACCGAACACCAAAGTGGGAACATCCTCGGGAACCTGGGACAAAGCTCTAACGTAAACTGGGCACCGACCCAGAGTCCGACAATGCCCACTACTCCCATCACCATAGCCATGTCTCCACTGGCATCTAGAATGCCAAAAGACATAGGCTATTACGAGAAGCATACCTGGGAATTATAGGCCATAATAATTCCCTCAGAGAACAATGAAGCCGTTACTCTAGCCAGTATTCGAGCAACACCTAGGATCGAACAGGAGGAGTCTCAGAGAAGTAAGTCCTCAGGGAGCTGATACTCCCCTTGAGCCGACTGCTTCAAAGGACTACATCTCTATTCAAGACTAGCTATGCTCCAAGAATGAGCGCGATGAGCACCCCAACAGTAACTGACACTCTGCTCGTGACTGTTAACCACACAACCGTATTACGGACAGTAAATCCCTTCTGTCCAGAAACACAGGAAAGGAAGTAAACCTTTAAAAACAATTCCCCTTTCGCTGGGACATGCAAGGCTATCGAAGCCTTTCATCAGCAAACGCGAGGCTATGGCAGCCACACAGCTAATAGACCTGGAATCTCAAGGGATTCCAACCTGAGGAGTAAACCTCATAAAAATCACATATTTATGATGAAGCATGGTCAATGCCACCCACATGAGGGTTGGGATGGTATGTGACCTCAAAGAACCAAAGATCCCAGAGTTTAAACACACTCTACATTCGGATTCTACAGATCTTCACGAGAACCACCTTGGAAAACGATCAGTGACTGAAAACAGTCAACAGCTACTAATCAGTGACATTCGCAGATAGTGGTGCCCATGCACAACCTACCAAGATAGAGAGACCGACCTCTACCATAGATGGAACACCAACAAGAACACCAACGAAGGAAATAATCCCCAAGGGATCACCTCACTCAACCCGGCGATTGCAAGGGTCTCCGATATCCAAATCACCCAACGAGTGTTGATATCGATATAGACAAACCTTGTTCAATCCAAGTTGAGGATCGATAATCCAAGGAGAGCCACCAATGCCATCAGAGACAGACCTGATAGCATCCCTTCGAACAATTGAGAACTACCTCATCAAAGATCGCTAGCTGAGAACAGCCGCAATGATCAGACCAAGACATCATCCTTGGCTGATACCAAACCAACCGATCTCGATCAAAAGATCGAGGATCAGGGCCACGATCGATATCAAGGCCAAAACAGGAGAATGACCTCCTATATCAAAATTTGCGGCATGAGAACATGCAAACCATACTAATCAGTGGTGTTCCCCCCAGGGTTCCCACAGATTACTCCACCAAAGCAGTAGTTCCACTTGAAAAGTGGATCCCAACCAAGGCGCAAGCTACGCCAAGTACAGGGAGCCGTTAGGCTCAAAAACGATGGAATTCGTCCCCAAGAGATCACCTCACTTAACCCAGCGATTGCAACAAAAGCCTCCAAGACCTAAGTCACCCAATGAGTGTGACCAATGCGAGACCAAGCGTGTCCAATCCAAGCTAAGGATCAACGATCTAAGGTCACGAATTCCAAACCGCCAAAGTCACTACACCCCAACCACGGGTGTATCACACAGAAGGTACACTGGGAGTGAAGCCCCAGTGTCTGGGTGCAACCCGCACCACACCACCACATTGAAACGAGCTCAGCATCGTGCTTGCCATCCCAAACGACAAAAGAGAGGGTACCACCTGGAAGTGGACTCTAACAAGAGTACAAACAGCGCCATGAAGTGGGATGAAGATCATCTATCATGATATGATAAATGCCTCCATCGCCACCAATATCAAGGCGAAACACCAAACGATAGTTTGGAAGGTCTGCAGAAGACCCCAACAACAAAGCCTACACCATCGACGAAAGACGATCACGACTGGCTACAAAGGTTTATTTGCTGCCAAAAAGAAATAGGCAGTAATTCTCGTGGAAGGACTCCATAAAAACCACCCAACAGCAACAGGCTCTGTCCAATGGAAGACCTATAACATCCTGATAAAACATTTACAGCCAACTTGCGACAAAGGTGACAGGGTCAGACACCAACCCCTGTTTACCGTGACCGGCCAAAAATGGGCCAATAGGCGAGCCGGACCTTTCAAGGTGCTCACAAAAGAAACGGCTAGAAGCATATGAAAGACTGCTTACTGGTGGGATGGAGAATCCACAAATTAATTCAATAAGTCTACCGGAGCTTATTGAAGAAGAGGAAGATGACAGACCTCCATGACGAGACGCACTAGAGGAAAGCCCTTCAGTCCAGAAGGCAAACCCGATACTCCGAGGGACCGAGAGCTCAACACTCTTCCCGGATTCCCTGGGTCCAGCTTCAGACGCAACCGAGCGTTATGTATCACCTCTATCAAACATCAAACAGGAAGGCGAACCTTACACTGACTCAGTCGGGACGACCGAGTCTTAGTGAGGGGGTAATGTCATGAATTCACCCCTATTTTTCGCTTATCTTATCTTATCATGATATCTTATCACGGCAAGTCAGCAACTCATCATTCGACTCTCATCATCATTCCTCGTACCTGATCCGCATCATTCATGACCCGCTCGGTCACATCGCCCACACGGCATTACCTCACACCATGGACCACATCACTGGGACTCTGTCATGGGCTCTGCAGCCACACACGGTGGGAGACAGCACCATACAAACCATGCCCTTCTTACTCGCAGGAGAGCTTCTAGCATCATCATGCTCACACCGCATCACCGGGGCATTGCCACAACACAACCATCAGTCTTCCCTGATAGGTCCCTGGATCCACCGCTCACATGCATGATCCATTTGATGGCCCATAGACCAATCACACTCTATGGGCCGGATCCTTCTTCACCCAGTCACGCTTCTTTAGGTCATCTGTGATCACACCCTAGGATGGACAAGCCGCCACGTACGCTCCTCAGAAGACCGTGCCCTATGGACGCTAGTCTTCTTACTCACAGGAGGACTCCTCCTATACCAAACACCATACGATACAGAGGACATAGAAGACAGCGCTGCATTGGGACAGCATGCACCGAGACACAGGAGCAGTACATACTAGTAAATACCACCATGTATTTAAACGAGCCTTGCTGTGGTCTTACACCCCAGCTTCAGCTAAAGTTATACACTCCTAACTTTTCACGCAGAACCTCCCTGCTTCCAAGACTAAGGACTATCATTCCTAACCTAGCGATTGCAATGCCCTCTTCACAACTGAATCACTGAACGCGAGTGACAGTTTAGAGGCAAACGTTGTTCAATCCAAGTTAGTGCGTTACAATGGTGAGCTCGTCAGGCGACAGCTGAGGCTGGTTTTGGAATGATGAACCACAGTTGGCACTGGAGGAAAAGGGATTGGGTGGGATTTGGTGGTCTGTCAGTGGACGCCCATATCTCGGGTTTGTTGGTCGACCTGTACTGGGAGATGATAGCTGAGTGCTTGCCATGGCACCTGTCAGCCCTCTCGTGGGTGTCTGCTGCAAGCCTTGCAGCAGTTCCTCTTTCAGCTTCTTCTCTCTTTCTTTCCTCTCCTTTTCCTTCTCTCTCTCGTTCCGGATCCACTCCATATCCACACCTGCAATCTCGTCTGTGAATGTCTTCCAATCTGCTTGAGACTCCTTGACCTTCTCCTTCAGAATCCTCGGCAGCTTATCTCGCATGGCCAAGATACTTGACTTTCCACCTGATATGCCAGCTGCCTTCGCCTTTGCCAGTAGTCGGTTGGCAAACTCAACATGCTTGTATGCCTCCATGTTCAGGTTCTTCACTCCTACGTCCTCGTCAGGTAGTTTCATGTCCATGAGCTCTCTCTTGAGCTCTATTGCACTTGGCTTTGCCCTTTGCACACCTGGGAATCTTGCATCGAATTCAGCCTTCAGATCTGCCCACTTTTTCTTCTTCCCAGCATCCAACAGTCTAAACCATTCATCTGCTTCGCTTCCCTCCTTCAGATAGTACTCAAAGTTGTCCAATCTTTCCTGTTCTGTCCCTCCTTTCATCTCCCTCATGAATCGGCGAATGAATTCTCCTGGGCTCGTTTTGCCATCAGCGCCTTCGAACCAAAACTCTGTATCTTTTGATGACATTTGGCATAGGCGTGAGATGTGGACTGTTGGTTGTGGTGTCTGAGTCTGTGGAGGTTCCGAGGTTGGTGGTGTCCAGTGTCTGGAGTCCGCAACACCGAAAAAATCGTCTGTATTTGTCAATGAGAGACTGCTGGCAGTTGAGGACAGATCGTCCTCGTTGGAGCTAGATGGCAGAGGCGTGTATGAAGGCAGGTCGCTTTTCGCAATGAATTGTCCACCTGGTCCACGCAGTGGTAATGATTTTGACTTTTTCTTTGCCGTGTTCAGGTGTTTTCTTCGCTTTCCGAGGTTCGTGCACCGCAATCGCAAAATGCAAAATTTAGGATCGGATCACGCTCTCGTCACCACAATGGGATGGCCTGAGCTGACTGAGAGCAGAGATGATGATATCAGGTTGTGATTCTGTCTTCTCTATGATGCGAAGCTACGATCTGACTACTGATGCTGCCAAACAGGCCCAAATAGCACATGGATCCCTCCGGCCACGACAGGATACCCTACTACACCGTCATCGGTAGCTCAGCTCAGAGATTTCCGTGAGTGGCTCAGTCGGCTCGGCGGCTCGAGCCGAAGCTGCGGCAACACTAATGCATACTGAAACAAAGTAGACGTCGACTTTGTATGCAGAAGATTGGACTCTGGAGACGAAGATGAGAACTGTGCTCATAGTGCAAGTTCCTTCAGTTCATGTCTTCTACATCATTCTCCCTCTCACACTGAGGTACATGTTTGGTACTAAAACGGTGGATGTTTATTCATGTAACAAGAACTCTTTCAAGGAAGCTGCTACGGATCTTGACGACTGGCACGAAAGGAAGGAATATGTCGAAAATATGACAAGAGTGCACTCAGAAAAGTAAGTCTACCTTCTCTCACCCACGTTCAGCTGTACTCACTCTTGCTGTAGCTGGATCTTATTCACCCACAACTGTCACTTCCACTGAAGGGTACGCACCGTGCTCTGACACACGTATGAAACACCCTTCGACTGCTGTGGGACAATTTTGAATACAAGCAGGATATCAATGTTTGCTGAGACATGTTTTGAGTGACGGGGCATCTGTTTGTTTGAACTCAGAGAGTTGGACGATGAAGAGGACAGGGACAGTGGCAGATTTGGCAAAGAGCGCTAGTTTTTGGTGACGAATTTTCACAATCCAAGGTCGACCCAGGCATCGTCTACCCACAACAGATTGTTGAGTTGTTGGAGGTGACTGTACAGAAGACGCAGCTGTCGAGGCTGACACAACAGACAACATTGATGAAAAGAATTCAGCAGAGCTGGCCGAATCATGGATGTCCTGCAAACAATGGGTCGAGAGATGACGAAACGCATCCTCACATGTCACATTGTAGTATAGCATGGGTTTTAGCAATTGACGAACCTTTATATCTACCAGTGACTGCGTGAGCCTGTGCACCCTCTCAGGTAGCCATATAACTACTTGATTCAAGAAGAGCTAGTACAATGTGTATCACTCAAACTAGAATATTCCGACACTCTTTAGTAATATGCAGACCTTCTAAACTCCTCCACTCTTCAATTGTCATTTCAAACACTGACACTTTCTCAAATCTCTCTCCGGACAGTCTTCGCCTGACAGCCCAATATTTAATTTGGGGGACCTGCCCAAACTTACCTCCATCAGCGCAAATCAGTGTGTATGTGTCTTCAGGTATTGGGTACGTGTGGGTGGCCATGACGTTGAATCGATGTTCCATCCCATTGTTGCCTTTAACAATCAACTCTCCCCATCGATGTCCCCCTTCCACAACAGCCAACCCCCGCACCAGCCCCTTTTCAATGCAGTGCATGTTACATGAGTCTTCATCTACCTCCTCATCCTGATCAATGCCGATATCGGGGTTGTAAGGATGTGCAGGCACATGCTTCATCATAACCTGGTCCCACGATGGTCTCCATTTTCTGCCTGCATTGCCCAGTTCAGGGTACAAGATGAACATCCTTCCCCAACGTTTCGCATTCATTGAAGTCACGAGTGCTGTCCATGCTTCCTCGAGAGACGCACTCTCATAGTATGCCAGTATCCTCTTGCACAGCAGACGAAATGCCAGTCCTGCAACTTTGTCCATGGGGTTGGTCGACACCCGATTCTGCATGTCCCCCAGTGCATCAAACCCATATTTCATCAAAGTGCGATCCATAGACTGCAGCTGCTTGTGAAACCTGGTCAGTAGCTCAGTCTCATACTTCCCGTCCTTATCTTCAGCATGCATTGGTCCATCTGGCGTGTCCCCAGCAAACATCCTGCTCTCGCCAACCTCCTGTAGTGTCCAAGCACGTCTAAACCAAGACCGATCACTCTCCAAGTCGCCTTCCTTCAAACTCAAAGGCCGACCCAACCCACTCAAGTAAATCACCACATGAGCCCAAGCATACACATTTCCGATGGTGGGCACATCCAGCTTCCATTCTTCCATCCGCATATCCTCCCTCTGTCCACCCTTCTGTCTCAAACAGAGAACGTCCAACCACGCATACTCCACTCCAGGACTGATATTGAGCATCTCAATGCAGACAAGGTTGAGACTGGTGTCTTTCGGGATGGGAACGGGCCATTCATATCTGTTGATGGGTGTTCCCACATCGACACGATCCTTCTCATCCATCCAAGCATGTGACATTGGCAAAAGACTCCACCTCGAGCTCAGGATTCCTGTCCAGTACCATGGCACCACCCGATTGCTGTACAGATCCCACACACGTCGAGGTTGTGGCTGATATGGACAGACAATCTGGTTACCAACGAGTGCTTTTCGGCACCTCTCCCAGTGCTCCTCTTCCCATTTGTGCAATCTGTCTTGTATAGTACTCCAGTTGCCAGTGTACCATATCCGGCGGAGGCAGCTATATGCTGTGCCAAAGTCCCAGTTCTCTGCAATGCATTCTTCAAGAAGGGAGGAGAGGGATGGCGTGTCAAGGCTGTGTGATGTTCTGAGTGTCGTGTTAAGTTGATCCAAGAGGCCCCCAATGCCGAGGGTAGCACAGGGAGTGTCAGCAAGGCGGGATGATATCACAGGCTTCCTATCAGTGTATGCCCATTGCTTTGGAATGATGATCGACGATTCAGGTTGGCCTGTCTCAGTGAAGGCAGAGATGGTTACTTTGGGAAGAGAGATTTCCTGGGAATGGTATCAATTTCCCCTCTGCTTGTTTGCCGATTGACTTACCTTCGGTCGACGGTAAGGTCTATGGTTATCAGGCTCAGCAAATCTATCCCAAGATTCTGGAGCATCACTAGATGGTTGTTCTTCCATGGGACTAGTCTGTGAACCCACATCGGAGGTTGATTCTGGATGTGCTGAGCATGGTGACAAGTGTGGTGTCACCTCCGAGACAGGACCAACATCTTCTGGAATAGAACTACTGTGCTTGTGTGGTATCATCTCAGGTGGTACAATTGTGGTATAATTCTTGTCAAGTTCAGGTCTTTCGCCAGGAGACAAATCCTTACTTGTCTGGGAAGTTGAGGAGATCATGGTGGTGGTGGTGGTGTTACCAGCGTCAAGTCCCAACTTGAACAAGGAACAGCTGGGTTCACAGCCCTGACATCGTGAACCATTCATATGGAACGTGTGTGTTCCCAAATCAACATCACACCGCCGAAAAGCCATTAAACCTTGGACGGTCCTTGTACTGAGCGCTCAGAACAAGAGGATTAATGATACATATATCTCCCATTTTCCAGGCTCAGAAGGGCGCATGGGTCGAAGGAGTGTTAAAAGAAAAGCGGTTTTGCCATTAAGCAATCAGGTGCCATAAGTCACAGCTTGAATTCAACTCCAGACTGATGTGAGATCTTTGTTTGAACAAGATAGTACACGTCCTCATCCTCGTCCTCTCGAGCTCATAAAGGCTGCACCACAAGGCATGTCTTCTTTTGAGAACCTTGGCTTGGAGATTGAGAATAGGTTTTTCAGGGCAAGGACTGGTGGAATGGGACTCGGAGCATGAGAACATCTGGGTATCAATATGACTATCTTACGTCCTTCAGTTTGATGGTACTATTCTATTAACCACACCATAGCTTTACTCTCCTTTCCTTGACGTCGACCAGATATCTGAGGGTCTCTATCTCAGAGTTGTGTTTCTATGCTTCATAACATCCAACATGTCCATCGATGTCTTTCCCATGACAGTCCATCCACTTTCGCAACCGTCAATCAATCCTGGCACTTCCCTCCCCTCCCATGACTAGACTGATATCACCCATCACTGAATAATGCCGCGTCAAAAATGATTTCACCATTAGTGATCCTTGACCAGACTCGCTGTATCAATTGGGTAGCCGTGATCAAATCGTTCACAGGGAACATTTTAGAGAGGATTCGGAGCCCAGGCTCCAGTTGTAGCACCCTCAAAAGAGACTTTCAAAGAGTTACACCCAGTCCTTTCTCAGTACAACTGTGGTGCCATTTTCCAGTTCTTACTGCAGACCAGTCTGCACTCCCTCCCAGGGACCAAGAACCATATGGTGCACCTACTTCATTGACTAGTCACATTAATACACAAGTTATGTCATCCGAGAAACCCCCAAGGATGAAAACAAAAGCAGAAAACTGTCAATAGGAGATAGAAGAGGTCATTGGACCTTTAACCGATGAGCAGTTCTCTTGGCTCGTTAGTCTATCAATGAAGAGTACCGACTATAGTGGCAGAGGACAAAGCAAGGCGATGTTCGATTCCAATATGGAACAGAAAGATGTGGAGATTGACGACGAGGTTGGTGTTGCTGTAATTTTCGATGAGGAGGAACGAGAGGATGAGGACGAAGATGAGTTCGAAATCAGAGGTGAATCAGACGATGACGGCAAAGAAGAGGGACGCCGAGGCTGCACCTGAGGACGGCAGCGAGGTTGGCGAAGAAACACTTGTCGTTGATGGTGATTCCTCAAAATCCACACAAGTCAAGGCTGACGAAGATATCGTCTCCCCACATTCCATTGATGGTCTCTGGGTACAGAGCCAGATCGCTGAGGTATACCCCAACCCATGATAAACTCTCCTCGGTTCTTGCAATTCTCAGCTCCAAGTTCGACCGTTGTGACTGGACTAGATTCTTCACGAACTAGTGGGAGAGTGTTCAATGAAGGCACACCCATTCACCATTCCCAAGCTTCACGACACTCAGAGCAAGCTTTACCCCATTGCGTTTGGTAATGAACCCATCCTTCTTTGTGTAGCTACTGGCACTGAAAAGGTATGTTTGTTAAGTTGCCACAGCATCTTGGTTTCATCACTAACTATTCCTTGATACTTAGACCCATGTGACACGTAAAATCACTGGCACCAATTATACAGATTTCGTTCGCCTCAGCCTTTTTGATGAGATCCACTTGCTTCAAGATGAATGTGGCCCAATTCTGGAGAGAATCATTGCTTGGACAATCCGCCAAACTAATGAGTTTGTTCATTTTATGACATTCACCATCATCGTACCGAGAATTCCATTTTCATCAGTCATTCGCAGCCTCTCTATAGTCTTCATCACATCAGAACTCGTGTCAAGAACAAGGGACGAGTTCTTGTACTCACTCGAGACAGGATGCGGGTGCAAGACCCTTGTATCTGCAACAGCATCTGTAGAGTCTGATACAAACTCCAGGCTTTGTCGCAACATTTGGGCCTGAACACTGGTGAAGAGGCGTTTTCGGTATAGGTGAGGATTCTGCCGGCGTCTTTGTTGGAGATGACTGTACAGGAGACATGGGAAACGAGGCCAATGCAACGGATGATGTGGATGAGAAGGGTTTAGCAGAGCTGTCCGACGTTGACCAGGATGTTTGACGTGAGCGGAACAGCTCGCAAAGAGAGGGTTATGCTTCCAGAGCTCATAAATGAATCAGAAGGACATTTCTATTTCGACACATCGTACCAACCTTGCGGGCTGGAATGAGATTTCATCGGAGTTGCCACAAAAAACACAATCAAGCAGTTCCAACTGACAAAAGGAGGTTGCTACGAGCAGGTCCCCAGCCTAAACCCTTGTTTTCGTGCACTTGGGAAAAAAGACATGGCAGGGGGAGAGGGAGAAGATTTGTCCAAGCTGATGGTGCTACGTGGGAGATTCTGACTGACAAAGCCAACAATGTCAAGTTCGCCATTTTCTCTTTCCTTTTGGTTTCGATATCCATCACGCCAATATGTAGCAGGAAGATCTTTCCCTGGTGGAGGAGCTATTTGCGGATAGATCTATTCAGGTTCTCGTGTGTATTGCGATATGCCAATCTACCAGCGCATACGGTCGTCATGAGGAGAACGCAGATCTACAATGCTTGGATGTGCAGGTCGATGCATACAATGTTACCATCACCTACCCGACAACTTCAACATGGAAATTGTCTTGGGCATGATTCCGAGTCCTATGAATATAGGATACTCGGTTATTATGCTGTTGTGAAACCCTGTGGGAAATTCTATTCGTGGAATCAGTGATCGCGGCATTTGCCGTCCCACCACGTTTCTTCCTCTGTGGGTCTCTCATGGGAAATTTTCTATTTGTGGACGGCAATTCCCACATTTTGTTGGTCTGCATTTCGCCACTCTCGTTGCTTTCCCTATGGGCTCCTATGGGCTGCTTTACCTGACCAAGGTGTGTATATATGCTTCAGGTTTCTTCCTCCATAGCATTATAACTCAAAGAATCCTCACAGACTGGTATTGACAGTGCCACCGCCTCCTCGCAAATCGGCACTACCTCAAAACCTGGTGGATAAAATCTAGACGGATCATCCTGCACGAATCGAGAATTCTCCATTCATATTGAGAGAAATTTCTGTGGGAATCCATATGAATTCAAATTTAGGTGTCTGCATAACGAGTTGAAAAAGAAACGGTGCACATCGAATCCGATCGTATCCATGACTCTAGATGAAATCACTTTGATGTATAATCTTCACAGAATGGATATCGACTTTTACCTGGTTTTCTTTGCTTATGCAGTCATCACGATGGACAATGAGCACAACACTGTTCGCTCAAGATGGTGCTCCAACAGATGTCAATCTCAAGGCAGGGAATTTTGGACCTTTTTGAAAGAGTTTAAGTTGGATGGCAGATTCCGGTCATGGACAAATCCAGTTTGGCAGTAGTGAGACTGTTGGAACGGTGCGCTTCCTTCTCTCTATAACATGGGTACATATTTTCGGCATGAGCTGCCATGTCCTTTTTTCGGTGTTTGTACTACATTCCTGTGCTCATGATACTGTCCGTTCCGTTCATATCAACATCCTGTCATTTCTTTGCCTTCTTCTGTGTCCTGCCTACCCTGCCCTCATATTCGAAACTCACTTTCCTCTTCATTATTACTGCCAATGGTGCTCCCCCCACCTGTCGGTTGCCATTTTTCCTGTCTCAATCTCCATCCTAATTCTCAGTGGTCAGTCTTCTGTGTACTGTCGTCTTTATTACGCTTACCATAACATGGTCTCAGTTGACCAAGCCCAGTGGTATTGCCCGCAATACCAATCTCATCTTCACACTGCGCCTCTACACCTTATGAAGACGACTGAGCATTGTGCTTTGACTATGTCACCTATTCAAAACATATGGAGCTTCGCTTCTGTGTATCTGATGTCTGTTAGATTTTCATACTCCGGTACATTTTTTCCCTTACTTTTTACGATGACCAATTCTCTTGAAAAGAACTAGATGCCTCTGTCCCTATCCTCGAATCCAAACACACAACAATCGAGAAGACAATACGGGAAACACCAGTATGGCCCAACTGACCACCACATGCTCGACGTGTACTACCAATGTACCACCCTCCCACTCCACAATCTAACACTCCCATTCCAGTCTTCTCATACGGCGGTGGGTTCCACATGCACACACGCATGCTCTACTCCCGTTTCTATCATCTACCAGAACCTCGGCTCCTGCGCCACTCACGTATTTATCACCGCCATCCCTGACTACCGCCTCGTCAACTCTGATGTGCAGTTCCCTGGTGCAGCATGGGACATGTGAGATGCAATGCAATGGGTTGTGGATAACTGTCCCTTCCTGAATCTGACATTTACATCCTCAAGGCCTCAGCCACTCAGCAGGGGCGATAAGCGTGTTTACTATCTTCGCTCTCCAAGACAGTCCTCCCCTCTGGGTTGTACACATTCTAGGAGATGTCAGCTGATATGAAGGATTCCGCCAGGTTTGTATTACGGCGAAGATGATGAGCGATAAGGGTGCCATTGGCATTGTTGGAATTACCGAGTGGGATACTGACTTCACAGCTCCATCTCTGCCTGCACCCTGCCATAGAGAAATTCGACGGAGCTTTGAAGGCGAAGAACAAAGTCAATATGAAACTGTTTACTCATGTTATTTTTCAAATAAAAGATTGTTCACCATTACCTGTGCGCCAACCATAAAAATGAGTTGCAAGAAGGGCTGGTTCAACGTCTGAGTGTATAAACTTAGGACTCGGACCTGCCACGCGGATGCGCTGGCCCTCACCAACTAGTCTGAATGTGAACTGACTAGGATACACTTATCTGTAAGCTATCTCTTATCTCAAATGTTTCTTCTATTGAATAATCATCCTTTCAGTTTCGTGCAAATAATTCGCTCGCTGGGTTTGTATGACGGTGTTGGTGTTGATTATCGGGATGACGCGAAGCACCCACAAAACCTGTCATTAACTTTGTTCCCTCACGGAAAATGGTGCCTCACCATCGATGACCTGCTTATTTACTGCGCTGCGGATGACAAATCAGACAGGTTCCTTAGCGTCAAGGTCGCAGATTTATCTTGACCATTTGCGGGACGAAGGGATGAAAGAGGGGTATTGGGTATTTCCACGAGGTTATGGGTAGGCAAGACGAGCGCATGGATCAATGTCTGTTTGAGAATGAAGCTATTCAAGTGTTCGTTGGACATGGCATGGTCGATTCCGGTTGCTAGCAACATCATCATGGGTGTGCAGTACTACGAAGGAAAGGAGCATTGATACGTCGACCATCTCATCATGGATGACCTGCAAACAATCGAACGCAGTTGAATGCACGCACGCAAGGGTCGAACGCAGAATTCTCCTCGCCCGGATGCTTTACCTCTCGTGATCCTGAGCTCACCATTATTCTTTTCCCTTGTCTGTCGCTTTTCCTGGTTCTGCCCTTCTTTTATTTTATATATTGTAGTATAGTGCAGGTTTTTGCAACCAACAAGCCTTTATATCTAGCAGCAACTGTGTGAACCCTTCATAAGAGCAGTCCTTCGTATACTCTCAGGTAGGCATGATAGCTAGTACTAAGCTAGTACTGGATTTAAGAAGGGCTAGTACAATGCATACTCAAACAAGAATATTCCGACACCATTCAGTAATATGCGGATCCTCTAACTGCCTCCATTCTTCTTTATCAGGAATTTGCAACACCGACACTTTCTCAAATCTTTCCCCTGGCAGTCTCCGCCCGACAACCCAATTTTGGAGTCGGAACTTTAAGCTCAATTCATCCACACAAATCAGTGTGTATGTGTCTGCAGGTATCGAGTACGTGTGGGTGGCCGTGATCTTGAATTGATGTCTCATCCCATCCTTGCCTTTAACAATCAACTGTCCATGTCGATTACCCCCTTCCACAACAGCCAACCCCCGTACCGACCCCTTCTCAATGCAGGGCCCAACACACCAGTCTGCATCCATCACATCATCCCAATTAACATCATTGTCGGGGTCAAGAACGTCACTTGCAGGCAGAGACTTCGTCATAAGCTGGTCCCATGATGGTCTCCATTTTCTGTCTGCATTGCCAGGTTCAGGATAGACGGAGAAGAACTGCCCACGAACCACTCCAGCCATCAGATTCACGATTGCTGTCCATGCATCCTCGAGAGACTGGCTCTCATAGTATGCCGGTATTGTCTTGCACCGCATGACAAATGCTAGTCCCGCGACTTTGTCCACTGGGTTGACCGACACCCGTTTCTGCATGTCCTCCAGTGCCTCAAACAGTAGATCCGAAACGTCCTCCATAGACGCCAGCTGCTTGTGAAACCTGGTCAGTAGCGGAGTTTCATACTTCCTGTCCTTATGCTTGGCATGCAGTGGTCCATCTGGCATGTCCCCAGCAAACACCCTCTTCACCGAGTCACCAACCTCCTGTAGTGTCCAAGCACGTCTAAACCAAGACCGATCACTGTCCAAGTCGCCTTCCTTCAATGTCAAAGGCCGACCCAGTCCACTCAAGTAAATCACTGGAACGGCCCCGTTACTATACACTGCTCCGATGGTGGGCACATCCAGCTTCCATTCTTCCGTGCGCATATCCTCCCTCAGTCCACCCACCTGTCTCAAACAAAGAACGTCCAACCACACATACTCCGCTCCAAGATTGAGTGTCTCAATGCGAACAAGCTTGAGGCTGGTGTCTTTCGGGATGGGAACAGGCCATTCGTATCCGTTGATGAGTGTCCGCACATTGACACGATCCTTCTCGTCCATCCACGCATGTGATATCGGCTGAGGGCGGCGCTTCCAGTCGTCGATGAGAATGCCTGTGCTCCACCATGGCACCACCCGATTGCTGAGCAGATCCCACACACGTCGAGGTGGCAACCCTGGGTTGATGATCTGGTTACCAACGAGTGCTTTTCGTCGCATCTTCCGGTCCTCCTCTTCCCATTTGCGCAATGTGTCTTGTATAGTTCTCCAGTCGCGGGTGTACCATATCCGGCGGAGGCGGCCATATGCTGTGCCAAAGTCCCAGTTGTTTTCGATGCACTCGTCAAGAAGGGAGGAGAGAGATGGTGTAGCAAGGCTGTATGATGTTGCGAGTGTAGCGTTGAGTAGATTTAGGATGCCCTGTACGCCGAGAGTAGCGCAGGGAGTGTCAGCAAGGTGGGATGATATCGCAGGCTTTGTACCGGTGTACACCCGCTGCAATGGAACGATGATCGACGATTCCTTTTGGCCCGTCTCAGTGAAAGCGTAGATGTTGACCTCAGGAAGGGAGATATTCTGGGAATGGTATCAATTTCCCCTCTGTTTGTTTGCCGACTCTGAAGGCTTACCTTTGGTGGATGCCAAGGACCGTCGTCATCAGGCTCAGAAAATGTGTCAGAATCACCCGAAGCATCACCAGATGGTTGCTCTTCCATGGAACTAGTCTGTGAACCCACATCGGAGGGTGGTTCTGGATGCGCTGAGCGCGGCGACAAGTCTGGTGTCATCTCCGAGACAATCCTCTCGAGCTCACAAAGACTGTACCGCAAGGCGCGGCTTCTTTTGGGAGCTTGGCTTGGAGATTGGGAATAAGTTTATTAGGGCAAGGATTGGTGGAATGAGGACAACAGCACGAATTTTGTCAAGGATGGCGTGTATAGGTTTATTAATACAAAAGCGCTACTTGGAATAGGCGCGCTCCTCAGGCTTATGCCCATTTGGATATCTTGCATTCAGACGAACGGGTAAAGTGCCCAAAGCTCCTGCCGAATACGACCGGACAGACGCCGCAGAGGTATACTCTATCCATTCCCCCGATCTATCTGCTAAGATCGCGCGCTTCAAGTTCCAGTCCCCCGATGGCTTCCCTCAGGTTTCATTCAGGATATGGTCACGCTGACCCGTTTACACAACGAACTAGAACTGCTTGGGGATTGGTAAAGACTTCAGTCTGTTAGCCTTTATCGACGGGAAGCTAAGCTGGATGGTGCATCCATCAAGTGCATTCATGGTGACGGGACACTGCCAAGGCCAAAATCAAAAATGAAGGCAACTGCGGATCTGGCAAGAATCATATCTGATGTTCTAAATAGGTAATGTCGAACGAGGTTCTCGGCGGACAGGGTAGTAGAATCAACAACAAAGTCATCGTACGTGATCGATCAGCGGTGCATTGAAACACTGCTCCAACCTGCGGAAATGCATTTACCTAAGTATCATATTTAGTACGTTGAACATAATAGCCGAGAGAAAATACTCAACAGTTCTTGATATCGTATCCCGTAGTACGGAAGCCAACAGTTTGCCTCCGTGCAGGCCAACAAGTCTCGTAAATCAAGGTACGTCGTGTTTGGCATAATAGCTTGTACAGTAGATGTCAAAAACGAAAAAAAAACTATAGACAATATTCTCATACCATATCATCGGACCCCCACACGTCGCCAGCATCTATTCCCTCATTCCTCTTGAGTATGATAATGGTAGAAACACCAATCTCAGGGTCTCCGCTCAAAATTGCGTGCTGTATTGGTGCTGGTCCACGGTATCTCGGGAGAAGGGAGGGGTAGATCTTCAGTCTCTTCGCCGGAGCGAAGCGGTGAAGGAAACGTTAAGAGAGGATACGCCCAAAGGAAGCTATGATACTTCTTTGAACAGGTCTGCCCAGATCTGGGGATGAAGCGAATATACATATGCGGTCTAGCGAATATGAATAAGTTATGAGAAGGCATGTGGAGTGACAGAAGAGACTCACAGGTTAGACGTTCGCAACATAGAAATGGAATGAATTCAGCCGGAGGAAGGAAACCAGTGGAAAAGGCGGAAGAGAAGGCAGAGACTAGCTGTGGGTGGGATGAATCATTATTGAAGGAGTCGAAGGGGATACAGCGAGCGAGTCGAGGCCGAAATGGCACGTCAAGTTAGGACCCGTTTTCCCTGTTGTCTGTTTGTCCTTCTGTGCTCTACAAGCGCTCCATGCCAAGGAACATGACGGCTTATTCTTCCTGGATTGCCACTCAGAGTTTGACTGGGCGGCGAAGAAAATCAAGACTGAGATTCAAGGGATCCTGTTTCGCCAAGAAGAGCAATCTCGACGTTGGTGCTACATGAACGAGAATGGCACCCTGGTATTGACATTGCCAATCCTCACGGAAACCATCCCTTTAGACATGTCCCCACAAGGGGTGTCGTCTTCAGCAGCGCCTCAAGACTTTTTATCGAGACTATGCATCGCTGTACTACATTGAAGCAGGTCGTCGTTCGAATTCACGCACGCCGCATGCATCTGGCTCCAACGTAAGCTTGGATAGAGAATGGGTGCACTGTACGGGAAACACACACGCTGGTTATAAAGATGAGGGGCGCTAGCTTGACCCACGCCAATCTCTTCAGAAACCAAATCCTTCGCTGTCTTTCGCGTGCACCCCCGATATCTATACTGTATCCATACAGGCACGCTGCTATGAGGTCGGTTCTGTCGGAGTACGTTCTCTCTCCGCTTGTTGCTTTCATGGTGCTGCGCGTAGGGAGAGGGAGAAGAGATCTCCTTCGCATCTACGTGTGTCACGTCGACCTTAAGAGAAACGCGCATATTCTCGAGGCTACCATAATTTGACTATCACAGAATTAGTCGATTCGCAATAACGAAATGCTCCAACGAAGACCTACATCCAAAGAAACCTCCACCCGTGTTTCTCAAGCCCTCATAGGATACATCCTTGTCCGCCGAGGCATCATATCGCAAAGGGGTGGCAATGAGCTGGGCTATGCACAATCCATAACTCGTAACAGCAACATGAAGTCCATTCCTAAAATTCTCCTCCGTAAGAATTGGCGATATGCACCCGCTGATCGCCATATCTGCTCGAGCTGCTACATCATTTTTACTTTCTCCACGGGAATTCGTGATTGACATGGGGATGGACTGGTGACTATGCACGACTTCACCAGTCTGACGAGCGTGAAGGAGGGGGGGCGAGTAGATGAGATCAATCTTCATGGTTGAAATTTGAAAGGCGGTCACCGAGAGCCTTTGCTTGATCATATTTGCTAGACGTGGATATTGGAGTTGAACACCCATTCTTATACCTACAATAAGGTAGAGGAATTAATTTTTGTTCTCGCAGTTAAACAGGTTTGAACGTGCCTAATTCACAAAGTGGTACATCTGTCCATCAGGCCCATATTCCTCTCTGACCTCAGATAATCTTGTATACATGTACCGATCTGGGCGACAGATTTCCTTACGAGATTGTCCTCACTCTAACCATGTCTGATCTATCCCAGTATCAGCGAAGTGGAAAATAATCACAAAACAGAGACGCACGAAAATTAGAGTGATCATTACCGATTCAGACCCGAAGTTGACACGTTGACTGTCGAAGAAGAATGACTCGATACGCAGTTTTGTGAGCGGCGAATCTCTCTCTCTCTCTCTCTCTCTGTGCTGTGTGTGTTGCTTTTAGAATTGTAGCACTGACGCGAGGTAAGACCATTCAATGCATAGAGAGAAGAGAAGAGAGATCAGGAAGTAATGAAAAGAGAAGACGCTGCATGGAATGGAGCTGGCATAGTTACGAGGAAACGATCGAAACCGTGTACATACGCGTCTGTTTGGTTTTTGGTGACGTCACAGCTCTCGGGTTTCTTCGCACCAATACACTGAATTTAAGACCCACGGCAAGTTTTTTCTTCTCGTTTTATATAGCTCTAACCTTTCATTACAGCGGATTGCCAAACACTTGAGATCAGGGCCAATTTCCCCAGACGGACGCACACCGAGAAAAATAGACGTTGACTTCAAGTTTGGTTGCATGCGTCAGATTGGACTCTGAGACGTAGATGAGAACTGTGCTCATGGCGCAAGTTCCTGCAGTTCTTGTCTTCCGTGTCATTCTCCCTCTCACGCTGAGGTACGCGTTTGGTGCTAAAACGGTGGATTTTTGGTCAGGCCAAACAAACTCTTTCAAGGTAAGGAAGCTGTCACCGATCTCGACGACTGGCGCGAAGGGAAGGAATGTGTCATAAAGGTGACAAGAAGATGGTAGGTCTCTCTTCCTTCCCCATATTCAGCCGTACTCACTCTTGCCATAGCCCGATCTTATTCACCCACGTCAGGGCAACTGTGACTTCCCTCGAAGGGTACCCACCACGTCCTGCGGGATATCGATTACCGAGGCAAGTTTTGAGTGGCAAGACGGCATCTGTTTGTGGAGGACGAGGGTAAATGGAGAGGTGAAATCCTCTTCTGCTCTCGCTCTCGTCCTCGCTGTTCAACACGACATTGTGCCTGCGACATATCCGTGTATGTTCAGCATCCTTCTAGATATCACACTACCCGTAACTCATAACAACGTATCATAGTCGCATCAGCCCGTACCCAAAGACCGCTCTGCTCATCAGACTGTTCCCCTTCCTTTCCTCCCACCTACGCCAATAATCGCGAGCTCTCAACGCCATACGACATAGACTCTTTGCAACCGTTGTCCAGGTTGAGCTCGATACGTGTATCGCTTGCAAATCTTCTGGCAGTCTGCACAGGCTTTTTTGGATGTTAGATGAGGAGGAGAATAGCAGACTCACGCTAGATGTCTATTTCCCAAGTCCATGGCTTCTTCTCACCAACGCTCCGTTCTGATATTTTCAATTACAGATCTGTTTCCTGTTCCCCTAGCTTCCAGAATAGACCTTCTCGACGTCTTCGACCACTTCTAATAATGCAGGGTTCATTTGACGTGCCCCGTTTTGGCGGAAACTTTGTCCTCGATCCGGTCGCCTACTGTGTCCTTCTAGTCAGTAATAGGTAGCCAGTTACTCGTACCTGGTGCACCTCGCTGGTAAGGCATTTCTTCAGCACTGTACGATGATTCACTAATACCTTCTCCTGTGTGACCATCTCTCCTCGTTAGCATAGGACCGAGTTATGCTCATGCCTCGATTACAATCATACTGCGCGCCTATATCGTCAATCTATATATCAAGTTATCTTCAACCAAGCCACATCTAGCCTCCGACGCTAGAACACCGGATGCCGGGATAGGCGCCGCTGCAAAGAGGAGATGTGAATAAGGTAGGTGGGGTTTTTGAGGTGGGAGGTCATGATTTATGTAACTCGCGTGGCAAACGGAACACCTAGACGCGGGAGGATGTACGACGCGTCCCTCCTGTCAAATTTTACACGGTACTTACATGCATGTAACGCGCGTATATCAGGAATATATTAACGTTTTGAGTCGCATACTCTACAATGGAGACAAGCATGAGAGAAAGATGCGTACACAGTACAAATACGCAGGAGAGAAGGGTTGGTACTAGGTTATGTGCTGAAGATCTAGCTGGTCTGCATGCGCTCTCTCTTTAAGCCCTTCGACTGCTCGTTGTTCCCGCCCGTACCACACGCCGACCCGCTCGACAGAAACCGGTTGTTGACGGATAATCATGACCACGTAAGGGCTGTGCGCACCTTGGTTGTCATAGTTGAGAGGGATTACTGGAGGAATCGAAGTACCGGTTCATCGAGCGCTACCTTTCCTGTTGAATTGGCAGTATGCGGCGGGCGTCGAGAAGAATAGCATTGAGGTGAGGATGCCATGGCGACGTCAAAACAAGGACTCGTCCAAGTTTGAGTTGTCCATGCTATCTCTCTTGCATCCTTTCCAGTTCTTTCAAGACAATTTTGACACTCTTCCTGGTCCAAAAGGTCCCGTCGCAAGTGTAGCTTCCGACTCTCCCAGAAAGTACGCCATCTTTCCGCAGGTGTACACAAGTACGCAAATGGCTGACTCCTCCCTCCCATGCTCGCCCAAGCGAATATATTGCGGTGTCAGGCTCGGTTCTGTGTTGAGGCAACCAAGGACTTTTCTTCGAAATGTAGACTTTTTTTCGGAAACCGCCACCATTAAGCTCGGGAAACAAGCGTTGTATCCTATTGGCTGGGGATTGTCGTAGTCCTTGTAGGAACGCATAGTGGCGGAAGGAGGGAGATGACCGCAATGCAAGTTCTTTGAAGACATTTAATGTTAGATATTTCAAACACCTTCTTCGATAGCCTGATCCACCCACCAAAAATCGCTCGACAGCGTCGAGGTTAACGTTAACCTGGGAACACTGACATCGAGCGCCTCAAACCTCGCCTTGGACGAGCTTGACAACATCGTCTGCGTACTGGCGCTGGGTGTCTACCTGCGAGGCGCTATGGACGAGGGGATATCCATGTGTGTGGAAAGGGCACAGTGCATAGGCGAATTCCAGATGCAGACGCTCCGAAACACAATCCCTAACCCTGCTCTGCCCTCGCTATCTATCTCATCCGAACGCATCTCCCAATCCGCCACAGAAAAATCACCAGAGCAGTCTCTTTCTGGCATCCAGGTGCCTTCCTCCCATTCGCTAACTTCGTACCCGAGGTGCTCGTCTCGCCGTATCTGCGCTTGAAAGACTTGGTACGCAGCGCGGTGAACTTGATTGTGTGGGAGAGGGAGAGTGTTGGATGATATGACGGCTGCAGGGTAGAGTAAGATTTCGAAGCAAGGTAGGTAAGATGGACTGGACGTCGATGAGGTCTGGTACGAAAGCAATCAGAAGTCACTCTTTGCTGTCTGCGAGTGAATATTCGGCAACGATTCGCAGAGATTTATCATCTTCAGTTTGAGGCAGATTACAGTGCTCGTTGGTGTCGCTCCACATGGGTGGGGCATCGCGGTCGATTCGGACAGGTTCCGCGGTTGCGGCAGTCCTTTGGTGATGGTGGTCAGAGCGTGAGAACATCCGAGTACGCGCTGATAACATGACCATCTTACTCGATCTTCACAGATCTTCACAGTCCTCCAGTCTGACGCGTTTTACTCTCCTTTCCTTGACGTCGACCAGTTAACCGAGGGCTGTACCTAAGGACTAGCACTTAAGTACTCAAGTACTCAGATCTTAGCTTCAGCTCCCAGCCCTGGGTCCCTACGCTTCATAACATCCTACACGTTCGTCTCCATCTTGCCTACAACACCCCATCCACTTTCGCGACCATCAGTCAATCTAGCACTTTCCTCCAATGACTAGACTGCGATCACCCATTACCAGCTAATGCCACGACAAAAATGACTTCACCATTGGTGTTCCTTGGCCAGATTCGCCATATCACCGGTAGTCAAAGCGTTGTCAAGTATTATTTTGGAGAGGATCCGAGGTGCATGCAGCGGGTAAAACATATTTGAAAGAGTCACACCTAGCCGGTACAACCATGGTGCCATTTCCTCTCTAGTTCCTACTGCAGACCCCTCACAGAGACCAAGAACCACCGGATACTTCCTTGAATGGTCGCATTAATCCACGAGTCGCATCATTCGAGAACCGGTGAACAACTCTCGTCAGTCCGTCGAAGAGGATTACCGACTATGGCATCGAGGACGAGACAGCGTTGGATCCAGATATAGAACAAAGGGATGCAGAGATTGCCGACGAGTTGACGTTGCAAGGTTGCGATGAAGAGGGGTTTGAAGTCAGAAATAGTCGGCCGACGACGATAACGAAGAGGGCGAGAATGACTAGGCTGCAACTGATGACAGTTGGCGAAGAGATATTCGACATTGGTGGCGAACAGAATCCCCCAAATCCAAGGCCGACAAAGACGTCTCTACGACAGCTCGCTGTGGTGTACCTAGGCCGAGTTACTGCTGCCAACAACTTCTCCACCCTTGACTCCGAGTCCGACCTTTGTCACTGCGAAAACACACTCGTGGAGCTCTTCGACTATCACCACTTTCGAATCACGACGAGATTCTTTTAAAAACCGCTACGTGACGCGTCAACGTTGAAGTTGTTGTACATGACAAGGGCATGAGCTGGGGATCGTCAGTTGAAACTTCGCTCATCCACCTTTCTCGAGCTTCGCCACGTTCGGAGCGAGCTTTCTCCCATTTCCTTGTATGTGGATGAGCTCATTCTTCTTTGCACGCCTTCCGGCACTGGAAAGGTATGCTTCTGAGAGCACATCTTGATTTTGTATCTGACTATTCATCCATCCTTAGATCCACTTCTGAACGAGGTACCCAAGTGTCGTGATGAGACTACCCGTACTTTCGACCTCGACGCGTTCAAAGTCATCTACGTCGCTCCCATGAAAGTATTGGTTCAAGGGATGGTTGCGTGAGGCTCGGCGTATTTGTTATAAAAAGTTGGCGAACTCAATGGCGACTCTCATGGCGAAGCAACGTATTGTCGAACATAATCGTACCATCTCTGTCCCCACTTACGTTGTTCGAACCTTCTCTACGATCCCCTTGCATTAAAACTCGTGTCGAGAACAACGGCCAAGGTCTCCTACTCGAGACACTTTCTCGGGATGGAGTCGCAAGTTGCTTGTGTTTGCAACAGAACCCGCTGTAGACCCCCGCGTTGCTCGGCGTTGTTAGTATAGGGAAAGGGTTCACCAGCGTCTTTGTTGGGGATAACTGCGCAGAAGACACAGCAGTCGGGGCTGAGCCAACAGACGAGGTCAACGAGCAGAGCTGGCCGACGTTGATCGGGACAGAAGGTTTTGGATCTCGCAGAGAGGGCTGTCCTTCCAGAACTCGTAGACGAACCGAAAGGACTTCCTATTTCAACGCTTCGTGCCGACCTCAGCATGAGTTAGGCGAACAATCAGTACCAGTGACGAACGAAGCCTTCGATCAGGCTAACTTTATTTTTCGTGCACTTGCGAAAAAAGAGATGGCAAAACGGCGAAGTTCTTGAGGGACACAGCAACTGGAGAAGGAGACGATTACTCAGTTCGTCGAAGCTGACAGTGCTACGTCGAAGCTGGTGAGGCTATACGGGAAATTCTGACAGAAGAAGCCAACAACGCCAAGGATTCCAACCTTCACCGTCTCCTTCCTTTTGGTGTCAGTATCCACTACGGTGGTATGCCGTGCCACGGAAGATCGTTCATTTCTTGATGGAGGAGCTATTTGCGGATGGATGTTCAGGTTCTCGTCTGTACTGCGATGCGTCAATCTGCCAGCCAATACGGGTATCATAAAAGGAACCCAGATCTACAATCTGGATAGGGGTCGATCTCTCTTTGCAGGATGCGTTCCAAAGGCTTGGATGCGCGGGTCGACCGCGGTACAATTCATACGACGTTACCATCACCTCCGAGCTCCAGGACTACCTGAGCTTGCTCAACCATTACCTGTCTCTTATCGAGTCTCTATCCGAGTTGGCTGACAGCTTCTACACGAGAATTGTCTTGGGCATGATCAAATCCTGATGAGACTCCGGGATACACCTATCTGTAAGTTATCTTCCATCTCAAATGTCTCTTCTATTGACTAATTATCCTTTCAGTTTGGTGCGAATGCTTTTCCCGCCGGGTTTGTACGTACGGCGTCGGTGTCGATTATCAGGATGACGATGTCGAACCAGTGTACTTGGGCATCGTCGAATATGCATCTGGAAAACCTGTCATCGACATTATTCCCTCACAGAGACAACGCCGCCTCACCATCAATCTTTTGCTTATCCACTGTGCTGCGGACGACAAGGCTGACGGGTTTCTTAACGTTGAGGTCACAGACATACCAGTTCATCTTGACCATTTGCAGGACGAAGGATTGAAGGAAACGTCGAAGAAGGGTATTGGCTATTCCACGAGGCCATGGATAAAGAAGACAAGCAGATCGTCCAACGTCTGTTTGAGAATGGTGTTGTTCAAGTGTTTTTTGGACGCGGCATGGTTGATTCCGATCGCTAGCGACATGGCCATCATCATGGGCGTGCAGGACTACGAAGGAAAGAAACATCGATATGTCAACTATCTCATCGTGGATGTCCTGCGAACAAAGGGTCTAGAGACGATGAAACGTGATCTCATGTTTCAACAGGCGAGGAGGAACTTTTAGAAGAAATTCTTGGCGGAGAGTCTTCCCATTGAGAAGCATCTTCTTGCTCATTTGCTGCGTGACTACGTACGGGCGGAGATTGCAGTGAGAACTATCAAGACGAAGCAAGATGCTATGGTGGGATGCTTTGCCTCGTGATGCTGGACTGACTGTTCTCACCAAGATATTCTTGCGTTACTTTTTATTCTTGGCTTTCACTTTGCTTGGTTCCGCCTTATTTGATTTTCGATGAATATATAAAGAGATACATAGTACATTGTAGTATAGCTCGGGTTTTCGCAATCGATGAGCTAGAATCAACTGCGTGAAGCCTTCATAAGAGCAGTCAAGCTCGCACCCTCTCAAGTAGGCATGATAACCACTCGATCGAAGAATACCTACTACAATATGTACTCAAACAAGAATGTTCCAACAATGTTCAGTTATATGCAGATCTTGTAACCGACTCCGTTCATCTCCATCGGGAATTTGGAACACCGACACTTTTCCAAACCTTTTCTCTGACAGTCTTCGCCCGACAACGCAATATGGGGACGACCATCTATAAGCGCCAATCAGTGTGTATGTGTCGTCAGGTATCGGGTACTCGTGGATGGCTGTGATGTTGAATGCATGTTCTGTCCCACCCGCGTCTTTAACGATCAATTCCCCACGTCGATCACACCCTTCCGCAACCTGAGCCAACCCCCACACCAACCCCTTTTCAATGCACTCCTCCTCGCACCAGTCTTCATCCATCTCATTCCGATCAACATTGGTGCTGAGGTATCCATCTGCGGGCAGAGCCTTCGTCATAAGCTGGTTCCATGATGGTCTCCATTTTGTGCCTGCATTGCCCGGTTCAGGATAGGAGGAGAACAACTCCCCCCGAATCTCCGCACGCATCGAATTGACGAATGCTGTCCATGCGTCCTCGGGAGACTCGCTCTCATAGTATGCTGGTATCGTCTCTGATTGCAGAAGGAATGTCAGTCCTGCGACTCTGTCCACTGGGTTGGTCGACACCCGATTTTGCATGCTCTTCAGCGCCTCAAACATCTCCCAGAAAATGGCCCCTGCCCTTGTAGACTGCAGCTGGTTGTGAAACCTAGTCAGTAGTTCAGTCTCATACTTCCCGTCCTCATTCATTGGCTCCGCATGCAGTGGTCCATCCGGCGTGTCCCCAGCAATTACCCTGTCATAGCCAACCTCCTGTAGCGTCCATGCACGTCTAAACCAGCACCTATCACTCTCCAAGTCTCCCTCCTTCAAAGTCAAAGGCCGACCCAGCCCACTCAAGTAACACATCACACCGGCCATATGATACACTGCTCCGATGGTGGGCACATCCAGCTTCCACTCCCAACAAGGAGAACCTTCCTAGGCGAGCTAGAGTCAATATTAACACCGGAGGATGAGAGAATTTCACTATTCCCAATAGCCCCATGGGAGAAATCACTGACAGAATACGGAAACAGATTTCAGACCTCATTACCAGTCAGCGGTGAATCAAAAGAGGACGCTGCGAAAAAACATCGAGATTACATAAGGAGGTTCTCCTTCGACGACACCCATCTACTGTTATACTCAGACGGCTCCCTACTCGAATTAAACGGCAAACGACAGACAGGAGCGAGCTGGGTAGCGATGATTCGGGGAAAAGTGGTCGCATCACAGAGCATAGGGACAGGACCCCATGCTGAGGTGTATGACTCAGAGCTTATAGGCTTAGCGTGGGCCGCACGAAATGTACAACGATTGCGTGCAGCCCACCCAAGCGTACGTCACATTCATTTCTTTGCCGATAACTCCTCTGCAGTTGACTCCATTATACGTCCCAAACGGGGACCAGGTCAACAGCATGCAACAGTGTTTTTCAAGATAGCCACGGAGCTCTTGGAAGAGGACGAAGAAACATCGCTGGAGGTAGCATGGGCACCCGGCCACCAGGACATACCTGGAAACGAAAAAGCGGACGCTTTGGCGAAGGAGGCATGTACAATGTTCGACATGGGACAGCGCACATATGCAAACGCAAGGAGAAGGATGCGAGAACGAGTACAGAAGAAATGGGTACAGGAGTGGGAAAGGACAAGCCCTACTGGCCGCTTTGGACTCGCAAACCGACTCAAACCACAGCTAAAACCAACCCAGAGGTTCAAGGAGACACCACGCGAGGTGTTCGGAAGGCTCGTACAGTGTAGAACAGGGCACGCCCACATGGGCGAGTTCTACAAACTGTTTAACATCCCAGAGGCGACGGACTGCGAATGCGGCGAGCGACTACAAACGCGAGATCACATCATACGATCCTGCCCACGATACAACGACCATCGACAGATCCTACGCGAAGGATCACAGAATCTAGTGATGTGCGACCTTTTGGGCACGACAGAGGGCATCGAAGCGGTCACAAGGTTCCTAGCGGAGTCTGGAGCCTTTACAAAGACCGGAACTCAAAGGCGAGAGGTGGGAATGCCGCTCTGGGAAGATGAACCAGAGCCGCATGAAGAAGAGGATGATGGATAGAACACTACATCGCAGCGCTACCGGGCCCCCCCCATTGTTTCTTTTCCTTTACTCTTTTTCTATTTGTATTTATTCCCTATCTCTTTTCCCTAGACAATGATTTTCGCAACGAAGAATAGACACCTAAAACACATGAAGCTACATAGAATTTTACCCGAGAGTTTTACATACCATAGAGTTGACAAGTAGATTAGTATTACGAGTAGCGGTACAGTCATACATAGCAGTAGAGTACTGTACCCCCGCGTCTTCGCCCACTACGAGGCGTGTTGCGGGTCACCAATCCAGACCTTCATCTTCATCATCATCATCCAGCTTCCACTCTTCCACGCGCACTTCCTCCCCTGGTCCACCCTCCTGTCTCAAACAGAGAACGTCCAACCACGCATACTCTGCAGCCTCATGAATGCGGCGCTTCGTTTGAAGATTGAGCGCCTCAATGCGGATCAGGTTGAGGTTGGTGTCTTTCGGGATAGGAACAGGCCATTCATATCCGTTGATGGGTGTCTGCGCATTAACACGATCTCTCTCACTCACCCATGCATGCGATATCGGCATAAGCCTCCTATTCCAGGACCGGTCCTTGCTGTCAGCACCGACTCGGATGTTTGTAAACCACCATGGAACCACTCGATTGCTGTACAGATCCCACACACGTCGAGGCGGCAACGATGGTCTGACGATCCAGTTACCGACAAGTACTTTCCGTCGCATCTCCTGGTCTTCTTCTTCCCATTTGTGCAATATGTCTCGTATAGTGCTCCAGTCTCGGGCGTACCATATCCGACGGAGGCGGCTATATGCCATGCCAAAGTCCCAGTTGTTTGCGATGCACTCTTCAAGAAGGGAGGAGAGTGATGGAGTGTCGAGGCTGTGTGAGGTTCCGAGTGTCGTGTTGAGTTGATCCAAGAGGCCCTGAATGCCGACGGTAGCACAGGGAGTGTCAGCAAGGTGGGATGATATCACAGGCACACAACCGGTATACACCCGTTGCAATGGAACGACGATCGACAATTCAGGTTGGCCTGTCTCAGTCAAGGCGGAGATGGTGACTTCAGGAAGAGAGATATCCTGGAAATGTGTTGTCAAATAGCCTCTGCTTGTTTCTAGATCGACTTACCTTCGGAGGCCATGGCTCATCATCATCGAACTCAGAAGATGTATCAGAAGCCTCATCTCCAGAAGGTTGCTCTTCCGTGGCATTAGTCTGCAAACCCACTGCAATGGATGGTGATTCTGGATGCAAGCAGGGCGACGAGACTGGTGTCGCCTCCAAAGCAGGGCCAGCATCTTCTGAAATAGAACTGCTGTGTTTGTGTGGTATCATCTCGGGCGGTACGATTATGTTGTAATTCTCGTCAAGTTCAGGTCCTCCAGCAGAAGGGTGCACAGGTCGAGGGAGTGCTAAACAAAAAGCGGTTTTGCCGTTAAGCAATCAGGTGTCGTAAGTCACAGCTTGAATTCAACTCCGGACTGATGCGAGGTCTTAAGGGTCATTTCGTGTGAATAAGATAGTGCAAGTCCTCGTCCTCTCGAGCTCATAAAAGCTACACTGCAAGGAGCGGCTCGTTTTGGAAACCTTGGCTTGGAGATTGGGATTGGGGGATTGGTGAACTTTGTCAAGGACAGCGCGTATAAGTGTATTAATACAGTAAGCGCTACTTGGAATGGGCGCGCTCTTTATGCCCATTTGGATATCTTGCATTCGGATGAATGGGTAAAGCGCCCAAAGCGCCTGCCGAACACGACCGGACAGATGCCGCAGAGGTATACTGTATCCACTCTCCGACCCCATACGTTGCCAGCATCTATTCTCACCATCTTCTCCAACATGCTAACGATGGAAACATCAATCTCCGAATCTCTATTCAGAATCGCATGTTGTACCGGTGCCAGTCCACGGAATCTTGGGAGAAGAGTAAGGCAGACGTCGAGTCTCCTGGTCGAAGCCAGGTGGACGAGAAAACGAGAGAGATGACATGCCCGAAAGAGGCCGGGGTGATACACTGGATGTCAACTCTCTCCATTGCAGAGAAATTCTTGGAGTGCACAGAGAGAATCTGATGACAGTCGACAGCCTTTCAGCATCAAATAATGCACGCTGATCTCGTATGCCATCTCGCACGCATGGAGGAACTCACAAAGACGAGAGTCCCGTATCGCATGAAACTTAAGGCTCTTCAAGTTCGGGGCGTAGATGGACAGCAACAGAGCACTAAACGCTTCGTTGTCACTTAACCTCGATATTCAGAGGCTAGGGACGTCCAACATCAATGAAGTTGTCACTGATTGATAGGTTCGCCAATGGTGGCAATCCCATTATAAGCCACGCAAGCTTCCGTATTCTATGGGATATGACCCAAACTGCTCTATATGCAGCGTGCTGATAGACTGCGGCGGTGGTAGGAGAAGAGGGATCGAGGAATGCTGCCAATGTAGACTCGAGGGTTTCGATGAGCCCAAAGACTTACTGCGCAAAACAGTCGCATGATGAATCGCTGGAGTAACGGGTATCGGGGAAGTGTTCGAGATTGGGCTGGGAATATAATATGTGGAAATGTCGAAGGAGGGCATGCTGGCCACGGCCTGAATCGCGGTCGACGTGGACGGAGAGTACCCGCCAGCGGAAGAAGAGTAGATTATGGGATCGAGGAGCAGAGTTCAGTCAGATTCAATGCCAGGAAAGGCTATCCGTAAGTCAACTGTGAGTGGGTACGACCTGATCAGATGTATGTTGATCAATACAAGCTGGCTAAATATTCGGGACTATAGTATTGATGTTCTGCCATAGTTTTCGAGATGATATCGCAGTCGCCAAATGATGTATCCTCCTCACCACGGAGGGATAGCTCTGGACATAGGAGTCGCTCGTGAGTTTGAGAATACTAAGGAGCAATGTGCAATGTGTCGTTCACTGATTCTGGATCTATCAAGGTGGAGGTATCGCTGCCAATAATTGGAATAACAACGAATGCATGCCGTTGGTTACAGCGGGCAAGTTGTTAGAGCACAGATCGAATGGAATTAATCGATGAAGATGACTAGGATGTTCCGTCCTTCATCGGAAATCACTTGGGTGGGCTCGTTAGCTTTGAATATAACGGCCATTGTTTATCAGCTCACCGAACTATTCTCAAGCGTGTGTACATGTCGTCGCAGTTGTTGATGAAATGGTGAAGCAGAAAATCTTTTAAGCACCCATTGAATCACATTGTACAACGCAAACCAAAGGACTTTTACATACCTCAAAGATCCATAAGCGACTCCAGTATCAGACAACCTTGCCATGAAGTCGTCCCCATCCACGAACAATGGATACACTAGGAGGACAGCATCTAAATTGAAATGCAGCCATGACGGGAGATGGAGAGGGTGTTTAGCTCAGTGGGATCGTGAAGTTGGTTGATGAACAATGTGCAGAGCAATGGGAGCAGGAAATTATCGATATGTCTCAGGCTCGTCTCTGCCTTTGGTGCACGCCCTCGAAATCCAAGCCGTATTCATGCAAGCACGCTGCTGTGATGTATCCATGGTCCAAGACGCCGGTTCTTGCCGAGGTGTCTGTCTATTTGTTGCTTTCGTAGTGCTGACGCAAGGTAGGTCCACCGACGCGTAATGAGAAGGAGAAGATAATAAAGAACAGGAATGAAAAGACGGTGCGCGAAACGTCGGCGTGGTGAGGAGGAAAATGATCGAAGCAATGTCGAAAAGCGTCTGTTTGGTTTTGATGACGTCACATTTCTTGTCCCTTCCTACCGCTACCATTGCACATTTTGAGTGTGTTTGTTCTGGAGGGTAGGGGGAGACACGGAATCCTCCGCTACCATCGGTTCTCACTGTCGCCGTTGAACGGCTTTATGCCTGCGATACATCTACGTATGTTCACCCTCCTTCTAGTTAACACATCACCCGTAGCTCATAACAATGTATCAGTCTCATCGGCCCATGCCCAGCGTTCTCCTTCCATGCCTTTCACCTACGCCTATAATCACGACCTCTCCATGCCTTACGACAGACTATTTTATCAAAGTTTTGCCACTGGTATCCAGGTTGAGCTCGATACGTGTGTCGAGTTGGAGGGGTGTTGAGGGCATCTTCTGGCACCCATGGCAGGCTACACGGGCCTTTTCGGAGAATCGCAGAATCGCAAACTCGTGCTAGGCGTCTATTTCCCAAGTCCATGATTTCTTTTCACCAACATTCTGTTCTCACTTTCCCCAACTACAGATCTGCTTTCCTTCAAAAACTCCGGCAGTATTTCCTTGGCTCTGTGAATAGTCCTTCTCGACGTCTTCGATCACTTTTGTTTAATGTGCCCCAGCCTTTGGCAGAACCCTTGCCGTCGACGCGGTCGTTATTTTCGCCCCGAGGTGGACGTCTATCTGCGAAGAGTAACAAGTTATTCCTCGTACCTAGTGCGCCTTTCTGGTAAGGCTTTTCTTCGCCACTGTACGATGTCTCATTAACACCTTTTTAACGTGAAGGTGACCTAATCTCTACTCGTTAGCATTGAATAGAGCTATGTTCATGCCTCAGGTACAATCATGCTACGCCCCTATGCTGTAAGTTTATAATCACTTGTCTCTTCCAACATCTAACTAATCTATGCCTAGCCTTCGACGCTGCGACGCCGCGTGCTTCAGGATTGGCGCAGCTTCAAGAGGAGATATATGTGAGGCTAGTGTTGTCGGGAAGTCATGGCTACTCGCGGGACCAGGGGAATACATAGATGCGGATGGACGTGCTTCCACCAAGATATCCCTCCTGTTGATTACTTACATGCATGTAAAGTACATAGTAGAACTTTAATTTATAACATTTTAGTCGCATAATTTACAACGGAGACTAATATGAGAGAGATGCATTCACCAAACGAAATGCACTGGAGAGAAGTAGCACGGGTTATGTACTGAGGATCCAGCTGGCCTGCATGCACTCTCTCCCTCCCAGTCTGGAAGGTCCCATCGTAAGTGTAGTTTCCGACTCTCCCAGAAAATTCACTGACTTTCCTCAGTGTCTAACCGCAGCTTTTTTACATGCAAATGACTCCTCCTCTTTCCCGTGCTCTCTCCCAAGCAAACAGTTCGCGATGCCAAGCTCGGTTCTGCATCGAGGCGACTACGGACTTTTCCCAGAGTGCACTGACACTTTTTTGAAGATCAAGAAACGAGCGTTGGCTGTTTTAGTGATCTGGTCAGAGCGTGTTGCAAGGAGCGAATGGTAGCAGGAGGGAGAGGCCCGTAGGCGACGGCGATGCATACATCTGAGGTTGGCTATTTGAAACGCCCTCACCAACAGCCCGTCTATGGATCCATCCACCAAAAATTCCTGACAGCGTCCTCAGTCCAGAGATTGACGTGAGAACAGGAATCTTGTCTTTGGTCGTGGTGGGAGAATTGCAAGTTGGGGTACAAGTGTTTTGTCGTTCGCTTGATGAAGGTGCACGGTGGATTGGTGGGGTCGCTCCTGGCCATTTGCAGCTAGTTGGGAGTTCAGGCATTGGGCAAGGGTTCGCAGAGATACATCATCCGCAATTGCAAGGCTTTACGAAGGTGGCACGACAACGGCTGCATCTGAGTCGAGTGTAAGACCTGAGCATGTTCTCCAGGTGACTTCGCGCTCGTGGGGGATCGTGGTCGACCCGTTCCACGATTTCACCCATTCTGGTTATGATATATGATAGTCGGAGCGTGAGAACTCCTTGACCATCCGACTCAGCCTCAGACTTACTCTTGACTCACTGTCCTGCCCTGCCCTGCCCCTTACTCATCGTCGAACGTGACATCCAGCACCAGGCTCCGTTGACGCTAACCTGGGGTGTCGATTGGTGTAACCCTCAACTCATCAGTTGAACAAGATTGCCAACTATGATGCAGGACGAGGCAATATTGAATCCCAGCGTGGACAGAGATTGATGATGAGGTCGCGTTACTGTGGTTTGCGGAACGAAGGAGGAAGAGAATGGAGAAACGTTTGAAATTAGAGAGGGAGTTGGACGATGGCGAAAAGGGCGGGACCGCGAGGACCGCACCTGAAGATTACGACGAAATTGGCGAAAAATCATCGGTCATTGGGGGCGAATCTTCAAAACGACAAGGACATTCCCGTCTTCCCGCACTCCATCGATGGTTTCTGGGTACAGAGACAGATCGCTGAGGTATACTCAGATTCGCTCACTTCTGCCGACAAAGCTCTTCCGTACCCTCCATTCTCGGCTCCGAGTTCAACTTCGTGACTCCAAAAATCAGTTCATGGAGCTCTTCAACTACTCCGACTACCAGAGCTTTCATATCACGGCAAAATTCTTTAAAAACCGCGACATCATTGCCTGGTGTACCAAGCTGATGAGCGCGTCAAGGCTGAAGTTGCTACACACGAGATGGGCATGGAATGGATTCTTCACAGATTAGCGGGGATCGCCAGACGGAGGCACGCCCGTTTGCAGTTCCCAAGCTAAACTGCATTCAGAGCAAGTTCACTCTGTTACATCTGGCATCGATGGGCCCATTTTGCTTTGCGTGTCTACCAGTGCCGGAAAGGTATGTCTTTCAGCTGTATCTTGATTTCGTCGCTGACTATTTCTTGATACTAAGACCAATGTGACGCGTAAAAGCACCGACACCAGCTATACGAATTTCGTTCATCCCCTCATCATCGATGAATGCTTTACGTCTCGTTGGGTTGCTTGCCACTCTCCCCAACTATCAGGATGGCGCCACCTTCCTTCGCGTAGACAAATCAAAAGGACTCTTCTACGATGCTTCATACTGTCCTTCCAGGCTGCAGCAATTGATCATCGGAGTTATTGAAAAGAAGGTGATCAAGCAGTACCAAGTGACGAACGACGTATATTTCTTGACCTGGCTGGAAAGAACTAAACCCTGCTCTTCGTGCACCTGCGGAAAGAAACAGCAAAAATATCGAAGTTTGAGAGAGAGATGGTGGCGGATTTTAATACGGAACGGAAAGATCCAATAGGTCGGTGTTGCCGTGGTTTTCGATGAGGACGAACGAGGAGAACAAGGATGTGTTCCAAATCGAAAAGTCGGACGACGAAGAGGGTGCAGATGGTACAGACAGACGGTGAGGCTGCATCTGAGGAAGGTGGCGGAGTTGCCGAAGAGCGCTGGTCATTGGTACGACGAAAATTCAAGGCCAACAAACTTCAAAGACCCCGTCTCTTCACGAATGTACCCACTATCGGACCCAACCATTATGTACTACCAACAAAACTTCCTTCGTACTCTCCATCCTTCGCTCCAACAAGTACAACTTTTGTGACCGTGAAAATCATCTCATGACGCTCCTCAACTATTACTACTTTCGTATCACGACGAAATTCCTTAAAAAACCCTGCTATATGATTTTCTGGTATACGAAGCTTTTACGAGGTGACGCCGATGTATACGTTGAAGTTGTTATGTACAAAAAGGGCATGAGCTGGGAGTCGTCAGATGAAGGCTCGCTCGTCTACCGCTCCCAAGCTTCTCCACGTTCAGAGCGAGCTTTCCCCTATTTCATTTGATATCGATGAGCTCATTCTGCTTTGTGCTCTCATCGGTGCTGAAAAAGGTATGCTTCCTAGCTTGCATCTTAGTTTCATTGCTGACTGTTCTTGATACTTAGGTCCAATTCTGAACAAGCTTTCCATCATGACAGACGCATTCAAAATCGTTTTCATTACTCCCATGAAAGCACTAGTCTAAACAATAGTCGGCGAACTCACGAGTGACTCTCAAATGACTCAAAAACAGATTGCCGAGCATCATTATACCCAGAATCTATGTCCCTCTGTCGTCGTTCGAACCTTCTCTACGATCCCCTTGCATTAAAACTCGTCTCGAACAACGACCAAGGCCTTCTCCTCATTCGAGACGCTTTCTCAGGATGAAGAGCAAGTTGCTTGTGTTTGCAACAGAAATCGCTGTAGACCTCTGCTTTGGTCAGCGTTGTTGGTATATGCAAAGGATTTACCAGCGTCTTTTCTGGGAATAACTGCACAGAGGATGCGATAATCGGGGCTGAGCTAACAGGCGCGGTCGACGAGCAGAGCTGGCCGACGTTGACCAGGACAGAAGGTTCTGGATTTTGCAGGGAGGACTGTCCTTCCAGAGCACGAACTGAAAACGCTTCCTATTTCAACGCTTCATCCCTACCTCAGCAATAGTTCATCGGAGTTAGGCAAACAAGCAGTACCAGTGACGAACGAAGTCCTCGGTCAGGCTAACTTTATTTTTCGTGCACTTGCAAAAAAAGAGATGGCAAAACAGCGAAGTTCTTGAGGGACACGGCAACTGGAGAAGGAGACGATTACTCAGTTCGTCGAAGCTGACGGTGCTACGTCGAAGTTGAGGCTATGCGAGAAATTCTGACAGAGGAAGCCAACAATGTCAAGGATTCCGACCTTCACCGTCTCCTTTCTTTTGGTGTCGGTATCCACTATGCTGGTATGCCGTGCCACGGAAGATCGTTAGTTTCTTGATGGAGGAGCTGTTTGCAGATGGATGTTCAGACTTTCGTGTGTACTGCGACACGTCAATCTGCCAGCCAATACGGTCGTCATAAAAGGAACCCAGACCTATAATCTGGATAAGGGTCGATCTCTCTTTGCAGGATGCGCTCCGAAGGCTTGGATGTGCGGGTCGACCGCAGTATGACACATACGACGAAGCATTATCATTACCTCCGCGCTTCAGGACTACCTGAGCTTGCTCAACCGTCACCTGTCTCTTATCGAGTCTCTATCCGAGTTAGCCAACAACTTCAGCACGGAAATTGTCTTGAGCACGATCAAATCCTGATGAGGCTCCGAGATACACCTATCTGTAAGCTATGTTCTATCTCAAATGTCTCTTCGATTGACTTCATCCTTTCAGTTTCTCGCAAATGCTCCGCTCACTGTGTTTGAGCGTACGGTGCCGGTGTCTATTATCAGGATGACGATGTCGAGGCCAGTAATTTTGGGCATCGTCGAATATGCATCTGGAAAACCTGTCACCGACTTTATTCCCTCACAGAGACAATGCCGCTTCACCGTTAATCTTTTACTTATCCACTGTGCTGCGGACAACAGGACAGACGGATTCCTTAACGTTAAGGTCATGGCAGACATATCGGTTCATCTTGACCATTCGCAGGACGAAGGATTGAAGGAGATGTTGAAAGAGGGTATTGGCTAGTTCCACGAAGCCATGGATAAAGAGGACAAGCGGATCGTCCAACGTCTGTTTGAGAATGGTGTTGTTCAAGGGTTTTTTGGACGCGGCATGGTCGATTCCGGTTGCTAGCGACATGGCCATCATCATAGACATGCAGGACTACGAAGGAAAGGAGCATCGATATGTCAACTATCTCATCGTGGATGTCCTGCAAACAAAGGGTCGAGAGACGACGAAACATATCCTCATGTGTCAACAGGCGAGGAAGGACTTTTTATAAGAAATTCTTGGTGCGGAGCCACCCCATTGAAATTTGAGAAGCATCTTCTTGCTCATTTGCTACGTGACTACTTCCGGGCGGAGATAGCAGTGAGAACTATCAAGACGAAGCAAGATGCTTTGCCTCGTGATGCTGAGCTGACTGTTCTCGCCAAGATACCTTTACCTTAATCCTTATCCTTGCCTTTTCGCTTTTCCCGGTTCCCCCCTTGTCTGATTTTCGACGAATATATAAAGAGATACACAGTACATTGTACTCTAGCGCGGGTTTTCGCAATCGATGAGCTAGCATCGACTACGTGAAGCCTTCATAAGAGCAGTCAAGTTCGCACTCTCTCAAGGAGGCATGATAACCACTCGATTGAAGAAGGGCTGCTACCATATGTACTCAAACAAGAATGTTCCGACATTCTTCGGTTATATGCAGGTCTTCTAACCGACTCCGTTCATCTCCGTCGGGAATTTCTAACAGTGACACTTTTTCAAACCTTTTCCCTGACAGTCTTCGCCCGACAACCCAATATTGAAAGCCCCAGTTATCAGTGCAAATCAGTGTGTATGTGTCGTCAGGTATCGGGTACTCACAGTGGGTGGCTGTGATGTTGAACGCATGTTCTTTTCCACCCTCGTCTTGAACAATCAACTCCCCGCATCGATCATTCCCTTCGGCAACAGCAGCCAACCCCCGCACCAACCCCTTTTCAATGCAGGGTGCATCACACCAGTCTTCAGTTTCCTTCATCACCTCATCCCGATCAATTTCAATGCGGGAGTATCCCTCTGTGGGCAGAGGCTTCGTCCTAAGCTGGTTCCACGACGGTATCCATTTTCTGCCTGCATTTCCCGGTTCAGGATACAAGGAGAACAAAATTCCCCGAACCTCTGCACGCATTGAATTGACGAGTGCTGTCCATGCATCCTCGAGAGACACTCTCTCATAGTATGCCGGTATCGAATTGGTCGGCAGAAGAAATGCCAGTCCCGCGATTTTGTCCACTGGGTTGGTTGACACCCGATTCCGCATGCTCCTCAGACCTGCAAACACACTATGAGGAATGGCCTGCATAGACTCCAGCTGCTCGTGAAACCTGGTCAGTAGCTCAGTCTTGTACTTCCCATCCTTACACTCAGCATGCATTGGTCCATCTGGCGTGTCTCCGGCAATCACCCTGCGCCTGCCAACCTCCTGTAGCGTCCAAGCACGTCTAAACCAACACCGGTCACTCTCTAAGTCGCCGTCCTTCAAACTGAAAGGCCGACCCAGCCCACTCAAGTAAGTCACCACATCCCTGGAGTCTGCATACATTGCTCCGATGGTGGGCACATCCAGCTTCCACTCTTCCGTGCGCATATCCTCCCCCGGTCTACCCGCCTGTCTCAAACAGAGAACATCCAACCACGCATACTCCGCTCCAAGTCCGAGCATCTCAATGCGGATCGGGTTGAGGTTGGTGTCTTTCGGGATGGGAACAGGCCATTCGTATCCGTTGATGGGTGTCCGCATATCGGCACGATGCTTTTCCTTCATCCATGCATGCGATATCGGCCAAGGCCATCGTGTGCATGCCCGTGCACCACCACAGGCACCACCCGATTGCTGTACAGATCCCACACACGTCGAGGTGGCAATAATGGTTCAACGATCCGGTTACCATCGAGCGCTTTTTGTCGCATCTCCCGGTCCTTCTCTTCCCATTTGCGCAATGTGTCTTGTATCGTGCTCCAGTCACTGGTGTACCATATCCGGCGGATGCGGCCATATGCCATGCCAAAGTCGTACTTGTTTGCGATGCACTCTTCAAGAAGGAAGGAGAGGGATTGTGTGTTAAGGCTGTGTGATGTTCCAAGTGTGGTGTTGAGTAGATCCAAAATGCCCTGAATGCCGAGGGCAGCGCAGGGAGTGTCAGCAAGGCGGGATGATATCACAGGCTTTCTACCGGTGTACGCCCTTTGCAATGGAACGACGATCGATGATTCCGCTTGGCCCGTCTCGGTAAAGGCGGAGATGGTGACTTCAGGAAGAATGGTATCCTGGAAATGTTATTAATTTCCCCTGTTTATTTGCTGACTGACTTACCTTCGGAGGCCATGGTTCATCATCATCAGGCTCAGAAGATGTATCAGAAGCTTCATCTTCAGAAGGTTGCTCTTCCGTGACATTAGTCTGCAAACCCACTGCAATGGATGGTGATTCTGGACGCAAGCGAGGCGACAAGTCTGGTGTCGCCTCCAAAGCAGGACCAGCATCTTCTGAAGTAGAATTACCGTGCTTCTCTTGCAGCCTGGATGAAGCGGTTGTGTTGGGACTTTCGTCAAGTTCAGGTGTTTCGTCAGGAGATAAATCTTCTTTTGTCCGAGAAGTCAAAAAGACAGAGCGTATGTGTTTCCACAACATCACACCGACGAAAAGCAGTAGGACCATGGATGGTGCTAACGTCGTTGTAATGAGTACTAAAATCGAGAAGGATTAATCATACATACTATTTCCCATTTTCTACGCTTAGAAGACACAGGCCGAGGGTGTACCAAACGAGAAGCTGTTTGCCTCGAGGCATCGCAACTTGCACGTTCCACCCCGAATCCTCCTGGGCTGCTGCGTGTAAACAATGTGATAGAAGTCTTCGTTCTCTTAAATGCTTTCCCACACAGATTAATTTATTTCACATAAAACAAAGACGTCTGCATGGAGACTGTGGACAAGTTCATTTTGCAACGCCGCAATCCCAGTAGGTACGTCGGAGGAGTGGGTGGTGTACACCTCTACGGTGTCTAAGGGAACCCAAGATTAGCATTACTGGCGCTGGCCATTTTTGGTCATAGTTGTCAGGTGCTTTGGGCGCTTCGATGACATTCCTGTTCCTAACGCAATCCTCAGCGAACGTAGCAGCAGTCTCCTCGGAGTCAGCCCAGGCCATCCCGTCCTATACATTGTAAAATGAACCTTTTTTGAAGTCAGCGTTCGAATAAAACAGTGAATAACCCAAGTTCATCTACACAGAACTAGAACCACGTTATTGGACTGGTAAAGATACGATGCCCCAGGCTCGTTCCACACGAAGGCCTTTACTGATGGGAACAAGTTTTGTGGTATAATGCTCCGTTCCTCTCTCCCAAGCGAACATTTTGTGACGCCAAGCTCAGTTCTGTATCAAGGCGACGAGGGGCTTTCCCCTAAAATGCACGGCCACTTTTTCGAAAAAACTTCTTCATTAAGGCTCATGAAAAGCGTTGGTTGTTTTAGTGACGCCATTGGCTAGAACATGTCGTAGTCTTGTCAAGGATTGCGGGTGGCGGGAGAGAGCCTGTAAATGACGGCGATGTAGTTCTTTGAAGATATCTATTAGATATTTCAAACACCTTTACTGAGAGCCTGATCCACCCACCAAAATTCACCGGACAGCGTCGAGGTTCATTTAACAGCACTTGTGTGAGAGGCGAGACTACAGAATTAGAACGAATAAGTTCCACAACCGAGTAATACTCACCGCATCAATATCGCGTGACCAGCAAAAAGGTCGACTCCGTTCCCTGTGCCATCACCAGACCAACGAGACTGCAAAGGTTCGCGCCAGAGCCGTGCGTTGGAATAGACCGTCAACGTGCAGAGGTCTGTAAAGAGACGAAGCTGAGGTCCATCTCACGTAGGGAAGCACAGTGATGCGAGAAGACCTGCTTTCACGCAGGTCAACGTTTCGCACTCTTCCTCATTGAGTATCGGAGGCTCCTGGCTGTGAATCCACGCCTATGACGCATCGGTTATCCTTCGACAGTGCTTGTTCACTCAAAGATTGCCTCAAACCTCGCCTTGCACGACCTTGAAAACATTGTATGCGGACTGGTGCTGGATGTCGACCTGTTAGGTACTATGAATGTAAGGGGGCAGCTGGTGTTGGCGAGAGGGTCGCGTTCATGGCCGTATTCAGATGCTCTGAAACCCATCTCCAACCCTATCCTGTTCTCGGTATTTTTCTCATCTGAGCTGGTCTCCCAGTCCGCCATAGCAGGACCATCAGAGCGCTGCAAGTCTTCTGGCATTCGGGTGCATTCCTTCCTTTTGTATCCGAGGCACTCGTCTTGCCGTTCCTGCACTGGTACATTAACGCGCAGGGTGAATCTGGTTTTGGGGAGCGGAGAGTGAGGGTTGGATCGTAATGGCTGCACGATGTAGGAGGACGTAGGTGTGATGGACTGGGTGTGACGTCGACGAAGTCTTGTAGTCGGTGTAGTCGGTGTTGTTGTGACTGAAATTGTGTCTGCAGCCTTCTCGATCTCGACCAGCTGGTGCTGATATAGATGGTCTACTGTCGATTACTGAGCTTCCACGTCAATGTCGCATCCCTGCGACTCTGCCAGAAATCAGCTAAAGGCACACTTTCGCTATGCTTGAAAACATACGATATCGTGTAATTTATAGCTGGGTGTCGATACGCAGGTGGGACGCTACCAGATTGAAAATTCGATGAAGGTAGCAGAAGGTTCAACAATAATCATACCTGATACTTAATCGCACACTCCAGAAACCCACGTCATATCCACCGAGGCGTGTCGCAATCCTAGTCGAGGAACGAATGGAGTAGCAGAAGGAGGGGAAGGGCCCGTAGACGACGGCGACGCAGACATCCGACGTTGGATATCACCTGATGAACCCACGCCGTGCAATTATTGTAAAGCAACATGATGAGATCTATGCTGTATCGAAGCAGGTACACTGTCGTGAGGCCAGGTTCTTGTCAGAGTGCGCTCTTTCTCTTTTTGTTACTTTTGTAATCGTAGCACTGAAGCGAGGTAAGGCCAATCAACGCATAGAGAGAAGAAAATAGAGATCAGTAAGTAATGCGAAGAGATGACGCTGCATGGACTAGAGTTGGCATGGTTGTTACGAGGAATGATCGAAACCGTGTACGCGTCTGTTTGGTTGCCCAGCCCGCCCCCGTTGTGGTTGATTTCGATGACGTCACAGCTTCTTGGTTCCCTCCCAACTATACATGGAATTTGAGACTCACGGCAAGCGATTTTTCTTCTTACTTTATTCAATTCTAACCTTTTATTATATAGTTGACTATGAAATGCTCGGGACCAAAGTCAAATTCCCCCACAACGGACGCACACTAAAAAGAATATACGTCGACTTTGGCTGCATGCGGAAAATTGGACTCTGGAGACGGAGATGAGAACTGTAGTTCCTTCACTTCGTGTCTTCCGCGTCATTTCCTCTCTCATGCTAAGGTACGCGTTTGGTGATGATACGGCGATTTTTGTTCAGGTAACGAAAACTCTTTCAAGGAAGCTGTTACCGATCTCGACGACTGGCATGAAGGGAAGGGACATGTCGAAATTATGACAAGAGTGCGCTCGGGATGGTCGATCTTCCTTCGATTCACCTGCATGCAGCTGTGCTCGCTCTTGCTGTAGCCTGATCTTATTCACTCATGTCGGCGCGACTGCACTTCCCTGAAGGGTACTACCAAACACGCCCTGACACGCATCACTCACAGGACGTGAAGATATGGGCGGCAACCCGTTGTGGGAGTCAAGGCGGGATACAAGGCACGGCTTTGATGTTAAGGGGAGAGGCGGTATCCCTGTTGAAGCTCTTCCGCTACCATCGGTTTTCATTCTCGCTCTCGCTGTCCAGCACGGCTTTATGCCTACAACACATCTATGTATGTTCGCCCTCCCTCTAGTTGACGCATCACCCGTAGCTCATAACAATGTATCACAGTCGCATCGGCCCATACCCAGCGTTCCTCTTCCATGCCTCTCACCTACGCCAATAATCACGACCTCTCAACGCCTTACGACAGACTATTTTATCAAAACTGAAGCCACCGGTATCCAGGTTGAGCTCGATACGTGTATCGATCGGAACGAGTTTGCGGGGGTGTTGAGGGCATCTTCTGGCACCCATGGCGGGCTACACGAACTTTTTCGACGTAAGATGAGGAGGAGAATCGCAGAATCGCAAACTCGTAGGCGTCTATTTCCCAAAGTCTGTGGTTTCTTTTCACCAACATTCTGTTCTCACTTTCCCCAACTACAGATCTGTTTTCCTTCAAAAACTCCGGCGGTGTTTCCTTAGCTCTCCGAATAGTCGTTCTCGATGTCTTCGACCACTTTTGTTTAATGTGCCCCGGCTTTTGGCAGAACCCTTGCCATCGACGCGGTCGTTATTTTCGCCCCGAGGCGGACATCTATCTGTGAAGAGTAGCAAGTTACTCCTCGTACCTAGTGCGCCTCGCTGGTAAGGCCTTTCTTCACCACTGTACGATATCTCATTAACACCTTTTTAACGTGAAGGCGACCTAATCTCTACTCGTTAGCATTGCATAGAGCTATGTTCATGCCTCAGGTACAATCATGCTACGCACCTATGCTGTAAGTTTATAATCACTTGTCTCTTCCAACATCTAACAATCTATGCCTAGCCTTCGACGCTGCGACACCGCGTGCTTCAGGATTGGCGCAGCTTCAAGAGGAGATATATATGAGGCTAGTGATGTCGGGAAGTCGTGGCTACTCGTGGGACCAGGGGAACACATAGATGCGGATGGACGTGCTTGCACCAAGGTTTCCCTCCTGCTGATTATTATACGGTACTTACATGCATGTAAAGTACGTGCACTAGAAATTTAATTTATAACATTTTACTCGCATAATTTACAACGGAGACTAACATGAGTGAGATGCATTCACCTAACGAAATGCACTGGAGAGAAGTAGCACAGATTATGTGCCGAGGATCCAGCTGGCCTGCATGCACACTCCTCCTTCCCAGTCTGGAAGGTCCCATCGCAAGCGAATTTTCCGACTCCTAGAAAATTCACTGACTTTCCTCCGTGTCAATACGCAGTTTTTCTTACACGCAAATGACCCCTCCTCTTTCCCGTGCTTTCTCCCGAGCAAACAGTTTGCGACACCAAGCTCGGTTCTGTGTCGAAGCGACTACGGACATTTCCCAGAGTGCACTGACACTTTTTTGAACATCACGAAATGGGCGTTGGTTGTTTTAGTGATCTGGTCAGAGAGTGTTGCAGTCCTTATCGAGGAGCGAATGGTGGCAGGAGGGAGAGGCCCGTAGACGACGGCGATACACACATCCGAGGTTGGATACTTCAAACGCCCTTCCAAGAGCCCGTCTATAGATCCACCCACCAAAAATTCCCGACAGCGTCCTCAGTCCAGAGATTGACCTGAAAACATGAACCTCGTCTTCGGTCGTGGTAGAAGAATTGTAAGTTGGGGTGCGAGTGTTTTGTCGTTCGCTTGATGAAGGTGCACGGTGGATTGGTAGGGATCACTCCTTGTTGTTTGCAGCTAGTTGGGAGTTCAAACACTGGGCAAGGGTTCGCAGAGATGCATCATCCGTAATTGCAAGGCTTTACGAAGGTGGCGCTACAACGGCTGCATCTGAGTCGAGTGTAAGACCCGAGCATGTTCTCCAGGTGACTTCGCGCTCGTGGGGGATCGTGGTCGACCCGTTCCACGATTTCACCCATTCTGGTTATGATATATGATAGTCGGAGCGTGAGAACTCCTTGACCATCCGACTCAGCCTCAGACTTACTCTTGACTCACTGTCCTGCCCTGCCCTGCCCCTTACTCATCGTCGAACGTGACATCCAGCACCAGGCTCCGTTGACGCTAACCTGGGATGTCGATTGGTATAACCCTCAACTCATCAGTCGAACAAGATTGCCAACTATGACGCAGGACGAGGCAATATTGAATCCCAGCGTGGACAGAGATTGATGATGAGGTCGCGTTACTGTGGTTTGCGGAACGAAGGAGGAAGAGAACGGAGAAAGGTTTGAAATTAGAGAGGGAGTTGGACGATGGCGAAAAGGGCGGGGGCGGCGAGGATAACGACGAAGCTGGCGAAAAATCACTGGTCATTAGGGGCGAATCTTCAAAACGACGAGGACATTCTCGTCTTCCCGCACTCCATCGATGGTTTCTGGGTACAGAGACAGATCACTGAGGTATACTTAGATTTGCGCACTTCTGCCGATCAAGCTAAGGCTGAAGTTGCTATACACGAGATGGACATGGAATGGATTCTTCACAGATTAGCGGGGATCGCCAGACGGAGGCACGCCTGTTTGCAGTTCCCAAACTAAATTGCATTCAGAGCAAGCTCTAGTCTGTTATATCTGGCATCGATGAGCCCACTTTGCTTTGCGTGTCTATCAGTACCGGAAAGGTATGTCTTTCAAGCTGTATCTTGATTTCGTCGCTGACTATTTCTTGATACCAAGACCAATGTGACGTGTAAAAGCACCAACACCAGCTATACGAATTTCGTTCATCCCCTCATCATCGATGAATGCTTTACGTCTCGTTGGGTTGCCACTCTCCTCAACTATCAGGATGGCACCACCTTCCTCCGCGTAGACGAATCGAAAGGACTTTTCACTTCGATGCTTCGTACTGTCCTTGCGGGCTGCAGCAATTGATCATCGGAGTTATTGAAAAGAAGGTGGTCATGTGGTATCAAGTGACGAACGACGTCTGTTACTAGAAAGTCCTTGACTAGGCCGGGCTGAATCAACCCCTACTCTTCGTGCGCCCATGGAAAGAAACAACGAATATGACGAAGTTCTCGAGAGACATGGTGGAGGAGAAGGGGATGATTACTCAGTTTGCCAAAGCTAATAGATTTCCACACGAGGTCCTAATAGAGAAGCCAACATAATTAAGGATTCAGACCTTCACGACTTCTTACTCTTGTCGTCACCTCTGACAACTCTGGCGTCCTTACTGCAGACCGCTCTGCACTTCTGCAGAGACCTGGAAACGGATGGTGCACCTATTTCACTGGCTGGTTGCATCGATACACGAGTCGTGTCATCCGAGAACCCCCCGGGATGTGGACAGGAATGTGACAGACCAACAATAGGCAATAGAAGAGGCCGGTGGACCTATGAGCAGTTCTCTCGATGCATCAATCTGTCGAAGAAGAGTACCGACTACGGCGCTGAAGACGAGGCTATGGAGAAACCCAATATGAAGTGGAAGGATACGACAAGTCGGTGTTTCGAGGACAAGGACAAATAAGCGTTTGAAATCAGAAATGAGTCGGACGATGACGATGGCGAAGAAGGCTGGGACCGTGAGGCTGCACCTGAAAGTGGCGAAGAAGCACTGGTCATTAGTGACAAAACTTCGAAATCTGCAAAGTCCAAGGCCGACAAAAATACGCAGTTCGTATGCTTGGACGTGCAGGTCGACCTCAATACGATATACGACGTTACCATAACCTCCGAGGTCCAGGACTACCTGAGCTTGCTCAGCCACCACGAGTCTCTAGTATCCGAGTTGTCCGGCAACTTCAGCATGGAAATTGTCTCGGGAACGATCCAGAACCGTGACAACTGGCTGGGATGCACCTATGTGTAAGCTATCCTCTATCTCAAGTGTATCTTCTGTTAACGAAACATTTTGCAGTTTCGTGCAAATGCTTTGCTCGGCGAGTTTGTGCGTATTATCGGGATGACGATATTGAAGCACCAACAAAACCTGTCGTGATCTGTGTTTCCTCACGGAAAATGGTGCCTCACCGTCGACGACCTGCTCGTTTACTGTGCTGCAAATGACAAACCAGACAGGTTCCTTAATGTCAAGGTCACAGATTTATCTTGACCATTTACGGGACGAAAGGATGAAGGAGACATTGAAGAAGGGTATTGGCTATTTCCACGAAACTATGGATAGGCAGGACAAGCGCATTGTCCAAAGTCTGTTTGAGAGCGGAGTTGTTCAAATGCTCGCTATATACAGCATGGTCGATTCCGGTTGCTAGCAACATCATCATGGGTGTGCGGTAGTACTACGGAGGAAAGGAACATCAATACGTTGACTTTCTCGTCATGGATGTCCTGCAAATAATGGGTCGAGAGACAACGAAACACGTCCTCATGTATTCACAGATGAGGAAGGACTTCAAGTTTTAGAAGAAATTCTTGGCGGAGAGTTTTCCCATTGAGAACCGTCTTCTTGCTCACTTGCTGCGCGACTATGTACTTCCTGGCGGAGATTGTGGTGAAAACTATCAAGACGAAGCAAGATGCTACGGTAGGATGCTTTGCCTCTCGTCCCGAGCTGACTCTTCTCACCAAGATGTTTTTGTGTTACTTCTTATTCTTGACTTTCACTTTGCTTGGTTCGGCCTTTGTTCGATTTTGGATGAATATATAGTGACACATAGTACATTGTAGTATAGCACGGGTTTTCGCAATCGACGAAACTTTATATCCATCAGCGACTGCATGAGCTCTTTACAAGAGGAGTCCTTCGCATCCTCTCAGGTAGGCATGATAACTACTTGATTTAAGAAGAGCTACTACAATGTGTACTCAAACAAGAATATTCCGACATTCTTCAGTAATATGCAGATCCCGGAATCGATTTAATTCTTTAAGTGACATCTGAAACACCGACACTTTCTCAAACCTTTCCTCTGGCAGTCTTCGCCCGACAACCCAATATTGGGATGGTGAAACACCGCAAATCAGTGCGTACATGTCTTCAGGTATCGGGTACTCGTGGGCGGCCGTGATGTTGAATGCATGTTCTGTCCCACCCTTGTCGTTGACAATTAACTGTCCACGTCGATCACCCTCTTCTACAGCAGTCAACCACCGTACGAACCCCTTTTCAATGCATTCCGCATCACACCAGTCTTCATCCATCTCATCCCGATTAACTTTGATGCCAAGGTAACCACCTGCGGGCAAAGGCTTCGTCATAAGCTGGTCCCACGATGGTCTCCATTTTCTGCCTGCACTTCCCGGTTCAGGATACAAGAACAACAAACCCCGACGCCACTCATCCATCGAATTCATGAGTGCCGTCCATGCACCCTCAAGAGACTCGCTCTCATAGTATGCCGGTATCGTCTTGGACAGCTGACAAAATGCCAGTCCCGCGACTTTGTCCACTGGGTTGGTCGACACCCGATTCTGCATGTCCTCCAGTGCTGCAAATGCACCATACAAAATGTGATCCATAGACTCCAGCTGCTCGTGAAATCTGGTCAGTGGCGGAGTCTCATACTTCCCATCCTTACACTCAGCATGCATTGGTCCATCCGGTGTGTCCCCAGCAATCACCCTGTCCTCGCCAACCTCCTGTAGTGTCCAAGCACGTCTAAACCAACATCGATCACTATCCAAGTCGCCGTCCTTCAAACTCAAAGGCCGACCCAGCCCACTCATGTAAATCACCACATCAGCCAGATGATACACTGTTCCGATGGTGGGCACATCCAGCTTCCACTCTTCCTTGCGCATATGCTCTCCCGGTCCACCGACCTGTCTCAGACAGAGAACATCCAACCATGCATACTGCGCTCCAAGATTGAGCATCTCAATACGGACAAGATTGAGGCTGGTGTCTTTTGGGATGGGAACGGGCCATTTGTATTCGTTGATGGGTGTCTGCACGTTGACACGATCCTTCTCATCCATCCAGGCATGCGATATTGGCCAAAGCTGGTGGCTCCGGTACCACTCATTACAGGAGATTCCTGTGCACCACCATGGCACCACCCGATTACTGAACAGATCCCACACACGTCGAGGTGGCAACTTTGGATTGATGATCTGGTTACTAACAAGTGCTTTTCGTCGCATCTCCTGGTCCTCCTCTTCCCATCTGTGAAATCTGTCTCGTATATTACTCCAGTCGTTGATGTACCATAGCTGACGGAGGCGGCCATATGCCATGCCAAAGTCATAGTGGTTCGTGATGCAGCCTTCAAGAAGGGAGGAGAGGGATGGAGTGTCCATGATGTATGATGTTCCGAGTGTGGTGTTGAGTTGATCTAAGAGGCCTCGAACACCGAGAGTAGCACAGGAAGTGTCAGCAAGACGGGACGATATCACGGGCTTTCTACCGGTGTATGCTCGCTGCAATGGAACGATAACCGATGATTCTTGTTGGCCTGTCTCAGTGAAGGCAGAGATGGTGACTTTGCGAAGAGATTTCTCCTGGGAATGGTATCAATTTCCCCTCTGCTTATTTGTCGACTGATTTACCTCTGGTTGAAGCCAATGGTAGTCCGGAGATGTGTCAGAATGACCCGAAGTGTCACTAGATGATTGTTCTTCCGTGAGGTTAGTCTGTGAACCCACTTCGGAGGTTGGTTCTTGATGCGCTGAGCGTGGCGATGAGTCCGGTGTCGCCTCCATAACAGGACCAACATCTTCTGAAATAGAACTACTGTTCTGTTCTTGCGGCTTGGACAGCATGGTTGTGTTGGAATTTTCGTCAAGTTCAGAGGTTTTGTCAGGAGATGATTTTTTACTTGTCCGAGTAGTCAAACAGACGGAGCAGTACGCGTGGTTCCGAACTGACTTCACGAAGCTTGGTCTGTGTTAACATTTGTATTCAGTACTCGAAATGAGAGGGTTTAATGATACATACTAGTACCTATTTTCCCGGTTCAGGATGGGTATACAGTCGAAGGAGTCCTAAACGAAAAGCGGTTTGCCGTCAAGCAAGCAAGTGTCGTAAGTCACAGCTTGAATTTAACTCCGGACTGATAGGGCAGGACTGATGCGAGGTCTTTGTGTGAACAAGATGGTGGAAGTCCTTGTCCTCTCGAGCTCATAAGGGCTGCACTATAAGGCGCGGCTTCTTTTGGGAACCTTAGCTTGGAGATTGGGAATAAGTTTATTAGAGTAAGGACTGGTGGAATGAGGTCAAAAGCATGAATTTTGTCAGTGATGGCACGTATAGGTTTATTAATACAGTAAGCGCTACTTGGAATAAGCATGCTCCTCATGCCCATTTGGATATCTTGCGTTGGGACGAGCGGGTAAAGCAGCCAAAGCTTCTTCCGAACACAACTGGACAGACGCCGCAGAGGTATACTCTATCCATTCTCCCTACCTATCTGCTAAGATTGCGCCGTTCTAGTCTCCCAATGGCTTCCCTCGGGTTCCATTCAGGATATGGTCACACTGACCCACCTACACAATGAACTAGAACCACTTGGGGATCAATAAAGACTCCAGTCTCGTCCACACGAATGAGGGTGGGTTAGCCTTTATCGACGGGAAACCAAGTTGCATGGTGCATCTATCAAGTGCGTGCACGGTAACAACGGGAGGAATGGAGGAAATTGTTGAAGATCAGGCCCTTCGTCTCTAGCTGCGCCTCGGCATCGGCGCCATCTGGGATTTCTCACATCAAGATCAAAATGATCAGACAGAATGTGAGGTCTTGTAGAGAAGGTAGATAGAGGTACGGAAGCGGGTCCAAGGACGATGTCCAGAGGCACCGAACCCTGAGTAGGGATAACTGAGAAAAATTGCCACCCTGTCCTTTGCGAAATTCAAGATGCGATTCCTCGAGTAACTGATAGAGTCGAGATTGTGGATAGCAGTAGATGGCCCCGCAAGGTGCGTGATTTGAAGGAGGAAATGTGAAAGAGCCTAGATTGCGTAGTTTACACAATGTCACTCTACGAGGGCTAGGAACATCGAGGAAGACATCACTGATGTTCTCCGCTGACCAGATTGTTCTGCTGACCTCCCACGTACACCGGGTCCCAACTGCCAAAAATCCGAAGTAACGAACGTCTCCATCAACTGTTCTCAACTCCTTCAACATGTCTAGGAGAAGTTCTGGCGACACCCTCCTCCACTGATGATGCTCTCCAAGTGTCAAGAAAAATGCTTGGACAACTTCGTATGTGGTTTTGGATTGTTCATGTCCATGTCAAGAGCGGACTATAGCATCGATGCCGTCATAGTTCTGTAGACGATATCGCGATCTTTCACCAACGTCGATTGACGTGGCATATCCTCCTCACCACGGAGCGATGGCATTGGCCATAAGAGCCGTTGGTGAGTTCGAAGATGCTGAAGAGCAGTGCGTCCGATAGATCGTTCACGGTGCATGGTCCTGGGTATACCCATGGTGGAGGTATCGCCAAGACTAATTGAAATAATATCGAACGCACGCCGTTGGTCACAGCAGCTAAGTCACCGGAACGCAGGCCCAATGGAATTAATCGATGAAGATGACTGGTGTACTCCGTCCTTCATCGAAAGTCTCTTGGGTACATTCGTTAGCGTTGAATACAACGGCCATTGTTGATCAGCTCACCGAGTTATTCCCAAGCTTGTGTACGTCGTTGCAGTTGATAATAATGCGGCGAAGCAACAGAAATCTTCTAAGCAGCTATCAGATCACATTGTACGATGCAATTCTGAGGACTTTTCTTGTACCTGCGGGATAGCTCTTGAGCCCATCGCAACGAATATTGGATGCGCCAAGAGGTTGGACAGCATCTAAATTAAAAAGAAGTCGGAATTCCACTCGATGAAAGGTGTTGAAGATGAATAACTTGGGGGATCAAGGAGTCGGTATATCGTCGCCACGTCCTTTAAGTGTTCGAAGGGATGCCCACGCTAAACTTCTCAGAAACCAAATCCTGCTTCACTTCGCTCAGGCTTATCTCTGCCTCCCCCCAAATCTAAGCCATATTCGTGTAAGTGTGCTGTTGTGAGGATTCCATTGTCCAAGAGGTTGGTTCTGGTCTGAGTGCGCCTCTGTTCATTTGTTGCTTTCGTGGTGCTGACGCGAGGTAGAGCCAATCGACACGTAGGAAGAAGGAGAAGAGAATAGGGATCAGGAATGAGAAGACGGTGCACGGAATGGAGTCGGCGTGGTGAGGAGGAAATGATCGAAGCAGTGTTGAATGCTCGGCGCATCTGTTTGGTTTTGATGACATCACATTTCTGGTCCCTTCCCGATGACACACGGAATTTGAGACTCACGGCAAGCCAATTTTTTTCTTACTCTATTTAATTCTAACCTTTTCACATAGCGAACAACCAACACTCGAGACCAGATCCAATTTCCCTGCGATGGACATGCAAAAGAAATAGACATGGGTTCTGGCTGCATGGACTCTTGGGATGGAGATGAGAACTGTGCTCATAGTGCGAGCTCTTGCTGTTTGCGTCTTCCGCGTCATTCTCCCTCTCATGCTAAGGTACGCGTTTGATGGTAGAATTTTTGTTCGGGTAACGAGAACTCTTTCAAGGAAGCTGTTAACGATCTCGACGACTGGCGCGAAGGGAAATAATGTGTCGAAAACGTGACAAGACTGCACTTGGGATGGCAGATCTTCCTTCGATTCACCTGCATGCAGCAATACTCGCTCTTGTAGCCTGATCTTATTCACTCATGTCAGCGCGACTGCACTTCCCTGAAGGGTACCAACCACGCCCCAGGACGTGAAGATATGAGCGACAACCCGTTGTGGGAGTCAAGGCATGATACGAGGCACGGCTTTGATGTTAGGGGGAGAGGCGGTATCCCTGTTGAAGCTCTTCCACTACCATCAGTTTTCATTCTCGCCCTCGCTGATCAGCACGGCTTTATGTCTACAACACATCTATGTATGTTTGCCCTCCCTCTAGTTGACGCATCACCCGTAGCTCATAACAATGTATCACAGTCGCATTGGCCCATACCCAGCATTCCTCTTCCATGCCTCTCACCTATGCCAATAATCACGACCTCTCAACGCCTTACGACAGACTATTTTATCAAAGCTGAAGCCACCGGTATCCAGGTTGAGCTTGATATGTGTATCGATCGGAACGAGTTTGCGGGGGTGTTGAGGGCATCTTCTGGCAGCCACGACAGGTTACCCGGGATTTTTTCGACATGAGATGAAGGGGAGAATCGAAGAATAGTAAACCTGCGCTAGGCGTCTATTCCTCAAGTCTGTGGTTTATTTCCACCAACATTCCGTTCTGACTTCTTTCAAATACAGGTCTCAAAAACCCTCAGCACCGTTCCCTTAGCCCTCGGAATGGTCCTTCTCGACATCTTCGACAACTTGTTGTTTGGTGCACCTCAGTTTTTGGCAGAACTCTTGTCGTCGACATCATCGTTGTTTTTGCCGGAGGCGACGTCTATCTGTGAAGAGTAATTTGCTGCTACTCTTCTTACCTGGTACACCTCGCTGTAAGGTCTTTCTTCGGCGCTATACAGTGTTTCATCAATACGTTCTCTTTAGCATGACGGTGACGAACAAATATCTACTCGATAGCAGGGGATAGCGCTATGTTCATGTCTCGAACGCACGTGTATTTTTAGTTTATATCGGTCAAGAATCAAGCTAGGCCGATCCCAATCAGAACTCTGTATCCATTCGAGACACAGACAAATTTTCCCAGGATGAGATCGCAAGGCTCTTCTGTGGACCTTGGAGGACTCTCCAGTGGCTTAAACACTGGCGAAGGGGCATTTTTGGTATAGGCAAAGGGTCCGTCGGCGTCTTTGTTGGAGATGACTATACAGAAGACGTGGCTGTCGAGGCTGATGCAACCGACAATGTCGATGAAAAAGATTCGGCTGACCTGGCTGACATGTTTGACGTGGGGGTCTGGAGCTCGTAGAGAGGATTGTACTTCCAGAGCTTGCAGACGAATCGAAAGAACTTTTCTATTTCGACACGTCGTATCGATCTCGCGAATAGTCCACCGGAGTTACAGGAAAGAAGGCAATCAAGTGATATCGAGGGACAAATGAAGCCTGCTACGAGAAGGCCGGAAAGAATCAAACCCTGGTTTTTGTGAAAACGGCGAAATTTGTGATCTCCTTCCTTGTTTTGGCATCCATCACGCCACTGCGACTCTAGTCTGGGTGTCAATCTGCCAGCCACGGGATCGTCATAAACGGAATCCAGATCTACAATGTTTGGACATGTAGCTGGGTCGAGGGCAGTACGATCCATACGACGTTACCATCACCTCCGAGTTCCAGGACTACCTGAGCTTGCTCAACCACTGCCTATCTATTGTGTCTCTATCCAAGATGGCCGATAACTTCAACACAGAAATTATCCTGGGCACGATCCGAAATTATGATAACGGGCTAGGATACACTTATCTGTATGCTATGTTCCATCTCAAATGTCTCTTCTATTGACTTCATCCCCTCAGTTTCATATCAGGATGACGACGTCGAAGCCAGTATCCTTGGCCATCGTTGAATATGCATCTGGAAAACCCGTCATTGGCTTTACTCCCTTGCGGAGACAACGCCGCTTCACCGTTAATCTTCTGCTTCTCCACTGTTCTGCGGACGACAAGACAGACGGGTTCCTTAACGTCGAGGTCACAGGTTCATCTTGATCATTCGCGGGACGAAGGATTGAAGGAGACGTCGAAGAAGGGTATTGGCTATTTCCACGAGGTCATGGATAAAGAGGACAAGTGGATCGTCCAACGTCTGTTTGAGAATGGTGTTGTTCAAGCGTTTTTTGGACGCGGCATGGTCGGTTCTTGTTGCTAGTGACATGGCCATCATCATGGGCATGCAGGACTGCGAAGGAAAGAAATATCAATACATCAACTATCTCATCGTGGATGTCCTGCAAACAAAGGGCCGAGAGACGATAAAACGTGACCTCATGTGTCAACGGACAAGGAAGGACTTTTACAAGAGATTCTTGGTGGAGAGTCTTCCCATTGAGAAGCATCTTCTTGCTCAATTGCTGCGTGACTATGTGCGGGCGGAGATTGCAGTGAGAACTATCAAGACGAAGCAAGATGCTATGGTGGGATGCTTTGCCTCGTGATGCTGGACTGACTGTTCTCACTAAGATATTTTTGCGTTACTTTTTATTCTTGACTTTCACTTTGCTTGGTTCCGCCTTGGTTGATTTTCGATGAATATATAAAGAGATACATAGTGCATTGTAGTATAACTCGGGTTTTCGCAATCGATGAGCTAGAATCAACTGCGTGAAGCCTTCATAAGAACAGTCAAAGCTCGCACCCTCTCAAGTAGGCATGATAACCACTCGGTTGAAGAATAGCTACAATATGTACTTAAACAAGAATGTATCGACACTTAGTACTAAGATTCTTTAACCGCTCCCATTTATCTCTATCGGGAATTTGCAACACCGACACTTTCTCAAACCTTTTCCCTGACAGTCTTCGCCCGACAACGTAATGTTGGGATGTATGTCCATCAGCGGAAATCAGTGTGTAGGTGCCATCAGGTATCGGGTACTCGTGGGTGGTTGTGATGTTGAATGCGTGTTCTGTCCCACCCGCGTCTTGAACAATCAACTTTCCGCGTCGATCACTCCCTTCCACAATAGCCAACCCCCGTACGAACCCCTTTTTAATGCAGGGCCCATCACACCAGTCTTCATCCATCTCCTCATTCCGATAAACGAAGATGCCGAGGTATCTATATGTGGGCAGAGGCTTCGTCATCAGCTGGTCCCACGATGGTCTCCATTTTGTGCCTGCATTGCCCGGTTCAGGATAGGCGAACAACGCTCCCCGAAGAACCATTGAATTAACGAGTGCTGTCCATGCGTCCTCGAGAGACTCGCTCTCATAGTATGCCGGTATCTTCTTGGACCGCAGAATAGATGCCAGTGCCGCAATTTTGTCCACTGGATTGGTCGACACCCGATTCTGCATACTCTTCAGCACCTTAAACATCTCCCAGAACATGACCTTAAACCGCAGCTGCTTGTGAAACCTGGTCAGTAGCTCAGTCTCATAGTTCCCATGCTCATCTATTGGCTCGGCATGCAGTGGTCCATCCGGCGTGTCCCCAGCAATCAGCTTGAATCTGCCAACCTCCTGCAGTGTCCATGCACGTCTAAACCAACACCGATCATTCTCCAAGTCTCCCTCCTTCAAACTCAAAGGCTGACCCAGCCCACTCAAGTAACGCATCACACCGGCCATATGATAGACTGCTCCGATGATGGGCACATCCAGCTTCCACTCTTCTGCACGCACATCCTCCCCTGGTCCACCCTCCTGTCTCAAACAGAGAACGTCCAACCACGCATACTCTGCATATTCTGGAACCAGCACATAGTCCCAATCATACTCCAGATCAGGGCGCTTCGCTTGAAGATTGAGCGCTTCAATGCGGATCAGGTTGAGGTTGGCGTCTTTCGGAATGGGAACGGGCCATTCATATCCGTTGATGGGTGTCTGCGCATTAACACGATCCCTCTCACCCACCCATGCATGCGATATCGGCATAAGCGTCCTATTCCAGGACCAGTCCTTACTGACGTTTGTAAACCACCATGGAACCACTCGATTGCTGTACAGATCCCACACACGTCGAGGTGGCAAATTTGGTTGAACGATCTGGTTACCAACAAGTGCATTTCGTCGCATCTCCCGGTCCTCCTCTTCCCATTTGTGCAATATGTCTCGTATAGTGCTCCAGTCTCGGGCGTACCATATCCGACGGAGGCGGCTATATGCCATGCCAAAGTCCCAGTTGTTTGCGATGCACTCTTCAAGAAGGGAGGGGAGTGATGGAGTGTCGAGGGTGTGTGAGGTTCCGAGTGTCATGTTGAGTTGGTCCAAGAGGCCCTGAATGCCGAGGGTAGTGCAGGGAGTGTCAGCAAGGTAGGATGATATCACAGGCACACGACCAGTATACGCCCGTTGCAATGGAACGATGATCGACGATTCAGGTTGGCCTGTCTCGGTCAAGGCGGAGATGGTGACTTCAGGAAGTGATATATCCTGGAAATGTGTTGTCAAATAGCCTCTGCTTGTTTCCAGACTGACTTACCTTGGGAGGCCATGATTCATCATCATCAGACTCAGAAGATGTATCAGAAGCTTCATCTCCAGAAGGTTGCTCTTCCGTGGCATTAATCTGCAAACCCACTGCAATGGATGGTGATTCTGGATGCAAGCAGGGCAACGAGTCCGGTGTCGCCTCCAAAGAAGAACTAGCATCCTCTGGAGTAGAATTACCGTGCTGCTCTTGCAGCTCGGACGAAGCGGCTGTGTTGGTGCCGGTTTTATTGGCCTTTCCCTGCTGCTGGTCCATCCCGCCCTTATTCGACACAGGAGCTACATCGTCCTCGGATTCGACCTCGCTACCATCGCTGATGTCCTGGTGTCGTCGCTTTCGGCCTACTGACTGTTCCTGCGGGGCTTGCTGGATCGCTGGCTTCATGGCTGGTTTCGTTGGCCTCGTTGTACTTTTCAGTTTCGTTGATGGAATCTTTGGTTTAGAGGTGTTGGTTGACTTTGGCTTGATTTGCAGAGTGTTGATGAAACACAGCCCACTCGACGACCGCAACCGGTGCTTAGAGCCTTAGATGTTTTCCCACATGGATTAACTTAGTTCGCATAAATCAAAAACATTAGCTTGGGGGGTCACGTCCCCCCTCCCAAGCGACTATTCTGAATCAACCTAGTTAACTGTGGTCTGCTATGTATTAAATTACAACGCTCTACAACAAAAAGAAAAGAAAGAAAAGAAAAGAAAACGTTAGCTTGGAGACTGGGGACAAGTTCATTTGCAAGGCCACGATCCCGGTAGATATGTCGGGAGAGTGGATGGTATACAGCAGCAGTCTCTTCAGAGTCGGCTCAGGCCATCCCGCCCTATACGTTGAAAAATGAACCATTTTTGAAGTCGGTGTTTCATTGAAAAAGTAAAACCAAGTTCATCTACACAGAACTAGAACCGCGCTATTGGACTGGTAAAGATACAACGCCCCAGACTTGTTCCGCATGAAGGCCTTTACTGATGGGAAACAAGTTTTGTGGTATAGCATGCACGGTGATGAGACGCTACTAAGATCACAATCAGATGAAGATAGCCCCAGATCTAATAAGACTCATACCTGATATCCAACAGCTCGGTACCTCCGAAAGACGGACTCGGCAGACGTCGTAGTGAAATCTATGGCAGAATCGTCGCATGTGATCAACAACGTATGAGATATCTCTCCTTCCTGCAGAGATTCATTTGCCTAAGTGACGTGATTAGTAGGCCGAACATACGATCTGAGAGAAAAACTCACAGTTACTGGGATTCTTCATTCAGATTCACAAGTTGTTGCCGGCTGGTGATATCTCGGGAGAAGGGACGGGTGGACGTTCAGTCTTCTCACTAGAGCAAATAGATCCAGAAAACGAGATGACAGGTTGAGGCCATACCTCGATGTTCGTAGGCTAGGAACATCAACACGAAGTTGGCACAGATCGATAATAGGTTCGTCAACGACAGCAATTCCAATAGAAGCCATCGGAAGCTCTCATCTCTAGACACAGCATGCTGATGGCCTGCAGCGGTGGTAGGAAATGAAAAATCGAGGAATGCTGCAAACGTATGCTCGAGAGCCTCTATGAGAATGTTCCCCCCAAAGGTTTGCTGCGCAAAACAACTGCACGATGGAACGACGGATGATGGAGAAGTGCTCAAGATCAGGAAACTATGATGCACAGAAATGTCGAAAGATTACAAAAGTGTAATGTCCCCAGTAGGAATTACTGTTGACATGGACGGATCGGAGTACCCACCAGTGGGAGGAAAATTTATGTTATGGGTTCGAGGAGTAGGGTCCAGTCAGATTCAAAGATGGAAAGAGCCAACCGTAAGTCAACTGTGAGTGATTAATCCCTGATCAGATGCATGTTGATCAATGCAAACTGGCTGTAAACATTCGGGACTATAGCATTGATATAGTGCCGCTTTAGATTTGGAGATGATATCACGATAACTCGGCATCGTCGATTGACGTATGCTCTTCACCACGGAGGATAGCTCTGGGCATAAGAGTTGCTCGTGAGTTTGAAGATACTGAAGAGCAATGCGTCGTTCACGACACATGATCCTAGATCTACTAGGATGGAGGTATCACTGCGGGTAATTGAAATAACAACGCATGCATACTGTTGGTTAAGACAAGTACGGTCGCTGGAGCACAGATAGAATGGAATTAATCGATGAAGCCGACTGGGATGCTCCATCCATCATCGGAAGCCACCTGGGTAGGCTCGTTAGCTCTGGATACAACGACTATTGTTGATCAGCTTACCGGACTATTCTTAAGCATGTGTACGTTGTCGCAGTTGATAATGACGTGGTGAAGTAACAGGAAATCCTTTAAGCACTCATCAGATCACATTACACTACGCAAACCCGAGGACTTTTCAAAGATCTGTAAGCGACTTCGGTATCAGACAACCTTGCCATGAAGCCGTCCCTATCCATACATTCTGTACCTGCGGCTAGCTCACGAGCCTGTCGCAGCGAATAATGGATGCGCCAGGAGGACGACATCTAAATTGAAATGCAGCCGTGGCGGGAGGTGTAGAGATCGGTGGGATCATGAAGTCAGTTGATAAAAAATGCGCAGAGAAATGGGAGCAAGGAATTATCATTTTGTAGCTGTTCAAGGGCCTCGTCGGTGAAGCCCATCAATGGTATCGAGATATCGGCGGTACCTCTTCTAACAGTGTTCGGAGGGAGGCCCGCGCTAAACCTCTCAGGAACCAAATCCTGCTTCACTTCGCTCAGGCTCGTCTCTGCCTTTGTCGTGCACCCCAAAAATCTAAGCCATAACCATGCAAGCACGCTGCCATGAGGTATCCATGGTCCAAGACACCGGTTCTTGCCGGGGTGTCTGTCCATTTGCTGCTTTCGTAGTGCTGACGCAAGGTAGGTCCACCGACGCGTAAGGAGAAGGAGAAGATAATAAAGAACAGGTATGAGAAGACGGTGCGCGGAACGTCGGCGTGGTGAGGAGGAAAATGATCGAAGCAGTGTCGAAAAGCGTCTGTTTGGTTTTGATGACGTCACATTTCTTGTCCCTTTCCAACGATTACGCGGAATTTGAAACTTACGGCAAGCGATTTTTCTTCTTACTTTATTCAATTCTAACTTTTTCTTATAGCCAGCTGCCAACACTCGAGACCAAGACCAATTTTCTCGCGATGGACGCGCAAAAGAAATAGACGTGAACTTTGCCTGCATGGACTCTGGAGGTGGAGATGAGAACTGTGCTCATAGTGCGAGTTCTTGCAGTTTGTGTCTTCCGCATCACTCTCCCCCTCACGCTAAGGTACGCGTTTGGTGGTAAAACGATGACGAGAACTCTTTGAAGGAAACTGTTACCGATCCCGACGACTGGCGCGAAGGGAAGGAATGTGTCGAAAAGGTGACAAGAGTGCACTCGGGATGGTAGATCTTCCTTCGATTCACCCGTATGCAGCTATACTCGCCCTTGCTGTAGCTTGATCTCGTTCACTCATGTCAGCGCAACTGCACTTCCCTGAAGAGTACCAAACACGCCCTGACACGCATCACTCACAGGGCGTGAAGATATGGGCGGCAACCTGTTGTGGGAGTCAAGGAGGGATACGAGACACGGCTGGCTTTGATGTTAAGGGGAGAGGCGGTATCTGTGTTGAAACTCTTCTGCTACCATTGCACGTTTTGTGACGAGGTATCTGCTTGTTCAGGAGGAGGGTAAGAGAAGACACGGAAGCCTCCTCCGCTACCATCAGTTTTCATTCTCGCCCTCGCTGTTCAGCATGGCTTTATGCCTGCAACACATCTATGTATGTTCACCCTCCTTCTAGTTAAATAACGCATCACTCGTAGCTTATAACAATGTATCACAGTCGCATCGGCCCATACCTAGCGTTCCTCTTCCATGCCTCTCACCTACGCCAATAATCACGACCTCTCAACGCCTTACGACAGACTCTTTTATCAAAGTTTTGCTACCGGTATCCAGGTTGAGCTCGATCAGTGTATCGATCGGAACGAGTTTGCAGGGGTGTTGAAGGCATCTTCTTGCACTCATGGCAGGCTATCCAGGCTTTTTTTCGACGTGAGATGAGGGGGGAGACTCGTCGAAGAATAGTAAACTTACGCTAGGCGTCTATTTCTCAAGTCCGTGGTTTCTTTTCACCAACATTCCGTTCTGACTTCTTTCGAATACAGGTCTCAAAAACCCTCAGCACCGTTCCCTTAGCTCTCGGAACGGTCCTTCTCGACATCTTCGACGACTTGTTGTTTGATGCGCCCCAATTTTTGGTAGAACTCTTGTTGTCGACGTCGTTGTCCTTGCCCGAGGCGACGTCTATCTGTGAAGAGTAGCATGCTGCTCCTCTTCATACCTGGTACACCTCGCTGTAAGGTCTTTCTTCGGCGCCATACAGTGTTTCATTAATACGTTCTCTTTAGCATGACGGTGATGAACGCATATCTACTCGATTGCAGGGGATAGCGCTATGTTCATGTCTGAAACACACGTATATTGTTAGTTTATATCGGTCAAGAATCAAGCTAGGCCGATCCTAATCAGAACTCTGTATCCATTCGAGACACATTTTCCCAGGATGAGATCGCAAGACTCTTCTGTGGACCTCGGAAGACTCTCCAGTGGCTTAAACACTGGCGAAGGGGCATTTTTGGTATAGGCAAAGGGTCCGTCAGCGTCTTTGTTGGAGATGACTGTACAGAAGACGTGGTTGTTGAGGCTTACGCAACAGACAACGTCGATGAAAAGGATTCGGCAGACCTGGCTGACATGTTTGACGTGGGGGTCTTGAGCTCGTAGAGAGGGTTGTACTTCCAGAGCTTGCAGACGAATCGAAAGCACTTTTCTATTTCGATGCGTCGTATCGATCTCGCGAGTAGTCTACCGGATTTACAGGAAAGAAGGGAATCAAGCGATATCCAGGGGCAAATGAAGCCTGCTACGAGAAGGCCGGAAAGAATCAAACCCTGGTTTTCGTAAAAACAGTGAAATTCGTGGTCTCCTTCCTTGTTTTGGTATCCATCACGCCACTGCGACACTAGCCTGGGTGTCAATCTGCCAGCCATACGATCATCATAAACGGAATCCGGATCTACAATGCTTGGACGTGTAAGTCGACCGCAATACGATACATACGATATTACCATCGCCTCCGAGCTCCAGGACTACCTGAGGCTTGCTCAACCACCACCCGTCGATCGGGTCTCTACACAAGTTGCCCGATAGCTTCAACAACATGAAAATTGTCTTGAGCACGATCTGAAATTGTGATAACTGGCTGGGATACACCTATCTGTAAGCTAACTTCTATCTCAAATGTCTCTTCTATTAACCGATCATTCTTTCAGTTTCGTGCAAATGCCTCGCTCGCCGGGTTTGTACGCGTTGGTATCAATTATCAGGACGTCGAGGCCGAAGCCATCACCGCATACGCACCTACAAAACCTGTCATCAACATTGTTCCCTCACGGAGACAATGCCACCTCGCATACACTGCGGTCAATGATAAACCAGACAGGCTCCATAACTTCGAGGTCGCAGGTTCATCTTGGTCATTTGCGGGATGAAGGAATGAAGGAGACATTGAAAGGGGTATTGGTTATTTCCACGAGGCTATGGATAAGCAGAACGAGCACATTGACCAACGTGTGTTTGAGAATGGAGCTGTTCAAGTGTTCGTTCGACGCGGCATGGTCGATTCCGGTTGCTAGCGACATGGCCATCATCATGGGCATGCAGTACTACGAAGGAAAGGAGCATTGATATGTCAACTACCTCATCATGGATGTTTTGCAAACAATGGGTCGAGAGACGACGAAACATGCCCTCATGTGTCAACAGGCGAGGAAGAACTTTTACAAGAGATTCTTGGTGGAGTCTTCCCATTGAGAAGCATCTTCTTGTTCATTTGCTGCGTGACTACTTCCGGGCGGAGATTGCAGCGAGAACTATCAAGACGAAGCAAGATGCTATGGTAGGATGCTTTGCCTCGTGATGCCGAGCTGACTGTTCTCACCAAGATACCTTTACCTCACTCCTTATCCTTGTCTTTTCGCTTTTCCAGGTTCTGCCCTTGTGTGATTTTCGATGAATACATAAAGAGATACATAGTACAATGTTGTAGTATAGCACGGGTTTTCGCAATCGATGAGCTAGCATCAACTGCGTGAAGCCTTCATAAGAGCAGTCAAGTTCGCACCCCCTCAAGATAACCACTCGATTGAAGAACTACTACAATATGTACTCAAACAAAAATGTTCCGACATTCTTCAGTTATATGCAGATCTTCTAACCGACTCCGTTCATCTCTATCGGAAATTTGCAACACCGATACTTTCTCAAACCTTTTCCCTGGCAGTCTTTGGCCGACAACACAATATGTGGATGCCCATGCATGATTGCAAATCAGTGTGTATGTGTCGTCAGGTATCGGACACTCGTGGGTGGCTGTGATGTTGAATGCATGTTCTGTCCCACCCACGTCTTTAACGATCAAATCCCCACGTCGATCACTCCCTTCCGCAACCTGAGCCAACCCCCGCACCAAACCCTTTTCAATGCAGGGAGCAGAACACGAGTCTTCATCCATCTCCTCATTCCGATAAACAAGGATGTTAGAGTATCCACCTGCAGGCAGAGGCTTCGTCATAAGCTGGACCCACAATGGTCTCCATTTTGTGCCTGCATTGCCCGGTTCAGGATACAAGCAGAACAACTGCCCCAGAACCCACACATCCATCGAATTGACGAGTGCTGTCCATGCGTCCTCGAGAGACTGGCTCTCATAGTATGCCGGTATCTTCTTGGACCGCAGAAGAAATGCCAGTCCCGCGACTTTGTCCACCGGGTTGGTCGACATCCGATTCTGCATGCTCTTCAGTGATTCAAACACTCCATGGGGCTTTATAATAGACTGCAGCTGCTCATGAAACCTGGTCAGTAACTCAGTCTCATAGTTCCCATCCTCATCCACTGGCTCAACATGCAGTGGTCCATCTGGCGTGTCCCCAGCAATCACCCTCTGATCTCCAACCTCCTGTACTGTCCAAGCACGTCTAAACCAACACCGATCACTCTCCAAGTCTCCCTCCTTCAAACTCATAGGCCGACCCAACCCACTCAAGTACCACACCACAAAGGCCTGATACACTGCTCCGATGGTGGGCACATCCAGCTTCCACTCTTGTGCGCGCATACCCTCCCCTGGTCCATCCGCCTGTCTCAAACAAAGAACATCCAACCATGCATACTCTGCATACTCTGGAACCGGCACATACTCCCCATCATACTCCGGATCAGGGCGCTTCGCTCGAAGATTGAGCGTCTCAATGCGGATCAGGTTGAGGTTGGCGTCTTTCGGAATGGGAACAGGCCATTCGTATCCATTGATGGGTGTCTGTGCATTAACACGATCCTTCTCACCCACCCATGCATGCGATATCGACACAAGCATGTCCCCCCAGAACGATTCGTTAGCGCAGACTTTGTTTGTAATCCACCATGGAACCACTCGATTGCTGTACAGATCCCACACGCGTCGAGGTGGCAAATTTGGTTGAACGATCTGGTTACCAACAAGTGCATTTCGTCGCATCTCCCGGTCCTCCTCTTCCCATTTGCGCAATTTGTCTCGTACAGTGCTCCAGTTGTCGGTGTACCATACCTGGCGGAGGCGGCCATATGCCATGCCAAAGTCCCAGTTGTTTGCAATGCACTCTTCAAGAAGGGAGGAGAGTGATGGAGTGTCGAGGCTGTGCGAGGTTCCGAGTGTCGTGTTGAGTTGATCCAAGAGGCCCTGAACACCGAGGGTAGTGCAGGGAGTGTCAGCAAGGTGGGATGATATCACGGACACACGACCGGTATACGCCCGTTGCAATGGAACGACGAACGACGATTCAGGTTGGCCTGTCTCAGTCAAGGCGGAGATGGTGACTTCAGGAAGAGATATAACCTGGAAATGTGTTATCAAATAGCTTTTGCTTGTTTGCAGATTGACTTACACTTGGAGGCCATAGTTCATGTTTAGGAAACAACATCTGATTGCTGAAGAGCAAAGACTTTGGATGCTTGTACTGAGGACTCGAAACAAGAGGGATTAATGATACGCACTATTTCCTATTTTCCAGGCTCAGAAAAAGGTCAGGGAGTACCAAACGAAAAGCTGTTGGGCTCGAGGGATCAAAACTTGCAGGGCACAGCTCAAATGCTCCCAGGCTGTTGTATATAAATAACGTGATTTCTATCAAGCTCTTAAATGCTTTCAAATTCCCGCATGGATTAATTTAGTTCACTTAAATCGAAGACGTTCCAAGTTCATTTGCAAGGCCACGATCCCTGTAGATATGCCGGGAATGTGGATGGTGTACACCTCTGCGGCGTCTAAGGGAAATCGAGATTAGTACCTGTCATTTTTGGTTGTGGTTGTCAGGTACTTTGGGCGCCTCGCAAATGCCATCCTTCGTCTCGAACATAGCAAAAGTCTCTTCAAAATGTCCCGCCATATTCAATGGAAAATGTACTATATTTTGAAGTCGATGTTCCATTGAAACAGGAATTAATCCGAGTCCATCTACACAGAACTGGAACCGCGCTATCGGGCTGGTAAAGATACAATGCCCCAGGCTAGTCCCGCACGAAGGCCTTTACTGATGGGAAACAAGTTGTGTGGTACAGCATACACGGTGATGAGACGCTACCGAGGTCAAAATCAGATGAAGATAGTAGTGAGTTTGACAAGGATTATACCTGATATCCGATAACTCAGTACCGTCGAACGATGGACTCGGCGGACGTGGTAGCAAAATCTCGGTACGACAGGGTCCTCGTATGTGATCAGCAATACCTAAGAAAATGATTAGTAGGCCGAACACACTATCTGAGAGAAAAAACTCATGGTCATATCCCGTAGTCGGATACCAGCAATTTGACTTGCAGGGCTAACGATTCTCATAAATCAGGGCACCCTAACCGTAAGTCGGCTGTAAGTGCATAAGCCCTGATCAGATGCGTTTTAATCAATGCAAAGCCGGCTGTAACATTTGGAACTATAGTCTCGATGTGCCGCCACAGTTTTGGAGACGATATCGCGACCAATCAACGTTGACGAATCCTCTTCACTACAGAGGAATAACTTTGGTCGTAAGAGTCGCTTTGCGAGTTCGAAGATACTGAAGAGAAATGTGTCTGATATATTGTTCGCGGTCGGCTCACCGAATTATTCACAAACAGAGGTACGTCGTCTGGTTGATAGTGTAGTGGTGAAACAACAGGAATCTTTTAAGCACCCATCAGATCATATTGTACAATGCAATCGTGAGGACTTTTACATACCAGAGTTCTGTAAGCAACTTCAGTACCGGACAACGTTCATAAAGTCGTCCCCATCCATGCATTTTGTACCTGCAGGCCAGCTCCCGAATCCATCGCAACGAATTTAACACTGGATGCGCCAGGAGGTGGGATAGCAGCGATGGCGGGAAGTGTAGAAATTGGATAGCTTAGTGGGGTCATGAAGCCAGTTGATAGACAAACGGGAGCAGGGGGTTATCGTTTTGTAGTAGATCCAGGCCGTCGTTGACGAATCCATCCATGGTATCGATCTGACATCGTCGATACGTCTTCTCACAGTGTTCAAGGGTTGCCCAGGCCATCCGCCTCAGAAACCAGATCCTACATCAGGCTCTTCTCTGCATTTGGCGCATGCCCCAGAATCCATGCAAGCACACTGTCGTGAAGTTTCCATTGTACAAGAGGCGAGTTCTTGTCAGAGTGCGCTCTCCCTGAGTTTGTCGCATTCGTAGTACTGCTGCGAGATGGGGCTAATCGACGCGTTGTGATAGGGAGAAGAGAATATAGATCTGGAAGAAATCAGAAGACGCTGCACAGAAGGGACAGGGGGGTTGTGGTTAGGAGGAAATGACCAAACAGTATTGAAGGGCGGGGCCTGTTTGGTTCGTTTGATTTGATTTTGGTGACGTCACATTTCTTGTTCCTTCTCAACTATACACTGGATTTGAGATGGGTAACCTTTTCGCAACCGTCGTCGCTGAACCTTACCGGAAACTCGATTTACTATTTCAATGGAAAGGAAAGATCTTGACCCTCGAGCAATCAGACTTTGCAATTGTCTTCTGCGCTCGAAAGTGGACTGTACCGTCAAATTTGTGTTTCGATGTGCCCGGCTTCTATCGATGTGGTGTATGCTCTGAAGTCGACGTCTACCGCAAACTCCAATCTATCTCAGGTATCGTCGTGCCTTGATTTCTCGGCAGCTACAACACTACGAGACTCATCTGTCCTTCGGACTGTCATATACCGGAAGAAGAGCGGCTTTGTGGTGACCAGAGATTCAATTATCTCGACGGGGAGCTTCATCATGCCCTACAGTTTTGTTAGGAACGTAATGGTGCTAAAGGACGGCCCGGTCAAGTGGTTTGATTTTGAACATTCGCTGGTGGATCATCGGGCACGGGAAGGCCTGTCAGAGGGACAGTTGGCTTCTGCCGTGCAGAGCCTGGAGCCAGGTGGTTTGGTTATATGACGACAAGATGATTTCCTTGTTTTTATATCGATACGCCATCCTTGCTCTGGGACAATTCTCCCAGAATCCAAAATCAACAAGTTTGTCACACTAATCCAAAAAGTATCGATCTAAGCATACTGTCAACCTGACTGTTCCCTGCTTCGACGCGTCAAATCCTCCTGTTCCGTTTTATACTGCACCAAACTCAGTCATTGTGATGGGCCACCAAGAGAAACTCCCTTAGCCGCGATATGAGCCAAGATGATCTTCGTATCCGCCAATATGAGAAGTCTCCCATCTCCCGCGAACGCCATGTTAGCGGAGGTAGTACCCAAGAAGAACTTCCCCAGGATGATACCGTCTTCGTTGAATACCTGTGGATATCAGCGTTCCGTAAATTTCTCCTCGGTTAAGATGGGAGAATACCCACTTGCACTCCGTCTCCACAGCCAGTATAAACATTGCCCATTGCATCCACTTGAATGCCATCCGGAACACCAGCATCGACATAAGCAAATACACGCCTGTTCTTGAATGCTTGGGTATTTTCATCGATATTAAAGGCATAACTAGTACGAATTGATACTTTCAGCGCGAATCTCGGGACGACAAACAGTCCTTACATCGTAGTCGGAAGGGTTTGGTTCACACCCAGAAGATTGCCACCGCTAGCGCCGGTATCAGAACTGACAAACCGAAAAAGTTAGTAAAACGAAGGCGCGCATAAGATGGATGGTTCCTACACGTAAGCAGTCCGCCCATCGCCCGTGAAAGCTATTCCGTTGCATCGAACAAAACCATCGGCAACTACTCTAACATTCCCTGTGTCCGGGTCAAAACGATAGACTTGATTCGGCATCAAGGGTGCTGGACGGAACGCAAACAGATATCCGTATCTAAAAAAGGATGTCAAAGGTGCATTCAGTAGACTGAGAAAGACCTCCTACGTGACATCAGTAAAAAAGAACTTTCCGCTTGAAGGATGGACCTTAATATCATTCAACGAATTGAACTGTCTCCCAAAGAAGTTATCGAGTAGAACAGTGACATTGTGCGGTTCCCGTGGGTTAACGAGTGCAATTGATGGCGCGCGCGTACCCCGCCCCGACGTTATGAGAAGCAGCGAGCCTTTATACGGTCCTGTTCCTCCGTTTGTCATCTGAATCTCTTCAGGTAGAGCAAGCTATTGAATATTATCAAATCATCTATTCAACCTTTTTTAAATCGAAGACCCACCTCCGTCACCGGGACATTGACGACACCGCCGTCAGGATTTGCCTCGAGCGCATCCTCCGCAGCTGAGAGGCTGATCTTTCCGTACACGTTGTTATGATACAAATCGCTCATTCCCAGACTTCCACCATCATTGCTGGCGAAAAACATCTCGTCCGTCTCCGGAAAGTATATAGGCGCTTCATGGGCGAAAGCAAACGAGGCATTTGAGGCAATCTCGCGAATACTAGAAGACGGCCCTAAAATATCCAAGAATCCCTCATGAAAGACTTGAAAGAATGGAGGTGCTGTTAACGTGGGATTGAAGAAGGTTGCATTGTCGAACGATGATTCACGAAATGAGCCATTTGCACCCAGTACAGAGTACGAGAGTAAGTCCACATACTATACGGCATGGAGACTACTGATCAACGTCGTGGGCCGGTGAAGGATAAATGGCTGTTGCACTCACCACTGCTTGAGCCGGCAGGTCAAATGCCGAAGCAATTGCAGAGTTACATACTCCAATGGCAGACAGAGTCCGTGGCGACAAAAATCTCATGGCGAATGCAGACAGCGATTCTCAACAGCCCTCTTCTTCTTCTTATATATACACCAGAATACTTCTTACTGTCAGGCGTCCTATCATATGAGGCGAATCTTCGTAAACAAGCCTTCTCGTGATGAGAGAATCTGAAATACTACCGGAATATGGCGGGCCGTAGGGACCCCGGAACGTTGAGAGGAATGCATCCTGTTAAGACCAGTATGTATACAATATAGCAGATAATGATAACGTTATTTACCGCTACTTGCTCCGACCGATGATGAATTTCGCTCCGTCTAGAAGGACTTCGACGTCCTTGACGAGCCTGGAAACTGACAAATGAAACAAGCATGAACAGACCTGAGACGACCGATGTTCTTCATGTGCTTCTCTACCATGAATTCAGGATAAGGAATAATTAATCGGTGGAACTTACTTTAGTCTTTTTAAAAGAGGTGCTATCTCTTCGATCCTTTTCCTCCTCGTCAACTCCTGTTTCTCTAAGATAGTAAGCGAAAATGCAGCATTTCAACCTTCTCCGAGCTGATTTCTCAAGTTATTGATCTTGTGTTTTGTTAAATAGTCAGAATAAGTATCATCTGAATACTGAAGAATGTTCATGGGTTTCTTATGATGCTACCAAGAGTTCATCCAGCGCCTTGTAGTACAAGGTATAGCTTTTCTTGGCTCCAGTAAGTGTAAAGCGGGATCTATCTTCTGAACGAAAAACCTTGGTCCCGTGAGGTTTCGCGGCGACCTTTCTCGTTGCCTTCAAGTTCATTCTAGATAGTCGACATCAGTCACGCGGTCCATAAGCTAAGTAAATCAAGTGTACGCACCCATGAGAGATTTCATTACATCCGTCTTTCCAAGCACACTTTTACTGAGAAAGAATAAGATATCGACCAGCAGACCACGAATCGATATAATTGTGTGAATTGCTCGAGAGTTACTGTGGGAGGGAAAATTAGCACCGGGAGTGGTTGATACACCTTTTCAAGAGGGATTTGAAAGATTTCAAGTCGCGAATTCATTGATGGTGGAGCAGGAGGAACTTGGATAAAGAAGAGAGAGCCGAAGTAGTTGGAAGCTTCCGAAGAACCATTGAAGACCGGACCGTCTGGGTCCGAGCCTGGCGTGATTGTATCACGTGATATAGTTGCCTTTTAAGGCTCGCGCGCGATTGCGACGTACTTATTGGCATCCTCTACTACTAGTAACTACTAGCGTTTCTTCTGCGTTTAGCTGCTGTGACTATACGTGTCGTCTGGAGAAATTTTTGATAGATGAACTCAGGACGTTAGCCTGCCGCTCGCGTTCCTGCAACATGCCACTACCACCACGGTCCTGGGTTACAAAGACTAGACTCTAGAGTCAGTTAGAGTTACGCAGGTCTCGCTTTTTGGCTCCCAAACTCCTGGAACCATCCCGTTATGTCACACCTATAACCCCACCGTATATGATCGTTTTACGCCGCGGACATAAATCATGAGCACAACCACGCGATTTAGATCCTTGGGTATCAGGATCGTCAGGACGGCGGTGTCGGATGGGTGCATCTATCCTTCGGCCCTGTGCTACAGCGTCCCGTTCTACCGCTTGTACAACGGAGCGGTGTACGTCTGTTCTGTAACGCTGGTGGTGTAAAAAGGACGTAAACTCCCACATCGTATCCTTGGCGGAGAGGAATTGTCAGGTCTTCTGCGTATATCCATTTGATTTCGGAATTAACAACAGCAAAAAAGCGAACGAACATCCACCTCCCTGAAAGATCGTTGGCCCCACAGTTGTTCGTCGGCGCATGCAGTCCTGTTGTCTACCGTCAATGAGAAGGGAGCCCTCAACGATCCCCAAGAGATTCGATGAAGAACTCATAAGCGCCCGATTGCATAAGAAGATGCACCTGCATATCTTCTGCCTTGGATCAAGATAGCGACACTACGGTATTGCCGTATCATTATCTCAAAGCTTAAAATTCTGGGACGTTTGTTTTATCATAGCTGTTCACGGAAGAAACTGATGTATATCATTCGGCAGTCACAAAGTTACGGAAAAATGAGATCAAGCGAAATATTCGATCCTGAAACTCAAGTACTCATCATGGAACTGATCTCGCCTGAGGGTTATACAGGTCAATAAACATTCCAATTAGCTGTATGAAGACGACATACCATGATTAAACGGGAAGGATGTATCCCGCAATACCCTCGTACACATATCCATCCTTCTGGACTGCGATGTTTCTCTCATTCTGACTCGTGGTGTAGAAATGGTCGTGCACCACTCCGTTGTACAAGCGGTAAAACGGGACGCTGCAGCACAACGCCGAGGGATAGATGTACCCAGCGATACCCTCATCCTGATACCCAAGGTTGTGAATCGCGTTGTTGCGTTCATTTACATCCGTGGTGTAAAAATGTTCAAAAAAAGTGGTGTATTGATGTATGCGATAGAACGGTATGGTTCCAGGAGCTTGGGAAGCAAAAACAAGACCTGCCACACCCTCGGCTTTATAACCGAAGTTAGTGGTAGCCTGCTGCATTTCCGTGACGTTGGTGGTGTAAAAATGGTCGTTATATGCCGTATTGTATCCTCGAAGGAGAGGAATTGCCAGGTCTTTGGGGTAGGCCTTCTGCGCATAGCCGGTAACCTCGAAATTGTGACTGAAAAAGAACGAATGAAATGACCTACCGGCGGAATCGCAGAGGCAATACTCCGAGATAAGCCTGGAGCGAGGTACGAGCGTAGGGCTTATCGGAGGATAGTAAGTTAAGGTAGCAGACACAGAGGCCTTAGGCCACTCATTTATACATGTACAAACATTGTGTCCCAATCCCCAAGGTATTGGCTCGCATCCTCCGAGTCGTTTGACGCGTCGCCTAGATCATCCTCGCCTCGTTCGCCATTACTCCGCTCCCTCGTCTCGCTTTTTTATTGACCCACCCACCTACGCCCTTCAGTGTTTGGTGTTCCCGGATTCGGTCCTTCCGCTCTCTGGTTCACCGAGCGCTCTGGACTTGAGACTTCGCGACGGTATCCCAACTCTGGGACCTCTACGAGTCGACCTCAATTCTCACGCCACTTCTCCCTTCGGCCGTTTCACTCCCCCACTCACGAAGTCCAAGTCTTAGACAACCCACCATATACAACAGTACAGTTATTTACCGGTCAATGAAACAGCAAAATTGGATATTTACTGTAGGTTCCAATTGGTTGGGAATTTTGACTAGGTTTGAATGTAAGAATGTGTAATACTATGCAACAATAAGATACAGTAAAAAAAAGATGCTCAAAGGTGCGGGTACAAGTCCACTTTCACAGCATTATTGTGGCGTGGGTATTCTGGGCTATTTTGGGTCATTGAAACAGTCTGGGCATGGAATGGCCATGGCCAGTGGAATAAAAGCGGAATAGCCGCTGGAGAATAGCTCCATACACATAGGGAACATCCCAAGGTTACGGAGAAATTTAGCTCACCGCGTCTGCAAAAATCGCTGCCGTATACCATTTGGTAGGCTTCTCTTGAGCATCGAGCCAAGAATTTGTGCTGTTGCCGCTCTTGTCTTTTGCTGAAAGGTTGTGTACAATTCGAAACTTTGTTTCCTCATCAATAACTGCCATCAGCGCTGTTCGGAAATGGCCTCCAAAGAAAATTTCAGCATCTTCGATTGACAAACCACCATACATCCTTCCTGCATCAATCTCGTCCGCTATGTACTTGTCAATGATGTCCATATGTTTTGAAGCCGAGGCAGAATTACAAGGAATGAAATTGGAGGTAAGAGGAGGAGGGGAACCGATGGGAGAACCGTAGATAATGTCATGTACGAGATTAGGGTATTTTTCCTGTAAACCACACCGTTGAAGAGTATCACACCACACCTCAGCACGGTAAGGTGTGACGACCTTTTGACCTTCAGTTACGAGGACATGTGGAGGCACCATGACCTGTCTCAGCACACAACGAGCAGATGTGGAGGGCATCGTCGGTGGGCATCGTACACTTGTTTGGTCCTTGGACATTGTGTCGTAAGCAGACGGGCTGGTTGTCAGAGGTGCGGTAGAGATATGTTCCCTCCAGGCGACAATGAAGGATCGTCCAGGTTTGTTAGGAATACTCTCGCTGCAGGCGTCGGCTTTATGCCCTTTCTTTCCGCAACGGAGGCAGAGGTAATCAAAGCTCGAGCGTTCGCCATCTTTACGAAAGGAATACTGAGATTTGTCAAAGGGTTGAAACCGGGATTTGTTTTTTGTGGTCCTAGTTGGGCCATTGATGGCTGGGATGTATTGAGCAACGGCAGTCTTGATCTCCTGGGCTGTCGTACGCCTAGCGACCCTTTGCACGACGCGGTTCCAACCTTCAATGTACTCTTTCGAGTTAACATCAATAATAATGCCTCCCCTAGTGAAGAATTGCGGTCGTAAATGGTCGCAGTCGAATTCCTTGTGAGCCTCGAATGTCGCCTCGATGTCTGGGTCGGTAACTGCTCGCTGGTGATGTTTCACAAAACCTTCGAAGATTTGCTCTCCTTCACATAACTCCGAGATAAAGCTCAAGAAGTTTTCGTACGCTGCGAGCCATTGGGCCAAGGACATGTCCTTTTCGTTGGGGAAAGTCGAAGTATCGAGTACTCGAATGTTCGTCGATGTAGCACCTCGTGCGAACTTCCGATACGTTACGTCTCTTCCGAGCCTAATATTCGTGAGCGTTGTGGGAGTAAACATCGTCAACGGTGGTGAGATTCCATTGCGGGCAAGAACGAACAGGTCTTCGGGATATGAGGACTCTACGGTGCGATAACCTCCATTGGCCAAGGCTTTCGCATCCGCAAATTTGAAGCCTGTCTCCGAGTCCTTGGCATGGTCCTTGGAAGCTGTGGACATAGTCGGGTTGTTTTGATGAGTACGCACAAGAGAATTCATTCGATCAGCTAGCTCCTTTTCATCTTCATCTTCTGAAACCTCGCTAGCATCATTGGCCTGCCTTCTCCTTTCCGCTCGCCTAGCATTTCTTCCTTTCAATTCTTTCATCATCTGAGCAGTCATTGCTATCATGGTGACGTCGAAGCCAGTTCCTTGATTTGCCGAGCCATGAGGTCTTCCGGAGGAGGTTGAGGGAGCATTGTTGGTTTGAGCAGACATAGTGGATGATATGATAAAGTAATAGTATTTCTGGATGACTGAAAACGCAACGAAGTTGCAAAGTGCGAATGAGGTGCTGACTGCGAACGAGGAGAGTCAAGGATGAAGGCGAGATTCAGCCCTTCTCATTCGCTTTGTCAGCACCTTATGAGCATTGCCTCACACGTTCGGCTGATGCTCAACGCCCATGTACCCAAACCTCATTAGTCAGCAACTTGGAATCACTCGAGTTCCCGATTCTTTCCGAAGAATGAGGAAACGACAGAGGGTTATAGCAAGGGCTAACTGTCATGAGTAGTGCCAAACTGTCTGGACAGGGGCTATACTCGGGGTCGGCTTAAGTAATTTTTGGTGATTGGCGAGCATGCGGCACGCAGCGGCTCAGTTGCCGTGAGATTGCCGCTGTGGCTGAAAAAATCTCTCTTTCCGGTTACTTCCTATTGGCCAGTGGTTGGAAAATTGTGTCATCCATCTTTCCACTGTTTGTGCTTGCGCGTCGCAAGTGGTCCCTACCTCTTTGTCCTTTTCATACGCTCTGTGGATACCCGATCGACTACTGCCTGCTCTACAACCCCGCTCAGTGGGTTATAAATTGCACCATCGCCATCAAGCTCGACAGTGACGGTAAGGATCTGACTTCTTGTTTATTTTGCTTGTTGGATATAGACTTTACTATCTACAAGGATTTACTCTGGTCGACCGAGCCTCAAGAGGCAACACTCCATTGCCGTCAGTTTCCTTTAGGCACGCACAAACGTTGAAGGGATGCAACCCACGGCAACCCAAGGGCCAAGATATCATGTCGAGCAAGTTTAGGAATATTTGAGGGATGGGTTTGAAGGTGCGTTTTACTTGTTCTGCTAATGCTTGTTTCTTACTGATTGATTGCATAGATGAAGATGGCTGCAGATGACTCTGACACCAGTTTTTAACAAGAGGTATACACAATCTCTTTTCTTTTGTGTACCCGACGACTAAACACTTACGCAGTATTTTTCCATACCCCAATATTGATGGTGGGCGAACGTTGGCAGAGTAGAAATAAAGTCATTAGGAAGCGGGCTTTGGAGAAGGTACACTCACCTCGCTTAACACGTACTTATTCCAACGTGATTCTTTTTCTGTTTAGGTTCAGTTCGAGAACGCGGTTTGACTTCGTGTCTGGTAACACTCAGGTACATTGAAGTACGTTGTTTCCTGCCAATCAGTTTGTTGTTGTAGTGATATTCGTGCAGGCACACCTCAATGATCAAGAACCCTGTGATACTGATGATCAACTTGGCTGAGACTGGCATTTTGGTAAGTAGAGAGCCCGACTTTTGAGTGCGCGCAGGATGCTCGGAGTAGCGTCGATGTCTGAGGGGGTTGCAGGTGGCGAGGGGAGCTGCTACGACTATGTGCCGCATGTCTACCTTTAGCTGCCTCTTATACGTCTGTGATATTTTTGAATTCATAAAAATAATTTGAGGATTCGGACTTGCCACGATTGCAACAGCCTCTCACTTCATTTGCATGGTATAAGGTACACAGTACGGAATGTTTTCTTTCTCAAGACCTAAATTTCTCATGCGGGGATGGACGGAAGTTCGAATGGAGAGCAAAATTATGGCATATCACTGCTTGGATGAGATGTTAGATTGTGCAAAATGCGAGCTGGCGGCGCAGCCGCCGAGCGAGCTTTTTGCACCACGACGTTTCCACATTCAATCAAGCTGTATTCTATAGTTCAGCTTGAACGACCACGTTAACACAGACTTATGAAAAGGATACAGCTTGCCGTTTCTTCGTACAAAGGAAAGAATCGGGGACCCGGCAACTGCCGCTACTGGATGCTATAAGAAAGCGAGATCTCCTTTCCAGTCTCCCTCTGATATACAGCCTCGAAATCTTTGCAGATTTTTCTTGCATCTTTCTGAGGAGCACCGGGTAGTTTGGCAAGCTCATTCTTGTGTGCAATGACTGCCTTTTCCATTAGCTGGTCATGGCATTTGCGAGTAATCTGGCACTTTTTCAAGTTTGATTTAGCATGTCCAGGCATAGTAAAAAATTGAGCAAGAGGAGAAATAAAATTCGGAGGCAATGGGGCAATAATAGGCGCATTGGACTGTCAGACTGTCCATCAAAGGCAATAGCTTGGCAGAACCACACTTTTATCTATGCCCTAGACTCCTCGGATAATGGGCACCTGGTCTCAAACTTGTCATACAGGTTCTTCAGAAGGTCATTAACATTATTGAGGCCTTTGTGGGTGATTACATTCAGATGGAGGACACACATTTCTGGGTCAGATTTTGAGTTCATGAGAAAATAGATATTTTTAGAACAGAAGCCTCAATTTCTTGGAATATTATCCATGTCACATATGAAGAACTACTGTAGAACATGAAGATACAATACACATCAGCAATGTAATACAAATTAATGATGAAGGATGAAGGGAGCCTGAGAGCAAGAGGCTAAGTGTTTCATTGAACCATGGTGTTGCAATGACCGGTAAATAACTGTATCTGGTGTACATTATCTTCCCTCCTCTCAGGCGACACTTAGCTTATCCAAAGAGAGGAAAACTGCGGTGCAAGACACTAGGAAACCTTTCATGTTCGAAGAGAGGATGCTTTTCTCATGGGAACTCCCTTGCTTTTATAGTATAATCGAATGGCCGGCCTGGGGGCGACTGAACTGAAAGGATGGTGTAAAAGCCCTGCATACACTTCGGGGTGAATAGAAAAATTGTCAAGCTGCAAAGCTGAAAGATTGAACGGAATGATCTCTCTTAGACAGACGACGAGATACCTTTTTTGACAGGATGAGGATTCTAGAGAGCTGAGTAATTTTGTCATCCTTCTAGTAAGTTATGTATCCTGGAGTTTAGGCGGTCTCGTTCGCATCAGTACTATCAGAAATCACTTACTAATAAGCTAAGCTTCAGCTTATAACACTCTTAGTAGACTCGGATAGTATTATATACCGTTGTTACATTGCAAGTCGACTGAAGCTTTGGACATGCTGAAGGAATCTAGACCTAGTATAGCAGCTCTGACTGTTGACATCGTATTTGCTGTACAATTCCTCTGTCATTCGACTCCATGACTGACCCAAGCCTATTACAACGCACTGTTCCCAGCCTAGATTAGCCTACAGCTAAGTCAAGTTGTGAGTAGTTCGATGCAAGCCTAAGCAAGACGTGCGATAACACTAGTACAGCTTGTCATGCGATAAGCTCGAGTGAAAAGGGGAGCTCCAAAAGATACCGGGTGCAAGAGGTGTTTATATTTTGGCGGATACGCTGAACCACTATAGGCGGGTTAGTTCATCTATTGAGGTTCAGAAAAGAGGGAGTAATCCCTTCCCTTTATGTCCTCATTGCTGGGGGAAAGCCGTTCCCGAACTTTTGGTCTTAGCTCGAAGTTGATGACACCTAGTTTCTGAAACGACGTCAAGTCAGACTGCAGGAGAAAATTTCTCAAAGGAAGCTCTGGGGGTGAACTTGGATGGAAGGAGGTTGGACGCAAAGGCTGCTTGACAGCATCTCAGATGTGTTCATTCCTTCAAAGAGGGAAAGCCAATTCCCAAGGATGTGGTATGCGCCATCGAAAACAAGTCGCGTAGGCGCTATAAGCCTCTCCAAATACTGCGACTGACATGGTTAACATCTAGATTGGTAAAAATCTGAGTAATCAGAACCCTACAATGGAAATATGAATTCGGACTCACTTGTCCGTGTCATCATAGAGTCTGAAGCACTTATTGCTTCCTAACTGATATGACACAGTCCTAAGGACATAGTTACTGTCTAGAGATGCGTACCAAAGTAGTCAGCAGGTCATACAGAAAGCAAACATCCACGCACAACCTGACAACTCCAATAGCATAGAGAATGGACTCTCACGTCTTGATCAAGTTCGAAGGCGAATCAGGAAGAAAGCAGTACAATTATTATCTTCCGTAAATCAAAGGGGGTATACCGCAACAATGAAGTCGAACAGAGACAATTAAAGCAGCTGGAGAAGATCCTCTGCAATGTACGACGTATTGCAATACCAATACTCAACGGTGGTCTAGAGAGAAAGATACCGTCAGACCGTCAAGTCTACGAAGTGGTGAAAGTACTTACTTGCAGATAGAGCGTCCCATTCTCCAGAACGATCTCGTTGTACGTCTTCTTCGTCTTGGGTACAACCCTCAGTACAAACACTTTTTCCGTCAACACCTCCTGTAAGCCTTCCTGTAACATATCGTCGCCTTTAAACCCATCTCTGCCTAGTTGGTACTTCAACCCATCCTTGAAGTACGCCAATGTGGCCGCTCCAAAGCTCGTGTACCAACCCTTGTCCGTCTGCACGTCCAACGCCTTGAAGTTCTCCTCAAAGTTCGGGTCGAGCTTCACATCAGGGATCTCTGTGAGTTCTGCGATCTCCTGTGTGAGATCCTCGTATTCCTCCTCCCAGGTCTCGTCAATGGAGTGCTTCGCCTGGAGAGAGAACACAAACCCCGGTGCGTTATTGACAACAGAGAGGAGGCTGTCTCCGACCGAGCCCGTGTTGGTCCCGAGGGAGTCGGGCTTGAAAAGGATCCAAAAGACGCCCTCTTTGATCTCAGAGGAGATGTAAGGTGCTTTGTCGCCAAGGGTGTTGACGCCGATGCTTAGCTCGGACTGCGTCACGGCAGCGTTGAAGTAGTCCTTGCCGTCAGATTCGTATTTATCGAGGAAGTATTTGAGGGCCGAGATGAAGCCTTCGGTGTAGCTGGATACGGATGAGTGGATAGACAACCAATATATGTAAGAAAAGAGGCACCTAGACAAAGTGTATCCCGCAGAGGAGCGATCGTCTTGATTGTACGCCCAGATAGCACCAACGTTGTAATTGATCTTGAAGTCCGTGCCAAGCAGTTTTGTGATCTGGGCCTCAAAGTCGGCTTTCTTGGACTCGAAGTTGTCCCGGACTAGAAAACCAACGATGAACAAGGGATCATTAACAGTGACCAGGAGCACTTACTATCTTTCCGGACAGCAAGTGGTAGTTTTTCTATGGGAGCCTTGGGGGTGAAAGCTGGAGTTTTGGCCATTTTGGAGGGTAGAAAAGAGAACGTAGAGTCGAAAGATTCGATGACAAATATCTCCTGAAAGACGCGGTTTATATCCTCGAAAATCCTCCTGTCCGTTTCGAGCATCTCAGGAGCCTTGCAGGAGGTTTTCTTCAGGTACCCCTCGAGTGAACGTGCATGGCGACGGACGGGTACCCCTGGGTAGGAATTTCCTTGGGTACTGACGCGACTTTGACATTATTGAATCTAGAGCTGATGAATATTGAACACAATAGGAATTGAACTTCGAGCCAAGGCCATCGTGGTGGTTCACGAAAAGACAAGGATCTTGTTCCCACGGTGCAGCGCTCGACCTTTACAACGCTGACTCGATACTGGTCTCGACAGTTATGGGAGTTGATTACCAACTCCGATAGATCAGGATTCAGCATGGCCCTTTGTCGGCGAAAGAAATACTCAGGGACGAGGAGATGCGATAGTATCAGAACGCGTTTTGACGCGTACGGACCGTTCTTTTACTCGTCCAGTTTGGAAGCAAAAATCGCGTCAAGGGCTCGGAAAACCATTGTTCTTTCTATTTTTTTTCGTGTTATACAGCTGTGGTACCTGGCAGGGTGCAGAAACATTTTAAAGAAGGCCGACCTTGATGAACATCTTGCGTAGGCCCGCGGATATCAATACGCTTCTCATCAGTTTCTCAAAGGCAAGCGTCCAATTGTTTCCTCCTTCAAGCTAGACTGACAAATTTTGTACATCAGTTGCTGCAGGATACTGTGAGATTCTCCAGTGAAACCCCGAAAAGTTCTGGGTGTCGTTAACAGTCCATATTACATGTCGGTGACACCACCCTTCACCAAGTACGACGAATCATTATAATGTTAACGATCATCCCCCTGAATATTGGGCCAAACTAACCTGGGAATCCGTCGCCTGCCTGAGCGATCGCTCCTGATAAAACAACTGGCTCACATCCTGCCAGATTGTTATCCAGCGCTTAGTGAACCTTTTCCGATCCTGTACATGCGAACTGTGATGAATAAAGCTGACTATTTGCCATGGGAATGATTATCACTCGGGCAAAGTGAGGAGACCGCAAGCGGTCTTCGGCCTCACCAATGTTCAGGACGATCACTGGACTCGTAACTTCTTGGAGTGAAACATTCATCCGTCTACGAACGTCCCTGGATAATGGCACCATTTCCGATACGTACATCAAAGGAAAGATGTGATTGACGGTGCGTAGGTGCCCTCCAAGATATGACAACCTCCCACAGCGATTTCTATCACCACCGTTCCTGTTTGTTTCACGCGTCAAAGTATCGTGCTACACACGCACAGGGGTCCTCCTCGACTCTTGGTGATCGTGGTAAATTGAATCAGGTCCAGGGCATCTATATACACGTCCTTCGAGTACTCTCCGGCCGCGTTAGAATCCCTCTCCGCAATGAACTCCGAAATGTAAGCACGTCAGGTCATATCCTTGCCTTCCTCACCCACCTTTTCAGTCCTCTGAAAGCCCGTGTCGACATCCGAGATCAATGGGACTCACCCAACGCTCCCATACATACCTCCATTGCTACCTTGCAAAAGACTCTGGGCCACAAAATCTCCCCACACGCAGAATGGCCCGCCTTATGGAGTCAACTCAAGGACCGCTTCTCCGATAAATCCAAATTCGTGCCTACCGTCATCAGTATCGTCGTCGTCTGGTACGAGCGGCTCCTAGGGAGGCTGGACAATGACGTGTACGCAGACTGGACAGAAGAACTCCTGTCTGCGCTTGAAGGAGGAGCATCACTGCGCATTGAGGTGATTTGCCAATGTCACTGTTCCGACCCACAGCATCTAACGCGTCGACAGCCCGCTCCGCCCAAGGTCACGCGCCCGACCACAACCTGGGACAGGAAACTACGGTCGTTCCATCTCGGAATCCCTAACGCGGAGCCCATGTCCCAAGCACGAGTAGCCAGCGTCTTTGATAAATACTTTGACGATCTCTTTGGAGAGACAGCGGGTGTCGCAGACGACCAGGAGGACACAGAATGGGCATATGTTTCCTCCGACCCAAGCTCCTGCAGTTGTTTCCGCCTCTTACCATACCCAAGTACCGCCGGACCTAGCCCCTCTGAGCGCCTTCCAGTTCTTAGCTCCCTCTCTCGACCCTCAGATCTCTTCACCTCGACCGCGCCCTATATTCTCACCATCACCCTCCGTGGCCGCGAAGGCCTGGTCGTATACTGCTCCCATGAACCGACTCTCGAACTCTTGAACGAATACCTCAAGAAATGGGCAAAGACCAATACTCATGATAGTCTGCGCGTACGTCTGCGAGGCCTCGACTCTCTTAGTCAAATATACGCTGACGCGATAATTCCTTAGCGCCCAATATTCAAGCTTACGCTTGTCGAGTCCGATTTCTGCTTTGGGATGACGGACACTCTCGTCATTGAGCCCTACTTGTCACACCACGACGGCGTCAACCCCACGATCGTCCTCGCATTTATTGAAGGCGTGGTTGGTTACAAGATGGTTTACACCACGGGATCGTACTGGATGTATCGTTGCACTACTTTGTTCAAATAAATCTGCCGGAACTGCTGGTTCACACCAACGTACTCAAGAGTTTGGGAGACATCTCTTTTCAGCGGTCAAATAGTGTAGACTCAAATGCGAAGCACCTGGCAGAAAAATACATTTCCGGCGAAGGAATTATCAAGTACGACACGGCCTAATCACGCAACAGAAGAGAGAAGTAGATGATAGATTCAGAAAACAGAGCGTTCCTTTTCATAATGGAGCCGGGGAGAGTCATTACACACAAAACACGATGAAAACAATAAAACAAACCCAACCATACTTCTTAAGAAGTCGCAGCATTGCTTGCAGTGTAATCCTAGAACAGTAAACGTACATCAGAAAGACCACCCTCGGAAATTGAGAAGAGCAAAACTAACCTCCATTTCGGCATCGAGGTCAGCGGCCGTCTTCGCAGGCCGCGGTTCCTTGCGAGGCTTGCCCCCTCTTCCCCTTCGTCCTCTTGGGCACCACCAGTCCTTCCCAACAATAAGCACACCGAGCACCATACACTAAGGTATTTGCACAACTGACCTAGCGGCCGCAGTCACGACAGGAGGAGCGACACGGGAAGCCAGCGTCTGCTGAGGTCGCGACGGATCCACAACAATCTCGATCTTCATTGGTTTCTCTGTCAAGTCGGAAAAAAGCGTCGGTGAAGGGAGCGAGGGAGGAAGGAATTCGTTAGTCGGTTGTCAAAGGCGCGACGTGAAGAAGGAAGTAAAACGAAAAGCCAAGGGACGCCCAGCGGTAAGCCAAGAGTCCCTCCCATGCATACCGGACGAACCGTAGCCCTGTCTCTGTCTGTCACAGTGCCTTTTAGGAGTCGCCCAGCGCGGGCGGGCGGGCGGACGCCAATTCGAACGAGTGAACGAACGCTATAAGCGGTTAATCGGGCAACCCTTGCTCTCCGATATACCATGCTCCATGCTCCTGCTCTTGAGGTCTCATCAACCACATCGGAGCCCAACAAACCGACAGTCTCCACCAGAGCACTAACCAGACCGATAAGATCTTCCCAATTATCGGCCTTGTCGGGGATGCCACACCACGGCCCTGGCGCTGCCACATGCAAGGTTGATCAGACCTGCGATTGTGGCGCCCCAGAACGTTCAGTTACGGGGCAAGGCGATACCACGGTTGCTGATGACAGACCGAGAGGCCTGCCGTGTGCAGAACAGAGACAATAAGCCACGGTCCTCCTGGAAAACGCAGTAATGAAGGGCGCAAGGGCCCATGCATGCAAACGAAGCGAGGTATAAGAGGAGGCTGATACTAACTGCCATCGATGAGTCGATTGTTGTACTGGTTATATGCAGAAGTGCCGTCGCCCTTCCTCTGGAAGTGAACCGAGGCGACACCCTTTGAACGGCCGTTGCTGTCGTAGTGAAGGGTTACCTCACGGAGAGGGCCGACGGTTGAATGAAAGAGCTCCTACACCACACAAACCAAGTCAGTCTTTCGTGTACTCAAAAAAAAAAAAAACATTGATAGAAGTTGACATACCTTGACTTGAGCCTCATTCACATCAGGAGGGAGGTTGGATACGATGATTTTGTCTGCCGGCTGCTGGGAAGGCACAGCAGCAGTAGCGGACCTCAACTTGGCCTTGACAGCGGGACTCGGTCCAGTAGTTCCTACAACTTGGGTCTTGGACGAGCCACGACGGCCAGTGCGACGGATACCTCGAGGGCGAGAGGTGATGATCTATAAAGCAAAAGAAAATTTTGGTGTTATACGACGGGCGGGGGGTTGCGAGCGCAAAATGAGCCCACATCGTCAAGAGCCTTGTCCATTGTTGATTCTGGGCTGGAAGATAGAGAAGGAGCTGAAAGTCTAGTGGCGGTTGGTGGTGGTGTGTGGTGAAAGGGGAGCGTGAACAAAGGGCGATGCTGTTGCGTACTTGCCGGCGGAGTTTATATCGGAGTTTCTGAGTTTGAAATATGGTGCCGAGCCGACATTGCGACTTGGGCTTTTATCTCTGCTTTTTTCATCATGTCTCGAGGTCGAGGATTCGGTCGAGGACGGGGGTCCTTTGGGGCTGGTAACCTTCCCCCAATGGGCCTCACGCATGCTGACGTCCAAGCTATATCACGTGAAGCAACGGCTATGTACCCTGTACGAGTTTGCCTCCCTCGCATTCATATCTTGACTGTAAACTGAAATACAGCCCATGCGCCCCCCAGTGATGTCTGAATTCACCGAAGATGAGAAGAAAATGTGTCAATACCAGATTGGATATGCAACGCGACTAAAGCAGTCGGCTTACTATGTCGTGGAGGCAACAAAATCCAAGGGTCAGAATGAATGGTGATCAGTAGCAGATAGCGACTGAATCATCCCACAGAGCTACCGAGGTACTCTGACAAATACCGACCTTCAAGCATGACGCAGCCGAAATTGAAGCGCAAAGACCTCCACGAGGAATTCTTCCCCAAAGATATATTTGAAGACTACTTCAACCCCAGACGGAAAAAAGGTGTGTCCAGTTCTTTGCGATGATCACGCTCATACATTATCGCTTCCCTTAGTTCCCAGGATCAAAAAACAAGGAAAATTTACTGTCAACCTATCTGACTTGGAAGGATCTGTATGTCGCGTCTTTCCTTGTTGGCAACAGCTCTTTTGCTCATCTATTCCGACAGGAAAAATCGGCAGATGAGGCTTCGGAGCTTGCATCACAAGGCGACGGTTCTGATTATGATGTTGATGAGGAGTATGACAACGACTATGCAGACAACTACTTTGATAATGGCGAAGGAGATGATATGGACGATTTGGGTGGGGGTGGAGGTGGCGATGGTGGCGGTACGTCACTTGATCGTTAAAGCGTTTTCTCTTATGCTCATATTTATACAGGAGATTATGATTAACCGCAAATGCAGGGTCTTGTTACCTCTTAGATACAATCGCTTTCAAATCAATATACGTTGATTAAGTCGGGTTCTCTTTGATTGCATCGAACGAAATTCATTAAAACCTCCCCCAGATCACATTGGGGCTGAACTCTCACACTGCTTGTCTTGGTGGGATATGCCCACTGGAGTATCATTTTTCAATTACGTTGTCAAAACAAATGACTGAACAATATCTACTAGAGAAGAAAGTATTTCAAGAAAAGATGAAAACTAGATCGTCCGGCTCCGTAAAACATGTCAACTAATAATAACCGCGATTGAACCAAACGTAAACGATCTCCTACAAGAGAAGTCCACCGACAAAGGCGCCAGCAATGGCAACCAATCCAGCCATGACCTTGTTGTACTCCAACATCGCAAGTTGTCCTGCGGCGGCGTTAGAGGTGGTTGCGGCAGCAGATGATCCCGATGCACTTCTTGATGCAGAGCTGGAACCAGGGGAAGTGCTGCTTGCGCGACTGCTGGTGCCCGAGGCCGTACCACTTGATGCATGCGACGAGGTGATAGAGCCTGATACAGAGCCTGATACGGAGCCTGAAGCCGTGGTCGAGACAGACCCGCTTGCAGAGACCGAACCAGATGCACTTCCAGATACACTGACTGCGAATCAATGCATGATGAGCGGAGGCAAACAAGTATCGACCCTGATGCACTTACCAGCAGCGCATTCAGATGCCTGGAGAGCCGCCGCGGCTTGCTGCTCCTCCGCTGTACATTGTGTCTGCAGACAGGAAGCGGCGGCATCCTGGAACGCCGTGTTAGTGCAGATGCACGAGAGATCGGTCCTGAATGATGAAGGGGTCACGTTAGCATCCGCATGGGACCAAGAAGACGCTGGCATTTGACATACAGGGTGCATCCATTCGCAGAAGCTGCTTGCTCGGAGCAAGTCAACACACACGCAGGGATGGTGCTCGTGTCTGTGGGTACCGCGGCGGACGAGACACTAGTTCCAGTGGGAACTTCAGTGCTGGTTCCCGCCTCCGTCGTAGAGGTAGCGGTTTCAGTGGTGCTCTGTGCGTGTACGGCGACGACAAGGAGGCCAAGAAGGGAGATGATCTTGGTAAGACCGTGCATTTTTGAGGGATGATGTCTGTGGTGTGGTCGCGGTGGTCAGTGATGACTGTTGGTGTCAAAGAAAGAGGAACATTCGAAAGACGACAGATCCATATTTATAGGTCTCCCCCGTCGCTTCCTCTTTTGGAACCGATAATATTTTTGTTCCCACCAGCCTTTCAGGGATTCGCGCTTGACAGTTCGCGTCATATTTTGTCTCAGACTGCGCTCACGACGTACTGCCTTGGCCGAACAATGTCTTTCCTGTGTCTGATACTTTCCCTTGGCATTCTGCCTCTTTTTCGGGGCCCTTGGTGTAAAGATTGTCGGGCTGACGGGGCCGGTTATATATCATTACTCCAGGGGTACTTGATCGATGCCTTCATAGTCTTGAGAAAGGTCTCACCAGTGCTCACTTCGTGTACTCTACTGCGCAAAGTTTCTCCCGCAAGTCATGTGTACAGCAACATAAAACATCCTCCGCTTCCCCTATAACGTCGTCCTGTCGTCCTCCTTTGCGGGATGAAACGTCGAAAAAGGGACGTCGATCTGTCACACTTGGCCGAAATATGAGCGCTAATTGATGTGTATCAGCACGTTCTTACCATACCACTGTCTAGATCAGTTCTGCTTTCCATCCTTCTGAATGCATCCCCAGCTCTTCTGATCTTTCACCGTGGTAAGGAGAGAAGGGTTTTGAAGGGTAGAACTGTATGGAGCTGTACGTTCCTCAAGCTTCCATACCGAGAGCTGTTGACAGCGATTGAAATCATGAGATATCGATGTCGTTCCACCTCGGCTCAATTGAGAAAGGGAATTTTAGTGGCTGGTAATTCTATCACCGGGCGAATCCAGAGCATCATTAGCTTCCACATTTTCTCTAGCTATTCTTGTTCGAAGTCACCAGACCGTGCAGTTCTCTGCGGATTCCCACCATTGCAGAAATTGATGCAGGAAGCCAGACGAAAAGTTTCCATACGAAGGAAGGCGATGAATGTTGTCAGTTGATGGCTATGCATGATGCCCTTTCCAACCCTCAAGACTCGTCTGGTACCAAAATAAGAAGCAGCATGCAATATGACAGCAAGCGCAGTCTTTGATGTTTCAGGTATCCGTTCAAGTGTAAACTACTTTCTGAATGGTGACGCTAATTGTACGCCCGAAAGGAATGACTACTTTATACTGGTCTGCCCGACTTTGAATTGGTTTATTTCTCAATGAAGTGGTGATGCAAGGGTACAGCCACTGTACGTACTGCGCGTGTCTTATTTTTAAGCTCCCAAGTAAAACTTAGATTTCGACAGTTTACGGGCAGCAACTAGTCAATACCGGCTATAACTTTAGTGGAAATTCAGCGTCTCCGGGTATCAAATAAAATGTTAGAGGCCCGTAGTGCACAGCATTTTTTGATCACGATTTTTCTTCCTATGACTCATACTTACATTCAAACTCGAACCACAGCAACATCTGGGGCGCTTCTTCCAAGTTCCCAGCCTATACACGCCACAACTCCGAACGGATCTTCCATAATTTGTTCAGCCGATGTAAATGTGAACTGTTGGACTGTAAATAACGGCCCGGCCCCCCCTGCTTCCGGGTTGAAGTGAACTAGGGATAATATCCCAACGCTGCGGTCGCCTTCGCCTTGCTAACTCGAGTTTTGAACCGAATTCATACTTATCCTCCTCCGAAGGTCTGTTTTCGCCGGTCATTACACGATCAAGAAACCACTATGCTACATCGACAACTGAAAGATTCGTTCACATCTTGCGAATCCTACTACTTAAATAATCGAAACCTTATGGCACGGAACTGGGGCCCGGATCCTGAATTCCCCCGGCCTTATTCATCCTGCGAATACGCGCTGCTAACTGCTGTGTGGGCTTCTCCACACGCATGATAAGCGCTAAGCTCAAGGCCCAGCTCTCCAGACGTCTATTAAACAGCGCCCGTGGTCTAAAATTCGCATTCAGCGCCACGGTTCATTCTACGGGGACACGGAAGAACCCTTACTCCTGGACAGTTTACGGCGAGCCAGTGGTTCACAGTACAGCCGTTTTAAGCGCCACGGATTCTACACTTCTGATCTATCTGCCGCCGATCTCCACATCCTGTCGTTATATGACAATCTTAGTTGGGTAGCTTGGTCTCTCGACGCACACCGCAAGTATCAGCACTCTAACTTCCACATTGTAGCGAGTATCGGCACAAGGGATTGAACAAGACGCTTAAAAGAGAAGCGGATATCTCAAAATCCGGGTTTTCGGAGTTTCCTTTAATCTGGCCGCGAGGCATCCAGAGTAAGGCATTCTCGTGTTGGACAGGATCAGGCTCGGCAAGCTCGTGATGAAATCATTGTCAAGACTCTCCCACCTTCTAGCTCCTTTGCTCTGGTCGTTGTACAGCTCATTCTGTCGTCCACCGGATTCGAAAGAGAGCCTACACCTCTTCTAATGCTTCTTCATCGACAACACACGCATCTATCACCAACCCAACCCTGATCCTGTTATTCTTACAATCCCAAGCCACAAATTGCACTTACAGGTGCGCAGATTCTGTTTGCGTCCCCGTACGACAAACTTACATTTTTCCTGTGATTAGATGGATTCAGAAATATCTCAGCTTCAACCCCTCAAGGTATATCGTTATCGCCCAGAGCACGACTCTAGTGAATCCGCCTGGTGTGGGTGGAAGCACCTCAACCTCAAGGACAAACGACCGCGGCGTATGTCGACACCAAAGTCTCTTACTATCGTGACGTGGAACATCGATTACCACGAGCACTATGTTGTACAGAGACTTGACGCTGCCTTGGAGTACCTCCAAAAGGACGTCTTCGAATGTCTCAGCGACTCTGATTCCCCTGGGCCGTGCTGCATCCTTCTTCAAGAGGTCCAGACACGCGCGCTCAGAGAGATAAGGTCTAACGAATGGATCCGCCGTCACTTTATTATGACGCCGATCGACAACACCAAGTGGCCACATTCATTCGAGAATGGCAATATCACCCTGATCGAAAAATCGATCCTCATACATGATGCCTACATTCTCAAGTATGGTATGACCGACATGGCGCGCTCCGCCATCATCGTCGATATTAGGATGCTGAGCCGCTTAGGGTCCCAACGCCGAGTTAGGATCATCAATACTCAGTTGGAGGGAAATTTGGACGGAGGAGATTTCAGGAGACAGCAGCTAAAGGAATGCGCGAAGCTTCTGAAACGCTCGAAGTCGCAGCAGAATCTGGCTCCAGCGCAGAGTGGAGGGCTCATCGTGGGCGATATGAACGCACTGGATGCAGACGCAGACGAGGTTGTGCGTTCGTTCGGGTTGGTGGATACTGTTACACCACTGAAGGACGAATCTGAAGGGCATACATGGGGGTACCAGGGTGGAATGCACTGCCGGAAGGCTCGCCTGGATAAAATTCTCAGTTATACTCCCGATGGAAAGAAGCGGGTTCGAGTTTCGAACATTAGGCGTATTGGTATTGGGTTGCAGTGGAATGGCCATTGGGTAAGCGACCATTTCGGGCTTATCGGCACTGTCGATGTACTTGCATAATCATCCTTTTAATTCATGTTGTATAGCTCAATGTATCAAATATAACTGTATGCGTATCTACGTCTCAACGCAATCTGAAAACGCTGAGTACATGGATACGACGCCTCGAGACTCTCATGTGACTGAACGGAAAAGCTAACGGCATATTGCCTAGATCGCTATAGAAAAATGGAGAGTGATTTTTTGGCGTACATATAACATGATAGTTTTTGGTGAATCAGTCTAGCACTGCCGTGAAAGTGAAGAGAGGTAATATATCACTAAAGATAGAATCGCTATTTAGATTCCAATATGCTGAGTGAAAGTACTCCTCGTGTCGTCAATTTCCTTCGTCTTTGTTCCAGTGCGATAACCATCGTATAGCATCCGTCGGTCCTAGCGACTGTAAACACGGATCCGAGAGGGTGGAGGAAGTAGATAAAGTCATGGATAAATCGAGCGTCGGTAACCCAAACGCTTCGACGTTGGGACGATGACTGGTTCCTAATGCCCGAAAGAACTCGAGGAGTTTGTACGCAGGTGCTGCAGTGCAGCTTTCGAGTTTGGAGACCCAGACGCCGTACGATACAAGGGGAACTGAGAGCGCATCAGATAATGCTAAAGCAATGGAGACCCATGATGTAGGTTTAGGATGCGCCAGATGAAGGACACGGGTCAGGCTGGTCCTTTTGTGGGGATTCGAACGACAAATATCTCTGATGACTTGGGCAGCCATATCAAGCGGAACCCAGGATACAGACTACCATCCACGGCTTAGCACACACATATATACAGTGGAAACATAAACGTGGCACTCACCCTGTCGTCATTAGGTAGACATTTCATAGCCGTAGCACTACGTATTATCAATGGCAACCATTCATTCTTGTTCCAACAGCCATTCGTGCCACCCGAAAGCTGGCCAAGTCGTACTATGGTAGAGATTAGTCCTGCCTTGTTTCCAGCGATCTCGAGAATTCTTTCAGAGACCCATTTTGATTCGGAATATCCATTTCCGACAGCTATCTTCCCGTCAACACAGCGCTCGAGTATAGGGCCGTCACTCTCGGAATCTGAATGTAAGTTCGTCGCATTTCTTCAAACAGATGTTTTTTTGAAACGAACTTTGTAGAACGCCGATGGAACTTATGAAAATAACCTCTGGAGGGTCGCACGTACTTGAAGAGAGTGCAAGATCAACAAGCCCTCTGAGCCCTTTAATATTTGATTCAAAGGAGCGCAAGGAAACTTTAAAGTCCACGCGCCAAGCTGAATAACGAGCGCATCAATAATGAACCATATTGTAATTTATAGGGACAGGTCACCATTGTGGATGATATGCGTCACAGAGCGTAGCAACTAGGTGCGCTGTTCAGCTACAGGAGCAATGAAAACGACGAATGACTCACCTCTCTATACGAAAGCTCAGGTAGTCCGAGACATGTAGAGGAGAGGTCACCCTCGAGCAGAAATATTTTGGAGGATTTCAAGAGAGCCGTATCAATTCCTCGCTCCATGAATGCCTGTCTCTGTTTCTGCCAAAGAGTATCGACTCCTCCACATAGTCGATTGATAGCATAAATACGCGAAATTGAAGAATCTTTAATAAGTTCCGCCAAGAGGTAGCTTCCAAGGCTACCTGTTGACCCAGTCAAAAGAACGACAATACTTTGTGGTCCGGATGTCGTCAGTGTAGGATGACGGCGTTCCAGCAATTCATCAGTGTATTTATCAACCATGGACTCTATACTTTCCAAAGGGGAAATGCCGACACCGATACTTTTGCCTAAAGCCAAGGACTGGATATATTGGCTGAGTTGCCCAATAGTAGGATACTTGTATACAAATGGAACGCCTGTAGTCTGTCGATGATCAGCAGTCGCACGGATGGCTTGAAGAAGAGTGTTTTGGATCCATGTCGCTTGTAAACTGGAGTCTGACATGAGCGAAATTTCGCAAAAGCAGGAAAAGCTACTACCTATCGCATCCATATTCAAATAGATCGTCTTCATCGAAAAGTGACTGCCGGAGGATATATCGGACGACGGCGCGGACAAAACCAAGAGATGAAGTCGCATCCCATTCGCAAGGAGGCGGTATGTCGACGTGAATGTTGTCTTCAACCATGCTGTACAATGCTTGTATCTCGTCCTCGTAATCCTCTATGACGGGGATGCGACGCGCTGTATTTTTTGTAGTATACGTGAATGGCTTTGATGGGCTAGATACAAGAATCATCTTGGAATTCGAAGACGGAAGTAAGCATCGGATATGTGAAGGGATTTCGGACTAACTACCTCCTTGAAAATTCGAGACTGTTTCGGAGCGAATTTGTTCATTTTCTCAATGGTAGGCCTTCTTCAATGGTAAGTACAATAACGTTTGTCACGGATACTATGCCGTTACCAAATCTTATCCCTGAAATCTACAAGTTGATTTGTATCCGAGGGATTGATCTTGAACTCGGGCTTAGGATCGACAAGCACCCCTGCCAACGAAGAATCATTACAGCTCTGGAGACCTAGTGTTTGCTAACATACCTGCATAAAACCTTCCACGACCAAACATGATAGAACCGGCGATGTGAGGGTCTTGGTTCAAGATACCCTCTTCGCAATTTACTTGAGTACCAGAAGTCGGAGCGACAGCACATCCATACCTAGTGGACCTGCGTTCGTCTAACCAAACCTTCAGTCCCAGAAGCGTAAGAGTGAAACTGACATGATATACCTTCTCTCCTGTGCTATGCATGATCTGATCATCAACCCGGCCAAAGACACGCCAGAAGCCCTCTTTCGTAGGATGTGGTTCCAAGAGGTCTGAAGTAGCGTAGGCATCTCGGCCCTTGACTTGAGTATTACAGATCGCCAGTGTGTTCCAGTCATTACTCTGATAAAAACATCAAGGGAAATAGTACGAAAGTCACGACAGCGTTACTTACAAAGATAACTAACTCGAAGGTATTATTTCCCTTTGGGACCATATGGGCCTCAAGATAGCTAGGCGTTCTGAAGTATTCCCAGTCATCATTCCTACTCTGATTGTTATTTCGTGCTACGAAGAAGAAGGTCAGTTCATCTGTGAACCTCACAAAACCGCGAAGACGTCACTCGGGCAAAGGACATTCACACCCCCACATTCCGTCCTGCGGCTTGAGATCAGGCACCCGTCTCAGTACCAAGGTGCGGATACATACGATCCATAAATCTGGTCAATGGAGACTGAATGAGCTGTAAGGTAGTCCCCCGTATTCTTGTTTAGGTTGCCGCCACCAAAGATCTGTATGCACAGCGGAAACGGTATCAAGACGTATCTGTCCACCTAAAAGACTAACGCTTACAATGCCGCGTCCCGAAAGCCATCTAACATATTCATCCTTGCGAGCCCAAGCCTGAGACCAGCTCGTCAAGTTGCCGTTATTTGATCTATAGGCTCTTACTCACTTCAGCGAATGCTGGAACGCAGTAGATATAATCAGAGTTGGTATTCTGAGCGCTGTCCATTATAGAATCTGCAGTAGGGATGACTGGCGGAGAATGCGGCGCAAAGGTTGCGACAACGAAGCCAGACGAGGCCTTGTGATTGAAGCTGAGCGGACTAATTCCTCAAAATTTCGTCGAAGAAAAAATAAACTCACGCTCATGATCATCTGTAGCACTCCCATGAGATGAAACATGGGGAGGCCTTGTATCGCAAAGACCTTATTTGTCAGGTCTTGATCACTGAAGTAAGGAATCAACGACATCTGAATTATTCGTCGATTATTAAATGGTATGGCTTTAGGGAATGCTGTGGAACCTTGTACAATAAAATATGGATGAACGCTTCAGCCTCAGTAAATCGAACGCTTACCAGAAGAATGTATATACATCACAACATCGTCCAGTTTTCCCCGACCATAAGGCACCTCGTCTGTTATCGGTGCGTCCGTGAATAGATCCTCAAGCGAAGGAGAGGGAAAACTGAAGGGAAGAATATTATGATCTGCCGACATTTGTAGTATGTCCAGCGCGCCTTTCACGAGGGCTTGCATAGCAGGATCTTTACTAACTAGTATATGGCGCACAGATACCTTTTCCAGCAAGTGCGCGACAGCTGCCGCGGAGCTGCGCGGAGAAATGGGGAAGACGACGTAGTCGGCTTTCATGATGCTCATGAGAGTAATCCAATAGGTGATGGTGTCTGTAGGCTCAAGTTCAAAAAGACTGGTAACTGACGAGCTCAACTCATAAACGTTCACTTACCGGATATAGCTAAGACGGCAACGACAGGCTTTTCATTTGCGCCTGGCTTCCATCCAAGACGATTTCTCAATAACTTTGCACCGGCATGAACCGCCCGAACCGCCTCAGGCCAGTAAATAGTCCTCGGTGTTCCGTCTTGTTGTGTGTACACAAAAAGCCTATGGCTGGGACTATGTTTGAGGTGCCAGTCGTATATTTCTGGTAATGCCAGAGAACCATCCAAGGGAGGCGGAATAAACGTCTTGCTCGAGAGCGCTTGTGTTTGCGGAGGAGGTGGGATCGCAGGAGACATGGTGTTCAAAAAATGGGGCATCGTCGTAACTTTAATCAACATTGGACAAGCTACCCCAAACAATCACTGGAAAGATAGTAGTGAGATAAGCGGTGATCAATACAAGCGAATATCAACTTCTCGTGCTTCTAGGACTCCTCTCCGCAGCCCTTTTTGTGGTTCCACAATGTGGAATACCTCAGTCAACTATCGCTAATCAGGCTACCCACGGTGCGGTTATTATTGAAAGAGGTCAGGTGGCAATGAGCGAGTATCCGACTCGGATATTTAATGATGTGACGCGTGCTGGTAGGTCAAGAAGCCGAAGAGCCTTTGCTGTGCGAGCGGCGACAATCAGCATGTGCTGAATATGAAAAGTGACACACGACATTCAATCATCAATGGAGCGCCAACTGCAGAAGAAGACCGGAGGGTCGGCTGCAAATAAAGGGATATGTGAGGTCCAAGGTTGAGATATCTAGCTGGAGTAGTCTGTGACGTCGAAACTGGCACTGCTAACGGCTAAGTGCAACTTGGAAATGCTGCACTGGATATATCGATACAGCTGGTTCGATGATGGTCGACACGAACTCTCGATCAAAAACAGATCTAGAAGTACCCATGAAACAAAAGGGTCCACACGTTCGTTGTTCAGGAAAATAGATATACATCCTTGCACCCCAGTTAAGAGAAAATAACAATAGAAAAAAATGAACGATTAACGGATGCGGGGTATAATACACTTATGGTTCCGGATCAGTGGCTTTTTCTTTACCTTTACGTGGCGGAGGGGATAGAAGGTTGGGCGAGCTCGCCATGGCGGCAGAAGTGAAGGAGGATAGTCTTCTCGTGCCTTTGAATGTGGGACTCGGCGGAGAATAAGAAAGACGAGTAGGGCTTTCGGGAAGCGAGTTGTTCTGTTTTTTGGAGCCTGAAGCGTTGGAATCTGATTCACCAGCTGCAGCTTCCGTGAGGAGGAATTCAACCCAAAGACGGGAGAAAGACTGATAACGAAGTCAGTCAACATAATACAGGTACAGATATCAAAACCCAAACCTCCGTCTCGTCGGTCTTTTGCAGTTCAGAATTTTTGGACAAGGAGCCAGAGCTTGACCGAGTCCAGAAAGATGATGCTGATGATGATGGCGGAGTGGAAGCTGATGTACGTTGAAGTCCAGCCTTCTCGCGCTCTGGGTCGGTCCACGACAGAATAGTAGCCATTAACGAAAGCATCTCGAATCGTTTGGGATCAGCTCGCGGGGTGGTCAGGAACGATAGAAGGACGTTGGTGACCAATCGTCGGTCGACATTGTTGTCGGAGGAACTACGCCGCAATCGCCGTAGAGCTTCCATGAGGTGTTCATTGATTATAACAGCTACATACAGCGATGAGAAACGCAAAAGACGGTTGTGAATAAAGGCACCTTCATGACGGAGTTTTCCGATGAGCAATGTTTTTTCCTTCACCTCTTTCTCAAGTTCGTGAGTCCGAGTAGTGTTCGTCCGAGTTTCTTCCAGGGCGAGCTTGAAAACATCGTGAGAGAAGGATTACAGATACCGGCTTGTATTCACCTCAGCAGTCAAGGCACGATGCTTATATTCCGCTAACGATTGAGTCACTTGTATTAGCTGGGAGTCATAGTCCTTAACGGCTTGTCGAAGTTCATGCTCCTTCGCTGTCCGTTGGTGAGTCAAGCGGCATCAAAGGAAGCAGGGAATACTCACCTGCCTGGAAATCTTGCAGCACGGATTGCAGATTTTCGGACTTCTCCCTTTCTGTCTCCAGCTCCTGCGCCTCCCGCCCTCGAGCCTCTCGTTCCAATTCCAATTCCCGCCTCAATGTTTCCGTGACAGTCTTGTATTCATCAGACATAGCTTTGTCCTGCAAAGCAACCCTTTCCCATTCATCTCGCTCGATTCTACACCTCTCCAACTCAGTTTGAGTCTCCCTTAACTCACGCTCCCGCAACAGACTTTCTTGGGCGTTCTCTTGAAACGCGCGATTACGTAGATTGTCGAGCTCGTTTGAAGTGCGTTCCGTCTCTTCATGCGAAGTTATCAGCTCCTCTTTGAGTGTTTCCACTGTCGAGTTCAGGTCGTCGTTCTGTGCGGTCAATTGTTGCACTAGTTGTTCTCTTCGGTCCAGTTCTTCCTACAGAATCAGTTGAGTTAGTGTGTAGATAGCAAATATGCGATACTCACGGCATCCTGCCCCAGTTTGTTCCCTAGAGTTGTCCTCATCTGAGTGAGCTTTGCGAGCAGATTGCGGTATTGTGTCGCCAAATGTTCCTTTTCTTCTCTGGTTCGTTCCAATTCTCTTTGCAGCCGCGAAACCATATCTCCATCCTCGCTGTCGTGGGGAGCGCTACCATTAGCGCCATTGATGTGCACAGGCGGTGAATCATTTTGACTGCGGTCACTGTCTACAGAGAGCCGTAAATCATTTAAGACCTGGCTGGCAGACATCGAGCCGGATAGTGACGTTGGAGACATAGGTGGAGGGCTCGTAGCGCCATTATTCGCCATTGACCGGTGATGGAATAATGAATAAGGTAAGAATAGAGTACGACACTCGTTGTCCGCAGGCCTGTCGTGTCCGGAAGGGCCACGTGGTATCCGAGGCGCTAAATGTCAGCGCCTATGGTAACTTTGTTTTGATTACAATCTCTTTCTTTTTCTCACTCTCACCACCGTTTTCTACCTGACCTTGCTCGCATCCTCTATCCCAAAGGGATCTCATGAGCTTGGAATTGGCTCAAAGCAAGTTCAGATTCAGATTCACAGGATATGCCTACACTATGCTCGGTCCCCGTCGAGCTCATATGTCATATTCTGGGTTTTCTGAACGTCGACCACCTGCTGAGATGTCTCTTGGTATGCCGCAATAACACTGATATTCTGTTGTTCTCAAATGGTTTCGTTCAGATAAACACCCACATTCATCGCATTATAATGCAGTCATCCCGACTTCAATTCACTATTGAGCTTGCCAAGTATCGTATGGAATCCGACCTTGAGGATTCGACTTTGCACCCTTTCGTCAAGCGCCTGAACTGCCTCCGCGACCGGGAGCACTCGTGGCGAAGTATTACCTGGAAGCGCCACTATCGGCTTGGCCTGCCCTCCGTAGCGTCTATCTACGAGTTTGTTGGAGGAATTTACGGGAACGGAAGAGAGCATGGGAAACGCGAGCCTATCCCGGCTATCTCCTTCTTTGAACTGCCTTTCTCCGGGTGTGACACAGGAGAGTATAGGATGTGGACTCATGCATTTGAAAACATCCGTATCTTGGACTTCACAATCGACCCCTCACAGGATCTCTTGGTTCTGGTCACTAGAGCGCCTACCGAGTAGGTGTTGATGGCCCTTATTAGTCACTTACGAAGCTCATTCATTTTGGTTTAGATCCAAATTCGTCTTTGAGGTTCATCTTCGCACACTTTCAGCGAATGATCCTTATCCGAAAGCTGCCGCACCCATACTGCCTTGCTTCCCCAAGGATCTGGTCTCAATGCCACTTTCAAATTCCATAGGCGCCATCCGTGTTCAGATTTCCGGCGATCTGATCGGGTTTTTGATGAAAGAAATGGACACTATTGAGGTCTGGCATCCCGCCTCAGGATTCTGCGTACGTCCGGTGTATCCTCCGTCTTTTTTAAGCTCACGTCAAGATAGTCATCGTTTGTATTACCGTCGGGGATAGACGATTTCACGTTTCTTTCTCAGACGTCCTTTTTGATCGTCCGCCCGCTCGGCTACTTGGAAGTCTACCAATTCCACACTCCGACGGGCTCCTCCCCTCCGCCGGTTCTATTGGGATCCTTTTCGTTCCCGCCGCTGTCCGAAGGATTCTCCTTCTGGCATTGCTCTTTGAGTGGAAACCCATCCCCCGGGTATGTTCCTCGTAGCCAACCCGGCGTCAATAGCAATGTCATCAACAGCGTCTATCATCCATCATTAGCGGACCGTGTCCTGGCCTGCTGCATCTACATCCTGGAACCGTCCCCTGATCCTGCTCGGCATCGCGTACATTCTTTTGTATTCTTCTTTCACGTGAACCTTTTCCTTGAGAATAATCCACATTCGATTCTGGGCCTGTGCAAGAAGACGGAACCACCTGGAATGTCAGGTCAGACTACAGATACGTTCTTCTTCTCGTCATACTCGACCAAGTCTCTGGATGCGTCACGGCCTCACAACCCCACGCCCACTAATATGACTCCTGTCGAATGGAATGCATGGGGCCCAAAGAACACACGATGGTTCCGGGAATGTTTGACCACCGACTGGCAACATGCGCTTCATGGAATGCGCACTGCGGAGAGTATTTCGATAAAAGTCTATGATGGCATGTCTAAGGCTACCATGGAAACGCTAGAAGAAATGACGGAGGACCCAGATGATAATGGTGTGTGCAATATGGAGGAGGATGTGGTTGACGATTCTGAAGTGGTCGAGGTGAATTATAACGAAGATCCGATTGATGCAAAGCGTTATGGCGCCGACATCGAGGTCCCCAGCGGTCCTGGGGATAGTGCTGTGTCGATGCACAGGTTTCTAAGGATACGAGATTTTAACCCTTTTGTCGTAAAGAAAGGGAAGGTTCTCTGGGATGAGCCCGAGAACCCGCACTGGCGTCGGAGGCGGGTGATCACACAAAAGACTATCACACAGGTCGAGGGAGCCTTCAAAGAGAATATAGAAAGCTCACTACCCTACACTGAGGTGGTGAGCAAGCAAGCCTTCGATATGACAGATGTTATGATGGACGACTGTCGAATTCTGCTATTGAAAGTGCGGCTTTCTTCATTCATTGGTACTGACACTGTGCTAAGCATCACTCCACATTATTCAGAGGACATTGCATGGGAAACTCTTAGGCATAGACGTTTTAACCATGTGATTTGTCTTGTATTTCCTTGTCATGCAGAAAACCCTCTGAGAGCTTCGTGTGTTGTTTCTATACACTCGTCAGAATCACTAAATTTTACCTCTGTGACAGTTACGGGGCAGCAATATCCGTACGCTCGCCGCTAATCTACAAGGAAACCCGGACATCCAAACAGAGATCCGATGACGATGTCGCTTTTGGTTTCCCCGTTGAACCTGACGGTGTTCCACAGCTGCGCGGCCACTTCTTTTCCGACCTTACAACGTCGTCAACAAGGTTGGTGAAGCACAACTCTTTTAATCTCACGGTTTTACACCGGTGCTACGAAGTACTGCGAAAATGTGGTCCAATGGATGTTACCTTCTAAGGTGTCCATTAGGCATTCTCGCGGTCTTCCAGCTCCGCTAGTTGACATCAAATTGTAGAGTTTTACGACCATGCCAATATTGCCTTTTTATCGCCCCAAGCAAAATGGATTGCCTCTCTGGTAATACATTTTGCCTCGTCGCGTTGAAATGGCCGTTTTGTCATGTCTGGAAAACTCTCCTTGATTTGTCTTGACGGAGTTCTGTAAAGAAGTGTCCCTGCAGCTGTGGGAATCCGCCAGGCGAGGTGAGCACAAAATGATTCGACATGATAATGCCCGATCAGCCAATATACTTAACGGAGGAAGGTGCATCAGTTGCTACTAGCACAAATCCGCGTTTGCGATGCATTGTCCGTGCTGACAAGTAGAGACCTACGACCACAGTCACATAGACGATTTAATTATATCGACTTACCTGAAAAACAGCACGTAGTGTAGCGACTTCTATCGGTTAACGTCAAGGACCAGACTCTTGAACAGTCATTGGTGCTGCCAAGTAAGTGCCCACCTCGTCACCAGGTCGTCTTTCTAGGCCAATCATCAGAAGCGCGAAGCACGGCACCACTACAATTTCTGTCACATTGGCCCAGTGATGACACCCTCCGAAGCGTCAAATCCTACGACCCCAGCCGCATGACGTTGCTATAGAAGGCCGCGGGGTTTTCATTCGTCTCCCTGATAATTATCATGGCTGTTATCTTCGCATCGGGCCTGCTATGCATTGCACTTATTCTTACTCTCTATCGACGATGGACTAGAAGGGCCTCGCTCGCAAACCTTCCTGGTCCTGAACCAGAGTCGTTCCTTCTGGGTGGCTATTGCCTGCATCTATTTACCGGCGTCTATTTCATTAATTCATTCTACTTCTAGGTAATTTGCGCCAGTTTTACCAGGGCCAAGCGGGAGAAGTACGTACAGCCTCCGTGAATGAATGAGTCCCAGAATACTGATATAGATCATTGCATGTAGGCAGACTTCAAGTGGCAAGCATCGTTCGGGCACGTATTCAGAATCAAGGGTATACTCGGGGTACATGTGATAGTCTACGCTGTATGAACGCCGCTGACATGTGCTGCTAGGAAAATTGTCTCTTCGTGTCGGATCCCAAAGCACTGCAACACATTTACCATTCCGGTTACCTTTTTCGCAAGCACGTCATTCGAAAGGAGCTGACTCGGGTCGTCGCTGGCAAAGGTCTCGTCTGGGCCGATAGTAAGCTTTTCGTAAAAGATGGATACCCCTCCACCTCTGATCCATTATCAGCCGATGACCATAAACGCCAACGACGAGTTATTTTGCCAGCCTTTGGAGCGGCCGAAACGAAGGCTTTGTTACCATATTTTTCGAAGTTCTCAGCGCTTGTGAGGATAATAATAAACGTGTGGACCGTTCTTATCGTGTCTTCTGCAGCTTGTCTCGAGATGGAAGGAGACGATTGGAGTGGAAAAGTCTGTTACACTCGATGTGTTCTCATGGATATCGCGAGCTGCCCTCGATGCGATCGGCCAAGGTAAGAATTCTGAGCGCTTAATGGTCAATATCTAGTAACACTAACTTATGCCAGCCGCTTTTGACTATCCATTCCATGCCTTAGAAGACAAAGACACTCCTTTGAGGAAAGCATTCGGTAAAGTAGCGTATGTATTCCAAATCAGAGTTTTGCCTTGCCATTACCTGATGTATACTACTACAGAGGCGAAACATTTGGACGACCTTCGAAGAAATCGATATTCATCCAGAACATACTTCAGTATGCGCCGGGGTCTCTCATGGCATATTTCTTCAGCCGCGCACCCACTTTTCAACATGCGAGGGAGACAACTCGGTTGGTTCAGCAAGTCTCAAAGGACTTGATTGACTCTAAGGCCGAGGCTTTCACCCAGGGTAGCGGCGAACGTGATGTCATGAGTTTGCTCGGTATGTGTTCTATCCAAAAATTCCTTGCTCCAGATCGTGATACATGAGATACAGTAAAAGCCAACATGAAAGAAAAGGCCAGTCAGGGTCTTACTGATGAGGAAATGTTGGCAGCAATGCAGTAAGTCCGGCAGCAGCATCATATCTCTACCGTTCACATACATATGACCTAGAACCATCATGGGTGCAGGACACGAGACCACTGCGACAGCTCTCACTTGGACTCTTTACGAGCTCGCAAAAAAACCGGATCTTCAAGTAAAACTCCGGCATGAGGTTAAGGACATGGAAAAGGTAATCGGTGGCGCTGATTTTTCAGTCGCAAACTTTGAGTCGATGCCATACCTACAGGCAGTGATGAAGGTAATTCTTAGTTCTTTTTTCCTTGATGGCGGGGTTTCTAATATGACATGCAGGAAGCATTACGAATGCATCCGGTCTCGTATTACGGACTCCGCGAAGCTGCGAGGCATGATGTTATCCCTCTTTCGAAGCCGCTAACGTTGAGAGATGGGAGTATCGTGAAGGAAGTGCCTGTTGCTAAAGGGACGACGGTGTATATCTCTATCGCAGGCTATAACAGGTAAGCTCGTTTTCTTAGTCTACAGAATGCGCTTAACATCTGGCTAGAAATGAAGATATATTCGGTGAAGATGCCCATGATTTCAAGCCCGAACGTTGGCTTGATGGGACTGTACCGAGAAAGGGTGCGACGGCCGTTGGTGTATATGGAAACTTGTCAGTATATCCTACTCTCTTTCCCTGCTCTTCCAACCAAAAAAACGATTTCATACAGGATGACTTTCGGTAGTGGCGTCCGTTCCTGTATAGGTTAGTCGTTTATCGTCTCGCTCTCAACTCAGTTTGCTAACATTCATCAATTCTCAGGCTGGCGTTTCGCGTACGCAGTGTTCCCTTCCCCGTTTTCTCGTGCTACCTACTCACGGTTATCTTCTCAGACTGCTTGAGTATCAGACCATCTTGGTGCAACTGATGAAGAATTTCGAGTTTTCTATTGATCCTTCTATCGTTAGTAAGATTCTCAGGGAAGCTGCGATGGTCATGCAGCCGACTATTGACGGAGAGTATGAGAAGGGTCCTCAGCTGCCTTTGCGAGTGTCTTTAGTATCCGATACTGCTTGAGGTTTAGCTGTACTTTCATGTGGTATTGCACAACACAGTCCATTGTGTAGGACGCCTAACATAGATAATACATGAACTCAGTTTTCTACTGATACCTTCAATTCCAACGAAACCATAGGTCGAGATTACGGTCAACTTAACGCTGCTGGGTGAAAACCACATAGGGTCTGGCCAGAAGCCTCAAGGAACTGCTTTCTGCGGTCCTTCATTAGGATTGGGTCGTTGAAAGCTGGGATCCCCCGTAAATAGTAATAACGTCGATAGTTCAAACCAGCCGGCAAAATTGCAAGGGAAATGGTTGTAACAGAGATGAAATTTGGACGTCTTTTCAAAATTCAGGTTGACCGGTGATCACTACAAACTATATCAACTCTACCATTATCAAGGGAATCCCGTCTCAATTTGCTGTGGCCAAAAGGTATCAGCATAATAAGCTCATATCATACAGGTGGGCTTGTCGCCTGTCCGGTAGAGAAGGGAGCACTCAGGCTCACACATCGCACTAGATTTTTGTCTGCCTCTGTCTTGTCTTGTCCTTCCTTTCAACTTCCTTTCACCAGCGAACCGGCAACAATGTTTGTCCGCTGCGTCTTCAGATATTCTAGGTCATTCTGACAACGATGACAGATTTCCTCAGTGAGTCAAAATATGCCCTTTAACACACTGGCCTACCATTCTGATTTCCTGTCTCTCGGTCTTTTCCGCGTGCTAATTGATTCAACTGCAGCACCGACCGATGCCAGATGACATGTAGGCTGAGCCATAGTTTCGTACAACTAGGAGATCATGAAGATGCAGCAATTGGGTACCAGTATTTTTGAGAAATTCATTGAGGGGGCACGAACTATGCAATACGACGCCGCCGATTGGTTCCTTCACCTCTTCACAACATGTTCTATCATGAGAGTTTTCTTTGCGTTGTTCGCCTTGTAGGAGTTCTGACAGTGATGAGCTTCATCACTATCATGTTGCCATGTTGGACACGACTGTGATCCTCCCTCGTCTCCGGGCCTTCGTTTCGTTCTAACAGCTAAGGAACGTGCCTTGCGATGTCGCAGGTTGTTCAGAGAGCAATAGGCCGACAGTTCGATGTTACAAGATGGGGGGATATTCCCATTAGCGCAGTATGGTCTGATGATACTGCGAAAAAAAGTGATAAAGATCTTTGAGAGCTCGGAAATATACAGGCTTGATGTCATAACGGAAAAGAGACCGCGCCTCGAGTTATGTAACGACGCCGCCGATCGCGTCCTTCGCCTCTTCACAAGACTCGGACGTTCTATCAAGTGGGAGTCATCTTTGTATTGTTCGCCTTGTAGGAGTTCTGACAGTGATGGGCTTCGTTACCGTCGTGTTGGGCACGGCTGTGATTATCCCCCGTCTCGAGTCTTTACCTCGTTTTAATAGCGTGCTAGCAATGTCACAGGTTGTTCAGATAGCAATTATCTGGATGAAGTCCGGGTGGAAATAGAGGTTATGACACTCCTGCCTGGCGACCAACACCCACTGCTTCCTTCGTTGCTTCGCACAAATTTTACGATAGGGTTGGCCTCCTGTAAGCCTGGGTGCTGGGAGTGGAACTACTAGAAGACGTGTCCTGTATGCTCTACTAGCGTTGGGATAGCGTTCAAGTTTTTGGCTCGCATGTTACTCCTACATGCTCTTGCGCTGTGACCTAAGATTTATTTGGACTACCCTGCTACAATTCACGGACAGTTTACCCGTGCTTGCTCCGGTGGGAGAATATTTTCGGGGGGGCCTTGCACCAGGTTCTAGGTCCTAGTCGTCGTCGTGGTCACACTGGAAAGCGGTCCCTAAAGGTAGTGTAGATCTGCATTTTAGTATATATAATTTAGTATTCACATGTTGATGCTAGTTTCTGAGAGACCACACCTTGCAGGGGGCTACGCCGAACCAGTTTGGGCCAAAGAGGGTTCGGTGGTCGTGCTTAGCACAAGCATGGGTAGTACAGACTCTGGTTAGTTTCCTTCTCGGGAACACGAAAATCAGAATAAATACCCCACCACCATCATCAGAACTTAGAAGTGTACCTAGCATGTGAGGAAGAAGGGGTGGCTTGGTAGTAGACTTTTGGATATTGTGGTGAAACACTGCTCATGACAATTTCGGCCGACATGAGGAGCGTACAATCCACGATTGTCACTGATTAGGAGAGGAACACCTGCCGGCACTTGTAGTTCAATAGAGCGAGTCAATGGGTGGCCGAGGAAATACAGCATTCTATTCAATCCGTTCAGTTATGACAGCATCAAACAGTGAAAATTTACATCCTTGCTTCCGGCAGTCCTTGATCTTACAATCGTTCTCTGGGAAAATCAGAATTCGCTAGTTGAACAGCTTTTGAGTTCATTACCGCGGTTAATCAAACTTTCATGGCGTCTACCTGGAAGGGCTGGCAAAGAGCTGGCTCGATTGAAGGCCGCGACCTGACTGAATAGACTTGAGCATCAAGGTTAATCATTACTTTGACGATGGCTCAAATTAACCTCCAATAGGTGTATTATTTCCTTCACGCGATTTACGCGTTGTCACCGCAGTTCTATGTTGTAGATCGTAATCCGGCCAAAGAAATCGGAGCTGGCGACCATGACGATCTTGAGTGCAGATATTTCGTGAAACTTTGTAGGATCCAGCTCGAATTCTTGGGCGCGATTGACATCCTCAGGATACACCGTTTGGACTGTAGTCCATTTTCCTATTTCGTCGGGTACTTGGAGGTGACACTCTGTACCGACAAAACCGCCTTGGAAGGTGATACTAAGTATCTGAGGACATGTCGAGTGAGGAAAAGCGAGTTGAACGAATTGTGGCAGCCCCTGTAAAGGAAGGTCAGGCTGACCATATCTGACTCTAACTGCTACGCTCACCTGCTGGCTTGTCCAACACGTTTCTGGGCTTCCATCTATGAGGTTTGCCTTCCCTGTCGACTTGTCGAGCGTTGAGCTGACCCTGACGGTGCATTAGAGGTGGGAAACGAGAGGAAGAGACGAACAGAGCACACTTTATCTTGACAGTCGATGAAGACATTGCTGCGTGGGAAAAAAGCGATGGGCCCCCTCGACGTCCTGGCACAACGGGAGACGGAACGTTTCCGTGCGCGATCGCTGTCGCAACACGGCCGTGCTAACGACCTCGGCGGCCTTGACCCCAAACTCATCGAGCATTACTCTGTCTCCGTTGCTACCCATCCCGACAATGCCAGCTCGAATCGCTACGTCGATATCCATCCCTACAATCGTACCGCCGTTCTCGCAGGCGGGTCTCGGTATCTCAATGCCAGCTGGATTCTGGAACTGCACGGCGGGAAATGGTGGGTAGCAACTCAGGCGCCGCTTCCCGACACCGCCAATGCGTTTCTCAGCTTTATCATGAACCCCATAACGACCCCTGCTTCTCGACACCATTGTCGGATACGTACCATCGTCCAGCTCACTCGACATTCAGAGGCCGGCCGCGTCAAGGCGCATCCATATTTCCCATCTATCGTTGGTCAGTCTGCCGTCCTCGAGGCCGGTGATGCAGGTGCAGCCCCACTCAAGGTCACCACTCTCAAGGTCGAAGACATCAGAGAGGCATCGTGCATAAAAACCACTGTTTCTGTGTCGACGATATCTGGCAGTCAGACTCATGTCTTTCAGCACCTTCTCTATGGCGCTTGGCCTGACCACGGAGTTCCCTCACATGCAGACCGTTCCACTCTCTTATCGTTCCTTTTGCTTGTCGACCGTGTCAATCGCGAAGGATTTGCTGACGATCCCCCCATTGTTGCGGGTTGCTCAGCAGGTGTTGGACGCACCGGGGCGTTCATTGCACTATCCTCCTTGCTCCGTTCACGTAAAGTGCTCAGCCCGGCCAAAGAGCCATCACCTCCACAAGTCTTACCTCCGTCGCCCATTGGCCCACTACCCAAGAGCGTAGAGAACGACGCTGTGGTGAAGGAGATTGATTCTCTACGGGAACAGAGGCCTGGTATGGTACAGAGGGACGAGCAGGTCCGGCTCATTTACGAGGTGCTGCAAGATGCAACCGAACGAAGGTGATTTACGACGGAATGATGATTAAAGAACGATATGTATCTTGTACACGACTCATGTGTAATTCCTACAAGAATAGGGTTTCTTATCCTTCGTCAATCTTGGGTCGGCTTGCTCCAGCTACAACTACAGCTCCGTCTTACTTTCAGCTTTTTCCATGATCTGACCACCACCATCACTTCTAACAGCGGCCGACGCTACAGTACCCTGGTACCGCGCTGCGCTGCAGTGAAATCATTGGATAAATCAACCACAAGCTGATTCTTCGCCTGCTTCCAACCTCGTTGGCTGGAAACCGGTGTCTGCATTCCCCAAAAGTGTCGAACGTTGAGCTTCTGTCTATAAACGGCTCCGGCCAACTTCTCTTGCCATTGCCTCCTGCTTATCCTTTATCTTTCACGATCTTCCTGGCTGTGCCCCGCAGTGAATTTCTCAAAAATAAAAATACCTGGTTGCTGCGTCTTCCAGTTTTACATGCGCTTGTGCGTGTATACCTGCTTCTATTCCGAGCTGTACGTCCCCCGTTCCATTGGTGATTTTTGCTACCGCTAAGATTTCACAAGGCTGTTCAACTAGCGAGCTGTGATTTTCTGTTTTTCCGATTGTAAGATCAAAAACTGCCGGAAAAAAAGATGAAAATTTTCACTGTTTGATGCTGTCATAACTGAATGGATTGAATAGAATGCTGTATTTCCTCGGCCACCCATTGACTCGCTCTATTGAACACAAGTGCCGGCAGGTGTTCCTCTCCTAATCAGTGACAATCGTGGATTGTACGCTCCTCATGTCGGCTGAAATTGTCATGAGCAATGTTTCACCACAATGTCCAAAAGTTCACTACCAAGCCACCCCTTCAAGTCCTTCCTCACATGACAGGTACATTTCTGATGATGGTGGTGAGATGTTTTTTCTGGTTTTCATGTCCCTGAGGAGAAAACTAAATACGAGTCATGTCTTCTGGCTCCACTCCCAGCACCGGGACTTACAGGAGGCCAACCCCGTCGTATAAACTCTTTGCGAAAGCGACGAGTGAAGCAGTGGGCGTAGGTCGTTAGGCAGGAGTTTCGCAATCCCCATTTCCACACGGGCTTCTTTCAGATAACTGCTCTCTGAACAGCCTGTGACATCGCAAGCACGCTATTAAAACGAGGTAAAGACTCGAGACGGGGGATAATCCATAGCCGTGCCCAACACGGCGTTAACGAAGCCCATCACTGTCAGAACTCCTACAAGGCGAGCAACGCAAAGATGACTCCCACTTGATAGAACGTCTTGTAAAGAGGCCAAGGACGCGATCGACGGCGTCGTTACATAACTCAAGGCGCGGTCTCTTTTCCGTTATGACATCAAGCCTGTATATTTCCGAGCTCTCAAAAGATCTTTATCACCTTTTTTTCGCGGTATCATCAGACCATATGCGCTAATGGGAATATCCCCCCATTTTGTAACATCGAACTGTCGGCCTATTCGGCGCGCAATGGGCGTTACCCTGAAAACTTATTTCCCTGTATCACACGCCGTTACATTCGTGTCTATCCGTGAACTCTGGGTTGCCCATGTCCCATCCATGCGTGATGCGATTTACGATGCCGGTCCGATGATTAACGACTCCATCTATTATGTTTTACCATCTGCCCGGTTCCACAGATGGCTTAATTTTTACCTGGGGAACCTTACAAGCGCCAAAACGGTTGGCGCGTGTTCATCATTGGAAGAAGTTTAGACCCAGCCCTCTCCAAGTACGGGGTACCGCAAAGAATGGCAAGAAAGCATACGTGACATTCATACTGTCAGTTTGCGGCAACTTGCGCTTGCTGGCTAGCGGTTAGGGTAGAGTAGCCCGTTGAGATAAAACCTCGTCTTGTCGCCTATCCATGGTTTACCCTCTTCAAGATCAATGCTTCAATTGCCCTATGTACGCATCCGCAGCAAGTATTCCAGCACCGTAAAGTAATAAGGACGGGGGCCGGTGCGAGATTCATCATACTTGTCTGTGCTGTGCACCCGGGAAAAGGTTACAGCCAAAGTTCGCCCTAGGTTGGGCGTCCCAAATACCGATGTCCATGTTAATAGACGCATAGATTATTGATAACCAACTGCCGAGGCGCCATCTCTTTTCAAGAAGCATCTGGCGTCCTAGCCATCGATGCATCTTGCCCCAGATACTCTTCGCTCGGTCCGTCAATAGAGACTCAATGAAAAGCATTCAATTGCGAGAAACACGTATCACGAAACTGGGCCAATTCTCTCGGAATAGCAGCCTTGTAACAGCAAGGCAGAAGACGCAGCTACCCTAACTAGCTCCATTGATGGCGGTCCCTCCCGCAGCCGGCAAAAGTGGTGATACCGGTTGTTCAGGAAATAATTGCTCCATTCCTCAACGGTGAATTCTTGGGTCACAATGTAGAGCCGGTTGCCAGGTGGGTCATTCTGGACCTATTAAACTCATTTTTTGATAGCGATAACTCAACATATGATACAGGCGGTAACTTCCAAGACGTCATATTGGCCATGCGAATCAGATACCCTCGCGGTGAGACGCCTCCTTGATCCGATGGTCCCAGTATCTACCATACATACAATATTAACGCATTCAAGCCTATACACAGGGACGAAAAACGCACCTCTTCCGAATGGTATCATAGCCATCACGGAGCGATTTCCAAAGCTACGATAGGTCCCTTCAGAAAACAAAACAAATATCAACTGGAGCAGAGAAAACCCACCTCGATCGCTTTCTCAACACCCTCGACACCCTGAAGTTCGTGGATATCCGCTAGGAGCTCTATGGCGGCCGGACAGGGGAGCTGGGCTTCCTCTGATGGAGGTGGGTTCTCGAGGTCCACAATATCGTCCCCTGTAGCAGGTGGAGTATCCCGAGTGTAAGCCTCGACAAATGTCTGTACACTCGAGTACGGCAGTTTGTTGTGATCTAGGATCCCACGGAGGTAGTTCCACGCGGACGCATTGTTAGGCACTAAGGATATACTCTGCTTGACGTATCTAAAGATTGATTCAGAATTAGCGACAAACACAGATAGAACAGAAGGAAAGCGCACATCAGCTCTCGCTTGATTACCCTCTCCCTGTCTTTCTCGCTGTCCCGGATCCCAGACTGGAACACGACGAAGAAGCGGTGATGCCAGGCGGAGTTGTTCCGGACGTCCTCGTTCAGCATATGGTCGACAAAGTCCAGCTCGCCACTCCATAAATCATCATCGTTGAAGTAAGCTAAAAGCCATTGTCTGTAAGACCATGTGTGGTAGTTCTTGGCGTCAGCCCTGAGTGATTGGGCAATGAACTTGAGCTCTGGAGCTGGGTCTCGGAGTTGGATGAGGAGAAGGCGGCGGTGGTGCCAGACTTGGTATGTCTTGAGGTGCTTGACGGCGATTTCGTCCATGAGTCGCAGCTCAGTCGTGAGCGGTGAACCGAGCGCGATGAGGGCTTCATACCGGTACTGCCTGCGAAATCGTGAGACGCGGCGATTCGTGTACGATGAACCTCTCACCATGCAGAATAATGGGCTGGGTTCAATCGAATGATATGTTCCGTCAGTTCCAATACTCGTGCACTCTTCTCTCCATTTCTAACGATGCCGCGAAAGTAGTCGGTCGCATCTTTGTCTGTCGAAGAGTTCAGGGCCAAGCTATTGGACCAGATAAAGGGACAAACATTCATCTGTGTAGAGGATTGGTGCCAATGGGTTGATGTTCTCGTACTGTTCCAAAGGTGCAACGTCCTTCCATTCTGGCCTTGTCGAATAGAATGGTCGGTCAACGAGATTCATTGTAGCGTGATGGTGGCCGTCAAGTACAAAAGGCTACGTAATAATGGACTTGGTCTCAAATAGGGTAAATATCGATAATAAGACTAGTATTGGTATACATACAATAGGATGGTATCAATATGGAATACATGCATACAAAAAAAGGTTAGGTGATACAGTGTATATGTTAAGGGTTGGAGGTTAGAGTGTATAAACTAGAGGAAGCCAACTGCGTTGGCCTTTCACGGGTAGCTGAGAATTTTCTTTTTCATATCTGGGAATGTGCACCCGCCCCCACCGTTTCCTGCTTTGCACGCCTGTGTTACCGCTTGCGAAATCTTCCTCATTTGTATCTCGAAAGCTCTAGAGAAATCTGAATGACGGCTACGCTTGGAAAACCCAGTAGCCGACGGAGTCGTGGATATCGCAGGATAGAACGTCGAGCGGGAAAAGCGAAACATGCGCGGGGAGGAAAAGTGAGGCGGCAAAGTGTCGAATACGGTCTTCTGCGTCTCCTGGTAGGCATCCGAATGAGGACTAGTGATATCTTGTACGACAGCCATTGTCGAGTTATAGACGATTTCCAGGAGTATGGGATAGAAATGAATCAACGAGCCAGGAGTACCACAGACTACAGGGCAGTCGGGGTTAGGACACCCATCAGGATCTACACCATTCACTTGGCACTTCCCATGGAAGAAACTCGGAAAGATGGCGTGTTGAAAACTAGGGAGTGCCTGTTTTTCGAAAGCAGCAAGCATAGGGTTCACGAGCGCAAGGCATCTCGAGTCATCTGGAGAAGGGATATCCAATGCCTTGTATACCTGCGATACCTGCGAATCATGAGTACTATAACTAGAGAAATACAGAAAGGAGACGCACGACATCAGGGAAGATTGTCTTAAGAAGTTCACGAACGTCGTTCACGAAGCCTGCAGTGACACCTGTGATACATTCACCCTCACACGCAAACGCAATGACTGGCAGAGCAGAAAGCGCGAAGAAAAGAGAGAGTCGCATATTACAAAAGGCGGGGTACTTGAAGCTTTGGAGTAGACCGTAAAGAAGGTAATGGTTTGTAGTCAAGAAGGGAAGGATCGTTCTGGGTCCCTTAAGGCAAGAGCAAATAACCTCAAACAGCGCGTCGTAGGTAATGTCCACGTGATGGGCGTTCCGAAATTCACACGCCGGTATTCAATTCGTGTAGCTAGTGCCCTACTCCGTCTTGAACAGCTGTTACAGGTAATTATATGCTATCATGGTTATCTATACTTATTGCGATCATGCTCAAGTTCTAGCCTAATTCTTAACGAAGAACAGCCGAACATCCGAGTCTCCCTCTCATACCTGACACATTTTGCAGCGCTGGGAATGGTCTTATGATCTCTCTTATCCCATAGATCGACCGAAAAACATCCAACGATGGTGTTTTTGTGGCACTTTTGCTCAAGCTTTCTTGATGCCGAGTCTATAGTTGATCCTTGCGTAATATCCTGGGCTTTCTCGGATATGCTCGCTTGTACAACCTTGGTCAGCCTCGTCTGCCAGTATAAATCCGATAGTTGAACGAAAATGTCGAATGGGTGCTCGAACATGATTTCCCTCAGCATGATAGCTCTGGCTATTGGAACTTTATCGCTTATCTCTCAAACAACTGCTCACTGTGCGCCGCTACCCAATCATCACACTCTCGCATCTATAGTTTGAAATCTTTCATTGCTTCAGATACCTTCCCTTCCCTTGTTGTCAATGGCGTAACTACCAGCCCTTGGGTAAACGTTCGGATGACAAACAATTATAACACTCAATCTCCTGTATGTCGCACTGTTTATTTTACTTGCGCGTTCAGTAACGGCGTCCCTTCCGACAGGTTACAGATGTTACTAGTATCGATCTGAGATGTTACGACTCTCAGACCGGTGCTACCGCAACAACCATAAGTGTTGCGGCTGGCTCTACACTCGGCATTATGAGCGACGGTACCATGTATCATCCTGGTGTATGTTGGGCTCACCTTTTTCAGATCATGATTTTATTGACGTTTTCATAGGTCGTTAATGTTTACATGGCGAAAGCACCTGGCAGCGTCAGTTCTTTTGCCGGCGATGGCGCAGTTTGGTTCAAGGTGAGCTAAAAATGTTTTTGTACTGTTACCTAGATATTGACCTTCTATATTCAAAGGTCTACGAAATCCCACCTGTAACTAATGGAGGAACCAGCATCAGCTTTCCATCCCAGAGTAAGATTATTGATATCATTATTTGCGTTCTACACCACATTTTTTTGCTACAGACCAGGCTGGCGTTTCATTCACAATCCCGAAGTCTCTTCCTAGTGGACAATACTTAGGTATGTAACTGATGTCTGGGCGTTCAACTCTGACGGTATCTCGGACAGTTCGAATGGAGCAGATCGCACTCCATGCTGCGTCCACCTTTGGGGGAGGCACGCCTTTTTTACTTTGTGTTTCGATGTCCCTTAACACCTGCTACAGCGCAATTCTACATTAGCTGCGGTCAAATCGAAGTTACGGGAGGAGGTACTGTATACTTTTACCGTATTTGGACCGTTTCTACTTGCTAATGATGATACAATTAAACAGGAAGCGGCACGCCCGGTCCCTTGGTTGCTATTCCAGGCGTCTACACAGGAAATGTGCGCTTGTCAGTCTTATCTCGTTGAATTGACTGATAAGCTTGCCTCCACCCAGGAACCTGGCATTAAGATAAATATATACTATCCAGTCCCTAAGAACTACACGCAGCCGGGTCCGGTGAGTTTGTTTCGATGCTTCTCCGACGGAGTCGTACCGACGCCCATTTTAGGCTGTCTGGTCAGGTTAGTGAATCAAACACGTGTAAGAAGTTTCATTTTGTCGTACGTCATGCCCATTTCTCTGTGTATTGCATCACTGACGACTGGACTTGCGTATAGATATTACGCACCTTGTGGTAAATACTGTATTTTATGAACGCCCTTGAATATCACATGTTGTGATATTTCAATATCTATTTATGCAAATTCTGAGGATCGCCGATTGAATTCAACTAGGGTCTTCTAAGGGTCATATACGATAGGCTTTTGAAATCTTTCCTACGACGAGTGCTTGGTGGTACAACTCACCGAGGCAGCTCTCAATCAACCTGTACAAGCGCGTCGTTCGGAATAGCCTAAATGATGCCAACGACGGCCTCGGTGACTGGGAGGAAAGGCGGACCTTGGATAGGACCCCACTTTCGATACCCGCTTGTACAATGCACATAGGGGTGTCTAGCTGCTAGGGCCAGCTGTATCTTGGAACAGCCATGCGTTTCAGACATAGCCTTTGCATATTGATGATAACAACGTGTACCAAAGCACGCACATCACAACATCAGGTGCATCTCGAAGTCCTTGATGCAATTCTAGACGAGAGTTGTTGAGCACCGCGCTCAGCCAGTCAATTCGCTTATCGCATGGCATTGATCAGTCTAGGATTTTTCCATAGGGCTCGCGAGCCACCCGCGGCGTTTTAATTTTGCTTCAATCAATCTGTCTACACTTGCTTATGCATCTTCCATTGCTGCCGCGTGAAAGACGCCCTGTCTAGGGTCGGTAGGTTACAGGAAACTATTCAGGCGGAAGATCAGCACCATCATTGTTGATTGATGATCGGGCGCGTTCAGTCGCGTCGGCCTATAGCAGCAAAAAAGCAGCCGATGAGCGTGAAACAGCTGGGGTGCCCAATGTGCTGAACTCCAAAATGTGTCATTGCAGGCACTTTGGGATTGGAGACTCGGAAGCAGATGTCGAACTTCAAACCAATAAAATTGCAAATTCATTCACCACACCGTATACTTACTACCTCAGTACATATGAATACATTGCTCCAAAATTGTCCGGGGCTAGCCTTAGAACCTCCACCCGGGACTACCCTACTGTAATAGAACATTATACCTCCCCCACTGGGCGCACTGATTCGTTAGTATCGATTGATACGGTCAATGCATATCATCCCGATACGGCTAGATCTATATTCATCGCACATCCTGACGCTAGACAAGTAATTCCTGAACTACTCAGTGACTTCAAGTTGACACTCTCGGTTCTCTCCCCCATTGAAAGGTTGAAATGACCCTCGATCGAAATCACGTTGTCCGGATAGCTTTCCGTGCCGACTTCAATTTTCAAAGCAAATAAAGATGGTTTGAGTTTTGCGGAATTCCATGAACTCCGCCCTGGGGTCACACATCTTAGCTCATTACATAGATGTTTAGCAATGTCCGAAAACTTCAGTGCATCAGTACTGCGATCAAACTTCACCTCCTCCAGACATGAGATATAAATAGCAGCGACTTCATAAATTACCTTAAGTTTCTAATAATATGTGTACATGTATACCGGTAAAACTCTAGTACACGGATCGGGGTTGAGGAGAGACAGGCCAGAAAGGTCTGACAGAACTGTTGCAGGTCAGTCTGCCCTCAGCCTCGCTACCGAATGATCTGGCATCGTATCACTACAAAGACTTGACGCAAATAGGTAGACCCGGAACACCCTCGTTGGTAACGGGAATAAGAGTCACCGCAACAGCCGCCCGAACCTCACTGTTGGGAGGGAACGAAAAAGTGAAGTTGCAAAGGAACTCGGCAAGAAGGACTTGCATACTCGTGAGCCTGATCCTCGATTAGTGTGAGTCAAAACCAAATGTTCGATGAAAGCGTACGCAAAGCGCCAACTACACAGATATACTATTAATTTGGTCCGGATATCAAAGGCGTCAGACTACTCACCCAATACATGCCCGTTGACCGCCAAAGAAAGACATACTAATGAACGCATTGAGATCATCATCTGAGTCTCAAATCTATAACTCACAGATTCGCATAAGGCCCCAAGGCCTGCCCTTTGGGTAGTTCTTCCAGCCATCGTTCAGGCCTGAATACATCCGCGTCATCTCCCCAAATAGATTTGAGGCTGAACATAATCAGAGCGGCAGTCATCGAGTAACACGACAAATGTTTACCGATTGTAAGAAGAAGTGGCTGAAATTACAGATTGGCCCTTTTTTACAGGTATTTCAGTTATGACTTCACCCTTGATGGTAGTGATTGGCTGAGAAAGAGGTAAAACAGTGTCGCAAGTGGCGATACGCTCAGACATTGGAAGACCAGAGTGAAAGCGCAAGACTTCCTAAAAGCAAAAACTAAGCACCCAATGATTACTGCGGGGGTGTGGTCAAGTATACCTTGATGTAAGCATTCATCAGCGTAAGCTTCTCAAGATCGGAGTATGTGAGCTCTCTGTCAGGATTTTCCTTCATGGTAAGAACTTCACGCCGAATTCTCTCTTGCCAATCGGGGTTCTGAGCAATTTGGTACAAGCACCACGATAGCGTATTTCCCTGAAAATTGTCAGAAATGAACACGGACGTTAACTTAAATCCTACAGTCGTGTCTTGTCCTGATATCATGATGGTGGGTATCTGTTCTATCATTTCTTGCTCGGACATACGCCGACGCTTGTCTTTATTGGCGGCATTTGCGCTTACTGGAGAAGTCGATTAACAGTAGTATTTACGCGGAGGAGAATCACAGACCAAGGGCAGTTAAGAGATCCTTCTCAGATTCGACACCGAGTTTAATAGCTTCGTGCTTTTCTTTGATGAGCTGTTCAGATACGCGGTTTCCAAGCACTCGATTGCGACGAAGTGCACGCAGAGCACGCGTGGGAAGGTGTAAGACCAGCTTCAGAAGGACCGGATGGACATAGAGAAGACCGCCTTCAGCTAGAATACTGAGCTTAGACCTCGTGGATGATATCGCCCTGAAATTGGGTTCAGTCCAAGGAATAGGCAAGAAATATAACACCGACACAATGTTTTGGATACTACGCCCTAGTTCGCTCTTTCCAGTGTCTTGATCAACGTTGAATTGAAAGCCCATTATGCCTAAAGGTTTAATGGTCAATACAGTTTGACGATGCCGTAAAACTAACAAAGTACCTTCGCATATATTGTTTAGCGTAGCGTTGTGAATGGCCGGGTATACATCTGTGACAACACCAGATGGCTCAGAAGCCCCTTCTACGCGCCAACGTTGCACCACCTAAGATACAAATGTTAATTGGATATCACGGCTCATGAGAATCATATCCACATTGTGCGCTATTCTTCTGAAAAGAGGCGGCAGGGCGCGAACATGTGATGCAGAGAATGCTGGTGTCATAACAGATCGCATGCGTCGATGATCGCTACCTGTATAAAGGTCTATCACACATGTCAAGCTACGACGTAATGACGCGCGTACCATGGGCGTACAAAAGTGACTGCTCTCCGATCAGCATTCGCACAATCTGCTGCTGCTGAGGGGATCGAGCAAAGGTGGTGTCATCGAGGACGTGTTTCAAAGTGCATGGGTCAGAGACCATAAGCCTATCTTCCTTTATGGAATAATCAAAACCACAAATATACTGTCATGCAAATCGACCTACTCCAAAGCATCCTTTGATGCGGTACACAGGACCGTAGGTGTCTTGCCACATGAATTCGTTGTCACCATACTGACGCGGTAAAAGAAGCTCGATCAAGTTTCCTGTGTATGATTATCAGCTATGAACTTGCACTCTGAGTATATACATACCGAAAAGCCATGAAGAAGAAGGTGGCCCTGGTATGTGCCGCAGTAAACGTCGAGGCTTCATGGCCACTAAGGCCAGAATGACAGCGACGACAAAGAGCGTAGCACAGGTGAGAAACGGTTGTTCATACATGGCGCCAATGAAGAAGGTGTTCGAGTTGACACTCCAGCCATCGCTCTCTGTGGTTTATATATCGATGATAAGCCCTATATGGTCGTGTATTGAGCCCTTGAGCTGTCCCGTCTGACATAAAGGATACCGATGTGTAAGTCGATGCTACGTACCATCTGCACCTTGGGTTTCGAGTTCGTTTCCCTTGCACATTTTCCCATGCTGAATGTGAACCAGGGTAGGTTGCAATTGAAGGGCTGGTTGAGGGTCATAAGCGTGTCTCACGGAGCGTCAGGGCGGTGCACATGTTACACTAAAGATTGAACTGATGGGGCGCTGTCGAGGGTACCGGACTGACCTGGTTTCGGGATCGAAGGCACGTTGTAATTTGATGTGATTGCCTTACTTTCAGTGACCGCGAAGCCAGGTAAATTTAACATATATAAACAACGCTTAAATTTCAAAATGAACGCCCTGGCCCATGGAACCGCGGTGCGCATCGAGTAGTCCTGGGAACAGGAGTGATGCCTCAGGAAATATCATTCCTGTAGATGAACAGATCTTTCAACCGCGAAAGCCTGTCTTTACCGAGGCCGCCGAAAAGTCCGTGATTGCATTAATTGGCTTGTCAGAATTTCAAAACCCAAAAAGTCAGGCACTTGAAACTACAGTTCGTGCGGTCCATAGGGCCTGATCCAAACCATTTGCCTGGATTTGCGTTGCTGTGTGATTATTTCCTGATAAGAGTCTTGAAGTAATGCTGAGATGTCGACGCATAGTCAGCACTTATTAGTTCTATGTATGCCGATACACACACAGGTCAAACACATTTTCGAGTATACTCAACACTCCGATGATAATTCAGCTCGGCGCTTCCCTTCCGCTCAATAAAAGGGTGCGTAAGGATATACGATTCACCCTGCCTCTCGATGAATTCCCAGACCTTCATCCTTCCAGATCTACTCGCCAATTGGCCTTTTAGGTGCTTCCATAACCCCCTCTCAGACGAAGTTGTGCCAGCCAGCGCGGCCTGGATAGAGGGTTACAATATTTTTGATGAAAGAGCCCAAAAGGCTTTCAACCGCTGCAATTTCGGATTGTTCACTTCGTTGGCGTACCCCAATGCTTCTGCCGCGCATTTTCGCACCTGCGCAGATCTCATGAATTTCTTTTTCGTCTTTGACGAGCTAAGCGACGAAGCCGACGGCCCCACTGTACGGAAACAGGCTGCCGATATTATGTATGCTTTGAGGTAAAGTCTCTGTTTACGCCTTCCATCAGGGAGTAACATGTTGACGACAATCAGGAATCCATACGCACCTCCACCTCCGGGCGAGACCATTCTTGGCGAAATGGCAAGATGGTAAGATCATTTCATGGGTGGTCGTTAATGAAAATCTGATCGTAGTACCCCCAGTTTCTGGCGTAAAGGCTTACAGGAAGCACACATCAGCCCAACCTCAGGCCGACGTTTCATCGCGAACTTTGACGAATACACTCATGCCGTTTGCCGACAGGCAGAGGATCGAGATTGTGGTCGAACTCGTAATCTCAGTGATTACCTTGAACTCCGTCGAGGCACAATCGGTGTACGGCCTTCCTTTGACTTCTTCATCCTAACGGATGACGTGCCCGATGAGGTCGTTAAGCACCCACAAGTAGAAAAACTGGTGCAAGCGGCGATTGATATGACAATTATAGCCAACGTGAGCACGTCCCATCTGTCTGGCGGCGCCACTTATCCGTCCATGTTATAGGACGTTTATTCGTACAACGTGGAGCAGTCTCGGGGAGACGATGCGCATAATATTGTAGCAGTGACAATGATGGACAAAGGACTTGACATTCAAGGCGCAATGGACTATGTTGGGAGGAGGTACCATCAGATTGCTCGGACGTTCATTGACGACATGAAACATGTTCCTACTTTTCCGGGTCAGATAGGGAGAATATTGCGCGAGTATGTGTTCGGGTTGGGGATATGGGTGACGACAAACATAGAATGGTCGTTTGCAGGGGAAAGATATTTTGGGAACGCTGGACCAAGTATTAAGGTCCACAGAAGGGTCGAGTTGCTGCCGAAACGGAGATAGACGGTATTTAATACACTAACCTGGTCTTTTCAAATAATACACACATAGTAGAGTGATCTCTAGATGACCGGGGAATTTGCTCCTTAATGGGGACGGCCCGCGTAACTTGGGGCCCCGTCCAACATCGAAAGATTTCCCTGAAGGCTTTTCACGTATTGGGTGTTTACCTTGAAAAAAAAATCAATGAGGTTACCCCAGTGAAAAGACTCGGCCTCGGTCGACGCCTAGTAGTATACAGGAAACCCCAGCTGGGAGATGCCATCAAGCGGTTCGCCAGGTCGCTTACAGCGCTCAGTTATGAGTGTCGTGAGGACCAGACCTTGTTGCGATCATGCCGTTTTGACATAGACCATCGTCTATCAGCTAGCAACGGAACATAACGAAGGCGTCAAGACCCTTGAGCTCAAGTGCCACTGCACTCAAAATCTGATTTCAGTGATCGAGGCGTGACAGATAGATACCCGACCTTACTATCCTGGACCTATATGTAAGTGTTCAAACAATCCAGATCCCGGGTGAGACTGACTGCGCACTCACATAATAGACGCCACCTTTTCAAGTCTAATCTCGGTCAAGACTCATGTTAACGATGGCAGCACTGAGCGGCAGCTCCGGAAACCCCCGAGCACATCAATCAATCATTAGAAATAAACAAGAGAAAACACAGTTCCACTACGGTTTCGCTAGGTTCGTTCCAAGCCCCTTCTCTGATTGGCTGATATTGTTTGCGACGCTTTGTTATTTGGTTTTATTGTGGTCTCGGCAAGCAGCATCAGTGAAGGGGCTTGTTGCTAAGTCCGTCCGAATTGCAAGACGGCAGTGCGCGTCTGGAAGTTTATTCATCATACCTTACTCTACCTGTGTGCACTATTTTGTCCCCACTCTATGCCTTCAAATCTCCAAATTGCGGCCTTTAAGTCTGCTCTCTTCCTTTTGTGTACTTCTGGCAAAGAAACCCTCACAGCTCAGTAAGTACAGCTGCCGGTAGGCTGCGACGCGTTCAGTCTACTGTCTTATGTATTGTCATTGACATGCACTCCTTTTTTATTCAGAATTTCCCTGCATCGCACATGAACTCGACGCGCCTTTGTCGCACTGTGACCCTTGCATGCCATGCCAACATCTTTTCCTCCCACGACGGGCGAAACAGCTGGTATATCCTTTTTCAATGTTGACTGATTGGAATGAACTACAGGTCATGCATGCTCGCGCGAAGGCGATCGATGCAATAGCGGTCAATGAGGACGGACAGAGTTGCGATTGCCCGTGACAAGGTGTGACTGCGTGTCTCATATTCTGCAATCTATGAAGTTTGCTTCGAGTATAGTGCACTGGGGCTCTTAAATAATCCATGGTTGACATTACAGTCTTTCGCTATTTAAATGCCATTTTTTCCGATTTTTTTGACTCACCTCCATTACAATTAGTTCGTACTTCTTGATGCCGTCGTTGAATGTGACAGCACTCGGCAATTGGTTTAAAGTGCACTCCCGGAATTTTGAGCAAAAATTAGCAACCTATGCAATGTATTGGATTATTAGCTACATCTTACTCCGCTCTATCTAATTGTCAAGTTGTGTTGCCAGCGCAGGAAACATCGATGAACGTCTTGATATATTTCCGGACTTTGAAGCAAGCCCCTCATGTAAGAAGCCGGCTCGACGGCACGTGAGGGGCTTGATCCGAACCTATTTCGCCGCGGAGATACGCAGAGGCAGTTGAACAATCCCATCCACAGTTGGAGACATGATCAATGTCCCTCCTTCCCTCCTTATCTTGTGTACAACGGAAGAATCGACCGAAAAATTGAAATTATTGATCAGTTCAATGAGAATGGTTTGGTATTCCAACAACCTGCCGAATGATTTTTGAATTCAAGTTTGCGAAGAGAAGATGCAACATACGCGAATCTCCAACCTGAAAAGTTTCATGTTGCTATCAGTTTCAATGTAAAGATGTCTAATGTGCCCACCCATACAAGATCTTACTCCAGATCCAAAAGACATTCTGTCGGAAGTTAAACTTCACTACACCATCACAATGAAGGACAGTAAGAAATCTCACAAGTTTCCATACAGACCCAAGGGAGTATCTGTTTTCACCATCGAGTCATCGAGCCACCGCTCGGGGATGAATGAATGGCTATCATCACCAAATATAGACGTGTTTCTGGACCCATAAGCCCAAACATATGTCTAGTAGATTAAACCAGCACCTACCTATTATAGCCGGCTATAGACACAAAAACAGACGTCCCCTTGGCCACGGGTACCTCATTGATGACTTGACCGGACCGAGTGGTAATTGGAGTAGATATAGGGATGATATCATCTTTGGCCGCCTGTCGAAGTACATAATAGATCGAAGGATGTAATCGCAGGGATTCCTGTTGAGTCCGGATCAGTAGAATTAGAGTGTGTAGATCATGAAGATCGTCTGGCCTTCATGACAGCGTGGGTGTATGGCATGTCTTCAAGGGCTCCCGGAGTAAATTGGCTACCTCCATTTGCCGTTATCATTCCTCGAATTTCATTTCGAAGCTTTGCTTGTACATCAGGATGCCGGGAGAGTTCAAACAAAGTCCACGTAAGGGTACTAGCGGTAGTTTCTAGCCCTGCGGCGATTACGACCCTGTTGAAGAACGTTAATCTTACTTTGGAAGGGAAAATAGTGAAACTCTGACTGCATAGAGGCCATCATTTCTTCATCGTCGAGCTTTGGACCACCTTCGAGATCCGTGTTCGCTTTAACTGTCTATAGATGAATGTTCAGGGTCTTCTTTAAATGGTGCCAAACGTACCAAGAAGGGACAGAATATCTCGACCACCATTACCGATACGTAACGCAGAAGACTTCGTTCGCAGCAATTCTTCAGATACTTGGGTGGCTATATGCTTCGTTTCTCGCGCTTGATCGAACGAGGCGGAATGATTGAAGATGAAAGATACTACCGGGACAGGGAGGTATTGGAGCATATTCTGTTTGAATATGGTCCACTTGGAAGGATTTCCAAACGACTTAGAACTAGTCCATGGTTAGAACAAGATAATGTTTTGGGAAACGATGACTCACAAAGTACTCGCGTACGCTTGCCGTAAGGCATTGTCTTTCTCTTCAAGCGCATGAAACCTGTACCCAAAGGCGGCTGGAGAAAGACATCAGTGCGTATACAGTGGTCATTCGGAGACTCACCCAGGCCGATTGTATCTATTGTTGTACGACACATCCACGAGTACACGTCCACAACGGCAGAACCCTGATTTTGTAGAGGGTCGAGTTGATTCCATTTTGAACATAACTACCAGGGCGTGAGTTGTTATTAAATATGAACATCCTGTTAGCTACCAGTTCCGCAGCTTCAATGATAATGGGAAACAGGGCCCTCGTTTCTGCGGAGCCAAAAGCCGGTGACATCACCTTCCGTTGGCGTCTGTGGTCTTCCGCTAAGTTACGGTCAATTGGTGTACTGATTATTCCGATAGCGATACGGACCCTCTGCCCAAGGCATCCCTTTCCCTAGTAATAGACGCGCTAGCTCTCGTCGCATCTTTTGTTTCTGGTAAGTGTATCCGGAATGGTGGACATGGTGTATGGCCTTTGGGTCAGAAAGGAACAGGCAATCTTCCTCGAAAGCACAACAAAGATAAATTCCGGAACTTGATAATGAGCGTGTGAGATTTACCCCGATTGCGCCTTTAATTCGCAGTACGTGTCCAAATTTCTGCTGCCAGGCAAAATCTGCCTATTAAACGTCAATGAATAATTTCAAAGCCTCGTCGCATATGAAAGTCCGTACCTCTGCAGCCTCTCCTTGGTAGAATTGGCCCAGATTACCTACGGAATCGTTATGCGTTGGGGCAGAACAATTTCGCTTATTTGCACTAACCCAGGAGAAAAGATTGTGGCTGAGGTCCAGGAAGTTGATTGAGTGATATTCTTTTCCACCGCCGATAGAGACAAAGGCATGCCAAAGCCGCGGCGAATAGAGCAAGACAGGGCAGCGAATGGTTTGACGGCACTGGGCCTGACGTTGCCATAGTGGGGGATTGAGCGAGACCGTGCACGCACGCATCCGAACGAAGACATCACCAAGCCTTATATACAACCACGCGATTACTGATCGGAGAGAATTCCGAGGAACTTGAGAAAAAAGAAGAGCGTCGTCAAATTTTTTGGCGGGACTATTGGCGGCGTCCGAGGAGATGCTCTCCCGCACATGTGACCCTGAATAGCTACCGACCTCTTTCCGTCGCTGAACGAAGTAGAAAATGCCACAACGTGCAAGCAGAGTATCTGAAGTAGTTCTGTTTAGCGCGGACCCAAGCCTCAGATGAAGATCTGGAGTCGCCGCATGTAATCGACGATTTGCACCGCGAGCAGTAACGTACACCTGAGGGCCAGTCTAGCTCGAGTAGAGTCGGCTATTAATCATATATCCTGTCGGGACATCGGTCATCGACTTACCCGGAAAATACCCAAGGCTTGCCACATTAATAACGGGCAATATCTTAACCTTGCCATTTACCCGAGTCGGAGTAGAATCAGCGAGAATGTAACAATGATGACCAATCAGTGCAGCCATGTCTTCAGCGAGAAGACGCCGAACTTGAGCTTGCGGCATCATGGGATGAATAATTCATCTGATCAAGCTCAAGGTTCAATGGCCTCGTGATACTCTGTAATTTCTCTTAGTCCAAGGAACTTGAACGTCGTTTCATGAGAATGCCAATACAGCAGCGTTATGAAGAACTAACGTACAATTGACGCCTACAACTTGCTCTCAAATCTAGTATGTAGACCAGACGCCGAGTCAAACCTGAGGATCTCATATCATTCAAGCGAACACGCATGCAGACCCTCGAACGAAGTGGTGGACTAAAAACACCACACAATGCAGGGTTATGAATAATGGGTTGCCATGATTTGAATAATTAAAAAATACACTGGTGGTACAAAACCTGAGATCTGACACCGAAAGATAAAAGAGATAGAACAATGCGACCACCTATTTGGCGCCCGCTGATGAGAACTGAAAAAACGTAAGCCTGAGACAAAGTTTGGCTGACAAAAAAGCACACCTTTGTCACTGACTTAGTGCCTTCAGATATAGCGTGTTTGGCCAACTCTCCGGGGAGGATAAGTCGCACAGAGGTCTGGATCTCGCGTGAGGAGATGGTTGACTTTTTAGAATAGGCAGCGAGTTCTAGGAAACGCGTGTGGTGAGTGGCAGGTAGCTTGAAACCAGCGAAGGACCGTACTCGATGCCTCCGTTGCTACACGTTCAAAGATATCGTTGACGAAGCTGTTGAGAATGGCCATAGCCTTGTTGGAGATACCCGTATCAGGGTGAACTTGCTTAAGGACTGCAATACAAACCAATTATCAGCGACCACGCTCAGATGGATGAGAGAGCATCAACGAACCTTTATAGATATAGGACGAGTATGTCTCCTTTCTGCTCTTTCTGCGTTTCTTCTTGTCCCCATCACCAGAAGATGCTGGCTTGGAAGTCTTCTTGGCGGCTTTGGAACCTTCAGTCTTCGCTGGAGCCTTGGAGGCAGTAGAAGCAGGGGCCTTGCCGGCAGTAGAGGCTGGTTTGGGTGCCATTGGGAATAGAATGCAAAGGTAAAGGGCGAAGTAGGTGGCGGTTGAAGAGCAAGAGACGGAATGCGCGCAAACGATGTGCCGTGTTGTTTATATATCTTTGCCAAGCAAGGCACGTGACTCTGAGAACGCGTCAACAACTCGACGCGTTTTTTGTTGATCGATTCGGCACCTGTCAGGGTATAAATAGGGCTCCGCAGGGTTGCCTCCGTTCCATTATCACCCGCCCTCAACCTTTCACGCAGTAGTGCCACGTACCTCTAATCAAGTGTCAATCACTTTGCTCTCTTCATCATGTCTGGAAAATCTGGAAAATCAAAGTCTGGCAAGGCCTCCAGCGGCGACGCCAAGGTGCAGACGCGTTCGTCTAGGGCTGGTCTTCAGTTCCCTGTCGGACGTATTCATCGTTTGTTGAGGAAGGGCAACTATGCTCAACGTGTGGGTGCTGGGGCTCCTGGTTAGTCTTGCTGACATCTGTTGTGCTTGATCTTCGTTAACTAATCACTTGCACAGTGTACCTCGCTGCCGTCCTTGAATATCTTGCAGCCGAAATTCTCGAGTTGGCTGGAAATGCCGCTCGTGATAACAAAAAGGCCCGAATCGTGCCCAGGCATTTGCAGCTTGCTATCCGCAACGATGAGGAGTACGTTTTTCACTCGGTTCTGCCAACGGAATGTTAATGCCACTATCCTTAGACTGGGAAAACTCCTTGGTGATGTCATAATATCCCAGGGTGGCGTTGTCCCTCACATCGAGGCATCGCTACTACCTGTCAAGTCCAACAAATCCAACACAAGTCAAGAGGTTTAGATTTGAGTCAGGTTTATGTTATCTGTACTTGTATTAGTATTGTTCTCTAGGTTATTTGTATCATGATGTATCTTATCTCCCATTACTTTATCTATAGATCCGGGCGACTGGAACTTTCTGCAAAAGCCTGGAGTGATACCTATTTCATCTGATGCGCATGGAACGAGTGTCCCAACTCCTGTCCACTTCAATTTTTATACCTTTCGCCACTGGGCAATCAGTTACAGACTGAAGGTCGGGGTATTTGCGGTTCAGTGAGCTTTGGAACCTAGGGCCTCACATGTGTTGTTCAGCATCGTCATCGGGCCTGAAATGTCTTAGTAGCCAAGAGTTTGCGTGGAAAAACCGTGTGCCGTAGCGCTTTGGACTGGTTCCCCCGATTAACCAACGTGACCACACCTACACAGCTCTACAGTGTACACAGGCACCATACAGTGCCCGCTTATACCGGAGTATCCGCTCGTTGCAGTTCGATCTTGCCTCTCTAGGTTAGTATTACCCCACAATTTTGTACCTTGCTAACGATTATATGACAAGTGTATGGAGATTCTGTTCGCGTTCAGAAATTTGTACGTTTATCCTGGCCAGTAGATCGGAACATTACTGTTTTGGTATAGATGTGCACGCCAATGTTGATGCGTTGATTTGCATTAATGGACTGGCACGCGAGCTCAATGAAATCCCTACGTCTTCTTGGAAATTTACCGCCATCCTAGGCACTCTCGCGGATTTGTTGACCATCCCAACATCGGATAAGAGTTTTTCACAGGGGTAAAATAGACCAGGCCCGCCTGACCCGTGTGTTGCTCACGAGCAGACAGGTATGTACTATCAGCGGATAGATCGGTCAATGGTATCCATCCTCTCATTGGCCACTGGCTCTATAGGACAGCGGAAGTCTCCTTTTTCTAGATCGATCAGGCAAATCCCATCAAATTTTTTCAGATCACCTGCCCCCTAGATTTTAAAACATTTCTCCGGAAAAGCTGCTTCCCGCACGACGAACCCCGTAGTGGGGCATCGTACCTGGTTCCTATATAACGCCCTGGTTTTTTTGCATTGATTCCCCGCCCTCTGCCTACTCTCTCCCACCATGGCAAAGCTCGCTCGTGTTGAAGACAGACCTACCCCTCCAGAAGTATACGGCTGGCGGGTTTATATGAATGGCTTCATTGCTACCTTCGCCGCTGTTATGATTGGATACGACTCTGCCTTCATTGGCACTTCCATTTCTCTCGCCAGTTTCAAGAGTGAATTCGACCTCACCAAAAAAACGACGAGCGAGTTCAACCTCATCTCGGCAAACATCGTGTCCTTGTATCAGGCAGGGTTCGTCTATTCAACTTTGTTTTCGTCTGCTCTTGCTGACTCGAATCTACAGCTGCTTCTTTGGCGCAATTTTCGGCTATCCCATTGGCTACTATTTGGGACGCAGATGGGGTCTTTTCTTCGCTGGTTTTGTATTCTGTGTCGGTGCCGCCATGCAGACTGCCGCTTCGTGCGTTTTTTCCCCATTCTCCTTTTGAGCTTTTTTTACGATTCATCACAGGTCTAGCACGGGTCTTGGCATCATATACGCGGGACGGGTTATTGTCGGCCTAGCAATTGGCACAGCATCGAACTTAGCCGTATGTGTTTTATTCCAGAAAATTTCACCACAATCTCATCTCCTAACTATCATTAGCCCATTTACGTTGCTGAAATCGCGCCTCCCGCCATCCGTGGCCGACTCATTGGCCTATATGAGCTTTGCTGGCAAATCGGTGGGACAGTTGGATTCTGGATCAACTATGGTGTTACGCGCCACATAGCTGCAGGCCACACACAATGGCTTATCGCCTTCGCCGTTCAGCTTGTTGTGAGTCGGTACCTGTTCCTGTTATTCGACCTCTGATCAAAAATTTCCCTTTAGCCGGGAGGCCTCCTTTTCCTTGGTGCTCCGTTCTTGACAGAGTCTCCTCGTTGGCTTGTCTCTCGCGACCGCAACGACGAGGCGCTCGAAAGGCTTGCATGGCTCAGGCACCTTTCTCCTTCGCACCCTTATGTCGCTGAAGAGTTCGTCGCGATTGAAGAGACCATCAAGCATGAACGGAGCCTGGCAGGTGCCGGCTTCCTTGGTCCCCTCAAGACAGTCTTCGAGAGTAAGAAGCTGCTCTACAGACTATTCCTTGGGGCCAGCTTGTTCGCCTGGCAGAATGCCACAGGTATCAACGCGATCAATTACTATTCGTGAGCACTGTTTCTCGACGCTGTTCCCTGATGTTTTTTTTATTTTGCCCCCTAGGCCTACGATCTTCAAGTCTATCGGTGTCACTGGTCAGAATGCTTCACTTCTCACCACTGGGGTCTATGGTATCAGTGAGGAAATTTCGCTCCTCCTGACTTCTAACATTGACGGCCTTGTACTAGTCAAATTGGTCGGCGCTCTTCTGTGGCTGCTATATGTTGTCGATTACTTTGGTCGGCGGCGGATCCTCTTGATTGGTTCTCTTGGTGGTGCCATCAGCATGTACTATATTGGCGCCTACATCGCCATTGTCAAACCCGCAGAGCATCCCACATCGACCCTCACTGCTGGAGGCAAGAGTGCTAGTATGTGTCTGCTGCTCTTTTCCCATGAAGTTACTCATTTGTGCAGTCGCTTTCTTCTACATCTGGACTGCTTTCTACTCTCCGTCATGGAATGGGACGCCATGGGTCGTTGGTGCTGAGTTCTTCCCTCAACATGTCAGGACATTCACTCAAGCCTGCATGGCTGCAAGTAACTGGCTGTTTGCGTGAGTATTCTCTCTCAATTTGTTCGTCATTCAAGTGTAACATCGCTTCGCCTAGCTTCCTCATCGCCCGCTTCACGCCTCAGATGTTTACGGCAATGGGATACGGCGTATATATCTTCTTTGCGAGCCTGATGATCCTTTCCATCTTCTACGTTTACGTACGTCTCCATTTCTCCAGTCCGGTATCCATGGTCTCATGCGCATCCTAGTTCCTCCTTCCTGAGACAAAACAAATACCCTTAGAGCACATGGAGGATCTCTTCGCTCCCGGAGTCAAGCCTTGGCGCGCCCACGATATCGTCATGGCCAAGATCAGAAATGAGAATGGGATGTGTGCGTCGGGCAATAATTCATCGGAGTATGTAGCGGACGAGAAGGTCGATCAGGAACAAGTTGAGACTGTTTAATGTCTCCATACCCGGATCTATTAATGAGATTTATACAAGTAGTTTAAGTACCCCAATCTCTGTAACGCGTTTGTTAATGTCACTTTCATGGATGTACGAATATATGCAGCACATTATTAATACTATGGCTCTTTACCGAAGCTTTTTCTCTGCTCCTGTTCCAAACCCTCCGACCTTGACTGATCTTGGTACATAACTGTAACACTATGATGGCTGAAGTAATCGAAAGGACAGATCAAAAGGACAAGAAACAGGACATCTTGATCTCTAGATCTGAACCAGTCCTTCCTTGTAGTTACGAACCAAGCGAGCGAGATTCTCCTCGTTAGAGGACTTGGTTACTAGGCTACAGGATCTCACAAATGGAGAGAAATTTGGGGACATATCGATGGCTTCTAACCAGTGTATACGCGCTGATGGAAGTTAAAAGAGTAACACAGATGCCGGTGTTTGCCGCCGAATAGTACGTGAGAAAAAAATCTCGAATACTCATTCTTTCCGTTCTTCATGATCACATACCGCTGCCACTCATAGCTCGCAGAGACATTCTGTGAATTTCAAGTCTAACTTAATCGATACCTACAGTGAGACCCTTTCAACGACTGCATCGTTTATGGTGCTCTCGGGTTTGTCATGGCGGTTTTGCTTCAGGGTTGACTAGTCGACTGCCGGTGCATTTTGAAAGGCGCAAGCCGAAAAAAAAAAACAGGGGATGATGTGATCAACTGCTTATCCTGTGATGCCAATCCCAGATTTTCACGCCAGGCAGTTGCTGCTTCCAGGATGATACAGCTGAAGCCTGGAATATGAACAGAGACAAGGTGCCTTGTCATTCACGATTCACTAGTGACGGAGTTGAGACTAATGCTCTGATCTGGGTGGTTCATTCATAATTGTCGTCATGATGGTCCGGAAGTTGTAAGGTTTCCCTTGCAAGGTCATGGCATTTGCGCAGCGCGCGCTTATTTAACAATGCATCTGGCATCTGTTGTCCTCCCGGTCTCGTATCACTCCATTGATAAAGCAATGTCTAACATGGGCTCTGATGCTACCATCAGACATCAACACCTCTACGTCTTGTTAGATAACTGACGGGAAGAATCTCGAGCCCCATGGGGGATCCTGGTTGACGGAACTCGGAAACGTATGGTCATTCATCTGACAGTTGTCTCGGCTGTTGCTGGAACCATACCCGATAGCATTAACGTGTTGAACTGCCTTAGAAGAAAACCGAGCCAGATGAGCACTTGAACCTGTGTCCCTCGTCTCAAAAATTGTCTTGACCGACGGCCTTGAGTTCTTCCATCAGCATGTCAGGACCTTTACACAGGTTGGTACGTTTACAAGCAATTGGAGATCCGTTATTTATGTGAAGGGACTTTCTTCCATTCTGTATCTCGTATCTGATCGTCCGACTCAGCCTGCTCATTTCCTGGTTGACCTCATATTGTGTACAACCTTTCTTCGCGGTTTTGACGACAACATTTCTATCAGTTCCTTCCTGAGACCGAACAGGACCTCTTAGAACCATGGGGAAAACCTTTTCGTTCCCATAGTGAGCACATGGTATTGTAATAGCAAAAACCGGGTACAGGTGACCATATCATTACGCCAGCTTTGACGAGAAGGCGGACAGCTTGGCGGGATTGAAGATGTCGTTGTTCGAAAATGGGAGTAATATTGTGACAGTCGATTTACGTATCCTGTAGATGTATACTACTAGGACCGCTCTATATAATCTTTCTGGAGAGTCTCATTTTCCTTACGCTACGAAGACTTGTGCGAGCGGAAATTGAGTACGGTGGGAACTCGGTGATACGATCAAACGGTGACAGTTATACTCAAGCTTGACCCTTCCGGCCGGGAAACTTGACTAAGCATGAGGGAAACACGAGTTCGTCATCTTCATTCTTCCTCCCACAATCAGACTCAGAGCTGCATCGCTCGTTCCACACAGGACTTCGGTCTGATTTCACGAGCAAACAGAGTCTGAAAGTCTTTACGCCCGTTCTACTTGGATGATCATCCAGAGATACCCCAAGCCAGTTTTCGTGTGCGATGCCCGATGATATGAGGGACACGAAGGACAGCCTGGCTTGGAAAGCGACGCAGAGACGGGGCACGTCTATGCAATCTCATTCAGCGAATCCTGAAGACTATCGGTGCTCAAGGCGTCAGCGCGCTTCGCGGGTACTTTGCTATGTCAAATTTCTTAGTTGTCCATGGACAGCTCTCGTTTACGTCGACCCCTCCTTTGGTTATCACTCCTATACTGCTATTCGTGACAGTTTTTGGCCAACGAAACCTGCGATTCGAAGGACAAATGCTCAGTTTGTTCTTCGAACAATCTAAAATGGGGTCATCCAGCGTCATGGATGGCAAATCGTTTATCTAGACCCGAAAGAATCGTACAGGTTACTTTCGTTTGGGGAGGGGGTCGATTTAGCATACGAGGATCTATCTTCGGGATATCGCTTGGACGTCATGCGGACATCGCTTGACATGCAATTGCAGCATGTGCAATACTTTACCGGGTCGTCGGGACGTTACATTGCACGCAGTTCGGTTCAGACTGTTCTGAGTCTGACGGCACCCAATTTTTCTGTCATTGTACTCTCTTCGGAGAGTTTGATTTAAGTCGTACCAGTAAAAGCATTCACAGGTCTGTTTCTTGCGGTGATTGTAGTCTTGCAGCACAGTTCTGATGTATTTTCCATCCAGTTTTTCGAGTTAATTTGTAAAACATATCTATACGTCAATTCGTTCACGAAGTAGATTTACAGAAACTGTCCGCATTTTTGCCGATTTCTCGGCGGAGGGGACGAGGTAGCCCTGAAGAGATGGGATAAGCTTCTTTCTTTGTATAGGTTCGGTATTCGAGGACGGAACCGGCGCGGGTATGACTTGAACGATACTCTGCGTCTCAATGCCGTGCACCTCTATCGTGCCATTGGGTAGTAGAGACGTGATGTAAGGGTAATCGTAGCCTGAATACTTATTTTTAGTCATAGATCGTGCAGCATTGACGAAAGTTCACTCACACACTGACTTCGGATGTTGTGACCACTCTAGTGTTCCGCGGACTGGATCTCCGTTGGATGTTATGAATAGTCCTAAGGTACTCATTCCCGTGTATGAGAGGATGAGGTATTCATTGGTGTCAATCACAGTGATTGAAGGTTTAATAGGAAGCTGTGAGGGATCCGGAACTTGACAAATAGGTATGATGCCGAACATAGAGGCATTTTGGAGGTCGACGATTTGGTACTGTGTTTTTCCGGCAATACAGAGGGATTGACCTGTACGTCGGGCAAGGGAGGCACCTTCGGGAAGAGGAATTTCCTGATGAAGGGTTAAGGAGCACATGGATGACACAAAAGGATTTACCTTAATGTATAGTAGTTTGTCGCGTAAAGCATACATTAAGAGGCTACTTCTTTTGATGACCGTGAACTCGACAGGTTCCAAGAGATGCGTCGGCGTAGATGGCGAGGCTGCAGGACGGCTGAGATGCTGATGATCTACAGCAAATGTAACGACGTGTCGAATAGGTTTGATGGCAATAGCATCGAGTGAAGGAATGGTGAAGAAATGGATTTGATTATCTGTAGATGATGTTAACCGGTCATCATTGGAAGCATTGAATTCTGTTCTGCACCAGAAAGAATGAGGGCTCGCGATAAACAGGGCAGAAGGACTATTTCGTCGACGGCTTTGTTGTTTGGAAGTGTCTGCCTCGAGAGCACTTTATAGGACTCGAACTGGACGTTCGGTCAGGCCAAGTTTGTGTTTATGATCTCTTTACAGACCTTGTTGGGATCATCGGCCTGCAGAGCGAACCGAACAAGTTCCCCGTTTGCGAAACCGACGTATATCTCAGACCCTAGAGCATCATTAGCGAACAGGACCCAGAAAATAGAAAGGATCCATGCCTAGAGCTTGAGCACATCGCACTTCCGACGTAGCAAAACCTAAACCTCGTTCAGCTGCAGGAGCGGTACAACTAGGACGAAGATACCCGACTCGAAGGCGCCTGTGATGAGATTTTGAAACTGATACGGGGGAACGTCCACTGGATTTGTCGGCGTTGAAGTCATAATACGTGAATATAGCTGAAGTATTCCAGCTCAGCGTCGAGCGCGATGCCGTGAGTACCAGCTGTCAGTGAGATGATGGTAATGACGAAAGTCGATCGCGCGCCAAGCCTTAGCTTGTTTCTTTCCACTCTCGCCTTGGCATGGTTGCTGACGACCTCAACTTTTATACAACACTGCACTGAATGGTACTCACCTGATGGCAGCCATGGCGCAGAATAGGCGAATGTCAGAATCATATCCTGGATCTTGGATCACGGCAGAACCTACAGCTATCGCAAATACCCCGGCCGATTCGCAGGAATGGGTCAATCATTGGCGCAGTATCTATGCTAGAGGTATATTTTATCTTTGATTTCATTTGGCGATACTCACTGACAATCTCGCAGACCTTATCGACTCCCGGATCGTCACTGTGGATGCCCAAACCAGCGTCGAGGAGGCATGCGAGGTGCGGGTGTCTATCTAGCATGCTGATAACCGCTGATTTCAACGTTTTTCGCAGACCCTTCTTACTGAAGACATACTATGCTTGACTGTCATGTCTAGTGACGCGACCATCGGACTGTTCGATGTTAGTCTCAAAATTTCGGACCCGCTTTCATTCCTCTGAATATGCATGACAGTTTTCGGATGTTAATGCGTTCTTGACTCTGGCGGCCACGCGACACACCTTACCACCAGATGATTCAAGGGAGAATCGTCGCGTTCAAGAAATCGTTGCGGCTGCCCGAACAGGCCATGTACCCGTTCAGCTTGTCAGCAGTAAGTTATCATTTCGGATGTCTCGTTCATTTGTTATATTTGTTACCCCAGATCTATCTGAGAAGAATCCTCTCGTTGTTTTACCTTACGATGCCACGATTATATCTTTGTTGCAGCATTTTTCTCATGGAACACATAAAGGTTTGTACCGTTCCGTCAAAGCTATGATGCCTTGCTAAGCGAATTTAGTTCTTGTACAGAAAGCGGAATCTACAAATGATTACTTGGGCATAGTCTCCGATCGACGACTCCTAGCCTGGTTTTCTTCGTATGCCTCAGAGAATCCTTCTCTTAGGAACTTCCTTTCTAATCCTCTCCATGCGTTTTCCCTCCCTTCTCTTAATTTGTATTCTTCCGTTGTTGCAGCTACCTCGACGGCTAGTGTCTTGGACGCTATGAGATTAATGAGTGAAGAAGGCGTTAGCAGTGTTGCCGTTGTTGATGACGAGTCTGCGGTACTCCTCAGCGCCGTGAGCGTAACAGACATCGGAAAGGTATAATGGTATCTTTGTCTTTCGATCCCCCCTTTGAACATGTTATAAGATTGTCGTTCCATCGGAAAGCAAACATATCTTGTCGACTCCTTTGCACCAATTAATTGCCCAGATCAAGGTGCGCATAATTCCCCGTAGATCCATTACCCATGATGACGTTGGAAATCAGGATCCTGACGGGTCTGAAGATGGTGCAGACAAGTATCCAGGTCAGGCTACGATGCTTTTGACTCATACACACTAGTATTGACTCGTTATACAGTATATTCCGTTCTTCCCACCAATAGTATGCTGTATACGATGCAAAAGCTACTAGCTAGTGAGTGATAATCCCTTTGTTGGCTTTCTACTAGCTAAGTCCACCCATGCAGCCAACGCACACAGGTTATTCGTGACGCAGGACAATTCATCGGGCACATCCTCTCCTCTAGCATCCTATATCACCTCTGGAAATCTTTCTGGCATTGTCTCAATTGTTGATAGTACGTTGTCTCTTCAATATGAGAATTTCTTTTTCACACAAGAATGTGTGCTTTTCCAGTTTTGTCAATCTTTGGTCGTATGGCTAATATCGAAGACGTCGATCCGAAGCGAATGCAGCGCCACCGGCGCGCATCGTCTTCAGCCTCTTCTCACTCATCCCTGTCGGATGAATTGTCTCGCTCGAGGCCTAGTAGTCGGACAAGTGTCCGGCGAAGCATGAGTCTCCGAAACCCGAAAGCAATGAACCGGGATTCGCGAGCTTCCTTCTCCAGCGTGGAGTCAGCCTCTCATGCGATAGAAAGGAACGCGTAGGAGATTTTTCTTGGGAAGTCCAATTGGTTGTATTATACATGTAGTGACATTCGTTGCTGGTTAATTAAATATTAAATGAATGCGTCGATCATCGCTCCATGTCGGCCGATCAAGCATATTCTTTTTTTCTTGAACCACCATGTCAACGACGACGACCGTCGTGGCAAACACCGCAGAAGTCGCTCTAGGCCTTTCTGTACCTCCTTTCACGCCACATGCCATTTCTGTTTCTTTACCTACATGGCGAGACAATGTTGGATATGAGGAGGGCGAAAAACGAGTCGTAGACCAGATGGTCTCTGGATACCCTAGATTTTTCGTTCACTTGAGTATCAGAAAGGTGTGTAGCGTGGCTTACCTGTCCCTTTATTGCCACTTATTATACACAGCTCGCTGGCATATGCGAACGCAAATTTGGCGCCGCTGGTGAATCATGCATGCTTTTCCCTACACATAAAACGGCAGAACATTGTCGCGCCTTCATCCAGGCACGTTCGGCTCTCGAGGGATCTCCCGTATCTGCTCGGTTGATTCAGTTCATGATATGTCCAGAAGACAACATCGATGCAGAACCCACCGGAAAATGTGCTGATCTTCACATCGTGCTCTACCCATCCTCCGCTGGACCCTTGGCCAAACAGTTTTGGCAGCACACAGGCTTGGGTATTTCCAGCCGATTGGCTGATTACTGTCTCTCCATTCTCCCAGCGACGTCGCCAGAGCGCGCATCCTCGCCTACCTTGACTCGACCTGGGAAAGCCATGAACAGACACTATTCTGCCAAAGGGTTTTCCAAGCCCAAGGCCCCTCAAGTGGAGAACCTGAGCCAGGATCACAGCGTATACTTGGAAGAAAGATATGGACGCAATCTTCCTTTTGCATATGCCGCATCAGCGAAGAGGGCCCTTCGGAGGCGGATATCTGGTGTCCTCCGAGATGCACCTTCCGATCATCACGATGAACCAACTGCTGGACAGGAAAACCTCATTTTTGGACCTAGCGCACGAGGAGTATCAGAGGTTACAGAAGGAGACGTATTCTTGTATCCTACAGGCATGTCTGCCATTTGGAATGCACATATGCTAGCTCTAGCGGTTAGACCAAACGCTAAGAGTGTCTGCTTCGGGTAAGTGTACGTTCGGTCGATTTCACGTACCAGCTAACATGTCGACCCTATAGGTTCCCTTATGCCGATACCCTTAAAGTCCTAGAAAAATGGGGCCCCGGATGTCACTTCTTTGGCCACGGACTCAACTCAGATTTAGATGCCCTTGAGGCCATTCTAGAGGAAGAAGCGAATCGTGATCCCTCCAAGCCTCCTGTTCTATCACTCTTCACAGAATTTCCATCCAATCCGCTACTTCGCTCAGCCGACCTACCGCGAATCCACGCGTTAGCCAACAAGTACGACTTCTTGGTCGTCGTTGACGAGACGATCGGCAATTTCATGAACGTGGAAGTCCTCACCTACGCAGACATCGTCGTCAGTAGTTTGACCAAAATCTTCAGCGGCGCTGCGAATGTGATGGGTGGAAGGTAAGAGAGAGCCTTCAGATCAGATTTGTCCAGACTGATGTCCTTTTTAGTCTCACATTAAATCCGCGCGGACGTCATTACGCTGCCCTCAAAGCATATCTAGATGCCACCTACGAAGATATCTACTTCGAGCAAGACGCTGTGTTTTTGGAACGCAATTCGCGCGACTCCTTGAGAAGAATCAGGGTTATTGATGAAAACACAGAAGCTGTGTGCGATTTTCTTCGCGCACGATCCATCGCAGGTGGTGCCCCAGAAGGCACATGCGTTGTGAAGGAGGTTTATTATCCCAAGTACATCACTCGCGAGCAGTATGACAAGTGTCGTATCAAGGGCGACCAACCTGGCGGCTATGGAGGGCTTTTTTCTGTGACGTTCACAACACTAGAAGCGTCTCGGGCTTTTTTTGACACGCTGCCATTCTACAAGGGTCCAAGCCTGGGAACAAACTTTACGCTGGCCAGTCCCTACGTGGTTCTAGCTCACTATGCCGAGTTGGATTGGGTGGAGGAGTATGGCGTGGATCCTGGCCTGGTCAGGATTAGCGTGGGACTAGAGGATAAGCAACACCTGCTTGAGTCGATTGGCAAGGCCTTGAAGGCAGCCGAGGAGACTTTGAAGTCTACATGATGATGATGACGATTTTGGTTGCATTTACTGATTTACATGATCCTCCAACAGGACATATTTTATTTAGACATTTAGGCATTGTATCCAACTACAACACAACCCGTATGTATCAATAACCAACGTTCAATATATACTGAAAAAATACGAAAGAGTAATCTCAATGAAGGCGGCGCTCGTGCTGATTAATCCGGTGACGTACTGCTAAGATAATATTCTTAAACGGTTCTCTTGTCAAGTAGCTAGTCTGCACATTAATCTGAGTAGACAACTACGGGAATTGCCGATCGACACAACGTGCTGAAGGCGTTCATTGCCTAACTTGGATAAGGACCTGGCTTGACAAGAAAACAGAATGAAACCCCACGTCAGGTCGTTGATCATATTAATCAAACGTTGTTTCAATGTTCTCACAATACTAGATGTCTCGTTAATAACTCAAGGTATCAGAGGGTATCAGTTCTGCTTGTGGGACCGCAGTGAGCTTCCACGCGGCGGTCCTCTGCGGAATCTCGTTGTCCGATCACGCCAACTGTGCAGTGGGGCTCGGAAGGGCTCGGAGTTGCCGAGAATGCCGGTTTTGTGAAAGTCCCTTCTCGATCCTTCTACTGAATCAATTCGATTCAAATACATACGGTCATCACATCCAGCGCTACTATTAGCAGCGATGAGAGTCGCGATTCTCCGGTATCCGCTGCTTTTGTCAGGCCTAGCTAGAAAGCTCCCGAAGTGAGGCCAAAGGTTTGCAATTACTTTTTTCATTGATCGATAGGCGCGCCTTGGTAGGCCAACAAGAAAGAAGAACCAGGTAAAACAGATGACTGCTCGGAGTTCAAAAGTCCGATCATAGCAACGGTATGGGCATCTCCCACCGTGATCTAGGTTAGCATTAGGTGAGAGACCAGTACCAGGCAATTTCTCCTTCTTAGGTGTTCCGAAGTTGGAATCTGGGAACTTGCGCTTTGTCATGAGCATTCGAACGTTGGAGGATCAGCACGGGTAATTAGTAGCTGGTTGTACACTCTATGACTTCACTTTCAGGAGCTACTTATTTATTTATATATAATTGATCAAGAGAAAATTTTTTTTTTGAATTTGAAATCGAAATCGATCTTATATGGACAGGAGTCGGGTTAGGGTTACTCGTGGATAGTCTAGACCCATCACTCTATACCTTGTTGTGTCGTCTACCTCGATGGCTACGCTTACTAGGGTCCGTGAGCGTGTGCAACCGCAAAGACCTCTCGTCGATACTGAGATACCTATGCCATTTCCGAGAGAATTGCTCCAGAGGGAGGAGCACACAGTCCAGGAAGGAAGATCGTCCGTTGAAGAGGTTGAGGAAAGAGCGTCCCGTGTGTCTGAGTCGTCGGATGGCCACCAGAGTGGGACCGTCGTGCGTCGTCTTCCTTTTTATCTAGGCATCTAGGGCTTATTTTTCTCAGGAGCTGATGCCGTCCATTGCTCTCGTCGAGAGATCATGCCTAATGACCCTCAATAATCTGCTTTCTGTGCCAACCAGGTGGAATCCAATCGTTCCAGATCGCCGTCACTCAATGCCATCCACGCCGCATACGTCTGTGACCCAGGGTGACGCTGAATCATCATCCTTGGCGTTACAGACGTTGGTGTCGAACCTGCGGAACAGAGACGCTGGTGACATGATGGTTGAGGTGGCCCATACAGACGTTGATTTAATTAGTGAGCTCAAGACTCGGGTGGAAGGTATATCAACTTCCCTTGATTCCAGCGACGCGCAGTTGGCCACGACTCTAGTTTCTCTCCTGTCCCATCTCAACCGTCTCGGTTCTCTTCATTCTCCCCCATCGCAAAGTCGTATTACTCCTTCAAATTCTTGGCATTCTACCGAACCTGCGGATATATTCGATACCCTGACGAGGCAGCTCAGCGACCTTCAAATTGAACGGCAGAGGGACGTCATACCCACTGGATCTCCTCCCGTTCTTGCTGTAGAGAGAGCTTTACTCTGGTCTAGAATCGACGAAGAGCTGGAAAGCGTGGTGACGATGTGCAAGGAGCGCACGATGGTCGATCACCTCCCTCCTCAATACGATCCTGCGGATTATCAGTACGACCTGCCACCAGAATACGAATACGGTCCACGAACATCCATCGATGATTCCAAACAGCGACCGTATTCTATGCATTCACCCACGACCCCCACGACTCCAATGAATGAAAAGATGAGGTTGGATTTTGAGGCGGTTACGATGGCAATTGACCGGCTTTACATGGTGGCTCCACAGTTGCACAACCAGCGTGTCGAGCTTAAATCCAGCAAAGTGGCACAGATGGAGAAGGCTAGGAAAGAGGGCTCTTCGGTTTCACGAGGAAAGCAGAAACAAGGAGATATCCGCGAGCTGGAGGGTATCTTTGAGATGCTTGGGAAGGCAACGCAACGATCAATGAAGGATCAGTCTGTCATTATAGAGGGTGGAATGAAGAGCCGTTTCGAGAAGGCTCGGTTGCGTGATCAGGCCAAGGTAGGGATCGTCAAGTCAATGTATATCCAATACTTACGATATCGACAGCGTGAAGCTTTTGTAGAGCATCTCGCAGAACATTCCAATGCTGGTCGCTTACATTCCCAAGATGCTGTTCTCCAACCAAAGACAAAAGATCCCAATGCCATGCTCACACTTCCAGAATTCATACGAGAAGCTGTCCCAGAATCAATGCGTACTCAAGACCCGACAGCACTCCTTACCCTTCCAGAATTTGTCAAGGAAGCGCCTCCACCTCACATTGTCCCTCCGCCATTGACAGCTTCTACATCACTACCTCCCGCAAGTTTCGGACGATTCAAATCGAAGAAGAAGAACAGAGATCGAAGCATGTCTGCACCTTCGTTATCGTGGCTGCGAAGCTCGTCATCGCGTTCTGCAAGTGCTGAAGCCAGATCAAAGGAAGCATCAAGGTCATCAACTCCCCGGCGTAAGTAATTTGCACTCATAGTTACTATATAGGCTAATCTTTCGAATCAGTAGAGTTCGAAGTCAACTATATCGCAGAGAACCATGAGACCCTGCAACATGTCCTAGTCTTTCTCTCCGTGACAGGCGCTGTCCCTGGCGTAGACATCGAAGCAGAGGTTATACCTTCTTTACCCGACAAACACCTTGGCGGCGGTGACCATCTTGTCGTGAAAAGCGGACCGTACACCTCTTTGCCGCTGAAACTTCCCGGACTTGTTCTACCTGGAAAGAAAGAGATCAAAGTGCAAGGCGGACATTACGAAATCAAACTTGCCACGTTGAACACCTTCACTCCTTCTCTACAACCGACACCTCTCCTCGACGCATCCCAACTATCAGCATCCAGCCCGACCAGTTTCATATGTGCATCATGTTCGCTTCCCTTAATCCAATCCTCCCGTATAACCCAGTATCGCGATTTACCCTCGGAGCATTGGCAGGAGCTTGTGGATGCGTGGATGTGTCATTCCGACCAGAAACTTCATGAGCACATAGCAAAAAATGGAAGAGGGTTCTGGCCTGAGTGCGGCCAAGCACTCGTCGGAGGCAGCTACATTCTTTTTGAAGAGTCTGCCATGTCAAAGACGAACCTATACCCCGCTGACACGGCAAAGGTGTGTGTACACATTTATAACACTTATTTGGATTGGACGATCAAGAAGACCGACGTTGGATATATCTACCAACGGTCGATCGCTTGGCGATCAAACCGCTTCTTCCGGCGTGCGAATGAAGCCCTTGGAGGTTTCGTTCGTGCACAAAGAGGTCGCGTTTGATTGCCGAGCACGACTTTATCGGTTGATACAAAGCGTCCTAGATAAATATCCTCTCTTTTAAACAACTCTCTTGTTCCTCAGGTCCACGTCTCGGGAGCTACTTCTGAGAGGACATTTCTTTATTCCTTTTACGTGGTACGATTAGACTGCTGATGCACCTCTGCTTTTAGAGAGCCGATGATTGGCAACCTGTTCGGTGTCTCTGTGGTGCTGTCGTCGGACGATGTCAAGAGCACCGATCTAATTCTGTTTCTTTGGTTTATCGTATGTTGAAGTACGCTATACGGCCCGTCAGTCCGACCACTGAGTATGTGCATTCTTATTGTTGGGTTGTCGTTGCGTCTGATTTGCGGCAGGCCTGTCAAACTGCCCTTGTCTGCTTTCATTGTAGAGGATATGCAAGAGTTTGTGCAGGCTCATGCTTCGTATCGATTCATCGTTTTGGATGAAGAAGACGAACGTCCTCGTATCCTGGTGAGCTGATTAAGTCTCTTACTTGCGGACTTGCTCACTCTTTTCATTCTTAGATGTGGTTATTCAAACCTAGTATCCAACTAGCATATGCCATCCGAAGTCAGTACGCGCTCCCGAAAACTGCCTCGATACAGGCCGCGAAAGTGCTATTCAAACTTTTGGGACCCACCGAAGAAACGTCTAATCTCAAAAGGTTTGGATTTTTCGTGCTACTTCCTCCTACAGCATCACTTCTGACATGACATCTTTAGTATCTTGGACAAGTACCCAGGTTTTCCGCAAGCGGAGTACCTCTTCTATCCCATGAATATCTGCAGGCGGTTGGCTGGACTGCTCCGGGAGAGCAATTTATCTTATCCTGAAAGTATGCGGACGATGACGGGGTTGGACGTTGGATGGTTGCATAGGGCATAATGCATGGCATATCTCACTCATCTGTATTCATTCGTTAAGGTGTACTGACTCTCTTTTGGATATTCAGCAATGTTGTTTAGATCTAATTATTGTTGGCGTAATAGCATAATTATTATCATCAGTCTTATCTAAAGAGGCCGGCTTGTTCCCGACCACTCCCATCACTCAAGATGGCCACTATACATCTGGGTATCGCCTTGTTCTGGATCCATGGTGATTCAAAAGACAAGGAATCTTACTTCCATTGGGCTGTGGTGGCAACGGAAACCAGTTGGACCAACGGGGATGGTATTCAGACGTACGACATCGCTCCCACTCTGGATCGAAAATGGGAACAACGCGTCCGATGCAGGGACCTAGCTGAGGATCACACCTTCTGCGGCATCGTAGAGTTCGCCACTACGAATCTTCCTGCAGACGACGTGGATGAATTCATACGTGACCGTCCATCTGAGGACGACGGTTGGCGAATCCAGGGTCCCCTGCGATGGTCCAGTCCCTCTTGGGCATTAAAGATCATGTGTGATCTGAATGACGCTGAAGTTTGGGATATTCCAGCTGAGATTGGAAGGGATGGATTGTTCGATGTCGTAGTCGGAAAGGGTTTCGTAATGCTCGAGATCGTTGAGGACGTGGAAGATTTCCCTGTTCTTTCTCTCGTAAGTTTTGGTTATCTGTATGTAATACATCTCATGGTTTCTTCAGCTTTGAATATCTGAACTGCCTATTCAAACTACCGGCTCGAACATAACGAAATTGTAACATGCTACGTAAAGGCATTCTTCCATTGGACGGTTTTTGGTGCTAAAAGTTGACATATGAAGTAAGCTGTCGACATTTTAATCCACATCAGAATACTGATATGGCTCTAGGACGTGGTTACGATCAAATAAATAAGTTCCCGAGGGACAAAAGCTCAAGCACGTATCAGGTTTCGGATGAACGCTACCGTAACGCAGTATTCCTACTGTATACAGGGCATGTGCAAACAAACGCTTTGACTGAGAACGGGCCCCGTAAATTACAAGTTATCGTTGCGCCTCGACCCCGAAGGATCACTGTAGCATATTTACGTACTTGTAAAGCTTTGGGGATATACTCATTACGCCTGAAGTGGCCTGGGCGTTGAACATCAGAAGGTAACTTAGTCTCGTATTCGACCAACCCTCTCTCCTCTATTCAAGCTTCAACGTCGAATTAACAAAACTCGTATTCCGGGACTATAAAAACAATTGATTTCACGTCTAAACTACTTTACTACGTATACTTCACAACGGCCTTGCGACCAAGAGAGCAACAGAGCGATGAGACAAAACCCCAAGCCCGACGATACTGTATGTATACAGATACACATATTGGAAAAAAAAACCCAACGTCGCGAACCCAACGAAAGGTCAGCGCCGTCGGTTAGAGGTCATATAATAAATGAACGTGACAAATGCAATAACGATAAACGAATGTGCGTAGTGGGCAGGCGGATGCTAGGAGTGATGAATGCGGCGGAGAGAGGAAAAGGGGATGAATGCGAGTGGGTAGGGGTGAACGATGCGAGTATGTACAAATCTAAAGCGAGCCGACGGTAGCCACGTTTTTTTTTTTTGTCTGATCACGGTGGCAGTGAACGTCAGTGCACAACACCAGCAGTCTAGTAGTCGTGCAAGCAATAGTAGGAAGGGGGAGGTTGGGTATGCATTCGAGAGGAAATCTGAAAGAAAGAATTAGCGAGGTGAAAGCCAACAAAACCACAAACATACTCACAAGACCAACAATTACACCAGAAAAAGCATCAAGGATCATCAAAAAGAAACCTATACACGGCAGAGAAGATCTCGCAAAAAAAAGAGGAATGAACGTAGAGGGTAGGGTTTGTGGATAACGCAATGAGAATGTAAATAACAAGAAATGGTGGTACATGCAAAGTCCATGCCCCACACTTTCCCTTCTAAAGAAGAGTTCGTGAGATGGCGGGAAAGGGCAGGAGTGGGGGTTATGCAAGCGTGGCCGATACTCGATACAATGCGGAGATGAGAAAAGAAACAGAGATGGGTGAATGGAAACAATAAAAATGTCGTCGACGTGAAGAGGGCTGAGGAGATCCCGGGCATCTTTAAGTCGGGAAGAAGGGAGGCAATGAAGCGAGGTGCCGGGTTATATGGAGAAGTATAGATACTAAAAGGATGCGATGATAGGATGAAGTGAATAGATAATAGGAGAGGGGATTACTGTAAATGATAATGCTTGACATCCAATCAAAGGCGAGGTAGGGCGTAGCACTACATCGAGTAGGCGTCGTCCTCCAGCTGCGAGTATTGAGTGAAAGGCAGAAGCCAGTTCGGACCTTCGATCCTTGGTCGCCATGGGCGTCCGTCAATCCAATGCAAGAGGGAGCACGAGAACAAGGACAACATTGCGTTGTCCCAGGGAATGCGAACGTACTGTGCGTTCGCAGGCGTCGGTCGGACATTCCTCCCTTCGTCTCAACGTCATAGACATAAAGAAGGAGCCGACTCCTTTTAGATGCATTTGTACACCTGGTAGGCCGACATGGCTACCAGGAAACCGAATAATTTGTTTGATTTGCGATGAAGATGCGATGCCGAAAACAGTATTGACACAGATGGTGAGAGAACCGAAACGAGAGATTTGAATAGGTGTAGGCATTGACCTCGCATGGGGAGCATTCGAGACAGCAGCTCAACCCTTTACTTGAGGCGAGGAAGGCCTACAGAGCGCATGTGTCCTGGACGAGTGACCGTTAACCGTAGGGGTACATTATGATAGTGGCACGGAAGGTGGAGTTGATCCCAGTCTAAGGGGTCGCGAGCTGGATGATGATACAAGTTGACTGAACTCCCAGGGAAACCACGACGAACCCCGAGAAAGGCGAAGAGGAATGGAATAATGATAGTGATTTTCAGAGTGATGCTAAAAAAACACGATGGCCGTTCAACGAGGTCGTGGCGGAGGAGAGAGGGGTATCAATGAAAGCGATGTGACGAATCTAACGACCCTAGGAGGTTTTAAATCCAGGAGCTAAGGGTCGTGTGAGCAAGGGCAATGAGGGCAACAAAAGGATACTTGCCTCCACACTCCAGCGCACTAATAGCAATAGATAGAATAAAATTACAGAAAAGCGGGTGGTGGCAGCTCCTCCGGGCTTGGTGAGTTTTGGAAGGTAGAACTCGCGAAGTACCCTTCGATCTCTTGCTGTGTCATGCCAGGTCGAGGGGCACGCAACGCCTTCCGCTTGGGTCCTGCGGGCATCTCGTCTGAACTCGAAGAGTCTTCGCTGATGGACTGGGAAGACACATCCTCATCCGACATATGGAAGACCCCATCACTGGGAGTGCGAACATGTCGGCGGTTCTTCCTCGGCGCCGAAGGGTTCGGCGACAAGTTGAACGGAAATGTTGCCACTGAAGTCGTTAGAGGCGCAGTGCGAGGACCGTCGTCATAGCGCTTGGACCGAGAAGGGCGCTGGCGAGTAGGGGTCATTGGAGGGCTGTAGTCATCGAAAATGCTTCCAACCTCCGTAGAGTCGTCGCAAATAGGGAAAGGCTTCCAATTGGAAGTGTCAGGAGTGGTCTTGCCCTTGAATGGTCGAGCAGGCAAAGACCGAGAAAGCGTCGGAGGAATAGAGTTCGGACGCTGGGGAACAGGGATAGCCCTGGCCGGAGGAGTACTGAAAGAACTCGCCGCCTGAGTTTGCCTGCGACGGGCGAGCTTTCCAGAAGGATGCGAAGCGAGAGTAGGAGCCGCGCGCACAGGTGGAGAGACGGAATCGTCCGAAAAGGAATCGAAAATGTTAGCAGCCGTAGATTTGCGTGGCGGTGTTGAAGGGACCTCTGCCTGCGAGGGGTTCTGAATCGAATTCGGCGGGGAGGGTTGACGGGTATGATTACGACGACCTCGAACAGATGAATGGGAAGAACTCCTGCTCAGTGTCAGCGGATGACTCAATTTTTGCAAATACGGAAAAAGCGCTTCACCTTGCCGTCTTGGCCTTGACCTTTGCTGGCTGTCGGCCTCGTTTCTCTGGCGAGAGCTGTGGTGAAGGCTTCTTCTCGACGATCTCTGGTGAAGGCTTCAACAGCTGCTGTTGTGTTTCCGGTCGCACCGGCTGTAAAACACGATGAGCAACCGCCTGTCTTGGTTTGGGAGACGCCTTTGCTCGCAGCTGCTGTTGCTGAGCTCGTTGAATTGACAAAAGGCCCGGAGTACGTGTTGCTTGCACGACGACGGCTGGAGGGGCTGATGGATGCCTCCGGTGGTTGAGTGCGAAGTGTGGCGATGATATGTTGAAGTTCGGTTGTTTCTGGACGAGCATCATGTTGAAGAGGAAGGGGTGGGGGAAGAGGAAAGCGGTGGGGATGGAGGACGAATTCGAGCAGGCGGTAGTGGTATTGTAAAGTAAGTGGGAAGACGTACCTTTTCCGTTGTGGCTTTTAGCTTGTCTTTATTTGCTTTTAGTGGCTTGGACTCAATATGGCGTAATCTTGTGCCACGTGTATACCAGAAAAGGGACAGGAGCTTCTCTCGCTTTTTCCCACTCCCATGCCGCTATGCCGACGTCACTGCTTCCTGCTTTGCTCATTCCGGACTCTCTTGCGGTTACTCCCGCAAGCTCTAGGCTTCCTACTTTCACCGATCGTAGACAAAGCGCACAATTGGGACGAATCTATCTTGCTTCCCTTCTGCTACGTGCAATAAATGATGGATGCTCAGTAGATAATAGCCCTTTATTGTACTATAAGAGCGGAAGGAGACCTGTCGCCGGTCTCATTTATTGTATTCCGTGATCGGCAAAGCAACCTTGCTATGAACAGCAATGTCTTATCCTTCTCCACGGCCAGTAAGTCCTGTGACCACGTATACGGAAAACTCGATCGTCTGATCCAACCAGCTTCTCGGTTATTCTACTTCCAGATCCCACCAGATTCTCCCCCCAATTACTTCTAGCCAATCATCGCGGACCTCGGCTCTGCCTTTGCCCCGCACATATACGACTTTTAATTTACTTCCGTACTTGAACCTCAGAGGGTCCTCTTCCGTCCTGTGCTTCTCCATCATTGTGAAGGCTTGCTCTCGGGCCCTGTGATATGTCAGTGGAGGCCCTTCTATCTAAATACATGCCCCCTCTATGCCCCTTCCTCATGTCTTGACTGATCTAGAACCACCGCTTGTCCAACAAGGTAAGATGTTGATATGGCTTCGAGCATCTATCTCTCAGGCTCTGGTCTCGAGGATGTGTTACCCTGCTTCTGATAAGTTACTATTCATCACTTGAACAATCAAAGGCAAGCAAAGGCAGGCAAATACCCCATGCTCAACAAGTAACAGTATCCTTGCAATGAATGCTATTCACTTCTATGGTTACTCGGCGCCGATAAGGTTGGCCCCACCTTTTGTTCAGTCGTTGTGATCAGGTAGTACTGGTAATTCTCCTTACCCAGTTCAGCTGTTGTTTACTGTGGCGCCTGTCTGGAACTCATCGCCTTGAAGATTGCATCAGTACGCCGCAATGCAAATCCATCAGATCCACCTCGGGTTGTGGGATTCTCCAGTCGCACTGCTATCCCTTCGCACCCTTCGCAAGGGGCCAACGGGACGGTGACCTTTGTTACCGAGGGATATTCTTGAACTTTCCCGGCGTCATACGTCGGTCCATTGTTCCAGATCTGTTTCCCTCTGCGGCTCCTCCAGGCGTGCTAGCTTGCCCAACTGGCACAATCTGTCATGTAAAGGCTCCCGTCTCGAACGTCGGCCGTGGCAGACGCCAACGAGTATACATGAACCTACAACGTCCAGAACATTCTGCTCAGCCTAAACTAGCGTTCTCCCTTGCACTGGCGAGCGAATTCCTTTCGAATGTTCCTCGGTCCGATAGTACAGTGGGTGCGAACACAAGGCTCGCAAGTCTAATGACGTTGACATGTCTTTCGACGATGTAGCAAGAGTCTTCCGTGCGTCCCGGAGAAACCAGACGAGTTCTGTTCCGCTGGCCCTTACGGCTATGATTCTTCGCCACTTGCTGCTCTAGTGCGTCTCGGACCTACTAGCGCATACATTCCGTGCGTTCATCGTCCCAACAGGTACCGGTACCTTTACCTCCTCTATGGCACCGCAACCTTGATGAAGAGGTGTAAGCCGCTGGACTGGGCTTAACTCTCCCCGGCTCGGAATATTTTTGTTTCAACCTTGAGTTTCTGTCGAACGGCTGTGGTTCGGGACCTTGCATTGAAGCTCTTGTGCGTCGAGTATTCTACGCATCCGATGCTCTTCATTCTACAGCGCTTGATCTCCGGTCCGAATGCCGATTAGTGTTTCGGATCCGCCTTTCACCCTCGTTGATAAGCACTGTAGTGCTCTAGGTCCCTGGCACTCGTTCTTCTGAAATGCGTTTCTTTTCGGCCGCCTCATTTGCTATCGCTTGTACTGTAAGCGACTCACTTGCATGCCAACCATTCCTCGTAGGACTCGGAGTCTTGCTCTCTGGGCTTCTCTATGATTACATTGTTTCTCGCTTAAGCTTAGACTTCCTTTGTATCTCAACTGGACAGATATTCTCATTCTACTACCAATGTCTTTCTCTTTTTGTCTCGACTTTGTCCATCATATCTGCTATGTATTAGTTTTACTCCCTCGTCGCCATGCATCAGACTCGAGATCCGCGGCAACGGCTCTCAGCGCCCTTCTATGTACGTTGGCATGTCCGGTGAACAGTCTCTTATCATTCTCGGCGCAACGCTTTCCGATCTTCGCTTGACACAAGCTGCTCGATTTCCTTTGCCCTTCATTTCCCATTGTCATTCTCTGTCACTGGCATGCTCTTCGTGCGCGCAGACGTTGTCTTCCTCATTACTCGTGTTCCTTGCTAGCCGGGTCGGGTTCCCTTGTTTGCCGTTTTGTTCATCGTCATAATAGGTCACTGGATCACCCTGATGCGTTTCCTGCCGATGGATAATCCAGTTTCTCAGCCAGGTCTTGTGGCAGTCCTTGACATCGTCATCCAATCGCTCGATCTGTGCGAAAACACTTGGACCCTGCGTAGCTCTTGGCCACCTACTCATGCACACAGAGACCTACACGTAGTACCAAACTGCGTCCGATAGTCGCCATGTGCCAAGCCTTTGGCGGTCCCCACAAAGCCCGTGTTTTTACCTTGTGACCTACGAATAGCCGGCACTGACCCACGCACTCGCTTCTTGGAGGCAGTTACATTTCCAGGACGCACAGTTTATGAGGTTCAATGAAGTTGATCATGCTTTTGTTCTGTAGTGATGACAGGTCTATTCAATGAAGTTGATACTTATGTTCGGCATCACTGACAGAAGAAATGCTGTTTCAATATTAAACTGAGAGAAAGACAAGGATCGCTTGCATCAAGCGTCTACTGATCCGAAATGATTCGTATACGCATAGACGTTCAAAGGGTTCGAGTCTTGGGTTGTTGTTGAAGCTGGTCTAGCGAATGCATGGTCAGGAGTAAGAATACCCTTGCTCACCTCACTTTCACTTATAAAACAATCCTTGTTTTCTTTCTAAAAATCCAAAGTTCGAATTGATCGCCAAGAGGAAAAATATGAGCGCTCACATTGACACGTGGAACCCAAATACGAAGCCTTGAGCTTGGCTTCGACCCTGCTGAGAACCCTGCCTCATGTTCGAAATTGCCTTGTGGTCTTGCATCAGGGTGCAATTGCTCGACTATTGACGTTCTACACGACTGTTCTTACGAGGTTACTTTTAACGATACTCCGACGACTTTGCAACGACCTGGTCACGTCTCGCATTAAAGGCTGGAGGGAATAGAGTTTAAGTTGACATACTGGAGGTGAGTGAGATCCTTTAATGTCATTCCAGAAGATTGCTCATATCTTGATCACGAAGGTTCCAAGATGCCCAATATAAACGCTATCGTTGGTCTTGCAGAAGACGATGGCACGGCGCGGCAACACCGAAAATCGACGAGGAAGGAGACTATCTTGAGTTTGGTGGAAATGTTGCTAAGAGAAGATAATAGCAGTTGTGAGTTGTGAATGCGTAGAAACTCATCTTATCGCTGAATTTCCTTTGAATGTAGCTCAAGAGGAAACACCCGTTCTAGAGGACGACAAGGACGTTCGTGAGTCCATTTCTTAGTACTCGTCATCGAAAGCGCTAAGGATTTTTAATACAGCGACGGTGGACGAACATCTCCAAGCCGCGGGTGCAGATACATTCTATAGGTTTCACAAGTCCGTATCTCCATTTGCTTCAATTCATTTGTCTCCGTCTCAATATGGTCTAGGAGGATTAACAATCTAGACAAAGAGGTGCGTGTATCCGTGGTGCTGCCAGTAATTGTTCACTCAACCCTTGCTAGCTGCGTAACTTCGCCAATGCTGCGCGCCAGCTCGGGAGTTCCGCAGCGATTCTCTCCTCCGCTTTCCACCTACGCGAGCGCCTCGCCCACCTGCTTCACCTTTACCGAGAAAATGCTGCCGACCTCTTTCCCCGAAAGATCACTCATGTCACACACATGAACAACATTGAGGCTGAAACACATACGAGGAGGCTACATCGACGTGCGAAACCCTCGCGGCCCCCGCAGCATTTCTCAAGGCCGGTCATCGACGAGAATTTGGACCTTGAAGACTTTCCAGACCAGTTCGAAGCCCTCGCGAAGGACGTTACTACTTTTATGAATTGCTTGAACGAGTTCCCAGAGTTTACGGACGAGGCCGTTAATGCCTCGATTTCTGCCTTTGAGGGTGACTTGAAAGTGGGTTTACTCTGATCCGCTTGTTTAACTCAGTATTAACGGTTAAGTTAGTATTGGGCCTCATGTTTACGTGTGTATCAAGGACAATTTCGGTACCCTGCGGTACAGCGATACATACACGACCTTACATCTGAGATGGGGGAACACATCGATAGTATCACGTCAACCCTATCTATGTTCATCGAAATTGGGGTGCCGACTATCCGCTTCGCGCAAAAACACGGGGCCACCAACTTACTCAATCTCTCTACTGTCGCTACCTTCTTCTCTGCCGTGACAGCGACGACAATGCAGTTTTCGTACGAACTCCAAGGTAGTACTGCTGCGGCAGTAAACTCTTTCTGGTTTGCTTCCTTGGTATTTTCAATTGCAGCCGCCGTGAATAGTTTGCTTGGCCTCACGTGGAAACAAGCTATGTAGTAAGTGAGATACATATATCCTTCATCAGCGGCTTCTTACCTACTCTATAGTCGTTCTCCGGGCCATCGAGTGCCGTGGTGGGTTCTTATCTGGATTAAACGCTCCCCTCTTGTATTCCTCGTGATGTCTGTGGCGTGCTTTTCTATAGGCCTTTGTTGTTTTGCGTATGCATCCGGCCAAGTTCGTACTCCGTTTATTGCTTGCTCGTTTAAGCTGCTTACAACATGTGCAGCACCACGTTACGTCCACGATAACGACGGTCTTTACCGCGTTCACCTCCTTTGGTCTCTGTGCCGTGTCTGCCTGGTTTGCATCCGAACGCTGGACGTTCCTACGTCACAGCGGTAGAAAGTGGCTCAGTGATGTCCTTCTCGAAGTCACGGACAAATTTTTCAATCTTCCTGGCATGGACATGATACGATTTTGCGTTCGTAAATTTGAGGAGTCCATTGACCGAATGAGCAGCTCTATATCAAGAGTTGGCACCAAGACTGTCAGTATGATGTCTCATGGGAGTAGTGGGAGCGACGATGAAAAGCATGATGATATAGAAACCGGAACTGGAGCAATTCTACCACTGACCAGCCCACCGAATTCTCCCACCTTGAAACATCGAGGCGCATCAGATCCATTTCCGGAGACTAACGGTACCATTAGTCCCAGTCCAACAACACCGACAGTTGAAGGATCTGCTCCTTCAATTGCATCAGAAGAGGGGCCTTCTGTCGGTAAACAGCTCTGGAAGAACGCGATACGAACGGTGAAGATGCGATCGGCGGTATCTTCGAATATAGCAGCCATGGCTAGTGCGAGGAACCCCAATCGTCAGCGAACGTCATCAACGTTGACTGGCAGAAAGAGGTCGACTGGGAATGGTCCTGTGCTGCGTTCTCGCGTTGCAACGTTGACTCCTCAGTTGAAATGTTTGCAGCCAACGAGGGATCTCACTGCTCATCAGGCGCTTGTCAAGCACATGCAATTTTCACCTAATGGGAAATTTTTGGCTACGTCAAGGTGTGTATATGGAATATGAAGGGTCAGACGAAAGCTGACGCCGAGTAGCTGGGATAGAACTTCATTGATCTTCCGAGTTGGTGTAAGTGTCTGTGTCTGTGTCTTCCTGGGCAGTATAAACTGATCCGGTAATTCAGGAAACGTTCGAATCACACCGTATCCTCGCACATGCAAAAGGCTTCGTCCACCAGGTTGCTTGGTGAGGCACCTTTCCTGATCTCGAGTAATACTTAATCTCTCTCCCAGGTCACCCTCCGGCAATCTCCTACTGACAAAACTGAGCAAGAGCATCAAGATCTGGACGGAGGTGGGTTAGCCTCGTCGGGCGCAGACGGTGCTTGCAGAAATCAGAGATCTGATTTTTACGCTTGTTTCGTTCAACGCGTGCGCAGGATGGTGTATGCTTGAGAACGATCGACCGACCTGACACAACTATTGAATCAATAACGTGGTTGCCTGATGGAACTGGTGCGTTGCTTCCTTACTTTCGACATTTGAGTGTTTCACTGATTGCTGAGTAGGATTATTGTCTGTGGAAGGTAGCCACGTAACAAAACTGGTAAGTTTTGTGATTATGTTCGAGTGCCATCGAAACTCAATCTCTCTTTGGCACTGTTAGGATCTTTTGGGGAAGGTGAACTACAATGCACGTTCTCGTTCGTCATTGACATTGATACGCTCGCCATCCTAGGTAGTCGGCAAGTACGATTTCGAAAATATGAAGCTCCACGACGTTGCTGTCACTCCTGATGGTCTACGCCTGTTGGGTATTGGTCCGCTAACAGCGTCACCTACTGGATTGAAACCAAGTAAACCTAGAGCAGTCGAGAAACGGCTTGCAGGTTAGTTCCGATCCTTGTTTCGTATCAGGCATGAATTAACTTTGATGCTTCCGCTGCCCAGTATACAACACGCAGACGAATCAAATTGAACAGTACGCTTCTCGTCACTTTGAGATATTCACATTCGTGACCACGAGATTTGTAGTCAAACACCGGTACTTAATGATGTCCGTGATATCACATTGGCAAGGAACACGAAGAACGGATTAATTGCTTTGGTCAGTTACGAGTACAAGGTGAGAGGGAGGATGCACTTCATATCCTTCGGAGACTCACTTGTGCAAAGGCACCACCTCAACTATGGAAAATTGACATCGTCAAAGATCATCGGGGTGATGATTCACAGATGGTCGCTCGTTTCACTTTACGGTATGATGACTCCTTCATCGTCCAACAGTCTTTTCATTGTCTTTGCAGGCACACATACATGCCTAAAGGCTCCGTCGAGTTCGCTGGTCCGAGTTACTTCGGTGGTAAAAACGATGAATTGGTCTTATGCGCAGGAAAAGGTATATAGTCTTATTACTGCTCTCTTCCTTAATTCATTACCCTTGCAGCTGGGGATATACACATCTGGGACCAAGAATCTGGAGCCCTGCTACATTATGTGCGTCCTCAAGCACTGGGCGGTGACCTGACATGTATAGCATGGAATCCTGCTGCGGAAGACCCCTACATGTTCGCCACGGGAAGTCATGACGGCGCTGTACGGATATGGACACGACCCAAGCCCGAGCCTTCAGATAACGCTGACAACAGTGGCGGGAGTGCCAATTACACGCCGCGCACGGCGTCACCGATGCCATTCGAGATCGACCGGACGGACAGCCCATTATCGCAGCGGGACTTTGATGAGATGTCCATACCGGAGAGCGATGATTTGCCCTTGAGAGAGCGTATGGTAGCGTTTGCTACGGATCGCGCACTGAGACGAGCAGACTAACTTCTTGTGCAGGTTTGCAATCCGCATGTTAAGGCATAGGGCCATGGAATATGCGCGCTGTATTTACTGATTATTTCATGCTGTACCTATAGAATGAACATGGACTGGAAACAAAATTTCGCTATAAAAATACAAGTGGGAAAAACAGCGGCTAGTTAACAAAAACTGCGCTCATTCGTTTACTCCTCGTTTTAGAATACCCTCAGCTACAATCAACGCCTGAAACGTCCAAATTAATAACGTTCTCACTGCAAGTACTGAGGGAACTTTCCTGGAGCAACTCTTTTTGACATCGCTGATTCGGGACAGAGAACGCGGCATCGGGATGTTTTTTATTTCGGGCAAGAAACTTTGCATCGCTGAGGAATAAGAATCGCTTCCTTTCATCCCAATCGTGCTCGTCCTTGTCATCATCTTCCTCCACTGTGTCGCCAGTTGCGAGCGCCGAATTGCTCGAACTGCCAGAACCATCCTGACCAAGCACAGAATCGGGATGCACGGCAAGAAGCTGATGGTCATCCACCCAAGGTTTCATCAGCATGGCTTGGCATGCAGCTCGTGTTTGCACGGAAGCTCGAGCATATGCCAGAAGTGTAGCGCTGTCGTAGATGTATTCCGAAATTCGAGCTAACAATTCCTGTGGCAGACGCGTGTGTAGAGGCTCCGTAGTGCAAACTGTGACATCAGGATGTCCCAGGGAGAAATGGTCGAGGTATTCACAGAGACGCGCGAGGGCAGTTATACCGGGCGTAGTCGGGGAATAAGCATACCAGGACGGAAGGAAGTCCAGTGCGCCTGTATGAGAGACTTTCCCCGTCCCTCCTTCTAGTCGAACGATGACGCAGTGGAAGAGAGAAAACACGACGCCGAAGGTGTCCGAAACGCGGGATTCTGAGCGCATACACTCAGTAATGGCAGCGACGGCTGCTTTCAGGTTGGATTCATCGTCCAGGTGTGTCCAGGTGAACACACATAGGTTCTCACGCAACCATACTGCCAGGCAGTCGTTCTCAGATACTGTGGCGGGATAATGAGAGTCTGCGAGGACTGCTTCCCACTGTTTCCCGTATTTGGGTGGTAATAGAGCGGTGCAGGCGAAGATCCAGAGGGTATGTAGGCTGGCTTTGTTGAAGGAATCGCGACTGGGAATATTACGAAGATTGATGATATAACGATGAGTATCGCTGCTTCTCTTCATCAACATCCCTACCAGGACCTCCAAGAGACGAATCCGAGTGCTCGAAACGACAGACATAGCAAGAGGGGCGATATCCTCCTTGACCGTTACCGTTGCCTCGAGTCGCTTGTAGGCCTCTAATTGCTCATCGCTGATCTTTGGTGGCGACGTGATCCAGTTGGCTTCATATCGGTGGCGCTCTGGCATCTGCTCAGCATAGGCTCGTCCACCATAATGATCAAAGGAGATGAATCTACAGAAATCATCTGCAGAAGGCATACAGTCGAGGCGAAACAAGGGAACGGTGTCAACATGGAATACGAGATTGTCCAAGTCGATTTCGTAGATCCACTCAATGAAGATGTCGTTCAGCGGCTGCAAGCGAGAGATGGAGTATCTATCGCTGACTTCGTAGCTTTCATGGTTCCGTTTTTCGATGTTGTGTCTCTTCAGGTCTTTGTCCAAGCTTGCTGTGAAGTCTTTGAACCATTTATCAAAGCGTTTGGGATCACAGTTGGCAGGCGGTACGTCGCCGAGGACTATTAAGCCCAGACCCTCGGGATATGAATCGAGGTGGTTGTAGTGAACGAAATACCAGCCCTTCCAGTGATATACGTAGTAACCTCGAGTACCCATGGAGAATAGTGAGCGGTAGTGGTAGCAGTGGGTCCGTGCAGGTGATGGTTTAGGGTCTAGGCAATTTCAAACGTGGCGTCGGTAATTCGGAGCCGGCTACCCAAAGTCGGGTGCTGTTCGGGCGGCGTAAACTTGCAATTCCTGTCTCTAATCTCAACGTCGTTATGGTCCCTCTTGCCCTCCCCTCTATACATCCAGTATGGTACTCAAGCTTTATGGTAGCCGCTGGTCTCCCAATGCAAAGCGTGTCGCTATGGTGTTGCTAGAGAAGAATGTACCCTTTTAAGCTATTGAAGTCAACATGATTGACCAGGAGCACAAGACGGCGGCGTATACAGAAAAGCAGCCATTCGGTCAGGTGCCGTATATCGTGAGTTTTTGAATCACAAGACGCGCTGTTTGTGCTGACACGGGAACCCAGGATGATGATGGCCTGATCCTGTATGAACGCCGAGCCATTTGCAGATACATATGCAAGAAATACGAAGACCAGGGAGCCAATCTAGTGCCGACTGACCTTCAAGCATTTGCGATGTTTGAACAAGCTGCATCCAATGAGATATATAACTTTGATGTCTACGTGCAAGCCGCGGCGATGGAGTCTGTGGTGAAGCCGTGAGGTCCTCGCCTGTCCCCGTCATGTACGACGTTCTTACAGCTGATTCAGAGCACTGGGGCAAAGGACAAACAAGACTGTCTATGAGAAAAACATTAAGATACTGTCAATGAAGCTGGATGTATATGATAGGATCCTGAGTCGACAAAAATATATTGCTGGAGCTGTAAGTGACTAATTGCTTTTGCCGATCAAACTCTCAATAGTTGTATAGGATTTGACACTGGTGGATCTGTTCCATATTCCGTACACGGTCGAGCTTGAAGAGGCCGGGTGTGACATCATGTACAGCAAGCCCAACGTTGCCAGGTGAGCATATTGTGACCGCCTGGCATGTCCGTCGCTGACGACGATCAGGTGGTGGAGGGAGTTGCTGGCGCGGGAGTCATGGAAGGCTGTTGCCACGACTATTGACTCAAACATCTGAGGATAATCGTTTCGGTCATCTGTAGATCATATAAATCACTGCGACTTTCGTCAGCTCGATTCCAGGGTGCTTTTAAAACGAACTTGGCAACAGATTCCCTGATAAATTCGACAGTTCGGTCTTGCGATTTTGCTTTACGCTCATCACGGATTATCTTGCAAGCGTATGGGGCTGGGCTCCACGCTCTTCGCCGGGAAAGTTTGTTTGTAATCTCCAGCAATTTCTGTTCTGGGGTGCTGTTTTATGCTATTCTCCATCAGGCTCGCATGTCGCGGCTTCCTGCCCGTTAGGCTTAGTGTTTATCATATGTTTCTCTCTCATAAGTTTCCTCTGTGAATGCTAGAAAAGCAAACCAATCAGCAATGGGTTGTGTCATCTATCTTCTACAGACCTCCACCCAGGTGATATCATGTTGGGTTCTATGTGCGTGTTTCTTCACATCGGAGAAGACCTTGGAGCGGAAGTGATGTTCCGTAGCTTCAGATGAACTTCCGGGAATTTGTTCATCCTAACGTTGGCTATATGTTTCACGGATCTCATTGGAGGTCCAACGTACACGAGGTTCCGTCTGGTCAGCTGGGACTCCCTGCCTTCTGGCGCGTAATTGCTCATACCGAGGGCTTCCTGCTCAGGGTACCCTTCATTTAAATTACCGGCGGTCCGAGCCAAAGGGGTTGGATCAAGTAAAAAGGCTGTTGCCACCGTTGCCACTGCGCATGCGTCGTTCGCGATGGCCATCTCAGGCCAACCTACGAGAATTAGCGGGTTTGTTACAAAAATGTAGATGTAGATATACGATAAAATTAGCGTATTGGAGCAGAAAATGTCATAGCATGACGTCAGTTCAGCGCACACAAGCAGAAACGACAAAGACGGGAATGACGTCGGGGTACCCCGATTAGGGAAGAGATTGTTGGAAAATTGTGTTTGTTTTCGTTGGTGGAGCCTTTTTGACCCGTGGCTGTCAGTCGGGTTCATTTCGTCTCCACTTTCGGACAAAGTCCCCTCTCTGGCTCTACTACGAACCAGCACCGTCGAGCTCGCTATCCTCGACGACGGCCACGCTCTTTCCCTCGCCCAATTCTTATGGACTCCCTCCGTCCCGTGCGTCCGATCCTTGTCGTCATTCATTTCCCTTCATAAATCCGTCCAACTAATATCGCATTATTCCCAGGATGGACCTTCACGATCTTCACTTATTTCCCCAGCGCCGGCGCCGACCAACGATGATATTGAAGCCGTAATTCAGATGGCCACTTCAGCCCGCGCTTCGCCCGATGGGCGAAATGGGCCTCCAAGGGATACTAGGACACAGTTATTTGTGGGGAACGTGGGTCTGCGTGTTGTTAATTGGCGGACAAGTATTCACCCCGCCCTCAGCTACCCTACCGCGTACGGTGGCAAGACTTGAAGGATCTTTTCCGGCAAGCTGGAACGGTATTGCGAGCAGATGTTTCTCTCGGTCCGGACAATCGATCGCGCGGCTATGGGACAGTTCTGCTAGCAACCGCTGAAGACGCTGGTCGAGCTGTCGACAAGTTTAATGGTTATTCCTGGCAGACTCGTATTCTCGAAGTACGTCCAGATCGTCTTCCCCCTGACTTTGACAACTCCGCTGCAACCTCTGCCATTTCCTATCCTCTTCCCGACATCGATTCACTTCCACTGTACGGGTTAGAACGCCCTGCTTCAACCGCGGGCGGCGGTAAGAACTTATTCGTGGGGAATGTACGTCCTACGTATTATTTCGTCATCATTTTATCTGATAATATTTATAAGCTGCCATTCCACTGCCAGTGGCAGGACTTGAAGGATCTTTTCCGTCGGGCGGGTACTATCATACGCGCCGATGTTGCGTTGGGTCAAGATGGCCGGTCGAGAGGCTTTGGCACTGTCGTCTTTGCTACAGATTATGATGCAGAATGCGCAGTTAAAATGTTTAACGGGTAAGCTAAAGTGTTATTTGGCTGTCGTGTGATCCCAATCATTCCTTTATCCCAGTTACGAGTACAATGGACGTCCATTGAAAGTGCACTACGACAAATTTTCACCTTCATCAGTTGCTCCGCCCACCTCGCCGTCAGCGTCTGCATATGGTCAAGCCTTAAGTGCTCCATCAACCCAGACGAATTCAACGTATCCACCCTCACACATTTCCCTGCCAACAGGATACTTGGATCTCTCTGCGCCCAGCTCCCCTTACGAGATCTATCCACCACAGCTGCAGATGTCCATGCCTCACCCCCATCATACACACTCTCACATACATCAGCCAACGGCACAGAAGGAACCCATTCGACCTCCCCTCTCGCTCCCTTCTTCGCGTACTACATCATCTTCTGCGGCATCCTCTGCTGAGTCTACAAGACCATCTTTGAATGCAAATCCATCTAATTCCGCATCTGCAAGATCTTCGAATAACACCCCTTCGTCAGAAGAGAAATCGACATCTCCTTTGGCTCAAAACTCAGGACCTACTTCTTCGTCACATCATGCGCAACATCCTCATCATCCTGGTCCCATATCAATACCTCCTCCGCCACCGGTCACCTCTTTCACGATGCATCCAGGCCTTCACCACCAAATGTCGCCTGTGCTCGTATCGCCGCTGTATCATCCTATGTCGCCCCTTCACCACGTAGCAATTCCAATGACGCCACACGGCCTTCCTCCTATTACGCCCTCCATGCCTCCATTTACATTCTTACCGCCGCCTTCCTTCGGACAGCCACTGAAAACAAGCGACAGCGATATGTCCATGAATGGTTTCCACCATCCACCTTCGTTTACGTCGACGTCCATATCTCAAACACTTCCTACGACTCCACCTCCGCCATCACCGTCTCTGGATTCGTCGGCAATGACCTCGAACACGTCACTTTCCTCATTATACCCGTATTCTAATTCAGACTCTGACCTTCCGGCATCCCCTACTTCGAAAAGGCGACCATCACCATCACGTCGACCGCACCCGCTACAAGCGCCCCACTTGACACCGTTCTCGCCAGGACTAGCAATGAGTCCCGGCGCGTTTTGGGGACGGAACCCGTATATGAACCCAGCTCCGGGAGCTCCAGTACACCCTTACCATAGTAATCCATACATGCAATCACAGTCAAGCCCTGGTTACTCAATACCGAGTCCTAGTGGTTTCCAACTGCATCCTCAACCGAGTCCTGGAGGATTTTTCTATACTGGACACCTCCAGGAACCGAAGGGGTACTTTGACAGTGTCATGGCGACGGGCGGGCTCACAGGAAACAACGATGCGGGAGGCGGTGGTGGGTATTTCGGTTTTGGTCTCGGAGGTGTTGAAGGCGAGATATTGAGGGAAAAAGCGGAGTCGAAAGAGTCGAACGCAGAGGTCAAAGTACCTGAGGTGACGGTGGAAGCGGCAAAGAACTCGGCTGGCTTGGCGGAGATTGATGATGTTTTCTTCACTGCTCCTGGTAGCGGGTCGGGGCCATCAAGGACACACTCGCTGTCGGCCTCTGACGAGAAGCGGCCGCCGATTCAGCGGACCTCTGGGTCTGACCCTACGCGGGTACTGTAGAACTGTGGACATTGTAGATGATCGGACTTGGTAACATGGGTTTCGTATGACTTGCGGATGGGTTTTCTTTTATGGTGAGAGGTTCTCTCTTCTTGTTTGCCATGCATGTCTTTTTTATCCTCATTCATTCTCGCATCACCACACGTATCTAAGAATCTCATGGGTTTCCGACATTTTTTGTTTCTCTTTTTATAATTTAACGTTCCTCTGCTTGTTCCTTTTTTGTCGCCGCACTGAATTGTTGGGAGTTCTGCATCGCATTGTTTTATTTACTGCAAGCAAAATATAAAATATACATACCATATAGGTGTACTCGTTCTGTAGAACGGAAATGGAAGACCTTGTTAATGATAGGAAGGGCTCTCGGGGATCGAGTGAATGTTCGTCGTAAAGTATTTACCAGGAATCGGCGACAACTTGAGCCCGGGATATAGTCCATAATAATGGTGACTGAAATATAATTGTACTTGGAGACGCGGTGATGAATGGAAGGAACTGTAACTGCTTTGGGTTATTTCCCGAGGAGATGGAACACATCTTGAAAGCTACATCTGGCCATCTAAGGGGCAAATGGATGCTATGTCGAGAAGGAATGACTGACTTGCGCGTTATTCCTATCAAATTCTACGGAGAGACTGTCGCGCGAATTTTCAAAGCTTCGTTGCCAGTGTTGGGTTTATCTGGCTGTGAGGATCTTGGCCACACCGGAGTAACCGTTTTAGAGAGCCTCGGGAACGGGTCTGGTATGGCGAGAGTAACTTGTATTCAGCGTTGCTAGCGCACTGTACTAATATATTGGAAAGGCCGAGTCTGGAAAGTGAACCAGAGAGAAGAATTGTTCAATCCAGTTCATTGGTCCGTTATGCCAGGGAGCCTTTAAGTAAGTGTCTGGAACGAGAACTTGAAGCTAAGAATAAGAAATTCCCTGATATCTTGAATCTCTCACTGAGTCTCGTGAGGGTACGGTCGTTTCAAGATGTTATCAGGTTACAAGCGAAGAGAGGCCCTACAGAGAAAACATTGACTATACATGCCACTGACGGCTACAACTTGGCACTGGGTCTATCCTAGCCGCTATCAAGCAAAGACGATATTCCATTCCAAAAGCGCCTTCAAGGCCTTGCAAGTCACCCTGTGCTCCTTCCAATCCTGGCGCTGGCATTGCTGGAAGAGCCCGCGCATAAGAGGTCCTAGTAGACTGGAATAAGGGGACTTTGACATACCTGAGAACAGTAGCGTGATTTACACGCCGTGCAGCGGTGCTGAGCGGGTTAGTTGCAAACAACACACGACATGAAATTTCCCGCGTCGGAGCGTTGACGCAGCCCTGAGCTGAGTGTCCTCAATTGTGCGATAGTACATGGAAGAACCTTGCATAGTGTCGAACCATGATTAATCGGAAAGGTTTTTACTGTAATACGGGAACGTACAGTAACGGTAGAGGCATCCTCAATCCGATACCCAACCTGACCGTCAAAGAACTGGTGCAGCCTCGAGTTCTTGATACACATCGTCGAGCCAACTTCGCACTTGAGATCTTCCGCATCCTGGTCTAGATCGTCCGTGTAGAACGCAACAGTCCAGTAGTTCCCCGGGAGCTTATCTTCAACCCTATACACCGGTCTTCCGAACATTGACATATCACCGACAATCTGGAAATTTGTTGTGTGTTTTTTTTGGAGACTTCAAAGAAAACGAGAAACCTCGCAGAGTGTATACCAAGTTTCGTCTTCGTCTGGAGGTAGGAGAGGGACGTGGGCGCAGTCGGGAAAGTCTATGATGTTGTCCAGGTCCAAGCAGTATTGAGAAATTGGGGTTCCTGGCGGAATTCATGGGTAGCTTTAAGAGTAAGAGCCTGAGACGGAGTTAACACCCCTATATACGTCTCAGGAAGTTCGGCCCGATAAATTATCACGTGCAATAAAAACGTAAGCATCGACAGTCACACTTCGCTCTGAGCTGCATCAGCGGAGATGGCCAATCAATCCAGTTTTCCTCGTCCTCGTCGTTTCTCCATCCACCGTTCTTCGTTTTCAGAATGTTACTATTTTGACTCTCATTTTTCTCATCTGACCGATACGCGGCAGGAATATCGGAGTCTTCGCCCAGGAACAGTCTATAATATCATGCGCTGGCCTTCCAAAATTTCACGCTCCATTTGATTTTTTCTTTCTTCGGTTTTTTTCTTCGGACGCGACTGTCTAGTCACATCTCGCTCTCGCTCTCGCACTGATGCTGCGCCGAGGAGAATGTAATGATCGTCGTTACAGGCGGCGGACATTTGCCAGTACCCGTGTTAAGGTACACGGCTCGTTCTTCTGATGTCTAGGAAACAAGGATAATTAATGCTATCGCTCCCGGCTCTTCTTGTCCCTGGTACACATGCTTTCATTTCGGGTACACCGCCGGATCTCCTCCTCCCCTGCTCTGAGTGATAGTGAAGAGCTTCAGAATTATTGAACTTTGTGTTGTCAAAAATCGAAGTCCCGGACCACAACCGAATGCCAGGTGTTATATCGGACCGGTAATACGAACGGAGCGATGGTGAGCCCGCTAGTTAAACTGAAGGTAACCACGTATTGACATTTACTCTCACCAAGTGCTGCTCGTGAAGCCTGGAAGAACGCAGTTTAGCGATAGTCTCCCTATTAATTATCATTCGGACTCGGATAGGATTTTGTCGGACCCGGCTTATTCCAAGCTCAAGAAGGACTGCAGTGCGCACGTTCGTACTTGGTGGCGCTGCTCAAGAGCTCAGAGATATCAAATGCGATATCGATAATAGTAACAGTATGAGGATTGTGCCGCTGCGCATGAATGCTTCTGTAGCTCCACAATCCAAACTTGTTAAAGGTTGCTGGGGGCGACCGATGATGACGTCAGTTGTAAAAGAGGCGTTAATCGCGTTGGATTAATTCAAGACCTTCTGTCCGCGTCCTCTGCCAGTGTGAGTAATCTTGTCGCGTATCATGCCACTCAGCCTTACTTCGGCGACGAGCCAGAAACTTTGATTGACGTTGTGTTGATATTGATCAGTCTTGATGTGACCATGTGTACCCACACACACATATATATGCGCCATGAGGATTTTCAATGGGCTGATTCGCTTGCTTGCAGGACCATGTTATTACCTCGTTTTCAAATACTGCTCTTCCTTTTCATTCCGGTCGTTCTAGGAAATCTCGTCGACGACCTTCTTAATGCACTCGAAGAGGCGGTTACATGTGGAGGGTGCCACGCGCTCCTGGGACCACTCAAGTTACTCGCTGACTTTGGAGATGGCGTGTTCGTGGATGTCGTCACAGATATATGCACCTTGCTCAATGTAAGTCAACAATGAAATTTCTCTCGAATGGTCAGGCTTAGGGCTTCCAGTTAGCAGATGACGATGTCTGCGAAGGACTCGTTAATCAGCAAGGCCCTATCGTGGCGCACGCTATCAGAGCGATATCTGCAACTTCCCAGACCTCAACCAAACTTTGTGGCATCGTGGGCCTCTGCGATCCTCCAGACGTTAACGCGTATAGCATCTCTTTCGCATCGAACACATCGACCGCCAAGCCGATAACTTCACAAGGACGCGAGACGTTCAGGGTAGCCCATATCAGTGACGTTCACATCGACAGATCATACACGGTCAGTTGATCTTCTCACATGTTCGTAATTCCTCTGACGTCATGATATATAAGGTTGGTGCCGACGCAAATTGCACCAAACCCATATGCTGCAGAAACTACGCCGATTCTGCAGGTGATGCAATCCAAAGACCTGCGGGTACATTTGGGGAATACGGCTGCGACACGCCCGCGACTCTGATACACTCCTTAATATCGCAGATTGCTGGATCCGGCAGTGAATTTACTATCTTCACCGGGGATGTCGTCGAGGGTGAGCTACTTCGAATTCCCACCCCACTCTGACTAACGCATCTTAGCTGCCGTATGGCTGGTAACTGAGGAGTACGGTCCGATCTTCCACCGATACAATTCGGTACCAACAATTCTCATTTTTAGGGAAAATATCAATGACATCAATACATTCAACGACGAGCTTGCGAATGGTTTGGGTATGCCCGTGTATCCGGTCATTGGAAATCAGTATGTTTCCTTTCGCAGTTTCGAAGGCCAAGGTTTAATCCCATGGGCGTGTTCAGTGAAGCCGCTCCCATGAACAGCTTCCCCAGGAACACTTCGGTGAATATCGAGGAATGGGATGCCCAATGGGTCTTTGATACTACGAGTGCGAAATGGACTGTAGGTACCCGTTCATATTCCGTCTGGATCCGGATATTTATGGCTGCAGTCCTGGATCAATTCGACGGCGTCAGACCAAGTTAAGCACTACTCGGGCAGCTATTCGATTGTAGCTCCGGGAAAGAATCTACGGCATGTCTTTTGCTATGACCAAGTTCTCCAGCGCTCTGATTCATGTGATCAGTATTATATCTATTAATACCGTCTACTGGTACAGACTAAAGTATGTTATACTCGAAACACCACCTATTCCAAGCCAACTGATAGCGCAGCTTCTGGTTATATGATACCAACAAGCAACAGTATGTTTTCACATCTATCATCTTCTGATATCAAGTGAAGACCTGGACAGGCCCGATCCGAACGGAATCTTAGAGTTCACTGCGCGGGAGTTACAGGCAGCGGAAGACGCAGGACAACGAGCATGGATCATTGCGCACATGCCCCCTGGAGAGACTGACACACTCCGCGATCAGTCCAACTATTATGATCAGATAGTCCAGCGGTACAAGGATACCATCGCAGCTCAGTTCTTCGGACATACCCATGATGTGTGTGCATTTTTGCTGTTTATTCGCTGATGAGTTTATTTCTCATTTCGATTCCGATTCCGTTAGGACCAATTTGAGATCGCCTACTCCGACTATAGCAATCGAGTCGCTGACAACGCTGTCAGTGTTGCATGGATCGCACCTTCGGTGACGCCAAGAGGTCAGTTGGATAACCAAGTGCACCGCATCCTAAATTTTTCTCGGGCAATTTTTAGACGCGAACGCTGCGTTCAAGATCTACGACATAGACCCAGATACGTACGAGGTTATGGACGCGCATGTCTATATCAGTAGGTCGTTTCTAGCCAGGGTGACTCCCTTGATGCTGACGACGAGGAACATCAGCCAATCTTAGTGATCCAACTTTCGAGATCCAGCGTATGTGATCTGCCACTTATCCCCTTCCCGTATGTTCACCCTATTTCCCAGCGACCTGGGATATCTACTACAGTGCTCGTGAGACCTTTGGTCCCTTGGTACCCGACCTCGCCGACACAGATCCCCTTGGTCCATCATTCTGGCACCAGGTTACTGAAGGATTCGAATCGAATGATACAGCCTTTGATCTGTACTACTCTTTCAAGACTCGGGGTTATGATGTAGGGGCTTGTGATGATGACTGCAAGGCAGAGACCATCTGTGGGTTAAGGGCAATGCGGTCCCAGGATAACTGCGTATGTCCTTCCTTCTCCTTCCTTCAGAGAAAAAAAAACCAATAAATATTCTACTAAAAAGGCCAAAACGGAACCCGGGCTGAGCTACAAGAGAGGCCTGCCGGGTCAATCAATGGGGGCTTCGGAGGGCTGCGAAGGCTTTAGCATGGGAAACATCTTGGCCGGAATGGTTGGAAAATTTGCAAATGGGGAGGTGAGCGATTATTATCAACTTTTGTGCTTACCACGAGCCACCGCCTAAATTACCTCCATACAGGTGACCGACGATCAGCGATCTCAATTGTGGCTAAAGCTTAACGCGACGATACCTGCTTGACTTGTGTGGACAGGATCTACGTAAGGTATTAATATTTAATTCATGCCAGCATAGGCATCTACAATCATATACAATCCTGATTCGAATCACGTCTGTCTCGTATCTAACTATATCCATAGTCCGCAAGGGATGTGGACGAATCCGAAAAACGTTCTGGCTATTTGTTCAGGGTTGGCCTATGTATACGATCATCTCTTCCATTCTGTGCGCTTAATACCCGCTCCTATACAGAATCACTGCGAGAATCAAGCGGCTAGAACTCTTTAAAGCGCCGCCGCCTCAGCCTGGGAGGGCGGCTTGGCAACAACAACCTTGACTGCGTCGAGCTTTGGTCGGGCTTACAGGGTAGGCATCCTCCCTGTCGGGGGTGCTCCGTTGCCAGCTTGTAACGACAATTATAGCGCGCCTTGGAAATTGCTGTCGCGTCAAACGCTTGAATGCAAAAATTACCATGTGCTTTTCGGACGTTTTTGCTGCATAAATAATAAATGCAGATATGTACTAGCGGCCAGTCATATGCGCTCTTTGCTGCTCGCTTGTGACCCAAGAATCCCTTGGTATCCGATCCGCAGAGTACGATTGTCGTTCAAGTTCTTTCATCACAAATTCGCTTGAGGTAATCCGGAATATTTGAGGAATGAGACGGGCCGTGCAAGTCCCAGAGGATTGGGGGATTTTCGGTACCCCAGCTTCACTTTTAGGCATGTGGCGTTTCCTAACACCTTGGAGGTTGATGTGTTCTACAGTGACCTCGGATGACCACAAGACGTATGTCACTTTAGCGTTGCCAATGCCATCGAACAGAGTTCGTATGCGCTCTTGCCGACTTGGTGATTAGGCGGTAAGTATCCTAAGCGTCCGGCTCTCAGGGCCGGAGAGAGAGGGAGGGAGACTTGGCTCTGACATTAATTGCCGAAATATATTCGATTTTCGTAAAGTTTACTCATCATCCTTACTACACAGATTCTCTACCTGCCTCTTCCGTAGTGGTGTAAATATATGGGATCTTCAGGAAATCTCCCTGAACCTTCAGCTTGCCTTGGTAGGTCGTTTTCCGTCATATACGTTATATTTCCATACTGAATCGAGTCCGAGGCACAAAGTATGTTCCGGGCAACGATAGAAGTAGGAATCCTCCCATCCATTCTTCCGAATGAAGCGCCACAGTTTGACACCCACTGGCAGGGCTGCATCTAACGGCGTGGACAATATAGGCGTCGGATTCGGAGACCCGGGCCTTGGGAGTTTTCGTTATCCTACTCGGTTAGCCCTGGAGATTGGCTTCATTACCCCGATGCCAAATCCACTGATACGAACCTGGGTGCGTCACAACCTTGTTCCTAGAGTTCTTTATGCCTGTAGGTACCCATTCAATCAATAATTAACGATTTCATCCTGACTATACCTAGATCCGTTGCGACCACCAACTAACGAGCCTCTCGGATCTTTCCAGGGAGTACAGCCACATTGATGGGGCCAGGTACAAGAAAGCATGAGCTCAGAAGCTACCCTTTCCGTTTTGATTAAAAATTTCCCCCGTAGTTCCTCCTCGTTTTGGTCGTTTCCTGTTGGTATGGGCAACAGTACGCAATGGTGTCTTCCATAAGAAGACGAATCCTCTTTCACGGACGATAACCAATTTCAGGCTGCCGTTGTCAGGTAATGTACGCGTTATGTTTCGTGTCAGTTGGTGCGTCGCTGCGGAAGAAAATTTTTAACTAAAAGCCGCTTGACTATATTGGGACGCATACCTTTAAACCCAATCTCTGCTTTTTTAATCATCAATGCATGCCATTTATAATGGAGACAATAACTTGAATAAAGGTCTGAAAATCTCCATGCGGTGGTCCAATTGCCGCCGGAACGAAACTGGCCGATATCATCATTCCCAATTGTTTGCCTGCATAGTGATATCAAGAGTCGCGACGCTGTATAATTTGGTACGTGATACTCATCCATATGATTGTATGATTTCTAGGCAAGAATTATATTCTTCACGTCAAGCTGTACTCGTCACACATGATGCAATCACGTTCCAAAGCCGCGGAGACGTCGTGAGGGATGTCTGTTCTGGCTTTTATGATCCTTACATATGTTTCATGAGACTAGGGACAATCTCCGAAAAACTCGAACGGGAGGAAAAACACCGTCGGGTGGGTATCAAGGGGATATGACAGTGATCGGCGATTCCTTCTCTGGGACGTCTCTTATTATCCTCATTATCTCGAACCTTAGATCTGAAAAGCGGCATTTCATATTTCATTCCAGTACAACATGCAATTGTTTTGATGCGCCTAGTGGCACGTTAAGTCAAAAATAATCGGTCCCGATCAGCGCAAAAACGCGGTATTCTTTTGTCTTGATGTGGCCAGAGACGGAATGGTTAAAAAAGAACGCGATGGTTGCTTCACCCACCTTCTCACCCTCCTCTTACCCACCATGATGACCCCGCCCGTGACCTTCGTGCTACCCGATCTCATGGCCGGATGGCCTTTCAAGACTATGCCTAATCCTCACGCGACGAAGATTAATGCAGAGAGTGCAGCGTGGGTCCAGAGCTACGACGCCTTCAATGCCAAGGCGCAGAGGACCTTCGACAGGTGCAATTTTGGTGCTTTCGCCGCCCTCGCGTACCCAAAGGCCGAGCCCGCCCACTACCGAGCCGCCGTCGACCTCATCAACTATTATTTCGTCTACGACGAGATGAGCGATGAGGAGAGCGGAGAAACTGTGCGGAAACAAGCTGCCGCTATCATGAATGCCGTGCGGTACGTGATGATGGTTCCTCTAGTTCCCTATTGCTTATGTCCATGATCTAGAAATCCTTACGCGCCGCCTCCTCCGAACGAGCACATTCTAGGCGCCATGGCACGAGAGTATGTTGCACCTTTCTCTTCATCAGCTCGTTTTCATTGACGCGATGTCTGCCAGCTTTTGGATCAGGACTCTTGAAGAAGGCCACGCCAGTGCATCCACCGCCAAACGTTTCATTGAGGCCTTTGAACAGTACACCGACTGCGTGGCACAGCAAGCCGAGGACCGTGATATCGGCCGCATTCGTCCAATTGAAGAATATCTCGCGATGAGACGTGGGACTGTTGGTGTTAGGCCTTCATTCGACTTCTTCATGCTTTCAGAAGATCTCCCCGATGAAGCAGTCAAACACCCACAGATTGAAAAGCTGGTCTTGTGTGCTATTGATATGAGTATCCTATCAAACGTGAGTTTGGCCTAGTTCCCAGCCCTGATGAATTTCTGACAATTGATACCGCAGGACATATACTCGTGGAATGTGGAACAGGCCCATGGCGACGAAAATCATAACATTGTGTCCGTGACAATGGCCGAGAAGGGTATGACTGTCCAGGAGGCAATGGACGATGTCGGGAAACGCTACGAAAAGCTCTCCAAGGCGTTTTTAGACGATATGAAACACATCCCAATGTTCCCTGAGCCAGTGAACAGGCACCTACACGAGTTTGTGATGTTCCTGGGAATTTGGGTGACTACCAACGATGAGTGGTCCTTCATTACTCCACGCTACTTCGGCGAGGCTGCTCCCGAAATACGTGCTCATCGCACAGTGGAGCTTCTCGCCAAACGCAAATGAGGGTGGGTTATTACCATGCTTCAAGATTCGGCATTCGATTTTCACAATTGTATCATTTTACACAATTTTTATACCGTACGAGCTCTGTATATGCCGTGTTATTATAGAACCATTTAGATCTTAGGAGTATCACTTACTACTTATTCGTTCGTTTTATTAATGTATGCTTGACTGCATCTCTTGACAAATCTACAGATAAATGAGACAGATCAATTTCTGAGGGACGCACAGTTTCATGATATTGCAGGCACAATACTACGAAACTATCCTGATGGAGGTTGACTTCATATAAGCTGCGTGTGCGGTTGAACTACCGAATAACATTGTTATCAGATACACGACGCAAACAGGAGTCCATAAGCCACTTACTACAAGGTTCGAAAATTTCCGATATTCAAGCAATTATTCCCCTAAGGGAGCTATAATAGGAAAAAAATTGCAACCCAGCAGACTCAGAGTGGTCTGAATCGAGTTCCACTAGAGCGATCTAACCGGAAAATCCAGCGATCCTGACCATGCGTACTGCAAAGCATGCTTAAAGGACATGCAATCCGCCTAATCCAGCCTTTGTTCCGGTCGGGACCCTTGTACGCCAAACCAATCACAAAGGCATCACACGCCGCCAGTTCCTTCTGTGGCTTGCCTCAGCCATCTCGCAAGATAAGCCCAGTAACGAAATGCTCAATGTGCTAAGCAGATCTTGCGTCAGCAGTGATTCGGACGCCGATGAATCAGCTACATACCTTGCCCGGCCGGGGCTCTAGATCTTGCCAGGAAGTTATCTTAACCCGACAAGAAGTGACTTGCTATAGCAACAGAACATGGGCTTCGAGACCTCAAACGACGTGCTTGGGAGAATGGGACCACCGGGGCGCGGCGCCAGAGTGTGGTGTGAACAAAGCGCCGCAAAGGCAGTAAAGAGATCCATCTCTTCTTGCGTCTCGTAAGACACCTCGGACGCCGACGGATCGACAGGAAGGAGAAGCAGCGAGTCTCTTCAACGAATTCCAGCCGGCAGCATCAACCCTCGCTTTCAAATGGGTCTTTGGGTAATCGATACAACCAGTGACCTTCGCGTGACTACAAAATAGAAGCCGGAGACTAGAATATTCAGACCTTACTCGCAAATTTGGACCAAAGGACCAGTACGGAACGAGTATTGCAGCTTGGAGTCGGCTGGGTGATAGAAGGGAACCAAGGTTGGTCGCACAGCCACGGGATCGGTCTTGTAAGATGGCGGCCATGTCAGGTACTTACCCTTCTCTTACCCGTCTCCATTCCACTAATTTGTGTCTAGAACTCTCCGTATTCAGCACGGACCGTACCGTTCTATCCACAGCGGGCACAAATACTGTTCAAGTCGAAAAACTGCCTCCTGAGACCAGTAAGCATTTCTTGAATCATAATTTGCAGCGCTTCTGACGTATATCTATATGTAGCTCAACATTTCGACCGTGACCCAGAAACTAACAAGCTGCTCTGGTTTGCTTCGGCCCCCATGAATGTAACGTCAGCTCCGACTCCAAAGTATAGTCTGGCATATCTGCATTTCCTGTCAATGAAGCGAAGAAAGGACTCAGCGTGATTCTGACAGAAAGAGAGTAAATTCTAAAAGAATCTCTATAATACACAAAGTCCAATACAATAAAGATAATACAAGATATCTCTAGATGAAATACGCCAGCGTTATAGCACAAATACATAAAAATGAGAGGGAAGCATGTAATTGCTTGCTCGTAGCATCATTACTCCCCGGACTTGTACTTCCTAGCCCATCTAGCACAGCATGATGCCCATTAGACGTCGCCAGAACAGCAGGATCTACAGTAGCCGTGTTGTGCAGCTTTGTCACAGCCGTTGTAGAAAATGTCTGCGCTTCTCCTTCTCCTTCTGATTCGCTGAGTGCATCGTCCGTCAAGAACACCAGCGCGAAACCCGGTGCCGGGACATATATAGAACAGATGTTTCCGCTCTGATCACAGGCAATGGTTTGTATGTCCTCTTCTCCTTGAATCCGACCGTCAGAGGCAAAGTTGTCACCAAAGGTCTGTCATAACGGTCACCTGAGAACACCCCGAATCGGAAAGAATTCCGCTTACCTGTCCTGCCCATGTATAGTTACCCTTTTGAGATACGGATGATGCTCTAAAGTATCTGCCAATAGATTAGGAATCGACTTACGTTCCCGCAACAAGGTACTCACTTCACTTTGACTTGAGCCGGCGTTCCGCTGGGTTGTCCAGTGTCTCCGCCCCCGATAGCAAAGGTAGCATAATAATCATGGCCACCCGAGGAATCAGTGATGAAGTTGAATAAGGCAAGACGAACAGGTGTGGCTTGCTCGTATACTGCGTATCCCGGTGTGTATATATTACCACCGTTCGCACCAATGTCCAACACTTGCGATGCATTGGATGGGCCAAGAACTTCTGCCATAATCAAAGCGGAATAATAGATGGGTCCAACCGTCCACTGATGATATGTTGATTCATTTGTTGGCGGAGCTAGCGTGCGTGACACGGTCAGTCGTCGACGCCGATGACAGAAAACATAAACGGCGTACCTGTGAAAGGCTATGAAAAGAAATGAGCTCATGATAATGGAATATATAGAAGGAATGGAGACGTACATTGTAGTAAACTGTTTGTCCACCCGTATGCATCAAAACTCCCGAAAAGTTGGCGTGAGCCAATTGCAGGGCATAATCAAGGCCCCATAGCGCTGCTCCGAAAGAATCACTGATGCCCGGAAAGCCCCCACAGGATGCAGTGTTAGTTTCGAACATGATCAATTGTTTCCCTTTACTTTGGGCATAAGCTGTCGAGTTCAAATAGTTCGCAACCAGGTTCACGCTGGAACTATGATCCAGATAGAACGGGAACATCTGCTGAGGATCAACTGCGCTGCCTTCGTCAAATGTGGCAGCGCAATTATCTTGTGGATACCTTTTGATAGCACGTGAGTGCAAGACCTTGGCACTCGATTTAATCTCACCTTTCAAACGCGAGGTATGCAAGGTTGTCAGAATATGCGTCGACGAAGCCGGTGTTCCAGACATCCTGTTGGGACCATTGGTCTGCAGTATTTGGTCCAATAAGAAGGCGTCGGTTTATATCGTTTTCCGACCCGCTCATCGCTGCTATCAAATCGCTAAATTCTCCAAAGTAGTCGTATTGGTTGTACGTCTAATAAGAAACACGTATGAGAAGAGAAGAGATCCATCCGAAAAAGAGGTAAACCTACCTCAGGACGGTGACCATGAGCCACATAGAAATCGGGTTCGTTAGCAGCCTGGATACCGAGAAGAGATTCTCCTAGAATTTCTTGGCCTGCGACGGCTATTGACAGGTCGAAAGGCGTGGTTTGGAAGAATGGGATGCCTACGACAGAGCTTTATGGACCGTACAAAAACCGTAAGACTGAAAGGTATACCAATGAACCAATGAACGTTAACCAATGACGAAATGTTTGCCATCATATAAAGAAGATCTGGCGTGAACACAAGCGGTGGAGTTTGAGTCTGAAAGTATAGGTCGCATTAGTTGGTCCTTTGCGCGGCAAAGTGACACCATCTTACAGGATTCGTGACTTGGCTCAAGTCCTTTTCCAGGATCCTGCCATCGGACAATTCGGGAACCAGTTTTGCGGTCTCTTGTGTATTTCCACCGACACGTATTCGTACACCGCCAGACCTTTCTTGTAGGTTTGCCATAAGGTTCAAGAATGGAACTTGTAACAGCGACCTTAACCGAAATTAACAAGGACAATAATATTGTTTGCGCAATTGGTCCCTACGAGTTTTTTCCGACTGGATGGTTGCAATAAGTTTAATGAAGGAGAAAAACCTTGATTCGTTATTGTTCACTCACGAACTTGATTCGCTACCGACATTTCGATTGAAAACCCAAAGAACTGGCCAGGCTGTGGAATCGATGCCCCTGGAGTACCCCCATTAACAAGCTGGATAAAAAACGCGGTAGCAGGGGCAGGGTCGGGTGGCGGTGGCGGGTCCAGCACAAGAGGCGTGTAAGCATTGAGGCCAGTGTACACTGAGGGATCCGCAGAGGTCGTTGCAAAGGGTTCTTGGCCAAGGATGTAGTGAATTGTGACTTGAGATCGTACGACCCCAGCCAGGAAGGCCAGGAAGAGGAAACGCATGGAAGAGGCTCAAAGGGAGGAGAGAGAAGAAGTGAAAGGGTATTTATGGGTGAATGGTGATCATAGGTTGGAGTTTCTTTGTACAAGTGGGGTTAGCCGGAGAAGATGCGAAGCAAAGCAAGCTAATTCCCACACCCAGGCCAATGTAACTGGTCAACAAATGCCGAGTGCGCTTCGTGCACGCGGAAACGACGAGCGTGAGTACTCTTTGCTGTAGAACATCTGGCCCCACAAACACGCCTGTTGTTGGCGTAGCAACCGAAAGGCTTAGCATCCACAATGCTTGTGGACCAGGTTGGGGGACAAGACGGTAAAATTTCTAAAGCATGATGTATAGAGTGATGTCCAAGTCGTGGTGATTGTGAACGTGACGGTCCTCTTGTATGTACACAGTGAGCAGTGGGACCTTCAGACCTATGAATTACGTGGCGTTATCAGAATCAACATTGGAAGATGATGGACTTATCCGAGTTACGATAGAGATCATTAAATATGTTAGGCCAGAGCTGCAAAATTTACCAAGACCTGCGCGGTTATCTCAACTCTTACATACGTCCAGGTTCAAATAAGTTATGGGCGCTAATGTCCATGACCGTGATTGCCAAGCTGTTTTCGCAACTTCGAATTCCCGGTGGTGCAACCGCGTCAAAACCTCATACTGCAACAAGCGCTTGATGGATAGAGAAGAGGCACAGCCTTTGATTACACCTGTGCTGGCATGAGAAAATGCTCGCCACAGTTGCATTCTGTCCGCTCGAGTGGCACAAGGATGTCAGCCTGATAAAGCTCCTACAGTCAATCTGCCAGGCAAGCTTTTCATGGAAAGTCCGCGATAACCGTGTTCGCGTCTTCTGATCATTCGTCGGCCTCTTTACTGCCTGTAAGGGAAGCAATGAGAACAACCGAGATATTGAGCCGCAGTTCAGCTTACTTCAACAAGTCCCCGAACGCGTCAGCATAAGGCGGGGCAGGTGAGACACGGCATGGTGACCGTCGCCAAAGGACTTTTCAGCGAATATTTGAGCAAGCTGCATTCATGCTGAGTTGAAATAAGAATGAAACGAAGAGTGGTAACACACAGCCACCCGACGCAATTTCCGACACGGGGAGACCGGTCGGAACGCGAGTCCCGACCCGACAACTTTCCACAAGAATAGAGGTATTCAAATACCATTCTGACGACCTTTGACATACCAAGGCGTTGGAGATCAAACCATTGTTCAAATTTCATACAAACTAACTGCAGCTGTGTTCAAAGTCTACTCTCTAGATGTTGAAGACATAATACATGTTTACAAAGAAACCAGAGCGTCCATTCTATATATCATTTCTCTTGGTGCGTATATCTTTCCGTGAGTAAACCTAACCAATAACTTATTAACCCATCCAGCAATATAATACTAAGGTCTATAAAGTAAAGTGAGGGAAAGGAAAACGAAGCGTTGGTATTACAAATAGCTCCTGGAGCTCTTCTCGTCTTCCACGATCTCAAGCATGTGTTCGACAATTTCCTGCGGTGTAGTGACGTGCCAGCTGGCAAGAGTGCGCTTGCTGCTGTGGCCAACGGCGGTGGTGAAAATGGCATCAGGAGCAATAGCGAGCTGAACCGGAGGTGTATTTTTGGCCTCGGGGTCGATTAGAGTCACCGACAAAGGTGCCTCCAAGACAGTAGTCGTGACAGGTGTGCTGCCGTTGCTCGAAGGGAAGAGATTCAAGGCTCGGAACATGTCCTCGTCCGTCTGAAATCATGGTTTAGACCGATACCAGCATATACAAGACAAATGTAAGGACTGACCTTATCATCACCAGCGCAGAAGATGAATTCGGCGTCAGGATTATAATACAAGATCCGTTTCACAATTTCACCCTGATTAGAATGTTAATTGCTGAGGTACTTCGGTCGATAATCAACACTTACCTTATTGACAGCTATCGGTCGAACCTCCAGGTTTTTCTTGCCCACAAGAACTACGAACAATGGTCACTGAAAGCCAACTCGAAACTAGTAAGGCTCAATACCTTCTATAGGTCGCTTGTGTGCAAGATTGTTCTCCAAAAGATCTTGACATTGCCGACATTGGAATTGCCTGATGTGAAAGTTCTGGTTAGATAAATATTGCGATGATGTTGCGATGTAGCTTACCCCCATTCTGGATCAGTGGACCGGTAATGCCATGTGATAGAGCTCTTTTTGACTTCGATCTGGCTGCCTGTAGTCCGCTAAAGATACGCAGCAATAAGAAACGAGTCTAACAGTCCACAAGACGCAACTCCTAACCTCGGTATAGTACTTGAAGATCTCGTGGACTTCTGCCATCCAGCTCATATCGAGCGACTGTGTAAAGTTCACCCATTCCTTATGTCCAGGCTCGCGTACGAACCCTCCATGCTCAGCAGAAAATCCGAGCTTCCTGAAATGGCCCAAATGTTGATCTAGAAACTCGCCGTCACGTCCAGATATGATATATACTACATTGTTGGGATCATCACAGAGCTTCGCCAGCGCCTGAAGCGTCTGTTCAGACGGAGTAGCCATACTGGGAATTTTGACAATCGGTGCGAGGGTTCCCTATAGAAATCAGGATGTGTCAGTTGACGCCCGACATAGGTCGTGACAGTTACCTACATCGTAGTCAAAGAGGAAAAGCCTCTTCTTCGCCATCCGGTATTTTGATTGCAAAATCTCCTTCGGGATGTATGGAGTCATCTTGGCGGTGTTGGTAGAGTTCATTTGACTGAGCATCATCTTGACAAGGACAGCCGCCCAGGTGTGCGAAGTATGGGTAGTGACAACTTTGTGAAGCTTTACATGTCTTTGAAGTTTCTCCGCTTCGCCCATCAAAAGTCCTTTATTGATAGCGGCGGCGACGTCCTGGCAATATTAGACATTAGCGGGCGTAAATCAGATACCAAAATCTGATCACTGACTCCGAGATTCCACGGATTGACCTGCAATGCTTCGGACATATGCTTGCTGATACCCATGAATTCGCTGAGTACGCTCGGACTGTGCTTTGTCTTTTCTTGCGCTATGACAAATTCCATCGACGTCGTGTTCATCCCGTCACGCAAGGGCGTGATGACCGCGAGGTCCGCCACAGACAACAGAGCGTAAAATTCGTCTTTTTTGAGCGTTTGGTGGCTAAAAATAGGGGTCAGGGCAGAACAAACCGACCGAATAGTAGGACAAACTAGTGGTGCACGGGGATAAAATCAAGGCTGCCGTATTCCCCGTTGATATGTGCCACCAGCTCGCTGACCTGCCGCTCCAGTTTCGGGGAGTCCGTCAACGCAGGCGACGTCACTTGAATCATCACGACATTACCGATCCACTCGGGGTAGTCTTGGAGAAGTTTTTCAAATGCACGGAGCTGCCAGACAACGATAAGTGATAATATTGAGATTTTGACTGGTGTATGCAGGCACCTTTTGAAGGACGCCCTTTACGACATCAAGCTTATCGCGTCCTACGATGATTTTTTTACCTTCGTAGAGCGTTTGCAGAGCCTCTAGCTTCGGCGGAATGCCCGGTCGTTGTCTATACAAAAGTCAAACGCGATACGCAGCAATGGAAGCGAAGAAAACATACATGTCCCTCGCAACGCGCTCCGCATCGATACCGACAGGGCAATGCATTACCGAGGTAACATGACCCTCAACATCGATACCGCGGTGAGTCGTCTCGTAACCACAGACACGGATGCAAGTGGAGATGAAGTGCCGGGAGTAGGAATAAGTCTGGAAACAGACTAAGTTCGCACCCAGCATTCCGTCGAGGATTTCTTTCCGTCCTTGAAAGCAAATTAATAACAAATCGCCGTTAGAAGGTCGAATGACTCACTCGGCAGACATCGGTAAACTTCACTGCTTGGGAAGGGTGTATGAACAAAGAGACCAAGTACCGCGTCCGGGATAAGCTCTCTAATGAGTCTAGGGAGTAGTAGGAGGTGATAGTCGTGAACCCATATGAGGTCGCCCGGTCTATAGACTTCAGATATGCGCCGGGCAAATGCGGCGTTCGCGGCTGCATAAGCCGGATAATGAGAGTCGGCAGAGGCGTATTCAGTCGCTACATCTTGCCAAAGAAGATAATGGAATAACGGCCATAGAACTGAGAGGGGGTATCAGATTATTGTAGGAATAGAAAATTGGGATATATGCCCACTTTGCTTGCAATATCCATCGTAGTGCCCGTGGGCGACCTTGTCGTCCAACCAGACGGGCACGTATACCGTCTTCTTGTCATCGTCAGGGTCTGACTCCTTTGGTTGGTACGTCCTCAGGGCTTCGTCAAGTGCCTTCTTATCGGATTCTGATATGGTGTTCTCTGAAATATGTTCGTTGGGCGCCGGAGAGTAAATGTCACCGGTCCAACCGACAATGAGCTGTTCGTGAGTCGCTGCTAGAGAACGAATGCCCGAAATCATGGCAGCATGACCATACCGCGGCGCCAGCGTCCATGCAGAGCATCCCTTCGAGTCAGCTTCCCGCGCGGCGGTCGCATTCGGTGCCTCTGTAGAAGGGCTTTCAGGAACCTCTGCTGCTTTGGTAGGTGGGGTAGCTGGAGGGCTCAGCACGCCCGCACGGTTGGTCAAGGTCGCAACTACGGGAAGATAGTGACAGACGTGGATGATACGGCCCGACAATTCGATTCCATTGGCGCGGTGCTGAGCCTCTAGAACACGGACATGTTTGCGAACGTCGTCAAGGGAGATGTCGTCGCCAGCACGGGTGTAAGGCTCGGTGAAGCTGTCCATGGTTGAGAACACCATTGTGGGCTATAGGGAAAAAGGAAGGAAAAGAAAATCTAAGGTATAAGTATGAAGATCAAAGTGTAAAGTTTCAAAAGGTGCAGACCTCCTCAATCATTAATGGCATCGTCCAAATTTGGGAATTTACGTAAAATCAGAATCCGGACCGAAAAAGAAATGACTCCCGTTACTGACGGTGACATCACCACGTACCGTAGCACGTCTCGTGCATGCAACGATTGGTTCTGTCCCTGCTTCCCAAAACGTTCGCCTGAAATATCTCCGAGAAGGAACCGGCCGGCCTTTTTGTACCAATATTCAGCTTTTTAATCCCACCGAGGTCTCAGTCGGGGCCCCGCTCGTGCAGCTGTAACCCAGGATGGAGAGCCGTGGTGTTTATTTTTCCTCTTATTCTATACCGATGTATTTATCGAACTGTATGCAATCATCAGTATCAGTCTCGGCGATATTCTAGATGCACTTCCGTTTGTATTTCAGCGTATGCGGGGAGTTCCAGATCAACGGCATGGATTAATGCCCGTCAGGTTGAGGAAGTTGATGTACCAGACCAAGGGCAGATGAATTGCTTCTACGGGCTGGGATACTTCATGTCCGAAAGATAAGTCCTTCGTTGAATGGTAGGCAAAGTACGAAGCAGCCTATGTATGGTCCGTGGTACGTCGATTCAAGCGACGAAACCAGTGTTAAGGATAGTTCATCTGAATGGACCCTAAAACAGATGGCTCTAGGTCTAGGCGTCCAAGACCAACAGTTCCTCGTGAATTCACACAGGTGCACGTTTACCAGGCGATTCCCAAGATAGACTGAACATCAAACTCGATGACCCGCGACATTGACACATCCACATGAATTCAATCAGAGATCGCACATCTTTCTCTTGTCGAATTCCTTGCTTTATTCGTCGAAAGGTGCAAAGTACACATAAATTGATCTGATGATAAGTACAACGGAAAGGCTTTGCCACGGAACGAAAAGGCTACATGCGTCAAGTCAATTTCAGTAAAGTAAGGTAAAAGAAATGAGGAGGGTGCACTATTCAAATATTTTACTCTGCTTGCATAGGAACCACCTGACCACCTTTCGCAGCAGTGGGGGTGAATGTGTGCCAGCGGTCATTGTATCGGACATCTTTAATAGTTATTAGCAGATTCGTTGATCAATGAAAACAGGCGCTTACCCAATGGGCGTCCCCCATACATGTAGTGCTGGAATTTTGCTAAAGAAAACAGAGCATCAGACCTATTACTACAGGTAGAGCACAGTGATACTACGTACCAATAGCAGTCTCGGCTTCAGCAACTTGGGCAAATTGAACAACGCCGGACCCTTTCGAGCGCGTCCCATCAGTCAGAATTTCAGCCAACTCAACCTGACCCGTGGTCTCGAAAAGTTCGACAAGATCTTCGTTGGCAGTAGACCATGGAAGCTAAATAGGAACAGATCAGATAGTGTGCCGACACGCAGATTTCACAACATACATTTCGAACCATGATCTGCTGACTGGGCTCTGGCTCGGGACCATAACTGCCCTGGAAGCCGCCCACACCTCCACTATATCCGCTGCTGTTGTATCCATCCATCCTCAACCCTCCGCCTTGAGCCTGCTGTTGATCGGGACCAGAATAATCAGCGTAAATATCCCGGTTAAAGTCACGACCTCCGCCTGAGAAGCCTGCCCCACGTAGTCCACCGCGGAATCCTCTCATTCCACGAAGACCGCGCGGAGCGCCACGTAAGCCTCCTCGGAAGCCACCTGGTCCTGATAATCCGGCAAAGCGATCCTAAAGCCCAAACCTCAGAAGTGGACGAAACAGGTAGAAGTGACGTAGCCTCACCTCTCTGACTTCAAGAGCACGCCCGTACCAGTCAAAACCGTGGTACATGCCTACAATGGGTCTTATGTGTTCACGTCACACAACAAAACGATAGTACGTACTGATTGCATTCTGTGCATCTTTCTGTGTCTCAAAAACCACAGTCCCGGATCCTTTCGGGCGACCATCTGCTCCAATGTTGATATCAGCTCTGACTATATTACCGGCGGTGCGGAAGAGATCTTTCAGATCCTGCCAGCCAGCTTGGTAGGGAAGCTATCGCGTTTATTAGCAGACGTACACTTAACCCGTCAACGCACTTACATTTCCGACATAGAGTTGGTTACCCGGGTTATTGTGAGTGCCAAAGTAATTGTGTGAAGGAGGACGCGGAGGCGGTGCAGCATTCAAACCTTGCCCAGCCATTGCCATACCAATTTTGCCGGGGACCGGAGTTGCGCCGAATCGTGCCTCGTTCTCGCGATCCTAAGTCATAGGTATTGGTTACATGCCATGAACCAGGGAGGAAAAACATACCTCTCGAATAAAAACGGGCCGTCCCAGCAACGGCATCTCTGAAAGTTCCCGGATGGATCGTTGTGAATCTTCTTGAGAGGCAAACTCGACAATTCTAAGCAAGTACCCGTTAATATAGAACATCTTGACAGACTTGAAGACTTACCCGCAGCCCTTGGATACTCCAGTTGGCGTAACGAGTACTTCGGCGAATAGGACCTCACCAGCTGCCAACCCCAAAAGAAAACTCCCATCAATATCCTCTCGACTCAAACCATTCCATCAAGGAGAAAAAACTGAAAACATGCCCATCCTCCTCGCTAGCTCGTCAGAAGAAAAAGACCCCTCCTCAAATGCAAACGGCAGGTTCAGGCCATATCTCTAAGCACCAAAGCGCCAGGGATGACAGGCCAATATGCATGCTCCCTGCCTCTGCCTCTCTTCTCGCTTAAAAAAAATCGAAGAAACTTGAGATATCCCCCACCCACCTCCCCTCATGAATTCCATCAGGTCCCTGTACTTGACGTCGTAACTAAGGTTGCCGACGTAGACCCGGTTTTCTCTCTTGCTGATTTTGGCAAATTCGACGGCTTCCTCATGGTCCGCATTCATAGGACCACCTAAGGAACGAGCAAATGGCTCTGCAGCTTTACGGTCTCGGCTGCGGGAACGGCTCCTGGAGCGGCTGCGAGACCGCGAACCTGACCTCGAGCGACGAGAACGTCGCCTGGGAGAAGCTGACCTACGCCGAGAGCGAGAGGTGGACCGCGAACGCTTGCGGCGCTAGCATAACCAGTAAGTACGTGGCGCATATCATTGGTAGTTACGGTGCTCACATCGCCATTGCGCCTTTCCTCAGGCTCCCAGTGGTCGCCATGACCGCCCCCTCTCCGGGAGCGACCTTGACGATAATGCGCAGCCTCAGCACATTGAATAATCCCCAACGGATAGAAAACGCACCAGAATCTCGTCTTTCGCGGTCCCTATCCTTGTCGCGATCTCTTCTGCTCTCTCTGTCTCTTTCGCGGTCCCGGTCGCGATCCCGGTCTCTGTCTTTATCGCGGTCAAAATCACGGTCCCTCTCCCTGTCACGGTCTCTTTCGCGGTCTCTGTCCCTGTCCCTACCACTGCTGTTCGATGGCTTGTCATCGACTTCGTCTTTGTTCTTCATATCCACGTCCATTTTGAGGGAGAGTCTTGACGAGAAAAGGGGAAGAAGGGTGAGTCAAACACAAGGATTTTTTCCGGTCCCCTCTGTCGGTCCCTCAATCGGATTTCTAATCGGACTTTGAAAATCGTGGCGTTCCGCCCCCACATGATGCAATGACGACGAGTCAGTTAAGCTCGTTCTGACCAATGAGTACGACTACCACTATTTTGCCTCGTCTTCTGCACCAGATAAACCAAGGCGAGTGCGCTGCGATTAATTACTTACAAGTCCAATTTCTGTAAAAATTCTATGACTCCTGTACTTTTGTTGTCCATACATACTGGATCTACGCGGGACGTTGATTACCTTCATCTGAGCGCTTGACTATGACGGCTCCTGTCATAATAGACGAGAATGCAAGCATCAAGGTGCATGCAGTAAGAACTGCATATCGTGCCGATGAGACGCCCGTTAACAGGGAGACTACGACAAATACATTCAAGGGTACACGGAACAACGCAGACAACTAGAAGCCCTCGATAAGCTCTACCTTCACGCTCGGGAAAATGTCTTACCGTAGCTCTGTGTTCATTCGTGATGAGAGACCCCCGAAGCGTTCCTTGCACAGGATAATACATGCCGACGCAGGCCTCGAACGTGCAGAACGCCCAGAAGCGAATTTTCTCGTCCTGGAAAGAAACGCTAACCGCCAATGCTAGTGCACTGACAGCGCTAACCATACTGCTGAGCTTAGCATGTGTTGTCAATGGAGAGTCTACCGATCCTACAGTGGGGGAGGGTGGGGGAGAATGAGAGACGATGGCCGTGTATAACAAGGACCCAAGCATCATTGACAACATGAAGGACGAAAATATGTAGCCCAAGGGAAGAATTTCGGGTGATGTGGAGGCTTCCTGTAACGAGGGCACCCAGAGAAAGACGAACAAATACATAGAACCCTCAAAGCATGTTTGGGTCAGGCCGAGGGTGAGAAGTAGCGAGTCTAGAAATAGAAGCTTAAGAATTTAACCAAGTGATAGTAGCCCTAGCATACTGACCATGTTGAACAATGCTCCACGCTTCTCTCAACCGCGTGGTTTGAAAGATATCCCAGCCATCATCTGTTGTGCCGCCTCCACCACCATAATTCTCTATCCACGATACTCGCATGAGACCCCATGCAAGCATCAGCAAAGCCCCACTTGCTATAAATGGAGACGCGAAAGAGCTGGAAATGGAAACGATCTCGTTACTGACAACTCCCGCCCCCGTGGCGACAAAACCATTCAGTAAGGTTGCTCGGCCCATGATGACAGATATGCCCGACTGGGGGAGCATGAGAGACGTGGAGGCAGACACCAACCAGGACTCAAACACAGAAAACAGGATAGATGTCGATATCCCACCGAGAATACGACCGAACAGGAGAATCGGCAGCCATGGCACAAGAATAAACACGCAAGACAGCGCGTAGGTGATGCAAAATAAGAGGCATATTCTCTTCCGCCCGCTATATAAATGATCAGTTTTAGCGTCGGACAAAACCGATCGAGCGCGTACTGTTGGTCAGCATAAACACCGACGAAAGGCGCTGCCAGGCCGGCCGAAATGAAACCTGTCACGAAGAGAATGGCAACTATCCGCTCAGGGAAACCGTATTGCTCTCGATACAATGAGTACACGTATGGTCCTTGGAGCCAATCCGCTCCTGTCACAAATGAAGCGCGCGTTCCGTGAATGGATTTGAAAACTCACCCATCACAACCCCGTAGACCACCAGATACTGCTTGGTCAAAGTCGCGAGGGATTTTGACTCACTATTAGTTGGCATACCCTGCTCAAGAGAATCATCCGCGGCCATTGACTGCTTGCTTGTTTTCCGCCGCGACACATGGCGGTCAATGAGGAGCGAAAGCAGACAAAAGCCAGTTAGAACGACTAGCTGTTGCTCATAGAACCCGGACATGGCTCGAGGCAGACTTGGCTTGACTGTTGAAAGCAAGCCTGTGCATGGCTGTATTGCAATTGATGCAGGACAACAGGACCGATCAAATCGTGGCGTGTTATGGAGAGACGGCGAATTCTAAATTCTGGTAAGGAAGCAAATTTACGCACATGGGAACATTCCTCATGTCTCCACGGACTTGCACTTGATTGCTTTCATTTTCGTTAGATGTCATTGATATGAAGCAACGTTGGAGCACAGAATCTATACGGAATTTCCAATATTTATATAAATCTTCCATAGTACTTTGAAGTTGTCGTCGCGTTCTGATGTCTCCTAAATTATCTGCAGGGAAGTCAAATATTCACAGCCATTGACATATGACAAAAACAGCAAAACAAATTGCACCTGGATCTACGACGTGTCGCCCATGTGCAATATCTTGTTCCCAGCGCCTATAAGAAATCCTCCAGCCCAGCCTCCCAACCTTTTCCAGTCCCTGTGAAAGTGGAAGTTCGTATGCCGCCCCTCTCCGTAGACGATACCACTCCGCACTCCATACACAGCCATAGCAACTCCTAGCGCTAGCACAGCGCCTGTAATCATTGTTTTGCGGTCTCTGAGTCTGAATCTCCGTCGTCGCTTTATGGGGTGCTTATGCCGCGTGCCTTGCCGCATTTCCTTCTGATCGCCATCTTCCTCCTTGTCCACATAGGGATAAACAACGAGCTGAGGATACTCAACCATTCGCTCTGCCGAATCGTCGCTCGGTAGATCAGCGGGGGAGGAGGACCACGTAAATATGACACTTTGTGGACCCATGATAGACGACAGTGCGAGTGAGGGATGTGAAGGAGGGTACGTTTCGTAAAGATGATCCGCCTGTAGTAAAAGCGACGTTAAAGTTATAGATGGCTTTTGAAGGGCGTGTCTGGATGATTCAGGGTGAAGATAGCTGGGAGGCGGTGAAGGTGTCCGTGAGGGAGATACCTCATCCTTCGAATCCGACGAAGAGACTTGGGAGGTCGAAATTGTTTCCTCCTGTACTTCGCTTTCAACGACATCCTTCACGTTATTGCCAGACGGCTCCATGTATCCATCATCCTCTATCTTGATTTCTATAGGAATGGAGGACAGCTCCTCACAATGCTCCTGCTTGGCGAAGGATCCCGACAACTCGTCGCCAACAGATGATTGGGAGTCAGGCTGTTCCTGCTCTAAAGACACCACAGAACTCGTGACATCCTCTTCTGTTTTCACGACACTTTCCTCAAATGAGGGAGATTCGTCTGTTATGTTGGGCAATCCACTAAGAACTGAATGTATCATGCCCTCTTCGTCTTCTTCCTCCAGACATCGTATCTCGTCTTTACGCGACAGAAGAATCTGGTGAGAGAAATCAATACATAAATATTTTTGCTCTCGTCAATTGAGCTCACCGCAGTGGCCAGATAGACAGTTACAATCGGTGGACGACATAGTAAGTAGTCGAAAACGTGCTGTATCAGTTGTAATGTCGGCATGTCGTGAGAAAAAAGAGTGATTAAGTTGGACAAGGCGTAGAAGGGAAGAGGTGAGTTTCTGTAGGGTAACATAAGTACAGAAGCATATCGATGGATACAGAGACGCACCTTTCTAATAGCTCCGCATAATTGCAGTCCACTAGTCGCAAAAGCTTCTGGGTCACACTGGGTTGACGACGTCAGTACGATAACACGCTTGACGTGGTCCGACTCACCGAAGAAGCCCAAGTATTGGCTCCAAACCATGACCCATGGAATCGCGCACTCGATGCAAACTCATCTTTTCAGCGCAAGAAAACTGAATTTCCGGGGGTAAAGTTAAAAATAAGACGGAGATAATATCATGGTATCCCTATCATTCGAGTCAGAAGAGCAGGGCGGGGATCCTCGTGATGTGCTTGCCTGGAAGTAATTCAACTTTGGTCGCTTGCGAAATATAGCTACCAGCAGTCGGTTGAGCTCTGCCTGAAGTGATTCCTTGTCGTCTCTAGTATCTTGAGTCCAGATGAGCAACTGTTGCGGGTGAACAACACGCATGGTGGTTCACCTACTGGATACAGCACAAAACTTCGGTCGGTATCCAGGCGAATTTGGCGTTCATCGGCGTGGCCTGGCAGCTCATCAAAAACAGAGAGATCCTGGTTCGCTCCATCCTGAACATTGAGTAGCTTTGGCCTTGACGAGATGTGTTAGATTGAGAAGTGGAGTCAATGAAGGATAATGCACCATAGCTTTATCCGGTCCTCTCCAAATCCTCCGGGAAACAGACTGGCTTTTCTCAGGGTATCCCAATCAATTTCTTCGGGAACTTCTTGCTTCTCTACTATGCTGGTTGGTTCAGACATGAGGGAACATCATGGTGAGCAAAGGGTAACGGGGCCTTTAAGAGGCAGTACTTTCGCACGATCGGAAAGAACCGGAATCTCCTCTAGCGTTCATATGTGTAATCTGGTACAAGGAGTCAAGTCAAGACATGGACAAGTAAAACGGAACTGCGGCATAATGGGCAAGGCCAAGGAAAATGTGGAACAGCCGGAGGTGTTATTTCGCCTACATACGGAGTGAATCACTTTTCGAGGAACCCATTTTGTCTCGGTAAGAATGCAGAGTTAAAAAGTTTACGCGAGGTCGGAAGGATACTAGGGATAGTTGAAGGATTCGCATCCTCAAAGGACTTCAAATTCAATGTCAAGGTGAAAGAAGGTAGAACGTCTTACGTAATGCCCCCTCTTTCCCCTTGACCGTCACGGTCATGCCTCATTCCACGTCTACATTTCCCCGTTCTGGCGTCCTCGTTCTCGGGGAACATGCTGTCCATTCTCTAGTACCATCTAGACTCATATCTCAGGCAGAATCTCTTCTCGACAGTCACCGAATAGAGGATGCAGTGGACATAGCCGATCAGCAGCGGAAGAAACTGCACAGTAACATCTCCGTGGATGAAGACGAGGTGCGTCGCTGTCGACTCAGTAGTATATTTCACCTCACCTTCTGTAGGTAGAAGAACTACGCTACGTATACCAACGAATAGGATTCCAATGTTTCGCCGAAACTCTCTTCGAAGACGCGGGCAAGAATTTCTTCGAAGGAGAACTGGATCCGCGACTTCTTGTTAGTTACTACCCCGACCTACGCGGATCTCTTTTTTCTTTGCAAGACTCTATCGATGTCTTTGCCGGCGTTGCGGAGCGTATGCCAGCAGAATCTTCTGTTGATGATATCAGTAAGTTCGTTATTTATGATATTCAGCCCAGAGCGAATGCCTTGCGTCGACACAGCTCAATGTGTCGCGCACATCCTTCACTTAATATACCACTCCCCTCTTCTTGGCATATTATCTCCCGTTGACTCTTTGCCCGTTCCTATATGGGAACTGATTCTTAGTTGTTGCCAATCTAGTCAGGAATTATTCACCACATCTATCACCCAACACACGGACCGCTACCCCTACGGTGGAACTCCGAAAGATTCTCGTAATGGCTGCTCATGAAATGCTACAAGTCTTTCTGAACAAGTGCTATCATCGACGTAAGATCGAGCCGGAATATGCGAACAAGTGGAAGGACACGTTTGCTGTTGTCGATACTGTTCTGGTCAAGCTATACGCGCAACTCAAAAACAGGAAGGAACTGTACACGTTGGTTCAGGAAACAAACTACATAGTTCTCGATGAGATCGAACCAGTGTTGAGGAACGCGGGACAGTACAACGCTCTCTGCATGCTCTACAGGCAATCAAAAGATGACAAGAAGCTCCTTGAAGTCTGGGCAAAGTGGGTATTCCATTGTTGTATGTGCCCTTATCTGACGTGTCTTTTTGCAGACTAATTGAGGGTGAATGGAAAGACGACGATATAACAGACCCACTTTCCGATATGATAACCCTTCTCACGGAAAAGAAAGACCGACAACTGATACAACAATGGGGAATCTGGTTAACCAAGATTGACCCAGAACAGGGACTGAAGGTATACCCTATCGCCATTGCTCATCCTGCATGCACTCATGTTGATGGCAGCTGCTCACTTCCCAAAATACTTCAAAACGGCGGGAGAAGCTAGAAGACGACTCTGCCCTGTTAAAGCAAATCTCTGAAGCCAATCCTGCAGCCGGTTCGCAGTATCTTGAGCATCTCGTGCTACAGAAACGAACCCCTTCGCGCGCCCTTCACGAACAGTTTGCAACTGCTCTGGTCGACCAGTTACTTTCTCATGTCTCCCAAGACGCCGTATCCAAGCTATGGCGGGCCAAAGGTAGGCTGAATTCTTCAGTAGAGCTAATAGCTGCAAGCTAACGGAACCCTAGCATCCTCTTTTGCGTCAAGTCGCAGCGAATCTACTGTGTCTTTCTTTTCCTACTTTGTCTCAACAACGCCCGATTCCGATCACAAGCGCGCGCGAATAAAGAACGCTTTGTTCCTCCAAGGGTCGGCAATGTACGATTTCCAAAGCATCAGAGACAAGCTAGCTCCGCACCAGAAGCTTCTCAAACTTGAGATGGCGATTATTGAAGGCAAGGTGAGGTTCTTCTTTCACGGCATTTTCTTCTCACCCTGACATCTATCGTTTAGCTAGGGAATCATCGTGCAGCGCTGTCTATTTTAATACACGATCTACATGACTCGAATTCTGCCGAGGTATATTGTGCCCTGGGAGGCGAGGTGATTCCCAGCAAGGCGGCGCTATTCGCTGTTGAGAATACCGTTGGCCTGCAACCGTGGACATCAGCGAGCTGGTTTGTGAAACCGAATAACGGAACAAAACCAAAAGCTGCGGACGAAGAGCTCAAACGAAATTTACTGAAGATTCTGCTAGAAGTTTATGTAACTGCCCAGTAAGAAGCGTTCGTATCCTTTGAGGTCGCCGTCACGCTGACTGCCTTATGATTCAGGGATCCAAATAGAAGTCGTACGGCACGCTTGCTCGACTCGCAAGCTGTTAACCTGGATGTTGTTGATGCAAGTATCTGGACATGTTTGTAGTTCCATTTGCTCACTTTTGTATAGGTTATTCCCCTCGTTCCACCAGACTGGCCTCTCAATACCATGTCTTCCTTCCTGGCTCGCTCTTTCCGAAGAACGCTACATCAGCGTCACGAAGGCCAGATCATCAAGACTATAAGCGCCGCCCAAAACCTCGAAGTTTGTGTTTATTTCCTGTCGAATCAAAGATTATTCTCACCCTACTGAACAGGTGAAAGAAAAGTCATGGCTCATACTTCGCGAAGAGGGAATGGTGGTGGAAGAACTATTAGAGGATGATGATCAAGATGATTTGGATTCTGGATATGTTGACGAGAAGTCGGCTTTGCAGGTTACGCTTGGCCCCGCAGCAGATTCGGGACAAGGGGAGAAGTTTTTGAATGGTGGGCACCAACATTCTTGGGACGATACTGTAGATATTGGATAATGTGTATATTTAATGTTTCACACAAAGGGATCTGATGGGATCTGATGAGCTGATGTGACTCTTGAGTATTGGAGTTGTGTGTTCATCCCGTATTCGTCGCAATGTACATTTAGAAGAGGTGCCTGAACATCACCCCATAAGTTCGCTCAATACATTTCGAATCAGTCCCCATTACCTGCGCATCAGGAGATTATTTATATTCGTCGACGGTGGTACGAATTCGTGCGAGCGTGCACGGCCCTATAATTTAGGCTCATTTTTCGGCAATGAGTTTTGTGCGTGCTAGGGTCAACGCAGCCAATAGAATCATCTGGATCTACACTCTCGAACTCGGAAAGGCGGATGAATCCCGAATTATCGACTGCTTTCCTAGAAAGATTTATCACGGTTGGACGGCAAGACAAAGATAAATCCGGACACAGAGATGTAAATCAATTAGTCACGGTATCTTTTTATCACGTTGATGAGACCTGGTATATAATATCCTCAGCCTGCGTCAGCACTCACCGTCTTCCCGCCGCTTCCCAATGTCGAAACTCAACTATACTCCTGTCGACGAGATTGACAAGGTAAAAAGGTTTTCCCACCGCTGTCATGATCACTTCCGCTAACCATATTAGATCCATGCAGAGTTATCAAATACCTTCAAGTCAGCCAAGGTCCAGCCAATAGCATATCGAAAATACGTTCTGCTCCAGCTTGGATACCTCTTGAAGGACAATGTCGCCAGGTTCGAGGATGCGCTGATGGCAGACCTGGGCAAGCCAAAGATTGAGGTTACACTGTGCGTCGTGGTCTAGTGCGGTTCGAACCTTGAACGTCACTGACACTCCAACTAGTACTGAAATTGGACCCTCGATATCTGAAATCAAGGATGCGTACTCGAACGTCGAGAAATGGGCCAAACCAGAGAAACCTGGATTCTCTATGAACTACACGCCCATGCGACGCGTCATTTACAAGCAGGGAAAGGGCATTGTGCTCATTATCAGTCCTTTCAACTACCCTATTAACATGTCTTTTGGGCCTATCGTACGCCTCTTGCCTGTTTACTGTGCAACCCGTTTACACTGATGTACAGGCGTCTGCAATTGCTGCCGGTAATACCGTCGTGTTCAAACCTTCCGAGCAGACCCCGGCCACGTCTTCTTTGTTTGAAGAGCTGTTCCCCAAGTATGTCGACCCTTCGGTCATCCGCGTTGTTAATGGTGGGGTCGCGGAGACAACCAAGGTACATATCTACGATTGCGCACCATTTTTGGTCTGACGAGCAACTTCATAGCTCTTAGAACACTCATGGGGACACAGTATGTCTATGTTTTCATTCGAGGATGATCCGTACTGACCACGGTCCCAGTATTGTTCACCGGAAGTGGACGTGTTGGACGTATAATCGCGTCTGCTGCGGGAAAAACCCTGACTCCCGTCACCCTCGAGGTGTGTCTAGCAAGTAAAACCCTGGGCCAAGTTTTGACGATGCTTTTCCTGCAGCTTGGTGGGAAATCGCCCGTGTTTATTGACCCAAAATGCGACCTTCCAGTGGCAGCGCGTCGTATATTATGGGGCAAGAATGTGAACGCCGGTCAGAGCTGCGTTGCGCCCGACTACATCCTGGTTCCAAAAGATTTCCAAGACAAAGTTGTTGAAGCACTTAAAGCTACGTGCGTGCTACTCACCTGCCGGGTGAACCTTGCACACGCTGACTTTATTCAACCAGCCACGATTCGTTTTATCCTACTCCCGAGGATGAAGCAAACTCTATCGGCAAGCTTGTCTCGCCACAAGCGTACAACAGGATTTCCAACTTGTTAAAGTCGACGAAAGGAACCATTGCTTTTGGTGGTAAACTCGATGAAGCTACAAGGTATATTCAGCCAACCGTTGTAAAGGATGTTTCATTCGACGATCCTCTTATGTCTGAGTAAGTGCCTTGGTCTCACTTCTTTGCCTCGTTATCAATACTTTGTGCAGAGAATTGTTCGGTCCTGTTCTACCGATCGTACCCGTTGACAACATTGACGAGGCTATCGACTTTGTCAATGCCCAGTAAGTATCGTAGATGCACTTTCTGCACGTATTCTGATTGTCACGTCTAGCGACCATCCCTTGGCTCTTTACGTGTTCACCCAGGATAGCGAAATCAAGACGAAGAGTTTGAGAATCTTTCCTCTATACCGAGGGCTTACTGACCAGTCGTCTAGTTATCAACAGCACTCAAAGTGGAGCCGTTTGCATGAATGAAACAATGACTCATGTTGCAGGTGCGTACCATTATTCTTATGCTTTCTTCTCGTTGATTGATTATTCGGTCGATTTTCAGCGGAGGGCCTACCTTTTGGCGGTGTCGGTCCTAGTGGTAGTACGTACATTCACATTGCTACAATGTTTAAGCTCTAATCATTCTTGCCATCAGGTGGACATCACAACGGCAAGGTAAGAAGAATCTGCTTCTGCATCAAGCTCCTCAGACCCTCTCCTGCACCAGTTTGGCTTTAACACATTTACGCACACACGTGCGTCGCTGGACCCTCCTGGGTGGTACGATCCTCACTTTCTTCGGAAACTAATAGTTCGTTGATCTCTTTCTTAGGCTCGACAGAATTCTATCGTCTCGCTACCCTCCTTACACCGTATGCCCTTTGCCATTGCTCTGTTCATGACACCTACTCAATACTCCAACAGGACAAGAAGCTGAAGGCTATAAGCTGGTTGTTCCCTACGTTACCCGCACGACCGACAGGTCCACCAGCACCTACGGAGGACCGATCCTTTACGAAATGGTTCCTGTTTGCTTTAGCTACTGTTTTTGCAGGATTGCTAACCAAGAGGAAGATTTCGGCCTGAATACTGTAACATCCGTTCTACGGCAAATAGCATAGCCGTCCGATGTACTTGGATCATAATTTATGCTTTGTGGATGCCTATACACTTCTCGTAACTGATGTTGACATTTTCGTGGTGGCCTGCGGCTGTCCATGACCGAGAGCTTGCGATTTTCCGAGTCGGATTTCTTGAGGTATACATTTCTGGACCACGATGGGCCAAGTACGCCCTTGAGAATACAATTCCGATGTCAAGTAAAGAGCGAGAGAAGTCTAGTTCGAATTCGATCAATGCAATGCAATTAAACAATCTTTATCTATGCTACACGTCATAAGTTTCCGTTCCGTTCCATCATGTACATCGTCGTGCAAAGGCGCTTCTCCGAATTCGCCTATCCGATTCGCATCCCCCCCTTCACGCGACTTGCACCGTCGGCACCATCGGAACTGCAAGACCAGTCGTTCGCACCCCCGTTCTCCCCCTCCAACTAAGTTCCTCCGCAACTTTATTGCCCTTCCTCCGATTTGACCGTTCCGACTTGGGCCTCCCTGGCTGCCTGCGAGTATTCGCCTTCTTCTCATGACTGTGCCGCGGTGGCTTCCAGCCTAGCCCCTTGACAATCTCCGGAAAACGATCATGGAGCATGGTCTTTGCGTCACATGAGATGTCTGCGAGATAAGAGTGATGTCCGATGTTCAGGAGCTCGGTGATGTTGTATATCGGTAGACGTGAAGTTGAGTCTGGAGGCCATGTGTTAGATGGCTGTGTATGCGTTGAAGCAGAAGGGTTGTATCACTCACTGGTTGACTCTGGAGTAGTGGCACGCGAGGTGGAAGAGCTCCTGCTTGCAACACGTTTGTGAATGGGGACATACAGACCAGAGGACGACGACATGGAAGAGGACGAGAATGAAGACTCTGATGAAGGGGAGGAAGCTCGCGATGAGGGGATATCAAGGGGGGCGACGGGCGACATTATATATACACTGGGAGAACAAAGGATGAAGGTCGATGCACTGTAGAGTGGAAACCAGTGGGAGGATAACAAAAGAGCGAAAACAAGAAGTCATTTTATAATGCTGTATCGCCCCACCTTACACGCTTACGCCGCAGTCCTGCATCATCAGCGCCTAGATCAGTTCCGAGACACGACGCGTCTTTTCGCAATCTTTCGTGATATTTCCAGAAGGTTCCCGAATTTTAAGCCGATATTTCCTTTTTAGGACGAATTTAGGACCAGAATGACGCAAGACACGCAGTTCCACGACACGGACACGTACTAATCCGACTCGGTAAGCCAGATGACGAAATTGAGTGATGACAAGATTGATTGGTGAATGGGGTGAATAAACAGTCAGTGAAATTGATGAGTGGTGATGTATGCAAAGAAAAAAATATCATTACAGATGGAATACAGTAGAGCCGCAGACCCAGCTCTCACGACAGTGTCTGTCTTTTGGTGAACCCTTGGGCCAGATTACAAGTCAACAAAGGTCTTCACAGCCTTCAACCAGTGCGTGTATTCCTATAATTTACAAAGTTAACACGCTGCCAAGATCAGAAAAATGACAACATGCCTCCTGCTCCTTGTGTTCGGCGTATTCAGGGATGAACGCCGCAAGGTTCTCATCAATACCGCGCTCTTGGAGATACCGTTCAAATTCTTCCTGGAGAGCAATATCAAGGTTATCAAACTACGGAAGACGTCAGCAGATAGCTTGTGTGGTGACAGTCAATCACAAACCTGAGGTCCCAAGTACAGTCCCCGACGCTTCCAGTCGGCCTCAGCGCTAAGGCTTGTACCAACAGCAGCATCTTCGTAGAAAGCGGCGTTATCAACAACGAATTGGCCGTCCTGGCAAACCATGTCTAGGGCCAAAGCACCATGATTAGGTCCCTAGAAAGAATCAGATAAATTCTGAACAGTGTTTGTACCGATTCTCACCTTGGAAATGGTCAAGGCGACGTGCATGGGATACGAAACAATGGTTTCTGAATCTTCGTTCTCCTCCGCCTCGTCATCAAGGTCCTCCTCCTCGTAGGGCTCTTCCGGATTCCTGAGATCGGAGATGGCAAAGGTCAAATGAATCCTGCATGCAAAAAGGCAAACATTAGAATATGCAAATTCCATTGAAAGGACGATTCGTACTCTTCGTTGCCAAATTTTCGTGAAAGGACGACTTCTTCGCTAGATTTGCGATCCTCAATCTAATGAAATTGGGCATTGGCAAGGCAAGCATAAAATTATGGATAAAATAGGTACGCACGGTCCAAACGCCAGCCTTCTTAAACTTGGCCAAGAATTCTGGAACCGCCTTGGAAGCGCCGTCCTCCAGCTCGTAGCTCAGTTCCTCCTCAAGCTTCGTTGACAAAGCGACATCAGCTATAACATCAAGCGTCAACAACCTATATAACCTGGTAAAAAAGAATCACGTACTAGTTCCCTGTCCCCAAGTCCGTGCAGAGACAGAAAAAGCTCGCGACGACCATACCTGCCTGACAGGGAGAGCAAAGCGTGCACGTGCAACACACGATACGGAACGTGCAGAAATGACGCGAGAAGAAGAGAGGGAAAGCTGACGAAGGGAGCGAATGGCAGACATCGTAAAAGGTGAATCCAGAAATTGGAAACGAAATTTTCGGAAGACTCGTGTTTCTCGCGGAAGGCTTTGCCAAATACACGTGATTGGACTTTTTCCGTTTTTGATAAAAGGCTTCTTTCTCAGTTCCGACGTTCTCATTGACGTTCTGGAAATGGAACTGGCGGAAAAACAACTGAAAAGCCGCGGTAATCAATACTGTTCTTCCCAGCTGCGCGACTAACTTATCTGCAACTTGAAGCACTGACTCGTTATGATCTAGCTTGTGCTCCCTTAGGACTAGTGTTCCAAAGGTTCTGGCACTAAGAAAGTCACAGGATTCTACGACCTCGTTTATCAATTACCTCCCGAGCCCAAACTGGCGTGGAAATAACCCGTAGTTCTGTCAACCGTCGCTGAGCATGATTGGACCCGCTCGGAACTGTTTCTCTCTGACGAGCGCTAGTAATAGTATCAATAGCGACTCGGACCACACGATCACGCTAACAATTTCTTACTCGTTACCGCGTGTCAGTATCCAGACGCTTATGACCTGACTGTGGGCACACTTCAAACAGAACATATACGATGGCGTAACCCAACTAGACAACGTACCGTCAAAAATTTCAATAGGGGAAAACTCGCGATTGTCAAAGTTTGCAGATGCGTAAGTCAGTTTGCGTTACAGGATCTAGTTCTTGACTGACTATTGCCGATATTCAGTTCTTGCCAGTGTCTCCTCGCGTCTTTTTTTGACGAGAAGCAGAAGAACAAGACATGTCATAGAGTTGCACCTAGCCAGGCAGGCTATAGTGCTCTCCCATCATTCACAATACGCAAACAGGCGGCATCCTTTATCTGCATGACCGGTCATTCATGATTTCAGAAAAATCTATATTTGCCCGGCTACAGTCAAGAAGCGAGGTATCCAGGGTTGCCATTGTACTAGTCTCAGTCTACAGTACGCGCTCTCCGAACAATAATACCCTTATGGTTTTACCGAATTTCTCGCCAGCTCTTCTCGGTACACCGACGCGACGTTACCATCACGTCAACTGATCTAGCGGCTAGGTTTCTCATCCTCATAGATGACTCGTCAGGTGGATATCCCGTCCCCCCAACCGTTCTCACTCCTGTCACTCGCATCTTTTTCTGCTCTCCCTCCCAGTGTAAAGTTCTATGGTATCTATCTCCTTTCCCAGGGGGTGTCAATCTCCGGCACCGACACTCTCACTATCTTCGGTGAAGGTCCCTTTACTGACTTACCATGGAAACTGTTCTCAGGAGGGTGAGACGACATATATCGAACCTAGTGGATAACATCTTCACATGAACAAGAAAGCTCGCGCCTGTGGGAATCGATAGCGACCGTCCACCACCAGAAGTGACATGTTGATGCTGAAAAAATGTTATGCATACACACGAACCCATTGATTCTGAAGCTCCGACGCTGACGCTGTCGCCTAGAGTCGTCTATTGGCTCGGTGCGGTTTTGGATACCGGTGACTTGGCGTGATAGATACCCGTCAATAATTTATTTCATGGCCATTTATGTAGTACGCTACCTCCCGTTCTTAGTTGATGCAATCTACTCGTGCTCCCCGCTCCTCCAGAAGCGACCAACTTGAGAATGACATTTTTGACATTTTAAACTATAGTGCTTCAATTTTGATGTGGGGAAGGAACGCAGTCTAATTTTGATCATGTAGAACATGAGTTGGTAATTTATCAGACATCAATACATATATCCTACAGCTATATTACAATGGATCAAGAAGCACTCAATGGTACATAACCAAGCAAACCATATGTCCTAAGAAGAATACAGTATTTCGGAGAAGGCATGATGGCACCCCATCAATACAGGCCTTTTGACCAACAACAGGGTCAGACCGTGTCGAAACGACACACGGCCTTGTCTAAGGTCAAAGGACCAGCAAGGTTGGCTGCGTTGTTTGGTGTGATTAAATGACAACTTAGTTCGTTCGGAATAGACAGCAAAACAAATGACGACGACGAGAGAAGACAAGAAATAGGGTGGTAGATCTAACATGGACGGGGATGTAGTGGCGACAGGAGCCTGATCAGTTCGCCGGAAGCGAGTCGCTATCCTCTTTATCTGCGTCGACGTCTTCGCTCCCAGGGTCCTTATCCGACGTCTTGGATTTCTTTGACTTGCCAGGGACCCCGTTGCTAGTCCGTCCTCGCTTACGCGACAGTGGATCTGCACCGTCAGAGGCAGCGATGACAACACCGTTATTTGTCGCCGCAGGTTCGGCAGGTTTGTCCGAGCCATTTGGTACCTCGACAGACTGGCCAGGCATAGGAGGGGGAGCCGGAACAAACGTTGCGCCTGGAGGCGGCGCGTAGCCGTACGGGGGAGGATAGCCACCCATGAAATACTGCACCACCTGTGGTTGGCCCTCTTGCCCTTCCGGCATCTGCGCGACAAAGTGGCCTGGTGGATAATATAGGGGATAGTAACCTGCACCTGCCTCTGGAGGTGCTGCGAACTGCGCTACAGCATGGATAGCGGCAGCAGTAGTCGATGCATTGACAGGGGGAGAGTTGGAACCGGCAGCCTGCCACTCGCCATTTTCAGGTGGAGCTGGTTGGAATTCTAGATCAACATGAGAAATGAATGAGAGTTGCAAAGAATACACGTACCTCCGTCACTGAATGTCGTATCCATTCCTTTGTTTTTACGTTTGTACGGCCCGCGTTTGACACCCTTCTTGCGCTCCTTTCGTTGGCCGTCGATGCAGCTGTCTTGAATGCCGTACTTGAGGCAACGTTCGCACGGACGCGCCTCATCGCACCGTTTGCACGCAGTGGCGCAGTTTGTGCACTGACAGGAGATTAGAGATGAATGATGGCATTATAGTGAGCATACACACGGCCATCTTGACTTGTTTTCGCTTCGGCTTCATCATTGAAGGCGAAGGGGTGCCTGGCGGTACAGCGAAGACTAGCGGGAAACTGTGAGCAACGAAACGATACGACTTGAAATGAATACATACCTTGCCCTGGCGGTGGTGGATAAGCATAGACCATGCCTGGTGGTGCATGGAACATAATGAGTCCTGGCGGTGGTCCGCCTTCAGGATGCCCCTCGACCGGCGGTGGATAGGCAAACATTGGTGGATAGACACCAGGCGGCGGCGGTGGTGGGAAGGTTCCTCCATTATAATGCTGGAAATGGGGTGGCAAAGGATAGGCGACAGGCGGATCTGTCGGCTTTGGCTGCTCGGTCGTCATGTCGAACAGGAGACGGCTTCATCGTCGTCAGCGTCGGCGACGGTGCTGGAAGAAGAGAACGAAGACAAGGCTCACTCAAACACGGTCGATACTCCGACTGAAACTGGCGACAGAATCCGGCGGCGCTCAGACTTGATGGGTCCGCTTTCAGGCTGAGATTTGGCGGACGGTGAAAAAAACGAGACAAGGGCGTTGAGGCTGTGCAGCTGCTGACTGTACACAAAATAGGGAGCAAAAGTCCTGCAAATCCTGCGAAATTACTGTGCTGTCCTGCAGATAGGTGATAGAGAGAAAAATATGTCGTTGCTGAGTGAATCTGCAATGTACACGTGCTGTCGCAGTACAAACCTTATCCTCAAAATTAAATACGGACCGTGCGCCCTTCCTCGACTCCATCATCCCTGCCCTGTCCTACCCGTCTTTCTGCCATCTCGAGGATTCCGATACGTTTCAGTGGCTGCGGTAATCTGTAGTATCTATCTGGTTCTATCTTTCCATTTTCTCCCCTCAGTTTTCTTGGACTCCAGCTCGATTCAGCTTAGCCTGCCACTCTCTGGCTCCGTGATTGTCTCCAGCTTGATCTTTGCTCAGCCGACCCTGCAGTTCAATGACGTTCATCAACGCCCTATCGTCAAGTTCTCTCTGCCGGTGGCATAGAATAATGATATCTGCGAGTTAATCCCGAAATTCCAATGTTCATAGACCCCGGTCAAAGTCAAAAAGACAGGGCGCCTCTAGGATTTCTGCTTCTGCATTCGGTGCTTTCGGTGGTACCGGCATTGGACACTCCAGATATATATTCTGTAAAGTCTAGATTTATCCAATCGTAGCTCCGTGCTTCAATAGGATGAGGTATGGTTACTTCGTTCCCATCCCCTGCGGATCAACACAAGGCACCTCGAACGCTCGCTATATACCGAGTGCATCTGATGCTGTATATTCCTACGACTCCACTAGAGTTGCTATTGCGTGGGTATCTGATGAATGACGTACCCAAGTACCATCGCTATGGGTTCACTTTCACGCCGCCATGTGCCCTCATATCATGTCCTCATTGCCGCCAGAGGGTCGCAAAGTTCCAAATTGTATAACCTGATAGTTGGCCGCTTCCCTCAAGATCGTCGTCCACGCGTCGAGTCGGCCATGGGCACCCGAGAGCCGGAACTTTTCTAGACAAATCTACCTTAGGGAGACTTAAACGGCAACAACTTGAATTGATGGACAGACCTCCATCAAGAGAAAATGCTTGGGACGGTTCCATCCTCTAGACTCGACGTCGACCACTTGTTCTCGGGCAGTTGTATCTGTCAACGTCAGGCGATTTGTCCTTGATTATTTCTTGTGCAAACAACTCTGACGCCACCTTTATTACACGGACGTAACAGGTGCCACGGTCATTTTGGTGCAACCCTTGGTCTTCACCTTCTCTGGCCTTGAAACACGTCGGCTAACAGGTGCTTTCGCCGCCGACCTTCTCCTCGACCTTTCGGCTGCCGTACCGTGATGGAATTTGTTCGTGGCGGCGCTCAAAAATATACGCACTGCTTATTGCTTTAACTTAAGTTTGGGCCTGTAAGGGTATGTACGTCGTGTACTTGATGTGGTACCTCACTAACTAGAGTCTTTTGGCGCCCAGCAACTCATGCCGTAAGAGCGTGATATAGTAACTTACTGTTAAGATCTGCAGGGCGGTAGTCAGGTACTACCACTATTTTTATTTTCTCGCGTCATGGTGCGAGGACTTCGCACAACTGCAGGTATAATAACAGAAAATTTCCAGTCCTGCTATGACCTAGTTCTTCCACCGTATGTACGCGACGCTTATTCGAGAAAGTGTGACGGTAAACACATTACTGCGATCAGCAAAGGCGTAGGTGTCCTGCTAATTGGGGAGAACTTGGGTGTGGGTTCCTGGATCTCGGAAATTGAAGTCCCAAAAGACAAATTCCGATGCTCAGTGGAGGGATGCCCTAAGGTACCGAAGGCGCCCAGACGATGTGTGCGGATACATTAACACCCGCACATCAGCGAAATTTCTTGGGGTTAACCTATTACCATGACCACACCGGTTCAAAACCGAGTCGAACCAGCAGGCTTGTTTGTTGCCCAAATGTAGTGAAGCAAGCAGGGCGTACATGCCGGCATCGGTCACTATCAAGCCACCATAGATTGAGGGAGCTCGAGACTGTAACTATTCGTCGGGCCGTAATGACTGTTGACTCACGAGAGCATAGGTAAGTTGCAGACGAAGGGCAGATATTCCGAGTGAACTGTTCGGACCTTGACATCTACTTAACCTTAGTCTTATTCCAGTACACTATGCGTCATAAGTCTTCGACTGAATGCGATGGCCATACCAAGCAAGGTGCTGGCAAACATTCTAGATTTGGTCAACACCTCCTTCGTCCAAGACTTCTTCGAAAATAAGGGTTGAGAAGGTGAGAAGGGCCTCTAATCTTTCGTTAAGAATGTGATTCCCATCCCTCGTACTACTTTCAGAATAATGAAACGGTTTCAGGTGAAGTAGACGACCCTACAACCCACTATCATTCAGTCGAATTAATGAGTACCTGGACGGTAATAGAGCGACGCCATCTAGATATCAATACGAATGTGAATAGAGAGACAATACATAAAGCATCTATCCTCCTTTGTCTAGTTATCGGCGGGCTTTCTTCTCCGTCCCCTGAAACCCCAATGTATCTGGTTGGCAAGAGTAACCTCGACACCTAAATCATCCGCGAATGACCACACCAACCCAGGGTTCTTGGTGAAATGTCTTCCAACCATCACAAGATCTGCCTGCCCTTGATCAAGAACGCCCTGCGCGATATGGCCATCGGTGATGCTTCCAACAGTGCTAACGATTAAGCCGGGATTACTCTTCTTGACATCATGCGCAAGGGGAGCTTGGTACGCTGGTCCATGAGTGAACTTTTGTTTGAGGTTATTGCCTCCGGAAGAAACGTCGAGCAAATCGATGCCGTGCTGCGCGAGAATAGGGGCTAGGCGGACGGTATCTTCGGACCTCCAGGAAGGGACATCTGGTAGAGACTCTTCCAGACGCTCGGATCCTGAGATTCTATTCAATCTTGTCAATTGGAGGTTCAACAAAAACATGCAGAAGCTCCTCACCTGAAGAAAAGCGGCATAGACTCCGGGATAACGCTCCTGACCGCGTCAACGACCTCCAGTGGGAATCGAATCCGATTCTCAAAGCTACCACCGTACTCGTCTGTACGCTTGTTACTCGTGGGGCTCATAAATTCACACAACAGATACCCGTGTGCGCCATGAATTTCGATGACATCGAAACCTGCCTTCACAGCTCTCTGTGCCGCCGCCTTATATGACTCCAAGAGGCCCTTCAAGTCCTCCTTAGTCAGTTCCTTAGGGGTCGCGTAATCGTCGGCGAATGGAATAGGTGATGGTGCAAACACATTCTCGGGCCAACCGCCCACGTCCTCGCCGGCGAGGTTATGCCCTGGAATCCACGGAGCAATTGTAGAGGCCTTGCGGCCAGCATGGGCAATCTGGATGGCAATCTTCTGATTCTGAGAATGCGCGTACTCAACGATCGACGCGAGAGGCGCGATATGGTCATCTGACCAAATCCCGACATCATTTGGAGTGATGCGCCCTTCAGGAACGATAGCGGTAGTGTACATGGCAAAATAGATTTCGGACAATTGTGCCGGCACAATGGCACAATGGCAATTGCCGGGTGTGGCACAATGCGGCGCAATACCAAAGAGTTGGGATGGTCGACCTAATGAAAACTAGTCCATTGCGGTACTTTCTGCCTGGGTGAAAACGGTCTGATATGATGTATAAGTTTTTCCTTAAATACATCATTTTCGTGTCTGATTTCAGCCTTTTTCACACAGAATATTATCATCGGCATCCCGGCAAACCCTCTACTGGGAGCCTTCGGCATATATAGTTTATATATAAATGGAACGACCAAGCTTCTGACCTCTTCAATCATAATTAGGTACATTTACGGAATCTCTTATAAGCCTGGAACACAGAAATTGGGCCGTATGTCCCAGCATCCCTTCGGCACAATGGCACTTGCGTTGGCACTTGCCATGGCGCAAATGGCGCACTTGTGCCAACACACTAGATAGAGGTAGATCGATGAAACTCAAACCCGGGCCGCGCGTGAAAATACCTCCGACTGAAATAAAGTTTGTTAGCAGTGGTCATATGGGATCCCGAACGGAACAACGTACGATGACCGGTATGCCACGGGGTCATGAAGCCATCTTGAGCTGAATATTGGCATAAGGGCGAGAGCTGATGCGACCGATATATCAGAAAATTACAGTGGTCTAAATAGGTATCTGGACTTACAAAGATTCTGTTCTGAAAAGTCACTCCGCGGATGGTAAGTGGCTGAAATAGAGTTGGGATCGGTTTGCCATCTGGCTGGGGAATGGCGGTGCCAGCAGGAGGGGTCTGGGCGGGAGTGAAGAAGGATATACCGGGAGCAGGGACGTTCACAGCTGAGGGAGCCATTGTGAGAGAGAGAACACTCAGAGTGTCGGCTTTTATATTCTCGTATGACGTGCTCGAAAGGCTCGACTTACTAAGATCGGAAGAAACTTCTCGAGCTCGAATGTCAAGGTGAGTAAGAATTTGCTGAGTGAGCAATGCTTTCTTCAACGATAGGCCTAGACACGGAATAATGGTGTACCTATACCACAAGAAGGTATTAAATCTAAGGTCAACCTGCACCTGTGCCCATGGAAAGTAGTAAAAAACCTAGAATTGCATAGCTGATAATTAACTTTTTACAGGATTATTAATGGATCCGGTATGCGTATCCTGTCGAAGTAGATGACCAGCTTCCCACATGTACATCTGGTGTCCGGCCTGTAGCTCCGTGACGTTTCAACTGAGTAAGACTGAGTCCCAATGATACATCGAGCGTTGGAGTCGGAAACGGGGCGTTTCATGGCAACAATTATGTTTGCATCATGTCAGCAAATATTTCGTAAACCTTTCTGCCCCCCCACTCAATTCTTCTCTACACGGACTTGAGTAACTATTCGCGACGTTTGCGTCCCTGCAAACGGGTGAGCGACTGGAGAAACCGGACTCCCAGCAATGGATTCCCACTTTGTGGACTTTGCGGACGTGTTCAAACAGTGACGAAAACGAGATGGATTGTGCTTGAAATCAAAAGAGTGACGTATCGTGATCTGGTGGTTCTTCTGTTTTGTCTTTACTACCATCACTTCTGGGATATAACTCAGTGAATGACCCCGCTTCAGCCTTTAAGCTTCGGCCTGGCCTTGGTATTAGATCAGGACCTTCTTTCGTGCTCAGATGTAATGCCTGGGGGGAGCACCTTCCAAGTACTCTAGTATGGGCGTCGGGTGAACAATTACCTTCCATTATTTGGTTAATTTGCAAGACATCTCCATTATCATTTCTCTCTATTATGCCTAGTGCGACATGTGGCGTGCACACTTCTCGTAGACTGGTTGGACGCCTAGACACCGTCTCTCGAGATTTGGATTCCTATTCTCAGCTAAGAATGGTACGCTGGTTTCTTGCGTCGTTCTATCAAGAGATGAGCAGCCGCATCAGCGTCTGTTTCAGCCACTTTCAAGAGGAGGGCATTTGAGTACAATACTGTGATTGACCCAAGTGTGCTTCTCTTGTTCCTGTTTCTATCGTTCTAAGCCTACGGTCGGACATATGTACTGTCGGACACTCGCCACAATCTCAACAGTTGTATGTTTCTCTTAACAGTTCTTTTATCCAAGTGTTGAACCCCTTCTTTATTTTAGTTTTGCTGTACCCGAATACCAGGACTCACGACGACAATAGTGGTACACCACAACGGCTAGCGCCAGAATGCATGACCGTAACCAAGCGTCTTCTCTACATGTGTACTATATGTATCACGCTCCTGACTGCGTGGGATCACATCCGCAGCCTTATAAGCGCTCCACGCGGCTGACGTGTCAAGTTTTCCTAGTGCATTGCACGTCCTTCCGAAGTCAGGAATAACCCCTTCTCTTCACATACCTTCTAGAGGCACATCATTTTCTATCCTAACGATTCTTGAATCTCGAGCTGAGAGAGACGCAACACGGTTTATGACGCGATGATTGTTCCTGTGGGTGTCTTTTTCGCATTGACCCAAAGTTATTCTTAGTTCTGCATGGAAGATGTTCCTCCGAGTCGGGATGGAAGCTTCAACAAAGCGGAGAGGTTTGCAAGCAATTCTGGTTTGCTAATTAACCGGGTGTGTATCAGTAAGCTTTCTCCGAAGTCGTCTCATGTAAATTGACAGCATTGTATGGTGCTAGAATTCTAGAATTTTACCCCTCAAGAAAAATAGCCTCCATACCATGTATCTTTCTGTTCACAGCGTTCATAGCACTACTACAGCCCTGAATCGTTGAATAGCCTTCACCGGGTACGAAGTAGGCGCGTTTTGAAATCACCTTTAATTAAGATCACTGATCTGGCCGCGATATCTAGCCGAGTTTCTAGGCATTACGATTCGGAAGAACCTACATAGTTGTCATCGAGGTGTCTAATTGGTTGGTGTTCATGACGTAGGAGCCTGCTGAGCGTGAGCTCCGAGTCGGAATCGAGGTACGTGGGTCGAGGACTCGGAGCTACGAACAACACTAATACCGTTCCTTCGATCGGCTTACAGCTGTACAATCTGCCAGAGCACGACGCAACGCGATCGGGCATAGTGTCCTGAATTACCATAAAATATTTTCTTTTCCCGGCGGCGGCAGCTCCTGCGGTTGGTTATCTGCGATCTTGTGTACTGTTGAACAAGTTCACCGTAACAAGAGCTGGATAAGACTTTATATTCTAATCCAGCATGAAAACTCTGGATCTTGTCACCACCGAAAATTTGTTTAACCGATATTCCAGAGGTCAGCTCCCCGACCGGGAAGAAGTCGTCAATTACTCAATTTAACAGTGAATCAGCCCATATGTAATGTGTGAGTTTCTATTCATTCAAGCCGGGTGGCGTGCTGATGATTGCTACCGAAAACTTACCGTAAGCAGCCTATAAAAAGCTGCAGACAAGACCGATATTTGGTTCATTGCCAGCCCTTCGAACTGTTTGCTATGACTGCCAACGTACCGGCAAAAGGCGTCTCTTTCTTCACCCCCGAGCAAGTCCCTGCTGCTGGGACCGCTGCTGCTTCCCAACCCGATGATAAGCCTATACCGGTCCTTTTCCAGCCGCTCACGATACGAGGGTTAACCGTGCAGAACAGGATCTTTGTATGTCATCTTACGAAGCAATGATAAGGTTCTTAATACCCCCTTGGTACAGGTATCGCCCATGTGCCAGTATTCAGCGAAGGACGGCAAGATAACCCCGTGGCATTTCGCGCATCGTACGTTCCATGTGGGTGTTCTATAATTGACAACTTCTTATCATCTCACAGTTGGCGGCATCTTCACCCGTGGTCCGGGACTTACGTTCACTGAAGCTACGGCCGTCGTTCCAGAGGGCCGTATCACTCCCGAAGATGCTGGTATCTGGTCAGATGATCATGCGGCTGCATGGGCGCCTATCGTCGAGTTTGCGCATTCACAGAACCAGAAGATCGCGATGCAGCTAGGACATGCTGGTCGCAAAGCATCTACGATCGCACCATGGTTACCTGGCACTAATTTAGCCACGGTGGAGCTTGGCGGGTGGCCTGATAACACCTATGCTGCATCATCGCTTCGATTTAATGATGATTATCCGTTGCCGAGGGAGATATCGAAGGAAGGGATCCAGGAGGTGGTGGATGCATTCAAGAAGGCGGCTGAGAGAGCTGTGAAGGTTGGGTTTGATGCTCTCGAGGTTCATGGTGCGCATGGCTACTTGCTGTTTGGGTTCTTGAGCCCAACAAGTAATCATCGTACGGATGAATATGGCGGAAGCTTTGAAAATCGTATTCGTATCGTGTTGGAAGTAATCGACGCGATAAGGTCAGTAATCCCCCCCGAAATGCCGCTTTTCTACAGGTGAGTGAATTTGATTGATATCATTGGTCAGCTATTAACATGTCTGTCGCTAGAATATCAGGTAGCGAATGTGTAGAACAAACACTCCCCGACGTCCCCTCGTGGCGTTCAGAAGATACCGTCAGAATTGCACCTATTCTAGCAGCTCACGGCGTCGATGTGTTGGATGTGTCATCTGGTGGCAACAACAGCAAGCAGAAGTTTACCCCTGGACCTGCTTATCAGTCACCATTAGCGCATGACGTGAAGAAGACCAATCCTGGACTGCTCGTCGCCACAGTAGGAGGTATAGCGGATGGTCACACGGCGCAAGGCGTGTTGGAAAACGGCCTAGCTGATGTGGTATTGTGCGGCAGAGCCTTCCAACAGAATCCAGGTCTTGTGCTGAGATATGCGCAAGACCTTGATGTGGATATACATCTTGCGCATCAGATACAATGGGGTTACAAGATAGGAAGAAGGACTCGACGAGCAAAAGCCAACTAGTAGAACCTACCCCCCCTCGTATATTGTAGAGCATTCAGTCGCAGGAATTAGAATTTGAAAGCACCCCATCTGGCGCTATCTGGCATCATACTTTTAATCTCATGAATTAACTTGTCGTGCCTGCCGTACCTGTCACCCCAATCCTCCAAATTTCATTTGTCAGTGATATGAAATCGGCTCGGTCCGATATGACCGATGAGCGGAACCGCTTTAAGTAACGCGTTCTTTCGGAAAAACTGACTCACTGACGAGCGCTTGTCGTTCCTTTCTTTTCTTCATGCCTCGGTTTCAAAATGAGGTTGCAGCCGTCCTAGGCGCGTCTGCCCTCTGCAGTATCGTCGTCTTTTGGGCTGCACGTCCTCGGGAGGGCAAAATTCAGCTGCCCGTCCACTCCGGCGACGATGGTTCTCCAGATCCGTTCGACGTGTCCCAGCCGGTCGATTTTATAGACGGGATACCCATTAATGAGAAGAAGTTTTGGGAAAAGGTGAGAAATGTTCAAGACCTCTGTCTCACATACTGGAAACCTTTTTAGATGAGGAGGAGGAAAATCGTTCTGTCGTTCCTGTTTGCTGCCATCGTTATCTTGAAAACTATTTGCTTTGGCTGGGCCATCGTTGAGGACGAACTTTCGAATGTGGCCAGCTATGCTATCCACGTGTTTTTCTCTCTTTATGTTCTTGCAATTGCCGTCCGGTCTGTCAATCAGGACGCTCCCGGTTCTCATTCAGAGTCGATCCTCCATCTGACAACACTAACGACACTAGCTGCCATTTTGCTTGGTATTTCTATTCTTCTCCCAACAAACCCCCCTCCTGTGGCGACTTCTGTGGATTCAAGCGAAGTCTTCACGTGGATGTGGATTTTTGTTTTCATCATCTACACAATTACCTGCCTTCTATCTGTCACTATGCCACGAGGACCACAGCTACACTACGAGCCCAAAGATATCTATTCCGCGAAAGAGGCATCTGCAAGAACCAACAAAGACGAAGTAAACGTAACTGGAGTGACAGGCAAGTGTCGAAGCTTGACATCATTTGCACTCTTCTCTTAAATAATATTGCCACAACAGGAGCGTCACCCTGGGAAACGCTATTTTTCTCGTACTCAACCAAAGTCGTCATGCTTGGTAATACTGCTACCAGTTTAGAGATAAGCGACCTTCCCATTGTGCCCGTGGGCCTCCGTGCGACATTCAACTACACGAGAATGAAGCACGCCGTTCGGACAATAAACTGGAAAATCGGCTCATGGAGACCTAAACCTGGTTCGGGGTGGAATCTCGGATATCGACTTGTTAGGTTGAATTTGATGGCGCTATTTGTGCAATTCTTGCTTGCGTCTGTCAGTGCATGTGTATATTACGTACCCCCGTATTTCTTGAAGCAGCTCGTTTCATATCTCGAAGTCGACCACGAGCGCAGAGATACGAGGTGGGGTTGGGTGTACGTAGTAGGCTTGTTTGGATCCAACGCTACTTCTTATCTGCGTGAGCGCCACCATATATGTCCTGCACTGAAGGTTATAATCATTTTTTTTACAGTCACTGGTCAACTCTGGTCACTTTCCACGACGGTCTTGCAAGTCCGATTCAAGATTCAACTAAATACTATTCTGTTTGCCAAAACACTCGTTCGCAAAGACGTAGCATCCAGCGCGCCCCCACCGTCCAACGGAAGCACGAAAAGCGACGGCTCTGATGACAAAAAGGATGATGAGGACGACTTTTCTAGCAAGGCGCAGATCATGACTCTTATGACTACCGATGTCGACAGGCTCAGTGAGTTTGCATGGCATATGTTTACTCTGATTGGTAGGTTTCCTTGGTTTATATACACGTATTCGTAACCTCAACATCGTCGGGTTTACAGACTCCCCAATTGAGATCATCATTGGCACTCTATTTCTATATAAACTTCTTGGTAACGAGTCGTCTCTAACATACACTAACACAGCTAATCAATATCAAAGGGGTTTCTTGTTTCTTTGGCTTGGCGGTGACATGCTTATTCCTACCAATGAACCACTTCGCGGGAAGCGTGGTCGTCGGTGAGTGACAGTAACCATCTGGCGCCATTCATCAAACTAATCGTGTGTAGGTGCCCAGGATAACCTCATGAAAGCTCGGGATGAAAGGATATCTCTTATGAATGAAGTTAGTCTCCCCTCGTCGGCTGCGGTAGTTGTACTGATCAATCTGTTTAGATCCTCGGTGCAATCCGCATGCTGAAGGTATCGCCAAGCTTGGTCGAACATTAATTGGACGCTGACGCTCAATATGATAGTTCATGGCCTGGGAGCGCAGTTTTGAAGCGCGAGTCCTCCAAATCCGAGAAAAGGAGCTGAAATACCAAAAGCTCAACTACACTATTGAGGTGATCATTTATTTAACAAAGTCCCGTTCTCCGAATCTAATGCCATAATACAATCAGACGTTGTGGAATGCCATTTGGTACGGGATCAACCGCTCTGCACTGCACGTATGGCTAACGCCCGACTAGGAATGCTTCGCCCATACTGGTCACCTTGGTATCGTTCTGGCATTTTACTGTCATTCGAAAGCAGGACTTGACGCCCTCTATCGCTTTCACATCCGTGAGTACCATTCTCCTCCCTGCGCACTTATTCTTATCCAATTCTTCGTTAGATCGTTGGTAAGAACATTCCCCCGATATACAGCTACTCCCAATGACGTCTGACAGTGTTCAACGAATTGAAATTCGCTCTCAACGCGCTCCCCGAGACGTTCATCAATATGCTCCAAAGTTTGGTGTCGATGCGCAGGATTGAAAAGTATCTAAACGCTAACGAAGTCTCTCCCGTCGCACCCGTTGAGCAGCAGTCCCAAACGATTGCCCTTCAGTCTTGCACTGTTACATGGCCACAGGACCGCATAGCTGCGAGCAAAACACCCTCCGTTGCATCTACACCACGTCACAAGTTCATACTTGTTGACTTGTCGCTCCGTTTCCCGCCAGGGGAACTGTCCTTGATATGCGGTAAGTTAGGATCGGGAAAGACACTACTTCTTCACGGTATGCGTTTGTTCGTCCGTTTTGAATTAATGCCGTCTAATACCTTCACAGCACTGCTAGGAGAGGCGGACGTACTTGCAGGGCAAATGCTTTGTCCGCGTTCACCCCCTGATGCCATAGCGTCCTTCAAAATAATCTTACCCAGAGAAGAATGGGTTGTCCAAGGAATCTGCGCATATGTCCCGCAGGTAAGTAATTAGAATGTCTGCTTCCGCGTAGTAGAATCTCACGAACAACTTTTAGGCTGCCTGGCTCCGTAACGCATCGATTAAAGGTGTTGTCCTCATTAGGCCTTACTATGTTTTGCATTCTAAAGATGTCTCGCAGACAACATTCTTTTCAATCTGCCATTTGATGCTGAGCGTTACCGAAAAACATTGGAGGTGAGTTATGTAAAGCACCTAGTGATCATGTTCTGAACATCAACTTGCTCAAGGTTTGTGCTCTTACGACGGATCTTGAGATCTTGGAGGATGGAGATGAAGCAGAGATCGGAGAACGTGGCGTACGTTGTGCTATTGTTCTGATGGCTAAGTTTACTGATCACTGACCCACAGGTGAACCTATCGGGAGGCCAAAAAGCTCGGGGTAAAATCAATCCAATTCATTTTCTCTGTCAGAGTCTGATATTATGCAAATAAACAGTGTCTCTTGCGCGCGCGGTTTACTCCCGTGCTTCTATCTTACTTCTAGATGATGTTCTGTCTGCGGGTGCGTCCGCACCTCCAAGCTAAATGGCACACCGCTTGTATTCTGACTGTGGCACCTCTTTAGTTGACGCACATACAGCCCATCATCTGTATCATGAATGCTTGAAGGGCGAACTTATGAAAGGTTTGCTGCGTTCAGCGTATTGTTATTCAATTTGAAACGATCCTTTTCTAGGGAGGACGGTGATCCTGGTCTCTCATCACGTTCAGCTTTGCGCTGAAGGGGCTGGATACATTGTAGCGCTCGACAATGGGCGCATTCAGTTTGAAGGGTCCCGTGAAGACTTCCAAAAGTCCGGGGTCATACGCAGCTTAGTACAGTCTGGCTTCGTTGACGACAAAGCTGGTGCAGCAGATGACAAAGAGGAGGAAGCAATCGAGGCTGGCTTTGGTTCCGGCGATGAGTCCGAATCCAGCACAACCGTAGCACCTGCGTCTGAAGTGACAGATACGAAAACAGACAGTAAGAAGCCCCCGCGCAAGCTTGTTGAGGAAGAGAAACGCGCCGTTGGAAGGATTGGAAAGGATATATGGCTTACTTACATAAATGCGTGCGGGTCCTCTATCTACTGGTCTGTATTCTTGGGGGTTTTCATTTTGGCCGCCTTGAGTCCGGTTGCAGAAAATGGGTGGCTGAAGTACGTGACATACTATATCCCCTCTTTCTCTCTTCTGACGAAGTACAGGTATTGGTCGCATGCAGTCCTCGAAGCGGATGGCACAAAAGGTCCAGTGTACTACGTCACTATGTATGCAATCGTGAGTCTAACTCTACGATGGATATTTATCTTGTCTTACGGCGGAAATATTAGATTACAGCCCTGGGTCTGATTATTACAACCCTTCGGTGGTTTGTTCTTTGTGAGTCTGATGCACCCAGCCCAGTCATGGTTCTCATTAGGATTCTAGACAAGGGGTCGATTCATGCATCTGTGGTCTTGTATCAAAGTATACTCCCTTTTATAACCTCGGATCTTCTTAATTTCTTATGTCTCTTCACTACAGGACTTTTGGAAACCGTTCTCTTTGCCAATATTAGATTCCACGATACTGTTTCCCGTGGGCGCCTGTTGAATAGATTTGGTAAAGACTTCGAAGGTAACCGTTCCCTGCTCTTTCCGCGTGTATCTCTTAGAAATTCACAATTTCTTGCTAGGCATCGATAGTAGTCTGTCAGACAATTTCGGAAGGACCACCATGTTTGCAATGTCGTCTTTGACGACGTTAGTCACAGTCAGCATTGTAGGAGGCCTACCTTTCATCACCGCTGCCTTCTTCCTCGCTATCATATACTACAACGGTATTTCTCATATTTGCATGAACTCTCACTTCTGAACTAATGGACCACGCCGTCCCTACAGTTGCCAAAGTTTACGGTCAAACGTCTCGTGATATGCGCCGTCTTGGTATCCCTTTCTTAAAAATGTGTTGAACGCTGGACTGACTTCTGCTAGATTCCGTGACGCGCTCACCGTTATATTCAATTTACGGTGAGACCATAGCAGGAGTGTCAATTATTCGAGCTTTTGGTGCATCGTCAAAGTTCTTGCGGGATATGCTTCGTTGCGTTGATACTGTAAGCGCATCAGGCCATATAACAATACATTCCTGATGTTAGTAATGTTCACAGAATTGTAACCCTTATTACTGGATGTGGGGAGGTAAGCTACTGTCGCCTAATGTCTTGTAGATGCTTACGGCCCATCAGTGAACCGGTGGCTTTCCATTCGGTTTAATTTACTTTCATGTGCAATCACTGGTGTCACTGCTGCGGTGACCGTTTTGACTCCCCGAATCGATGCATCTTTAGCCGGATTTGTTCTTGCTTTTGCTAGTTCTATTACGAACGATCTGCTGTTCATGGTATGTCTTTTACACGTGTTTTGGCTTTCGTTAACTAAAATTAACCCAAAGGTTCGTCGTTTTGTCGGTTTGGAGCAATCGATGGTGGCATTAGAAAGAGTGAAAGAATACTCAGAGCTCGTTCGCGAGCCTCCTGAATTCATCGAACCAAGGCCTCCTCTGTCATGGCCATCTCATGGGGCCATCAAGTGCGAGGATCTTGTTATTCGATATGCGGTAGGCGCATTTAGTCCAGACGATAGTCTTTGAGCTGACCAACAAACAAGCCGGACCTGCCTAACGTTCTTCATAACCTCAACTTTGAAATCCAGCCCGGTGAAAAGGTCTGAAATCGTAACTCTCATGCAGCAGTCCTTCACTAACCTTGATCGCAGGTTGGCATTCTGGGAAGGACCGGTTCTGGGAAGAGCACCCTCGCGCTCTCTTTCTTCCGGTTTGTGGAGCCGACGGAGGGTCGTATCTTGGTTGATGGTCTCGACATCGCTTCGATTGGCCTTACCGATCTACGAAGTAAAATTACTATCATACCCCGTGAGTGCTCAATTTGATATGGTCATTCTTCCTGCTGAATCATGTACAGAGGATCCCACGATTCTCAGTGGTACTGTAAGATCTACGTTGGACGTCTTCGAGGAATATCAGGATGCTGAAATAGTAAGTCTCTTCCTGACGACCTATACAATATATTCAATGAAATGCCGTTTTAGTTTGAGGCTTTGCGACGAGTACACTTGATTCCTGCCGACAGTTCTGCTGAAGATGACGATGTCATAAATGCCAATATGTTCCGCAATCTTGATTCGCCTGTTTCAGAGGGAGGCGATAACTTTTCTACCGGGTCGGTCTCCTTGGGTTCACTTGATATGTATCTAATTGACCATTCTACAGAGAAAAGCAATTGTTGTGCATGGCTCGAGCCATCCTCAAAAGGTCAAAAGTCTTAGTTATGGACGAGGTAAGTATCAATTGCTCTTCCGCTACTTTCATTCTCATATATCTGTCTAGGCAACAGCCAGTGTGGATTACGCGACAGACGAACTGATCGGGAAGACCATTCGACAGTGAGCAGAAACTAGTTACCTCTTCGTGTTTCCAGTGACTCAAGTGCATGTTTAACAGAGAATTTTCTGAGAGCACAATACTGACTATCGCTCATCGACTCAGAACCGTTATTGATTATGATAGGGTAAATATTTCCGTTGCGACCTCTTCTCCCTCTAATATTGAGCTCGTAGGTCATGCTTTTGGACCAGGGTCGTATAGTGGAGTTCGACACGTAAGACACTCCCATTATGTCTCTATGCACTCTCATTCTCGTTTCTCAGACCCAAGGTTCTTTTGAGTGATCCAGCCTCAAAATTCCACGCGCTTTGCAAAGCAACAGGCAAAGAGGAGTTTTCCGTCCTAAAGAAGATGGCTGGGGTATGAATAAGACATGTGATCCATAAATCTAGACTTGTGCAACTGCTTTGAGGATGTATTACTGTTTGGAATTGATTCGTACATTGTGAGCGACTTCATCGATCATATCTACGAGTTACCCCTCATGGTGCACGCGCTGAAGCTGGCCTATCTGTTGGATCTACCGTTTCACACCGAGAGATCCGGCCAGTATTACGCTCTTCATGATTAATAGAAAACAACTTGCGATGAAATTTCGAAGTGCAACAGATCATAATGCAACGGATATCTGATGGCAAAGTCAGTTTGCATGTCAGGATAGTCACCGGCATCAACGACGTGAGGAACACAAGATTGCTCGCCAAAAATCATGTAAAAAGCGCCGAGCACAACGTCATGTAGGGCCGAGTGCACAGTACACGAGAGGTGTGACTTCTCGAACTAAACTACATGCATTAATATACACTTGCAATTCGCTCGCTTGGTTGACTGAAGTTGTCACCAAAACCAGGTAGAACTTGGCGAACACCATTGAATCACTCCAAACAGAACAGAAATCAACAGAGAACTCACGTTATGGCCGACAAACCGAATAAAACGACGTGTACCCGCACACTGGTAATAAATGTTTTGGGCTATTACAGTAACTTACAGGCATCAACATCTTAATCTTGCAAATAAAACAAACCAACTTTATTCGTGAACAGATACGTAGGTGGTGGTGGTACAAAACTGATGTCCCAAGGACCGGTAGTACACTGTATATTGTCAAGAAAAGGGAAGCAATGACAGTTTAAAAGGTAACGATCATTCCGTAAAAACTTGCTACAAAGCATTTTCAAATTCCTTACTCTCTGCGCTGAATACCGGGCCTGAGGCGCCACTGCAACACTTTCTCCCTAGCACCTTCCCCGTCCGTATCTGGAACCCTCTCAAATGTTTGTTTGCGATAATCTTCAGGCTGGTTCTCCACATATTTGTTCCATGCCAGTAGAGTATGATAATAATGCATTGGCAGCGGTGTCTCCTTCCTTCTCCACACCCCATGCTCTTTACTCGTAAGCATGTTCCGCACAGCCCGCATGTCGTCATTACCTGCAATCGAAGCTTCCCACTCCTCCGAATCGCTCATGGAGGATTCCCTCGTGAGGGCACAACCCAAGTCAATTATGACCGGGGATCTATCGGAGTGGCGCAGGATGATGTTATCGATGTGTATATCGTTGTGAATCACACATTTTTGCGCTTTTAGGATGCGGAAGGCATCCATAACAGCATCTGCAATCGCTTCCGCCTCCGATCGAGGGATATTGACATCGGGTTTGAGTGAGCCCAGGCTTTCACCTTGGATATATTCGATGACGATGCCTGGAACACAGTTGGTGATGGGGTGAGGTTCCTCGGAAGAAATGGGGAGAGTAACAAGACCGATGAAGCGGGGAATGAGAAAACCTTGTAGTTTGCGTAGCAGACGATATGCCTCCACCTCACTTTCTTGCCGTTCCATTCTCAAAGTCCACGTAAATATCTCCCACATCCAGTCTTCCCAGTCGCTAGGACAGGGCAGCGCTGGGTTCATGCGATCCTTGACACTTTCGAACCAGTGGGTTTTTGTTCCATTGTCTATCTCCCGCACGGCTGCCCGTAGACGCTCTTCGAGATCTGGCGTCCATGGGAATTCGCCATCCATATTGAGGCTGGAACGGAAGCCTACTCTACGGTCATTGAGCTTGAGTATGAATTGTTTGTTGTCGGAAGTGCGTTGACTTAGAAGAACAGCAGAGGATGTGAAAGGTTCCAGTCGTTTGATGATTTTAACACTGAGAGGTTGAACTATCGGGGAGTCTGGAGCCTGGAATTTTAGCTGGATCTCTGACCCAGGAAGATACAAGTCGCTGCTCCTAACGTGAGGCGTGCAAATAAAATTGGTACTGTTCACATACCTCTGTGGTGTTGGTATTGGTGGCAAGTGAATTTTTTTTGCCAATGCTGAATGAATGAGTGCTTTAAACTTGAAAGGCGAGGACTTTCCAGCCGAAGTCCAAAGTCGTTGCATGGGGTGGAAGAATTGCGCGTCGCGATCATAGCGCAAATCGGTTTGAGCGGCTTCAAGGGCGGAGACAAATCAGGCTGGCTAAATTTTTATTGCGCGTCGACGTATTTTCCTTGTGCCCTTCTGCTTATCCTCTTTTATACTAGGTTTGGCCAAGCTTCAGAAAACATCAATGGTGAGAAGAGCCCTCTTGGTTACCGGGAAACAACAAATTTTCAATGATGCTCAGGACAAATGGATGGATGGACAGAGCAACACATGTACAATGAAGAACAGGCAAAAGGAGCAGGGGAAAAGAAAAAAGGACTCCGTGTTTAATGACATGTGACACGTCTCACTGGCCTGCAAATGCTGATCTTGTACTTTTGATACTAATAGAACCTGCTCTGACATAATAATTTTGGAACAAAATAATGTGCTCTGGTGGCCACACTTTAGTATTGTCCCGGCTCTGATCATCTGCCTTGCACCATTCAAGGCAATTCCGAGGGGACACAAGTGGGCAAGGGTCAGATTAACGACACCTGTAAACCGTTTTTCCGTAATGCCTTCAGGCATTGGATCGTCTCTGAAGTCACGTCTTTGCCTGCCCTAGGGCCAATCAAAGCAGATTCAAGAACCCCTCGTCGCGACTCAAGTACAGTTAAAACCCCATCCTCATCCAAGTCGGAACCCCATACCAGCTCTAGATGCCGAAGATTCGGGCAATAACCGCGGCTCCGCCCGTCCGTATAACAAGTCAAACGCCATAGGCTCAAGGGGGTGAGAATAGCTTGGGGGACGGTATCGTGAACTGGTGACGCCTCGTGAACAACAAGAGTACGTAGGGAATGCGACATGGAAGCGATGGTATTCACAAAGTTGACATCAGACAACCAAGCGTTTCGAAGAATGAAGGTCTCGACTGTGGCCTCCTTGATGATTCTGGTCATCGCTACCAACTGTGCGCCGACATTCTTTGCCCAGCCGTCCTCGAAGCAGAATTCCAGTCTATTCAACTGTGGAAGTTCAAGATTTTCAGCCTAGTTGGGTAAGAATGGCATCATTGGATATAGTGAGAGTGAGACCGGTCAAACGATGACAGATAACTGGGTCATCAGGCCAAGTATCGTTGTGGATAGCTTTTTGCATGAGTGTGAATGTGGCATGTTCAAGATTAGGAAAGTGAGGAAGCGCATTTGCTATTTCAATGAGGTTGGATTCCGAAAGCGCAATACGAGTGACCGAGGTGATTTTATCACCGGATTCGATCGGAGGGGCACCTCTTCGCAAAATTAGCGAACACAAGCGAACGGTGTCAGGATAAAAAGGTCCGCTCTCGTAATATCCGTAACAATCCATGTTAAGATGACGAAGGCGTGGAAAACTCCATCCTACTTTGTCCGACGAGATAGCAAATAGTAGTGAATGTGAGACACATATCGACAAATTTTCGATCTGCGAGCTGGTTTCCTCGCTAGCAAGGACACGGAACAATTGTTGAGCCAAGGGATATCCTGTTCTGTCGGAGGTAAAGTTGATGGAAAGAGGGTGGTTGCCTGCACATTTCACGTATAGAAAGAGGGGGTGCGCAAGGCGAGTCCATGTCAACGTGTCTGCGTGGTTCAGCCATACTGAAATGCGTGCCCACAGTTTTGGTAATGAGTGCATCGTCACTCGCCAGTCATGGCAGACGAGGCTAAGACGAAGCGCAGTCAAAGAGACGGTGGTCTTTGCGACGAATTCATCTCGACAGCATTCATCAAATATTCGCGCCATGACCTCTGGGGGAAGGCGTCGTACCGAGGGCAGCAGGCCTTCTTGATATGCGATGTATTTCTCTAGTATTGCCTCCTCCTTCTCCACCTGTAAAAGAGCATCCTGGAGCCTTTTTCTTTCGGATTTGTATAACGGAAGATGTTTTCGGGCATGCAAAACATGTTCTTTGATTTGATTCCTCTCAGATGCGAGAGGAACGTATCGAATGCGAAGTTTGTGCAACACCGTATCCACGGTGAATCCGTGCGAGGGAAAGGGGCGACTGCAATCCGGGCAAGGATTTGTAGTGGCAGTCGGAATGGAGGCGTCCATTGACTCCTAGGACAAGTCGAAAGCGGTAAGAGAAATGATAGGTGCTAAGTTGTAATTTCAAATTGGAACTTACTGCTTTGGAGGAAATATTCCACTTCAAGGAAGGACTCGAGAGTCGGAGAATCAGAAATAGTATTTACTATCAGGATTTAAATGAAAGCTGCCAAATAGATGTACACAACGCGATCGATAATATCATCTGCCGACGCCGCCGAAGGACGCGCACTGGCTGGTAACGCGTAAATTTCCCTGATTTTGGCGTCTTGTGATTGAAAATGATGGTCCCCTATCTTTGGCACCAAAAAGACACGTTATATAGATTATAGAGGCTCGTTGGTATGTAGCTGCAGGCTTACACTGACTATAAACTCACCCCAATGTACTCATGTAATTAGCGTCTGTCTACGAGAGCATAGATAAAAGACGACTTGGTTAACCGTCAGGCTCATCGGGCGAAGAGTGAATGTTAGGTGTTAATGTAACAAGTGCAAAAAGCTGGGTAATTCAGCCTTACATGGCGGTGTTCTTTTCTTTGGAGTGCCACACAGGCAATTCGCGGAAAGAGAACTTTTTGGAATAAGGATATCAAGAAGACTATTGAGTCATTCCGTGACTACAGATTTCCTGGGACCGAAAACATTGGCCGAGCAGACTTATTGCTTATTGAGTGCGCTCCTCAACGGTCCGACAGAAAGCTATGCCAATACGTGCCAATGAGGTAGCCACTTGGTAACATATCTTTGAACCACTTATGTGATCATATTTAGACCAGTAGGTCGCGAGAAGTGCACCAGGATGACGAGCGTGCTAGCAATTCAATGGCACGTCTTCAGTGACTTCCAAGTGCTCAGAGAAGCATTTCGAAGCCGTCGGACAATATTTTCAGCAACAAATTCAGTATTGCAGACAAGAGGTATTATTACAATGTTATCGATTTGAGCGCATAACAAAAAGAAGGTAAATGCCGGCTAATCCAGTTAGCCAGCAGCGAGGCCATCACTTCAGACGCGACTTCGACTTGGAGCTGGATATTTCAAGTCCTGCGCGATGGTAGGATTGTTATCGTACGATCGATTGATCAAGGAGAGGTGCTTACCGACAAGACAATGGTCTCACCAGTCCTTCTACCGCTAGATTCTCCGCTTTGACTCATCGAATCGGTTCGATCCCAACCAGGTCTGAACCGAGACGGAGGAGTAGTGAAGACATCAGTCTTTCCTCTACCATTGGTTGCTCGGGTGTTCAATGTGGCCACAAGGGAGCCAACATACCTATGATGCTTGTGAGAATGAGACAGTAGTAACTGTTGCGAGACCTACACTTGGCTTAGCATGAGGAAGCTATTCACGCGTTAGCGTGTATTAGGTGTATCCAAAGACGTGCAACTCACAAGGTTAGATGAAAAGTGTGATGCTTCGCGGCGACGTAGAGAATGAATTCGGTGATGGCCATGAACGTAGTGATAATACCCGTTTCCACAGCATATTTTATCGATCTCTTTAGCGCCATAGAGGTAGAAGAACCAGAAGAAAAAGCGCGGCTCTTTTGATTGTGGAGCTATGTATAACTTGAATGGCTGAACGCGGGACGTGGGATGGAGAGACTCACCACCAACACCATGGTAGCTGTGATCAGGATATCGCAGAGAGCGCAGCCTATTAACCAGGTCTAAGAAGAATCAAATCAATCAGCGGGAGGGACGTATACGTAAGTAGCTCGACGTACGATCCGGAACGGGCTCAATACGACCATTTCATTCACACTGCCTCTATGCAACGCCAACTGGAGCACACATCAGAGACTGATCTATACTACGGGTTTGCCAACGTACCGTTATGCCGTAGTAGATAGCGAAGAGGCATTGCGCGAGAGAAACCTAATATTTTTTACAATTAAGCAAGGCGACGGAAGCAGATTCAGCAGAAATTTGCTTACAGTCGCGATGCCAATGATAATGAAAAGCTTTCGCATACCCATTGTCCAGATTCTCCACAAGTAGAAGTTTTGAGTGAGACAAGAGACTGGAAATGGGTTAGCATTGAGGACAAAAACCGAAAAGAAGGCACTCGCTGATGCCGCTTAGAACGGGTAAAGCTCCAAAACTCGAACCAAGAAAAAAGAATGTATTGGAGTCACCCCATCCCAAACCGAAGGTTCTCCACGCCGTGACAGTCGAGATAAAAACAAAAGTCGTTTCGAGAGTGAATAGTGACCAGACTGAAAGGACCAGAATGGTTGGCGAATGGGCAGGGGCGCGGTGAAAAAGGACGCACCAAAAATTTTGAGAGACAGCTTGTCACCAGAGAAAAGAGTGAAATACAGGTCTATTTCGGCGGTCAATGCAATGCCTGAGATAATTACAGGCTCTCATCACTTACACATCTGTACAATGAGGGCGCCATAGAGGCCATAGCCCCACATATAACCTAGGACCAATGGGCCCGTGCTGCAGCGACGACCGTCAGTGAATAGGAAGCACAGAAGGAATCACCAACTCACAAAAGCGGAACGTTGACACCAGCAATTTCAACGGGAGCCATGGTGGAAACGAGAGAAACAAGAGATAAAATTCTTGGAGAATTTTTGTGGCCCAATTTAAAGCCCCATAGGTGGTCTAAAATGAGCGATCAAAGACGAGACAATGAAGCCATGGCTTAAGGGTCAGGCTACGCCAAAGATACACAAAATACCTAAAAGGTATCAGGAAATTAACCATTTATGAATGGTGGAGGCAGCTGTCTTGGTTATTTCTGTACCAGTTCGACAGAACAAAGATACGCCTCCGAATGTGGCAGAACACCGCTGAAGTTTAGGCTTTTGTTCAACGAAAAGTCGGCGATTACGGACCCAAGAGGACTGTGGCGTAAATAACCGAGTCAAATTCAGTGCGTTGTCCAAGCATAGCATTTTAAAGTCGCATCCGACGTGGGGAGACACTTTTTCACCATGTAAAAGAGCGTATCCTGTGTTTCGACTAGGAACAGCAACAGACCTTCGCCACTGAGCGCTGAGCGCCAGTTCCGAAAGAGGGCCCTATTTCGAATGTTGAAGCACGGTCCTAGCACAGCTGTGGGCGTTCCCTACAAACTGATATCCCAATCTCAGAGCCTAATCGCGTCAAGAAACGAAATATTTTTGCCAGGTATTACATAATACGCCTAGAAAAAAAATTTCACTAAGCTGACAAGATGCTTCTAGTATCCACGCACCGATGCTTGGGGTCTGGCCGAACCTGTACTAGCGTGTTTATAGCCTTTTGCTTGCGGAACTCGCTCTAAATCGATCTAGGATCGTTTTTGCGTCCCAATCTTGATCAATACCGGCGTATCTTGATGCGCATACCTCCCAGAAGGGAGTCTGCTTCGTTTTCCCTTGACAGAAACAAGACAAAATATGCTGTGAGCCACACAGGGAATCTGAACGTGCAGTAGACATTGTCTGGAAGGCAACCTGGGGAGGCAATTCAAGACATAGGAAAGTAGGATCACCCCCAGCCCACAGAATACTTCATGTAGTTGAGAACAAATCAACGGAGTTGCTAGGAATGTCAATTGCTTCCACGAGCAACATTGTGGTTATTACATCTAGTTTATTTCTGCTGCCAATACGTTTCCTACAACAATCTGCTCTACGATTAGAGAAGTCGAGATATAGCGAAGAGAGAGAATAGCTCACTTGAATAGATCAGACAGCACGCCCATAGCCGTGACGGCAGCACCTGCACCTGCACCCTGCACGATCAACGGCCGAGGGCTATACCTCTCCGTGTGGAACATAATAATATTATCCGACCCTCCCAAACTCGTCGCAAACGGATGCGTCGTCGGATACTTCTCCAGACCCGCTTTGACCTCACCCTTGGCCGGGTCCACGACACCGACGAACCGCAGAACCTTGCCCTCCTTTGCAGCCTCCTTCCTCATGGCGTCAAACTGGGCATCAAACTCTGGAAGACGCGCGATGAACTCGTCGCCTGTGGGGATGCCCTCGAGGGCCGGAGGGATGAGCGATGCTGTCTGCACTGACGCAAAGGAGTAGATGGAGGTGGAGGGCACGATGGTACGCGATAGGATCGTCAGCTTGCGTGCAACGTCAAAGCCGTTGAGGTCGTCTGCAGGGTGGGGCTCCTGTCGTCGCGTATGTTTTAAATAAAATCCGGTTCCTTGTAAACGAATCGATGCTCACCGTGTACCCCTTCTCCCTCGCCTCACTCACCACCGACGAAAAGGTAGGCCCGTCGGGGCTCCCGGTAGAGTACTGGTTGAAGATGTAGCTCATCGTGCCCGAAAACACACCTTCAATCTTGAGGATCTTGTCTCCAGTCAGGACGAGATCTTTGAGCGTCGAGATGATGGGCAGACCTGCGCCGACCGTCGACTCGTTCAGGAATCGCGCGCCGGTAGACTTGCTCGCGTTCAAGATGGACTCATACAGGGAGTATGAGCCTGAAAAGGCCTTCTTGTTGGGGGTGATGACATGGAGCCCGGAAGAGAGCCAGAGCGGGTAGAGCGCTGCGATGTCGTCCGATGAGGTGTTGTCGACAACGACGACCTTGTCTATGGGCGTCACTAGGGCCTTGAGGCGCTCTGTGAGGGATTTGACATCCGCTTTTTCGGTAGAATTGGAGAGCTGAGTCTTCCAGGACGACGTTATGGGCGTGTCTGGCGAGAACAGCGTCCGGGTCGAGGAAGTCAAGGCGACCAGTTGGAACGGCGATCCTGGCACGGACAAAAGTTGCTTGATGAACTCAGAACCGACCAAACCAACACCAATGACTGCGACCCGGATTTTCGACATGACGGTTATTCAAGAAAAATAATTTCAAGTTCATCCGGAATAGTATTCCGCGATATCGATCAAATGTATGATTAAATTTTACATTTGGCTACATTTTACACACTATACTACGAACTAGTGTTGCCACGGCTCAGCTTATCTCGGCTTAACACCGAAGTCAGTTTTGAGCCGTTTGCTCTGACTGCACCCATGTTCAAAATGACAAACAATTTGATGTCTGCATTCACTCACAAGACTTATTGGCATTACCAGTAACTGTGTTCTTGTTCCTCCTACTCTTCTATCCTCGGCAGGCGACGGCGGCTCAAAACCGACTTCGGCGTTAAGCCGAGATAAGCTGAGCCGCGGCAACACTACTACGAACACACTCACTTGAAGGGGGAAAAAATTAGTCGATAGTCGACGTCAACAAGGATCTGACTTACCCTGAATGATCTATAGCAATGAAAGGATATGTGGAGCCCTCCGAAGAGAGCCGGGGAATCAAAAAATTGCTGCTCAAAGCAGACGAAGAGTAGTCTGAATCGAGTTACGCCCACGTCTATCGACCGTCATCCCAGCAGCAAAGCCAGGTCAACGAAGCCGATGGAAAGGGCGCGCCACAAAGTGCGCTCAAGGACAGATATCACGCAAACATCCCTACGAATCCAAATGGAATCAATGGCCTCGTACGCTAAATCAGATCGCCTGGCCCCAGGTCAACGGGGAGTATAGAGGCCGTTACCTTGCTCCGATACCAAAAGCCCTTCGGCGGATGGGAACCATCCACTGATCGGTCCGCAGCAAGCTGCATTCCAAGTAGGACTTTGGCGGAAGGACTACAGTATCCCAGCGATTAGAGATACTGACGCTCGAGGGCAAGACAAGTCTTGAGAGACCCATCGCCACAGGGAACGTCCAGCAGAGAAAAAGCACCATGCAACATGGTGTCTCCGTGTACCTCGACGATCCATAGAGACAAGGCAACCTCCATAGATACATAGACTTGGTGGGCCTTCATAGCTTAGCTGCTGCACCTACGATGAGGCGGTAGAGTAGATACTCCTGTGCTTAGGCGGTTCTCGCCGTTCCTCCGAAGGGCCTGCTTTCTTGCAGTAATCGACGTCCGAGATATTCTACTCGTTTCACCCTTGTTCGCGGAGATCCTATACTAGGATTATATGCACGTCCTGAGCCCGATCACTCCTAGAGAGAATAAGGATCAGGAGTACCGCTGCGAAAAAGCAAAAGGACGTACTGGATTATATAATTTCATCGACACAACTGCCGGAGGAAGATATAATCGATCAGGTAAGAGGCCAAGATGAAAGAGTATACCGACGCACCACCGATTGGAATTCGCTCCAACCATCTGACAGCCATGATGAATTCACAGTTCAACAGGCTCCAGACGATACTGATATCTGCGAATACTTCCGTGAGTTCCTGTCCGGAACGAGACGGAGTGCGTCGAAGGAGACGCGTCGCGCGCCGATAGCCAAAGGGATGCTGCGTGATGCTGCCCAGTCTCTGCGACGACTTTCAAACCCGAGTCGCCTCACCCTCATATCTTCAGGTATCGAGGCGCTCTGGTGGATGTCTGGTACGTCGCTCGACCGGTTACAGTCGGACCCAGCTAGAGCCGAGCTAGAGAGACATTACGCTCAGACCTTACCCGCTCGAGAGTAGGGACGAGGACGTCCTGTACGGAGCGAGCATTGTGGCTTTCCGCCTGCAAGGAAGATGAAAGAAATAAAGGGCGAGGCTGGGCTTCCAAATAGACATTCTGTGTTTGTTTATGCTTGGCAGGAGCCGGACAAGTTGAGCGTTCAACGTTGCCTGTTCCTGGCGGCATTTATGCATGAGGCCTGCATGAATATTGATTATTATAATGTCTTGATAGCAACGAACGCTGGCCACCAAATATGGATGTCTTCTTGTAAAATTATCTGATGTAGAGCGCTGGTTCAACCTGAAAAGTACAACGATACCATCCACGAATATCAACTGTGTAACGACAGGTCCACATTATCTGCACTGCCAGATGGTAAACTGTCCTCGTCTATATCGGAGTCATTGTCGAATCTGACAGGCTTTCCCCTCCAACGCTCAACCTTTGTTCTGAGCATCCGCTCTACGTCGTCAACATCACAGCATGTACCAAGAGCCGCGCGAAATTTCTGGTACCATGGTTTTCGGCCACTGTTACAAATTTGAGACGACATGACATAAAAGTTCAAGAGCGAAGTTTACCATTGGAAGTCTACGAAATGTCTGATATGGGTTTGGATGGTAGGAAAGGTCGCTGTGTCGGGGTAATCACGACATAGTTGCAAGTACTCCAGGGAGATGTCCACTGGATCTGGTATAGTGCCAGAGAAGATACTGTAACGATCCGGAGTAAGAGGAGTACTTTAGGCTACCAGGATGCGCCAACTGACCATGGGTTTCCAAGTAGCGTCTCGCCAACCATTACACCGTCCGCCCCAGTAAAATCGAGGTTACTTTGGATATCTCTGAACACGCGAACGTTGCCATTGCTGATTACTGGTACCCGAAGAGTCTCCTTAAGAGCTTTCACCTGTGAGAGATCCGCTGGTCCATTTCTTCTACGACGCGCTGACACTGTCCGGGCATGTAGTGTGATCCAGGATGCTCCATCTGCTTCAAGCCTCTGAGCCAACGCTAAAGTCTTTTCGACCGGTTGGCATAGCCTGAGCTTCACTGAAACCGGGACAGCCAGAGAATGGGAAAGAGAACTGACTGAAGAACAACCAATGAGCATCGCAAAAGACTAATGGGAGGATTAACATACCTATTTGTTCAACGACAGGCCAATCCCTTTGACCGAGAAGATAAGCACCAAAGTGACCTTCCCGTGCAGCTTCCTGGGGGCAACCGAGGTTTAAATCTAGTCACTTGGAGGTCTGGACATGTAGTTGGTGAACAGAACCTACCAACTCCGTCGCAATGGTCTTGAATCTTGCGAGCTCCATCTACCGCAACGTCCGGGTCGTTTCCGCACAACTGTACCACGACTTGATGATCCTTGGGCCGCTGGGAAAGATCGCGGAGATGGAATTCGAGGTAATCCTTGTCATTGACCAACTTTTCAGGCTGGAGCATTTGAGTATACGTGAGTGTAGCCCCGTATTTGTGAGAGAGCGTTCGGAAAGGTAGGTCTGATTGATTGACCATCGGGGCTGTGATATACGAAAGGTCCAACACCATGGCCACTTTGTTAATGATGAGATCCAAAATGAGTTTAATAGAAAATACGGTTCATGATGGTCGACCTCACCTACGCATTGGTCGTTCGCAAGAAGATTTGGCTCGTGGGAAAGTTGAGGCTTCATCCTTTCGGTCCGTCGGCCCGTGGTCCACCGGCTTCAGTTACGACCATGATCATGTCGTACACACCTTCATTCTTCTTTTGTTTCTCACATGTCGCCCTCCAAGATAATCAAGATAGAGGTGGTTTTTAGTGCTATTAATTATGGAGCCTTGCCCACTTTATCTCCAGTACTTCAGGGTACCACCACGATGGCTCTTCGTTCGTGTAGAAACAGCAGACGGTACCGTCGGATGGGGTGAGAGTACTCTGGAAGGCCATACGGAGGCAGTCGAAGGTGCCATGAAAGATCTCCAAGAGAGATTTACTGGTGCAGATGCCGACAATATCCAGGATATCTGGCAGACTGCATACATGATGCGATTTTACCGTGGAGGTCCTGTCTTAATGGCAAGTGCCAGTTTTTACAATGATGCGCCGATCGAATGGGTGCTGAACATAATTAATAGAGTGCGTTATCAGGCCTGGACATCGCACTTTGGGATATCAAAGGCAAGAGACTTGGAGTCCCGGTATGGCAGTTGCTGGGTGGTAAGGTTCGAGATCGCGTCAAAGTCTACGGATGGATTGGTGGTGATCATCCGAGCGACGTCTTGAACGCTGCCCTTGAACGGAAACAACAAGGATTTACAGCTGTCAAGATGAATGGGACAGGTTTGTCTTTCGTTGTTATGCTAAGTTGTATTAAATCAACTCCATGCATGCAGATGCGGTATCATGGATCGATTCCCCGGATGTTCTCAAGGGAACCGTGGAGCGCGTTCGTCAAGTTAGGTTCGTCGATGCCAATAAATATGCCTAGCAACTCTTGTTTATTCACGTTGTTTAGAGAAGAAGCCAAGATGGATGTTGGTGTGGATTTTCACGGTCGAGTACATAAGGGAATGGCCAAGCAACTGGCTAAACTATTAGAACCGTATCAGCCCCTTTTTATCGAAGGTATCATGCGAATCTTTTTGTGTATGCGTTTTATTCACTCGCCCATTCAGAACCTTTATTGCCCACACATCCGGACGAGATTGCGGATATCTCTAAACTTGTTTCGACACCCATCGCCCTGGGTGAACGTCTTTACACGCGCTACGAATTCAGACCTTACTTCGAGAAGCGTGCCATTGATATTGCTCAGCCTGATGTTAGCGTTATTTTGTCTGGGATTATATAGCTAACTCACAGCTGCACAAGGTTTCTCACTGTGGGGGAATTACAGAACTGAGAAATATCGCATCACTCGCAGAGACATATGATGTTGCATTGGCACCGCACTGTCCACTAGGTCCCATCGCATTGGCTGCTTGTCTGCAAGTCGCCCTGTCTGCACCAAATTGTGAGTTCGTTACACTACATATTGTGGTTACTGACGTCACCTCCAGTTGTTATCCAGGAAATGAGTTGGAAGGTTCGTCCAGAAAGGGATAAGATCGCAATGGTACTGAATAGAGTGGATTTTTTAGATGCACTACAACACCGATGATCCCGAGGCCGCGGATTTGCACACGTATATGACAAACCCACAAATCTTTAACATCAAAGAAGGCCACATTGACGCACTCCAAGGTATGTCACCATCTTCCACCTATTGGACATGTGTTCAACTTTTCAGGGCCGGGTATTGGTATAGAAATTGCTGAAAAGCTTGTCCGGACCGCTTCAGAAAAATATACGTCCGACCGCTCAGCTTGGCGTAATCCAGTCTGGAGAGGTTCGGACGGAGGTTTGAGAGAATGGTAGATGTACTGTGTTACTGTTTGGGGATGTATAATTTCCTAGTACCTCACAAGTGCGTCCAGGCCGAATTGAATTCCCAGGTACAGTTATCACGATACAGATCGATCGCTTCGTGCCGAGCCTGAGGACCCTTCACGTTTTGTTCTCCTTCCGTCACCAAGCCACGTCCGCCACAATATATCTTCTTGTTCCATCATCGTCAGGAGCTTTGAACTCCGAGTCCGCTTTACAAGCATCAACCCTCAGCGCCCAACTCCAGAGCGATTTTTTAAATGATCCGAGTGCTTGCACCACAGGCTTTGTGAGTACGTCGCTTGGATTCAACGCCCGTTGTAATCTGATTAGGATCCGTGAGAATGTTGTTTTTCTAGGTGCTTGTGGATTCCTCTAGTCACAAGAGCCCGTCTTCGATCTTTGGTTCTTTCACATAAATAGCGCCAAAAAATTCTACTTGTTCACATTCATCGACTAGTCATCACGGCGTGAGTGATAGAACATCCGCGCTGCGATGAATATGTGAGTTTGACCGATATGCTTTTTATCTTTCCAAATCACTTATTCTCTTAAGCTTTCCTAGGCCTGTCTATCCGGATCCCGTGTACGTCCATATACTTGGGGACTAGTCTGTGGAAAACGAACTCAGAACCTTTTTCATCTCAGTATAACAAGCTACCGTCTTGTGGCTATGCTCTTTCCTCACTGGACCATCGTGGAAAGCGAATTCAGTGAATCGCAATGGAAGGCACTGTCCGACATTTCCTTGTCTCTAGCGGACCGAGGGCTGGTTTACTCTGATGACCCGTACAATACATGGAGACTGGCCGAGCAAGTTGCACATCTTGTTGGGACTCCAGCACATTGGTCCATGTTCCCAGCGAACGAGAGACTTGATCGGTTTTTGACGGTATGCTCCAAAGGGCTAGGCACTCTATACAGGCGAGAGAAAAAGGTCGAACGTGTGTGCTGCTGTTCGATAAGTCTGCCTTCTTTTCACTCAACCCTCTTCTAGAGCCTGTCGGACCGAAGAAAACCAGCCGCTCAGCTTCGCTCGCAAGCTTGCCTCACGAAAGCCAGAATCCCACTCCTTCCTCTTCTATTGTATTGCCTAGTGCTTCTCTTCCCATCACGCAAACACAAACACCGCCGGCTCTACGAATTATCACTGATATCCCTTCCATGAGTCGGTAAGTTACTCTCAACTTTCAAGCTTCGACATTACAAGTATTCAATTCAAATTAGAAGATCTTACAGCCCTTACCGAAACTCACTGGCTGATGCCTTGAATCCATATCGGGTGATGTCAAGGGATAACACCACAGGGTACACGATCATCTATCTACATTCTATGAGAAATGAAGCTGAAATTTGACATTGCAATAGAACACCTTACGAATCACCGCCTCCTATCTACACCAATCACAACTTTGGTGCTTCAAACCTTGGAGCCTATGATTCCTCACCTACGCCTTCTCCTTCTTCAAGCTTACCACGGGACTCTTCCAATCCTGACTCTTCTCGTTCACGCGCCGCATTCGGTGGTTCCAATGCTTGGGCTGGAAGTAATAGCAATGGACTTTATAATGCTGCAGAAACGAAATTTGGCTCCACCATGTTAAAGCCCTCTTCCACGGAGTCGGAGCCCCAGACGCCACCGGGTCTTCGAAGAAGTCAGCGAAATCACACAAAGAAATCGTACAAAAAATGAAGGATGTTGGGTATTTCATCTTGAATGTACATAAGCATGAGTTTACGATTAAATGCCCCCCGAAATATGTAGAAAATAGTCTTTTAGTCTGTGGGAAATTTGAAGGAGATAGGGGCTCACCGCCAAAGTAATCGTGACGGTCACACGACGTTACACTCTTTTCAACTTGACCGCGTACGTCGCTGATAGGTCGTGATGGCGGATGCTGGTGAGGATCACTGCGTGATTTTCCTGCACTCTGATAACGATGCGTTTACTTTCCTTTTGTATCAGGATTCTTCAAGGGCACGTCTGCTGACCAGGACAGACGTTTCTCTGACAAAGAGATAAAACTGCTCAAATCCATGAAATTCCCACCAGAGTTTGACAAGAAGGTATGGATGACATGGCAGTCATTGGCATCGTCCTCAATGCTCATCAGGTCGATATGCGCAAAGTCAACTTGACCGTTATCAGACCTTGGATTGCTAAAAAGGTTACTGAACTTGTAGGTTTTGAAGACGAAGTGGTAGTCGAGTATGCTATGGGTCTCCTTGAAGATCAACAAGAGCCGGTGTGTTTATTTACCTATCTTATTGCGAGTCTCGGACTTAAACTATTCCAGACACCTGATCCTAAGAAGATGCAGATAAACCTGACCGGATTTTTGACCAAAGATACTCCGGCTTTCATGACTGCGCTATGGAACCTTTTGCTCGAAGCCCAGTCAGATGTTACTGGTGTACCCCGAACATTCGTCGAAGAGAAGAAAGCAGAGATGAGGAAGGCTCGAGAGAACGACACCCGAGTCATCGACGAACGAGACCGCCGAGCTAGGTTAGATGACATCCGAGATGGTGACCGCGGCGGTCGTGGTCGTGGAAGGGGCAGAGGTCGTGGAAGAGGACGTGGTGGATACGACGATAGTGGTCGGTCGCGTGATCAAGGCTGGGGTGGCCGTGGTGGTGGGCCAGGTGGAGTGAGTATCATTTCTGCCGGTTGTTTTATATGACTAACTCCGTTCTATCTAGCCTCCCCGGCGTCGTTTCTCGCGGTCACCACCTCCTAGGCGCAAGTCACGTTCACCGTCTTCAGTCGGAAGTTCGCCTCGTGCACCTCGTCGATATCGCTCTCCCCCGCGTCGGCGTTCACCTTCGTATGACAATTCCCCACCAAGACGGCGGTCATCACCTAGGCGCCGTTCCCCTTCGCGCTTAACCTCTCGTTCTCGTTCCCGTTCTCCAGTTCCTTCTAGACGTCGACCTCGTTCACCCTCTCCTCCCCCTCCCCCTCCGAGCCGCCGTTACAAAGGCAGAACAAGTCGTAGTCCTCCTGCTCGTCGACGTCGTTTGTCTCATTCGCCATCTCCTGTTTCAAGCCGCTCGCCTTCTCCGCGAGGATACAGACGACGTAGCCCTCGTAGGAGCATCACTCCTCCCCGAAGGCGCAAGCGTAGTCCATCGAGGTCCAGAACACCTCCTACACCCCCACGTCGCCGGAGTCCTAGCAGGGAGCGTGGAAGAGCTCGTCAATACAGCACCAGCTCTAGTGACAGCGGGTCTCCGAAGCGCAGTCCGATGGAAGTGGATAGCGACAAGACTGAATTGAAGATCAAAGGACAAGCAGAATTAGAGCGCAAGAAGAGTAAGTGGGACAACGACGATGTGCGTGCAGTTGCTTGACCGCTGACATGGAAACGTCCACTTACTTTGATGGTGCTTCAGGAAAGCATGTCGAAAGCTGATTTGGAAAAACGAGAAAATGAACTGAAAGAAAAGGCGTTGCGGAACAAGGTCGTGAGAACACGAAAAGGAAGCGGTAGCTAAGGGGCTCAGGGCAAGTGATCGTCAACTTATTAATGTTTGACCGCTCCCAGCCGTCCTTCCGCTCCAGATCCTCGCTTCTAATGTACAGTGCTCAGAAAGACGACTGAACTTTGACATGTATCTAATCCACTCCGTCCTTATTTTGCACCATTTCACTTTGCTAATATATTTGCCTTTATGACAGCCCTATTGTTCGTTGGCAATTGACCTTCTGGAGCATAAGTCGTTAACATTCTGATATTACTGACTTTTCCGCTGGTCAATTTCCGGATTATCACCGGCCATCGTATCCGAGGTTTCTTCAAAAAATAGTCTTGAGACGCTCGATTCTCTAATAAATTATCCGAGTCTTGAACCACGCTGCTACCATGGCACTTGAGCCATTTTTCCGTCAAGTTACCGGTGTGGTGGTCATTTGTGTACCTAAATACGTTAGGGTGGCCGCCGTCTGTGTATAAATCCCTCGCCTTGCAACCACTGAACAGCCAGGAACTTGACTCCACTTACTTTCTCAGTCATGCTATTCACTTTGGCTACTGCCGCCTCTCTCTTCGCTTCTGCCGCTGCTCACGCAACTTGGCAGGAGTTCTGGATTGGGGACGTCGATGCTGGTTCATCGTGCGTACGGCTGCCCGTCAGTAACTCCCCAGTGACCGATGTTACGAGCGATGTGTGTCAATTATCATCACCCCCGATTCAAGGAAGATGCATTAACACTTTTCGACAATAGGATATCGCTTGCAATGTCGGCGCTACCGCCAGTGCCGGCGTTTGCTCTGTTACCGGTATGTCGTTGTCTGAGATGCTGTTTTGGCTCATTCGAACCTCGTCTATGTAGCCGGTGACGCAGTGACGGTGGAAATGCACCAACAACCCAATGATCGGTCTTGCGCCAATGAAGCTATTGGTGGAAACCACTACGGACCTGTGATTGTACGTCGACTTCCGTATTTGACTCCCATTGTCCTTTCACACTTTCTCCCTAGGTTTACATGGCTGCTGTTGACGACGCGACCACTGCTGTTGGCTCCGAGGCAGCTTGGTTCAAAGTATCTGAGTCGGGATTGGTTTCGAACAATCCGGACTACTTTGGTAATCGTGAGTACCATCTTGTCGTCTCTCATACACTAGCTGAAGGAACAATAAAGAGGTTTTGAACGTGAGTATTTAATCTGCATTCTTCCTTCGGTTTTGCGGACCCTTACATAGGACAACTGTGGACATTACACCTTCAACATCCCGACTGACATCGCCCCTGGTAACTACCTGCTTCGCGCTGAAACTATTGGTAAGCGCAGTCGTGCTTGTCTTATGCAAGTACTGAAGTATACTCGCTTGTAGCGTTGCATGTTGCTTCGGGAGAAAACGGGGCTCAGTATGTTTCTTTGTTCTATTTCTGCTGCAGCGTACATCCAACATGGTCACAACAGATTCTATATGTCTTGCTATCAAATCAATGTGAGCGTAGCAGAACTGCGCTGTTTGCATCCAGATACTGACTGCTGCTTTCGCTTCCAGGTCAGTGGCTCAGGAACAGCTACTCCCGACACCGTTAGTTTGCCTGGCGCATACAGTGCTGAAGACCCAGGTTCGCGTCTCGAAAAGACGTATTGCGGAAACTTTTACTCATGATTTATTCATAGGTATTCTTATCAACATCTACACACAGCTCAATACCTATACCGGTACGTCCTACCCTTGAATTGAAGTCACCTTCTCACAAGTCGGAACACTAGTTCCGGGCCCCACTTTATACGGAACCACTGAGGCACCTGTTGCGACGACTTCGTATCCTACCACTGCGACTTGGAACACTGCTTCGCAGCCCTCAACCGTTCCTACCACAGTTCCTACATCATCGTAAGATGTCTGCAGGTGCAGCGTTAGGTAGCTGTAGTCTAATGGAAATACTACGCGTACTCGGCAGCCTTGAAAGTCCGCAATCTGATAAGGACCCTGCACGATCTATTTATTCAAATGCACAGCGCAGCTGCGGAATGCGTACGCATGTCATAAACGTTGATAAAAGCGCGGTTGGTAACTTCGCTGTCCATTCGACCTGCCATTTCCCCCCATGCGCTGGCTGGCTGTGGTCCTCCCCGTTGCGGGATTAGCATACGCTGCTCAGATTCCACTGCACCTCAAACCTGCTTTGCATGGAGAGACAGAACTTCCCTTGTCAGTCGATACATCCTCGACCAATTGGGATTTCAACGTGAAGCCCAATGTCAACTCGACCAGCCATCTCATTTTCGACACTGTGAGCGCGCTCTTACAGCATTGGCCGAATACCCGTTATCGCAACGGTAAGCGTATCTTATCAAGCCTAAACACGTCACTCATATTACGAAGGGCACAATCTGATACCCGGAATTGTACCCGTTGGAACGCTCCTCTATCATGGACGTAGTGATTCGAATCTCCCCACCGTACCTCAATGGACCGCCACGGATCCCGAGCACGCACACCCGTTTTGTCGTGGCACTCTGGAGACGGGATGCTGGCAGCTCACTCTGATCGCTACCCGGCCTCTCAATGTGCTGTATTTCGATGGCAGTAGCGCTGCAAAGATGAAGGGAGGACCCATGGATACCCAGGATATCGTCGCATGGCGCAAACTTGTCCCGGAGTGGATGTTCAACGAGAGTAGAAGACTAGCTGACCTCTGCCTATGGGGACAGAAGTTTGGTTTGGATGGCTTCGTGAGGTACAGTGCCTACCCTTGTCCTTCTTATCCGTTACTAAAGGAAGCGCCAGAATGGAGATGGACTTGTGAGCCCGTTCCTCCTTATCGTTTGTTTTCTCTGCTGACACTTGAAGAAGCGAAATCATGTTATGCGATTTTACGGCGGGCGTAGACGTCGTTTCGTTTCTAAACTTGGTGTCAAATGGGAGAGGTCCAGGTCGTGGAGGCCCCGGAGGCCCAGGCGGTCCACCCGGTAAAGATCCCAAAGGTCCTCCCCCACCCGATTCGCTATCTACAGATCCATCTGCAAGCGCTGGTGCTTTCAGTGAAGTCGTGCATTCTGGATCATGGCACAATAGGTATCCGGGGGAAACGCGCATTCAACTCGATCTTGCACGGATGGTCTCATTTTACGATACGTCTTTGGTTCCGAGTCTAGTGCCCTACAGATTCAACCAGGAACGTTGGTTCCACCACCTTGAAGGGATCAGCGATGACGATATTTCCGCAGTCATGGACCGTCTTGAACAAGCCGTGCAGACTGCGCATGGAAGCGGATCCGGCATTGATTGGACCACTTTGGTCCATGTTATTGTAGACCGTTTTGCAGATCGACTAGAGATGGTGCAATATCTGTTGAACTCAACCGAAAGCCCTGATTCAGATGACCTGCGCGCAGCGAAACGGGTTCAGACCCAATTGAAAGCCATGGTCCAGCCCTACCAACTTCAGTCGGTTGTTCCACCCTCCGTTTCTTCGGACGACTATTCCTGGGCCTTCCCGATCTTCAAGTTATGTGCGACAACACACACATCTCATATCCCCAAGAACAGGCTGACGCGATCAGAACTCCTGATCTTAGAATCGATAGATGAGACGAATAGAGAGATCTGTCGTGTCGTGACCCAAATGTGGGCTCAAGGCGTTTTGGCCGGATTAGATGATATGCCTACGCCTACGAAACTCGAAGAATCGCCGTCGCCTGATCTTCTTCCCCAATGGAAGACTCAAATCAGCGACTTGATGGCTTGGTTAGATTGGAGTATATGGGTTAAGTGTAGGCCTGCTTGTGGATTCGAGGTACGGAGTCGAGTGACCGGTAATCTATCCCCGCTCATGTCTTCCCGTAGGAACACTGTTACTTACCTATGTGGCCTTTCTTCCGTGGCGGTGGAGGCTTCCCTGGGAGAGGACCGAATCCTCCTGGCGGACCCGGTAAACCAACTCCAGAGGAACCAAATGATTGGGAGAAACCCCAACCCAGATGCATCCGTAAAATCGAGCCCTTTGATATGTGATGAGGTGTGATTCGTTGACGAGCACCTACTTGACCTCTTTGCAAATCTAGTGTACCCATATATCTCATCCATGCTACCCGGTCTTACTTAAGACTTAGAGCGCCGACTATATGTGTAATAAATGCCTCATATATACCTATCTAGTTTAATTCTGCCTTCGCATGAGCAACGACCAACGCATCGTTCCATAGGCTTTTCACCGCGTCCCAGTATCGCTCTGGGTGAGTTCTAGCATGGGCAACGTGAGGGCTGTCCTCAAATACTACCGTTCTAACATCCCATCCTAGACTCTTCGTTTTTTCTGCATGTTGTTGGATCTGATCCCACGGCACCATATCGTCAGCCTTTGAATACACGTATAGGCGCGGCGTACGCTCATCTACCCAAGGAAGCACACGGGGGTTATACAGTCCATCCCGGACCTTCTGAAGAGCTGTTCGCCTCCCGATGAACGGGCCCACGAAGAAGCCGTATACGTAGAGCAAACAAACTAGAACTTTCGCGGCAGTTCGCATGATAGGATTCTTGATGAGTGTCGTGAAGGCATGAATGGCGTTGCTTAGACCGCTACCCCCCGGACTAGAGTCTAGAACGATGGCGCAAGGGGGCCGAAATGACTCGAGGGAGGGAATCGAGCCACGGGATGCCATGACCTTCCCCAGAGTGATCAACGAATAAGCGCCACCTATACAAATCGTGATCAAGACTCAACGAGCGTGAAATACATAAGTTAGGAAGAAACACCAGACCATTGGAGAAAGAGTGAACTAATATGCGTGGCGGCTCAGCTGAGGAGGGATTCATCATCAAAGATGGACTTTGTGGGGGTATCATTCCGAGAGCTTCCAATGCTTCCACAGCAGGAGCTATCGCTTTCCTCTGTGATAGAACTTCAGCGTGATATGATAAATCCACCTAAACAGGCCATACTCTGCTGTTTTCCGTACTCCAAAAGAAGGACGGCCGATTCTGAATCAATATCTGACTCGCCCCGGGATATAATTGCTCGTAAACTTTGGTATACTTGTGGATGTGCCGTAGCTGTGCCCCCACTAAATCGAAGTCAGAACCCCCCCGGTACTTCAAGTATCTTAGTTACGAACTCCATCCGCAGACAAGAATAGTGCTTGGTACTATGTTGAGCAAACGAATACGTACGATAGATGGATGATAAGACGTACTTGGGACTGAGTTTGTCATGAATGTCCGCTTTAATATTAGATTTCCGAGGATAAACGCCTGTACCAAGTTTGATAAATTCCGATTCTTCCTGGCTCGACATGATGGGAAAGAAAACACAAACGCACGCCAACCGGTAATTAAAACGTGCAACAAGTCCGCTACCTGGGTCTGCGAACTATAACTGCCTATTTATTTTTATATTGCGAGTTGAAATTATTTTTTGCCAACCCCTATAGAAGCATATAGCGGAAGGCCGGTCCGACGGAACATGTGGACCCCGACCACCGTACTGCAGTTTCAATCAATCAACTGACCTTCCGGAGGGGAACTTGTCTCTGGCCGTGATGGCGTTGGGCCACACCGAATCTTCAATATCATCGACGACGAGCATAATGTCAGAGACGGCAAGCCCAACGATGTCTTCCATTGCCACCGACACTGGATCTATGTCGAAGGGAGCCAACTATTTTTTTGGCTTTCTGATAGCATTTGTGGCCATTCTGTTCGTTTTCATTGGCTGTGGAATGGCTACGCGAAGACGGTATCAACGGCGGAGGGGTCTCATCTTCAATTTGGATGACCTACAAGGAATGCCAGGCCTGTTTGGGTCGCGACAACAGCTTGTTGGGGAGAAACCAATAATGTGGGAGCCGTGGGTAGTGAAGCACGACGATTACTCGTGGTCTACGATACAGGTAAGTAACTTGTCCAATATTTTGCAATACTTTGTCAGAAAATAATAAACATTTTCAGCCCTTGTCTGCTTCGCGGTCGAACAAGCCTTGTCCCAAAACGATACCCCGCCCAGCTCCGATACGATTACCTTCGCGGAACCCTACTGCCATACATGGTCTTTCTCTACCGACATGGGCTCCTGCTGATAGTGAAGTCGAGAAAGAAGCTCCATCACCAGAAGAATCCGTGCCTTCCACTCTTCAGATATCCCTTCTCATTTCTATGCCTGGTCAACCGCTGGACAATCCCACGTTTACTGAATATCAGATCGGCGTTGCACGCCTACCATGGGAGCAGTGGATGGCATCTTGATGCTGTCGCGCTGTAACATCAGTTGTATAATAGTTGCGTGCGTCTCGTTCCGTCACCTCCCTTCACACGTCTGACTGCTGTCAAACAGATTGTATTCATATTACCCTCATGGATATCCCCTACGGATTGTACTTTAGCTTTGGAAACTTGCAGGGTTTAATTCTTTTGTTTCTCCGGTACCCGCGAAGGTCAAGTTGATGACCGAACCGGCATATCGAACCCTAGCGAAGCGTCCCACGGTACTAGCGATCGTCGCATTCTGTAAAGTACCTCCTGACCAAGATATGTCAACAGTGAATCCACCTCTTGCTCTGAATCCGGTGACGCTGCCTTGTGTCCATGAGGGAGGAATCGCGGGAAGTAGATGAACCTCTCCATTGTGACTCTGCAGGAGCATTTCGGCGACTCCATTTGCACCACCTAAAACATTTTGATCAGGTGTATCCTTTGAAGATGGACACGACAACCGACCAAAGTTACCATCAATTTGAAAAATGCTATTGATAGACCACAGATTTGCGTAGGAAAATGACTTGAGCAGTCGCGCCAAGTAATAGTAGGCCTTTTCTCCGTCCAACAGTCGCGCGTAGCAGTTGATGCGCCAAGCGGTGGGCCACCCATTCCCCGAGTCACCTCGGATAACTAAAGACGTGTTCGCAGCACTGGCGAGTGTTTCATTGAACCTCGGGTCAATCTGTGCACTGGGAAAGAGCGGATACATATGGCTGATGTGAGTAAACACCCTTCTGGAGATGTTAACGAGGTCATCAGACAAAGGGGTGAGAGAACGAACCCGTTTGAGTCGTAGTCAACAGCCCATTCCTGTATCTGCCCCAAGGAGCCAATGCGGAATGGGATCAGGCGGTCGTGAGCGGCCATGAGGGTCCTAGCGAAGTCGGCGTCGAGACCTAGCATTGTTGCGAATTCTGCCGTGTGATTAAACAGATCGCGAAGAAGCCTGAGGTACCGCGGGGGTAAGTGCATTCTGCATTGAATTGCCAAGCAAGCGGTCTTACGAATTATCGATGGTAGATCCTAGACCCGACGATTCAGTACCCCATTTCAATTGTAAGCAGGCATAAAGAATACTTGCCATACGTCAAAGAAACATTTGTGTCGTTATAATTCCCAATTCCATGCTCTGGGCTCATGCTAGGATTAGGGACCACATAACTGGTTCCCTCCAAGTCGGCGACAACAAGGAAGTCCAAGTAAAACTGGCTTAGGCTTTTCATCAGAGGGTACGCTTTCGTCTCAACGAATTGGACATCAAGACCAAACGCGTAGTGTTCGTACATGTGTTGCATAAGCCATGCAGGAGACATCGGCCAGAACCCGTAGAAGGCCGCATCGACGGGCGCGGAATCTCTCCATATGTCGGTGTTATGGTGTACGACCCACCCGTGAGAGATGTTGTATATTTCGCGGGCAGCAATTTCTCCACGTTCTGCCACTTCTGTGATCAGGTTCCAGAGCGGATCAAGGACTTCAGGGATGTTGAGTGGTTCTGCGAGCCAGCTGTTCATCTGAGGATTCTATTTCAGGTAGCCAAACCCAAAAGAATAATATCCAGCATACCTGTTGGTTTATATTCAACGTATATTTACTAGCGACGTTCGCAAATTCCTTTAATACCATTCCGCTTATCATGACGGCGAAAGTGGCGCACCTTCCCCAATTGGGAGACAACTCTGAATTCCAAATTCCTTGAAGGTTTGACGGTTCTGTTTTCCTTGAGGATGCAATTGCGAGATAGCGTCCGTATTGAGTATACAAGGCAAAAAGGTCTTGATCGCCGTCAGGACCATTAGGAAGCAATCTTCTTTGATCGGTGGGCAAATACGTGGTGGAGGATGGCGTTCCTAGCCAAATTGTTAGTACTATCACGAGTTTCCCTCGGTAGAACTAGTAAGTACCCAAAGATATGTTCACTCGGCCAAACAAGGAGGAGTGGTCTGCGACGTGCGCCTCAAGCAGCTCTTCGTACGATTTCTGGCTAGCCGCAGAGAGCGAACTGGCCACTTTCGTCGATGGGTCTCCCGATACATCATTGTACCGTTCGTAGTTTGTATCAATCGCTATCATGACCATAACCTCGTCCGCGGTGGATACTGTGATTTCGGTGCTATTTGAAGGATTAACACCGACAGAAGTAAGAGGCCCTGATGCGCTAAAGACCGCCGTCGCATTGTAGTGAATCGAAGGAGGTAATGTATACATCGTGGTTCCACTAGCGGTCATGGTAAGGCTGTTAGAGCTAACGGCATAAACCTAAAGGCATTGAGGGTCTAAGCAAGTGACTACAGAACAGACATACGGGGTTACTCATAGGCGTCACGAACGAGGCATTGAACGAAATTGCTCTTGATGCATTTGCCGCGAACCTCATTACAATTACGTTGTCCGGGTGAGTTGCAAATGCCGTTCTGGTATATTGGATGCTGTTGTGGACATAAGTGGTCGTAGAGACGGCGGTTCCAAGGTCCAAAGTGTGATTATAATTTGATATTGTCCCAGAATGGTCGGTGAAAATCAATAGATTGCCAGCGGCTATGAATCCTAAGCAACTGTCAGAGTCGCGAAAGTGTTGCCTTACTCTGGTAAACCTGTTGATTGATAGGCGTTGCCATGCAATATGAATCGGCTGTCGCCTGTGCATTATAAAGGTCATCCTTCCTGTGACTCAGTAAGCAGCTGGCTACTTCGGGCTCAGTTCGTTCTACCAGATGTATTCCCTGATATCAGGCAAGACCGCGGAACAACCTGTGGGATTGGGATCGTTTAGGGAACCAGACCAAATCTTGTCCTTTTAAAGTCGTCAGTAACTAACTGTATAAAAGTCAGAGAGCAAACCTCGTTGAGGATGATAGTTTCAGTTGGTATCGATCCCATCACTTGTGCGCCCAGACGTCCATTTCCAAGTGGTATGACTGCAAGGAAGTTGTCCTGTCATAGAAAGGAGAGCAGATCGCAGAATCGCTTACTATTCGACGTATTAAACCACATGGTAGTGGACTGGGGAGAAGTGAATAGCGAGATGTGCTTGAAGGGGACACGAACTTACACCTCGGGCACATCCTGACAAGATCGAAGCCACGAGAATGGAAGAAACAAAGCCCATAATTGTACAGACAGTTAGCTCGCAAGCCAAGCAGTCCTTTATACAGAGAAATCATGACGAGCATTAATTCAGGTGACCGTCGACCTCAGTCTTGGTGAGGCAGCCACAGCATGTGGTACCCTAAAGATCGCGCACGGGCCGGTGGATAAAAAAGAAGCGGGGAACCAAAAAGAGCACCGTGCAGAGCTCAAATTTATTGGGTGCGTCTCTTGACTTAAACGGATCCCTTTCCTACAGGGCTATTGGTGGTTTACCGCTCTTGTTGACAAACCCCTTGCATTTTTCATACCCTGCAATACAAGAATGATTTAATGTATAAAAGAATAAATGTAAGCCACGTACATAAATGAACCCTCCTTCGTAATCGATCCGTAGTCAATCCGTAATGCAATGTAGTGCCAAACTACCATTGGCAGGCGCATCCGCGAGCTTCAAGAATATACTTCAAGCTATTGGGGGATCTCTCAAGCAAAGAATACTGCAGAGAGTCAGAAAAATGCAGTTTAGTCTTCTCGATGAAGTGGTCAACCGGCAAGGTAGAGCGGCAACCGGCACGGTATCCGAAGTTCAACCTCTGAATACACGTGGCCTGTCGTTCGAACTTCTCTGACTTCCACCTCGATGTGTAAAAATATTGCCTGCAGTTGTAGGCTCTTGTATTGCCTTTTTACCTGGTATTGGAGTCTAAGGAGAATTTCATGGTATTATGCGACGTTCTTGTCCATGCCAAGATCGTGCAGTATTTCACAGGTTGCTCAGGAATCCTTGCATGCGTTGTGCTCAGGCATGATGGGTGAATTTGCCCATGCCTGCTTCTCTAATCAATCAAGGCGTTTTCTTACCGAGATAAGGCATTTGATTGATCATAGAAGCGCCTGTGCACATGCTGCCGTGGTCCTCCCATATAGTGCCACTATATTGTGCCTAATGCTCTCAAGGTCGGTGCTTATATAGCCTGAGGATCCTTTCTTGAGGACTACACCCTGTCATGCGGTTCCTTGCTCCTGTTCTCATTCTCGCCACGGTTGTTTCAGCACAAAGAGACCCTTGCGCGTCAATCGGTGGACAAACATGGGTTACTCCTGCCCAAGTTCGCGAATGCTACAAGTCATTTGCTGTGAATGAGACAGAGAAGGCTAACGTATGTCTCCTTTTAACAGTTGATATTACCCAGAGATAATAATGCCAGTGTAGATTATTGAAGTCATCAATAAAACACTCGCGTTTCATACATCTGTCAGCTATGAAGTTCAGGCTCCTCGACCCTACTCGGATACGCATGAGGATGTTCTGGCCAACCTTGCGCGTATCAGTTCGCAGTCATACGCGTCAGACTATGATCTTCATGTTGATCTTTCTCTTACTGTAAAGAGACTTCATGATGGACATTGCGTTTGGATCAACTATTGTTACGACTGTTCGTTGTTTTCTTACCCAGGTTTACCCGAGCTCAACTTCTATTAAGCGGCATTCGTTAACTATCTCCCTATTCCCCTTGTTCTTCTGAATGGAACCGAGGTTCACATCGCCCTCGAGGCCTACAATGTATCATCCATCCAATTCGCCGATGGAATACATGTGTGGGAAAGCGCACTTGCCGGAACTCTCGATGGTGGTCTTCAATCGGTAATACTTCGGGCATCACTCCCCTGAATCATCTCACATTCTGCTTCGCATACAGTTGAATGGTGCCAAGGTTCTCAAGATCAATGATCAGGATCCTTTTGCTGCTGTGAATGCGAATGCCGCCATTGCTGGCGGTTTCCAAGCTGATGGGACGCGTCAAAATGGGTCTGTATCAACCATATTTAGTGCAAAAAATATGTACTGGTGCTTATCAGTCAACCCAGCTTTTTTTCGAGTTACCAACGATCTACGACCGGTTGGAGCTACGTGCTAGGTAACTTTGCTCAACAGTCGTTGCCACTGAGCGACTCTGTCAAACTGTCTGTTCAGCTGGTCAATGGTGAAAAAGCAAACGTTGTTGTACGTGCGCGTGTATGTGTTGCATCTACTCCCTGATCAAGCTGTTCATTACAGTTACTATACCTTTCCCGTATCGGTTCCAGCACTATCAACTTTAGTTCAGCTGATACGTATCGGTCCGGGAACTGTCGTGCTGTTTTTGGGACAAACGGAGTCAACTATTATGAGAGTTCTGTATCATCCACTCTAGCTAACCCACTAGTAAAGGCTCAGCAGTCCCCTGGACAAGTTGTTGAGCGCTCGAGAGCCTTAAACATCATGCTCGACAGTGCTCCGGTCACCGATATAGACCTTCCCACTCAGTTGCAACCTGCGAATCCGGTACAAGGTTTCGGAGTAGGGGAATTTTATTTTTTGGATGACGGCGTAACCGGGGTTCTCGCATTGGGAAGTTTCTCGGGAAACAGCTATAACGTTATGATGCAGGGCCTTTTAGATGGACTCGTAGAGTTGAAATCGAGAGGAGCACAGAGGCTGATCGTCGACGTTGTAGGTTCAGGTGTTCCATTGTTGCTGGTCATCTTGATAATCTTGGTGTCTTATAGACAAATAACGGAGGAGGGTATATATGCGTTGCTCATGTACGAACTCTTCTTTCTTCCGTTGAGCTACGAAACAAAATGACCGGCTGCAGTTCCTACACCGAATCATTATTGGACCTACGACAACAACGGAGCCGCAAGCTGGATTGAACACGACTGCGCGAGACCCAGAAATCGCCCGGCAGATTGTACAAACCATCGTTGATTCTCATGGCACTGTTGATCCGGCTACAATGCTCCTGTATAATCCTCTCGGATGGCACAACATCCGTAATGGACAGTTCAATATCACCGATAACTGGTTAGTACCCCCAGTGGAAAAGGTCATCAACGGGCGATCGGATGCATTCAGTCAGACGTAAGTACACACTGCTTATCCATTCATTACTCGACGCAGAAATTCATCAGTCGAATAGATTGGGGTCCGAATGTTCATCGGCGACCGATTATACGACTCCACCTCCTGATAAAGGGCTGTTTGATGGGTCACAAGTGGTCATTGTGTCTAATGGAAGGCCAGTCGACGTAAATATCAAGTCTCTTCCGCCTGCTGATACATTCCGTTGATAGATGTGCTAGTTCATGTTCTCTGTTCAGCGTGCGTTTTAGCTCCCCCATCGTTTGGAACCCTTAACTTACATACCGAACAGGTAACCATGGCCAAACTTGAAGGTTCCAAGACCGTTGTTGTCGGCGGAAAGAACGATGTGGACCAAAAATTCTGCGGCGTGGTGGGCGGTCAGAGCACGGACTTTTCTACGATCGACAGTGAGATCAAGGTACGTCCGCTCCCCTCTTCGGTCTCCTTAATACCGAGTGCCCCTTGCAGACAACAGGTTTGAAAAACGATAGCCGTGCACCCCCCGACTTACTCGTAAACGGATTGCAAGGAATTACATGGCGGTTAGGCTATGGTATCTGGAACCCAAACGAGCCGGAAGGTAAGCTTATTGGGGCGTTTCCTATCGTATTATGTATCCAATCGCCTTCCGCAGAGTGGCAAGATCGTCCGGCGAACTATAATCTTCCGTTGACGCTAGAACTGTGAGTTGCAGTTTTCACACCATGAGTAGTTGATTGATCCTCTACGTAGGGCCAATAATCCAACCAAGATCTGGGAGAAAGTTGCCAGTCTTGTATTCTAGTACTCTTTGTCCGCTTATCCTTGAAAACGGCTAGGACTTCATATAATCTAAGAACATCTGTTGAACACAGTTATATCTGATGCCTCGAACGGCGTTCATTTGTCCACTTCCTATTGAGTATCGGGCCGACTGGGTCGGTTGGGCTGCGAATGGCGCAAACTGCTCTAGAGCTTCGACCTGCCAAGTTACAAAATTACTATCCAAGTGGTTTACTGATTTCCACGAAGTGCTTGATGCAACAGGTTCTAAGTCTCATGCCAGCGTTATGGCTCAATGTCAAATGCTAAGTTCCATGTCATGTTCTCTTCTACTACGTTACAGAAATGACATATCAGAGGCACATAGTACTCGAATGAGAAAACCGGTTCTTCTGGCAAGGTCGTTCCTTTGTGAGTTGGTGTGTCCTGGGAACATGCAATGAGTACCACGGGCCTGGAAATTGTCGTCGCACCAGTAAATGATGCCATCACAATAGCTATTTCAGTAAAATTCCTTATTATCCTGAGTACACCTCACTTTCAGCCATCAGTGGACCAAATAGGAAGCAGAGAACCACATACAACTGCATGCCCATCTTTGATCATAACAGCTCCGATGGCATCGACACATGAGGCGAAAATTGCAGACGGCCCTCCTGAGAAGTATAGCGTCAACAGACTAAACTGTTTCGACAAACGAATTTCCTTAAGTCTCTGATTCCATTTAATGACGTATGTGTTCGACCAAGGATATGCGACTACCTGCCCTACATTGAAGATGTGGCCGATAGTTCTGGAACTTAGAATAGTTTGATAGAAAGGAAAAGAAATTGTATCACTTTCAGGTGAGACTTTCATCTGTCTTGCCCTCCATTACTACTTGGGTTCCGCGGCCGAACCTGAAGATCTTGTGCGCTATACGTGGCTGTAGTTTGAAGATTAGAAAGGCCTCCAAAATTTTGCACAAGGATGAGGAAAATAAGTGGAAGAGAGCGTTGATGACGGACATCGCAACCTTCTGGTGTTATCCACCAGATTTACCAATTTCCGGAACGAAACCTCCGTATTGCGACCGCAAGGTATGTGAGGATATGTACGCCCTTATTCCATGACTGACAGACTGCATTCGGGCGGCATCAAATAGGGTGCCGAGGGACTCGGAGAGAGGTATTTGAGGGGTCATTGGCCGGCGCTGAGATAAAAACGGCCAGAATTTGCTCGGAGTCGTGGATTCCAAGTTATGAAATATCAACGGTCTGTCTTGTAGAACCATTGTCTTGTGACCAGATTTCCTGTTTAGCTATTCCGCTCGCGGCGTTTTAGATTGCCAGGCAACTTACCTCTTTGCTAACGGAAAAAAGACTTCCACCTTGCCTTGATCGTTGGCGACGTTCGATATTTAACACTTATCAGGTTTGTTCAACGACGGTATCTGGTAATTTGCATGATCTTCAGTGTTATATCTCGGGATAACAGTTCTTGTGCAGGACCCTATTTCTGAGCGTAACTGCGAAGATAGAAGGTGATGAAGCCGACAAACTTGTTGCGGTAATGCTTGAATCTGATAACACAAACAATCCACCTAGCAACGACCGAAGACAAAGGCATTCGTTCAAGACGTCTCTGACTTTGGGTTCTAGAACCGTAAATTTTGGTCGAGAAGACCTCAGTGTAGCGATGTATAAAGCGAAGGTTGTTTTGAATGAGATGAATGACGATATGGCCCAGTCTTGGCTCGACGGGCAACGTTTTGTTATGAAGTAGATGATAAATATCCATGGTAAGCGTTCACTGTGTTGGAAATGGAACCAGACTCAAATCTCGCCAGTTTGTCGCGGCCCATGACGACTCCAAGATTGAGGGTGGAAATGATGAAGGCGTCAACGGCCCGGGTCCGAGAAGAGTTGACGTACAACATGTGAGCGATCAGATGGGGATCTCAATCCTAGTATGACGTCTGCCGGTTTATTGTTGGGGAGAAAACGCCTGATACCGCAGTTGAATGTTTCTAGCGGTGTTACCAACGGCAGGCTGAGAAAAGGGGAAGCAAATGCCATCCTCTAGAAAAGGGCCCTTTCCCTGGGAATCTGACACGGTGTGCCATGCCTGTGTCATCACAGTGTGTGTTCTGAGAGTAACACGGGGCTCCTGGACCTTCCTAATGCTCTGCAGTAAAACGCCCGACGGATTCACATTGGCGAATAACAATTTTTCAAAACGAGTCTTGGATGCATTCGGAGTTCAAATCGCAAGCCGGAATTAAGCTAGTCAGAATGATTCCTGTGCGTCAGACTGAGGTACGATGATTTTAATCGGTCACAAGGCTACCGGTGCGAAGAATGGTAGAGATGGTGACGAAGCGAAGAATCAAGAATCGATGCTGATTAGGTCTCTGTCAATTGGTGCTTCAATGGATATCAAATTTTAGCTATGAATTCCCGTACTTTTATTCACCTTCTGAGTCAGGATCGTGCTGTTGACACATACGGTGCACTTTTTTGCCAAGCGTCTTGTCGAGCTTGGTAGGTACGGATCGGCGGTCTCCGGAAAAGGAAGTTTACATAAGATCAAGCGCGTCTGCCGCGAACGTCCGTGTCATGACGTCGCTCATCTTTCCTGCTCTCATACTTAGCACTATTAGAACCATATCTGATTCAAGATGCGTAAAATCGAAGTAGGAACTTTTTTTTCGCTCACGATGAATGTTGGTTGACTTGGGTTGGTTTACCAGAGACCATTTCAACTTCTTGATTGATTTCGCTTGATTTTCTAGTCCTTCCGTCACATTTTCAGTGTAAGGAGGTGCTTCGAAGTTCAACGTTCAACATGGAAGTCTAGCCTATTTCGTTTTAACTTCCGCTTGATCGGAGCATTTCTTCCTAGCAGCCAAGATTCTCGATGAATTCTCCAAATCCAGCGCCCGGTTCATATATGTCCACCTGCGTTATTACCTCGTATCACAAGCAACAAAAAATTAGCACCTTAATATGAAAACTTTCAGCGTCGGGGTCCTTGAAGGACTTACCCTCGGTCTTGAGCCGACAGCTCCGGCCTGGTTCGTTCCCCTTCGTTGTTTTGTGCCGGTTATTAGAGACAATTTGTGTTATACTAACTGGAAATTCCACTTGACGGGCACAGAAAACTGCAATCGAAAAAGGTCAGTGTCCGGAATAACGCAGGAGAAACATAAGTGCACAGAATATTCATGGTAACGATTGTTGCGTGACTTGATAGCAGAACGTTTCCCTGGATTCCTTAGATAGTCTCTCTGACGTCCTTCTACAAGTCTAGGTGTGACCATTATGTCATGTTCAAAGAAAGCGGGTACTCAGTGATTCATCGGTCAATTTCGGTTACGCCATTGACTCATTGGATACATCATAGGCTGGATTTCTCCCTGAAATGAAATCGCTGCAGTTATTTGTCATACGCTAGTCGCATCCGATATTACGGGCTGGGTGAACCGATACCGACATCTTGCACGGGACAGTCTTGAGAAAGAAGCTTCCCTGACCATGGCCATCTACCCATGTAGGTCGTATTTCCTGCTTCAGGCGTCCCCATGCTTTAAGGGCCACGTTCTTCTTGGGTTTCATGCCATCTGATTCTTTTACTGTCCAGAATATTTGCTTCGGACCGATTCTCAGGGTTTGGCTTTCGAATTCCCCCGATATTTGCTCATTGCACCAGTAAGGCATCGACAAACCTACATTCCGATAACCTACATTGTGTGTCTGTGTCATGTTTGGACAATTCGGGGCATAGGCCTCGAAAAAGTCTCTTTGACCTACCCAGCAACTAACGGAGAAACAGGTCTACGAGGAAGCATCTTTGCTAATTTAGTACTCAAAACATGCGATTGCAAGCGCCGAAACTCGACCCGCCTCACTCATGGCAATCAAGTCGTCAATTTAACTTCTTTTATTATCGATACCGTGGATCGGAAAGTTCCAGTTGGGCCTCCTCACTGACCCCGAGTCACAGATTTTCACACAGCAGTCCATCGAACTTTCAGAACCAGGGTCTTGATTCCCAGCAAGTGAAGGATGTTTTTAAGACCGTTTAGGTGAGTTGAACAGGACAATATACACCGCGCTTCAGATATATCTCGACAAGAACATGATCGCTTACTGACTCTATTCAAATCAGTGGTCATCACGATGCACTGATAACACACTCATTATGAAATCTCTCGAAGCTAATACATTCTGACTTTAAACACCAAATAGCTCCATTCAAGCCATGTTTATTTTATCGCCAGAATGGGACAATACTCCCTCCTACCTCAGGCTGCGGAGCACCACGTTCATATGTATCTGTGGCGTTAGGCGTTTTTCGCATGACATCCTCGGATCGACACTGTCCCTTGACTCGTGTGCTACCTATTGATGTTCCATATCCTTGGTGCGGGTATATACTCAATCTTCTCTTGCTTCTCTTCCTCAAAGCATCGGTCCGATATTCAGTGCCTGCCCTTCAGGGCTCTGGATCCCACTGCCAAGCCCGGATCCGACGAGTTTGTGCGCATCTTTTCCAGTTGAATGCGTCCCTCGGATTTACATGAGCAAGATTAGGTTCATCATCGCGAGTCCAACTGGTATTGTGTTCACCCATCACTCTCAAGACCGGCTGTGGCAGACATGCGGAATTCTCAAGCTCCAAAACCTTTACTTCTCACTCTCCCTGTTTGTCAGCTCCACAGCCGTACAATTACCCCCATGAACCCTCAAAACACTCACGACGGTACCCCAAATCTTGGGGTCTCGCACATTATGATGAGTCGGCACTTCGAGATACTTCTTTCTGAAGTTTCAACATCAATGTACCATGATCTACTCAACCAGGAGCGTCCGAGTCGGATCGTTTTGATGCTTCTTTCTACCCTGAATAGCCTTTTTGAACACGGGCGACGCGCAATTTCTGGATGAACGACACGCATATCTCAAACTGGAAGCAAATATTAGTAGTACGGCGACCGTTTTGATCTAATTTACCCTCTTCATTCACTCATCAAATGCTGGAACTTTGCATGACGGACCGTGCCGAGGCTTATATTATTCAAATATGCAATCAGCCTCAAGTTTGTCTTACCTGGAGGGTCGACCCAACTACGCTTTTCTTGACAGGTCAGGCAGAATTTCTTTTGATCATCTCCACACGCACCGGACCGACAAACCCAGCGAGGGTCTGTGAGAATCCCGCCACTGGTTATATTGTTACCGCGCTACATTAGTGATCCCTCCTACGCACATTTGCGTGTGCTTTGCCAGCCGTAAACCCGGACATCGGATTTCAGCTTCTTGACATCTCCATGGTCTTCTTTAATTATCTTCCGTGACCGCGACTAGATCCCATTACAATTTTAACCAACACGTTTTCCTGCCCATTTTCTTCCTTCCATTTCCATCGGACCAACGAACCTTGCGGTCCCGAAAGACCCTGGTGTTCCTGCAGGTCCTCATGCGCCTCTCGCTTGAAATTTGACGGTACAACGTACATAATGATAATAATGCTCCCGGTCATTCACATTCGCATCCTGTTCGGCTTTTCGGACCGAACTGGGAGCGGAGTGTGGCGGGCCGGGCGATTTACGTTCTCGGAATTACGGCCCGTAGAGATATGTTCTCCGATCAGAAACAGTTCTCCTCCATTCCCTCTTCCGCTCTTTTAGCAGGTCAGACACAGTTATCACCACTGGCATATCAGCTGATAGCAAGGTTATGATGTGGTGCACCCCGGTAGTGCGGTCCGAGACTTTGAGATCCGTGAAGGTTTCAGCGGAGATGGCCAATCAATCCAGTTTTCCAGTTTTTCATTTCAGCTTTTACTACTTAGGAGTCATGAGCTACCGTAGCGCTAGCGAAATTGACAACCGACAAATAAGCAAATAGCTTAGGAGAAATGAAGAGTAAAGTACACGCCCAAAATTCGAAATCGACGTGTAATACGCGGATGAAGAGCACTTCATACTCGAGCGGTATGCAGGACAGCGAGTACCACGGAGTTCATATTTTCATACAAGTGATACTAGTCTCCTTTCACTTTTCATTACGATCTCGGTCTCTCAGATAACAATGCGTGTCCACGCTCTAATCACTGCTTCGGCTTCTCTTCTATTACCGCCCCATCCACCCTCCATCTACTGTCAGGATCTCGCCGCAAACATAACTGCTGGCGTCGCTTGCCAAGAATACACAGGGTCCTGTCAAATCTTCGGGCTTTCCCCATCTACCGGCGGGAATTCGTTGAGATATCTGCGGTAATCGCGTCGGAGAGGAAAGCAGCGCCTCGTTCCTGTTCGAAAATCAGGCGATCAGTAACTTCCTTCAAACAGAATAATCGACTCACATATCAGTTTCGATGTATCCAGGAGCAATTGCGTTAACTTGTACATTCGCGCTACTCCATTCATTGCTCAACGCCTTTGTGAGCTGCCCAACCGCTCCCTTTGCTGCTGCATACGCCGGGACTGTCATTCCTCCTTGGAATGTGAGCAGGCTCGCAAAATTGATGATCTTGCCTCTCTTCAGGGGGACCATGTGCTGGCCAGCCGCCTGACAAAGAAGCCAGACCGACTTGAGATTGACGGTAATGACCGCATCCCAATCTTCTTCTGAGAACGAAACTGCGGGAGACCTCCGTTGAATTCCGGCACAGTTGACGAGGATATGTATCTCGTGTGAGGGAACAATATCTAGAGCACGGCTGAAAAGGGTCCGCACTGCAGGAAGGTCATCGAGATCGCATGGAACGGTTGTATAAGGGAGATTCAGTTCCTTCAAAGTGTCGATGGTGTGTGATGTCGTCGTTGTGGGACGAAGGACGAGGCAAACATGTGCACCAGCTTTGGCGAGCTCAATAGCACATGCGGACCCAATACCGCGAGACCCTCCTGTGATAAGGGCGGTTTTGCCTTGGAGAGAGAACATTCTGTACGTATCAGATTTGGGGGTGGAATGCAATAAAAAGGGACCAAGGCACTCTTTTTTAAAGCTTAGAAGCGGCCCGAAGATCCGAACAGTAGAAGTACATAAGACCCAGCACGAGTGCGTCCTACCCAGACCCTCTCGAACCACTCCACATTCCCTCTAAAATGGACGGAATGATTTCTTCCCTTGTCCTACATGCTCCCCGCGATCTTCGACTCAGTCGTCGACCACTTCCCCCTCCTCCCCCTCATCACGTACAGATTGCCATCCTGTCTACTGGTCTGTGCGGTTCCGACCTCCACTATTACCTCCATGCTCGTAACGGAGCCTTCGCCCTTCAGGCGCCGCTAGTCCTAGGCCACGAATCTGCAGGCGTAATAACCGCTGTTGGTCCTCTCGTCACAGATTTCCGCCCTGGGCAGTACGTCGCCATTGAGGCGGGTATTCCTTGCGAATCTTGCGAGTGGTGTAAGACCAATAGGTATAACCTGTGTGAGGGGATGCGCTTCCGTAGCAGCGCGAAGACGTTCCCACATCTGGATGGCACAATGCAGACGAAAATCAACCACCCCGCGAAACGAGTGCATGCGCTACCTCCAGGTGTTTCCTGTGAACAGGGAGCATTGGCGGAGCCATTATCCGTACTATTACACGCTTCAAGACGAGGAGGGCTTACCCAGCACACCCGAAGAGTGTTGATCTTCGGTGCCGGAGCAATCGGTATGCTCGCTGCTGGTTTGGCGCGCTCTAGAGGCGTTCCAAGCGAAGCCATTGCCATGGTTGACATTAACCGTGAACGACTGGCATTTGCCAAAAACCATGGTCTTGTTGGAAAGGTATTCTGTCTACCTCCGCCGACGCCTATGAAGGGATTAGACGGACTTGAGCGGAGTAGATCGCAGGCACTGGTGTTCGGAGGCGGATACGACATCGTATATGAATGCACGGGCGCTGAACCATGCATCCAAATGGCTGTTTTTGTGCGTCCCTTTCTGCGCACGTTTTATTACACGCTTACGTCGAGTAGAGCACGAAAACCGGGGGCAAGGTCCTTCTCATCGGAATGGGAACACCTAATGCCTTCATCCCCATCAGCAACGCAGCGACTCGAGAGGTAGATATAATTGGGAGTTTCCGATACGCAAACACGTATAGGGAGGCCCTCCAACTACTTGCTAGCAGTACGCTTTAAATTTTATTTCAGAATTAGTGTGACGTAACTGAAGCAAAATTGCAGACACGCTACCGCCGATAACGGACCTCATCACCCATCGTGTACCGTTCAACGCCGACGCCGTAAAGGGAGCGTTTGAAGCCATGGCCAAGGGGAGGGACGAAAAGGGCAAATTGGTCATCAAAGTTCTTGTTGGTGGCGATTAATTAGATGCTGAGAGCATGGACTATGTACAGTCTTATGCGGAACAGGATGAATGATCGACCGATCGATACGGGGCCGGAGGAGGGACGCGGGGTCGGATACTTATAGAATTGGTACTGTAGCCCTTCGTCGACAATTCCTATGCATTTATTTATGGCAATGTATACCACTTAGAAATTCAAAGGAGGAATTCCAATTTTGGGTCGTAGGAGCATAAACGGCGTCAGATCATACGGGCCGGATTGCAGGCGACATGACATCCGCCACCTGTGGTCGTGGGATGGTCAACGAAACCGAAAAATAGAATGTTTAGCGACAGACCTGGAATAAATCCGTAGTTTAGCCGCTTGATTCCCTATGCGCGTATGCAGGGATATCACAGAAAGGGCATGAATGTGTATGTCGAACCGTATGAACATATCATTAAATATGTGGAAGCGAATGGAGTGTCCGGTTACATTTCCGAAGTTGCGAGGGCGATGTATCGTTAGCCCAAGGACATTGCCGAGGACTGGCCAGTGCGTCTATGAAAGTATTGTGTGATAATGAATTCATACAACAATTAATGACGCATCAACCTACTGGGAGCTTTTTATGCCATCCAATAAATAATTACGAACAAAAATATTGGAGCCGTGCGACCTTGAGGCGCGCCACTGAGGCTTCACGCCAAAAAGCATTCCGCTAAAGGACCTACGCCAAGGCAAAATTGACCGTCACAGAGATCTCCGCCCAAACATCAAAATCCCGAGGGTACAGCTGACAGTCATGAGACACGAGTCAAAGAAAATTTCGCGTGTATCACAATTGGGCGAAGAAGAGAGAACCACGACCCTGAGCCTAGCCTAGCCTAGTGTAAGTTGAGCGACATGAAATAGAGAGTGATACACCAATCTTCACCATCACCTCAATGCAGTCGGCTTCCGCGACTCATACCTTCTAGCCCATCTGCACTTGAACGGCATATCCTACAAGATGGATGAGGATCTAGGTCCTGGATGCGCCTTTTTTCCACTCTGGACATTGTAAGATGCGGACTGGATCCGGCTCGGTGATATGTGAAAACTGTTGATCGTCGGATTGCTCGCAGCCGGTGATGGTTTGGAGTTAACTTGAAGGTCGTCTACGCTTGCAGCTTCCACGGGCAAAAGCAGTGCATATAATATAGTTAAATAGCTTAAAATGTGAAAATGTGCGTGAGCATTAATGGGGTAGTGGTAACCTGGGTCGTTGCCATTCGTTAAGCTCGACCCGCCGGGGGTTCGATTCCCTCTTAATGCATTGTTTTTACTTTTTAGCAACCTCAAAATCAAGACTCAATAACTGACCACCGACAAGTGCATAAGATGTTTAATGTCGTTGATGATTAAAATATCGTGTAATCGATCGAGGGTCCAGACTAGACACTCGGATCCTGAATTTTGAATGTTAGTTCGGACTCGTCGCTTGAGCCTCATTATTACATAAATAAACAAGCCGACCGTAAAAAATGCTGTTCTGCCTTGTGCGGATGTACACTTACTCCGATAAAACTCTCAACTGGGTACGTTTTGTACTGATAACTTAGGTCTTCAGACCTGTATATTTATGGTACCTCTCCCTTCTGCCACCGTTGTCCAAACCGCAGGAATGGTCAGTCTGCGAAACACAGTTCTTTTAGACATGAGTTTTCCAGGGTTGTACACACAAACACATTTGCTTCAAAATCCATGCTTGTTAATTCACTTCTGTTTACGGACAGGTTGTAACATAGGATGAAGGGCGTCTTGTTCAAAGTAAGGGTTCAAGGTATGGAGGATTAGAGAAACAACCACATCGGATTCACTCAGAGCCTTCTGCCCTGGATACAAGGTGATGGATAAAACCATCACCGTCACCATCAGCAGCAGCAGAACGCTTGAAAAAGTCATGCTGTAACAACTCTTTTGCGCTTGGTCTCTCCTTAGGATCCAACGTAAAGCACTGTTCAATGATCCCTACCAAGTCTTTATCCACGCCGACCATGGGGGCCTGAGTAGACAGAATTTCATGGCCGACAATCTCTGTCGCTATCACATTTTTCGTCATGTGTTGGGCGGTCTGTACAAGCCCCTCCGGGAGCACAGATTTCCAGGATCCGGATTTCAGCTTCCCTAGTAACACATAGCATATCAGTGCGACCTACGAGAGGAAGATGCTGCGAAGTGACGTACCGTCGGCATTGAAATACTCCTTACCCTTGGGTGAGGCCTCAATCATCCACCGGGGAAACTGTTTGTCCTCTCCACTGAAAAGCGTCATGGCAAAGAGATGGTCCTGGACATTGTACTTTTCTGCCTCTTCCATGGTCTTTTTGTTTTTAAACGATTGGAATCTATCGAATGGCCCGCGGAATACGGGCCTATACGTTAGGGTCTCAAGCATCTGAACCGCCTGTGAGTGATCTTATATGAATATAAAAGTCATAGGACTTGCTATAATTCCCAGTGTCCAGATATCGATTTTCTCGTCCCAAGGAAGACCTAGAACGAGTTCTGGGGCTCGACGACGCAGGGATGTGGTGGGAATGGCTGCAAGCAAGCGAGTGTGTATGTATGAACCAAGAATGATCGAATTTGCTTACATGTAGGACTATCTTTATGGATGGGGTGGCCTGAGAAGGCGGTGAGATGCATGGAGAGAGAAAGAGGAGGAAATCCGACACTCACAAGCCCCGAAATCACATAATTTGAAGTTCATAGAAGGATCCAATTGCGTCATTAAAGGCATTTGCATGGGTTGCTGAACCTTGTGGTACACGCTGGAGGTATCCTTGAAATCGCGGTTGTACAAGTTGTCACGAAACGTTGTCGATTCGCCGAACTCAATCGGTTCCTTGTCCAACAGTTCCTTTAACTGGTCGTCATTCAATGCATTGTCTGCCAATATGTCATCTCCTTTGATATCTATACGAGACTTAACGCGACTTTTCCGAGATAAAACGCGTACGGCGTACCTCCATGGACAAGACCGCACTCGGAGTGAAGAAAGTCGAGAGCGAGCAGCATGTCACGAAAAAGTTTCTGCCATACATTTACGGGCCATCGTTGCTTTGTTCCCTGGTCGCCTAGGAGATGCAACTGAGTAAGGCATGCCCCACAAAGGTCCATGACAGACGAGGCGACTGAACGGTTCCGCCAGCACGACGCTCCAGCAATTGAGGGCAATGTGTCGCGATCCTGGATGATTGCCCGCTTTCCTCTTCATTATCTCGTGCCTCCTCAGTTCGTGCTGCCCAACGTCAAGGGAGCCCTGTATGGAAAAGACCTTGACCGCGAAATACTGACTCCCGTTCTCGTTCCTTATTCCTGTATCAGTGAGCAACGAAAATACGCTTGGAACAAGAAGTACACTCACCTCCACTGGTCCGAACGCCCAAGCCAAACGCTCGCATGGTGCCCAATGCCCAACTTGCGGAGTATCTTGACACTCAAGTAGTCGTTATGGTCCACTCGAAACGTCGTCTCATCTTCTCGTGGAATCACCTGGCCGATGCGTACATTGAGGAAGTCGGGTCCGTAAGGAATGGGGACGCTGAGGAGCTCTTCGCCATAGGCGGGCCGTGGGGTAACTTTGCGGTCGGCGCCTTCAGAGATGATACGAATCCCCTGGCCTTCGTTGCCTCTGAGACGGACGACTCGCGACATTTGCCGTGTATGCCATCGCTGAGACGAAAGTCGCCAGCAAAGTTGGCGTGAGCAATGGAGCATGCAGCGAGAAAAATGTTATTGACGACGTTGTGTATCGGTATTGGTATTGGTACCGACACTAAGTCCCAATAAAGAACCACAAGGAACTTCGGCATTTACCGCAACGAACTTGGATCTAACATTTTGTTCACCCAGAAATAAAATACAGAACATATGCACCTGAACATATTCTTTGCCTCTCAAATTAATAATGATTCGCCTAATTTCTCTCGTCTATCCCTTCACTCGGCACCTCTGCACAGGAACCGTCGTGGCTGACTCGTGGCGGCGTCAGCCCGCCACATGAGGTAAAGTACATATGCTCATCGAGTGAAATGTTTTTAACCAGACCTCTCTAGATTATTTAAATAACGGGCCGCGTTTTGCAAAGGGCCGCCACTACCTGAGAACTAAATATCCGAGAAGCAGTACATGATGCGCATCAAGATACGGGAGCACAGCATGCTCCCGTGGAACGAACGAGCTCCACCGGGGTAAGATAATACGTTGTTTATAGTGCTTTTTCCCACTAGGCCTCTTCTTCGATTCCCGTTGAGCTGCCGGTAGGTATATTTATCGTACTCGCCGAGCTGGACGGCTTTTTTGACTACTGGATTTCCAGATGAATCTGCAGCGTTAGTATATATGCGGCTTCAAAGAAGCTGTTAGGATCCGAGAACTGAGTCAATGTATTCGAGAAGCACACCGGGGTGCTAAAGGACGCCGCTACTGTCTAACACAATGCGTTTCGCGCTAGTGTCTTGTTCGATTCCTGTTGATCCCCGGCAAGTACGCATGCTCGTCGAGAGTGATGTATCTTTGACCAGACCTCTCTAGATGAATTTGCAACGTTTAAAAGTTATTGCAACGGGTCACGATCTGAGGAGTGAATAACTGTACTCGAGAATTAATTCATTCCTTGAGCCGTCATCAGAGTACGGGACGCTAGCCGCTCGCGCTTGCACCGGTGTATCAAAAAATGCGCCGCTGCTGTTTCACACCAAACTTCTTATTCGAATCCCGTGAGCTACCATCTCATTTTTACAGGGGCATGACTGTTAAATTTGCTTTCCGTCGCATGCTCGATGCTCACGGCGTTTCACACTAATCAATGTGATAATAGGTCCTTGCGGTGCTCATTCATTCGCTGTGGTATAAAAGGATGCGCCTCTTCAGCAAAAGCTCCATCGTACTCTGTCCGATCTTTCCTTGCAGATATGTTCTCCAAGATCATTTCCCTCGCTGCTGTCGTCTTTGTCTCTTGTGTTACTCTTGCTCGTGCGGAGTCGCATACCGTTAAATTTGTTAACAGGTTAGTATGCCGCCAAGTGACAGACAACTCTGAATGCTGACCGATCTTCTAGGTGCGGTCGTGGGACTGTATGTTATTGTCTTCTTGCGCTACTACGAACCATGGCCGATCCTTCTATTATAGCCCACACTCAGCCAAAACTTCAATACCTTGTCGACCGGTAGTGACTACACCGCAGGTGGGCCCTTTGCGGCTGCTGTTGCGTGAGTGGCCCCTTCGCGTTCCCGCTCGCGCAATACGTTATTCACATCAAAATGTTTTAGCTGGCTCGACACGGGTTGCGGTTTCCAGGGTTCAGGATGTACTCTCGTAGAGTTGACCTTGAAGAATCCTACCTCGCCGGGAGCTGGTTCCAGCGTAGACATTTCGCTCATCCCTCCGTGAGCAGCTACTGATCATGTCCGATCGCGACGATTGATCTATTCCATATAGGCATACGTTCAATGTCCCGGCGTCGTTTTCGTACTTCAATGGATGTGACGGCCAGGGAAAATCTTGTATGTTTATTAATTTGTCGTCTGAGGAGATCTAAACATGCTTGCAGGCTCCAATGCTAACTGTCCCCCCACGGACGCCTTCCACGTCACTACTGACTACGGTGCCCAAGTCCAGTGCGAAGCGAATAATGTGAGCGGGCCTAATTAACCGATCATTTTGTTAATCCTGATCCTTTTTCAGGTCGGATTGACGATTACTTTCTGCTGAATATAAAATTCAGTACCTCCCCAATAGTTATCGTCTATTTAGTGGTGATGCGAATTAATAGCGATTCCCCAAGGTATCTTAACCGATACCATAGCTTTACTCTTTAGAAAAATTTGGTTGATTGTTCAAACATTGATTGATCGACACTGTCATTAAGTGATCAAATTGACGGTCTAGACCGCTAAGATACTCTGAGCTGCAAAAAAAAGAGCTGATGAAGGATGGAAACCAATCCCAAATTCCCCTGAGATGCCAATAGAGTCGCGAGGCCGCCTTATAGACGGGTCAATGGGAGACGAGCGAGAGAACACGATATGTTCCGATTCAATCACGTTGATGATTCGCTGCCTGAGCGTTTTTACGCGCAGCGAGCTTGGGAACGCCAGACAACGCGGAGATGGCTGTATAGCGAGTTAACCGGAGCAGACAGTTTCGCGCCAAGCCTCCACACATCCTTAGCGCGTGAAACAGACTCGAACTAAAATAGGCGGAAGACAGGTGGGGCGTAAATCCCCGCAATGGTGAAGAGCGCTCGGACTGAAAAATACAAAACGGAGTTCCTCTAGGGATTACAAGATGACCGAAAAGGGCACGGCGGAAGGGCGAGTGGATGCTTCGTGTGTAATTCCCAGAGCAAAAACGATGTCGTTTATGATGAACTTCGGTATTGTGGAAGACGGAACTCCGATTTCTCCCGAGAAAGCAAGCGTCACCCGTAGTTGGAGTATGATTCCTTTCTATCAGACGAATAGAAAAACACATTGACAGCGACGTCTGGTGAGAGACGGAAAAAAAACCAGCCGTTCATCACCTGAATGTGGAAGAATACTTATGAAACAATATAAGCCGGGAAAAAAAGCCCACAGGACACACCTAAGCCCCACTGAGATCACAGTAATAGAGATCCTTGATCCATATGGTCCGAGACTTGAGAAAAAAAAGGGGAATACATGTAAAAACACAAAACGACGAATAAATAGCACGACTGATCAGAGAAGTCGACCGCTGAATAATATGAAATTGCCCCAGACAGCATTCATTGGGGTAGAGTTGGGGTAGACCGGCGAAGCTTTGTCTACCCCACACAGGGCAATGGACCCTCTGGCACCTCCGAGTGTGAATAGCCCCGAAAAACACCGGTCGTGTGCGCCCAAAGATACGTTGGGAGTGGTTCAATACAATGTTCGGTGTCTGTTGACACCTGTTACATCCGAAAGGTGAACAAATAACACCAAAGGTCTGGTTCAGTGTGCCTCTGCCCAGGGCCCACCGCCGATGTTAATAATCCGTGGTGTGGTAAGGCGTGGTCTCGAAGTGTTCTTCACCGTTCGACAGCGAACTCGAACTGCGGACGAGGTGGCGTTCTATCAGTACACATGTATCGGCTGTTCTACCACGGTCGAGTGCATCACCGTGGCGACCTCGCAGACTCGTAGAAAGAATAGGCGTACCAGGCCCAGGGCTATTTTTGAAACAGGTTAGCAAGGGACGGAGGCGTGGCATATGATTCGCCCAACAGATTTGCCCCAAGGCGAGCCCCGATCCCTCCGTTCGTCCATTCCCAGACATCCCGGATTCTACCGCTGCGGCTCTGACCCTATATATATAAATGCTCATTTTTTCGTGTTATTGCTGTCTCATTCTTCCTTTCTTTTTCCTTCCTACCTGCCCGCCATGACCATCATTCTCACTTCCAACGCGTCCGGAGCCTCTCAGAAGCTCAAAATGGCCTCCCAGTGTATGCGGACCATTCTTACCGCTGCTCGTCGCCCTGTACTAATTGCTAGGCCTTTCCTAGCTCCCCCAAGGCCCAAGCATGGTCTTACACCCCCCGCTCTCGATGAAGCCGTCCATGCGTTGCGCTGTCTTGCTCAGCTCCGGTCCAAGGACAAGGGCATCGAGAAATACATCTATCTCTCCATGCTCAAGGAGCAGGACCCTGCTATGTTCTACAAGCTCTGTCTCTCCAATATGTCAGAGTTCACCCCCATCATCTACACCCCAATCGTCGGCGACGCCTGTCTGCAATACTCGCACATCTACAGGCGTCCTGAAGGCTTGGTGCGTTAAATTGATTCATTTCCATCTTTCTCGCGTGCTGAATAATACGCGCTGTTGTCAAGTATGTGTCCATCAAGGACAAGGGCAATATCAAATCTGTCATTTCCAATTGGCCCAGAATCGACGAGGCCAGAATCAGCGTCGTCACTGATGGTGAGAGCCTCGTTACCTCCAGTCACTATGCTTTATTCACCGGCAAAATCTAACAGGCTCTCGTATTCTCGGTCTGGGTGACCTTGGTATAAATGGCATGCCCATTTCTATTGGGAAGCTTTCCCTCTATATCGCTGGCGCCGGGTGAGGATTTCTCCTGCCAAGTTTTGTTTTTCCAGGCGCTCATGTGCGGATGTGTTCTAGAATTCGTCCCACATCAACCATTCCCATATGCCTTGATCTTGGAACAAATAATCAAGCTTATCTGGATGATCCGCTGTACCTGGGCCTCCGCGAACGGCGCGTGCCCGACGATGAGATGACAGAGTTTATGGACGAATTCATGAGCGAAATGTCCGTCGCCTTCCCGAAATTGATGGTGCAATTCGAAGTAAGCTGCGCTCCGCTTTTCCGTGTCTTATCCGCATGACTCACGAGGTTTCTAATTCTAATTAGGACTTTTCCACGGACCACGCATTCACGTACCTTGAGCGGTATCGGAACAAGTATCCCGTCTTCAACGATGACATCCAAGGAACAGGAGCTGTCGTACTCAGTGGATTCCTCAACGCCGCCAAGATCTCATCTGCGGTGTCCGGGCGCCCGTTGAGCAGCCATCGGATTCTGTTCTTCGGCGCGGGGTCGGCCGGTGTTGGTGTGGCCTCACAGCTCATGAGTTTCTTCACCATCCAGGGCCTGTCGGCCGACGAAGCACGGGAACGTGTTTGGTTGGTTGACTCACAAGGCCTTGTGTATGATGCTCGTGGCAAATTGGCGGAGCACAAGAAATGTACGCCTGTTTTCGGGCTACATGGAAATGTTGCTGATGCTGACCCCTTCCCGTAGACTTCTCGCGTAAGGACTACGCAGGCCCGCCTATGAAGAACCTCCTCGAAATCATCGACTATGTGAAGCCCACTGCTTTATTGGGTCTCTCAACGATATCTGTGAGCATACACCCCTATTCTACCCCATCCTCCCTAACATTATAACAGAACGCCTTCAATGCAGACGTCATCCAAGCCATGAGTGCTCTCAACCCTCGCCCCATCATCTTCCCTCTGTCCAACCCCGTACGTCTGTCCGAATGCACATTCGAGGATGCTGTGGTGAACTCCAACGGCAACGTACTGTTTGCTTCGGGTTCGCCCTTCGATCCCATTGAATACAACGGCAAGACCCTATACCCCGGACAAGGTAACAACATGTACATCTTCCCTGGTCAGTACATCATCCCCAGTCGTTCGTTTCAGTGATACTGATACCTGTCGCAGGTTTGGGTTTGGGTTCAATCCTTTCTAGGGCAAAGAGCGTGACCGATACCATGGTTGAAGCCGCATCTCTCGGATTAGCAGACTCGTTGACACCCGAGGAGCATGACGCCGGATTGTTGTACCCCAGGATTGAGAGGAGTGAGTCTGATGTGTATCATGTGCTGGTTGATTGGTGCTGATGGGCGTCACACAGTTCGTGAGATTAGCGCGCACATCGCTAAGGATGTCATACGGGCGGCACAGAAAGCGGTCCGTGCTTAAATCTTTTTTTTGCTGATGCACATCAATCTGATATCTATTTTTAGGGTGTCGACCGCTCGCCGGAGCTTCGGGAACTGGATGACGACGACCTTTACAAGAGGGTGCAAAGCAAGATGTGGAACCCTTAAATTTTTATTCGTATTTGCTTTGATACTATGCTCTCCCTCATCATGCATCAGCACTGGTTTTCCTTTTTGGCATTCGTCCTCCACTTGTAGATCTAGCGTATGGAGTATTATATATATAATTCGGACTGAATACAACAGGATATAGAGTCTGAGTAACCGTCCATTTAAGAAGTTTAAGTAGCAGCCGACCACACCGACCGAGCCTCCGACTGCAGCGACTTTGCAGAGTGCCTTGGTGGAAGCGCGGTAGAAGGGGTTACTCCGGATCCAGCCTCACTCCGAGAATAGGACCAGATCAAACTGGGAGTAAAGTTCCTTATGATGGATTCTGTCGTCGTGAGTAACGTTCCTGCAACACAGTTTAGTTATGGCATGCAAGGACACGGCCGGGAAACTGCGAATACCTTGGTGACTTGTTCGACTCTTGAAACTCCGAGGGATAGAGCGCCCGCGCTGAATCTTGGATCTTCTGATGTAGATGACGAGAAAAACAACGAGGAAGATTATAACGAAAAACATGACACCCAGCAAGGCCGCGAGGACTTTGATAATAGCGGGTGATACGCCATTTACATCAGATACATTATTGGCGGAGGAAGCTGTTGATTTAATGGCGGAAGCAAAAGGCGTAGGAGAAGTCGAAGATGATGCCGCAGGGAAAGAGATAGTAGCCTCAGTATTTGAGGTACTATTGGGATGAGGAGATATGAGAAAATAGTCAAGGATAAAAGGAGAATCAGGCCCCGCGTCCGTCACATTGATGACTATCTTGTGCTCTTTCTGTGACAACTCAGATGCTACAAATAATGGCTGATTCAAGTAGGCTTGTGCGATTTGTGGCTCTGTGGTGACGAAAGGGGCGGCGGCGTCGATAGTGAAAGATGTTGTGGGAGGATTCGAAGACGTGCTACTGGATGGCACGGCACCGAAAACGATTATTCCGCTTCCTGTGGACATAGAGTGTGAGTTATGATCCGGTAGGTCGTCCGACGCCATACCATTGAAGCTTAGAGAAGCTGTTGATCCCGCTGTAGAAGTGCTGTGAGTCGTATTTGACGGTCCTGCACCGTCAAGAGACCAGGGGCCGTTGTAAAGCACCCTCGCGTCGTTGTCCGCGATACAGAACTGGCAGAAAATGTCGCTTCCGGTGGTGAACGAATTATCTGTTTGGCTACCAGTCGTGTTGTCATTCGAAGTTGAAGGGTCTTTTGAACCATTCGAACCCGAATTCGAATTACCAAAGCCAAACGCGTTCGAATTGCCCGAATTGCTCGAACTCCTTGAGTTGTCGCTAGAACTACCCCTATCTCGGCCCTCGTTTTGATCAAGACTTTGGTCGAAGGGAACTCTTCGACGGTGAATGAAGACTGGTCGCCTTCGGTTCGCATATGTGCATTGCTGGTCACCACGGATGTAATCCTGGACCCAGATAGGGAGGATGGCGAGGAGTAGGTCCAAAATATGTGCACCTGTTAAAAGTCAGTAACGATGGAAAGGGAAGAATTACAACGATAGCACACCATTAGAGATCTTCGAAGGAGTCGGGGGAGGCATGTTTAGAAACTAAAACGGAATGGAGTATGATTATTCTTGGGATTCTGTATCAGCACATTTAGACTGATACCGCTAGTCTACACCTCACCTATATATCGACGTCAGCAGAGAAAGAACTAGGGCGTGGATAGCAGGGCTTGGAAGCGATCCTTATAAATAAAACCTAGCACACGCTCACAGAAAGAGTGAGCCATTCGGTCTCAATTCGGCAAGCAGATGACCACTGGCATGAGTAAGTACCTTCGGTGCTAGTACTACATGCCCCATGAAGCCTGAAGCGAGTACGAAGTACGCGCAAAGGTCCATCGAGTGGGTCAATGGACGCGTAATCCTGGGCAATTTGCGACAACGTCTACATGACTGTGGCCCATACCAGTTAGCCGTATAATATTGACAGTAACAAGGCTAAATGTACACATCGTGAGTAAAGTGATGGACACTTCGGAGAATTGGGAAATTTACCAATCGTAAGGTTTGCTCGTTACTAAGCAACTGAATTCTCGAAAGCGGCCGTAACCCTTAAATACAGGCACGTTGATTTATGCCATGTTTTCGGTGCGCGACTCTTGGGACAAGCCACAATTAAAAGGCGTATTCGAAGCTGTGCTGGAGGATTCAATCACGTAAGGACGGGTTCTGTCCATATGCAAGGATGTTGGCGGTGAAGACAAGCAATTCATTAGATCCATAGGCCTGGGTCGTCGGGAACGATGGGCCTGAACGGTACTGAGAGTGCCGATGTTAAGCGAAGTCCTATGGCGACAACAAAATATAGACCACTCAGAGATGACACCGTCGGCAATGTACGGATAATCAGTCGGATGATAGGGCGGTCAGCCATATGATAGGCCAGTATTTCAAAGCAGATAAGATGTACACGGAGGCAAAAGGACAAAAGGGACTTGACGGTGGTGGTTGCTACGATCCCATTGTGCACAGCCACCACATCGCGACTTGATTTGTTATCGTTTGGACGTACTGTTGCTCCCGTGAATTGGATGCTGGCTAATACTGGTTGGTCTGTTAATTGTATTCCCTTTTTTTAGGAATCTATATCTGATATGTTGTTTAGGTTTAGGCGAATAACTTGAATGCCTGAGGTTATCAACCGTACGGTTGTACTTGGGTGACTTGCCTTGTGGTCACATACCCTGGAACATATCCAACGGAAATTCTCCCAGATAGGTATATGCTGATATAAGATACTTGAACAATGAACGGACTGATGCCTCGAGTCGGCGTTGGCACAACCTCAATTCAAACTCCTGCTTTGCATGCAGAGGCAATGATTCTTGGCTGACGTACCAACATAGACTTTTTACGACTAACGACATCTGGATATCACGTCAAAAAAAATTGCACCATCATCATCCTTTCAAGCTGAGTGACCTGCCATAAATCGGGAACCGAATCTTTAACGTCAATTCCTTCTTTTGCAGTCCACAGGGAACACCATCACGCTGCGCAATTTTTAAAAGGCGCTTTCTTAGTACCATTGGAAACCTATTCGTCGTTCGCTCCGATGTCAAACCCCTCGCGAAAGGTTTATTGGCGCCGTCATGCCCAAATTTTTGCTAAAGATTGAACCTTGTCCTCGATCCGGGAGTTTGACACACCTACCTTCTGACCGAGGTTGACCGGAACAAGGCTTTGTGGCGTTTTTCATTTTGAGCCCAATCTGACGGTTCATTCTTTCTGTAGGGATGCGTCATTAATTCCAGCTCTGCTTCTAGTCGCCATTTTGAACATGCTTCGAAAGACTACTGGGGATGCTTCGGAACAGTGAATCGCTTCAAGGTCGTTGTGGTCGTGTTTATCCCTGCTCTTCAGGAGTCCTAGACCAACATGAGTGGCTAGAACCACCGCCTAAAATACGGCAGTGATCCCGCATACAGTGGACGTGACATGATAACGGAGGAATCTACTGCAATGTTCCGAACTAGGGTCCACAGGACAGATCCCAAGGAGAGTGGAAAACGACGAACGGCATACACGTTTCGTAGGAGAAAAAAATCATCATGATCCCGGTTCCAGCCTTGAAGCCTGAAGCCCAGGAGAGTTCCAGAATCTCTTCTATCACTGCGCGAGGCTGTCTATCTGGCACAATAGTTTAGGTGGTGCTAAATGATACCAATCTTTTGCTTCTTACGAGACCGGCCAATGCAAGGATAGTGCGAACTTAAATCACCAAGTTTCCCCTTTCCCCAAATCACCGTCTATCTTCCCATCGTTCCACAGTTAATACCGGCACGATGCCTTCATGTGCTTCAAACTTAAAAAAGCTGCAGGCTACGTACGCATCAAGTTTACAGTAGTGATTATCTCCCTTGCTTGACATGTATAATGCCTCACTCAATAAATATATTTTATTGAATCAAGCTAGCAGAATTTCTCATAGAAAGAGGCCTTTGCTTTCTGTTGGCATGTACTGTCCATGTTTGCCCTCCTTGCGATAGTTTTCCATGGTGCCGCGGCAAATTCGACGAGTGGCGGCGTACGGCATATTAGCAAATTAGTCGGTTCCGGACCGACATTTCCAATCACTTTTTCCCTGTCTACCAAGTTCAGCGACAGTGGCGTCCTTTCAGAACATCTTGCAGTGCAATGTCTCGACCAGAGGCCGCGACACTTTCTACAGAGCTCGCAGTTATCACTGCGCAGCTGGAGCTACTTCGTACCCAAGAAACTGAGCTCCAGCAACATATCGATGGACTCCAGGCATATAAAGAAACCATTTCAGCTCGACGGCGCGCCCTCGAGGTCAAGGAGTTCGAGTTGGAGGCGTCACGACACCCAGTGAACTGGTTACCGGTAGAATTGCTCGTCGACGTATTTCTCTTCTTCGTCGAAGACGACAATAGCGCCTTTATCCTCACTCATGTCTGCCAGAAGTGGCGTGAAGTCGCGCTAACGACGCCACGCCTCTGGACATGTATATCGACGCGCAGTACCCGGTGGAACAGCAACCTCGTCGCGTTGGCGCTAGAAAGGTCGTGCAACTGCTTGCTAGATGTTGCCCTAGATGATCACATTACGGATCCCTCAGCCATTCATCTTCATTTGGAAACCTGCGATGACCACCACAAACGTATTCGTAGTTGTACGATGCACGCTCCGGAATTTCTCTCCGTGCAGAGATTAGCAACGATAATAAATCAGCTCCCTTGTGTCAATCTTCGGTCTTTGTCGCTCAGCGTCATGACCAAGAACCCGATACCCTTGGGAGCAATTTCCAGGCCGTCTTCAGATACGAACTCCTCCATCCCACTTGCGCACCTGAACCTGACTAAGGTGCCTCTCACTTACCTCTCCCAGCACCTCTTAACAAACGTTGTGACTTTAACAATGTCTTATCCTCTGACGGCCCGCCTAATGCTGACAGATCTTACAAGTTTTCTGTCGTCCCTGCCTGGATTAGAGGAGCTCGTTCTTCTGAATACTGTTTTCGTGCCACCCCCATCGGTTGTCCAGGTGATCAAGCTACCTTCCCTCCGATGCATCGAATGGAGCTACCCACGCGAAGCCCTCATTTTACAACTTTTTAGCGCACTAGAAGTGCCCGCCCTCCAACGCCTCGACCTTTGGATAGATAGCCCCAATCCTAGATATCACACTTCCCAACCAACCACCAGTGTCTGCATCCTTCCTTCCCTCGAGGAGCTCCTCGTCCAATGCACAGACGAGGATGCCATGGGATCTGTCCTTCGCAAATTCGCCTTTCCCGTGCTACGCAAGCTTGAACTGACCAATGCCGACGAGCGCCTCAGACTCGAAGAAATCCGGTCAGATTCACTCCCTCTCCTCCCCCGAATGGAATCCCTCTTCCGTGACCCGCGGCAGCCGCAGCTCACTCATCTGACGTTGTCGCATTACATGCTTACGCCAAATGCCGAGGCAATGCTCGGGTACGTGCCCGCTCTGGTGTCGCTCTCCCTCGACGCCTGTACGGGCATCAAAGGTGTATTGGAGAGCTTGATGCGGGAAGCCGTTGGGACCGAAGGAGTGAAGTACTGTTCCAAGCTGGAAAGGCTGTCATTTTGGTCCTGTCGGGATTTAGAGAAGGGATTGTTGGAAAGATTGGTGAGGGCGAGGAATCATGCAAGACGTGGTGCCTGGGGAGGAGAGCGAAAAATACGACCTTTGCCTGAAGAGAGGAGAATACGACCTCTGCCTTCCAAACGGATCGGTGGTGTAGCGCACGTGAAGCCAGTGCCAATCACATATCTGAGAGTCGAGGATTGTCCAAATGTGACGGCAGAAGAAATGAATGCCCTGTCCAGAGAACTGGGTGTCGTTGATGTTGCTTTTAAATAACTATTTTCTGCTTGTATCACAACTACAGGTAGAACATCCATGTACAAATACAATGAACCGAGGGTAACCGATATCGATGAAACATAGGACAGAGTAAATTCCACGAAGGAATAAAACAAAGCAAAAAATATGCGCGTAAAACGCAGACACCAGTCCCAGAGTAGTCTGAATCGAGTTCCGCAACTAGAAAACCAGATTGCGGGCTACGAAGTGCACTAAAGGACATTCGACGAGCCCATGGCGACGTCGAACACCCAATCCCCGGCGCATATTTCAAGGTTCTTCCATCTATATCCCTCCCCTCTGAAGGATCTTTGGGCGTCCTGAAACAGGACGATAGGGAAGACCGTGTTTCTGGTACGCTGCCTCATGCCAATTATGACTGGGCCCAGCTAGAGCCGATCATGGGGGAATAGAATACTCAGACCTTAGCCCGCTCATGAAGAGGGACGAACGAAGCGTCCTGTGTGGAATGAGCCTCGTAGCTTTGGTACTGGTGGTTGATGAGGGAGAAAAATAAGAAATAAAGTTCGAGTTTTGATCGATTGCCTTACATAATATGCGGCAATTGCCGGAAAGGTCACAGCCCGACGGCATTCCACGGCAGCTTCCGCCTACCGTTGTTGTCAACGCTATCATGATATTACCACGATTTGTACTGGACGGTGAGTTGTTAGGTATTATTATAGACTTATTAACACTAACAAAATGAACGAAGTTGTTAATTTTTTGCAATAGATTCAAGCTTTGATCATGAGTTTGGAAGAGAAATCTGGATTTCGGACTTCGAGATGGAGCAATAGTAGACTTCGAAGAAGTACGTAAACCCGTGACCGCGTACAACTTGTCTTCCCACCGCGACTGTCGTCCGCTATATCGTAAGGATCATCTCGTCCCAGATTATTTTCCCCCATCGGGCTCGGAAACGTATCGCATCCGGATATTCGAACTTCGAAGTGAAGATTCTGCCAGTGTGCTGTTAACCGGGCCAGGCAACGGTAATGCCACGCCCCTGGCAATAAGCTGGAGGATGGAAGCGGGGACGAAAAGAACGGATATTCCCTGATATACCTGAGGTCACCAGGTGCGTGTATTTTTACAAATTGGAAAGAAATAACGCTAATGGCTGTCTAGGATCATCTATATATATACGTTACGGATGCGACTGCCGCGTCGACCTGCGTCGTTATCTCTCCTTCTGCGCCAATTGCATGCATTGAAACTCTATCATCTAATAATTGAATCACTTGACACGGCTGGCGCGAGCGCCGAGCTCTACTACGAGTCCCAAAGAGCCTTCCGGTATCTCAATGGAAGCAATTTTCTTTCCCAATGCCATTGCGATTCCTAGATCGTAGCTTATGGTTACATGCAACCAAGAAGGCTCTTTAAACACCACTCTTGGTGATATCTATCAACTGCTGGCGCTGATCTAAAGGACAGGATAGTCCGAGCTAGACCCGTCTTTTCCCCGGGAAAACTTCGGAGAAACCAACTTTGGCACCTCAAGTTGCTCCAACGTGACAATAATATCATTTCCTATATCTCTCAAATACAGGGGATCCAGTGATCATTTCGTTCGTTATCCCCTTTTTTCTGCAGAGGTACTCTCACTATGGCACCCTCCGACTTTGCCAACGCGAATATTGATGACATCGTTAACCAGCTAACAACTGACGAGGCTATCCTCTTGTTGGCTGGCGTCGGATTTTGGCATACGCACGCCATCGAAAGGCTTGGCATCCCTGCTATCAAGGTGTTTGTTACGCGTGTAAATTCTAGTTCGCCTTGTTAATCTCTAGTGATAGTGTTCAGATGGCCCCAACGGTGTCCGTGGAAACCATTTCTTCATGGGTACGCCCGCCAAATGTCTCCCGGTATGTGTCCGTCTCTATTCTTATTCTGATACCTATGCTTATCTCGACATATAGTCCGCTACTGCATTGGGAGCAACGTGGGACACGCAACTCATCGAAACTGTCGGACTGAAGCTTCTAGCGCCTGAATCCAGGCTGAGAGCATCGTCTCTGCTTCTCGCGCCCACCTGCAATATTCAACGAGTAGGTGTGACGCTGTTTGCAAATAACTGTGCTCATTTCATTTCAATTAGAACCCATTGGGAGGAAGAGTATATTTCTAAATTATAGACAGGAAGCGTTATCATTCATGGATCTTATCAGAGCTTTGAGAGTTTCTCCGAGGACCCGCATCTATCAGGTATGATAGCTTCTGCATACGTTAAAGGACTCCAAGACGGTGGCATTGGCGCAACCATCAAACATTTCGTGTGAGTGTCGGTTCACGCAGCAGGCCAATCTCACTGAAATTGATTTTGCAGCGGAAACGACAAAGAGAACGACAGAATGGCGTACGATAGTATCATGAGTGATAGAGCGCTTCGCGAGATATACTTGATGCCTTTCATGTTAGCTCTGAAATACGCCAAACCTTGGGCGTTTATGACCGCGTTAGTGTTGACCCTAACCGAAGGCATGTTCTAATGATCTTTCCTCTAGTTACAACCGCGTCAATGGCACGCATATGTCCGAGAATTCTTCAATCATCAAGAACATTCTGCGGGACGAATGGAAGTTCACTGGCATGGTACGTTGTACTTCTATCTGCACTTCACTCTGCACTCTGGCTCACCAATTTACATAGATAATGAGCGATTGGTATGGAAATCGGCCGCCGACACCAATCGCTAATTCAGTATTTCTATAGGTTTGGCGTTTATAGCATCGATCATAGTATCAATGCTGGCGTTGACCTCGAAATGCCCGGGACTAACAAGTGGCGTACTCTTGACCTAGTCAACCGGTCCATAGTATCAAGGAAGATAACTTTGCGCATCGTCAAGGCGCGCGCCAGGAAGGTTCTGGAATTAGTGCAAAGATGCTGTAAAGAAGCACCCGAGGTATGTTCTCTCTTCTTGTTTTGATCGCCGTCCATTTACGTCAATCTGCATAAAAGATTCTTGATGGTGACGGTTTGGAAAGGACAGTGGAGAGCGAGGAAGATAAGGAACTCATGCGACGGGTCGCTGCTGAATCCATTGTTCTGTTGAAGAATGAGGGTGGAATCCTTCCACTCAAGTCTCAGGGTCTAAAGAAGATCGCTATCCTCGGAGGTAACGCGAAAGCAATTGTTCTTTCTGGGGGAGGATCGGCTTCGTTGAAGTCTTCCTACTTCATCACACCCTTCGACGGCATTGCTAAGGCCCTAGGAGATAACGTCGAAGTAACATATGGCGAAGGCGCTCGTGGTATGTTCGTCTTAAGTAATTGGATTTATGTCCAGTTAAACTAATACGACCCATGATTAGGTTACAGGACCCTTCCAACCCTTGACTATGAGCTCTTCACCGATAATGGTGAACGAGGATGGGTTGGTACGTGGTATAGCCATGAGAACGATGAGAGCATGACGCCTTTGTCTGATCCGATCGAAACTCGATACATTGACGAGACCAGGATGTTCATCAGCACCTCTGCTCCGAAAGGTATCACTCGAAAATGGACGATGAAACTACGGGGATATCTTAAGCCTCGGACTCGGGATGTCGATTTCCGAGTTTGGACTGACGGTCGCAGGAAGGGCGAGGGTATGGATGTTTTTCTCTACAAAAAGATCCGAGTTCACCTTGACTCTAGCTGTATGTTGACGGGAACTTGGTTATCGATAATTGGAAGCGTCAGCGAAGAGGACAGAGTTTCTTCGGTTCAGGAACTGAGGAAGAGACAGGCATCTATCTCCTCAAAGCGAACATCAAGCACAAAATCTATGTGGAGTTCTGTAACGTTCGCGGACCAGCCGATGGTGATGAGGACGAAGCTGTGATGGATAGGTATCTCTTCGTTTCTTCTAGTTTGCGAGATACTAAGACCTTATATAGTAATCCAGGCGTTCGTCTAGGTGGTGCTGAAGTTGAAGATCCGGATGTGTTGCTGGAAAATGCCGTCCAACTGGCAAAGGAGGCTGACGTAGCCATTGTCGTTGTTGGCCTGAATGCGGACTGGGAGACCGAAGGCCATGATCGTACTACCTTGGCGCTTCCTGGACGCATAAATGAGCTTGTTAGCAGGGTCGCCGCTGTTAATCCCAAGACGGTTATTGTCACTCAGGCTGTACGCAATTGTTCACTCACTTGCTTTGGGGTGCTGATAGATTTGCGTGTAGGGATCCGCAATTACCTTGCCATGGGCAGATTCTGTCCCTGCGATTTTGCACGCGTGGTATCTGGGTAATGCGACTGGAGATGCAATTGCCGATGTTATCATTGGGAAACATAACCCTTCGGGGAAACTGTCCTTGACTTTCCCTAAAGTGGAGGAAGATGTTCCGTCTTACGGACATTTCCATTCAGAAAACGGAAAGGTATATATCATGCATTGTGTTTGCTGGTTCCTTGATTACTAACGTTACTACAATTGATGCTTAGGTCCGATATGCAGAGGATCTCTACGTTGTAAGACACATCTAGCCCTTCACGACGATATCTTATGATGCCTTAGGGTTACAAGCACTTCCGGCACCGTAAGATCAAACCTGCTTTTGCATTTGGGTAGGCTTTTTTGTCTGTGAAGCTGAAAAGCATTCCGGCTTGACTGCTTCCTGTAGACATGGTCTTTCGTATACGACATTTTCCCTATCTGTCTTATCCATTTCAAAGCCAACATATGTAGATGGTGATGTCACTGTCGCACTGTCGCTCACCATCACGAACACTGGTTCACTCTCTGGAAGTCAAGTAATCCAAGTGTACACGACCCTTCCGGCCACCTTCGAGCTAACACATCCGTCGCTCCAACTCAAGGCGTTCGCAAAGGTCCGTGACCTTGCGCCAGGAAAGAGCGAGTCGGTGGACATCAAACTGGACAAATATGCTGTTTCGTACTGGGATGATAAGATCAACTGTTGGGTTGTTGAGAAGGGCAGTTATGGTGTTATGATCGGTCTGAGTAGCGAGGATCTTGGCCTCAGCTCTCAAATCGTTTTAGAGAAAGGGTTTGAGTGGAATGGTCTTTGATGACATATGTAAATGCATGGTGGGAAATATAGGTTGAGCATCACCTTCGCATGGGAGCAGTTAGTCAGCAGTGGGGCGGGTCAGCCAGCTCGATCCTTCGCCATAAGGAGAAGTGTCTTTTTCGCTAGCGCACGTCGCGACGCTTCCCATGCGGCATCTATCCTGCTCAGCATTTAGGCCGGCCGACTGACTACGGAGAATGACTTTTATATGGCCTTCTGGATTACACAGTAAGTAAGTATTATGGCATCTCGTCCTTTTACCCGGATCGTTCAGGCTCACCAATGCCCTAAGTAGTATAAGGTGCAACTCGTTGTAATGGGCGCCGCGAGAGCCTACACAGGCAGACGTCATTTGTCGTTGTTCTTAGTCGCGCCAAGCCTTTGAAATTGCTCTTGTTTTTGCAATTATTTTTTTACGCACATCTGTGGTGTCCTCCTTGATAGGCGTAAGATCTTGGTGGCTACCACGATACTGGAGGGCACCCAAAGTTCCAAAAAAATAGCGTGCACTTTCTTACGTTCTTAACACGTCCATCATTCGACTGCGACACATCAGAAGGAAGCCTTCCATCTTTCATGAAGTTTGGTTGAACCATTATCAATTTGATGGGTTGTACTGCGCAAACTGTGCACACGACCACTCCGACGACCGATGGCCACTATCTTAGAGACTCTAATATTTTGTAGTACAGTTCCTTGAACTTCTCCCTCGCTTCTCACGCCAGCAGGCCCCTACGAGCGGCTCCATTTTGCTTCCCGGCAGTCCTCCACCGACGAACTTGTATCAACTTCTTGTCCTTCGGGAATGACCTGGCGTCGTATTTTCCCCAAATCGGACCACGCTCTTCTTCCCCAGTTGTCACCTTCCGCGGCCTCAAAACGGTCCCATAGACTCCCCCGGACTGTATTATGGCTTATCATTGGATCGCTATTTATTCCGGGCATGCTCTATGCCATGCATCGTTTTTCTACCTATCCTTTTTTTCCAATCTCTCAGAGCCCAACCTCTATCATTCAGTTTTCTTCCGAACCGTATTCCTGGCAGCCTTCGCCCGACCTTCATTTTTGGCAATCCAAAAAATACTCTCCTTCTACTCTTTGCACGCCCACGAACCGACATGACAGGCCGCATCTTACATCCGTAAATTCCATCTCCTGCGATCAATTTGCAAGCCACCGCGACGGTAATCCGAAGACATTCGGCTTACTTCCTGTAACGCCTGTTCCAGTAGACTGTCTGGAAGACTATTTTGCTGGGCAGGCCTGCTCTCGCTCTCTCACCCAGAGTGCTAATTCCGAGTTTAATTCTCGAGCACCCATAGATATCGTGTGGACGTGGGTTAATGGCAGTGACCCCCTCCATCTTGCAGCCCTAGACGATACCAAACATGCCTACGGATATAGTAGCTCGAAACCTAAGCTGTATCGGTGCGTGTTCATATTAAGTCTACTCCAGAATCTGTCTTATTAGAATGAAAGCGATCATAATGAACTCAAATATTCTATGCGTTCGGCGGTAGCACATTTTCGACACGGCGTCGGCTCCTTTCACCTACTCACCTCCGATACTGCTGCCTCCAATTCCCCGCTTACTAGCGAAGTGCGCTGTGGCCAAATCCCTCAGTGGCTTTCAGGCTCACGATGGACAGATGGATCTATCTCCTTGGACATTCAGCACCATTCCCAGTTCTTTACTCCCAGCGAATATTTCAGTCCTACATTCAACAGCTTCGCCATAGAGTCGCACCTCGGAAGTCTCTGCGGTGTTTCCGAGAACTTCATTTATATGAATGACGACTTTTTTTTCAATGGAGATGTCGAGACTGAAGATTTCTACACACCATTCTTTGGACCTGTTCTTCGATTCGACTATGGGGTAGGCGTCGACCCGCACAATCCATCTGGTGCGGATCCGGACGGAGAGTGGCGTCCCTTGGACTATAGCAGCCATTTACTGTCCAAGCGATTTGGCTTAAGGCCACGCCTGTACATCGTCCATGCCCAGAAGCTCATTAATATGCCTATCATGCACGAGATGTCTGTAGGCATGTGGTCGGAAGAGTTCAGAGCTACTGCGCATCATCCCTTCCGAGGAATGAACGGACGGCCAACGGAGACTGACCCAGGTATGTTCTTTGTAAAATTTCAAGGGGCGCATTCGAATACTGATTCCACATTCTAGCCCCCGAACATGCCCGTGACGGGGACGACGTTCATCCTGGTTTTATGTTCAGTAATTATCTCATTGATCGTGGGCGAGAGGCGCTCTTATGGTCATGGGTCGTCGGCCGTATTGGTGGAAAGGGAACACTGTCTGTAAATCAAGAAACTCCCGATTGGTTAGATAGCGATGATCGCTGGGACCCAGAATTGCACGGCGCACGAGCATGGGAGGAACTTGGAGGAGTCGTCGGCAAGGCCAAGATCGTAGTACAGGTCCCCAAAAGAGAAACACTTGACCATAATCGTGTCGAAAGTCTCGTGAACAAACGGAGACCGGAAATGCAGAGTCAATATGTCTTTTCGTCTCAGGATGGATGCCCGCTGCAATACACGAAACCCAATATACCTGGACACCCACCAAAACTGGCCGAGAATCCACATTACAAAAATTTCGGATGGAGGACAGCGGCTCTCTGTGAAATTCGGTGGAATCAGTGTTTCGAGAAAGACGGTGGACCTATTGAGAGTGCCAGCGAGCTTCTCGTTCATGTGGCGTTCGAGAATGTCAACTGTGGAGATTGCAGTAAGACTCCTTCGCTCTGAATTCACAGCCGCGTTTTAAGGTTTTCCTCCAGTGATCAGAGCCTTGATGGTCGCTTCAGGGCCTCTCAGTTTGTCCGAATTCCTTCCATCACCAAATAGGACTGTGCCACTACGCCTGCCGCAAAACTACGTCGACGAATTACCTCCCATCGGACCCCCGCATCTACCTCTAGCGCCTGACTATCATGACATCGACTTCTCTTTGCAATTCGTAATGGCACCGTGGATTGAAGAGGCCGCTCAGAGGCGAGGATCGGAGGAAGGAGCACCAGGGATCAGTGTCAGAGAATGGACGATGATGGTCCTTCAAAGGTACCGCTATGTTGTAGGTAAGTACTCTCCCTATTTTTTTCTTTGCCAAGAGGCTTGTTTAGTTAATAACTTCTGCAGGCGAACTGCCAACGAGATTCCTCTCAATTGACACGCCTTCCGCAGCCCGCAGCGGCGTCAAAGGTCTTGGAAATGATGCTTTGAGGTTAGTGTGCATCAACGACGATGTCAGGAACGAAAATGACGTGTCTGCCGTTGATGAAACCCTACAAGATTGGTTCAGTTCCAAGTGGCCAACACCAGCAGCTTGGGAGACATGACCTTGTATTTATTAGGATGTATTACAAGCAACATCTAATCGTATACTAGTATTACTCGACTTTACCCGAGTCGAAGTTACAGATGAAGGTGTGGCGAATGACGATACTGATTAGGACTTAGTTTGCCTAATACTCTTGATCGGGCCGTTGCCGAGGCTAAGTCGGAGATTAAAGTACTTAACATCTATCTTCGACCAACTCACTATCGTGAAGTGATCGTTGACACCGGTACTTTCGCACTTCCTCCGATTTCCATAACTTTCGGCCTTCCTGATGCCTTGGCACTTGTTTTCAAGGATGCTTACAGACACTGGGTCTGCTTTTGAAACTCGGAGCCAACTCGGTACCACAACGCTGGCTTAATATGCTTTATTCATCTTCGCCACTGGGGACTTGGCCAAACTCCAACAGTCTGGAGATATCTCCAAGTGGTTCTCTGTCAGACTTGGGATGCCTGTTTCAGCTGCCTTGTCTAGTAGATCATAAGCTCAGAGCTCGGAAGCGACATTGATACATGTCCCATAACAAGCCCGTGGGTGGGCGATCCCTCACTTACGGAAACATAGGGAAACATCACTTATAGTGACGCCAGCTGTCCCCGACTCTGAGAAATCCTATGTCGATGTTTCTGCCACAGAGTGAATGGCGATGCGCGCATTGATACTGGATCTAGCGTTCTCCCTCAAATTGGCCCGCCGACCGCCCCGTCGTGCCCTTTTCGGGATTTATGCAGCCAAGTCAGCCTGAACGCTGCCTTTCCAGGCTGTACGCCCTTTCTTCCTTCTGACCCGTGTTGTGTCGTATGGTTGTTCGATGCGCATTCACACTAACGCCGACTTGCTACTACACGCAGAGTAAGACAATTTGACTCCTTTTGAGTTTCCCCGCGTAGATTTTGGAGTGTCCTTCAAAATGTTTTCCTTCATTCTGTATATAACAGCATTGACCAGTGGAAAAGCTTGACGTCCAACCCTCCTTGTTTTCCATACGATGCGCCGAGCATTTGTGGTACCTCTTCTTCTAAGTACAACCGTTTTCTGCCAGCAGATTTGGGACATCGTAAGTCATCAAACACTATCTTCATCTCAAATTCTTATCTGATTTGTACTAGTGGCAAACAACCTGGGACAGATCCAAGCTCTTTACCTCGCTCGCCCCTTCCACACCGATAAACTTTCAGTCTCCCGATAGCATTGGGAGTGCAGACATTGTTGTAAATGATACCTCCACATACCAGTCGGTCTGGGGGTTCGGTGGATCGCTTAGTAAGCCTAGCATGAATATATAAAGTAATCTGAGCTTGATGGGATATCATAGCTGATTCGTCTGCGTTGATATTGAATAACTTGAAGGTACGTGATATTATTACATGTCGTGCTTGAAGTTTATGAGCTTATTTTGTTCGATTTACTAGTCTACAAATCCCAGCAATTACTGGACGCTTATGAAATATCTCTTTGATCCCACAGACGGTGCAAACGCTGCAGGTTTGAATTATATTCGTGTACCTCTGGGTGCATCCGATTTCTCCGCAAGCCGTGAGTTGATCACAGTGCACAGTGATTTACCCACGCGGCTGAAACATGATTAGAATACAGCTTTGATGACTCGAACGGTGACATGTTCTTCGCCAAGTTCAACATAGATGCTGCGCCATCATATCTGTTCTCCATCCTCAAGGACATAATCTCCATCAATAGCCGTAAGTTTACCTCGCTAAAGTTATAGTGTTACTGACCGAGATGTACTTACATAGTCGTGAAGGTACATGTTCTGCCTTGGTCTCCCCCTGGATGGATGAAAGATAGCGGAACGATGAACGGAGGAACTCTCAAGCCAACGATGGTTACCAAATGTATGTTTCGTCTCCTCTCCCGTCGTGTACAAGACCAAACTGGACCACAGATGCGACATACCTCCTCAAATGTCTTCAGGGATTCCAATCTAAAGGCATACCGATTTATGCCATATCGATACAGAACGAGCCCCAGAACAACTTAAACGCGTCTCCGACTGCCACTTTCACTGCGGCTATCGAGGGAAGAATCGGGACGGCTTTGAGGGCGCTGATGGATAACTTTGGTTTCGAATCGGTAAAGCTCATCGGGTGGGACCATAACTGGGATGGTGCTGGAAGCTACGCTATCGACCTTATGGACGCAGCTGGTGACGCTTTTGATGGTGTGGCCTTCCACTGTTATGCGGTAGGCGATTCATTTGTCTCAAATGTCTTGGGCTCACAAGTTTGGGTTTGAAGGGAAACGTTGCTGAACAGGACACTTTTCACACTAAATATCCTGACAAAGAGGTGAGATCTGATTCTGAAACTCGAAAGGACTGCGGCTAATGGTGTCCGCCAGATCTACTTCACTGGTGGGTAAATGCGCTGTAAATCGTGTAACATCACTGACTTCGATTCTTGTTGTCATGAATTCAGAATGCACGGGAAGTTTAGGTAAACCGTTTTTTATTCTTGCATGTCGTTACATATTCTCATTAACGCTTTCAGGCAGTGACTGGTGGAGCGACATCAAGGCAAGTGTTTTTCTTATAGTCATTGGGTAATCGCGCGGCTTACATGCATTTCACACGTAGTGGTACATGGACAATATGTACGTTAAGTCCCTTACATTCATTTGCTGCTCAAGTATCAAGGGTATTCAATTTTTTTCAGTTTCATAGGTATCTTCCGTTGCTGCGTTTTGTCTTTTCACAACTGATCCCATGGCGATATAGGCGCAATAGAGCACAACTCTCATTCTGGTCTCATGTGGAATATTGCTCTTGATGGTAACGGAGAACCTAGATACCCTGGGACGACTAGCTGCAGCGAAGGCTGTCGGGCTATTGTTCAAGTCAATTCCGATGGAACATACAGTGTTAATCAAGAATGTAAGGACTGACCATATTTTTGTCGTTTTTCCGACTCTCATCATTGCATTGTCGTCAGTCTACGCCATGGCCCAAGCATCTAAAGCTATTATTCCGAAGGACAAAGGAGGCCCATTCGGTAAACGCGTCAAAGTCAGCGTTGGTGGCAATTTGAGTTGGGCTCTTCGTGTTGGCGCATACGTTACAGGAAGGACCTCATCATCGGACTGGTTGAGATATTCTCTGGTTGTGCTGAATTGTAGGTGGACTGTGCTCAGCTCGTCCCAACGACTAATCCTTCTTAGGGGACGATCATCCTAATGGCACGTGGAGTCCTCAACCTGTCGACACTACGATAGAATTCAGGGGCATGCAGGTGCGTATTTAGGCACCTCCGGGTGAGCAGAAAGACTAACTGTAGGAACAGGCTAGGTACACTTTCCCCGTTGGCGTCACAACTCTGTGGTGGTACGGTATGTGTGACGTTGGTTCATTCTTCTGGAGGATACCACTCATTGAACGCCATACAGGCTCCCCTCAGTCATCGTTGGTTCAAGAGCCACTCGAGGTCTACGCCCAAACTGGACAGAACGAGCCAGAGAGATTAAAGATGTCTCTGGAAACACGAGACGAGCTGTAAATGGAAGCATAATAATATGGCCTTCGAATGTAATTTAGTAGCTCTTTAATTAGTTCATTCCTACGTCTGCTCTATACCTTACGGTCTAGACTCTAGTAGACCTTAGCCCTTCGAACAGAACACGTGATGGCGATTTCCAATTTCAAACTGAGATTGACCGGCGGCTGTCAGTACTCATGAATTGATTCCTTCAGTCAGCCTCAATCTGCATTCTAACACGTAGATGACGGCAGGACGCTCCTTTCCCAATCATCCTGGCTCAGAACTGGTCATTCTTCGACAGAAGTGTCGGTAGAGTAAGGACCTAGCAGCGTGAAGACCAGCACTGCATCTTAGAGCTTGTTGCCTCGGTTGCTGCCACTGGATGGAAGGTATCAGTGTGTGCTGCATGCTGAAGAGCTCAGGTGCGTATTTATACTTTTATTCGCCGACGGACAGCTCTGACTGACAGAAATTTCTCTCAGCGTGTTCGATGAGTAACATACCCGGCAGATTTCTCATGCGGCAGCAAAGGATCCACAAATCCTGGAGATGACGATGCTGTTCAAGAAATTTGTTCCTGCAATGTCTGGTCCGGGTACTATGTCACAGCTGTCATGCCGTTCATCTCTCCGAGTCCGTCGTCCTGATCCTGATCGGTGTCTCCCTACTACTTTCCGTGTATTGACGCAGTCCAGATTCATTTTACACTCCCTTCATTGCACAGCAAGCACTGAAATATACTCTTACCAGATCTTTTACTGCCGGTAACGTTAATACCGCCATAGTATCAATCCGCAACGTTCTACATCCGGTGTGTTCAACGTTGATCGCTGCTGCTATGGCGTATCTGTCTATTAACCCTACCGTGAGTCGTAGTAAGGCTATTTTTGCGTCTATTATATGTCATTTGTCACAGCGAAGAAGCGAGCATGAACAAGCTTGTATGGTGAAAGATATGTTCCTGTCATTTACCCAGAGATCTACCAGCTACTCAGTGGAAAGAAAATGCATCTCCAGGAGCCTGATTTACTGGGCAGGGTCACTGCCTTTTCGCAAGTGCTCATGGAGAGCATTTTTATAGAGGATTTTATATTCATCCCACATGGTTTTTAAGGTAAATTGGTACAGTCGGAGAACAGGCTTAAGTAGCGGGATGCCTTTGGACTGTACGACTTTGCCACAGCCAGTTTTCGAGTTGTTTTTACTAGATATTTTGTTGCACTATCCGCAGATTACGCTGCAGTCTCGGCTAGGACACCATAATCCAGCATTACTGGTTCTTAGTAACCGGAATTGACTTCGCTTCAGATTCACCTCAAGCGCGAGATTCGGCCATTCGATGAACAACTCTCCGAGCGCCTTCGATTAAACAAGAGACGAGGGCAAAGATTGGCGTGTGCACCAATCTTCTCGGCATGTAATGAGCTCTTCAAGAGTCTTTCTGTCAGTGTGCTTATTTAACAGGTTCGGGCATGGGTCATCCCCGTTTCCAGGTTTATCGGCTGTCTCCGGGGGCGAACGATGTTCAAGTTAATGGTCATCAAATTGGGACCATTCTCAGCTTGTGTTACTTTCAGCCTCATTCAACGGCATATCGTTTATCAACCGCCCCTCCTGGAGCCTTGGAAGTTACGAACAGCCAATTTTGGGACTTTCTAGCCGTCCTTCTCCTACAACACCCATACCTCTACTTCTGCCTCCTTAATTGCATCGTATCTATTATCGCCAGGAAATTTGAACGGAGAGAGATGTTATCTATGTGGTTGGGTGCTACGGAACATCCCTTGGATTTTCCTCGTAGCGTCAACGATCAAACCACGATGAATTTAGTATCATAAAAGCAGAGAGGCGCCCGAGGAGGTCGATATATGTAAGTCTTATAAGTGCTATCAGCCTATGCGTGATAGTCATTATAACCCGATATGCAGATGGTCTCCATGGGTTGTCAATATCGCCTGGGCCGATAAAGGTGTCATGGGCTGCGCCGTCACCTCCATGATGCCGTCTACCCGCTTTAGAGGACATTGTGGTATATGGGCAGCCTACCAGGTTTACAGTCATCAGAATAGCGAGCCAATCCATGAAGCCCTGTCTTCATCACCGCCCATCGAGCAAGCATCTGATCTTGACCTATCTTTGAGAGTGCCTGGCCACTTGTGTAACTTGATTTGACTACTACCTGCCGGATAGGGTCGTGCCATGTCGACAATGGCTTCGATATTCATGTTTACTTTTATACACACCAGTCTAACCTCCTCAGCTGTCAATATTCGTCTGCGTCACCACCACCACTACTTTTGCGTACCCAGTGTCTAAGCGATGGTTAGTAAAGAACCGATTGTACAAATACAGACGAGTCGACTCTAATATGTTGCGCAACAACTCTGCAAAGACCCTCCGAGTCCCGGAAAGGGAAACTTCCTCTTGAAGAAAGAGATTTGCGTTCATCGAGCTCATCAAGGGGTACGTGTTGTATTTTCTTCTCCTGCTTCTCTGATAGATACCTCGTTTCCAGGGTAAAGTTTCTCCCATCTTATATGATCGTGCTGGTTCTCATCTCTATATGATTTGCAAAAACTGGTGCCCCTGAAAACCTTTGCCGAGACTCAAATATTCAGGATCCGCCAGCATAATGATGATAGAACTGACCTCAAATTTTTCCTACGTTCTTCCTGTCAACATGATAGAACAAACTCAAGTTGTTAGGGGCACCGTGATCTCACTTCGTTAGTTATTTTGATTCTCTTCCTCAACGCGTTTTCCCTAATCCTAATTCAGCAAAACCAATCTCTGAGAGGCTTGCAGTTCGTACCACCACTTTCTCTACGTAGGCTACGATACAGGGCTTTCTCTGGAAAACTTCAAGTCGCGTCTCTATCACGAGCCGCGTTGGAACTATCACAATGTACACGACGGCTCATTAAATCGCCAAACACAGTCGGTACGTAAGGATTCTGGTGCGATTTGATACTGATCATCATCTTTACGGCAGCCAATAAGCGTGGCCGTGAGCTGCACACTGTTATAAATGAGAGGGCTGGTACGTGCTATTCTCTTAACCCATTACCCCGTTGGCTCTGTACTTACTTTTCCTCATGGCGACTCAGGGAAATATTCCACCAGATCTTGCCGACAAAGACAGAGCTTTCGTGTTTCAAGAACTCGACGCTACCCTGAACTCCAAAATTCTCTACACGCTATTGCATGGTGGGCAGCGACTTTTAGCGCCTTGACGTATGAGTGTTGACCGATGTCAGGCACATACACTGGTATTCTTGCTGTTACGTTGTGGAATATATGTGAGCCAGGAGCATCTCTACTACAGCATCCAAGCTGACATGAGTGGCAGTCATCAACAAATGCTGGCCGATGCGACGAGCCTTGGTTGTCGTCATTATTCTCCTTCATACCCTGATTACTATCAATGTTGCTGCCAATTGGTCATTTATATGCTCCGCATTCATCAAAAATGGACAAAGTTTTTGGACCGTATACTCGAAGCTTGATGATGTGAACCAAGTAGTCTATTGGGAGTCAGGTATCCCAGCCTCTATGGGTACCATCCTCGCAGACTCATATATTGTGTGTGCTACTTCGCTGGTGATTATCCATGCCAGCTTACCATCTTTTCAACTCTAGATTTGGTGCTGTTGGATGGTCTGGGGACGGCGCTGGCTGATTGTTCTACTTCCAATCCTTTCCCTAATTTCTGCAACCGGTAAGTTGTCCGATCTCATCTACCTATTTCATATATCCGACTTTATGTGTAGTGTCGAAAATCATTGATATATATCGTGTGTACTTCACTGCAGCGGACACAGTATTCCAGATGCTCTACGTATCCTTCATCCTGGCAACGACATTATGGTGCACATTGCTTATCATTTTCCGCATTTTGACTGTTACCGGGGTTAGGCGCAGAGCAGGCGGTCGACTGAGAGTTTATTACCGTTTCATTGAAGTGCTAGTGGAATCCTCCGCTCTCTATACAATAGCTCTGATTCTATACTTGGCTGTCTTCCTTCGCAATGATTTTGGATCGTATTACATTGATGCCATAGCCGGTATCACGAAGGTGCGTTCACTACCTTGGACTCCCGCATTGTTTATCAAACACCTTGTGTAGGGAGTTGCACCCACGCTCCTTGTTGGCAGAGCAGCCGCAGGACACACGCGCCCAAACGAAGAACATGACGACAGTGCGACAGTGTCGACCCTTCGTTTCCAGACGTCTTCGCAATCTTCTCAGTCTTCTCAACCTTCCATGGCAAGCTTTCAGGAATGCACCGGGCAGAGCGCAGTCCTTGAGATGGACATTGAAGCTCAACAGGTGCGGTCGGATGAGCTCGTGGTAGTTGTTGAAAGGACGCAATAGAGCTCATGGCGAGCGTCTGAAAGTCGGGGTGAGACTGGAGACCAAATTTAGACTGTCATTTTTTGTTCATGCTATCCTTTTTTTACTATCGTACTCTCTACTTTATTTTTCGATCAACTATAGAACATCTAAATCTCTGCAATCCCTCCTTCCCAATTAAACGAAGCAAGATGGTTGCGCCTAGCTGAAAGCGCTGCCCTTGAGTAATGTGCGATACAAATGGTACAATGTCGGGATTAGCCGAACCCAACTTGATTCTTACTTTTATGCGAGATCAAGATGCCGGTAACACCACCACACCACCACCAAGCTCCCGCCCTGCGTTTCACCCTGCCATCTGGGAACTCAAAAGTTTGCAAAGGCCGCCCTTCGGAACTCGAAATAATGACAGGAACATCTTCCGACGGGACAAGAAAGGCGGGGTAGCCGATTCTGGTTTCCCTTGGCGCATCACTTTCCGACCACTACATATTTCGTATTTCCAGCCGAACTGGAAGGACGGTCACATCAAGCGAAGATCGTTGGGCGCTACTAATCTCGAGGTAGAGGCTTTTGCACATACCAATTTTTCTCAGGGTCCGCCTTGTCACGGTCTCTACCAAACTTCCATCTTCCAGCAGCAGATGAAAGGCCACAAGACCCTTTCCGTACAGGATTCGCAGTCCTATCTCACGAGTAGATCATGGCTATGGTCTGAGTGCTTATCTCTTCGGCTTAAGAGTCCCTGTACTGAGTTCTGGTCACGATTGTACTAGAAATTCAGCGCCTAGGTTACTCTTCAATGCCCCAAGACACTTCGTCTTGAAGCGAGGGCTTAGTGGTCTACAAGCTTGTTTTGGGATTTGTTGTGGGCAGCACCGGTACGCCGTCAGTGGACAAGGCTATCGACGCACGGTGTGTTCTTGTGAATGCAAGTCGTGTCTAATACCAGCGGACTCTTGGTGTCCGTTGTGATTACACGATTTCTTGTCTATAATCATTCCATATACTACCAACTGCTTCATGATCAACATCAATCAGTAGATCGGTAGTGGTGTAGTTCGATTTTTGTGCGTACGAGGCCTACGTCTTAGGGACTCTGCGTTGCTGCGGTGCGACTGCGACACAGTACGCTTCATCACTGGTTTTGCGCCAGTAATGTATCCAATCCCATGCAGTCTACTTTTCGTCTGCTGGATGGCATTAATTTTTGATCCACTACCCACTCTTTGGAGCATTCTTATCTTGCAATTGATCCCCGTTTTGGCCTTGTACGTGTTGTCTTAATCCTCCCTGATGTTGACATTCATTGCCTTTTGTTTCGCTAGCCCCACACGGTATCTGGGAATTTGCGAAAAGTATCTAACAATCAGTCATAATTCGTTTTCTACAAAATATCACACGTCGTCTCAACAATAGAGTATGAGAATTATTTACTGTACATGTACTATCAAAAAGTTGAAAAAATCGGCTATCATCCTGTGCGTTGCCAGCGCCGTGAATATTGTCGTCGACTCTTGTGGGACTCGAGGATCGAAGGTGATTGCCCAATTCGGTACACGTTGCTTGATCACTCCCACCACGTCCAATGAATCTCTCTCTCTACAGCATCAATGCATTCATAGTCCTCGACACCGAAGGACATCGCGTCCTTGCAAAGTACTACCGGCCCAAAGGCCACCCTCAGGGCGAATCTAAAGAGCTGCTCACCTTGAAGGACCAGAAAGCATTCGAGAAAGGGCTCTGGCAAAAGACGAAGAAGGCTGGAGGTGCGATTGCTGCATTCGGCCGGCATGAACAGCGCACTGATATTAAGGGCAGGAGATATCATTCTATTCGAATCCAAGCTCGCCGTGTACAAGCATTCTCTCGACCTCATTATTTACTTCATTGCTGGGCCCACGGAGAATGAGCTCATGCTTTCAGCAGCACTGAATTCGCTTATCGACGCACTTTCTCTTTTGCTAAGGAATCAACTGGAGAAGAGGGCCGTGTTAGAGAACTTGGATATGGTATTACTGTGTCTGGACGAGACGATTGACGATGGGTGCGTCCAAGATACTCTTGTCTCTGTCGCAGTGCTCATTTTACTCTCTGTAGGATCATCATGGACACGGATGCTGCTGCTATTGCGTCGAGAGTGAGCCGGCCACGCCCCGACACGACAGATATCGTCATCAATGAGCAGACGATAATGAATGCATACCAGACTGTGAAGGATAAAATGGCCCAGCGGATGGCGCAGTTCTAGATTGGTATGTCCACTTATGCTTAAATTGTTGAAGTTGACCTCGGGATAGCCCTCTTGTAGACGTGTTGTTTATTTCATTGCAATTATTCTCTTGCATCAGTCGGATATTTGTTACTTTTACGCTTTCATTGAATTTGTTGCAACGCTCAACAGACAAAATTCAAAGTGCGGTACGTTGTAACAGGTCAACACCTATTGCACAGCGCGTTACCACTCTTGCACACAAGGCTCGGCTTACGACAACTGTAAAATTTGCTTCAGGCGAGACGTTTTACAATTCACGATGGCTTGTTTTTGGAACTCGTGCCTAATGTCGCTCACGGGATATGGCCTTCGCATTCTTGTGATGATTGCCGGTCCGAACACATTTGCTGAAGGTAAAAGAGTGTCACTTATTTCTCACTGCAAGTGCTGGACTTTCAGGTCTATTTCGTAATCTGGTCCCCATACGAAGACGGGATGTGGACTCGTTGATCTTCGCATGCCCAAGAATGCGGCGCCTCAGATGGGAGAACTGTCGAGGTCGTAACTATTCCGTCGGACCGATCCCAGCGTCATTTGGCTGGATCCATACGGACCGGTTGGCGTATAAAGCTCAAGTTGACAGTGGACTGATCGAAACGTCGCAATGCAACCCCTGCCCCTCCTTCTGGCCTTCTCTGCCTGTGTCCTAGCAGAAAACCTCTCTAACATCCGCTTGTCCGGCCCTCCTACACTCCCTCCAGATGCATCCAAATACCTCAACCCAGCACTAGCCAGTTTCAGCATCGAGACCGCTTTCTGGACCTCATACGTCGGGAATGTGTCCAACCCCAACTCGTTAACTAGGAACCTGCTGGAGAACCTCAAAAGCAGAACCGGTGTACCTGCAGAAATCCGGATTGGTGGCATTACTGCTGACTCGACGTACTATAACTCAACTTTGGATATGGCCTTGTTCAACTTTATCACTGATGAGTATGACTTGTGGTTTGTTTTGTTTCTGCCAAGGCCTGATCGTAGACAGCGGAACTCTGCATAACACGACAGTTGGGCCAGAGTTTTGGAAAACTACGGATTTGCTACCCGAAGGAACGAAAATAGTCTTCAACTTGGTGGGTTCCCTTACATTTGATTCTCCAGAGTTCATCGATGGATGCGTAGGATCTCGAAGACCTCGATTTTGAGGGTGCTTTAGACATGGCGACGGCTGCCGTAGAGAATATGAAGGCTGGGCAGTTGATTGGAATGGAAAGTACGCCGCTTCTTTTCTCGTTATTGATGAGTGGCCCGACCTGCCCTTGAACAGTCGGAAACGAACCCGATCACTATCTCGGCTTCACACCGCGAAGCTACACCAATATATGGATGGTGAATGTGATTACTATTTTCTACCTTGTCGTTTATGCTACTTTTAGCCCTGGACTAAGAACATATCAGACGCGCTGAACATCTCGACACCATTCTTCCAGATTGCCGCCACCGCTGAGGATCCACTCTGGCCTTACGGAACAGCTGCTGCTAATGCACAGTTGGATTGCGTGAGTGCGTTGGCAGTGGGTGCAAATAATGATAGCACGGTGAAGACGTGTAGTGAGCACACGTATCAATATAGTGTAAGGGCTTCTCTATTTCAAAAACGAGGCATTTATGTACTGACTATGATCTTAGGTATGCGACCCAGTCCGTCTGAGGCAGGCTACGCTGGTTAACCTGGTGAGTTCTACAGGCGTTTTATACCCGTGCTCGACTTGACGCGCGTCCAGGTTAATCACACTCGCCTGGCCCAGTGCGCCAACCTTTTCTCTTGCATCATGTTGATGTTAGCGCTGACATGCTCGTCAGGTATCTTGACTTGTGGCAGCCTCGCATCAAAAGTGTTCGCGAGCAGCTAGGTTCAGACTCATTTGTCATTGGTACGTGGTTGCCATCCGTTTCGACATTGCAAGGTGTTCATCCTCCCTCATAACCAGGGGAATACAATTCTGTATCATGCTCTGGTAGAGATGGAGTTAGCAACACATTTGGTCAAGCCTTGTGGCTTCTCGATACCACTCTTTATGCCGCTTCTATTAACGTATCTCGGTGCGTGACCGTTTCCTTTTTACCTTATGTTCGTGCTCAAGCATCTCACTTAAGACTGTTCATGCACCAGGGTGGTCCCCTGGCTCTACAAAGTTCAACTCAGCTCAATCACGGAGGATTGAGTCTCTACGACATGTGGTATGTTGTTGTCAAGGGTCCGTTATTCGCATTTTTGACTCTACCATAAGGTATCCCATCGAAAACCTGAACGGACCAGTCAAAGTTTTCCCGTCCTACTCCGCCTACCTCTTTATCGCTGAAGCGATCGGTACTTCTCAAAGCCTTCGTATAGGGAACATATACCCAGGCCGACAGGCCAACGGGTCAAGCATCACTGCCGCGATGGGGGACGCATCCCAAGGGCAACTGGTGGCTTACGGATTCTGGGATGATTCAAGTTTGGGTTACCCGGTGAAGTTGGCTCTACTCAACCTGCAGAGCTACAACGAGACGGAGGAGGGGACAAGACCGAGCACCATGTTCGATATTTCGAAGTACCTTTCAGAAGGTAAGGGCTCGGTCACCGTTCGGAGGCTACAGGCCCCAGGAGCCGATGTGAAAGAGGGAAATGTCACCACGTGGGCAGGACAGACATATGCGAACGGTGTTGCAGAAGGAGAATTGATAGAAGAGAAGATTGACGGGGAAGTAATCGTTGTCGCAGCGTCAGAGGCGGTTTTAGTTTCCCTCTGATTCTCGTCAATAGGCGTACAGAACATTATATTGTATTATGGGGCTACAGAAAACTTGCAAGTCAAAATTCCGATGGGTATTCAATACGATTTCGGACCAAGTGCTGCTTTCGATGGAAAGAGATGCAATGCATTAGAACATCAGATCACACTTTTTCAGTCCTGAAAGTACATTAGCGGCGTCGTTTAAGGGGCGAGGAGCATTTTCCTGGGATCTTCGATATAGTCTCGAATTTTAACTGCAGAAGGGACGCATCAGTAGGGTGAAGAGACTTCCAGACGGCGTGAAACTCACCGAGGAAAGTGACAGCCTCACGACCATCCAACAACCGATGATCATATGTCAGTGCAACGACCATAATGGGGCGAATAACGATCTGGCCATTGACGACTACAGGTTTCTCTTTTACGGCGTGCATGCCTATGGTGGACACGTGAGAAAATGATTGAGTCGTGACGATTACAAAAACGTACCCAGCACAGCCGACTGGGGAAGGTTAATAATGGGAGTTCCAAAGAGAGATCCGAAGACACCTCCATTGGATCTAGACACGTCATCAGAACAGGCCATTATTATAGGCACGCAAACGTACATCGTGAAGGTTCCACCAGCCATATCCTCAAGCGTCAACTTTCCATCTCTTGCCTTCTTACCCAGCGCAGCAATCTCTTTCTCGATCTGCAAGAAGTTCATTGTCTCCAAGTTCCTGACCACAGGTGTGACAAGACCCTTCGGTGTAGCAACGGCGACGCTGAGATCAACGTAATCCCTATATACAATCTCGTCACCCTCGATAGACGCGTTTGCTGCCGGAATCTCTTTCAGTGCCAATGCAGATGCCTTTGCGAACGCGCTCATGAACCCGAGCTTGACGTCATGCTCCTTCAAGATTAATTCCTTGTATTTTGCCCGCATGGAGATAAGCGAGGACATATCAATCTCGTTGAACGTCGTCAACGAAGCCGCAGCATTTTGCGACTCTTTTAATCGTTCAGCAATTCTCAGGCGCATGCGATTCATTTTGACCTGCATATAACGTCATGATCCATGCGGGATAATAAGAAGATTTGACGTACTCTCGTCTCATTCCTGCTGCCTGCGGTAGGCGCAGGTTTGGGCTGTTCTGCTTCCTTTTTAAGCTCCTTCTTAGTTTCTTGTTTGGGCTCTGAGGGTTTCTTCTCGGGTGCAGGGTGTGCAGGAGGCTTCTCCGCCTGTTGCTGTTTAGGTTCCGTGGGGGCTTTAGGTGTGTCCTCCTTTGGTGGTGGTGGAGGTGCAGCGGCTAAGCATCCGCAGTTCGCACCAGAGATTCATCGTAAGAATAGCAATATATCACTCACCACCACCCGTCTCACCGGGTTCAAGAACAAACAAGTCTTGGCCAACAGTCACAGTGTCTTCCTCCGCTGCCAAGAGTTCTACAATCTTGCCGGATTGAGGAGCGTTCACGGACACGTCAATCTGTATGAAAACTGAGTAAATGCGCATCGAGAGAAAAAGAATTGGTCACCTTGTCGGTCTCAATGGTTGCTACTTCCTCATCGGCCTCTACAGTATCGCCAACTTGTTTTATCCATGACTTGAGTGTTCCCTCGGTAATGGACTCTGCCATCTGAGGTACCTTGACAGTCTCCGCTGCTTGCACGTCAGCGGGAACGTGACGTCAGGAGTGAGGCAGACATACCCTGCAACAATCTTGACGAATGAAAGCGTGCACGACGTGTACGTGCAGCTGCAACTCCTCTGAAAGACACTCATTGTGAGAACGACAACGACAAGGAATGATACGTGGAAGACTACGAACAGTCCCTTCATACACTGAACAGAGGTTACATCGAGTAACCCGCGACGTTGCGCGACGGCGATGATACGCTTTGAAAGCATGGCGACGTGGACCACGAGCAAGAACGGCCTGGCGGCGGCGGTGGTGGTAGTAGTGTTGATGGAGAGCAAGGTTGGTGAGGAACGGTGTAAGAACCCGGTACTGACCGCGCCGAACTTTGATGTAATTTGTTTGTGCACATATTGAGCACGCTCAAGTTTCTATTTTTTGTTTTCGGTTCTCTTTCCAGAGTTGAAATTTTCAGGATATTGCATTGCCTTTCTTCGAAATATTCCTTGGTATATGGCTCTCGCGACTCCCTCGAATATGCTCTGTAGAACGACCGGTTTAACCTTTGGCAGCCAGCCGGCATGGAATAAATAGTCGACCAATGAGGACGAGCTCCGGATATTCCATACAGCGCAGATTTGATTTGCTGGCGGTCCGGAAAAACTGTGTCGTACTGACTGCCGACCGCTGACTTGGTATCGGGGGAACTTAACTTGAGACGTTGCCGACCACAAAGATGTCGAAAATCTGCCGGCTATGACCGTTTGGGCTCTGAGTTCGTTTTTGGCGCTCGTACTTCGGTATCAGAGCAGCCGGAACCTCAGGTGCAACGGTAATCTCGCTCGTCTGTAGTCTCAGAGTCACAGAGATCTTGTGTCAGATTGCATAACGGGACCATACATCTATCTTCAGTTCCATCATGTCCAATAGTCAACCTTGCTATGAATTGTTCGTCTTCCCTGACGGAAAGGACGGCGAATTCCTTAAGATCCCGATCATCGACGTCGCTTACATCACGAAAAGACCTGTCAAGTTCCTTCAGTTCGTGGGGTACTGTGTCCTCGGCGTCAATGGAAGGATCATGTCAAAAGGAGCATTCATGGGCGACGATGAAGTGATAACAGAAGGGAAGTATTACTTTGTCGTACCTCAGACTGTCGCCAGCAGAAAGGACTCTCATCTTGTCGACCCCGATGTGCTGATGGAGATAGGAGAGTACATCAATAGTTGCAGCCTTGACTGGACATCAGATGCGCACCGGGAATTTACAGATAAAGTCGTTGCGCGAGACTGCAGTGGTCTTGTCATGAACAACGTACCTAGCGACTGTGGCTCTGCCCACATCATACCGTGCGCAAGGGGAGATGCGGCAAGTGCTTCTCGTAGCTCCTTTTCTACTTCTCTCCAACTCTTTCGTCCAATATATCTCAGCCATCTCTCAAGCTCGGCCTCGCGGCAACGAGTCAGAGATAACCGACATTCATGATGTTCGAAACGGTCTTCTCTTGTTTCTCTCTATAAAAGAACTTTTCACCAAAGACCTGGTTTTGATCCGCGTAAACAACATTGTCTTCCATCCTCACATTTAACTGACAGAGTTCACAGACTCCGAATGCTGTTTTGAATCACGACGACCTGCTGCTTCATGAAACGTCTATCACTCGCAACTTGAATATGCAGGGTATCACTGACGAGAACTATGTCTCGCTCGCGTTCATCTGGCTCAGGGCAGAAGGCCCTCCCCCAATCTTGTTTTTTGACGACAATACACCAGGGGTAGGATCTCGCGACAAAGTGCCCAGTGGAAGTCGCCACCGCTACGGTCCTCTGTATGAAGCGCGCTCCTCTCTTCCGGCAGGCTTCCTTCTCGAGTTTATGTTTGGTGCTCTCGCAGTTCGTCTGTGGGCGTCGAAATCTCTTCGGGACCGTCTGAAAACTGCTACACATGCTATGTATCCATCCCGAGTTCCAGATGTCGAAACGGAGACAGATGAGACAAAGCTTAGCCCTGAACAACAAAAGATTTTTCTTGCTATGGACGCAGTTATGGCTCTTCGAAGCCAGGTTGCCGCTCGGACGAACAACCGACGGGGAGGAATATAAACCACTGATGCATCAGTATAATATCATTATTTAAATGAATTTGTACAAGTAGCAATCGTATTGAGCCCTCTCGTTTATAAAGTGTCGTCATGGTCAGGTTCACGGGTTTTTAGTGACGCTATCAAGTCGCAGCACGAAACATCTCTCGGAGGTATCACTCGAGGTAGATGCCCATATTAAAGAAAGGGAACGAGGGGGTTGCTGGGTCCCGTCGAACATATTATCAAGGACTCGAAAGTTAAAAAAAAAACTTGGCGAGGTCCTGGACATGTCACGTGCAGCTACATAGTGTTTCGATAACGTGACTTGGCGCGGCTCGGCGCGACTCTATTCGGCTTCGGCTTCAACGGCTTCACCAAGTCATAATTTTTGATGGCTTTGAAGCTAAGTTGCCGTCACGCCGCTCCAGCCGGTCAAGCTATGACTTCATGCATTTCCTTTAAATGGAAGCTCTCAGTAGATTTTAGGTAACGTAATATTCCAGAAATTTCGGAGAAATTGCGGGAAAAAATCAAAGTCGACCTAAAATAGCATTTCGGTATTTTTTACTCAAGTCGAAGCTCGGGCAACTTCAAGTCGCGCTAAGCCGCGCCGAGCCGGTACTGTGGTGTGACTTTGCCGAAGTCATTCGGCAACATCGGCGTGACTTAGTTCGGCTTGACTGGCGTGGCGCGGCTTTAAGCCGAGTCATCGAAACACTACAGCTACAGGCCCGTAAAATTCAAATCCTGCTAAATTTTTTCTTGCTTCCTACCACCATCGTGTCCTCTTCCTACACCCGAAGACCCTTGTCTCATCAAGGAGAGGGTATCTAGTCGTCGGGGATTACAGCCTTTTGGTATCTCTTTCATGTTCAGGGTGCTATCGGTCTGAGAGGTGAGGTGAGAGGTGCGGCGGGTGGTTGCCCGAGGAGGCCATCGTCGCTCCTTGTTTCAGTACAAATTCTTATTGTGGAAGATGAGACCGTACGGTGGTCGCTACTCAGGAATCTTCTCTCAGGGAAGTAGTAGTAGTAGTAGTAGCCGTCGCAAGATCTATTGTATCACCACCCTATTTGTACACCGTCACGTGGCTTTGAAATAGCTTGGAAGTTGAGAACGGATTGCTTCCCCACTGCCAGTTAATAGTCCAAGCGAGACTAGGAATATCTGCATTTGAGAAACATTGCAGAAAAACTAGAACATGGATAGTCTTCCGATGGGGCCTCTATCGAAACCCGCGGCATAATCGATGGAGATGGAATGGAATTGTCGAGTCCAAGTTGGTTTGGGGCAAGATTGTGAGAACTAATTCGCAGTCCGTCATGCATACATTCTCATCGATTTCTAGATACCCGAGCCGCCATATCATCCAGGCAAAAGGGACTGGGACAAACTTGTTATACCCGATGCAAAACATATTCAGATGTTATTCTCCCTCCTAGATGACCGGTATGGATGCCGTCGAAAGAATCTTGTTTAAGACTAAGCGCATATATCCTTAGGTCGCACTCCAAACATTATTGCCAAGTCTAGTTACATTATTCAGAGCAGCTATCTCAAGCACCCATTCTATTTGCCGTGATGCTCTTGATGTTAGTCCAAGCCACAAGACCGTGTTTTGAATGCTCAACGCCTATCCCAGAATGCTGCAAAGCCCGTGAGCCGATAAAAAACATTCACTGTAGGAATATCTTATTACCTTGAATCCTCCAAAGGGCTGTCAAGAACAAGTCTAACCTTCAGTTAGGGAAAATTAGAGGCAAGTTGTTCGCACCTGGTTCCAATGGAATTGCTGAGATTCGTTTATCCAGACTGGCGCGCGCATTGCCATTAATGAAAGTGTGAAGCGTGTTCGGAACCACACACCTGTTCCAGCCTCGAGTCGCTCCGCAATTTCTTCAGCATGTTTGACATCCTTACTCCACACAGATGCAGCTAGGCCATAATCCCCATAGTCTGGATGAGCGTTGAGAATTGAAATTTTGGTACGAGATATAGGATGGTATACTTACTCATCTGTCTAATGACATCCTCTTCGTTGCGCCACTTCAATAGAGGGACCACGGGCCCAAATTCTGTGTCGAGATGGAAACACGAAGTATATCAAGAGAAATATTCAGACGTACGTTCTTCTTGAACAATTCTTGAATCTTCTGGTGGATTATCGACAATGCTGACTGGTAAGAAATAGCCTTTCCTCTCCGGAGGGAAGAAGTTTCCGCCACACGCGAACTTGTATCCTTGGGCGTGGCACTCCTCAATTAATGACCTGGAAGACGTATGTAAGTCTCGGTATACACTCGTTGATGTTGGCCAGAACTTTCGGTACCTTAGTCTCCGATACTGCTCTTTGTTCTGCACTGGACCCATTCCCACTTCCGGGTCGAGGCAGTCACCAATCCTAATGGTCTTCGTGTACGCGACCAGCTCGTCTCTTACGGCATCGTAAATGTCCTCATGAATGTAGATCCGTTTTAGCGCAGCACAAATCTGTCCCGAGTTGAAAAACGTCCCCCAAAAAAGCATTCTAAAAAGATGTAAGCTCGTGTAACTCGAAAGGTTTGGGGCGAACGAACGGTGCAATCTGCTTGGGATCCACGTCCTTCAGTATCACCGCCGCATCATTACCACCGAGTTCCAACGTAAGGCTCTTCAGAGAGGCCGCTGCGGAGCGCATCACAGATTGGCCAACTGGAATCGAGCCCGTCAAGGAGATTCGAGCAATGTTTGGGTGTTCTACGATCCAAGGTCCTCTAGCAATATGGATGTAAGATCAAGGTAGAATCTTGCGTTGAAATAGTCAACCCACAGATTTTCGTCGCCTGATAGAACCGAAAGAACACCTGGTGGAAGAATTCTTTGCGCTAACTCGACGAATTTTATGGCAGAAAGTGGTGCGTAAGGAGAGGGTTTAACAACGACGCAGTTTCCAGTAACAAGTGCCGGTGCAAGCTTCCAAATCAGCAAGGAGAGGGGGAAGCTTTATTCTTCAATGAGTTTCATAACCATGACGAACAACAAATTGAGACGGACTTCCAAGGAGTTATCGTAGCACACTGCGACGTGAGACGCGGTGAGTGAGATGACGACTTCGAAAAACGAAAAAATACAACATACTACGCCATACGGGACGTATTTAACTGTTACAGTCCTCTGGGGCGTGTCCAAGATGGTCTCAGGTGGAAGCGACTGAGTCGCCACCCCATGAAACCACTCGACGCAACTTCCAACTTCGACGGCCCTATAGAAGCCTACCGATTAGTTACCCGAGGCGCTAGTGGATTCGGGAACTCACGCCAATGCCCGTGACTTTCCAACTTCTTTGATAACAAGTTCGACAAAGGCGTCACAATTATCCTTGATCAAGTCGCCTAATTGAGTGACCAGATTCTGCCGCTCTTCGACGGCCAGTGCACCCCAAGTGGGAAATGCGAGCGATGCGGCCCCCACAGCGTCGTTCAGCTGGTCCTGGGTAGCAATTGGGACCGAGGCTAAGATTTCCTCGTTAGTTGGGTTCAATATGTCTTGTGTTTCTCGGGAGTAGACTTTAATTCCATTGATGATGTGTGCACTATGTAGCCATGGATTATCGGTTAACTCTATTGGAGACAAATAAGTTTAGAGCAAAGCTTCAAGCACTTACAAGTCTGTGCTGAAAGAAAGGTCGCGAAAAACCATCAAGATGATACCAAAGTCAGGGTGAGAGGGAAGTTCCTTCCGATGGCTTTTTGAACTTGTACCCTGCTCGATAGCCGCCTACGTGTTGACACACGGTATACGGGAAGCACATCAGAAGGATGCCATGAAAGGTCATCCTAAATATAGCGCCGAGGTCAGGAGTAGATGTCGAATGAAAATAGTCCCGTGAGGTGCATCAGAACGGATGCATGATGGATTGATGTCGATGTTGATGCCGCCGGCTCAAATCAAATCCGAGTTGGTGGACCGATTGATCCGGAAGGAAGGTATAATTATCGCGCTTGCATGCAGGCCGCATCAAGAACATTTAAAATTACTCGAGTTTAAAGGGGTTTATACAAGGGTAATCGTCGAGTGAGTCCTCTGCACAGAGTTGACGTCTCCCGCAGCTCACATATCCCCGCCTCACAGGCCGTAAGTGGGATATACGTTCTCTCCACCTTGCTCTCGCAAGGTCGCAAGCGAGAGAATAACTTCGTGAGTCTTGCTTTCTGCACCATGCGTCATTGCTCTTTATCTTCCACCTATCACAGGTCGCAAGCGAAGTCGTACTCTCTTCACCCCTCGGGTCGCAAGAAGATTGAGCACGAGTAAGTCGAGCTTGTACCAGTCCTTGACTGTTGTATCCACTCGCCTTCACCTCCTAGGTCGCAAGCAAGGCGGAACGCAATCCCGATCCCGCAGATCGGCCGTTGCCTGGCAGACTGTGAGCAGAAGAGGGGTCATCCTCTCTCTGCCACGTATCCTCACAGTCTCGCCAGGTATGACCCTCAGTATCCTCTCTTTACCTCGTATACTTACAGTCTCGCTAGACGTAGTAGTGCTCGCTACATTGAATATACTATTCGATCTATATATCAACAACTACAGCAACTACAGCCCATACTATGTCCAATGGTCCGCCTCAGCAAGACGCCGGTCAAGAGCGGAGACCATTCAGACCATGGGAGGAGCCACAGAGACAAGAGGAACAAGATGAAGGCATCAGGAATGCCATTCACCGCGACCTCGAGAGGATCATCCAGCAGTACTTCGATGAAGCTATCCCGAAGATGACTGCCATCCGTCAGATATCGACCTACATTGGTCGAGCGTGTGAGCGACACGGCCTCATCTACGACGACGCCATGCTCGAACCCTGGCTCGCTCAAATCGACGCTCACGAAAAATCGCTCGCTGATGCAGCGGATAGGGGTAGGCAAAGACAACCGCCCGACGATGCAGCTGGCGGACAGAATAGGGGTTCTCCAAACGCACGGAGTAGGAGCCGTGGAAGGTCCCGACCCCGGTCACGGTCACAGAGCAGACATGGCCGACGTCGCCATGACCGACGCCGCAGACATCGACGACGATCCACCTCTTCAAGTGACTCCGACTCCGAGTCGGACTCCTCTGCTGATGAGGCTGAAGGACACGCAAAACGGCGCAAGCTTGATCCGTCCCTCTTTGACTGGGAGGTCAACAGAACTATCCAGAATGCAGTCCTCTCACCCGCACATTTGGCAGTCAAAAGGCGATACGAGAACTTCTCCGCGGACCCTAAAGAGTGTCTCCGCCTCATCAAGAACTCTCACCCCCCTCCGTTCACAGACAACGGCCTCAGAGCCATCGTCTACGGGAGTGTCGTTAACTTCGACGAAGTCCACTCCTACTTCAACAGTCCCAGTGTCCCAACAACTGTCACACACTCCCTCGGGAACGGACTCGTGTTCCAAACGGCCGAGACCTCTTATGCCCACAAAGTCGTCAACCGTGACAACTGGAAGTTTGTCTGGGACAAATATGAGGAAATCCTCAACCACATCTTCAATGGACGGCAAGCCGAGCTCAGAAGATACTACAAGTTCATCAACAACTTGTTCCAGCGTCGCCACCCCAGCATGGACCCACAAGTCATCGTCTTCGAGAAAGCCTGCCGCGCTCATATCGCCTCGTCCCGTGGAACAATGCTCTTCAACGACATCCACGAGTTCATCGAGCTCAAGGAGTCTTATCTCGAGGTTACTGGCCTTGCCTATGTGGCTCCACCCGGTGAGGCCGGCACTAGCGGAAGTAGCAGAGAAGGTGGGCGACCAAAGAAACGACGAAGGGAGATTTGTCGGAACTGGAACGGTGGTCGGTGCTCAGCTGACGACTGTCGCTACCGACATGTATGCTCCAACTGTAAATCCAACGATCACTCCAGCAAGTCTTGCCCCAGCCGAAACACCGGGAAGTCTGTCTGAGCTTGCTGCTATTCAGGCTGACCTGTCGAAGTTCGCTGGGCGCGCTAACAGGCATGTAGAGTTGGACAACGATGAGGGTGACACGTATCCCCCAGACTGGGACTGTTGTGAAGAACTGGGGTTGGTAAATGAGGACGCAATCACTGCGTTCAGTCACATACCGAGATATATGAGAGGGTATGCCTGGCGCGACCCTACTCGATTTGAAAGCCGTACCGCTCACTATACTGAGGTTGACGAACCTCTGCCTTGTCCTCCTGCTTCCGAGTTTGAGAACCTGGCTGCGATGAGCACCATTAAGAACTATCCTCACCTGTTTGACGTGAGCACACCAATCAAGGTGGATCACCTTGAATCCCTACTCATCTCTCATCCCAACACTCCGTTTGTCGAGTCGGTCATAACCTCACTGCGCGAAGGATTCTGGCCTTGGGCACACACTAAACATGCTGAGGGGTACCCGGAAACCTGGGACAATTCATGGGCTCCGCCTGCGAGCAAAGCGGAACAGTCATTTCTCGCTCATCAGAGAGATATCGAGATTGAGAAACGTCGTTTCTCACCTCCATTCGGCCCAGATCTGCTACCTGGGATGTACAGCACTCCTGTGTTGGCTGTACCAAAACCGCATTCTGACAAGCTACGCCTGGTATCACATCAGAGCTGTGGCATATTCTCTCAGAACAGCATGATTGACAAAGAGCTTACTCGTGGACCCCGGATGGATACTCTCCACCAATTCCTGCCCGCCTTGCTCCATTTTCGCCGAAAACATGGCAACGCCCACCTGGTCCTATGGAAGTCCGACGTCTCTGAGGCGTTCCGACACCATCCTGCTCATCCTCTCTGGCAAATAAAGCAGGTCGTTACGACAAACATACCCACGAGGGAGGATCTGGATCGTGGCGTTGAATGCGGTGCTTTGATACGCACCGTAGATTGGCGTAGTTGTTTCGGGAGCTGCGCCTCGCCTCGCAATTGGGCCTCTATCATGGGCCTGATCATCTGGATCGCAATCTTCATAAAATTTATTCTCGACTTGTTCTGCTATGTCGATGATACGTGGAGTTGGGAGATGGAAGGCAGTCTCACCTGGTACAAGCCATACCAATGCTTCTACCCCACGAAACAAGCAAAATTCTTGCTCCTCCTGGATGAACTGGGCATTCCACATGAGAAGAGGAAACAACTGTGGGGTGCTATCCTCACCGTCATTGGTTTCTTGATTGACGTCAACGAGATGACCGTGACTCTCCCACCCGAATCAAAAGCTGAGCTCATCGCCGCCATCCGTGAGTTCATCAACACTCCCTCGCGCCGCCGAACCGTGAGCGAGTGGAAGCAGCTAGCCGGGTGGATGAATTGGTCCTTGAATGTCTTCCCCCTGCTGAAACCAGGCCTGTGCAACGTGTACGAGAAGATTTCGGGCCGTCACGAAGCCTATAAGAAGTTGTACCTCAACGAGGCTGTTAAAAAGGACTTAGAATGGTTCCTCACCCACGTCCAAGCTTCTTCCGGCATCCTCCTTTTTGATGCACTCGATTGGGACCCTGCCTCGGAGACCAATCTCACTATCCTTTGCGACGCCTGCATGTCCGGCATGGGCTTCTGGATTCCTGAGCTGCTGCTAGGTTTCTACGCTCCCGTACCCTGCGACCCTCCCAAGGACACGATTTTCTTCTGGGAGGCTCTCTGTGTTGTCGCGGCGTTGGAGTGGTTCTGTGTAACCATGCGAGCGGACTCTTCTCTCACGGACCAGCTCCGGGTCACGATTAAGACCGACAATTCCAACACGGTCGACCTTTTTGACTCTCTCCGTGCTCTCCCCGCCTACAACTCCCTCCTACGTGCCGCCGTCGACCTCCTGCTTGCTCATGATGTCGACCTCCGTGTCCTGCACATCCCTGGCACTGAGAATGTCGTCGCTGACGCCATCTCACGCTCAAAATTCAACGACGCCTGCTCGTACGCTCCCGGCCTGCTCATTCGGCCCTTTCAACCCCCTTCTGATGCGTTGGGGGCAGCGAAAAAAATGATTCGGGTGTCTGCTACGGCCAGGCAGCCCCCTCGGGTGCCCTGGTCGTTGGACGAACTCGTCCACAAGCGCTCGATTGCGCTTGGCCTCGCTCTCGACAGTTCTTCACAGTCGACTTACTCCTCTGCTCTCAACTCATACCTCACCTTCTGTGCCATGCACAGTTTTCCCATTGAACCAACTGCAGACACGCTCTCGTTCTTTGTGGTGTACATGTCCTTCCACATAGAGCCTCGCTCTGTGGGGACTTATCTCTCCGGCGTCGTCAGCCAGCTCGAGCCTCATTTCCCTGATGTACGCGCCGTCCGGAATGGCATGCTCGTTAAACGTACCCTCAAGGGTTGCAAAAGGCTTCGCAGTAAGCCAATCAAGCGGAAACAACCTCTCTCCCGTAATCATCTGCGCACGGCCTTGTCAAGCCTCACACCGTGGTCATCATATGATGATGTCCTCTTCGTCTCGATGCTGTTCGTTGGTTTCTATGGGCTCCTCCGCCTGGGCGAGATGACTATGCCTGATAATCCCACGCTGCGTAACCCTCGCAAGTACTCACGTCGGTCGTCCGTAGAATGGATCCCTGAGGGTTTCGCATTCTGGCTCCCTACTCACAAGACGGACACCACCTTCGAGGGTAGCCGCGTTGTCATTCCCCGGAAATCAACAGCAGCCATTGACCCTGTGGCCATCTTCCAGAGGTACCTGCTCCTCCGCGATGCACGCTGCTTATTCCAGCCCTTTCTCTGGGTACGCGAGAACGGCTCAGTGCCCTCTCGTTCTTGGTTCATTCGCCGTCTCTGCAAGCTCATTCCCCAGGCGGGTTTTGCTGGACAGTCTATACGCTCTGGCGGCGCCACCGCCCTCGCCGAGGATGGGGTCTCCCCACATCTCATTCAGGCGACTGGCCGGTGGTCATCGGACACATTCCAGATCTACATCCGGAAGAACCCTGTCATCCTCCTGGCCATGCTTCATACCCAGAGAAATCATGCTCCTGCGTCTGCATGAGTCCATCTACATCTCATCTTTCTCTCTCTATTCTCCACTCCGTTCCTTCCTTCTTCCCTTAGCCATTTAGCGATCATACACCACGCAATCGCATTTGGGCTCCCCAACGTGCGGGGAGTCTAGACTTGGCTAAACAATGGGTGCCTCATACTAAGCTCGAGACGATTGGCTTGCTGGTAAGCAAGGTCTACCCGACCCGAAACTTCCAAGCCATATTTACCCCCGAAATCTGCCAATTGCAAATGGTCATTTGTATCTGTTTGTTCACCTCGTCAACTCCCTCTGACCCTTTTCCTGCTCGAAATCTGCCAATATGAAATTCTTATTTGAACCATCCCCACTTCCATCTCTGCCGTTCACAAAACTTTCTGACACTTTCCATCGCCTTCAGGCTGCGTTTGCTCTTGTAAGTTGCCCCCCCCCCTCCCCTGGATACTGGCTGCGAACGACGGAGCATCTCCACCAATGTTGTAAGATATCAAAACACATGATATACCTGGAAGATAGCCGCCTATATCACGATATTAATGAGCAGTTTGTAGAGACTGAATAAAGGTTTCGGCAGCTCCTCGAGTGGCTCATATCATTACCTTCAAGATAAATATGCGTCTCCTTCGTCTCTTCAACGTTTAACTCCCTCACGTCAATTTGGACCTAGGTTAGCCTCCGTCCTGTTCCGTGTTCATCACCTCCTAATTTCTTCACTATAGATTGACAATTCCGCTCAAAACAAAGGGCTCCTACTGTCTTCGCACCGTGCAAGTTGTCAGATTGTCTCAACTATGGGAAGAACCAGATGTACACCTCTCAGGCCTTGTATGCTAACATTTCCCAGTCTGCTCGAGGCGCTCGAGGTTCCAGAGGAAGTCGACCCGGCGGCTATAAACATCTATGGTCCCACTCTGTACATGAATGGCAAATCAGAGCAGATCGGACGCGATGAATACATCCTCCTTATCCTCGCGCAACTCAAGAATCCCGGCTTCCCCATCAATAGCATGCAAATCTGGGACCCAAACTGACTCGAAGCGAGAACCCTCCTGTTTTGATCAATAATGCAGTCTCTTCGTTCCCCAATGTCTGCGTCCTGGATTAACGTCGAGTGCAGCGAAGATCAGTTCATCTCTGTCATCAGGTCTTCCCCCAACCTTGCGAATCTGGAGATCCAGGGCGCCAGTATTCGAGCATACGTGTCGGGCAGCAGCGAAGCCACTTCTATCAGTGCCAGCCAGATTCACGACGCGCAGCAAGGGTCAGATATCCAGCAAAGGCCACCACCGGATCGATCATGACCAAGCTCATTCTCTGGCACCACTCAAATGTAATATGCAACGATGACCATTTCATTCGCTGGCTTTCCTGCTTTATCAGACTGTGTCCCAACCTCTGGGAGATTGACTTGGACAGTTTCAATAGACAAGTCCATGTGTTGTGACATTCTCCTGCGCTCTGATTAAATCTTCCTTTCGTGTATGGTTAGTCCTCTCGAGCCACTCTACCTGAGCAACACCATCCATCCATCATGTCCATTTCTGCGTCCTCATCACCGGTAACTTCGAGATGAACATGACGCTCAACTGGTGCCTCCACTTCCAGGTGCTCAAATGTCCACGCTATCTCTCCAGGGTGATTATCGAAGTCGAGTTCGATATTAAGTTGAATATTCCCTGTGAGATGTGGAGCAAGCCCATGCTCCTGCTTGGGCGGCTCTTGTCCTCTTGGTGAACCTCACCCGGCTTCAGTTCAAAATGTACGAGATTCACACAAGACGTTCAAGTCTCAGCAGGCTTGGCCGGGTTTCAACATGAACGCGATGTCAACATGGTTTGGTCAAGTGTGTCTCCCTAAGAGTAAAAGGAAATAAGGGAGGAATTTTGTCGGTTAGTGAAGGAAAGAAGATCTCCTCGCCCCAATACGCTCCACTGAACAATTTGAATTACGTACCTCTTCCCTCGTACATCTGATTTACTTGTGGCTGTATGATATTATATTGAATTCATTACAAAGAAGATTCTAGTCCCCGTCGGTGTTACTCCTTCAAATACTTGAAGACATTCTTCTCTTGGCTCTCCACCGCAAATCAAACTCCATCTTGCTGCTGAACCACCAATCTTATTCCCAACTTTTGGGCCCATCTCTTCGGCTTGATGAGGCGGAATCTTGACTATCCGCCGGGTATCCTATTGGTTTAATTCTTGGAATATCATCAAATTTTTATCGAACCTATAGTGATACTACGACTTGAGCAAATACCAGCAAGGTCGTACACGCCTCGGCACGTGGCGGGCCCTTGTAGACAGAGATTTCTACAAAGAAAGATCCAATAACGATTCAATAACCGTAATTCGGTAGACACCGAGCCAGATTATCAGAAGCCTACGTAATTCAATAACATTCCAGCCCAGATGATATATCCCAGACTTCCGTTTGCCTTAGAAAAGGATTGAGTCCATGTTCAAACTTGATAATTGCATACATACCTTGAATTTCTCTCCACAATCTCCAGGATCATCGGGTGACCAAGTTGTGAATTGCCAGAAGAAATGCAGAGCAGCGCCACCACACGAAACAACAAAGAACACGAAACTTTGGTCATTGCAGACCCCAAAGTATGCGAGACTCCCTACAAAGGCACCGGCAAAGCAAATGAGGATTGGCCGAACCCAAGTACCGAAAAGAAGGGCTGTCGACTTCACGCCAGCCTTTGCATCATCAATTTTGTCTTGGCAGCCATATATTGTATCATAGACGATAGTCCAGCTATCCCGACAAAGGTTAGGATAGATAGCTCGCAAATTTATCGACCTTACCACACAGTACCCAGGAAGAAGATGAGTAGATCGTTCTTTAGGGGTGCACTAGGGTAGACAGTAATCCATGCTACCCATATCCCCCAGTTCATAGCCAAGCCTTATATCAACGCATGAGTCAATGTGTAATCGCATGATTTAGCTGACGGTGGATACCAAGCCATGCCTGTGGCCACCAAGTCCATCTCTTCATTAGAGGATACAGGGCGTGTAATGGAAACACGCCGATTATCCCATATGCAGCTCTGTATATGGATGTTAGCAACAGCAGTAAGATATGTGCACGAAACTCACGCAGTAAGGCTCGTGAAACAAAGCAGGCTCAGAGAGGCCGAAGTCAGAAGGATAAGGAGGATGGTAGCGCCAAAGATGGATATCTTCCCAATGACAAGAGGTCGGTTCTTCGTACGCTCTGAAATTAGCGGTTAAACAAGCGGGTGCCAGTGTGAGTCTGGTTACTCGCCAACTTGTCTATCGAAATCAATGTCACAGATATCATTCAGCACGCAAGCAGCACTATGAAGAAGGGTACTTCCTAGCGCGAAGGCTATGATACCCTTAATGAATTGAACGACTGGCAGCTGTACTGTAGATGCTGCAACAGTAAAAGCCCAAGCTACAAGGATCAAGGTCATCGTCAGGCCAAAAAAAGAGGTACAACACAAGCTGAAACACTCACCACAAGGCCAGAACACGACGATACTCCCCAGTGGAAATTTATGGAGTCTAGTGAGTTCGAAGTAGTATCGCCCTGCAGAGTTGAAAGGAGTCGGTTCCGAGACAGAAGAGAAGGACGAATTTTCTGAGGGTTTAGCAGACATTATCGTGTTGGATATTATCCGCAGTACCTCAGAGGACAATATATATTGCTCCTGTTGCCAATAATTCACTGACACTTAATCATCGCGGAATTGTCTGTGGAACACCGCAATATTCGACGAGACGGACCAGACACAAGGGGACAGAACCTCCGGCACCGCAATGATGATCAAAGGTGGCTTGCACTGATGTAAATGAAACTCGACAGTGAACGCTTGAGCTACAACCTAGGCATCGGGAGGCACGGTTGTAAAGATAGCAACATGAGAGCAGTAGCGAGGGAATTTTTGATATGATCCCGGCGTCAGTTATTGCAGTTGCTTCGATCGATGCGAAAAACGTGTGGAGTCAACGAGGCACTAGAAGTGAAGTGAGGTCCGCGCGCTAAGTACTGTAGTGAACCCGGGAGAAGATGGCACTCAGTGAAATTAGGTCATCAATCAACTTTCGGTTCACAGGTTTCAAGTCTAGCGCTCAGGCACCATTCTGAGGACAGCCATGCCTTGTTGGAAGTATTTATTTTCTTCCCGCATCAATCGGCCTCGATTCTGAATTTCGATTGTAGTAAGTACTACAATTAGAATCTTGCCTCCATCGAGACTACACCGGTGTCGCGATGATCTGAGGAAGGTAATTACCGATGCTATCACCCGGGTACATGCGCTCCACGGCCCAACCAGCGCGATTCAATAGTTCCACGATATGTGCTAAAGTTCGATCTTGTCCGTTGAAATGCACGTACATCGAAAGGTCAGTGAAATATGGGGAGGCGTTGGCGGCACCCATGTTAGCGAGCAATGGTGCTGGTGGCGTAGGGAAATCGGCGCCAGGTATAGTAACCTGCGGAGCCCGGCATGTATGAGGAATGATGCAGTCAACGAGCACCAACTTAGTAGTAGCAGTGGAAGCATGCCGCAAGTGACGAAGGATGCGAGCTACATATTGGTCCGACCAGTCATGGGTGATCTGCTTAAGAAGAAAGACGCTGGCATCCAGCTGGCATTGAACGTCGAAGAAGTCGTGCTCTAGCATTTCAATTAATGGACTGTAAACATTAAACAGCTGTCAATCAGACTTGCCTATGTATTGGATCCTCCCAGACGCAAGCGCGTGGGGCAATACTTGCTCGCAATGCTGTAAACAAGCTGACATTTAGAAAATTTGTGAGCAGTACCATCTGTGCGGCTGACCTTCTTCCCTTGGGCAATGACCGGAGGCCTGTCCTGGATTATGCATCGGATATGAGGATGCGCTTTTACCAGGGTGATAGAGGAAACACCGATTCCTCCCCCTACATCGACGACTATGCTATTGTCTGGGAGATTGCCCCAGCTAAAGCCTAATGCGTTACATGGTAAGCCTATGATAGTCGAGAAAAAACAATAGCATGCACCTTTGAGTATGGAATCCGGTGGCTGCATGCGATTGACGCCATCCATCGCTACCCCGAATCGTCGCAGCCGCAGCTGATTTGAAGGCTGCTCGAGCCAGTTCCATACTCCGAGATCGCACCCAAAGGCTTGCATCATAGGTGAATGCTCTGCCGAATCTTCCTGCGCCGTCTCAGGATTAGTGAGGTGCTCGGTAATGTATCCAGCACCTTTATAATCCTCGTCTGCACTGTATGAAAGGTTAAAAATACGATTTATAAGAGGATTGGTGTACTGAAGACCATACCAATGTCCAATCAAGGCTGCAATTCCGTTGGTTCCATCGTGTTTTTCCAGGGGACTTTACGCACCGATAGTCAATGCTACGTGAGCGATGAGCGAGAAAGTCGTCAACAGCATACCTGTCGAGAAGTTTCGCGAGCGGTTTTCCGGTGTCGCAAATGGACGAGAGACGATTATTGGCATATACGTCGGGTGAAATTTCCTTGAAGATGTGATGAGTAGCCAGGAAACGCATGATTCTTGCTGTAAAGAGTCTCAGCGTGGAGATCACTAATATGTAGTTAAAAGTGACAACGTACAGAGCTTCATATGGTCGACGTTGTTTTGAGTGGCGATATCCGTTATATGCAAGCCCTAGTGAAAGGCCAGGATAAGTGAGCAGGCGGGTTTATTAATGTAAGGGAGACCGCAACTTCGGGACCAGCTTCGCGCAGAATTTCGACGACGTTTGTTTCTATTGCTGCTCTCAACGAAGCAGAAAGATAATACTGGAAATATAGTCAACTAAAAGCAATGCAACCAAGATCAGGCATTACACTACACCCTGCGTTGAAAACGTGCATTTGAGGCTGCTGTACCGTAGCAATTAGCTGATAAGCCGCCGCCGTTATGAGAATAGAAGCCTCTTGTACAGCTGGTGTCAGACGAACAGCTTCGCTGTCTGGCGTGTAAGGCTCATCGAGAACAGGAAACTCAACGCCAGAGCCCTGACATTCCTTTTCAATCCTCTCGATAGATTCTTGAAGAATATTGAGTAAAGCGCGCAGAGGAGAAGTCATACTTGGGGGCAGAAAATCGACACGGCGGTGGGTTGAACTAGGCGTATACCCCCAAAAATCCGGTGCTATGACTACTTGCATTATTCGTAGGCGTGAGCGTTACACAAAGCAATGAGAGTCCCATGGGGCTAGCCAGATGACAGATGGTGGTGATGATGATGTTGATCGAAATGAAAAACCGGAAAGGATGGGCTGGTAAAAAAAAGACCGACAAACGCCGATGATGTAACGTAAAGTCTAAAAATAGCTAGGTTGTATGAGAATCTCTTACAGTTGCCGACACAGCAGATGAACTTGCGGGGCTGTTACAGCCTCCATGATGCTTGATGTGAGCACCTCTGATGATCATGGTAGCATACGTGGGAGTCAGCATGGTGAGCATGATCCTGCGACTGCTCATTCAGTTCCCAATGTCTTATAATGAAAGTTTGTGAAAGCTAGTGCTTTGAACCCCTCATCGGAACTAGGAGAACCACCTAGCAGTCCCCATTTGGTATCAAAGTAGTCTCGCTATTACCATGGGCGTCTTCGACCTTATGTCAGTCGTGTCAGCTTGTTTTCTCATGTTTCTTGACTAACTTATGCTCCTAGTCTCGGCCCCATTCTCATGGGGACCCAGATGAATGTGTTGCTCATGGGTATTATGATTGTGCAATGTTACGTCTATTTTGAGTAAGTCGAGTCCTTTTTTTCCTCTGTTGCCTGCGCGCTGACCGCATAGCAGACGGTACAAAGGGTATGTTAGTCCCGAACTAATTCTTGACATACATGTCCTATACCACGCTTTATCACTCAAGGGATAAGCCATGGATCAAAGCTACTGTAAACTTTCCGTCCACAGACCCACCTGACCGACACTAATCTCTCCAAAAACAGGTGTGGTTATTGCTTTTGTTGGACCTACTGAGCTCTTCGTTTGCGATGGCCATGACGTACAATTATCTTGTTACAAACTTCGGTGAGCTTGCACATCCAACTAACAATTCCTCCCTTCACGCTGATTTGTTTCTCTAGGAAATATTCCCGCTATTCAAGTGACTAACACAGGTAGGTACAATAACGTTACAGATGCAAATTTAATACTGACAAATCCTTCATAGGAATTGACCCTTGTAAGTCACGATTTTTGTAGTAATCTTATCGTATTTACTTAACCGTATGTCTCACAGACCCACTGTTAACGGTGCGCTTGCCACTGGTCACGTTAATGCTTATCCCGCTTCTCACCCGTACCTTTATGTGTAGGGCATCACGGCACTTGTTGTTCAAACCTTTTTTGCTTGGAGAATTCATGTCTTGACGAAAAACAAATTACTGGCAATTATCATCGCTGCTCTCTCCATTATTCAGATGCGTATGTACGTCCTCTCTGCCTGCTACAGTTATTAAAATTTCCCTCCATTAGTCGCCAGCCTTGGAACCATGATCGGCGGTCTGATCGTCAAAGACTTTGTGAAGCTCGAACAGATTAAGCAGATCTCTCTCATTTGGCTCTTTGGATCAGTGATCACGGATGTGATCATCACTGTCTCTCTCGTGAGAATTCTGGTGAGCACTTCCTACTAAACACGGCCACCAGTGTTTAATCTACCCTGGATTTTTTAACAGAGTAAGAAAAAAACGGGGTTCGCTTCTACAGACCATTTGATTTCCAAGATCATTCGATGTGAGCATCAATAATCCGTTATGGTTTTTGGCTTTGATTCTCACGTATCGTGGTCCAGCGACGGTTCAGACCGGCCTTCTCACCACAACTTTCGCGTTGGGTGTTGTGATTGCTTATCTCGTGTCTGTAAGTACATGATCAAACTGGGCAGCCTTCGATTCAAGTTTATGCATCCACTACTTTACGTTCTAGGACTCAACCATGTTTGTCTTCAACATTCGGATCCATCACATCTGCTAACACCTCATTGTATAGGCATCTCGCGTTCGGACTTCCGTTGTCGAAATTGTACACTAACACGCTTCTGTCGTCCCTTAACGCTCGTAGTGCTTGGAGTCCAGAAGGTTATACGACGGCGTCTCACACAGCGATTCAGCTGCCCACAGGATCAGGCTCCCAGGCATATGTAAGCCTTCGAGAATTGCTCCGATACTTCGAAATCTGAATCTACCTTCTTAGAACGAATACAGTATCAACACTACCAACGGTATTGCCGTTAATGTCTCCAAATCCTCTCATACTCAGACGGATTCAAGTTCTGTACGTCAGTTTTTTCAATCGTCTGAACTCAGTGAATGAATAACTTTGCATTATAGAACGAAATCCACGAGATGAAAACCTACAAGGAATCTCCGAAGCATTTGAATATCGTCTAGATTTTGAGCTGTGTTCAGCGAGTTGAAAAAGCCTTATTTTTCCTTTGTTCAAATCCTCAAAACTAGAAATTATGCCGTAGAGAGTTGGAGGTGTAATAAATAACTAACGATGAGTTTATTTATGTTGTACGGAAATATCTACCCAGAATCGAAAACTACCTTTGTGTTCATAAATCTGTTTACCCTGTCCAATTTCCACCATAGCACGAATGATACAACATTAAACGATTGAAAAAGCGATTGAGACTAATCGTACGAATCGCTGGTGCTACCGCAATTTAGGCGTCTGAGGCTTCAAGTTCTGAGTCTCACGAATAGGTTGACTTGTCTTGAGCCTATAAATTTTGAGAAAACGGTTGTGATGTGCCAGATAGAATATAAGGTTATACAAACACAAGTCTAGTTGACATGGATGCAAGACACTGACGACCTAAGATTCCGTGACTACCAAAGGCCTTTGACCCAATGTTACATCCCGACGCAAAGGAAAGACGTGCCAGTCAGAGGTTTCATTAGTGAAAAGCTTCAAGCTCTTCCACCAACTGCTTCAATCGAGGTGTTATCCGACAAGGGAATGGTGCCGGTCGTTTTCAAAAAGAACATTTAAAGAGAGCGAGTGGGATCGTGTTGGAGGAAACCTACGTGACCAGACCCGAAAGATACTCTCCCTTTACCTCTACTATCTCGCCATTGGCGTCCCGTTGTTTATCCAATTCGAAGGCTGCAACAATACGAACCATAATCATCCATAGAAGGCTATCGGCAAAATATCTTCCTGGACATATCCTGTACGAAGTTATTCGTTAGATTACCACGGAAAGTGAGGTGACATTACCTTCGACCGAAACCAAAGGAAGCGTCACGAGGGTTCAGAGGCATGGGCTCATCTGGAGGGGGCATGAAGCGCTCGGGACAGAACTTAAGGGGCTCGGGATACCGTGTTTCATCATGAAGTATAGCCCTGGAAACCCCACTAATGAGCCTTCATTTTCTTTAATTGACCCACAGGCATCGCACCATTGATTAACGAGAACTGTGGCCCCCGCAGGAATATGATAACCGTTGAGTTCGGTGTCTTCTGAAACGCGATGTGGTACCTAGTAGTATCAAGGATCATACACAGAAATGACGCCACTTTGATAAACATATTCACCCCAAGGGGAACAGCCGGATTCCATCGTAGGACTTCCGACAATATGCATTCGAAGAAGGGAAGGAACGCGCGATCAGAAAACTCAGGAAGTCTGTCTCGACCGACTACGGCGTCAATTTCTGCCTGAGCTCGCTTTTGAGCATCTGGGTAGAGAACCATCCTGGGAACAAATCTCGACGTAAACAGCTGTTGGGATAAAAAATAATTGAGATAATTACGCTAGGATGAATGTGTCGAGAGCAGACAAAGACTGTGGGTCGGATCAGTGAATAAGAGTATCGATGTATGAGAAATCCTACTGTGTCTGCCCCACCTTTTCAAAGTAACGATTAATATATATCTATGATAAGCTGTAAGTATCTCACCGACATACAAAACACCAGCTGCTCCCATTATCAATTCTGGGTCTGTAATGCGTGCCGCCGTAAGGAGCTGCTGTTCAATGAGCGTCTTTGTCACCGAAGGTGCGACGGTGCCACTTTCCTACAAAGGTTCAGCCTCCTTTACTACCTAATCCATGAAAACAAACCAACATAACACTCCTTCGTGTTCTTGAAAGGAATCTCAATCATATCTCTTGCCTGTTGACGCCATAGACTAGCCTGCGTTTGAAACCCTGCGCCAGGGACCCATGGTGGGACGTAACGTACTGCATTGATATGCGCATGAAAGTGAATGCTGGAACATACAGTAAATTCAAAGAATAGAGCTTACGGAGAGGCAAAAAGTCGACATAAAATTTTCCGACATTACCGGCCTCGACAAGACCGTCGATTGCAGCGTCAGCTTTCGATACATATTGATCACGGAGAGCGCCTTCTTGTTCGCCGTAAAGGATGGACATCATCATTCCACCACTATGGCTGCGTGATAAATGAGTCCGTGTGATTGTATCTATTCTGAAGGAAGAAGTAGAACCCACTGCTTTATATGAGCCTGAAAGTTGGATGGGTCGTCAAGAAGGCTCTTCAAGAGTCTCCTTGATCCTTTCTCTACTGTGGGAAGATACGCGCTAAAGGACTGGGATTGTAGACATTGTTGGACCGTCCGCCGATAATTGCGAAAACGAGGACCTGTGCTCATGAACTGCACTGCCCAATCCCATCCCATCCTGCGAATACACGCGTGAATGAATAGGCGATACAAGTTCAACAATGATCCTTACAAGTCTGATATCATTACAAATCGCGGTCTGTCTGATGAGATTGAACTTTGGCGGTCAAGAAGATTTCGTGCGGTTTCTAACGAGCTCAGTATGATGAGTGACTGGCCAAAGACACTCAAGTGTATGATATCGCCTAAGTAACCTTGGTAAATTTGGGATCAATGTTATTTGGTATGCACTGACCATAAATCTTTGCCCATTTGTCATATGTCAACCATTCATGAGACGATGGCATTACAGTCACATTTCCAAGTATGGGTAGCGAACGAGGGCCCGGGGGAAGGGGTAAACTTGAAAAACTCTTGACTCTAAGAAGACGTCTGATCAGAATGACGAGAAGTCCTGCGAAGATGATACAGGGGAAAGACAGAAGCATTTGGAACTTTGAGCGGTGAAACTGAGCTAGCGTTACAACCTACGAGTGCGTATTCATACCCGTCAGGTTTCCCCAGGATCATTTGAAAAGGTAAGGACCGAATCATCATTTAATGCTATGATACGTCCGTTTCTCCGTGATGGACTATAATAGCTGCATCCACGAGAGAACATGAATATTAGCACTAACGGACGTAGGCGGAGATGTGCTTCAATGACTCTGATTATAGTTACAGCACGGGAATTTCCCCATCCGGAACTTCTTTGCCATCACAAACCATCCCCAGGGTATGATGGATATCATTATTTACTGAGTTATTTGTGCATCCTGGAGGTTTAAAAATAGTATTCAATGCTCTCTTCAAAGCTGACCTGTCACGGAATTGAGTAACGCCCACTCCCTTCTGATGGTAGCGGCATGTCCATCAGACCGTGGCATTAATCGCATCTCGAAATCCACCGGCTTCCTACAGCAGATTCACATCAAATAGATACTAGACGCTCAAAGAAACGTGACTCACGAAGTCATTCCTGAGGTACAATTATCAGGACTGATAATTACCGGCTTTCCGTCTTTGTCAAGGCCCGGCTGAATGTCGAAAGCCCACAACAGTCGCGTCAGTCCTATCCAAATAGTCTTAGAACCTAGATATTGTCCAGGACATTTTCTGCTTATCTATGAGTACGCCGAAGAGAGTGTGTTAATTTGAACCTACCTGCGACCGAATCCGAATCCGTAGTGGCCCTCGGTGAGTAAATCATTCTCAACAGCGCCTCCGCTAGGTAAAAATCTCTCTGGTCTGAATACGTAAGGATCGGGGAACTCGTCTGGATCGTGATGCTGCAATAGTGTTGGCGGGTATAGCAAACACCGATGTACACACGTACCATCGACCAAATGCAGGGTATAACCATCGTTTTCGCATTGATCTAGTGGACCGAACGCGCTCAGAGAGGGCCACCTGTGTTTGACAGATGCTTACCTTGAAACCCTTATACTCATCATCTGCATCAGAGTAGTGTGGAAACCCACCGGGAGCCGCAGGAGCCCACCGTAACACCTCTTTGGTGAGGGCAAAGCAATATGGAAGTTCATTGATGTGGGCGAATCCAGGGACTGTCTGTCCGTCTGCTCCGAGGAGACCGTCCAATTCCACTTGTGCTTGACGCATGGCATCCGGGTAGAGAATCATCGCCATGAAGAACCACTGAATGGTGCCAGCCGTACTATCGGTGCCAGCTTCGAACGCCGTACCGGCGACTGCGGGGGTTGTCAGAATGGGTTTGTAGATACACGGAGAAAGTAACGGCGAGGTACCATAGGAAATTTCTTCGAGGTCCAGAGCCTCTATATTTTGACGTTCCCATAATCGGGCCGCGAAGCATTCGAGGTCTTGTTTACCGGATTCCATGCGATCCTTGACCTCTAACACAAGGCGATTATACAACTGAAGTGCATGCGATTAGTATCGATATTAAGAATGGAGGACAACTCAGGACCCTCACTTTCATCTCGAATTCATGTTTGGCGCGCGCCTTCGCGCGCCAAGGGGCCAAGAAATCCGGAAGTAGGTCCAAGGCAGGGAATGTATCCACAAGATGAGCTCCCGGATAAGTATCGCGTACGAAGCCCTGTATGACAGCGATGACACTGTCCAAATCGCTGTCATTGTCTCCGAGACGTTTTCCATAGCTCAAAGTAAACACTAATGCCGCAGCGAAACGCTGACTATGACGAAATGCCTCGGTCGGTTTGTTCACGATATCATGCAGCAACCGAAGAGATTCAAACTCTTGCATACTTTCGTATGCTCCAACGACTTGGATACAACATCTGATTAATGATGTGAATGCATCAACTAAAAAAGAATTCCCTACCTCGAGGTTGTAGCATCTGATGGAACGCCGTCCGCTGCCTCTTGAGAGTCGGCCCGTAAGGAAGTAAGACGAGGCGCTTATTGTTTGATTGATATTTTCCCGCATATACAAGTGGAGGCCGGGAAGAATAGTTGTGGGAGCGTCTGCCCAACTAAGGAAACAGCCTTATGTCAATTGACGACTTCATGTGGAATCGTAAACTTACCAACTCCTCCGCATCGATCGATTTATTCAAAACAAGAACGTCGTTCCCGGCGAGCGATAATCTAAACAGAGGACCTATTATTATGGTCAGCTGAGCAATCGTTTGCATGAGTCGTTTATCTTACCATATCTCAGAGACAGGTTTTCAAAGTACCTCCAAGTCTGGGTTGTAGGTACCTGGAATACATGTCCCACTCCTGGAACCGATGGAGGCCCGGGAGGGTATCGGTTCTTGGAAGACAGTGAGAATCTCCAAAACAACAGAAATGCAATAATTAGAGCGTAGATCCAGAAAGACATGCTGCTTGCAACAGAGTGTAAACGCGCTCAAGGGTGATAAATGGTGATTAGAGCAAGAACGCCGTACATGAAGAACTTAAGTGCGCCAGCGGAAAGAAAACACATAACGTTGTTGTATCCACTTTGCTTCTCGAAACAGCCTAAACCATGAATATTCATCAGAGCATGACCTCTAGTGAGACGGGGAATGCCAAATACATGCAGCCGGTCGATATTCTGATCCTTAAGGCAATAGATCGAGGGTACGAAGAACTGAAACAGGGATACCGCTGTGATAGAAGAGTGGGAGTGCTATCCTGGGTGGAACTCGGCGCTCATCACGCTCACAGCTAGAGAATGCAATGTAATAAATCAGATTGTAGGTGATGGTCAAAAATAGAATAAGTACAGATGTTGGGAGATAGAAAGGACGCTTACCAATCTTATCACCCGTTATGTCCACTTCTGGTCAATTATCGGATACTAAGTACTAACTTCAGCAGTTGTGTGATAAATGATTCGGGTCGCACCTTTCCCATCAGGTCCATCGCGCATCTTTCCAGGTTATCTCCTCTTCTGACTTCTCGCGCTCAAACGCGTGAATGTTGATGGATACTGGAGCATTACGATAATCAAAAAAGATGCACATCTCCGCTCCGAGCATCAGACGTGCCGGAGAGCACGGCCTACCAGGATCCATATACTTATACTCGACTGCCACACACTCCTTCTCTCCATCTCACGATCCCCCTTCAGCTTGCAACTCAACCATTTACCACCGTCAATTACTCTGAGATGGCTCCCGTCGTCCGCTTCGCTGCTTTCAAGTACAAGCCTGGGACCACTGATGAACAAAAGAGACACTCTCTTGACGGTCTCATCAAGCTTTATGAAGAGAACGCACGTATGGTCAACCACGGCCCTGTCGGTCTGTCGTCGCAGCTAAAACTCTTGTTGTGCACACCTGCTCATTGTATCCCAGGTGGCAGGAACAATAACCCGGAGGGATTTGATAAAGGCTTTGACGTCGCCTTCACAGTCGAATTCAAGGTTGGTATTGCATCGTTTCCGTTTTTCGACTTCTATTAACGCGTCACGTCAATCAGTCCAAGGAGCACCGGGACGAGTTCATCCCCGATGCGAAGCACGTTGCATACAAGGTAGAAGTCGATGTCACCCATTGACTGATATGATTCTTACTAGTCGCCAGATGTCAATCATGGATATCGTCGAGGATGTTATTATATATGATTTTGAGAAGGGCGATTATGGCTATTAAGCTACAGTAGGGTTCGGGTGCGGCTAAAGGATGCGTTCGGAGCTTTTAAAGATAAATCCAGAGGTTACGCTCACAAGAAAGTGTAGATGTATAGCATATTATTTGACGGCAAGTGGTAATTATTACATTGCCACGGCATAACCCCCACTCGGTGGAGAATAGATGTTCTGCCCTGCAACGTTGAGAGGCATAGCAAGAAACCGACAGCCAATGAATGTTGCCAGAATTCCAGTTGCTCGAGTAGCGAGCGGCCCTATAGCGAACGATCACTGAGAAGGTACCCCCAAGGACGTGTTCCCCGTTGAGGCTTTCATACGTGTACTTGTTACAGTCTGGTCACCTCCTTTCACGGCCAAGGACGATAAAAGACTCACAAGGCTCTCTATGTCACTACGCTACCTGAAATCTGGGTCGACGGCGAAGCCGCCACCGTATCTCTTATCCGACCACCTTGATCCCGAGTTTTGTTATCAACATATGCTTCGAGGAAAGTTCGGTGACGCTAATCGACCTTGCGCCTTAAGCTCCATATATGCTGATTGGTGATGTTGTGTCCGAAAAAAATGTTGAAAATGTCGTGACTAGAGCAAAGTGACGCCATTTTTGATTCACCACGGCCTGCTTCAGGAGGATAAATGAGGCGAACCAACGATGATTTTTGGGATCCTTCTCTTCACGCCCGGGCGACTGCAACACGAAAGGCTGGATGGCAGGAAAGCAGAAGAATTGTTAGCCGGCGGCGATTCAGGAGAATCCGCTCCTATTCTTACGCCATCACGTGGATTGGCCGAGGCAGGGATCCTCGGAACGGACAGCTACTCATAACAATGCATTCACACCTCCGGTCTCTGCAAAATTGCGTTTGCACATCCCACCATGTTCTTTGACTTCGACTTGATTATTCGTAACGGTATTGTGGTCACCGCGTCTGACCAGGTGACTCGCGATATCGGTATCAAGGATGGGAAAATTAGGTCCCTCGCTGCCGGTTTGCCCTCACTGGACGGGTGCCAGGAAATCCAATCGCCGCTACTTGCTTCAGTACAAATTCTTGTTGTGGAAGATGGACCACCGTACTAGGTGGTCGCTATTCTGGAATGTTCTCTCAGGGAAGAGATCTATTGTATCCGAGTCGAGGATTCTGGATTCTGTGCAGGAACCCGGACGCTCCAGTGAGGAGCTGGAGACATGTGCTCTCCCCTATACGCTACACCCTACAATGACACTGGTTCTAAGTGTACAATGATTGAGGCCGCGCAGTCGTCGTGGCCGCCCAACGACTAAGCACAGTGGTGCGTTACGATGTTATGAACATCCAGACAAGATGAACAGGGGACCATTCGCTGACCAGAGTCCGATGCGTAGCCTCGTAGGACTGCCGCCATCGACTCGCCGGTGTTCTTTTCCATAGAGCGCAAGGTATTACGATGCCTTCCAATTGTACTTGGCGGTATTCAGCGGGCGTCTCCCTTATAACGATACGCCGGAAGTGCCTGGTGTGAGCCAAGTTTGGCTGCAACGAAGACCAAAGATTCCTGGCGCGCGCATGCATGAAGGCTCGTTTGGACATGAAGCTTCTCCGTAGGAGGATGTATTCGATCCACAAGTGTTTTTTCGGAGATGCTGTTGACAGTATGAGCCGGATTGTTGCCGTGCCAGCGCAGAGTTATGCGCACGAATCTTTAAGAATATGAATACGCGAATTTGATTCGCTACTGTCCAGCGAAGGACTGCGAGAGATACGGTATGCATCTCCTGATTGGAGACTGTGCTGGGTGTTCCGTTCGAGGGCAACTGAATTCGTGACCTTGTCATGACCAATGATTTATTACGATACGAAGCTATGGGGGAGAGATTAATCCCTGAGTATCCATCATGGAACGCGAGGATCTTCGTTCGAGTGGGAGTTAGCATGGATTGCTACGCTATTTGGAGGAGAATGTCTCCATCTCACTGCGTCTATTGACGCTCCGACGAACGAGACTGTATGAAGTCATCATGATACGCCAACCGCTGACGGGGCGAAGAGACAGATCGCAGCGGCCTGCTTATATGAGTACTGAATCAAGGCCCGAGGCAGTAATGCTATCGACCTGAAGAACTTCTTTTTCGAGACAAGAATTTCTTTTCAGTGCGAAACTAAGCAGGTGCCGAGCGTCTCAACTAACCACTGCTAGAATTTCCTACGAGGTGCATACCAGCGCCGCTGTTACTATCCAAGAAAGAGTACTGAGCCGGATACGAGGCAATCCCCCTGGACAATGAAGTGTGGATACCGAAATAGCTGTTCTTTCCCTTCCTCCTCTCAATGACGTTGTTGTGCACGCGACATCATGGTTGTCAAACACTCCGACGTTCAGCGACGGAGTGTACTTGTGCCAAATTTTTTGTTCATCTTCCTCTCTTCGGAGAGGTTTCTAGATATTGGACGCTCTGTGACTACAGGTTCGTCAGTTTGGTTGTCTAGTCTATGCTTTTTCATTCCAGTGACGTTCAACTTTATCCAGTTATACTGTTCTATTCCGCAATTGAGGTATCGTTAGTCGTGTAAAGTATCGTATTCACCCCACGCACCTCGTCGAACCTGGATGATAGGATCAGGAAGCTTTCCGGAAACTGCCGGATTGATCAGCTTGATCCTGAATCCAAACGCTTCCTTAAAATTTTACGACCACGACCTTGGCCTCAAATATCTAGCATGCCTGTGACATCTTTCTGGCCCTACGATGGTGAGAGCTCCAATGCTGACGCCTGAGAATATGTTCTTTTTTCGGGATGGCTGAGTTGAGCGAAGATTTCCCCCGTCATGTCGTTCTTGTTACTGGTGAGTGCGATGTCTTTTTTTCCCCTTTCACCTACCTACAGTATATGATGTTTGAGGCATTTGGCTTTATGTAGGTATCACCTACAATGCAGAAACTTATCTCAGCTACCTTCGGGCTATGACCCGCTTCTTCTGATTTCTTTTCACCATTTCGCCCCGTCACCTGTTTTTCTAACTGTTCTGGTTTCAGATTCATTGTTTTGAAGTTGACGGCTGAAAAAATCGCTCCAGTGTTGAAGGGATTGATTTCGATGGCCTGAGGCGGCCTAATGACGACGGTATGGAAAGGATCCTTGTCTTAGATCTACCGCACAGTGAGTATTATTCCTATGTTCGCATGCTTTATATGATGTTTGAGGCATTTGGCTTTATGTGGGTGCAGCCTGCAGTGCAGAAACTTATCTCAGCTACCTTCGGGCATTGACCCGCTTTTTCTGATTCTTTTATGTCTGTTTTCATTCTTAGTATACTATACTGACTACTCGGCTTTCAGAACACTATTATATACTACTTAGAAATGAGATAGTTATGCGCAGGGATCGTTTTTCTGAATGCCGAGTTCAAGGCGACCGTTACTCCATGGTGGACCCCTCGAGGGGCTTCTAGTTGGTGGATCGTCATATGTATACCGTGTACCATTGGTCAGAGCTGTAGTGATACCAATACAGCCATAATTCTCTCAGCTGAAGTGAGGATGAAGTAGGACGCAAACGTGTGGATAGCTTCGCGAAGGTTTCAGTACGTAGTCTCGGCCCGAAATACCAACTTGATGTAAACAAGGGCAACAGGCAGTTTTCGTCTCTACCACCACCAGGCGTAAAGCTGTAAGGCTCGTACCGTACAAGACACTCGTCTTTCTTCGCGAGCGGGTAAGGTCTGAGTATTCAAAGCTCTCTTGCTAGGCTCTAGCTGGGTCCGACTTGTTACGAGTCGAGCAACGTATCAGAAACTCGCAGGGATCTCGCTTCACGGCCAAAGACACTTTCTCTCGAAAGCGAGGTCATACCAGGATCCTTTGCTTGGAATCGTTGCAGAGCTTGGGCAGGCTATTCGATGCTTTCATGGTGCTATTAGCCCTCGGGCACTCTCACATGGGATGCGAGGGTGATGCAGCTGCTGCACCCTGTTCACGTTTATCGTGACCGATTATCGACGGCTTGCTCGTTAGTTGCCCAGATAGTAAAGGAACACATCGGGGCAGGCAGGAGATTTGTCAGCGTACTATCCCTCCATCGAAGTTGTTAAAGGACTACATATACGCATTTGCATTTCTTTTCTGTCCTTCGTTCCATGGCACGGATAGTCAAGGAACACAGGGAGGCAGGCAGAAGATTTGATCAGCGTTGTACTACTTTATCAAACGTGGTTTAGGGACTACGCAGTATGCAAATGTCTTTCTTTCAACCTGTCTTTGGTTCCTTTTGCATTATTTCTTGCTTCTGCGCAGCCGGTCGTTCGATTAACGGGGCTTAAGGCATACTTGATGCTGAAGGATTAGTCTGTCCTTTAGTCCACTTTACGGCACGTATGCTTGCATACGAAACTCGATTCAGACTACTCTACGTCTGCTGCCACAATTTTTTGTCACTACTCTTTTTGGAGAGTTTGTTTACCTGTTGCTACGGCGTTAAGGTGAGGAATTTCCTAGCTGTTTTGTCATAATTTACTAAGTTACAGTTCTAGTATCATGGTAGCCAGTGCACAATGTTATCGTGATTCAGGCCCCCAGATACTTATATCGTATAGACGCTTGTATCGTAAGGTCAAAAGAAAAAAGTATGCGGGCGTGTATCAGAAACATGCAAGGCCTTGTGTTCAAGCCTGTCTCCGACAGCAAAGCCAACGACGATGTCCTTGTAGTCGCTCACTCCGAGTCTATCCTTATCGGGTTCAAGTTAGAAGACATTGCTGGAATCAGGTTTGACGATTGAACAATTGAAAAACAATTAAACTTTGTGTTTAGTGTTTGTGGCGTCGAGGAGAATAGAACCACAACGTCGCATTTTTATAAATTGGGGAGGAGGCCTTGTTCTCCTGGGACATCAATGCATCACCATTAGGGCAGTTGTGAATGCACTGCTGCGCACGCACTCTCCATCGTAAGTATGATAGAATATATGGTGTCCGGATAACTTTAGTACACTGATATAATCATATGGTCTATACCTATCTGCTACAAGATCAGTCATCTCCGCCGTGGGAGCTAGCAGCATCATCTGCCTCCGTATTTTGTGCAACAGTAAATCCAGACAATGTCGCTGATGATCCACCACCTTCGGCATTCCGGGACCGGGACCACGCGTGCGCCATTTGCAAGAACTTGAAAGACGTAGGATTGGACTCCCGCTCGTCGTCCGCAAATACCAGATCCCAATCTACACATACCCTCAGGACACTTAAATCGAAGACAGACACGTAACACATACCTTCCACAGTCTGCCCAGTTTCTTGGTCGACGTGCCGCTTCTTACTTACGATCGGCATCATTCCTTGGACCTTGGCAACATCATCAGGACTTCCATTGGTCTCTTCAAAGCTCTTCCAGACTTCGAGTAATGCAACACGCTATTATGGAAGATGAGAGCAATGTATGGCAAAAAGATGTGATAAACGTACCTCGCTCTTCAAACCCTTGCTCTTGAGATCTTTGTAACCACGGTCGAATACTTTCCTGGCCAAGTCGTGATCTCCGGCCACCATGCGCTGCTCAGCCTCTTCGTCTTCGTCTTCTTCTTCCTCTCTCATAGCACGTGGTAGAGGGATAGGCTCCGCCTCGAAGAGTGCGTACGATATCCATACTTTGACGTGCCCACTCAGAGCGATCAGCCGCTCATACAATGAACGAGCTATCTCTCTTTCGCCTTCCTCCACCTCAAAGTCAATATATGCCTTCCATAGGATTTCTGGCATAGAAAGCGGGCTTTGTGACACTCCAAGTTCGAAGATCGCCCTCGCTCGCGCAAAGTCGTGCAGTTGCGCTTCGAGTTCAGCGAATTTGATCCATGCGGTAGAGTTTGCAGAATCAAACTGAGGAGTAGGATGTCAGTGCACGTTCAGAAGGATCGGTGGATCGGAGACTGACCCCGAGGTACTTTTGGTACAGTTGACGAGCCCGGTCAAATTCACGAAGCTACATAAGATATGAGGACGCATGTTAGGATATCAGAACCGTCACGGACCTCTATCTCAAGTTCAATATACTGCTTGAACAGTGCTTCTTTCGGACACATGCCTATGGCAGCACCGAGAATCTTTCTTGCCGCAGGCAGGTCAAGACGTCGCACTTCAAACTTGGCAAACATCACCCATAACTTCGCAAAAGTAAAAACTTTATGTGGGACTATGTTGAGAGCCGTCTGATAGATTTGCCGTGTCCGTTCATAATCCTAGAATATGTCAGTAACTCTACCCAAGAAGGTAACGAGAAACGTACCTTGGTCTCTATCTCCTCAAAAAGAGCGTAATCGATCCACAGGAATATGTACCGTCGCCAATGTCGTTTTTCACCACCAGGCGGAACCTGTGCGACGGCCCTCTCATAAACTTCCCGCACCCTCCCTACCGCAGCATCTTCCTCCTCCTGTGTACCCCCTTCAGACCGAAGATCCCGGTATCCATTCTCTTCTAACCTCGCGTAGTCAAACCAGACATCGTAATTACGACCGTCATGAGACAGCTCCTCCTCGTACTGTATGCGCCGCTTGCCCAATACTGTGCTCTCGAGCGTTGAGCGCGTACCATGCTGCTTTTCGAACCTGGTATATGAAGCATACAGGCCACTCGACTTTGACCGAGGTATCCGTTCCAATGCGAACTTGTAGATCACCCTAGCACGATCATACTCCTTCATTCGGGTCTCCATTTTGGCAAAGGCACTGAAAACTGCCTGGGCCTTTTCAATCTGCTCCTCGTCATCACCATAGAACTCGAGCGCCGTTTGGAAGACCTCGCGAGCCTTGTCCACCCTCTGTCTCTCCTCCTCAAATTTCCCCCATTTGACCCACACTCTTGGATCCGGTCGCACTGCGACCCATCGTTCATAGATGGCACTCGCTCTATCCAGCTCATGGTACCGCTCTTCAAGTTTGATGTACGCCTGCCAAGCCTTGTCGTCTGGCTCCCATTGCATCCATCGTTCAAACACCTGGCGTGCTCCGGGAACATTCTGCAGCAGCTCTTCCAGATAGACGTATTTGTACCATAGCTGGTCAACGCGAGGTAGAAGAGTGACGGCCCGATCAAAGAGGTTGCGTGAGTGCTGGACATTCCGTGACCGTAGTTCCATTTCTGTGTATGATAGCCATAGTTGGATGCTCCGTGGGTCAACGTCGAGCGCTCGTTCATACACTGATCGCGACCGTGCAAATTCGTTTTGGCTGGCTTCCCAGTTGGCATATTGCAACCATTCTTTGCTAGATGAAGGGTTAATAAAACGGCGTATTACTCAAATGTTAGCACTCACATACTGCCCCTCGTCCGTCGCACCCGCTCTTCAAACTCCTTCCGCTTGCGCCCTCGATATTCATGCAGTTCCTCGAAATCTTCAACGCGTTGCTTTGGCGCTCGGAAGGCACTCTCCTGCCGCTCTTGAGCCTATACAAAGTAAGACTGGGTGAAAAAATCTGTAATTTGGGTATCGTACCTCCCGTAGGAGCTGCTCCGCGGTAATCTATTTGAAGATGTTTTAGCCAAAAAGCGTTGGTTGAGATTGCCTGTTTGCACACCTGGATAGCCGCGGGGGCTCGGTTTTTTATGCTGATGTATAGCGTTAGATATTGTCTGTCACAGCCAAAGAGACGCGTACCGTGGTGCACGGCCGTCCTGCATCTTGACTTTGAGGAGAGTGAACGAAGGTCCTGCAGTCCAAACACGAACAAATTTTGGACGAGCCCCGGAGTGTCGGACCGAGGGCCGAAGAGACTGACGTCCAGGAGTCTTGATCCAGTCGACTCGAACCCTCTGCAACCCATGTCCTTAGTTGTCTTGCTCAGTGAAATATATTGTTCTAATCTACGCGAGATTTCGGTGATCTAACGAGCACGTCCGCCATCAAATATTCTCCAGCAGCACATATTCCTCCGGACCACGCGAGCAACAGCGATGCAACTACGAAGAAACTGATTGTCTGGCCAATTTCCAGCCATGAACCTGAATAACAATATGAAGAAAGTAGAACGAAGAGAAAAAAATGTGCATTTACCAGTATCCGTGACGTTGAAGAAGAACATCACGGTCATGCCTAGATTATGCTTCAGTTGCACCGCCAGATTGAAGATGTAAGTAACACTGACCGTCTGTTATCATGAGAGCATTGAGAAAAAGGGCGAATGGAGGGAGATCCAGCTGGTACGTCAAGGTTGCAAATGCCACAGACAAGATGATGTATGGCGCAACAATTTTGAACAGCTTGACAGAAGGTCAGTGAGATGCATAGAAGGCATGTATGACGAGCTCACCAGCAGTGCAGACATATAGAATGGATTAAATATTGGTATCAGTCTATACACCGGGGACAAATAAAACGACCTGATCGACGGCAATGGTCAGGCAAATATTCAACCAGAATACTTGGATATCAATGCAAATACTCACGAGACGGAAGCCACACTGTAAAGACTTTAGAGAACATCGAAGGAGAAAAACTGTATGACTTACTTTCCCGTGCCAAAGAAACCAACCTGCACGAAGAACAAAAAGAAAAGCACTATACGCAAATCATCCGCCTGAAAGCGGTATACTTCGGCGTTGTCCTGTTTAGAGCGCTGTGCGTTGCGAAGCGATGTCTCCACTTCAATCCAACACAGAAGGGTCATGCAGTACGCAATATAGAACATGCCCTCGACGCTTATGGAAAGGATGACGAAACACGGCCCAAACCCGAGGAAGTACATCAGAATCTGCGACATAGGTGTAGAGTGCTTCACCCGAGAGATGAACGGAAGCAGTGAAGACATAGCTGTACATTATCGATATGATCAATCACTATCAAGGGAGACTAGACGGCAACGTACATAACACGATCCATCCAGATATTTGATTCAGTAAGGGTAACCCTGTCTTGGCTTGTAGACATCGTACAGAGCTTGCGGTCACGATCATAGTGATCACGATAAACAAGCACTGATAGATGGTTAGTGACTACTGAATGGAATAGGAAAGGGCTTACTTGTGTGTAGAACACCGAAAGCAGCGACCTCGAGGCTGATCTAGCAAATTGTGTAATCGTAAAGGCTCCAGTTAAAAGGATGCCTACGCCGCCCAGTAATCTATTACATATCAGTAATGATGAGAAATTACAGAGAACGAAAACACCACTCACATCGAAGACAGTGTCTCCGTCTTGTCTACACTAAGTAGCGGGAAAATGGCCGTGATGAGACAAGAAGCCATCCACAACCATTGAGACCCAGCAACCTGGGCTCTTTCTTCAGAGGACCAGAACGCGGCAGGCCACACAAAACCAATTACGAGGAAGCCAACGCTCCAAATTGATCGATGTGTATAAGCGACCTTTAGAAGATGAGAAGTCCGCAACGAAATGGGTCACAGTTGTCGGCACTCACCACCATGCTTATCAGTGTTGCGAATACGAGGCAAACTCTTGAAATGGTCATCCAAGCATGCTGTCGTGAAACATTAAGAGCTGATGGCTTTAACAATGGGAGTATTTGTGATAAGAACCGTTGCCAAAAGTAACACGGGAAGGTAACATATAGATAATATGTCCAAGGCGCCCGTTCTGAGAAGAAAAGTCCCCAAAAACTCGCCAGCACAACGAAAGCTGTAGCCGTTATGACTGGCGACTGTTGTGCTACCGGGAAACTCCCCGGTTTGAAAACAAATAAAGATGCGTACGCTGCCCATCCAGCATAGGCAATTGTAGCAATCGTTCGCAGCAGTGCTCGTTCATATGTCTGGAGGTAACGAAGACCTTCAAGTCCAATGGTAATGAGGTCAAGGGCGGCGGCACGAGCGCCGTACCAGTCACTTTGGAGTATGAGGTGCTCGATTTCTTGTATTGCTTCTATCCTGCGTGGATTTCCGGACTTCGTCAGGGCTTCTAATGGAGTAAATGCTCTGTAGAAGTTCTTATGTCTTTTCTTGATTTCTGCTTAAGTCTGTTAGTCACGTCGCTTGACATAAATTCATCCTTACCATGCTGAATTCGATAGTTCTCCAATATCGCCTTGTAGCCGTTCTTCAGTATCATCGACAAGTAGATAATGGCAGGACCAACCTTTGTATTGACTAAGGCGGCTCCTGCAAGCGATTGATCTCCGTTTCTAGGAAGCAAGTAACCAGGCCGTGTAGGATCTGCGTCAGGTAAGACGCCAACGGAATTCACGGGCCAGTCAATGCCTATTAAAGTAGCCATGAGAGCAGCTATATCTGCCTGTTCAACATCCCTTCGGTATAGATGGGTAAGTCCCCAAGGTCGTGAATAACCGTCATGGGAAGAAGGAATTGAGTCAGAAAGAGGTCCACGGATTCCTTTGCCCCAAGCAACGAGGGGTGTTCGCGTGCTATCAGGATCTGAATATAGTCGATTTAATTAGAGATTGCAAATTAGAAACGGATGACGAACTTCCATCCCCGTGGTTCCCAATGACAGACATGCCATGATCTGCAGTGAAGATATAGCTTGTCTCATTGTCTTGAAAGAAATCAGAAATCAATTTCTCGGTCTCTTTCACAATTCCATCGACGACCTGAATATTATGCATATACTCCTGGTACAGCTCATCAGTGTCAAGTAACACAACAATCAGGCTCCAACTGACAAGTGAATGGGGCCTGTATGAATGTCCTGTCGTGTCCAAGCCCAAAAGATGCAGGAAAATCACGACCTTATCCGAGCGGAGTTGATGATCCAAAGTAGGATTTGTAGTGGCATTGCGAAAGAGATCACGCAGGTTCTCAAGGACCCACAAGTCGAGCTTTGTCGCATCTAAATAGGATTAAGTTCAGTCCATGAGGTTCACTAGGCAAAAAGAAAACCTTGCGTGAAGTCTTCCGCATCTTCGTCATAACTCCATTCCTTCACTACTCCAAGAACTGCACCACGAGTGAACATTGGTAAGATATCTGGAGACCCGAAGGAATACGTGTGACTTGACTGATTGAAGACGGAGTCAAAATCGACCTGAGGGACAAATCAATTCTTTTCTCTGGTAGGGGATATGGGAAATAATCACTGGGTTCGTCTTCCATCCCTTTGAGAATATCAGCCTTGGTTGTACGGAGATTGTTAAGAGGACTTGCCTTGGCTACAGCAGATACATCTTCATACATTCCGCCTTCAAATGCTTTCAGTATGAAGGTACAACGCTGTGTAGAAGACACGTACCAATAATTGCAACATGTCCTGGTCGACTCTCAGTAGGTACACGAGTATGGGATACGCCAAAAGCGCCTCGGTGTTCGATGATGGAGCGTATGTGGGGCGCAACGACTTCGGGTGTATTGGGGAATGCAGAAAATCCGTTCGGTTCAAATAAAAGGTCTGCCCGCAGACCGTCACCTGCGTAAAAGATTTGAGAAATCTGTGTTAGCTCGAGAAGAATACGTCGACGTACCAACAATGAGAACGAGTCTTTGCGCTTCCTTGTAATCAACATTGAAGCTTGACATCCCATGGACAACAGGACTTGTGAAATAGCAGTCGAACACAGAATAAATGAAGATAAGATGGAAAAAAAGGCCAATGATAAGGAGGTGTGCGACATTATAGCCCGCCATTGCCGATAGAGTTCTTCGGTCGCGTCAAGATACAAGGTCTTGAGCAGGACGTGGAAGGAAATGAAGACCCTAACCTTAGGCCGAGTTTGTCCTTCGGCACTGCGGACCGAGCTGAACTGGCAGACAAAAACCTGCAGTGGCGGGCCCGGACTCTCACTCCTAATTACGAAGTCAGAGTTGATATTTGCAAGATCCCGTATACAAACTTTCTGGGTAAATAATCCTACATTAGTTGATGAATGCTCCTTGTACAACGTTGCTCATTTCCTTTTCATTTACCTTTGTTACACATGGAACTTGATTTCCCATACCCGAACACACGCATCCGCACCAGCACTGACCAGCTTTCCAATCTTTCCATCTCCACTCTCGACCCAAAGAACAGCACTGACACCTCCAGGCCCTACATTCTTCAGAGCAATGTTCTTCATCGGCTTCTCGACACTCCAGATATACACATGAGTATCCAAAGAGCCAGACGCGCAATGTTTGGAATCAGCAGTCCATGAAAGCGAGTTGACTCGAGCGGAGTGGAAGGACCATCGGGAGGTCAGCAACTAAAGACATATCAATAAACTAATCGAGTATCACGGAAGCACAATTAACCTTCTTTTCCGTCACATTGAACAAGGCAATTCTGCCAGAAGACTACGAAACCATTAACACGGTACCAGACAGAGTTATTACCACTTACATCGCCGGAAGCTAGGTATTTACCGTCAAGCGAAAAACTAAGAGCACTTATCACTCCCTTATTTCCTTCCAACAGACCTCCTTCCTTTAAGCTCCTCCCGTCCCATTCATATAATACAACCTTTTGCTAAACCCAAAGTCAGGGGCAACAAACGGCACAGGAGCAGTAGACTAACCTCTCCTCCAACAGCAACGAGGTTGCCCGACGCCGCCACAGCAGTTGGCGCCGACTTCGGCGTTATCTCAAACACTTTCTGGTTAGAGCGGATAACCTCGACGGTGTTAACTTCAGCCACGAAGACTGATGAATCTTCTGCGACCGCTATTCCCTTCGGCTGTGATGCTGTTGACAACGAAGTCGGCCTATGAACAGCGATTAACGACTGTCCATGAAGGAACTGAAAGCTACGAACGTGAACTTTTTGCCATCGCTAGCTATCTCGCGTACTCTATCGTCAAACCCGACAGAGAACACTTTCCCGTCAGCCGAGGAGGTAGCCAGTGCAGTAACAAAGTTAGAATGCCCTTCACCCTTCAATGGGATAGATTCCGCAGATGCTATTGAGTACGACAAGACGTGTCCATCTGCCGAACCTGCGAGGAACGTTCCAGCTGAGGAGGGAGATATCGCCGTGATAGCCTTCTGCGGTGCCTAAAAGGGAATCAGAGGTTGTCAAGAGCCAGAGAGAAAGAGTTACTGTTATAGTTTTCGTTGACTTGTCGCCAACTCTTGGATCGAAGACATTGAGATCTCCCCCGAGCGACAGCGAGACAATCCCTGTCTCGGTGCTCCACGTATTTCCGACCTGTTGGTTGTCGACACCGGAACCAACAGTCCATGTTGTAACAGATTTACGCGTTTCAACGTCCCCTGAAGTAAGTGTTAACGGGAAATTCAGACAATACCAAGACCTCTTACACAATTTGACAGTGCAATCGGCAGATGAGGTGACAAGGGACTTGCTATCGGCACCCCATGAACAAGCCATCTGAAAAGGGTGTTAAAAGGGAGAAATATAACTATTATTTGAGATTCACGATGGTTCCTTTATGGGGGCTATCAGTAAATTCGTTCGAGGTCTCTCCTGTTTTGCCGTCGTAGATGAAAATCTTGGCGTCTGATCCGACGCTAGCAAAGTGGTCTCCAGATGGAGCATATCTGACATCTTGGACGAACTTGGTATGCGTTTTGATGGTCTAAGTCCCGCCATTCAACAAAGTCTGGAGATATCCACGTAGCTCATACGACCAACCTTGTCGTACTTGTACGGAGCTCCTTGATGGAATACAATGAGATTGTCGTCCGCAGCAGTAGCAGCTCTAAACGGTCGTTGGTGCCGGATGGCAACAGCATTGATGGCCTAGGGAATGTCAGCAATTTTCATAATTGACAATGCGACATACCTTGGAATGACCGATAATCTCTCCTGTAGACGATCCAGTATCCATCATGAAGGCATGCCCGAATCTAACTCGTATTTCACGCGTCAGAGCGAGCAGGCCCTCATAAAGAAGACCTACTTCTCTCTTCCATCTCCAACTGCAATAATTCGCTTGCTTTCTCCATCCCATTCTAGATCATTTCTGTGGGCAACACATTAGATTACAGATGGAAGGAGAACACGACGTACATGCGCCCAGAAATGACTTTGTACTCTCCTTTCAGGGTCTGGTCTTCACCAACGGTATCCCAAACTCTGACTGCGACCTCCATGTCAACACTTCAATATTTCCTAAAGGACAAGTATCCATACCCGTTCCCGCTGCATCCGCAGACGCGCAGTAGTATCCCGATGGCGATATACGAGCAACCGTAGTATTCTGGACATGACCTGCGTATGCAACAGACAGGCCTGGATTCTACAACACAACAACTTGAATGTGTTTGTCATCCATTGAGAGCTTTACTGACGTTCAAATCGCGTATCTGCACGTCTAAGGTCATTCAAGCATTAACCCTGATCAGCATCGATACGCACGATGACGGCCCGGCCATTGGCATACACAACCTTTCCTTTGCTTGAACTGAGCTTCGTAGAGACGCCACGACTGGTAGTGGGATTAGCAGGGTAAAGCGCGAGATTCTTGAACGACATGGACGGTGGCGACGCGTGCGGTGATGGTGGTAACGATACAAGATCAGTGTTCCCAATTTAGTCTCCTTTCTATTTCTTACTGCTCGTCCAATTTGATGCTGCGACTACCTCAAGCTGGCTGCGAAAGCAGTCTCTCTCTGGCTGATTGAAACGTTTCAATGTCGAAACTGCGGCGGTGGTGGCGCTAATGGAATATTCGTTCCCAGCAAATTCTTTAAGTTCTCAAGAACCTCCTTTTCACTTTCATCACATTACCAAAGCGCCTGGTAGACGATAGATGATACAAATAACAGGAATTGCTAACAGGCAACGATTGCGTACTCCTGATCATCACTAACTCCACTTTAGATGACGAGATCTCGAGAAGCCGCCATCGTTCTACGAAGTGGAATATCCGTCGTCGAGATGTCACCCCAATTCTTGCTACAAGTTCCTGCCAAACACAAATTCCCAAGGGGAACAGAACTCATCACGTCCACGTAAAAAGTCGTAAATAGTAAAATACAAACATCTCCACCATCAAGAGAACCTAGGGTGCATGTTCCTTGTTGCTCGTCTCAGCAACAACTTCCTCAGCAGGCCGAATATGCCCTTCGTCATCCATTCGCGCCCTGTACAGATGTATCAGATCAGCGACAGTACGCACGCAGAAGATTTTCAAACAACGTACAGAACTTCGTCATCAAGGTCGGTATGGTTTTTCACCCGTAAAATGAGCATCGGCAATGCAAAGACAAGTCCTGAAACCAGCAACACCCAGGTGGAAATGAAGATATTCATATACGGAATCTTCACCGCATCAGCACGCCAAATCCCCGCCGCACCTGCCGACTGAAGGGATTTGTAAAACCCGGCAAAGAACGCTAGCTTAGACGGGTCATTCGACATCGCCCCCATAAGCCAATAAGCGGTCGTTTGCCACATCGCGTCGAGGATACCACAGAAAATATAAAACACAATCCGGCCCGCATATCCATGGTCGTAGATATCCATTTTACTGGCCTCAGGTGGCACGGTCTCCCTAGTGTACTGCTTCTGGTAGAAATATCCCCAGATGTGGACTACGAACACCATGAGGAACAGGGCGGTCCAGCCGGAAAAGGCCCGTACGCGACGGCTAAGGGATTTCCGGTCCAAGAGTAAACCAATAAGGACGGAACCGACGATTTGTGAGATCCAGTAGCAAACATTATTAAGACCACGCGCACGGATACTAAACAGGGCGCCATTAAAGCCGCTAAATTCTGTGGATGGTATGAGTTCATTGGAATGAAACTAAAGGTGACCAAAAAACTGACGCCATGTATAGAACCAGTTGGAGACAAAGAACATAGGAAAGAGAAGTACAATCATAGGATCCGTTTTGAGCGTTATGAAAAGACCCATAAATTCGGTTTTCCACGAAGGCTGGCGGGGAGTAGTAACCTTCGTGCCGTCGGAGCGTATCATGCGGTTTGGGTTCACCATTAGCAACGGGACCAGAACACCGATGAGGGTAAGGATCAGGAAACCAATCTGATGGGGGCGCTCATAAGATGTTATCGTGGAATGGACAGAAAGAACGCACATATGTGCCATTATCAACAGCATTAGCCTAACAAAGCAAATGAACATCCCATCAGTGCAAGAAAAAGCAAGTAACATACCGTTGACTTCCAATTTCTCCCTGCCGCTACGGACGCGCCGACGACGCCGCCCAGGTTGAAAATAGACCAAAAAATACCGATGAACTTGCCCTTCTGCGCCTCCGTCGGATATGCCATCATCAGTGAGCCTTGGGCGGTCCAAAGAAGACCGGCACATAGCCCAAGGACGGCGCCTGCACCGACGACAAAGCCACCTGCATCAGAATGGATGTTCATCGCCCTGAAACCGTCAATTGGTTATTGGTAGCTAGGCAGACGACTCGGACACTCACAAGTAAGATCCGATGTACAAGCTATATCCCATAGTTCCAATCAAGAGGGTAAGTTTTGGTCCGAGAAAGTTGTTAATAGAGCTTTGAAGAATGAGCGCAAGTTGCAACGCGACATAGCATGTACACACCCAGCGAAGAATCCCATGGCGGCGAATGTTGAGTAGAGGGCACTATTTGCGTTGGAATTGGTCTCAGAATCGACCTGCCCGCCTGCTCCCAATCCAGTCAAGGCATTGAATAGCCCTATTAAAATAGTTGATGATCAGAGATGAAAGGATTAACCGGCGACATACCAGGTCCCATGAAGCACACGACCCCCAACATGGCGACCTGAAGGAAACTAAGAAAGTAGCGCGCCTATGAATGCGAATGACATACCTGGGTGACGGGATTCATGTAGAACCCCTTGAGGCCTGTTGGTTGCTCGTAGATCACTGGGTGAGGACCATGAACCTCGTCGCTACTATCGTAGGCCTTTTCGTGGTCGACAGCCGGTTCAGCCATAGCAAAGCTTGGTATGAGAAGGTGGGGCACCAACAGTTAATGTAACAGACCGGTGGTTATAAGTACGCCAGCTGATAAGTAGGAACGTATAAAGGCCTAATCAAAGAAGCCCCAGGAACCATGAACTCCATCAACACAAGATAGAGACAATTTTCGGATCACGCTAGAGACACAGACGAATTCGAATTTGGAAGTGTATAAGAACCTTTGAAGAGGTACGGTGACCGCCCGACATTCATCTATCTTTCATCTTGGTGAAACGGACGGAGTGGAAACTCCATACAGATTCCAGACTGGGATCACGGACAGAAAAAATGAAGATGCACCGCCTCAAGGAGTTATAAGAATACGTCGACATCGGCAACGTTGCTGACCTAGCGTCCGAGAGCGGGAGAGAATGAATGTAGCTGCATATTTCGTGACCAGATGTTCCTGATGTCCGTATGGTGCTGAAACTGATCTCCATGCAAAAACATTGTAGGCTCACAGATATACTGTTCGTCAAGGAGAAATAGCCAGAAGATAGTCCGGAATTTGAAACGTAGCGGTGCCACCGGTGCTAGTTGATCCAACACATGGACAGTGGTTAATATTAGTAGCACGGCTACTGAGTCGATTGCGGTCGTCTTTTCTCTAAAGTGTTGCGTAAGTTCGTTTAGAGATTGAATGTTGATACCTAGACTGGAAGAGTTCGAAGGTCCGTGACGCGTTCCCGAAGACGCCATCGATAGCTGGTACTTTGCCCATGACTCCGGGATATCCTCCGATCCCCAAGGTTCCATCGACCTACAAGCGATTTTGATAATTGCGATGAATAGAGATAAGCTTGGTATCATTCACCTTCATGTTTCTTCTAATTTCGTACGTATTGATTCGAAGCATCCTTCGAAGACTCGAAGTCTAGGCATCGTCCTTTATAGGGCACACCGTGGCGCTCGCACCAATTTCACGTGGACCGTCAGCAGGAAATATCATCATCATAGTATTCGTCCTCGCCGTCCGATGCCTCCACGTTGTCGAGTAGTCACTGAAGCAGGTACAGCCAAAAGGGCCATTGTTGTTCCGTGAGCCGCTAGAGTACAGCCACAGCCAGCCACCCGCTTCGTCCGATTTCGTGCGATGAAAAGCTTTGCTCCGATACTCCGTGTTCATCCGTTTTCTGCTCGTCTCCTTCGTATTTCAACGTGAGCTGTCTGCTCGACGTCGAGTTCCCACCATCATCTCCTTTTATCTCTTATCTATCTACCCGTCCCTCTTACATCACAGCAATGGTCTTCGGTCCTAGAGTCAACAAGTTCATGTGCGCTGATTCGACGTGGGCTGGGCCACGAAGACTGACCTGGATTGGCTCTTTAGACCCTACCTCTCGCTCGGTGTTGCTACGGCAGCCTTCATCTTCCAGACGTGCGTCTCTGTTCAACCTCTGATGGGCGTCAGCTCGTTGACGACGATGTCTTACTAGGACGGTCTTGTATCCCTGGCACCACGAACTAGACGACGCCTTCCACAAGCTCAAAGGCGAGCAGGCGAGAATGCTCAAAGATTTTCACGACGTGTGTCAATGATGCCGTTACCCTTTACAACCGGCTTATTAACGGCTTCTGTAGATGAAGCTGAAACGTTTTGATGAACTGGAGAGGAAGGTCATTGGTGTCGAGAGACGGCAAGTAAGTTTCCTTGGTATCTGCAGTGCAGCGTATCAATTCATCTCCCAACAGGATGTCGTAGAACAGGCGGCACGACACCTGTGATTGCTGTTGTACCCATAGATGTAGAGGTAAGTACGCTGAATCGTCCATGCCCCTTGTCTCCGTTCAGCCATTCTTCTTTTACTTTCTTTGCTTTTCTACTACTCGTCATGCTGATTGAATCTCTTGCAGTACATAACCTATTTATATAATACTGCGCGGATTACAGCGCTTCTTACACTCCCGACCCTAATGGCTCATCTACGAACAATTTTCGATCTACGATATTCTACAAGCTCGGGGACGACAGTTTTTCTGATGTCTAGAGCTACTCAGTATGATAGAAAACCTGCAAATGCATGAAAGGCCATTGTTGTCGCAATTCAATGTACCGGCAATTATCTATGCCGATTGCCGGTGAAAACATGAGTTATCAAATGTTTGAGTAATGAGGATAAGGTCAATTTGAGGTCAAACACAGATCTTTTTCAGGCGACTGTGGGTAACCCTGAGGACTGAGATTTGATTGAAAGGATGAGGGGAGGAATGATGAGTGAAAAATTTATACGGAATTGCGGTCCGAGGGCCGGTTGGCTGCCGAACTTTCGGCCGAATTTCCCGTGAGGAGATTGTGTGGCACAGCAAAGAGCGCAAAAGATGCCATCACGAAGGAACGAGGAAATCATCATATCGCGGATAATAACCTTTCCATCGCTTATTATCCTGGCAATCTTCCTTCGGGGTGTTGCAGCCTACCAACTACCTCTAGGTGTCGGTGACTTTCGATTTGACATACCTTTATCACCTCTGTAGAGCTTCACTTTTACGCTGCTGAAAAGGTGTTCTAATATAACTTTGCAGGGTTAGCGTCCCATGTAATATAATCACTACGACGGTCTCCTTAGCTCGTGAGACATTGTAGCAGCATATGAAGTCGCGTGCAAAGGGGTCAAGGCTATACAGTAGTACGACACGACTGTATGTCCCCTCCCCTTCTCTTCATGTACCATAGATAGTGACTTGGCATCAGGCATTGGTCAAGGCTCGAAACGTCCCGTACGTCATTTTATCAAAGGTTTAGTTCTCAAGTTTAAATCTTATATCAGTGGATATTCTGGCACGGGTGGAAAGCCAGCGACCACAACCCTTGGAGAAAGGCGGGCTACCAAACATGCTGTTGCATGGGGCAAATGGTTCGATATGAATCGGGGTAGTAAGTATCAACTTGCTGATAAGAGTTTTGTCCAAGTCACTGATAACCATTTGTTCAAGCGTGCATACTAGACCCACGGGCCGGATAGATATTTCGGCAGAATTTTCATTCGATCATATACTCCAGTGCGTTAGAAAGTTGTTTGTCACAATCTTAATGACCTAAATAGGTGCTCGGAAGACTCTCAAAGCTTGCCGGAGTCGAGTTGTCAAGTTACTGAATCGGGACGTATGTGTGCGAACCAGTTAAAGCAATGATCATGTCGATAATCAGACGCCTTCGGGCGAGCATACAGATTACAAACATTTCGTGCGAACTTCATGTTTTTACGACAATGACTCGCAGTGCAGTCGGTCCAGTGCACCCATGACAGCTAGGAAAAACTAAGGAACGTCGGAACGACGGACCAAAGAACGTCTTTCCGTGTGCTTTCCGGTGGTACCTCAGTGCCGGCGGTCAACTCGAATCTGTCAAGTCCTCACTCAATACCACTCGTTCGCCCCCAGGTGTGTAGTGCAGGTCCCATGGCGCAGCATGGCAAGTATCTTTGGTATAGTGCCAAACTTCAAAGCCACTAATAGCCCTTCCGAAGCGGTGCGGGATTTGAAATGCGATAAAAGGCATTTCATCTGTCGAAAGCAGATCGGCCTCGAATGCAGGCTATTTATATTGAGGCTGCATGACTCGGATGAAGTTTCCCTTTATCTTGAACGCATCGATTTGTGAAATTCGCAATCATGGTGAGTTCCAGTGCGTCGGACTACTAGTCGTTCATGTTATTCACATCTTGTGTAGACTTCGTCCAGTCCCGTTGATAGACCTGTCAATGACTTGGCGAGCTGCCAGGGTACAAAGATTGAGGAAAAACCCGAGAGCGCAGGGAAGCTTCCTATTTCCACCAGTGCTACTTCATGTGTTTTCCCCGAGGGAGGACTCCAGGTGTGGATGACTGTTTTGGGAGTGTAAGAGTGCTACTTCCTGTTAACTGTCTGGCGTGGGTTAATATCTGTCCAGATGGATCATCCAGTTTTCTACCTTCGGGTATGTGCCCTTGCACCCGCCATTTCATCGCCTTACGTTCATATCTCAGATACACAAATGCGTATGGAGTTTACAATGGTCCGTCCAGATGGCACGACGAGAATTGCTGGTGACGTTTGATTCCAGATTTTTACATCCGGGAATACATGGTCAACAAATATGCATCATCTCAGATGAGGTGTGTTTGAAAATGAATTCTTGTTAAAAACACTCAAAGACATCCTATACAGCTGGGTTGGTAATGTGCAGCTGATGTTAGTGCTATCTGTTGGTCTGGTCAGCGGAAGACTCTATGACACTGGTTACTTGTATGTCCTAGTCACTTATTACCTTCGTCATTGCCTGATCTAACTTGTGTTTCAGCTATCACCTCATGATCGGAGGAGGAATATTGTTCATTTTCTGTCTCCTTATGCTCTCTTTGATGCAACCAGGGCAATATTATCAGATCATTCTTGCTCAAGGGATCGGGGCAGGTTTGGCGATTGGATTGATGTACGTCCCCGGGATCAGCGTGGTATCTCATTATTTCCAATGCCGCCGCTCTTTTGCGATGGGAGTCGCGACTTCAGTAAGCTGTTCTTTCACGAAGAGACACCATCAGGGTAACCTTCCCTAGGGCTCCGGCTTGGGCGGTGTCATACAACCCATAATGCTAAACAAACTGTTCCACGGACCCGTGGGGTTCCACAATGGCGTCCGCATAAGTGCTGCGTTCAACGCTGGACTGCTGCTCATAGCCATAGCTTTGGTGCGAACGCGATTACCGCCGAGCTCAAAGAAGGAGGGAAGTATTCTTCTAGACATGAGTCATTTTTTCCGAGAGGGTACATATGCTACGACGGTCGTAGGGTACACAGAGCACAATCAGTGAAGGCTTGCACGGTCTTAAATACACTTACAGGACCATCATCACTATCTGCGGCCTATTTTTCCCTGTCTTTTTCTTACAGTTAAATGCGATCAAAAATGGTATCAGCTCGGACGTAGCATTCTATGCGGTTGGTTTTTCTTAACGCCAAGTGCCGCTCGTCTCTCACAATCTTGGTAGATACCGGTAATGAACGTATTCACAGTTGTTGGCAGAATCGTCTGGCCAGCGATAGTCCCTTGGATTGGGATATATAACGTCATTATTCCCTGCGTCGGGATATGCTCGATCCTGATATTCTGCTCGATAGCAGTGAAGACTGTTGCTGCAACGTTCAGTTTCGCCACGCTGTATAGTTTGTTTGCGGGGGGCTGTATGCGTGACCATTCTTTGCATTGTATTCATTGCTCAGGCTTCATAACTTTAGATATGGAATTGTTTGCACCGATGGTAGGTTCACTAGCCCGGAAAGACTCAGAAATTGGGGCACGAATGGGAATATGCTTTACATTCACTGGTAAGTAGTAGCCGTTGAAAAGCTACCCGACCCTTTAGTGACGTAGCCTATTTGAATTGAGGACTCGGCGGACTCGTTGGTGAGTATTCTGCTTTCCGGGAAGAAACGATTCTTTCAAGGTTCTAAGGTTTCTTGCAGGAACTCCGATAGCTGGCGCCCTCGTGACGTCGTCTTACACATGGTGGAAGCCTATCATGTTTTCAGGCCTATGTACAGCTTGTGGGGCTCTCCTTTTCGCATGTGCTCGATTTGGCGTAGCCAGGTCTAAGAGTACTCAAAAAGTGTAGGTCGATGATGATGATGATGGTATCCATTAAAGTGTCTCGGACCCCTTTACGGGGTCCACGTCGCACTACATGAGCTCGTTTCTCTACTGGTACTAGGCGCTACGGCGTGAGGGTCCTGTACGTATGTATCATAACTGTATGTATTATATCATAAGGAACGTTTGCGTTGTAAACTAGCATTGGGTTCTTGTGCATAAGGGTGGGACATCAGGGAAGAGATGGGTTTCCATGCAGCACGCTGCAGCTGGTTGTTGAATTGGTTGGTCCATTTGTTCGACTCGGAGGTGTGGCGTTTCTGGACTAGGGTGTCGCATTTGGAGTGTAGCTCTTGGTCTGGGTGGGGTCTGTATTAGTTTATGTTATTGGAATGAGTGGATGTGATCAAACTGTCCTCGTAGTCGAGGGTGGGAGAAGGCGCCTGCGACGCGGCGCATGCCTGAGGCACTCGGCGTTCCGCTGTGGTCCCCAGGTGGCTACGGGGGCGTCTCGTTCTCGTTGTCATGTGCATTGAAAATTGGGAATCGGCGTGTGTTTCGCACGTATGTCAGGGTGTGGGTGATGTTTTTGCTTTTGCTGGCTAGTAGGTGTCGGATTTGAAGGTTGCCGATCTTCGTACGCTGTCTGAGCTCCTGACGGTGGTGGGTATATTCATCAGGAAAAAAAGACCTTTAGACATAGCGATAAGTAGCATCTGTATCTCCTATTGCAAATGCGAAAGGTCCCCTTTATGTAGCGATCGTAGCCACTCACTCGGACCTCTGTAGCACGTCATAGCAATAGATATTAATTGGGCACATGTACAATAGCCCTCTGTATTCGTACATATAATGCTCATCCTACTACTATATTGATACAGTAGAGCTATTTCGAAGTATCGTTCATCACATTTCAGGGTATGGTGCAATACTATATCATTCTATTGGAGTACGGGTAATTGTAAGTTATTACCAATTCATTCCACTGCCTCCTCGGCTTCACCTTCCGCTTGCGGTTCCTCATCAAGCGCCACGGCCATTGCCTTCATTTCTTCGTATGCCAGGTCCCTCGCAGAATCAGACAATTTGAGAGGTGCTGCTGGGGTCTGAAGGCCTGCTGCTCCTGCTTGTTTCCTGAACAAGATGTCAGATATGTACACAATGCTTTGTGATCAGTAATCACCTTGCTTTCGTATACCAGGCCTTCCGCAAGACTGTTGTCAAGTCTGGTGATATTTCTGCCCACTCCTTCACGGCAGGGAGATGGTGTTCATGGTAGCGCACACTAGCCTCAGTTTCGTTGAAGATCAGCGCCTTGTAGCTCCCAGTAGACCATTCATTTAAGCAGTGTTCAATCTGGCCAATCAAGATATCATTAGACGGTGAGATTGAGGCAAACGAACATCGAGGACTGACCACAGTGAAAATGAATGCCAAGGCTGGAATGGGAATCGGGTTAAAGCGATCAGGGAATGCGAGTCCCGGAGCATCTTTGTTGTAGAAAAAGGCATGACTGATGGCGTCGAAGAGAATCAGACTATTAAAATAGCCCGTGCGTGTAGTAGCATCCTGAAATGTAAAACATGATTATGCTGCAGTGCATACACTCTTCAGGTTTACGCACCTTGTAGTAGAAGCCAAGTGCAGTCATGAGCTCTATACATTTTTGCTTGTTCTCTCGGACAGTGTTTTCAGATTCGGTGCCAGCAACAAACCCATATGCAGGGCATATGAGTGGTTTGATCTGGTCCCTCATGAAGCTTCGAACACGCACACCATGCTTTCTTATCTAGAAGAAGCATCAGTAGAAGTATCTGAGTAAAAAATTTTGAATTACCAGTTTGAGCATTTCATCGCTAAGCTTGATTGGTTGTTCGTCGCTATCAAATCGGATGTGCCACTCCTCTTGGGCCCAACTCGACTGCATATCCTCATCTGGACACATGCTGATGGCCCCAAGATGTCCTTCATACCCACGCATAGCCTTGCACAGCGCTGTCTTTGTCCGGCCTTCATAGTGACTGAGTTTATCTCCTTTGGATCCAGTAATCTGAGATGGTGGAAGAAGCGTAGCAGCAGGTGCAGAAGGATTGTTCATCAGAGGTGTCGTAGAGCTGGTCGGAGGGTCTGAACCAACAGGGGGCAATGATGGTGGCGGTGCTGCTGGAGTTGCGGTCATGTCGTCACTGTGTTGAGACTCTCCACCAGTAACTTGAGTGTGAGGAGTAGTGAGTAGAGCACTATGAGGGGATGAAGATGGTGAGGCAGAGGGTAAATGGGGAGGAGAAGAATGATGATTGTGAGAAGTCATCATCGTCGATTTCCCATGGTAGCAAATATTGACCTCATCACCGTCAGGCACAAATGAGAGTCGAGGAATAGTTGCTGTTGGTCATGCGGCATCTTTGGCATGAATTCTTGGAGGCTCAGGAGACTGGGTACCTTTTGAACATAGCTAAGAGTGAATATGAGTGTTACGAAAAGGTGCCAGAACAAGATAACAGCCTTACAGATGTTGGAAAAAAGTGAGACGAGGACTCTTCATCATCATCAGAGTCACTCCCATGGCCAATGAAATTGTCTTCGCTTTCGCTTTCTGGAGGTGATTGTCCATGAAGTCATTGATAATCATCATAGTACTGCTGTTTGCGACGAGCCTCAGTACCTAGCAATGAAATTAGTACTGAGCATCTACCAATGAGTGACATACGGTTGGTATTATTGAGAAGGGCTTGCTGCTGTGCGTTACTCCTTTGCGAACGGGCTAGCTGCTTTCTCAGTTGAGCGATCTCTGCATCCTTGCTGGCTTGATCTGTATCCAAGTCTTAGTTAGAGATCATTCAGACTAAAAGACGTACCATTTGCTGCCTGCTTCTCTGTGAGAGCACGGTTTTCCTTGCCCCGAGTGCGGTTGAGCAGCTGGACATTGCCACTGAGATCATCACGGCTTTGACGAGACTTCTTCAATGCAGACTGGCCATCTGTGGATGACCCGCCAGATGTATGGGACCGCTTGGTCATGGTGAAGAGCATGCAGATGGTGGTAGACAGATGAAAAGAGTCAAATGTCAAAATCTGAGACAGTCAACAAAAAAAACGTGACCAAAACACACGATCGGTATCACCATGGCGGGACTGGCCTCCGCGTCTGCCCACTCACTGTCATCATGTCTGGCAAAATCTTCAAATGTCCTGTTTGCAAGGATCAGTTCACCTCTCGCTCCAGCAGAGGCTTACGCTCGCACCTGTCAGCAACCTCATGTGGTCATATACTCGATGAGCGGAATGCTTCAGTCACCGGCAAAAGAAAGAAGCCACAGTCAGCTACAAAACAGGCTGAAGAGCATACCACATCACCATCTCTTTCAAATCCTGAGGAGCTTACCTTTCCGCCTGATCCACCCTCACCTGCATCTGATTTTGCACCATCAGAGATGGCCTCACCATCAAAGCGATGCCGAGTCACTATTGAAGATGTCGAGGATGAAGGTGATACCCCACCATCTTCTTGGAGTCATGACAGCCTTGTCTTTGTGGATTATCCCGATGCTGGTGCTGAGATTGAAGGTGCTGGAAAGGGCGAAACTACGTTTGAAAGAATTAAGAAAGAGAAGCAGAAGCAAGGAGAAGAGATGTGGGCGCCTTTTAAATCCTGTGAGGAATGGGAGCTTGCATGATGGCTGATGATGTCCGGGGTTAGCCAAGCAGATATAGACAGGTTCACAAAGCTGGGAGTGGTATGATTTCAGCTTTTGATGTTAACAAAATTGCTTACCATGTAAAACCAGATCCGAGACAATGTCAAACCATCGTTTAAGGACAAGCGCACCTTTCTGACTAAGATAGATGAGTTGCCATCTGCATTGGGTACTGAGTGGAAATGCGAGGAATTTGAACTAGTTGGAAACGTACTCGATAAGGATGGGACTCCCATCATGCAGACCATCGAGTTGTGGAAGCGTGATCCACTTGCATGCATCAAGGAGCTCATGCAGGATCCCCGATTCATGAAACATATGCGTTACGCACCGGAGAAGATGTATACGGATGAAGGGATGAAGAACCAGGCGTTTGATGAGATGGCGACAGGCAAATGGTGGTGGGCCATGCAGGTACGTATTCCTCATCAGCATGACCTATCGCAAGATCCTAATATTGGATGTAATCAGAGACTGTTGCCAAAGGGAGCAACCATCGCAGCGATCATCCTTTCGTCCGATAAAACCCAGCTCTCCACCTTTAGTGGCGACAAATCTGCCTGGCCGGTTTACCTTACCCTTGGCAACATTGATGCATCTGTCTGAAGGAAACCATCAGAACAAGCCACTATTCTGATAGGTTACATACCCGTATCAAAATTAGAGTGCTTTACCAAGGATCATCGATCTGTAGAAGGATATCAGCTGTTCCATGACTGCATGTGGGCACTCCTAAAGCCTCTCGTCGAGGCTGGCCAGAACGGTGTCGAGATGCTTTGCAGTGATGGAAGGACACGGCTCGTGTTTCCTCTCCTTGCTGCCTACATGGCCGATTATCCTGAGCAGTGTCTAATAGCCGGCTGTGGAGAGCGACAATGTCCGAAATGCACTGCTACCTCAAAGGAGCTGGGTGATCCATTGCACTCAGTACTACGTGACCCTGAGAAAACCATCGACGCACTCAAAGCAACACAGACAGGAAATAACATGGAATTCAAAAACCTCGGCCTACGCCCAATTACACCCTTCTGGATGGACTTGCCACGATGTAACATCTTCCATTGTTTCACTCCTGACCTTCTACACCAGCTCCACAAGGGCGTCTTCAAGGATCACCTTGTCAAATGGTCGACGAAGGCTGCAGAGGCGACGAAGGCGGAGGTTGACCGTTGTTACATGGCTATGCCATGGCATCCTGACTTATGCCACTTCAAGAAGGGAATTTCGCTTGTCACGCAGTGGACAGGAATGGAGTACAAGAATATGGAGAAAGTTTTCCTAGGCACGCTGGCGGGAACAGCAAAACCTGATGTCATCATTTGTGTTCGTGCTGTGCTTGATTTTATCTACTATTCCCACCTTGAACTACACACGGATGAGTCATTGAAGAAGCTTGAAGACTCATTACACACCTTCCATGCCCACAAACACATATTCGTTGATGACGGCATTCGCGACCACTTCAATATCCCTAAAGTCCATTCAATGGTTCACTACTCTGTGATGATTTGGTCCCATGATGTCACAGGAGGCTATAATACTGAGGCATCAGAGTGACTTCACATTGATTTTGCGAAACGAGCGTACCGAGCATCAAACCGGAAGGGATACATCCAGCAAATGACAAAGTGGTTGACCCGACGAGAGGCAGTGCAAAGGTTTACCTGATTCCTAGACTGGGCTCTAGAAGGTGCAGGTAGGGATAAAGTTGACGATGTAGACGTGGCAGATGGTGATGAAGAAGCAACGGCACAGGCTGAGATCAACACAGAGCTTACCAAGGACACTAATGGGGATCAGGTCACATCCCGTGTTAGCCTACAGCATGGCAAATCAACATACACTATACCCAAAAGACCCTCCTTCACCGGCATCGATATAGCAACTTTGGAGAACCAGTACGGGACTCAGCAGTTTGTTCGCTGTCTGGAATTTTTTCTTCATGACCGTGGCTTGCTCAAAGATGATTTCTGGGATGCTCGGCCAGCAAAATACCAGGTGTACAAGCGCTTCCAGATCTGTATACCCCCAGTTCCTGAAGTCTCGACAACTGTTACCCTGGATGTCATTCGTGCATCGCCACCTCACACAACAGGGACTAGGAGGAAAAAGTATGTGCCAGCTCAGTTTGATACAGTGCTGGCACGGCGAGACCTGCCATTGGATAAGAAACAGGACCTGGACTTGTTAGGAGTGAATGGTGTGTTCTAACTCTTCATCGCTTGCCCGTATTTAAATTCTTTGCAGGTCTTCATGTTGCACAAGTCCGTGCTATTTTCAACCTTCCTGAGGAACTTGGCAGCTTCCCACATCCACTAGCATATGTCAAATGGTTCACCCCTCTGTGGCGCGTCGATGAACACATGCAAATGTTCAGGGTGGAACGGTCTATGTGGAATCATCTTCGGAATGCATCCATTATTCCAATTACATATATCTCCTGCAGTTGTCATCTTATACCATACTCAGGACGTATTATGGACCCTACATGGACGAGCGAGAGTGCTATGGAAAAGTGCAAGTCCTTTCATCTCAATATGTACCTTAGACACATTGATTTTGTCTTACTACGCTTAAAATGCAAGATTTCTGCAACGTGATTACCACCGCACCAAACCAACAGCTTTTCATTCGCAACATCTACATGTCATGGTCTAGCACCATTATCAACCTCTACTCCTGACTCGTTATCCTGAACGTAGTCAGCATGCACAGCAACATCCCGTACATAGTGGAGTATGAGGTGAGCGTTGAAGAGATGCATACGCAGCGTAGTTGTCTCAATGTCGGAGAAACGACCGCGATGAGCACTGACCAGGGTGTCCGTCAGTACCTTCGACACTTCGGCAAGCCGGTTAAGCATAAAATGGGTGACCATGGGTGGGGGGTAAAGGGCAGCCTCAAAGGCATCATCATGGAAATGCGGTGCAAACATGATGGTGGGCGAATCGAGGTCAGGCAGAGTGCATGGCATATTTGGCGGGTTTGGAAAGGCAAGACATTCACCTGACGAGGGTGGTAAGGGGTAGGTGATGTCGATAGGCTGGCGGAATGGCCCGCTCTGGAATCCAGCGACTGTCTGGCGTGAAACAGTGCCCGCTAGCACTTGAAAACCATGGGGGCTAATAATAGAATCAGCTTTAACACTGGAGGTAATGAATAGTACATGCACCTTGGGCCTTTTCCCTCCTTCTCCTTCATATTGGACATTTTCTTGTGTCGTGGCTGTTGGTTGCACAGAAGAAAACGGTGATTGACCCTGGATCAAGATAAAGGCATCACGAAGACAAAGAACAGGCCAAATATGGAGTATGTGGCATGGGAAAATTCACGTGTTTTGGGCAAGAGACTGGTAATGATGTCATCACCAGTTCTGAATGAACATCCTAACTGGTGATGAGGTCATACGAAAGCCTTCATCCGGCTTCTGGTGCTCAATGATGTTATACTGCATGAAATTCATAGAAATCTGGTTTAAAATGGCTAAAGGTATGAAGGTTAATTTATACTGCGAAGTATTAATATATACCTTTAAGACCTGATGTCATATGACTATAGACAAATACGGAGATCAATCCCGGCAAGGTACATAAGGTACTGACACTACCGATCCTACAGAGATTTGGCAGAGGTCTACAGAGATTTTCCGTTTTTCCTGATGTTTAGAGCATGTAAGGAGGTAGTGGGTGACAGTTTCTGGGACGCCGCAGTTGGGGGAGGCTGCAGTGTTGATTCGGAAGAGGTGTGCATTCAGGCCAATGTGCGCTGTTCGAAGCTGTGTGAGAATGCTGGCCTCTGGCCGTGACAGGGCTCAATATGCTTTCTGCAGGCTGGAGGGGAAGGTCTTCATGCCGTCTATTAGTTTTGTGAACCGCTGATGAGCCTCTAGGCTCTGTGCGCTCAGAATTCGCGGATTTATCAGGCTTTTCTACATCAGAGCACAGCCATTGATCTTCAGGCACTTTGATTGCAGATCCTGATTGATCAAATCCCATCATTGATCCCAGCACATAGCCACCCCACCTGAAATAACTCAGTCCTACCTGATGACGAGTTAGAGAATTATTTAATTCGCAACAGTCAGCAGTGGTTTAGAACTTACTAAGACTGTTTAATTCGCTAAGCAAATCCCTTGGATTGCTTGGTAAACTTGTTACAAAGCTTGCTTACTTGTGGTGCAATGCACAGTAATGCACAGTCCTTGTAGCCTGCGGATTCAACTGTGCTCAACTCAGCATTGGTAAGGAAGGGTTAATCATGTCTTATTACTCAGTAATTAGTTCGCTTGTGTTATAAATCAACACAGCAAGGAATACTGTAGCTTACAAACCTTTAATTCGCAAACTAGTATAAAAAGTAGCTAACTAATTAGTTAAAAAAGCGAAGAAGGGAGACCCCAGATTATTCTCTACACTTACCTTCGATCTCTAACACCTACACCCTACAACATACACCCTTGAAGTAGCGCAATAAAGACAATTTTTGCTGCTAGAACTTCATCTCGAACCTTTATTTCTCTAAGCAATGGTGAACCTTTAATGGTTACTTGTGCTTACAACCCATCCCTCTCTTCTACGCAAAGTAATTAGGAGTCCCACCACTAGGAAACTCTTTTATTGCTTTGCTTCGCAAACAAATTCGCTTGCTTCCGCAGCTAGGGGACAGCGTTTTCATCCCTCCCATCAATGCCTTCTCTTTCTCGCAGCCAGAGAAAGTCTCGTCGAGTATCAGACCAATCCTCATCACTTCGATTCAACCTTACTGCACGGGTTTAATAATTCGCTACAGCCTCTGGGTTCGCAGCTAGAACTTGGACGGCCTCTTTGGAGCTCTTATTCGTTGCACTCGCAGCTAGAGTTGCAACAGGAACAAGGTATAGTCCTTGTCCGTTTACTGATTCGTTTTAGGGCCTCTTCTAGGATCCCTTTCCCAATTACTTCCCTTCCTGCGAATTTTATAGTTCGCTACCGCCCTCTACGCTACTAGTAGAGAAATTCCTTTATCTTTCCGAACTTAGGAGGCTTTAGTCACCGCACAGAGGTGCCCCGACTAGACTCGCTAGAACCATCCTTCAGATTCCATGTCTGTTAGCACATACCGCACTTAGGTTTTGTGTTTCCACCCACAGGAGTCTATAGGTTCATCACCGTGCTTTTGGGGAAGTCTGGTATTCCACTAGCCATTCTCTTGTTATTTGCTTGGTCTTCGCTGCAACCACTACCGCTTTGCTGTGAGGGATTGGTTTGGAAAGGATGGTGCACTTATCAAATAGCGGTGTTGAGTTTCTTTCTGCTGCCATTTTCACCTCCCAGTCCGCTTCTTCGTTGCCATCTATCTTTCTATGTCCTGGGATCCACATCATCGTGATCTCCAGCGACCGACATCTCTTCCTCAACCTCTCCAGCTGCCGATAGAACTCCTCCAGTAGGTGGCGTCCTGACTTTGTTATTCTCGTCTTGATAGCTAGGAGTGCTGCTTGTGAGTCGAGCAGTATATGCGCTTTGGTCAGCCTTGGGTCTGATCCTAGATGAAGGTGGCGGAATACTCCCCCATTCGGGGCGGACTGTTTGAATTGCCATGCGGCCGCCCCGGTTCCCGCTTTAAATGCTGAGCCATCTGTGAAGATTTTCTCCGTTGATGTTGGAAGCTTCCTGTACCGTTCCTCTGCCTCATCCTTGCTTGCAGCAATGTTGAATTTGAGGACGTTCTCTAGCGGTGTTGGGATTGGGGTTCTTCTGATCTGTTCGAAGCAGGCTGTGAGCTCCGGGAAGGCATCAAATAGGTTGTGAATCGGGGACTTGTGATACGAGGCACGTGTCTGCATCGTTGTACCGTTCGATACAAGGGGTGAGTGGTAGGCAAGGTGCACAATCGAGCGGCAAATTTGAATGCGGCTAGATTCAAGCGGTGAGTCACTGGGAGCAAGTTAGCGTGTATGTCCAAAGCCTCAGTCGCTGTCGACCTCAGCCCGCCCACCGCTACCCGACACGCCAGTCTTTGCGGTTTTGCAAGTTTTGTAGCAAACCCAACCGAGCCCTTTCTCCGGCTTTCACCCACCCGTACCGGATTGTACCACACCCCGAGGCCATAATCCATCCTTGGAGCGACGAGACTTGTGCATAGCCGGCGTATGAACCTATGTGGCATCCCCGAGGCCGAGCTTGACAGTCTCGTTAGCGCCACCGACGCTGCGACTCCCTTCCCTGTAGCATATAAGTGTAGGTCGGTAGGTAGGGTTGTAGTACTTCAAGTGAATTGCAATAACTCAAAGCACTTCCGCCACAAAATCATTCTTCCATACTAATCGATACAAAAACCTACAACAAACCACGCTACAAAGTACCGTCCAAATGAAGAGATTCCCAAGAGATGTCCAGCATCCTACATGCCACCCAACACTTCTCGACACATCGGGCAAGTCCGACTCCTTATCAGCCACTTCCTCAAGCATACTTCATGAAAGGCATGTCCACAGCTCGGACTCACAGCACCTTTATCAGCCTCCTTGAACTGCGCTAGACAGACTCCACATCGATCTACTTTTCTCCCTAACAAAACCAGCTTCAACTTGACCCTCCCGTCTTTCATCACCCTCCGCCGCTCCACTGACACACAGCCTAGCTTAGGCATGGGCAGCGGAGGCGAAGATCGAGTGTGCATGACGGAGGCGGGCCCCATAATTTCCGAGACTAGCAACAACGTCTTTGATTTTGAAAGAGTCAGAATGACGGACGGAGTAAAGAGTATCAAGAGATCTCACGTCGTAGTTCGACCCATCAGCTACATCGTCGCGCTCCAAGCTTGCCATAAGAAGGTCAATGTCTGTCACTTCGCGCGCAGAAGTGGAGGAAGCGGGGGGCGTGACGACGGGCGTGCATTCGTCGAAATCGATGAGAAGGTCTTCGGGACAAAATGCAGGCTGGACTGGGATATTTTGGGATGTTACCTGCCCAGGACGGGGTGGCAATGGTCTTCCAAGATAGTGATGGCGTGTAGGTGTTTCGGAGGATGCTGGAGAGGGAGCAGCCGATGATGGGGAAGACTGTTGGGAAATAGGAAATGAAGCCGTTGACAAAGGATGCATATATGGTCTCGCAGATCGAACAGGAGACTCGGTATTAGCAGACGGACTGTATTGACTTGGGCTGGTCGATGGACCAGAAGCTTCAACGTCAAACGTGGAAGGAACTGGTCCCGGCGGTAGTGGCGAGTCTTTGCTCCGGTCGGTTGTGAGCGCGACGTTCGCCTCTAGAGAATTTATAGGAGACGCTAGAGGCGATGAGGGCCGGCTAAGAATATGAGGCTGTGCAGCTCCGGGCGGCGGGGGAGGAGGCCGATGGATGGCCTGACGAGGTGGTGGTGGAGGCGGAGGAGGGCGGCGTGTACGTGGTGGAAAGCTAGAACTTGTGGACGGGAAAGGATGGTCGTGTGTAGGCGACGCATCCGGAGACGATACTGCCTCCACTGCAGATAGCAGGCTCGTCGGCGGCTCTATCTCTGATTCTAACACCTCCCAAGAGTCCAATGTTTCACAGCTCCTCGAGTGTTCCTTGCCCTTCGAGAATAGCTTGCGTCCAAGAGGACTGTCTCCCCGCGGCGAAGATGACGGCGACAGCGGAAGTCTGAGGGACGTAGAAGACATTGTTGCTCTTAACGACGTCGTGCTCCTCAGGAATGGCGAAGATAACCGGTACGGAGTGTTCTGTTGCTCTGATTGAGCTGCTGGAGCCTTTGGAGATAAAAGACGGAAAGGAGAAAGGGAAAGATGTCTGGAACGGCTCGGTGGTGGCGGTGATGGCTCAGCGTCGTCAGAATCGGAGTCTAGGATAGCACGATCAGTGCCCAGTCTGCGCCCGCGGTTGTGTACTGGGTCGCTGTGCGTGGAAGACGGCGCCCACCTCCTGTGAAACCGTTTGTTCGCTTGATTCTCGGTCGCTCCAATAACTGAGGTCATTTCAATGATCTCGAGCGACTCATCCGAGTCTGCATCCGAGTGCAGACTAGTAGGGGAAGGAGGAGAATTTTGAGGAGAATTTTGGACAGGGTTCGTCTGTCGAGGTGCGGTCACCAGCGTCGTGGTGCTGGGACAGACAGACATGGGTGGTGTCGAAATTGCTTCGAGGAACGATGGTGGAGGGTAGTCGGGAATACTCATTTCTATCTGACAATGAGTATCGTAACCATTTCGCAGAAACAAGCGCAACATACCGTCGTCATCTCGATGGTGTCTTGGCTGTCGAGTCGCAGTTCGACCAGAAGGCTTAGCGTGTCCATGCCTAGGCCCTACATTAAATCGAATCTCTTCTTCATCCCTTCGCCTTTCTGCCCTTCTGGCGCCCTTCTTTGTCTTAGGTTTTCGGACACGACCAGCATTATCTGGTGGTATCAGGGTGACCTGGCCATGGTGGCTGACTGCGTGGGTGAGGTAGGGAGCGATGCGTGCTGCGTCCGCAACTCGCGACATCGTGATGGAGGCTAACGTCAAGGCAAGGAAGATCCTGCAGGCGGGAGGCTGTTGCACAGCTGCACCATTGCTGCATGTCGGTGGGCAGGAATGAGGTCAATGTTTGACATATGTTTGTCACCGCGGAGATAAGTCAATAAGCGTAAATATCCTCCTCGATGTCTCCTCCACGTCGCCCACAGGTTTCGGCGGTTTCTTGGCTGTTCTTCTTGTCTTTTCTGCTTCTGGCGCCTCTAGAATCGTACGCCATAAAATTCTCTCTACAAGCATATCGATACCCCCCCGCAAAATGCATATGGAATCCAGCACACGCCGACACGCTGGTCATTGTCACCGCGAATGTTGCTCCCGGGGATAAGCAGAGGGTGGACATAGAAATTGTTGATTCAAGCCCACAAAAGAATGTTTACTTGAGCAAGAGGAACATTAATGCAGAGACGAGGTTGGCAATAACGACACACGCTGAGGGAGAGGTAGGAGTATGTTTCAAGAATTACCTTGACCCAGGTATGCTTCTCTCTTGTTCTCTTTCCGCGCGTCGCCTCACGAACCGGTAGATGTACGGTCAGAGTCTGCAAAAACGTCCCGTATAATCGACTTGGATGTCGACATCGGCGCTGATGCTGTTGACTACAAGTGCATTCACTTTACGTATCTTAATGTTCAAGCTTTCATCTTTTCTCTTCTAGTGCCATTGCGAACCAAGAGTCGTTGTCCGGACTTGAAACTGAAATGCGAAAGCTAGAGGGATTGGTGAAGGAAATTGTAGATGAGATGGGATATCTCAAAAAGCGGGAAGAGCGGTTCACGGACACTAATAGTGCGTATCTATGATAGCGTGCTTCTTCGTATCAGAAGTTTTGATATTTCTTTTCAGCTTCCACCAACCAACGCGTCCAGAATTTCGCCTGGTTTACCATTATTTCTCTCACGGGTCTAGGAGTGTGGCAAATCATGCATCTACGCGCATTCTTCAAGCGCAAATATCTCATTGATTAAGGCACGCTTGTATTACGACGTATTTCATTGTAATGGAAAGATGGGTTCACACACTCTCTGCCAATTTCTCTCAAGTTCAGATCACCATTATTCAAGCAGCATGCGAGCTTACTCTTTGCAGCATTCCTTACTAGTCCCTGTTTCAGATGGAGTGGGAATAACAGAGCTGCATCTTTTCAACTTTGCGCGATGTAAAAAAATCATTGTGTGCGTGTTCTCTTCCTTGAGAGCATTCGAGTTCATGAACGAGCATTAATGATAGATAATATACAAAATGGTTAATATTTCAACTTCCTCGAAACGTCTGCTCTCCCGCTTCCTATTATTTACGCCCATGAGTTTGCGTCTTGTTGAGCTTGACCCTTATCGTGCTTCAAGTTGCCTAGCCATCATGTTAGCATTCTGAATGTGGGATGTGGAATCCTGCACACCCTGAGCTTGCTGGGACTTGTCGCCAAAAACGGCCCCAACAACGGAGTCCTTCTTGCCCTCCACTCGGTCAGCAGCACCTTCAGCCCAGTTCTTGGCTTGAGCGGCATTGTACTCTGCCTCGCCGGTTGCATGTTCTTCCTTGCCTGATTGCTGCCACGTTTGGGCGCCCGTAAGGTTCCCGACGGCCTCAACAACGGTGCCCTTCACGGAGTGGTATTGACCAGTGGCCTTACTGCAGAAAAGTCAGAATAAGGTAGTATAAAGTAGGAACAGTACTCACTTAGGCTCGCCGGAACCAGTGGAGCCAGTGTTTCCATTGTTGATTGAAGACATATTGGATTTATTAAGTTGAGAGAGTTGTTCAGAAATTGGAGTCTTGGTGAGTGAATTGATGATAATGTTGATGCGAATGAGCTCGCTTTATATATCCTCAGATCACCACGCAGACGTCATAACTAACTGTTGTTATGCGTCATTCCGCTCACAGAGTTGGAGTAATTCGTTTACTATTCCCCTATGACGATGGTTTTTATGACGACAGCAAGGGGGAAGGACTCCGCGTATTATGCTGTGCCGTTCCCTTTCGGAATGTTCGCTTCGTGAGTCCTTGAGTAAGTCTCAGAGATGAAGACCGGCTGTCTGACGTTGATCTTTCAAGAACAGTTCACGTTTTTTTTTTGTTCAGGAGCACTGGCGATTAATAAAATCGACTTCCTTCCTTCACCGAGGTCCGTTCTCAGTACTGCGACATGTCCAGCGCTCTTTCCAGCGTACGGTAGCCGTCGTACCTCTCAGAAATCATCGTGTACTCTCGCAGATGTGGCAACGGAAGCAAAAGATGCGTTGTAAGTGATTTTAGTCTTCGTTTGATCGAGTGGTGTTTAACAGTTGCACAGCTCTTTGTCCTCGTCTTCAGGATCGTTCGTTCTGTCGAAGAGAAGGCTGTGATCAAACCAGTCTGAGAAATATTTATTTCATTAAATTATTCTACACGAAGGGGATTCATCCGCTCCGTTTTACACCAGATTCGATCATTGTATTCAACTTCAACGATGCCAAGAAGCTTCCTGCCGCACGCGTCAACATTGACGGTTTCAGTGAAGCTTGGCGCGCGCGATATATAACTCTGGTGCCCATGTCCCCTTTACTGTTCCGCTTCCTCCTCTCATCCTATATTCCTCAGGTGCTGGAGAAGGGTACGCAGATCAGGCTCCGCGGACACTTCGCAGGTCTAATCAATGACTTTCGTAGGATTTATGACATGTCGAATTCGACGGTGAGCCCACAGCTCGTGGAGGCTGCCGCCTACCTTGGATGTGTCGCTCGCAGTAACCGTGACCCGGACATGCAAGGGTATGCAGTCAGGCTTTCTGATGAGTTATCATCGGTTGTGATATCGTTAAAACTAACCGCGTCTTTGAATGTAGCTTTCATTGCCAACGTTATGTTAGGTGTGTAATTGTTCAGGCTGTGTGCTCCTCAGCTTGATTATCCTACAGCTATCCTGGTCAAGTGGTCTCCTGATGATGTGACGGAAGCTGTGGGCGTGGTGCTCTTGCAGGTGTACAGTATCCTGCTCGTCACATTCATCGGTATGGCGCGAGGAAATCTCTCCATGGCCGATGCACATTTCGCTCTCTCTATAACCGTCTCTCCTCTCTCCATCTATTTCCTATACTCGACCCTGCGTGTTTGCCTGAAGAAAAGCAATACTCTTTATGATCGCCTTGGAAAATCCAAAATCATGGTCGGCGCCCTCACCACACTTATGCTTGTTCTTTGGATCGTCCTGGACCTTCTTATATATTTCGCCAAAGTCTTCGAGGGCGAGACTTGTGCGTCACCCACCTTTATAGGATGGGTTTTTCTATCGGTCCGTCACCGCAGCAAAAGCACTGGAGATAACGATCTACTTCCTCCCGATGTTGCCCCTATTCTATCTCATCTATGCTTTTCGCTACTTCTCGGACATCCGCAATAAATATCGGAGACATATGAAGAAGGTGATTCCTTGGCACAGCTTCCGATGGGTTCAGACGACGTGGTTCGCTCTTCGTTCCTTTTTTGTTTCTCAATGGTCAGTTTAATCACTGGATAATCACTGTCTTGCTTCTGAAACTAGGGCTCTAGGATCGTCATCACACGCTCACATCCTTGGACTATTTTCCTTTGTATATCGCTTGCCTACATGTGCTGGGCTGGGACGCTCAAGATATGGATCGTCGACATGGATTTCTACTATTATAAGCTTCTTGCCAACTTTCACGAATCGCTCTCTTATGAACCACGAATCAATTATGATCCCCTCGGTTTCGGCCAGGCGAGTAATTTCTTGCTCCGTATTCATTCAAATTCATTAATCCAACATTCTTAGCTTCTTGCCGCTACAGTCGCTCTCGAACCTATTTATGCGGTGTGCGTTCTCGCTTGGAAGACAAGAGCTGACATAGGAGGGTACCTACGACAGCTTCCTTCTTCAATATGGAATGGAATTGTCTTCATTTTTACAGGACACAGAAACCCATGGAGGATCATGTGCCAGCCAACGCTGGATTTCTCTACGGTACAAAACCCGCTGTTCGAGGGAAAGCACGGAAGGCTCATATCGGCAGATTCATTCGCCCTTTCGGGTACGACGAATAGCTTAAGTGACACGCCGCTGGTAACTCCATATCCTTTGTATTCTCCCAACCAAGCACCGTCGCATGCAAGGCATTCCAGTTATAATATAACTGAGTCTCAGTCATTACTTGGTGGAGCATCCCCGAGTCCCGAAGCTGTTACCCAGATGTCCAGACCCTATCGTCCTCTTCCTTCTCCTCGACAAACTCTCGAGGAGCGGCACGTACGACATAGCAGCAGCAGCTATTTCCCCGTTGTTGACGCATACACTCTGTTCGACAATCCTAGCAATAGGTCGCCACCAGCCCCATACGCACCACTATTTTCTCCGAATCAACCAGAGACTTCGTCTTCCACGCCTTATGATCCTCCCTGGCATTGATACCCAAACAGTCTAGTCTGCTTTTGCCTTTAATGATTAATTACTTCTTGGGTTTCATCGTGTATTTTGCATGGGTACTAAATGGCAGTTTGTAAAGCATCCTCTGAAGCCAGCAGGCAATCTGCTTTCGACCAACGTGAATAGGAGGTAAATTGCATTTCAGTGTTGCTCGTCTGAATAGCGCGTTTGCGCCTCTCCCGCTGCGCTGAGTTCCATTGCAATATTCTAAAGATGGCAGACCGCTTATATACAGATACGATTTCCACCAGTATAAACAGACCTCGTCGGTAGCTGCGCGTCAGTGGCTGAGACTACGGTGGATCAGGTGACCGCAAGTAGAAATTGTCTCATTTCCGATACAGTGGAGGGCGCTCATCATATGGACCGCGAGTTCGCGACTGGCAGAGGGGCATGCCCGAGATCGCGTCTTGTTTTCTATGCGTGAACCACTTTTAAATAACCGATTGTATTGGCTGTCGCCGAATGACGCGCACGTCGTCGCCATATGATATCACCATCACCGTGACACATCAGCCCAGTTTCTCCACATAGCACGGTTAATGCATTGGCCTCTTCGGTTAGCAGGGAACTTTTTAGCGCCAACTTCTCGAATCTAAAATCAAGTCACTCGTCTCCTCGAGGCTCAGGTCGCATGGTTCAATACAATTTACGCGCTAGCTTTCCCGTTTTACCTATCAAGGATCACAGCCTTGATAGCGAAGCACGCGTGTTCCTTTGTTCCTCGTGCAAAGCACGAGTTCCATCCGAACAAAGTTACTGCATTTTGATAAGCGCCGGCGAATCGACACATCCTAGCAGCCAAAATTTCAGGTGGTGAAAGACGAACACGCGTTTTCAGCGGTTCTGGTACTTGGTCGCCAAAGATACTTGCTGCACGGATCCAAATTTTGGGGTGTGACTCTCGCGTACCGTAACGCGATTGTATGTAACAGGCTTGACAGCAACACCATGTGCTTCAACATGATGGGAATTCGTGAGATAAGTTGATGATTTCAATTATTACGTTTATCGGCAACCTTCCCTTTCCCCGCACTGTGCCTCGGATATACTCACGAGCGTCCTGCTCTCGGGCATCGTCTGCCAACAACTGTCATCATCGTGAAATGACGCCTCCAATTCTTTCCTTTGGGCCGCTGACGAATGTGCCAGATGGATCCCAGATTGTTATGGACGCTTCAATCTTTATGGATATTGTGATCCAGTCAAAAAGAAGTGAGTCATTTTGCGAACGGCCTCCAGATTTTGGGTTTATTCCTCTGCAGATGGTTAACTGACACCTTTATCATCCCGTTATACGCTGCAATCGCCTCTGCCGTCATTCTCTTACTGCAGATCGTCTTCTCCTCGCGAAGAGTAAAGCGACTCTTCTGGATGTCTAAAGACGCCCCTGTAGTCACAGATGAGGAGCCTCAAGAAGCAGAAGCTGTCATTCAACCAGCAGGATATTTCCAGGACTTGAAGGAACACATCTCGCAGAATGGAGGCGCAAAGATATTCACCTATCGCGTTCTGAGGCTAGCTGGATGTCTTGTATTGTTGGTGCTCTCCATTGCAACCCTAGTTCTTGACGTCGAGGAGAACGAATTAGAAACCTCGGGTAAGTGGGGTAAGAAGCACAAGAAAAAGCCCCGTGGTGATAGGTGGCTTAAGCCAAAAGAGTGGCTCGCGGCAAGTCTGTGCCTGACCTTCGTATGTTTTCTTTCCTATCTCTAATCAGAGACCTCTAACACGAGTGCCAGCTGTATGCGTTCCTATTGGCCATCATCTCTGTTACTGCGAGGAGAAAGTGGAGTCATATTGCGACAAAGCACTTGAATGCCGTTCTGGTTGTCACTGCAGGTGTATACGTTTACCGCGATATTGCGCCATTGGCTACATTCACTAACATCCCACGGGACGCATCTGAGGGATGGATTCTGTGGACTAAGATCGCTGTGCTTCTGTTCACTGGAATTGTGGTCCCCTTGTTTATCCCGAGGGAATATATCCCCGTTAATCCCAATGATCCATTCCCGATACCCCATCCTGAGCAGACGACTCCTCTCATCTCATTGATCTTGTACTTCTGGATGGATCCTGTCGTCAAGGCGGCTTATCGTGTGGCCCATTTACCGTATGACCAACTCCCGCCTCTCGCGGACTACGACGCGTCCAAAACTCTCAAGGCCCGTTCATTCAAGTATTTGGATATTTTCACTGGGGCCAAGAAGCGCCATTTGTTTTTCGGTTTAATGCGTATCTTCGCTTGGGATTATGTCGCTTTGGTTGCTATTATGATCGTCCAACTGAGTGCTGAATTCGCCGCACCCATCGGCATCAATCGTCTATTACAGTATGTATTTCTCCGACCGAACCTTGATTATCATTGAACACATCCCATACAGCTACCTTGAGACCGGAGGAAAGGATTCACTATACCGTCCGTGGCTATGGATCGTTTGGTTGTTTGTAGGACCTATAACAACATCAATATCCTTCGATTGGTATATTTTTATTGCCGTGAGTTCTCTATATTCCCCTCCTAGATATTCATAGAATAATGATCGGTCTACAGACTCGGTGTCTCGTTCGTTGCGAAGGTATCGTAACACAGCTTGTCTTCGAGCACGCGCTTCGTATTCGCATGAAGGCCGAGACTCGTAGTTCGCCAACTTCATCTCAACCTGCAAGCGATGTATCAACGCCATCCCCAATAGATTCAATGGCTCACGTGGCTGAAAGTTCGAGCGACACCGACGCGACCTTGCATTCACGCAGTCCCACCGAAGCTGACGCAGATCATTCGAGAGAGGAAACTTTACAAGGAGGCTCGCCCAGTATCAAATCGACAGATGATGCGACAGAATCGACATCGAAACCTTCAAAAGACTCATCTTCAAGTGCCGATGATGAGGCGAAGAATCTTGTCGGGAAGATCAACAACCTGGTTACTACTGATCTAGCGAACATTGCTGACAGTCGAGACTTCATACGCTTACTTATTTTTGTTCCGCTGCAACTTATCTTGTGTGTGGTATTCTTGTACGTAATTCTGGGTTGGAGGTGAGTCTGTCGGTATGTGTAGTTGATACCGATACTTACCTCATCTCCAGTGCATTTGTCGGTCTGGCTGTCATTATTCTGATGTTCCCTGCACCCGGATTCCTTGCCAAGCTTACGCAGGACGTCCAAGCGGCCACACTGAAGAAAACAGACGCGCGGGTCCAGGCCGTTACGGAAAGTAGGTGGCACCTATATCATCCCTCAATTAAGCTGAAGACTTTCTAGTCGTCAATGTTCTCCGTATGGTCAAATTGTTTGGTTGGGAACGCAAGATGAATGAACGCATTTCGAGCAAAAGGGAGGAAGAGCTTGTGTGGATTAGGAGAAGACAACTTCTTGACCTATTGAGTGGTCTCATAAAGTTAGTCTGATTGAATCTGCCTCTGAATACTCTAACACTGAACACTTAGCTTCCTTATCCCCGTGTTAACGATGATGGCGACTTACGCTACTTAGTAAGTATCTCATCGTTGACTCACTCTGACAACACTCACTAACATATCCCTAGTGTCAGTCTCTTTGTTAGTAGTCGGAAATTACTTACCATCCCTTCAGACCGTTATCATGAAACAACAATTGAGTTCCGCGAAGGTTTTCTCCAGCATGGCTATATTCGATATGTTCTCGGGCCAACTGCATAGGTTACTCTACACTGTCACTATGAGCGCAGCCGGAAAAGTCTCTCTGGATCGATTAACAGATTTCATGCATAATGTGCGCTGTTCATCCTACGTGATCCCCCAAACTGATTGAACCGTCCATCATAGACCGAACTGCTTGACAACTACTCCGCCAAAACATCCGATACACCAATTATTCCCACCGAAATCCCAACAAACGACGTTATCGGCTTCTGTAAAGCGGCATTCTCCTGGTCGAATGACGTTAATGGCTCTGCTACCCCTTCCGGGCGACAGTTCCTCCTACGTATTGAAGAGGAGCTGGCTTTCCACAAGAACTGCATCAATCTCGTCATTGGACCTACTGGGTCCGGGAAGACTTCGCTGCTTATGGCGCTACTTGGTGAGGGACTAGTATGACTTGTCGCATAGAAGGTTTCTTATTGATTTCATCAGGCGAAATGCATTATATCCCTTCAGGTCCTGGTTCGTGGTTTAATCTGCCGTGTGAAGGAGGCGTAGCGTACGCGGCACAAGAATCTTGGGTCCTCAATTCGACCATCAAGGTAAGACTTCAACTTAAAACAGAGGGCGGATTTTGACGTCCGTATGTACAGGAAAACATTCTTTTCGGCGCCGAGTTTGATGAGCAGCGCTACAAGAAAGTTATTCGTCAATGCGGTTTGGAGCGAGACTTGACCCTGTTCGACGCGGGTGATCAAACCGAGGTAGGAGAAAAAGGACTTACGCTGAGTGGCGGACAGAAGGCGCGAGTGACTCTTGCCAGAGCGGTCTATTCCAAGGCAGATATCATCCTTTTGGATGATGTGTTGGCTGCTCTTGAGTAGGTTTCCAGTCTAGTAAACTGAATTTTCATCCTCAAACTTGCGTTACAGTGTCCATACGTCGAAGTGGATTATTGACAAATGCTTCAAGGGCGACTTGATCAAAGACAGAACTGTCATCTTAGTGGTTGGTATGGTCCGTAAAATCATTTGATATTGGTCTGATCATACACTAGACGCACAATATCGCTATGGCTGAGCCAATAGCCCAATTCGTCGTATCATTGAAAGATGGACGTGTTGCGAGTCAAGGATCGCTTTCAAGTGCGCTGTCTCATGACCGAGTCCTTGCCAAGGAGGCACAACAAGATGAAGAGGCGCTGCATAAAGTTGATGAAGAGATCGATGCCGAGGACGCAGAAGAAGACGCCGGAGGAGACCCCGTCAAGGACAAGAAGTCCGACGGTAAACTGATCGTGGCTGAAGAGATTCAAGAGGGACATATCAGCTGGCCATCGCGTAAGTATTGTCAAGCTGTTTATTTAATCCTTCTAACATGTCATGGCCATTCAGTCAAACTCTATCTTACTGCTTTGGGGGGCAATCATACGATGCTATTCTTTGTAATATTCGTTGGCTCGTATATCATGCAAGAAGTTCTGATCACGGCCCAAACGTGGTTCCTGGGCTACTGGGCGTCACAGTACGACGGAGACCGTGATCCGTCAGAGGTTAATGTATTCTAGTAAGTTACTACCATAATTCGTGGATCGGCATTGACAACTTTTGTAGCTACATCGGTGTCTATGGTATGAACATTGCCTTATCCTCCGTCAATTACTAATGCCACCATTAGGTTTGCTTCTGCTATGCACGTTCCTATTTTATATCGTTGCCTATGTTGTGTTCGTTTTCGGTGCTGTCCGGGCATCTCGGACAATAAACCAGAAGCTGATCGAGTCAATCCTGGGGACGACATTGCGGTATGAATCCCTTCTATTCCCTGTACTTGCGAGACCTGAATATACATTAGATGGCTGGACACTACGCCGACCTCGCGGATTATTACTAGATGCACACAGGACATCCGAGCTGGTATGACTTAAGTTTCTCTTCAGTATTAACTATGCTCTTATCAAACGACATTTCCTCTGCAGTTGATAACCCGGTTGCCGGGCTCTTGTTTGCTGTTTCCGAATTGACCTTGGCAATGCTGATTAAATTTGCCGCAATTGTGGCGTTCACTCCCATATTCTTATTCCCCGGTATCCTTGTAGCTATTCTAGGCGCATGGTGCGGCCAGGTTTATATCAAAGCTCAGCTCTCTGTGAAGCGAGAAATGTCGAATGCTAAGGCGCCTGTTTTGGGACAGTACGTTTACCCGGAGAGCGAGTCAAACCACTGGCACTGATTTAATACTTTTTACAGCTTTGGGGCGGCTATTGCTGGCATAAGTTCGTCCCATCTAATCATCCGGGGAAGACCCAAAGCTCAAACATTCATATAGCATCTATCCGTGCTTATGGCGCTCAAAATGCGTTCATCCAAGAATCTATGTCGCGAATCGATAGATACACGAGGACTGCCAGAACATTTTATAACCTTAACCGATGGATCGATATTCGAATTGATGCACTTGGCGGGCTGTTTTCGGCGTGTCTGGCAGCATATCTAGTCTATTTCCAAGACACCGAGGCTTTCAACATTGGTTTCTCTTTAAATATGGCAATAGGTGTTAGTGGTATGATACTCTGGTGGGTTCGTTGTGTGAATCAGTTTGAAGTTCAGGGTAAGTTGTCTGTACCAGTTTCACCGTAAAGCTGTGCTTTGAACATTTTCTTTCTTGTAGGCAACAGGTTCATTATTTTCTGTTATGTGTTTCGGCTTCATTCTGATATTTTATCAGTCTGGAGCGTATACAGGGCTATCTCAGTGTAGAACAAGAAGAGAAATCCTCCAAGGATCGGGAACCTCCCGCATATTGGCCAACCAGTGGAGAGCTCCGCGTGGAAAATTTGTCAGCAAGATATTCTCCTGATGGTCCAAAGGTCCTGCATGATCTGTCGTTCACCGTCAAGTCAGGAGAACGCATCGGAATAGTTGGACGCACTGGGTCTGGGAAGGTTGGAAATGGTTTACGTCTAGGAATGCATCTCATTCAAATATTGACAGAGCTCTTTAACGTTGTCCTTACTTCGCTGCATCTACACCGAGGGCACGGTTTACTACGATGGTGTTCCGACAACGGCCGTCAATCTTGACACCCTGAGGTCGAAGATAACCATCATTCCACAAGTGGTACGTACACGTTTCTCGATATCTCTGCTCTGTACTCTAACTCTGCGTTCAATAGCCTGAGCTCTTGAGCGGAACCTTGCGACAGAATCTGGATCCTTTCGACCAATACGATGATGCCACATTGAACGACGCCCTTCGCGCAGCTGGCCTTTTCTCTCTGCAAAATGAAATGGAAGAAGGCCGTATAACATTGGACAGTACGATCGCTAGCGGAGGTGGCAACCTATCTGTGGGTCAACGGCAAATCTTGGCGCTAGCGCGAGCATTGGTCCGGGGAAGTAAGCTGCTCATACTTGACGAAGGTGAGCCTTTGTCGTATGAAACTAATTATCCATACTGATCGGCTCCAGCTACATCTGCTATCGGTAACGGCGTTATCTGGAGGCGCTAAAGGAATATACTGACAAACTTTACTGTACACAGACTACAAAACTGATTCGATCATCCAGTCTTCGCTAAGGAATGAAGTTAGCTCGGACATGACGCTGATTACCGTCGCACATCGTCTACAAACGATCATGGACGCCGATAAGATTGTGCGTATGCCTTGGTGCTAAGACAGACCTTCGTAACTAAATGTGTGTTTTTCTAGATGGTCCTAGAAGCCGGCCACATCGTGAGTCCTTTGTTAAATGTAGCTTATAGTGACTGATTTCCATCTCGCAGGTGGAGTTTGATTCGCCCAAGAATCTACTAGCCAACCCGAACGGCAAGCTGAAGTCCCTAGTGAACGAGTCCGCTGACAAGGACATCTTGAACGCTATGGCGGAGCAACGTAAGTAGTCATAGAATGTATGCTCCATTCATTTAGACAGTATCTGCGAGTGCATTTGTATGTTGAGCTCTGAATCGTTGAGAATAGATGTAAGCAGTAACGAGTGTGGTGCTTTTGTTTTGAATGAGGTATGGTTCGTTGTAGGTATGAAGGTATGAATAAGCATCATGATCAGTGGTATATGCAGGCTGTGATCCTGTCTTTACTCCTTACCATCATGTCTTTCCCCCTTGAGGCAAGAATTTTATGGCTTATCAGAGGATGAAACTGCATTCTTCCAAATCAGAAACTGGTATAGAAGTTGTGACAGCGAGGAACTGCAAACCATACGTTGACCGTACGTCGGCCCGTTAGGCCCCTCAGCAAGGTTCACTTTTTAATTTGCTAGATACGCCCATATCTAACGTTGCTGTCCAGCCGAACGACAATGCCGGTGTCCAAGTTAAAAATCTCGAAGCATCTTTCGTATCAACGTATCTTGGCCACGAGCCATGAGATCTACGCCAGAATTGGGTGCTGCGGTGAGTGAAGGAGTGCCCTCGATCTGCAGCTACTGACTTGGCCTGAAAGTTGGTAATGACGCTCAAAAAGCGGCCTCAGTTTATCAAGCTTCAAGAGTCATCGCAACTGATTTACACTCGCTCCATGATTGACTGCACAAAGTCTTTGGGTAGTCCCCGACCGAAGTTCGTAATTCACTGAAAAGACTTGGAAGCGCATATAAACCACTGAAATACATACAACGCGTCAAGGCACTTTCATACAGTGCTGCTCCCATCATTCTCCGACATTACGATCTTCACACTGTTACGTCCTCGCTCTGCCAATATCTTCTTCTGCGGAATTGTGGGCCAGGTTGATTGGAAAAGAGGCATCCTATTGTCATCTGTGTCATATAATGTGGTTTGAAGATGACTAAAGGAAGAATAGCGATTCAAATCATGCGAATTCGGGACGAGATTGACCGGGTGAATCTGAACAGCGAAAACCATCATCATCTCCAAATTGGAAATCACCGCCAAAGGCGAGATGCGTGTTTTCTTTGAAGAGCTACATAGATAGTTTAGGACTAATACAACCAAAGGTAAGGTGATATTAGAGAGAGGTGTAGGTAGTGTATAGGCGATCGAAAAGTAAACACCGAAGAAGGATAATCAGAAAGGATAAGACAAAAAACAGAACAGGGTCCGAGGCCGGACTCTAGGTTGTTCATCATGACCACTATTGCCTATTTACAACGGATACAACGAGATCATCCGACCGCTCCATCTGGGCTTCAATGTCCATTTCAAGGACTGCGTTCTGTCTGGTGGATTCCTGAAAGCTTGAAGTGACTGGTTGCAAAGGTTGAGAAGATTGCGAAGACATCTGAAAACAAATGGTCGACACTGTCGTACTTTCCTCATGTTCTTCGGTTGGGCATGTGTGTCCTGCCGCTGCTCTGCCAACAAAGAGCGTGGGCGCAACTCCCTACACAAGGTGTTTGATAAATGATGAAGGAGTCTAAGATAGTGAATGCACCTTCGCAATGGCAGCTATTACATCAAAGCAATATGATCCAAGATCATTGCGAATGAAGAAAGCCAAGTTTAGGATAGAAGCTATCGAATAGAGAGCGGAGGATTCCACTAGCACTTCAATAAAACGGTGATAAAATCTCAGTTGGCTGCCTGCTCCACATCTAACCCCGGTAACAGTCAAAATGTGGAAAATGATGAACACGGTGCACCATAATGTTGTTGCCGGGATAAAAGATAAGTAGAGCGTCAGGAATACTGAGTCGGTTGCACTGAAGTACACATGATGTACATCAATGATTTTCGACACTGCACAGAAGTTGAATATATGAAAAGAGTAGATGAGATCGGACACTTACCAGTTGTGGAAATTAGGCAAAGGATTGGAAGCAGAACAAAAAGCCAGCGTCGTCCCCAAACCATCCAAGCAGCACCAAATCTAAAGTCGAAACAATGGTAAATTGATGCAGATAATCCCCAGCAGAGAGGCTGAGAGTTGCACATACTATGTATAAATCTGCGAGAATGGTACTCATTAAAGATAGAACACCGATCTCCCAAATGACTGCTTGTTTCACCCCGGTAAGCTTCCAGTATACAGTCAAAAAACTTTGCCCGTTTTCGATGAATGCAGAATATTTATATGACCAACTGGCAGCAACACTGATAGTAATCAGAGCATAGAGGAGAATAATAACGACAGCCAAGGCTTGTCGGTTTGGCCAGCATTTGTTGATGACTGTACAACTCATGTCAGCTTGGATGCCATAGTATAGATGCTCCTGGCTCACATATATTCCACAGCGTAACAGCAAGAATTCCTGTGTATATGCCTGTCATCAGTCAATACTTGCATGTCCAGGCGCTAAAAAAAAACATCATTGCCCACCATGCAATAATGCGAAGAGAATCTGAGAGTTCAGCACAGCATCGAGTTCTTGAAACACATAAGCTTTGTCTTTGTTGACCAGATCTGGTGGAATATCTGCCTGAGTTATCATGAGGGAAAGCAAGAGAAATGGGGTAGTGGGTTATAAGAATACCACATACCACCCTCTTGTTATAACAGTGCAGTCACTGGACACAGTTGCTACAAAGATGATCATCAGCATCAAGTCGGAGCGGGATCCTTATGTACAGAATCAAGGAAGCCATCCAGGTGGGATTTCAGTGCAGGTGTTCAGATTGAGTTCGTTCCATCATAGCGTTAAATTGTAAAATTTGGCTGCAAGATTGACAGAAGGAAGGTGGGTACGTTTCGATAGTCATGTACGAGAGTGATGCTGAGGGCTCCTGAATTCTGGGAAGGGGATTGGCAAGGGTATCGGCGTCTGCAAGTTATATCCCAACATGGGCCATACACTGATAGGCGAAAGTTTACCCACCGAAAATAATTCATCATCTATCAGAAAAGTGGGGCAAGACAATACAATGTGTAACCCATGATGAACTCGATGAACCTAATCCTGTCCAGAGGTGGTTTCCCTTTCCAGTACTCGGTACATCTCCAGAGGCAGGGCATTGCTATCCGAGTCTGATCTTTGTTTCCATCATCCATTCTTCATCAACTATCACTTGGACGCTGAGATAGGCAAAGGCAGGGGACAGGCCAATACTGAGAGCTGAGAGAATCAATGGGTGGGCCATAGAAACGACACAACACGATGCCATTGGGGGACAGGTAGGTCAAGTTACACAGAAGAGTGTCTGGGTACCTAGAAAAGATCGGATGAAATGGCACCTAGGGGAGACACCTGCTCATTGTGTGATGAAGACAGTTTTACAAATGGGCTCATTATTCCTGCGACCGTAAGTTGTGGCAGTACATGTCCTATCACCAGCATCCAGGAGGCGACGCTGCAACTCACGACACTTTGGTTGTTTCAGGTGATGCCAATAATACTAGATAACACATTAGAATGGCGATTATGGTCCAAGCCAATGGTATTTTATGAGACTCGCCTACTATGTGTACCTCCTTTGCTGTCTTGTAAGTTCTACAATATCGGTTTCGTCGTTGTGTGATCATTAACACTTTAAGTTCCGTGATCTCAACAGCATACCTCCCTGGCATTGATTGCCAATGTGTGACCTCGCTTCTAATCCTTTGTTCATCCTCGCCGTCCTTGCGCTGCCCTTGCCTGACTGTGCAATCAACGCCATTACAGAAAGGATACTGCAGGAAGAAACGCTCCTTCCGAGGAATACATCAACCAATTCTTGCTTTGGGTACGAGTCTCTTGTGCAGTCGGGGCAAATCATCATCTCGTCAAAACCATACGAAAGGTGTTTCCTTCCTTGTATGACTACCATCCCCATGCACAGAGAGAGCTTGAGGAGGTTTCTTCTTTGTAGCTGGGATGATTCCTATCCAGGAATGGTACGGACACATAGAGCCTGTCAAGATGCGTCCCAAAAGGAGGGTAAGCACAACTGCCTAAAGCCCGCACACGTGCACCGAGCCATGATGCGCACTTTCTCTCATGCATAGCGTCTGCGAGCATGGGTGTGAAATTCCTGTTACTGATGGGGTCATGGGAAGATAGTCCTGAAATGTACTCCTGTAGTCTCGGCTACTGGCTGGAGGTAGTAGTGCATCCACTCGGTGCGATCGACTGAACACGACATAGAGGACCAAGCTGACAGAGCAGAGAATGGCCAATTCTACAAAGAGCTCGACAATGCGATGGTACAATGACGGCCCATCCTCCGAACCGTCTTTCTCTCGATGGGGCATGATAAGACAGTTGAGCATGGTGCAACAAAGGGCTGTAGCTATAGCGAAGGATACATAGGATCGCGAGCCAAGGCACAGTGAGCAAACTTCGTCGTGCAATTCGCTTGGGTTTCGAATAATTTTGAATACTGTTTAAAGGTTGAATGGAATGTAAGACAGTGGAGAATTGGACAGTACCGACTGGTGCAAGCTGGAAGAACTGCTGGGTGGCACGACCTGTCACCCAGTGTTCGTGGTTTGAAATGATCCATACTATACTGCTCCCATCACTCTTCAACTATGCGTGGCCTTCATCCGGCCAAGTCCTTGCTCTACCGATATGTTCTTCCGCAGAGTGTTGGGCCAGGTGGATAGAAACACGAGCGTCCTGCCGCCGTAGAGTGTGGTTTGAAGTTGATGACGGAATTCCAGAACAAGGAGCTGAAGGGGCTAACTCGCCGGGTAAACCGCGTGCCTCCAAAATTGGAAATCACCGCCAAAGCCGAGATGCGTACCGTTGAAGGGCTATATGCGTCCTTTAGGCCACTAACGCGACAAAAATGAAAGAGATACTATATAGAGGTATGTATATACTGTAGAAGAGATCGAAAAATAGGCGAGGCGAAGCAGGATGATACAACAACAAAAAAAAACCGGGGTCCATAAGACCTGGCACTCGGTTGTTCGTCATGACCCCTATTGCCTATTTACAACGGATACAATGAACTCTTTGGACCGCTCTGGCTGGGCTTCAATGTCCACTTCGAGGACTGCGCTCTGCATAGCAGATTCCTGGAAGCTTGAAGTAGACGGTTGAGAAGGTTGAGAAGATTGCGAAGACATCTGGAAACGAAGGGTCGACACTGTCGCACTTTCGTCATGTTCTTCATTTGGGCGTGTGTGTCCTGCCGCTGCTCTGCCAACAAGAAGAGTAGGTGCAACTCCCTACACAGGGTGCTTAATAAATAACAAGTCAAAGATTGTGAACGCACCCTCGCGATACTGGCTATGGCATCAAAGTAATACTGCCTAATATCGTTACGAATGGAGAAAGCCAAAAGCAGGACCAGAGCTATCGAATAGAGAGCGGAGGATTCCACTAGCACTTCAATGAAACGATAATAAACTCTCAGTCGGCCGCCTGCTCCACATCTAACCCCGGTAACAGTCAAAATGCGGAAAATGATGAGCAGAGTACACCATAATGTTGTTGCCAGGATAGAAGATAGGTAGAGCATAACGTATAATTCATCTAATGTATTTTAGTGGTGGTGGAGTCAAGATGTAAGCCAATGATTTTCGACACTACGCAGAAGTCGGATATATGAAAAGGAGAGATGAGATGGGTCACTTTACCAGTTGCACAAATTAGGGAAAGTATTGGAAGCAGAACAGTGAGCCGACGCTGTCCCCAAACGATCCAGCAGCACCAAATCTAAAGTCAAAATGACGGTGAGACTTTGAGTCAATGTGGACAATCCCCAGCAGAGTCGAACATACCATGTATAAATCTGCTAGAACGGTACTCATTAAGGCTGGAATACCTGTCTCCAGAAAGATTGGTTGACCTGAATTGGAAAGCTTCAGAAATATGGTCCAAAAACTTTGCCTGTTTTCGATGAATATAGAGGATGTAGATGACCAATTGGCAGCAAGAGTAATAGTATTCAGAGCATGGAGAAGAACGATAACGAGAACCAGGGCTCTTCGCATCGACCAACATTTATTGATGACTATGCCACTCGCGTCAGCTTGGGTATCGCAGTAGAGACGCTCCTCGCTCACATATATTCCACAGTGTAACAGTAAGAATGCCGGTGTATATGCCTGCCATCAGTCAATCCTTACATGTCAAAGCGCTAAATGTTGTTACCCACCATGCAATAGCACGTAGAGAATCAAGGAGCCCAGATTAGCATCGAGTAATTGAAACAAGAAAGCTCTGTCGTCATCGGTAAGATCTGGTGGAATATCTGCCCGAGCTGCCATGAGAGAAAGTAAGAGCAACGGGGCAGTGAGTTATGTGAACAACACATACCAACCCTCTCATTATGACAGTGCAGCTCATGGCCACCCACGCTCACTGGCTGTTGCAAAGATGACCATCAGTATCAAGTCGGAACAGGATTCTTACATACCGAGTATGTTCTGCGATTGAATGAGTCGTCGTGGGCATGGGCAGTTTCGACACAACTCGCAAGAGAGACGCGACTCGAAACGCGATATTGCCGGAGAAAACCATCTATCATGGGGAACGCTTATGCGGATATACGAACTGCGAGCCTTTCAGATATATGTTCTGTTGAATTAGGGCGTCCGGGAAGAGAATCAAGATATCCATCGAGGTGAGATCCTCAGTGCACTTATCAACGCGGGCTTGTTCTGTCATGGCATGATTCCAAATTAGATCTTGCCCCAGCAGTAACAGGAAACAAGTAGAAAATTTTCAATGCTAGTTGCGATCGTTACTATGCTGACAAATCCCGGATATTTTGTCCCACTACGGGTCTTCGCAACTGGAAATGGGGCATCTATTAGAAAACCGAGGGAAGAGAATACAGCACGTACCCCATGATGAGTTCGACGAGCCCGAATCTCTTCCAGAGGCACTTCCCTTTCCCAGTCCTTGGTAAATCTTCAATCTTCGAAGGTAGGGTGTCACGCAATGTATCCAGGTCGACTCATCTTCGATTGCATCAATATTGGTTCCTCATTACCTATTAACTGGACGCCAAAGGTGGTGAGCCAGACCAATACTGAGAGAATAGACCGGTGGGTCAGAGAAACAAAGATCAATATCAAGATTGATATCTACATGATGCGATCCGAAAGCAGTGAAATCAAAGTACACAGAAGAGTTACTAGGCCCCTCGAAAAGATCAGACAAGATCGCGACTGAAGCTTGGAGATGTCTGCTCGCTGAGCAATGACAAGGACAAAGCCTGCTAAAGTAATTTATAACGGGATATCTAAGAAACGGCCACGTACCTTGAGTGAAAAGAAAAGCTCCGGATCGGTCTCTTCCTTCAGTCACCACAGTCCCATTCGGCGCTACCAGCTCGTGCGCGAGCACGTTGCCGATAGCGAGCCCATACTGGTTTCTCAGCCACGAATACCCTTCAGAAATGCGTTCAGGTAGGACTTGGATCATCGCAGGCATACGCACCACCACCGACAGTGAACCCAAGTCACTTGAATTCCCGTTGCCCTCCCCTCAAGTACGTTCACACCCTCAGTACCCGCACCACATACACGTCGTCCCAACCACCACCAACTGTGTTGCAGAGTCGTACATGACCTCGTCGTAGCGTGTCATGGCGATCTGGACACCTGGCGCCGAGAGAAATCCTGCGTGTCCGCTGCCTTCGACTCCGCAGGGGTTAGTTAGGCTTTGACTTGGCCTGACTTGGACGCGTACACCAACCGGCGCCTTCGTCTCGCCTAGGATGCCCAGGTGGGATGATGTCAGGCGTGAACAAACGAGCAAAAGCAACACTCATGACGATGCCGACATCTTCCGTAGACCGGGGTTCGACGGTACTTTTGGAGGGTTGCGAGTTTGATCGCAGTGCTTTGGCGGACGAGACTGAGGCGGCGATATGCCTAGCGCGGTTCCTGCTAGGCTCAGGGAAAGTGCGGTGGGAAACATAGAGAGGGGAACGGACAGCTCCGCCTGGAGAATAGTAGAGCTCAATGATCTTCACTTGATGTGACCGTCCTTCCAATCTGGAAAGACGAATACGTAGTGGTCGGAAAGTGATGCGCCAAGGGAAACCATTGTCAAACTCCAGGACCTGCTACCCCGCCTTTCGAAATGTTCTTCGGATATCCCGTCGGAATGCTCCTGCCATTAGTTCGAGTTCCGAATGGCGGTCCTTGCAAACTTTCGAGTTCCCAGAGAGTGAAGCGCAGGGCGGGAGTGCGGTGGTGGTGTGGTGGTGTTACTGGCATTAGGATCTTGTATAAAAGTAAGAAACAAGTTGGCTTCGGCTAATCCCGACATTGTACCACTTGTACTGATCGCACATTACTCGAGGGCAGCGTATTCAGCTAGGCGCAACCACCTTGCATCGCGTATTCATGCTTCCTCTACGATGTACAAATCTGACGCGTCCTCGAAGCAAGCGGTATGGCAGACAGCAGCACACCTAATCAGGCGACGATGGAGAACAGACTCGGAGTATGTCCTAGTTTACAGTGGGTACGTCACGTCTCTGCAGTTACTCACGAACACGAAGGAATAACATCAGTCCTTAAGACTGTCCTACAAATTAAAAAATGGCAGTCTAAATCAAGTCCAAAGTCCCACCCTGAGTTTCAGATGTTCGCCATGAGCTTTATTGCGTCCTTTCAACAACTACCACGAGCTCATCCGACCGCTCCCGTTGAGCTTCAATGTCTAACTCAAGGACTGCGCTCTGTCTGGTGGATTCCTGGAAGCTTGAAGTGGACTCAGGTTGCGAAGATTGAGAGGATTGCGAAGACGTCTGGAAACGGATGGTAGACACTGGCGAACTTTCATCACGTTCTTCGGTTGGGAGTGTATGTCCTGCCGTTGCTTTGCCAATAAGGAGAGTGGGTGCAATTCCCTACACAAGGTGTTGAATAAATGACAAGGAGAGTCGAAGGTCATGAACGCACCTTCGCGATAGCAGTTAGGACATCGAAGTAATCCACTCTAACATCATTGCCAAGGAATACAGCCAAGAATAGGACCAGAGCTATCGAATAAAGAGCGGAGGACTCCACTAATACTTTAATAAAACGGCGATAAACTCTCAGTCGGCTGCCTGCTCCGCGTACAACCCCGTTTACAGTCAACATGCGGTAAATGATGAACAGCGTACACCATAATGTCGTTGCCAGGGTGGAAGATAAGTAGAGTGTCAGTAATGCTGACTCCGATTCATCGAAGTAGTCGTGATAGACAATAATGATTTTCGACACTACACAGAAGTTGGTATACAAAAAGAATAGATGAGATTGGACGCTTACCAGTTGTAGAAATTAGGCAAAGAATTGGAGGCAGAACAATGAGCCAGCACTGTTCCCAGACCATCCAACAGCACCAGATCTAGAGTCAAAAAAATGGTAAGCTGACATGGATGATCACCATCAAAGTAGCACACACAATATATGAGTCTGCGAGAATGGTACTTATAGTGGCTGTAAAACCCATCTCCCAAATGAATGCTTGGTCCACGCCGTTAAGCTTTGAGTTTACAGTCCAAAAGCTTTGCCCGTTTTCAATGAATAAGGAGGATATAGATGACCATTGGGCAGCAAAATTGATGGTAGTCAGTGCATGAAGGAGAATAATGACGACGACCAAGACTCGCCGGTTCGGCCAGCGTTTGTTGATGACTGTACCCAGACTCACGTTAGATTGGATATCGTAGCAGAGATGTTCCTGGCTCACACATGTTCCACAACGTAACACCAAGAATACCGGTGTATATGCCTGCCATCAGTCAACACTTGGTACATGTACAGGCACTAAACATTGTTACCCACCATGCAATAGCGCATAGAGAATTTGGGAGTTCAGTACAACATCGAGAACTTGAAATACGAGAGCTTTGTCTTCATCGGTAAGATCGGGTGGAATATCTGCCTGAATCGCCATGAGGGAAAGCAAGAGCAACAGGGTAGTGGGTTTATAGGAATAACACAAACCAATCTCGTTATAACAGTGCAGCTACTGAACACGCTCATTGGCTGCTACAAAGATAATCATCGGTATCAAGTCGGAACGGAATCTTTATTTACCGATTGTATTCGGCGGCTTGATGGACCGTTGTGTACATTGCCATTTTTAACTCGCAGGCGCGACGTGACGAGTCGAAGTGCGATACTGCCGCTTATATGAACTGCAAGCTTCTCGGATATATTTTCTGTTGAATTAGGGCGTCTGGGAAGAGAATCAAGACAACCGTTAAAGTGAGATTTCAGCGCCTACCAGCGCGCGCTTGTTCTGTCGCGACGTGATTCCTGATTAGATTTTTCCCCAAGATTAACAAGAAAAAGGCAAGAAAGTCTCGATGCTAGTTGCGATCGTTACTACGCTGGCAGATCCTCCTGGATATCTGAGTGTCAATAAAGGTCTTCGCAGGGACACCAGCTTTTGCAAATCGTATAGAGACGAGAGCTCGTGGCACAATCATATAAGATGGGAGAAAGTTCACCCTGGAAATGGGGCATCTATTAGAAAAACGAGGGAACAGAATACAGCACGTACCCATGATGAGTTAGGAACAGAGAATAGACCGACCGGCCATAGAATCAGATATCATATCAAGATTAATCTTGACATGACGCGACCCGAACGCAGTGAAATCAAAGTACACAGAAGAGTAATCACGCCCCCCCCGAAAAGATCAGACATGATCGCTACTGAGTTACAGTATTGAGGCTTGGAGATGCCCGCTCGCTGAGCAATGACAAGGACAAGGACAAGGCTTCAAGCTTCACGCATCATGAATGGGCTCGTTGTTCCAGCGACCATAAAACCGGGTCGGCCGCACAACGACCACCTTGAACATCATTGAGGTGACGCCGCAACTTTTTTCGTTTCCGAGTCGAGCGATACTAGTAATTTCCTAAAGATAATGCCTCAACATGGCGATTAAGGTCTAAGCCAATAGCGTTTGACAAGACTGACTTATCATCTCGTTTCGGCTTCTGGTTTCTTCGTTGCGTGATCGTGGCCTCTCATCTCCCGTAGCACCCCACTTCTTAGGTAACATCTTTCCGGTTCCAAAATTTCCCAGCGATGACGGATTCGGTGTAACTGGGGATGCAGAAATTGTAATTTTTTAAGAGCACGCCAGACAGCTTCTTAGCATGCTTCATTGCCACAAATATCCTCCAGTTACGGCGGACCCAGCTATACACGCATATCAGCAGTTCAGTCACTAGATCAACACACAGGACGCGTGACTGTCATTCACGCGACCGTGTTCTTCCACCTTTTCAACGACAAACAGCAGCTTCAGTTAGGAAAAATCATGGCTATATTGCTGTCATTGACTCCAGTGACAATGCTATTCGGTACACATAGCAGTCTACGACTAAAGGCCTCCACAAAGTGCCTATCGCCCGGGGCGACCGCAGTCGTAACATGCTTTGCGACTTACCTGAAACATGACGATTTCTGCAGGACGCGAAAATTTCCCAAAGGCGCTGTTGGCGTTGAGGCTGGCTCGGAGGAGCTCGACTGCCGGTTCTATATGCCTGTGTAGCGCATAACAGCGCGGTAGGCCGTCTAAAGAGCATGACAGTCAGGAACGAGATCTTCATAGCGAGACGGTAAAGGAAATGAGAATCAGAAAAGCGGGTCAATGCCCGAAGGTAGCTGAGATAATTTTCTGCACTGCAGGTCGCCCCGCATAAAGCCAAATGCCTCAAACATCATGTACAAATAGGCAAGTGTAGAGCAAGATTACTCACCACGACATAGATCAGAATAGGATCAGAGCGGCGCCAATTAACACTTCCAGGATGTATCGTTCCCCTCGAAGTCGAACAATCCGGTTTAGCCCTGCAAATAAGACAGTCAGAAAAGGAATGAAAACGAAATCAACGCAAAAGGAGTCAGAGATAGCGGGACAAAGCCCGAAGGTAACTGAGATAAGTTTCTGCAGTGCAGGTTATATCTCCTGCGTAAAGCCAAATGCCTCAAACATCATAAGTGTCGGTTCAGTACGGTAGTACGACAATAGACATGAACGAATGTGGTTAGCATACTCACCAATAATGAGAACGACGCCTCTTGGAGGAGATACAGACAGGCGCCATTACCTCCGCCGTCGTACAGAAGACATCAACATGACGATAGTTAAAAAGACGTTGAAAAAAAATCGAGTTGTATAAGCTGTTTAGGGCCGGCTTGAGACATCCCTTTTATGGAAGATGTCCCAGGACCGGTAAACCCCGGTCAGCATAACCGCCGAAATTCGAATGGTATCAACGCTTGTTCGAACGTATTTATGAAGTATCACCTGTGCGTCTCTCATTTATATGTTCACGAGTGGTCTCAATATTGGCTGAGGACCCGATGATAGCACGAGTCCTCTGAGCTTAGTCAGCACCTTCTGACTTCGTTTCACTATGACTACGATTCCTCCAGAGCTTGTAGAGATAATCGTGTACGAGTTCTGGCACTCTGAAATGCCGTCCTCTGTCCGACAGTCGTTCATGACCACCTGTCCCCTGGTTGACCGAACGTGGAAAGCCATCTATGCCCCTATCGCTTCTCAGGATCTGTATATCACCAACCTCGCATCCATTGACTATCTATGCGACATTGCCTACCTCAAAAATTCCATCATCTACCATGACCTCATCCCCCGGCTTACCAGCACCATTACCTGCCTCGTCGACCTCCGAGAATACGCAAAGGAAAGAGCAGCGAAAAGGGTCTATCGTTATCTCATCACACTACCCAACATCCGTGGCTTCCAAGCTCTTTTTCCGCTTGTTCAATATATATCTTTCCAGCTCGTTTGGATCGGTATTGGCGAGGATCAATCTTTACCGCCGTTCCGTGGTATTCCCATTCATGCCCGCTACGACCGGTTCCTCTGTACTAATGTCTCATCGAACGAATGTGAACGCTGCGCTGGCCCGGGGAAGACACGAATGCATATATATATTTCCATGATAGACTTAGACCCTTCGGTGGACACGAACAACATGGTCTGGTCTTATGTATTGTGCTTGATGCGCGCGGTCGGCGTCCCCCAATTCTTCTTTGGCCTCACTTTAGTATCCTCGGGGCCATATGAGGTGTTGGTAATTGATGGCATCCGATACCTCCGTCAAATCACATATATACCTGAGGCACAACTTGGTGACTGGGATCCAAGGGATATCAATCAGCACCTGTGGATGGCTTCCCAAGGGTTTCCCCGTACGTGATGAGAGCCGCTTCTATCCGATTAGTCTAACATTCTCGTCCTTTAGGGTTGGGATATTTTGCCAGTCTTTTCTACCGTCGGGAATATAAACGTTTACAGTCGTCTTTACCTGCTCCATTCTTCTCTAGTAGGATTCGCGAAGACGCAAGGACGAACCTCCTTAAGAGGGAAAATTTGGTCTGAAGAAATGCTATGAAGGCTTGTACATGAAAGCTATTATAAGAAATTGTTATTTGAATGTTCAATACAATCTCATTGCCATTGTTGAATTTTCGCACAACTGCCTAATATCCCAATGCCGTTACATATCTCTTTTTCAATCTGTTTCGCCTAGATGGGGATGTAGGGATTTTTTGGGGAAATGGCTGCACGGACATACACTCAAAGTTGCTATCATGCTCGGGCTGAGTTTTTGTCCTCAAGCGCTTGTTCTTGAACAGGAGAAGGCCTCTGGAGTTTCCACGCGATAGAATAAGGTTCCCACATCTCTGCAATTCGGGGTAAGGAACTTTGGTAGCTAGCAATGGGTCTTGAAAGTGGGATAACCTCTATCGATGGTGCCTCTCCTACACGACCATGCGAACCTCTTCATCAAAGAATGTGACAGGTAAGCGCTAAGCTACCAGCGGGACGCCTGTTGATCTATGAAAGCCATATCCAGCGTGTTTTTGTTCAATTACATGTTCACGAGTTAGGTTTAAATACCTTCGCAGAACGGGCATAGAGATACCTCAAACTGAAGCGTCCTGTGTAAGATCAACCCAATTTCAGGCTTTTATATTCATTTTTCATGACGTTGCCTGATCCACCAATTTAACAATCTCCTCCGCACATCCCCAACTTGCCTGCCATCCCGCCCCAGAATGCCCGATATTATGAAACAGAGGAATAGATGCACCATCAAGCTTTAAATCTTTCCCTCTCTCTAACCGAAGACCACTTCTCCGCGCTGGCCGGAAGCCAACGACCTCCCTGATAACAATAGAGTCAAGGTCCTCGGGTACAGGAGCGCGACCTTCCACGCGCAGATGAGACGGGACGAGTTCAGGATATATTTCCAGGGCCCTTTTTTTGATATCCAATGAGGTTTCTGGGCCAGGGTCGTAATTCCTTGGAGATGAATCAGATGAACTCTCCTATAGCAGGAGCAAGCTGCATACCAATCATCCGCCTCTCTCGTCCCACCAATGATGACCTGCCCACTACGCCGGGGGATGATATAAGTCCGATCTCCGCCTTCTCCGCCTGCGAGATCACCCATCTGCTTTGTACGACCCTCCTTGATCCAGGGAGCGTCAAGAACGATAACTTGGCCACGAACGGAGTACATCTCCTCATCCAACACATCACCCAGCTTAAGCGATCCTAGGCCTGTGCAATTGATGATGGCGAGGGGCGTCTGTGGCTTTGTGAACTCTAACGCGTCACGGAGAGAAGCGAGCATGGCACGATGGACGGTGCCTCCAAGACTGTGGAAGATCTTGACGAGTTTAGCCAGGTACGGAGAGGTGTCCATCGTAAGGGACGTGAACGAAACGCTGTGTTTAGCATATGGCTTCAGTTCATCTTGAGAATAGATGCGGAACTTTTCATACATATTAGTCGTGAAACATTCCGTGGGAGAATCACTCACGTCTGGCATCGACTCGTAAAACTTGATATGCTTCACGCCTGCCGACCCATAAAATTCGACTTGCCGAAGCTTCATCAAGGCGCTTGAATCGCCCTCTTCCGCCTCTTCCTTCCACATAACATCGAACGTTCGCTTATCAAGCGCTTGTTGACGAAGATCATCATCGGCAGCGAACGAGAGATGATGTGCTCCTGCCGCAGTTGATGCATAGATGGCGGTCAACGGATCTCCTGGTTGATGGGCTCCAACGGCAACGACATGGTATCCGGCCTGTAAGAGCCGTATTGCAGATGTCAATCCGATGACACCGAATCCTAGAACAAGAATAGGTTGACTTGGTTTCGATGTAGATGACATTGTTCACTATTGAGAAGGGTCTTCTTTGGTACACCAGAGCTGAAATTATACGCCCCGTTGCCGCACAATACTGGTGCTTTGAACAGGCAAATGGCCAAGAGACTTTGCCGGCCTTTGGCCGGGGCGAATGTCCGTAACAGATGTGACGCCGTGACACGGGACACTTGATTGACCTTGAAGTAGCCATGGCCATGCCAGTCCTTTATCCATGGCTCCTGCATCTATCCTCGTCATAAACCCCAATTCTTCTCAATCGATCACTGTTGGCTTGGTAGAGACCCTAGTAGCATCACCAGAAGCAAAACTGACGTTCTACACGGCTCCGAGCCGTGCACCTCCATCCATCAACGATATCGTAACCGCCAATCTGACAGCGACCGCATGTTTCCAGGATATCCTGGAGAAGAAATTGCTGGAGGAACACGATGGGTTCTTGGTATGTTGCTGTGAGTGATGCTAGCCTATACACAGCGCATATACTCACACCTATGTCAGTTTCTGACCATCCGTTAGCACACATGCTACGCGAAGTGACGACGAAGCCTACAATCGGTATATTTGAGGCAGCCATCACACAAGCATTACTCATCGGGAAGCGGTTTGGCGTCGTGACCACTGGAACGGGATACAAGTTCAACCTGTATAACGGTGTACGCGCATTTATGGGAGCTAATTCCGAAAGATTTGCGGGTCTTGTTACGACTGGTCTTGGCGTTGTTGAGCTCAGAGAAGGTGACCGAGAAAAGATTGAGAAGAACATGAAGGAAGCGAGCGGGAAGATGGCATCGCAGGGTGCAGATGTAATTCTTCTAGGGTGCGCTGGTAAGTCTAATTGTATTACTCTCTGGTAATTCCTACCGTCTGCTCTGCAGGAATGGCCGGGATGGAACCACTGGTCAAACAGGGTGCAGCAGAGGCAAATCCAGGACTGCCGCCTGTCCGAGTGCTCGACGGCGCAAAAGCCGGTGTAGAAATGCTTTCCGCCTTGATCAGGTTATCAGCATAGAAAAGGAATGTGACAACTTGATATTGTGACTCACGAATACGTGCCTGTGACGACTTCACGCCAGATGAGAATCATGACGCGTCGCGCGTCCCGGTAAATTTCTCTGTAGCACTACCTTGCAAAGTGCGTTTTTACACACACCCCCAAGCTCTCCAGGACCCTGTTTCAGCCGCAGCATCGTAATGATAACTAAGCATCAGTTACATCTTCAGTTCATCAATGGCATTTCGGCAGTTAGATGATGGATCAGATCCGCAAAAAGGAGACCTTCGTTTGCCTCTCGTCCTCACACGCGACAGGCACGCGCTTACCAGTATGATCGGAAGTACTCGGTGAGCCTAGCAATTATAGTAATCGGAAGGCTGTGAGTTGGGCCTCTTCTATTGATCCACATTTTCCCCTGCATATATAGGACGGTGAATTAGCGATAGCCGCCCTTTTCTCATTTGTGTAGGAGCTCACCATGTCAGACACTCCAATCGCAGAGCTGTAAGTTTTTCCATTTTCCTTCAGCTGTCAAAGCCACTCACTCAAAGCCTAGAACAGGACCCCTGGTGCGCCTTTTTTGCAGGGCTAATACTGGTTGCTTTGTCATTCATGACATTCATTACAGCTCCTAGGACACTTCTTTAACTGGTGCCTCTTCGGCGCTCTATCTGTGCAAGTGTGTTGGTACTCTCTTTTCACCCTTCAAAACCATGCACCTTGACTGTTGCGTCTCATAGATATCTACTACCTCGCCTTCCCCAAAGACAGACGGTGGACAAAATGCTTCGTCCTTTTCATATTCTCCATCGAGCTACTTCAAACGTTTCTTGCTACCCGGGATGCATTCCGCGCTTTTGCTTCTCACTGGGGTGATAAATCGGAATTGAATGACTTTGGTCTGATGTGGTTGAGTGTACCTGTGTTGGGCTCAATCAGTTGAGTCTTCAGTTGTATCTCCCGCTGATTGATGCTTACCCGCTTGTGGTCAGTCAGCTGCACCGCTCATTCCTTCTTCGCTTGGCGCGTGTATGCGATGAGCGGTAAATTCTGGATCACCGGCGTCATCTTGACGGTGAGGGTGATACGTTTTTGTCGTCAACCTCCATCATTGATGTACCTTTTTTTTTCTAAAAAAAAGGTATCTTTGGTCCAAGTTGGCGCGGGCATATGGACAGGAGTACTTGCTCGTAAATTCAGGCTATTCTCCGATCTGCATAAGCGTGTATCCAAGGCAGTTATTGTAAGTTGTCGGTCTTCTCCAAGAAAATGGTGCTCACTATTGGCAGGTCATGTTAGGCGGAAGCGCTCTCTGCGACGTAATCATTGCAGGAAGCATGATCTACTACTTGAAACAATCCACATCGGGCTTCAACCCCCACAGCGCTCCTCTGTACAAGTTCGTGCGGATGGTAGTCCAGTCTGGCGCCCTTTGCGCAACGGTTTCTATCATATATATCGTGCTCTTTTGCGTATATCAAGACAACAACTTTCATTCGGCTCCAGGTCTAACTCTTTCGAAGCTTTATTCTAATTGCCTTTTGGCTGTAAGTCGATACCAAGCTTCATCTTCAGAAAAACTCAAGCTCTCATAGATCCTGAACTCCCGTACTCGCTTTAACGTTGGACACAGCGAGGTCCCATATTCTTCGAATAATCTTGTGCTATCTTCATGGCATGTCAACACATCGATCGCTTCCAGTTCTCGCCCGATAAGTCGAGCCCGATTTGATTCATCAAGGATTCCTAACAGAATAATAGAAGGTTCAGGGACGATTGCACCAGTAAGACTTATGCTCATAAAATGTGTATCTGTACTAAGTGCTCTTGTATAGCCCTCGAAGGATAGCTTGGGAGCTATCGTGATTAAGAAACCCGAATCATCATACGGATCGCATTTTTCGTAAAAGGCCAAGGGGAAAATAGTACGGAAATTTGAGAGGCAACTGCGCTGAAGGTGGAATGTATCATGTACTCGAATAGAACTTTCCGGTTACTCGACGTGTGCAGGTAGGTTCGGAAACGTCCGAAAGACTTAATGTGGCTGTGCAGCTACTCCCTTTCATTTTCTACTATCATGCCCAAAGTTCATAATGCGCCCGAAACGCTTACAAGATGCGAGAACACCGTGTCTCTACGCGACAATAAACTTGTCGTAGTCACTGATGGCAAACGACGCGTCTTACTCACTCGAACGGCCTTAAAACGCTCCTATGATGTGCGCCACTCACCATCTAAGTGTAGCACGCAATTTTCTCAGCCATTTTTGCTTAACAGGAAGCTGCGGAGATAATATCCACTCACTTCCCCGCTATACCGAAAAATCGTGTGTTGATACAGACCGACAGGACTTGAGGGGCTCGGAAGGAGAATTCGTCGAGATTCCGAAGCAATCATGGACGGAGGTGTTACCATTGTTGCTGTCTTTGAAGGTTACTTTGGATGAAAGAGAACCGAGGGTACCCCCAGTAGCCGCTCCTGGTATGGACCTGATCATAACACAGGCTACTTGTGACTGATTATGCTGATAACAATTCCAGATTCACGCACTACGCTTGCTTCGCACCACTATACCAACACCACTCTTCTCTCCCGCCAGCTCGGCTGAGAAAGTTAGCGGAAAGGTGGTCTACTACGACTCCTCGTTAACTGAAATGCCTTTCACTGCCCGTTCATCCTCCAAAATCATGAAGCTTTTACCGATTTTCGCCTCCAAAATCAACGAACTGCTCCGAAGATATCTACTTTATCTATGACGGGAACCGGGTTCATTGGGATAGCACCTTCTCCGAAGTCAGTTTTGAAGATGGCGACATAATTGACTGTTTTAAAAGACAGAAGGGTAGAAAACCTGTCATCTATCTCTTCTCGTCTGTCGAGCAAGAGGTTTCGGTGCGGCTGTCGCTCGTAAACGAGTGACGCCTTTCTGCCGTCTATCCCGTAGTCCCCATCGAACATTCGGTGCTACTAGGAGGAGAAACTCTTACCTGGCGTGCCATCACGCACAGCGACCAGACTTTGACAGAGACTACCACAGGTCTTCGAACATCATATTTGTACTGGGAAGCAGTGTGTGTCTGCAGTTATGAAATTGAATACATCACTTAACGAAGGCTCCCATTAGAACTGGCCACTGCGAACGGCCTCCCTCTCCCTCACCAGAGAAATCCGAGTCTTCTCCTGCAAGGAACTTCAGTCCTATATGGTGTGACCTCAGTGACGACGATTCTGTCGTCCTTCCCGTTTGTACCATCACGCTCTACTTGGACAAAGTCCTCGCTTCACTAGGACTTCATGTAGAAGCGCGAACCTCTTTCATCACGTACGTCATTGGCCTCCGGCATATCTGGAGCGGTGTTGATATCCTCTTAGGTATTGGCTTCCCTCTATCCTGAAGCACACTCATGTCGCCCTGCGATTTGTTCCCCAAAATGAATATGAAACCGCAACGCCTCTCCATATTAAACCATCGCCGGATGTTGTGACACGCATCTTTATGTTGTTTAAAGGCATTTCCGAGGATCGGTTAGGTGGGTGGTCTGGGGCCATCTCACGATCTCAGGATGGCGTGGAGTGGTGGAGAGACGTTGTGGGGCTAATTTCAGAGGAGCGTCAAAGTAACGAGAAGCTGTTCAGAGTGTTGGAATGGGAGGGAATGGAGGTGAAGAGACTGTAAATGAGATTTATTAGTATTTGTTACATATATACATGCAAGTCCTGCTATCCTTCCCTTTTTGCGGGGCGACAGTACATAATTCTTTGGTTTCTGTTTTCAAACAGGGTAAATCAGAGTAGATATCACTACATAGTTCTCTTGTGTTCTTATTACACATCCTCACCATCATGACGAAATAAACCCATAATCCGGCGACGGGCCTATAGCTGGCATCCCTTCAAACCCACTCCAATCCGCACCAGTCCCAAAGGCGTTGAGATCGATATTCCAGTTCCTCACATCCGATGCGATCATCGCCTCCACGTTCCCGTTACTGTGCCCTCCCATAGCCTGAGGAAATATCTCCTCGTGTTGACTGAACAATGTGCCTTTAAGGGCAAGAACGACATTCCCAAACTCTTCACCTAGGTTCTGTAGACAGGCAGCAACATTTTCAGCCCGTGTCAGGGCAGCATTGGCAAGGTCCCAGTGGTGGAAGTCCCGCGCCTTTTGAAGGGCGCAGCGGAAACGGCAAAGAAGAAATATTGGGTTCGTGCGAGAGTCGACGTGAAGACGGTGCTGTTGGGCCGAGGGAGACGTGGCGGGTGAGTCGAGAGAGGCCGTGGTAGCAAGACTAAGCCGGATAAGGGACGACGTTACTGACGAAAGAATGTGGCCGACATCTACACGTGGAAATTGAGTTCTTGCACGCTGCAAGTCTTGCAGAGACTTACAGACAAGCCAGAACCCATCGAACGCTCTACCGTCTAGTGCGGTGATATACTCCACTGCCTGAGCATATCTTTCCAATGTCTCTGGATCCGGTGTGAATCTGTAACCCTTTCAGGTCAAGTCAACTACGGCATAAAAAATGCTGCTCACGGACTGCCAAGCCCGATGCTGAGTTCAATTGCTATACGCCTTGCCATGCACCGAAAGCCAAGGAGACAGGTCATTAGTGATGCTGCACCGATATGACATGAACTCCGAGTATTATCGTGAAATTCGAAGATGCAACTCACGGAATCCCGGGGCATCCACTGCACCCTCTTTATGCGCTTCACGCGCTTCTTCCAATAATGAGTCTACTTCTTTCTCAATATCGACGACACGGCCTAGGCGTTCATCCTTCGGCGCCATAAGAGTACAGACTTGTGTTTGAAGTCGCGAAACAAGAATCGTGAGTCGACATAGATGAAGAAAAGAGTTCGCTGAGTGGACATGCGGGGGAACAGAGGGGACGGAACGAATGGGAGTAAATGGCGATCCTCGCTGCGAAGACGGGTGGCCCTGTGGGCTATGTTGATGCTGCGAACGAGGGGAGGAGACATTCGAAAGATGTCCAGGGGAGTTGCTTAGCACCGGATGCGAAGGTTTCAGTTGCTGGGTAGCAGAAAGAATAGTAGCGATAGACGGTAACGGGACAGTATGGTTGTTTGTCTGTACATGAGAAGGGCGAGAGTTGAGGAATGATGCCCTAATCCACATGAGAAGACCAGTTAAGTCGGTAGGCGATAGTAACACACCAGGAATCATGAACTCGTAATGCCCACCACAATACACGTCGAAAATCCTTCTCCCAGGATGGAATACCCCAATTAGTTGGGTCTATGTGAAGCCCCAAAAGCTGCGCTTGGGCAAGGGCCTTCCAACGGTTTAGTATCACACGACAAACTAAGAAGGTCCATCCACTCACCCGAGCCAAAATCAGATAGTCATCCTCCGCACTGCTCAAGGGACGCGCCGATATGTCCAGGAGGGCATCGGAGATATTCGATAGACTGCTCCTTGGAAGTCCTAAAGCCCGACGTAACTATTAGGATTTCAAATCCGAAAAAGCCGACGCACCGGTTGCCTCCTGTCCTTTGGTCAGCTTCCTCACCGTTTTGACCGATGGCCTATACATCCCCCTGGGTGCATGGTTAAGCGCAGCAATATAGATTTTAGACAGAACGGGCAAAGGGTATGGATAATCAGGGGAGTATGGCGAGGAACTTGACTGGGTGCTGGTTAGAATATATTTAGGTGGGGGTAGAATCGGAAATGCGGCGTTGCTAGCAGACAGATAAAGGTCGAGAAGGGCCGTCTGGCTCGGCGGAGGATGCAGGAGAGACAGGGCTGACTTGACATTGTCGAGGTAAGTGTCTGGAGGGCGCAGTCGTTGTTCTGTAATAGCATATAGCCATGTTTAGACGAGAAAACGAAGGAAAACGACGCACTGTCTGACTTTCTACTGAATATAGCGTATTGGGGGTTTCTTCCATCGAGTGAAATCTGTCGTGTCTGCTCGCTCCTCTCGCCTAGGGCAAGATCAGCTCAATCGCCGGAGAGACAAATCGATGCTTACCACCAGCCTTGCGCGCACCGACAGGTAAAAGATCGTCCGTCAACACTGCTGTGATGATGTGGTAGCCTCGAGTTTCTTCCAGCGCGACTGCGTCTGAGTCATTGATCTGTTGCGTGCTCGGTCCAGGATCGGTATTGACAGCCTGAGCATGACTTGAAGCATTCGTACGCGACCGCTTCGATGGTACCGGATTAACAGAGTCAATTGTGAGTTCCTGAGGTGACAGTGACCGCTTGCTGGGCTTTTTCCTTTCTCGAGGTAGCTCGTCAAAAGTGCATTTCTTGCGGGTGTGCCTAGTTTGACCCCATCAGCGAACAGAACGCCACGGCCCAATTGAAAAGGCGACTCACTGACACTCGACACACGGCGTTCCAACCTCTGTTATTGCACATCTCGTCTTTGCTCGCCGCTAATATTGTTCGAATTGTATCGGTCATCAAATACTTTCTGCACAGCTGATAACTCACGCAGCCATCGCATGGGCGATTTTTCCTGGATCTGAAAGGCCTTGCAAGGGTGACCGGTGGCGGATCATCGTCGTTCGAGTTCTGGTTCGTCTCTTTGGAAGGATTATTTGTAGTGCCTGACTCAGAGGCCGCGGTCATAGTGAAGGGCAGAAGATGTCGATCGGAAAATCCTTTACCTTATCAGCTACCACGTGCGTTTATCTCGGCCCGACATGGGTGCTTCTAATACACAAAACTCAACTGGCTGCATGCATACTCTGTACAGGACACGTACATATGTAGTAGTATCTTCACTATATGCAGCAGACTTACTCAGGCCGCCATTCTGACAACCACTGGTTTCGAGGACCACTGTAGCGAAAATCAGGGATGGGAAAATTGATGTATAACATAGGAACTTACGGTAGCGTACTTGATCCCCGTCGAAGGAACCTGCCAGACCCTGGTGGCGCCAGTACTTCATTAGTCTCGCCGTCGTATACAATCTTTCCTCGCAGAATCGTGTACCGAGGCCAGTCTTCTAAGACGACATCCTCGTAAGGTGTGTAGTCACATGCGTGGTGCAGCTGTAGAAGGTGAGAATATCGAACAGGAAAGGGGATGGATATAAAGGACGAACCTTCGAGTTCTCGATCTTATAAGGCCTGCGGCTTTTATCTGAGCGCCAGATGATAAGATCGGCATCACTACCGGGCTGTATGGTCCCCTCTGTCAAGAAGCACAAGGTGAATTCAACGGCGATATGGAGCTGTTAAAAAAAGCATACTTTGAGGATACATCCCGTCTAGACACACGGTTAATATGATAAGCATCAAAGAAAAGCGGATATAACATACATAATTTGGCCGCATTGGTTGAATTTAATTCGACAAATTTCTGAGGGGCAATGCGACCCTTCAGTACGCCCTCACTCCACAGTAAAGGTGTCCGAGTTTCGACGCCGGGAAGCCCGTTTGGTATCGCCTTAAAGTTTCCACGGGGATTGTTTGTGGGATTTTTGATGAGACCGAGCTACGCGTTTGCAAGTAAAAAATGAGCGATAAAGAAGTGAGCGATAAGGAATCACACACTTGTTTTCCACGTTCATCATTATAGCATGTAGGTGCATGATCCGAAGAGAACACCGTAAACGTGCTATTCGCGAGACCCTCCCAGATTCTCTCCTTATCCTTAGGGTCATCTCTGAGGGGCGGTGCACAAACACATTTTGCACCTTCAAATCCGTCCTTCCGCATTTGCGAGCCGTCGAGTATTGCATAGTGAGGACAGGTTTCTGCGTAGATAGGGAGAAGTCGTGTTTGAGCTTTTCGGATGATGTTAATGGCTTCTGGAGCAGAGACGTGGACGATAAGCATGGGCGTATCCATAAGTTCTGCAAGTGCCAAGGCTCGATTCGTGGCCTCAGACTCGACGATAGGAGGTCTTGAGGTACCATGATGCCATGGTTCGGTCATACCTCGTCCTTGCAGACTCTTCGTCATCCAGTCGATGCTGCAGGTAAGTTAGCCAAAAACTCTGAGAGGCGAGATAGAAAACGTACACATCCGCGTTCTCACAATGAACCATGGTAGTCACCTTGTACTTTCGCGCCGCGACTAATACATTGAGGATTTCGCCATCTTTGAGCTTCAAGTCGACGTAAGTCATATATATCTGGCACGCGTTTCGGTAAGATTCCAAGTTAAAACGCCAATTCAGCCTAACCCACTTTCATCGATGTGATCCCTTCGTTAACAAGCTTGGGAAGTTCAGTATGCATTTGGTACTCATTGGGATCCGTGACAATGAGATGGAAGCCGTAATCGCAGACAGCAAAGTCATCAGACTTTTTATGATAGTCAACGACAGCGTCTGCAAGCGAGGTTCCCCGACCCTGCACAGCAAAGGCTAGAATGGTGGTCGTCCCGCCTTGTGCGAAATAAATGAATAATATTTCCCAAGCACCTGGAGATATAAAGACTTACCAGCCAAAGCACTCCTAGTCGCGCTCGTCCAATCATCCGCGGAGCGAGCCCCAAGACCCTTTGCGGCAGACTGAGCAACGTGGACGTGACTATCAACACCTCCAGGAGTGATATATCCTCCCTCGGCATCTATTTCCTGGCACCCGTCCAGTGAGGGCAAACCGGCAGCGAGGAACCTAATTTTCCCATCCTTGATACCGATATCGCAAGCCACCTGGTCAGACGCGGTGACCACAATACCGTTACGAATAATCAAGTCGAGGTCGAACGACATGGTGGGATGTGCAGACGCAATTTTGCAGAGACCGGAGGTGTGAATACATTGTTATGAGTAGTTGTTCGTTCCGAGGATCCAAACTAGCAAGGATCCCTGCCTCGGCCAATCCACGTGATGGCGTAAGAATAGGAGCGGATTCTCCTGAATCGCCGCCGGCCAACAATTCTTCTGCTTTCCTGCCATCCAGCCTTTTGTGTTGCAGTCGCCCGGGCGTGGAGAGGAAGATCACAAAAATCACCACTGGTTCGCCTCATTTATGCTCCCGAAGCAGGCCGTGGTGAATCGAAAATGGCGTCACCTTGCGCTAGTCACGACATTTTCGACATTTTTTTCGGACACAACATCACCAGTCAGCATATATGGAGCCTAAGGCGCAATGTCGATCAGCGTCGCCAAACGTTCCTCGAAGCATTTGTCGATAATAGAACTCGGGATCAAGGTGGTCGGATAAGAGATCGCGGCCGACCCAGATTTCAGGTAGCGTAGTGACATAGAGCCTTGTGAGTCTTTTATCGTCCTCGGATGTGAAAGGAGGACTGACCAGATTGTAACAAGTACACGAATGAAAGCAACAGTGAACACGTCCTTGTGGTACCTTCTCAGTGATCGTTCGCTGTAGGGCCGCTCGCTACTTGAGCAACTGAAATTCTGGCAACATTCATTGCCTGTCGGTTTCTTGCTATGCCTCTCAACGTTGCAGGGCAGAACATCTATTCTCTACCGAGTGGGGGTTATGCTATGGCAATGCAATGATTACCACTTGCCGTCAAATAATATGCTATACATTTACACTTTCTTGTGAGCGTAACCTCTGGATTTATCTTCTCTGAATGCATCCTTTAACCACGCCCGAACCATACTGTAGCTTAATAGCCATAATCGCCCTTCTCAAAATCATATATAATAACATCCTCGACGATATCCCTGATTGACATCTGGTGACTAATAAGAATTATATTAGTCAACGGGCGGCATTGATTTCTACCTTGTATGCAACGTGCTTCGCGTCGGGGATGAATTCGTCCCGGTGCTCCTTGGACTGATTGACGTGACGCGTTAATAGAAGTCGAAAAACGGAAACGATGCAATACCAACCTTGAATTCGACTGTGAAGAGGACGTCAAAGCCTTTATCAAATCCCTCCGGGTTATTGTTCCTGCCACCTGGGATACAATGAGCAGGTGTGCGCAACAAGAGTTTTAGCTGCGACGACAGACCGACAGGGCCGTGGTTAACCATACGTGCGTTCTCTTCATAAAGCTTGATGAGACCCTCAAGAGCGTGTCTCTTTTGTTCATCAGTGGTCCCAGGCTTGTACTTGAAAGCAGCGAAACGGACGACAGGAGCCATCTCAGAGTAATTGACGGTGGTAAATGGCTGAGTTACAAGCTGAAGGGGGATCCTGAGATGGAGGGAAGGAGTGTGTGGCAGTCAAGTTTGAGTACATGAATCCTGGCAGGCCGTGCCCTCCGGCACTTCTGATGCTCTAAGCGGAGAAGCGCATCTTTAATATGCATTTGTGATTATCGTAATGCTCATACATCAAGATCCATGGGTATGAGCGCAAGAAGCCAGGATACCCTGAAAGTACGACTCGAATCATATATCCCACAAATGCTAAAGTTGTGTAGTACTTCCGATAATGGGTACAAATACACAACCGTGATAAGATTGGTAACTGTCCACTCCTCCTCCCAACATCCTGTACTCATTCCATATTACATCACCCACTATCAGATTTATTACGTTGCATTCTCCGGTTGTGGGCGTAATGAGCGCCGAGCTCCATCTGGGATATTACTCCTGCTAAGGCTTCCATCATAGAGGTATCCCTGACTCAGTTCTTCGCGCCCTCGGCCACTAAGGATCAGAATATAGATTGGCTGCATATGTCTGGCATTCCCTGTCACTTGTCCATACCCACCAGAGGTCATGCTCTGATGAATATTCATGCTTTAGGCTGTTTTGAGAAGCGGGGTGGATACAGCAACGTTATGTATTTCATTTCCGCTAGCGCACTTAAGTTCGTCAAATACGACTTTCGCTCTAATCACCGTTTATCACCCTTGAGCATGTATTTCTGGGCCTATTAATGCTTACGCTCTGCGTTTCTCTTGTTTTGGAGGTTTTCATCGTCTTCCAAGAACCGATACCCGCACCACTTGAGTTTCTGTCTCCACACTCCCTGATTGGGCTCATCGAAAATTGCGGTCTCATGAAAACTTGTGCAGGCTATGTCTCTTGTTATATTTCTCCTTGTGGCATGGCGGTCTCAACGTCTCGGGATCGCACATCTCACTCAAGCTGCATGAGGTTACTTGAGGTCAGCGCCTGCTGAGTTGATGATGATCAGTATGAGGACCGGTGTTCCAGAGATAATTCCCCAACGATTAAGGACCGGTCGATTATTGACAACAAAGGGGTATATAGTCTCCTCTGAGGTACTACTACGCTAAGGCAAACGGAAGTTTGGGATATATCATCTGGGCTAGAATGTTGCTGAATTACGCAGGCTTCCGATAATCTAGATCAGTCTCTACCGAATGGATGGTTATTAGATCTTCGTAGAAAATTCTGTCATTTTTTGTTCTTGATATGGCCTGCATGCGTACAAGACATGCAGGTGATAATTATTCTTGGCAATGGGTGTCCGGATCAATCGGTCCGTCACTGTACTAGCATCAGTTCTGATTCATCTCGGGGCTATTTTCATTCGACACATCAGGAAAATGCATATATCAGCTCAGACTTGTAAGTGTCTGAAGTTTTGCTCTAAACTTATATCTGTCTCTGATAGAGTGTAATCAATAATTCATGGCGAAATAGTGCGCATATCATCAATGGAATAAAAGTCTACTCTCAAGGAACACAAGACGTAGTGAACCCAACGAGGAAATCTTAACCTCGGTCCCAATTGCTACCCAGGGCCAGCTGAACGACACGGTGGAGGCCGCCTCGTTCACATTTCCTGCTTGGGCAGCGCTGGCCGTCGAAGAGCGGCAGAATCTGATCACTCAACTAAGCGACTTGATTAAGGACTTGTGACGACTTCGTCAATGTTATTATCAAAGAAGTTTGAAAGTGACGGACATTGGCGTGGGTTCACGAATTCACTCGCGCCTCGGGTGATATTTCGGGTATGTAATTGGTAGGCTTCTATAGAGCTGTCGAAGTTGCAAGTTGCATCAAGTGGTTTCATGGGGGTGGCGACTCAGTCGCTCCCACCTGAGACCATCTTGGACACGCCCCAGAGGACTGTGACAATTAAATACGTCCCATATCGCGTGGTATGTTGTATTATTTCGTTTGTCGAGGTTGTCATCTCACTATTCGCGATCGCGGCTCAGGTACCTAGAGGACGATGAGAATATATGTATGGCGGGCTGCGAATTAGTTCTCACAATCTTGCCCAAACCAACTTGGACTCGGCAATCCCATTCCATCTCCATCAATCACGCCCCGGGTTTCGATAGAGGCCCCAACAGAAGACTATCCATGTTCTAGTTTTCCGGCAATGTTGTAGGCAAATGCGGATATTCCTAGCCTCGCCTTGGACTATAAGCTGGCAGTGGGGAAGCAATCCGTTCTCAACTTCCAAGCTATTTCAAGCCTGCCTCGGCGAAGCCACGTGACGGCGTAAGAATAGGGTTAACGGCAAAATTGCCGCCGGCTAACCGGCGCACGAAATTTCCTTCAAAGAACCATGGAAGAGCCGACCCGCAAATATCCTCCTCACAATCCGTACAATGCCTCGACCCCTTCGCGTTGCAGCAGCCCAGGTCGGTAGAGTCGACCGCGGGACGCCCAGAGCCCAAGTCGTCGCCCGCTTGGTCGCACTTCTGGAGGAAGCGGCAGCGAAATCCGTCAGACTAGTCGTATTTCCAGAAACGACTTTCACTACGTTCTTCCCTCGATATCTCTTTACCGACGAGAAGGAGCTTGACTCCTACTTTGAAGTCGAGGACACCGAAACCGGGATCGTCAACTCGGCTAACGTGAAGCCCTTCTTCGATAAAGCAACGGAATTGGGCATTGACGTCGTCATCGGATACGGAGAAAAGACTCCCGAGGGTACAACATATAACACTGCTAGCTACGTCTCTAGCGGCAAGGTTATCTCCAAGTATCGCAAGGTCCATCTGCCAGGAAGTTTTGGTCAGCAAACATCACCTACCATGATATGGTGTACTCACTGTGTCTTCACTAGAACCCTTCAACGATAACCCAGAAACAACGAACCAGCTCGAGAAGAGGTACTTCAAGCCAGGGAACCTCGGATTCCAGGCTTTCCGTGCCCCCGCTCTTCGTCATGAATCAAGGAGCCCGATCATTGGGATGCTGATATGCAACGACCGGAGATGGGCCGAAGGGTGGCGATGTTATGGCCTGCAAGGCGTGGAGATAATGTGTATCGGATATGTGAATCCCATGATGTGTTTATCTGCCCCCTGCTACGTTCTCATTCGTCTTGACAGAATACGGCTGCGTGGGCTCCAGAACTCTGGGGTACTGATCCTAACATGGACCGCAATGATGCCCGGGAAGACGCCCTAGTTCGTCTTCAGCTTCTCTGTATCTCTACTCTTCCTCTGACACCAAGCACAGTTCCATCACAAACTCGTTTGTCAAAGCAACGCATACACAAATGCCAGTAGGTCCTCCTTTGCTTCATTTGGAAGCACCATCGTTCATTGATATAGCGTTCTGTATCACCGCTGCGAGATGTGGCTTGGACGACGGGAAGTTTGAGTTGATAACTGGTAGTATGATTGTGGATCCTGAAGGCCATATCGTTGCCGAAAACAAAACCAATGGCGATGAGCTGATTATAGCTGACATAGACCTAGACGCCTGCCAGTGCGTTATAGATCTGTCTCTAATGCTGATGGTGAGCTCACATCCCCTTTCTCAGACAAGGCAAAAACCGCACTTTTGCGTTCGCAAAGCATCGACGACCCGAGCACTATGGAGTTATTGTCGAACGAGCAGGAGTAGTAGAACCACCAGAGGTCATCTGAGTGTTGGAATAAATGGAATTATGGTGCAAGAGCGCGCCCGTAGGAAACGTATATGCGTTTATTGAAGCATGAAGTTTGGATAAAAAGCAATACCTTCTCCCTTTTGTCCATCTTCATACCGTGATAAAAGTAGAATTTTAGAACCTTTCGAGAGTTAAGAGCAAGGGGAGTGAGGCTGTCGAGAGTTCCCGTCTGAAGACAGTTCAAGAATCAAGGTGTGGCCAGTGTTGGATCGTTTGGTGGAAGATTCAAAAACGAGAGCCTTGTTAGTCATGTGACTTGTGACGCAACGCGACTGTGACACGACGCGATGATTTAAAATGACACGCCGTCATCGCGTCAACGGACTTGGGCGATGGCGAACGACTGTCGAGATTTTCCAATTGATATGAATATATGACGAGTGGATCGACTGTAGATCATTCTTCGATGATGCCTGAGAAGTAAAAATAGGCTACCGAAAAGCCGGATACCCCAGAAAAGCTTAAGGACAAGTGGGGAGTCCCTCCACCTCGAAACGCTGACCTGAGTAATCAAGTAATCGAATATTTGGCCTTAGGGCGGTATTCACTTTATATGCAATTCGTACTTAAGACGTCGAACAGTGAACGGACGGTGAGTATGAGTATCATTATAAATCCATCGATGCTACCTGAACTTTCACGGTGTGACAGTACAGCATACAAGTACATTGATGAAGCGTCATTAATATTCTCAGAGTAAGAACGCTCCATTTGTCTCCTGCAAAAGAAGCTTATACTCAGGTTGGAACTTCGACGGACGTTAGTTGTAGAGGAAAGATTCGACGAGCTAGAAAACATACGTTGACATACGTGTTCTCCCACCACTGAGTAGTCTTGGCAGTGAATTCGGCATCCTCCTTCGAGATGATGGTCTTTTTGAGACCAGTTGGCTGCAGGCGGCCTCAGCCATGAGCTTGGACTTTGCATTGTCCGGTCGAGGGCGGCAAACAAGTAGACGGCTTCGTCGACTGTATTTCCAACTGAGGATCGATCAATAAAACGCAGATGGTAAGTAGCGATAGAATGAACTCAACGAGTCAACAGTCCATGATTTTGCAAGATACAAGTCTTAAACTTGGGACCCAAAGCTTTGGCAATATTTTCGCCCTCCTCCTGGGCGAGAACGACGCCGCCAAAGTTCTCATACACACAGTGGTTATCGTAAAACAAGCACGAGTCTTGAGTCAGTATTTCGATAGGGCGGCCGAATGCAGACCAGGCTTTCGCGCTGATGGAGTGGCAGTGAGCGGCTGCTTTCACGTCGGGACGAGTCTTGTGGATAGCGCTATCTGTGGTTCATAGGACACTCAATAAAAGTCAGAGATATTTTATTTATTTCACTTACGAATGTAGAATCCGGCCGTGTTGATGGGCAGCTGCGCGCCGTGCTTGGTAACATAACCATCAGGACCGACAAGACATAACATTGATTTCTGGGAAGAACGTAATGCGAGAGTTTCCGGAGTTACTTACAAAGCACTTACGGTCATGGTCGAGAAGTGCTCCGCAAAGGGGTTCATCCTTCTCACATGGTAAGTCATCGGATTAACCAGCATGTGAATGAACTAACCAGTAATGGTCAGGAAGGACAGGATCACGGACAGTTATGTGACCAGCAGCTCCCTCAGCGAAACCCATCTTACCCCAGTAACGGAAGGCAGCAGCCATATGTTCCTGAATAGATGTTAATTCCTCTATAGACTTGAAAGATTAGCTGGTTCTCTCACCTTGATCCATTCGCGTTCCTCATAGGGATTATCAAACGTGGGGACAGTCCCGAGCTCAATCGTCCCTAACGGCTATTCAAAAACAGAAATGGCGGAGGAATACAGCTCAAGCCTACCCTGTTTATTTCCACGCCAGGTCCGTCGCAAAGGGTTATCTGCAAGACCGTCAAGAGACTGGCGGAACACGCTGTTAGAAGGTGCCGTTGGTAGGACTAGTTGCTGTGGGAGACATGGTTCCTGGACAAAGTGGGGGGGCAAGTCTCACTGTTTTAAGACTTGGTATACTAATAATCCGCAGCAGAATGTGGGGAAAGAAGCCATGTTGGCCGCGGCGAAGGAGCAAAGCCAATGAAGTAGGAGCGATAACTAGATCAGATCCAAGATCTCTCTGAAGCGTCGTTCCCAAAGAGGAAATAGATTTTCACATTGTAACCCCATTTGCCGCGGCGTAAAACACCCGCCTCTGCATCGACAGCAATGGCATTGAAAAAAGGACCAGCACGACCAGTTTTCTTTCACCATCCTGCCCTTCTTCTACAGTCATGCAACTCAGCAAGTTTCTCGATAAAGCTCGTATTCAGGCTGAGGAGGTCGACTTCACGATGCAGACGACGCAGAGGTCATCAAGTGTCAGCCAGATCTTCTCCCGGTACCTCCTTTGCCTGAAGGTCCGAGAAAATGGGGCGCTGTTCATCTGGCTGGGTACTGGATTGCTGAGGCATTTGGTGCGTGCTGTTCATTTTTTGTAGGCAGAAATCCTGACTGGAATTGCAGGCATTAGGTCTTGTGCACGATTACTTTCTTCTCCAAACCCATTCTCATCATTCGCAGTCAGTATCAGGTAGCTTCTACGGCGGTCGCCAGCGGTCTATCGCCAGGTTCAACAATTGGCGCGGTCTTTCTTGGGCACGTTTTAGTCTGTAAGTGTACCGGGCAGCCATCATCGCGACGCGGTACTTATATATTCTTTCTAGCTATTGCATGTGCATGCAATGGATGGGTAGGCGCGACATATGGTATCAATTTTCCAACGTTTTCGAGGGCCTCTTTTGGTATTCGGTGCGATGGATAGCCCTTTATATGTAGCGACAATCATTAATCATCAATGCTTGACCATAGAGGGACTGCTGTTGCTGTCATTTGTCGTGCAGTCGCAGCCATTGTTTGGTTCGGGACTCAGACTTATCAAGGTATGGCTTTTTACTATGTTCATTCAATGGCTGTTGTTCATTCTTCCTCCAGGTGGCCAATGCGTTGAAGTCATGTTGCGCGCAATCTGGCCTTCGTTCAAAACCTTCCCAAATCACCTTCCTGCCTCTGCTCACGTCACGTCCTCCCAGATGCTATGCTTCTTGTAAGCGACCCTTTTTCGCCCTGTTTGGCCAAAACCTTTGACTCACGGCGGGCGCCCAGTATCTTTTACATCATTCAGTTGCCTCTTTTATGGATCCACATCTCCAAGCTCCGTTATCTCTTCATGGTCAAGGTTGTTATCATGCCTATCTTCGGCTTCACATTGTGTGAGCTCCTTTCGTTCATTCTACTCCACTCTTGTTCTGATAATGATAGTCGGTTGGGCCGTCGGCCGCGCTCACGGATTCGGTCCGGTATTCAGCCAAGGAACCAACACCACAACGACCCCTGCTGCGGTCCTGTTCTTTTCGGCGATGACCTCGGCCATTGCCCCAAAGGCTACACTCGCACTCAATATATGCGTATGGTTATCGCAGTTTTTCCTCTTCCAAAGGCTCACACTAGTGTTAGGATTTCACACGCTATGCCAAAAGCAGGCGCACCGTTGTATGGACGAATATTTTCTCCTTGTCCATCCCAGTTACACTTTGCGCGTGAGTTTTCCTATTTGCTTTTGACCAGGCTTCTGTTCTAACACTATCCTTGCAAGTATACTCGGAGTTGTAGTGACATCTGCCGTTAAGGTCATCTACGGTGTCACTACGTGGAACCCCTTGCAAGTATGTGAACTCTGGAGTAGCCGTGCTGCGCAGTTTTTCGCCGCTTTTTGTTGGGCCTTGGCTGTTATTGCGACGAACATCTCCGCAAAGTGAGTCGTACAGTTACCAAAGCGATACCATATTAAGTTCATGGATTAAAAGCTCCACTGCCGTTGGCAACGACCTCATGATCTTATTCCCCGAGTACATCAACATTCGTCGCGGCCAATACATTTGCGCAATTCTTGGTGTTGCCGCCTGTCCTGTCCGTTCATTTTTTGCCGCGTCTAGCAACTTTGCGGTGACATCGTATTGTACAGTGGATTGTCCAAAACTCGGCGAAGTCGTTCACTTCCTTCCTCGGTGGATACAGCATATTCCTAGGTCCCGTTGCTGGGATCTTGCTGTCGGACTACGTGAGTTTATAATTTTGCGGAATGAGTTTTGGTTGACCATATTTGTAGTTTATCCTTCGTCATCGGAACTTGGAAATCCCAGCTCTCTACCGTCACGGGCGTGGCCAGTACTGGTAAGCTGACATCTTTCATCGCGATATACGTTTTCTTATTGTAAATATAGGTATACCTCCGGATTTAATTGGCGTGCAATCTTAGCATTTACTCTCGCGCTCATTCCAAACCTGCCCGGGTTCGCCGGCAAGGTCAACTCCCACCTTCATGTTCCTGTCGGTGCCACGTACCTCTTGTGAGTTCTAGTCTGATTCTTATCAACCATGGACCACTAACAACGCGGATAGTTCCGTGGTCTGGCCTGTGGGAGTCGTAGTTGCTTCCGTGCTCTACCTCACATTCAGCTTCTTCTTCCCTCCCTTGATCGAGAGGAAAGAAGTCCAGACCACTTTTACAAGCCACGATGATAATTTTGCGGATGAGAAGGATGAGAAAGATACTTCTGCAATTGTTCATATACAAGGGGTTTAGGTTAATTCAGGATCACGACATCTTATATAGTATTTATTGTTTATTAGATAGTATAGACTCACGATAACATGCTGATGACTTATTATACATTTTCTTTTGTCGACACCTGGGTCGTAAGCAGGAAATTTCGCGCGTCTCTTGATTAACCCCTTTTCGCCAGTGAGTGCATAGCTGAAGCAAGAATAAAAGTTTCCAGCCAGGTCCACTCATCCATTTTCCCGTCTGGAGTTATGCCTGTCTAGTCGTGGTTTTGCTCTGCAATGGCATACAGTAGGTCTCTGTCTGCAGATTCATCCACCAAGGATCTCAATTTTCCGTGTGGATCTTTCAAAAGCCTTTGGGGTGTGTCAAACTCGACCTAGCACCAGTTTGTTCAGCAATAATGTTCTTCTCATCGAGTCGTTAAAAGCAGACTCACAATATGACCGGCATCTAAAACCATCTAATCCGGGAATAAGAATCCACTAGGTGACCTTCATGATGCGCTGAATACTCACTATTTTGTCGGCGTCCATCACTGTCTGAAGTCGATGTGCCACAATCATCAAGGTCACGTCAGGACCAAGTTCATTACGCAGCGAGGACTGGATAATTGAATCGGTTTTGTAGTCTGTGAAGCAGGGTTAATAGGAATCTAGGGTGTCGGGAAATCAAGTAGGCTACCGATAGCAGAAGTTGCTGTACAATGATTATCGGCGTTTCTTCTCAGATCATGCATACAACAAAACAATACCTTCGTCGAGGATAAGCAGCTTGCTTCCTCGGACTAGTGCTCGGGCCAACGCCAGAATCTGTCGCTGTCCTACAGAGAGGTTGCCCCCTCCAGTGGCGATGGTACTGTCTAGCGTGATACGGCCTTCGTCCATCTCGCCTTGCAATGAGAAGAGACCTGCTGCACGAAGGGCATCGTTGAGAGTAGCATCATCACACCGGTCAAAAGGATCTAAATTCTGTCGCAAGGTCCCGCTCAAAAGCTCAGGCTAATGTAGATTTAACATGCAATCGCGTTATCATGAGAGATGTAAACGTACTACTTGCGGAATGATGGTGATCCTCGACCTCAAGGCATCAAGATTAATTGCCATTGTTGGGATACCATCGTAGTACACTGTTCCTTCTGTATAGATGCAGCGAAGTAAGGAGAGTGTCAAAGAGCTCTGGAGACAGATGAGCCAGGCTATTAACTGAGAAACACAAAATAACCTTTCCCGACCCAGTGCGCCCGATTATACCAATACGTTCTCCTGAATGGACAGTGAACGAGAGGTCGTGCAGAACTTTTGGGCCGTCTGGAGAATATCTCGCAGACAGTTTTTCAACCCGTAGTTCTCCGCTGGTGGGCCACGACGCTGGAGGCTCCCGAACTTTCGATGGTTTCTCTTCGTGGTCTACATTGAGATATGACTGAATTCGCTCTAGACTAACATCAAAGGGTAAATTTAGTACATTCCATTGAGGTTAGATGATGTACCTGTTGCCTGAATGAAAACAATGTTTGAGTGAGGCACGACTACAATAACCAAAGGCGTACCTTCAATCTCAAATCTGTTCAAGAAACGGACCCAGAATAGTATTTTGGAGGTAAACCCGACAGCCATGTCCAAGGAGAACCCAACGTTGAAAGTGCGAGCGTTCTGAATGTAGACGAGGTATGCTGCAAGGCTGGCTGAAAACAGCGCACCTAAGGCATCTGCTCGGACATAAACCCATCTGTTCAGATTGTAAAACGGCCGTGTTGTCCTCGTATATTGGTCGAGCGATTGAGGGACTCTTGAATAAATGCGTTCTCAGCCCCGTAGGCCCGGATCGATGCTGGAGAAACTGTGAGCTCATACAACATGATGTTCGACATCCTCACTTAATCCAGCGATGGCAGCACCGAAGCTGGGGTGCATCTCGTCAACTACAGAAATTACTGCAGGAGATACTTAACTCACTGTCCCAAAACGGGGGCCTTCGCGTTAGACATCTCCCGTTTAACGGGTAGCTGAGCTTTCATGTATATTTGACCCAGACAATAACCGGCGATACCCATGATGAGACCTGGCACCAAAAATGCGGGGGAGAAAACAACGACCGCAGAGAATTTGAGAAGCATCGTCATGGACATTGAGGTCAGATGAAACAGTAAAGTGGGAAGCATGCTATCAACTGTGAGCATTGGGACAATAATCAGAGTTTGGCCATAGACTAATAGTAATACCTACTGGCACGGATATCTAGGGTGCATCTCGCGATGATTCGCGAAGTTGGGGTTATATCAAGCCATCTATAAAATCGTTGGAAAGCAAGCATGCAGATGACGGGAGTCAAGTACCTCAATGTCGTGCTCAGAATGGATGCCATCAACCTCTTATGAATCGAGCGCGAGGCTCTGATGGTCCCAAACACGTACACCACATAGGTGATAGCGTGGAGAACAAATCCCAGTAGAAGTAGAGAACCTAGATCAGAATAAGCAAGCTGCGACATGTTATTTAAATGGGACATTCGCATACTATAGGCTCCAAGGTAGCTGATAGAAGTTAGAAACACGGCCGATATAGGGTGACGAGGTATCACATACAAGAAAACAGGAACGTCTGCAGGCTTGTGGTCGTCGTACTGTGACGCCCAGTAGCCCAGATACCACGTCTGCACAATTACCACGAACTGCTGTATCGAAAATGCACCAAGGAATGAAACGAAGAATAAGAAAACGTGACGGCCACCAAGAGAAGCGAGATACAACTTGACTACGGGAATTCATTAAAACCATATATACTTTCAGAACCTCAAACGGCCAAGACTTACATGAAGAACAACCGATATGCCCTTGGCGTATCTCTTCGGAGATGATTAATTTCCCATCAGGTTTCTTTTTCTTCTCAATTCCTGCATCAAGTGTCTCTGCTACTTCCTCGTCCGCCTGGTGCAGAGCTTCTTCCTCTTGTCGTGCCTCTTCCGCGAGAGTCCGATCCTTTGAAAGGAGTGCCTTGAGCGTCCCCTGGCTAACGACACGTCCATTCTTCAAGGAAACGACGAATTCGGCAATCGGTTCAACCAAGGCGATGTTATGAGTCTATGTCAAAGGTCAAGCCACGAAACAAGGAACTAATATCGCGTCGCGAAGCTCACCGTCAAGATGATGGTCCTATTTCTTACCAAATTGCCTTGTAAGCATTTTTCTACAATCCATTTCGATGTGTACACGCTATAGATGACGATTGAGGTTAGTGAAAGAGGGCGCTGAATTACGAACAGAAGCCTACTCCAATGCAGCCAGGACATCGTCAAAAATAAGGATATCGGCCCTGGAATAGACGGCTCAGGCGAGAGTAACCCGTGCCTTTTGTCCGCCACTCAGGGTCAACCCTTTCTCGCCAACCTCCGTCTCATCGCCGGCTTCAAGCAAAGCCAAATCCCGCTCCAGGCCGCATAGACGAATGACTTCTTCATATCGCGTTTCATCAAACTCAGCACCGAAAAGAATGTTTTCCTGTTTTGAAAAGCCAATTAGCAGTCATGCCACATTGCCACTCCAGGAGATAGTCCAGCTTGCTTTGATGGTCGTGTTCAGGACCCAGGACTCTTGAGCTGCGTAGGCAACACCGCCGTTTCGTGGTAAGTTAAACCATGAAGTAGGATCGGAAGGGAGGAAGTGCATTTCACCTGACCATTGTTAATCCCATAAGCTCCAGGACCTGACAGCGAACACTCACCGAGCAGAGCCATCAACAGCGAGGTTTTTCCTGATCTGGTAGGGCCGATGACAAGGTTGATGGAATTCTTTCGGAATATGAGCTCTTCATCGATGCGTAGGAGGAAGGTGCGTTTTGAAGGAGGACTGTTCATCCACGAGAAACGTGCCTGGTGGAAACCAATGTCCTCCCGATCTTCAATACCGACTGGTTCTATGAACTTCTTCTCCGAGAAGGTATCCAGCAGTTCCGTCTGTATTGAAATCTAAATTAGCAGCGAACTCGGCACATTTTATCTGTGACACACACCTTCTGCATGAAATCAGTCAATCGGTCCAGAGAGACTTTCCCGACAGCACATGTGTTAAGAATACGGAGCAACCGGCTTAGCTGACCAGAAAACATGTCGAAGATGGTCATGCTTGAGAACACCTTTGAAGCGTCCAGTGTTTCTCCCATCACGACGGTCTATTAAGGATCAGTCACGTCAATTTTTAGCAAATATCAAGCAAGTACGGACGCTAATGGAAGCGGAGTTAGCGTGTTATCGCAAGGGAACCGAAGGGTCGACTCACTAGGTGGAGTATGTTACAAGCATGGTTAAAGCCGGAATGGCAGTACTGAAACGTCGTCAGAAAGGATCCGGATGATAATGAAAATAAATCGTACTTGAGAAGATTCGTCACAAGGTCAAGCAGTTGTTTCTTCTTAATCCACACTAGCTCGTCCTCTCGCCGTCCCGCAACCCGTTTGCTGATCTCACCTTCCCAACCAAACATCTTAATCATTCGAAGAATATTCACGACTATGATGTGGATGATGAATATCAACATTATGTACGAAGCAAAGAAGACCTGGAAGCACAAACATTCTGTAACGACTTGGACGCGACCATCAGTATTCTTCAAAGTCGCTTTCTGTACGGTCTGAATACGTTTGGCGAGGTATCCAGGCAAAGGTGCTGTAATTGCGATAACGGCTAGTCCAGCGAAAGAGCTGGGAATGTGTTAGCCTTCACTGGATTAAGTCAAAGACAATCCCTACCTCCATCCCAATACGGCATACAGAAACCAGATGCTGAAAACGAGCTCTAATGGTGAGTAGACGAACAACCGAAGGAAGTGTGAGCACTCGACGATATTTGCCATGTCGGAGGTCACCAGATTATTGATTCTTCCAACAAAATTCTTTACTTCGGATTGCGCGTCAGCAGAGGGCGAAGTTGTTGGTGCCGTAGGTGTATCAACCGGAGGTTTAGATACATTGCCTTTGGACGTTATTATACTTCCTGGTATAGTTCCTTCTCCTGTAGAGCTCTCGGTTCCTTGTGTTGTCTCTATTCCTGGATGAGAGCTGTCGTCAGGTGTCATGTCTCCGGGTGTCGCCTCGGCAGATCCAATATCGTGCGATTGGAACTTCATGCGTATACGAAGCGCATGTTCAAATACAAGCTGTGTGACAATGATTTCGGAATGAGCACGAACTCGGGTCTGTAGTACAGATGAGCACTTTAGTATGTGGATCTGAACAATGCAACGTACGTTGATGAAGAGATACCATTCAGATGCGAGAGAAACAACTGTGGGACCCAGAAAAATCCAGACAATCCACACCCAAGGACGATACTGGGCCTCTTCTTCGCCTTTCTCGATGTAGCTAATGCAACAACTTAAGAACCGGGATACTTTCGTCTTTATAAGAGGACTTACTGGAGTAGACGATTGATTCCTATAGGTGCAGCAAAGTGGGCACATGCTTCGATGAAGAGCATGAAAGCCATGATGGCCAATTCCCATGCAAAGACACGGACGAGACTGAAGAATACATGCTGCTCCTTAGCCCCCAAGAAGGTATCGAGGTACTTGAACGCTTTCGCCTTCAGGTATCGGCACCTGTCGTAATCTGCAAGCGGTGGCAGCTGCTCGTACGATAGATGGGCCACGCGATAGGCTGCTATCATGAGAGAATCGAGCCAGGTGTACAGCACTAATGAGAGGATTGGAGTCGTCTGCTCTGAATTGGGGATGGGCATCGGGTTCTTGGGGTCGACGGGGGTGTACTCTCGCGGAATGGTTAGAGGTATCAATATCGCAATGCAGAGAAGGATTCCCATTTTGATCCACAGAAGGGGTCCTTCCCAACTGTCCTGGGGTATGCGGTCGAACGTGGCCAACGGGGCAATATCACGGTAGACATATACCGCCGAGGTTGATAACAAGACTACATTCATGTGTCGGATCCCGATTCTGCTCCATCGTTTACTTGCAGTCACAGAGACGATCGCCAATAAGGATGCATAAAGCTTTCATGAAGAACGTGAGTCACAAATGGTACAGCCGAAGTAACAAATCAGACTTACGAAAGTCAAGGGCATCGTCACATTGACGCCGACAGTTGTGATGGACAACCCCAACAAAGCGAGACATCCACAAAGCCTGAGGACACGGGATATGAAGATTTTCCTCCCACCTAGCTGCGAGACATGTTTTTCGAAGTATCCCATCGTTTCTACGAAACCACCAATTCTGTCGTCTGCATCATCCGCATATACAGGATCCTCTGATACAACTTTCGCCTGCAAAAAAGCTTGCAGAACCTGTGCTGAAAGGAAAGCCGCAGATGCTACTGCAGCATATAACGGAATGTTAAGGGTATTGAACGCAAGCCTTTCCCATCGATGATATTAGCATCGACGCCCACATGCGATAGAATGACTCACTGTTTAGAAGTAGCGTTGTCTATAGCTTGTAGAACAGCCTGTTGTGTGTTTTCGAGAGCTGCGAAGCTTGAAAATGCACTAAGCGAAGGACTTTCATTTTGTGGTGCCATTGTGTCGTTCACAATATGACTAGTGACTCGTGGGTCCGAGTTACCTGATGGATGCCGGCCTCTGCCTGTCTATAAATAAGCGTTCCATGTAGGATTAAGGCTGATTGATGTTGGCTAAATATAAAAGTAGATAGCGTTATCGGTTAGAAGAAAGCCAATTTCGTGTATTGGATTTCGAGAATGAACCTAGTCGAAGTCAAAATTATTCGGTTGTTGAGCTGCAGACGCGCTTGACGACGCGTCATTTTTGGCGTACAATGGTATACTCCATTAATATCATTACCGGATGATCGAATTGAAATTCGACTGTGCAAGTTCCTGGATGCATGTGCTCTCCAGCCTTCCAATGTGGGGGCAGAGTAGATATCAGTGATTGAATGAAGCATGTGAAGTCTGCGCTAGATTGGAATTTGATCGCAAAAATAATATCGGAAGGCACGCAAGGTGAGCAGAAACGTAGACGGTGCAGGCTGCGACCGTTTGTTTAAGTTATGTTTCTGTCCATCGTGGTGGTGGTTAAAGGCCAAGATTGCGATAGTTGGTTCGGCTGACGGGCCGGTTCTCCTACCAGCGATCACCACGCGGCCAGTGTCCCAGACCGATCTCGTTCACGTCAACTTGTTTACTTACATTCCTTACATTTCGGGCGCTCGGGTAATTCTAGCCTCCTTTTCAAATAGATCTATGACTCCCTTCGCGCTCCCGCAATGAGTTTTCCAGGGGTATATATAATACAAGTAAGCGCGAAACTTTCCTTTCACCCTCCCAATCATGTCTGAAATAGTTTTTCCTCCCTTAGATCCTTCTCTTTACGCTTTGACCGAAGGCGAAGCTGCATTCTTCAAGGCAGAAACAGGAATTCAAGATGACGTTGAGTTGAAGAACCACATCTTAGCTACCCAAGAGGCGGCATACAAGGTGCGCGGCGACGTGTACGTGGACTTTTCTGTATTATAACCCTTCACTCCGTAGATTTTCCCTTATCCTTGTATTCGCAATTTTAATTTTCTCCGGTGCGCTGTTCATATCTGTCCTCCCCTCAGTCGCTGACCGCACATAGGCTGAAGATATCAAAGCACCCGTCTTACCAACAGTTCTTGAAGATTGGAAAGGAACACCAGGGGGCTATCTATGCCGAAATCGGATGCTGCTGTCAGTTGTTTGCTTTTCTTCTGTGTTCAATGTCTGAGCTAGCCACAGTTGGAAATGACGTCCGAAAGGCGGTCATCGATGGTTATCCTGTTCAACAAGCCATAACCACAGATTTGTGCCCAGGTGCGACTCTTTAATCATAACGCGGTTCTCATCTCATCTTGACACGTACCAGAATTCTGGGATCTTGGACACAAACTCTTCAAGAGCACCCCAGAAACCTTTCCAGCACGATTTATACCTACGGACATATTCGAGCTGAAGGGTTTGGTAAAGCAAAAGCAGCCTTTGGCGTCTGCTCCCGAGCTTTCCAAAGTCCAATCTTTCGCAGAACTTTCTGGAAATGTCTCTGTCATTCATGCTGCATCTTTCTTCCACCTCTTTGATGAAGAGAAGCAGTTCGAGCTTGCGAAGATCATGGCGGCTCTGCTGTCCTCTACTCCTGGGTCGATGATTTTTGGTTCTCATGGGGGCAATCCCGTCAAGGGTGTTCATACCAAGACCTTCAGCGCCTGTACAGTGCCAATGTTCTGTCATTCTCCCGAAAGTTGGAAGGCACTCTGGGATGGAGGTGTTTTTCCTGAGGGTACTGTCAAGGTTGACACCTTTTTGGAGGAAATTGTAGCGAAGGATTCCAGTACGAATCTCTATTTCCTCGTTTGGAGTGTCACGGTCTTGTAAATGAATAGGCTGTCATGAAAGACCGTGTGGATCGCTGTTAATATCCTCGACGTGAATACATCGTGAGCTGGGTATCATACGAGACGGCCTGTTACAGGTCTACCATGTCTGTAAATATCATAAAGGGCACCTTACTTGACTTCTTCCTCCTATGTCTTACCGATGCCAACAGCAGAAGCAGGAATATAAGTTCAAGCCAAGTGAGGTTCGTTGATAACCGTTGTTTTCACTCATACCATACCGCCTGCATCCATATAATCGCTTAGATATACAAAGCAGTTCTCACTATTATGCCTATGTCTAAAATCGATGCGCTACAGTATTAATTGGACGAGCTTCCAGGAAGACCGACGAACTTCCTGGTGACCTCGAAACTCAGCGATCAGGGTGAATTCTTTTGCTGTCCTCTACTTCTGGGTCGATGATTTTTGGTTCTCATGGGGGCAATCCTGTCAAGGGTGTTCATACCCAGACCTTCAGCTCCTGTACAGCGCCAATGTTCTGTCACTCTCCCGAGAGTTGGAAGGCACTCTGGGATGGAGGTGTATTTCCCGAGGGTACTGTCAAGGTTGACGCCTTTTTGAAAGAAATTGTAGTCGATGATTCCAGTACGAATTTCTATCTCCTCGTTTGGAGTGTCACAGTCTTGTAAATGAATAGGCTGTCATGAAAGACTATGTAGATTGTTGTTGATATCCTCGACGTGAATACATCGTGAGTTGGGTGTCATATATGAGAGCGGCCGGGTATAGGTCTACCATGTAGGTAAATATCATGAAGTGCGCCTTAACTTGACTTCTTTCTCCTGTGTCTTACCAGTGCCAACAGCAGAAGCAGGAATATAAGTTCAAGCCAACCGAGGTTCATTGATAACCGTTGTTTTCGCTCATACCATATTGTTGCATCCATAAGTATGACCACGTCTTAGATGTACAAAGCAGTTCTCACTATTATGCCTATGTCTAAAATCGATGCGCTACAGTATTAATTGGACGAGCTTCCAGGAAGACCGACGAACTTTGTAACGACCTCGAAACTCAGCACGAGATTTCTATCAGGGTAAATTCTTTTGCATTTATTACCTCTGTCCCTAGCTACAACAAGGTTTGAAGGATGTAGTATAAATGTCCTGTTTTGAGAACGTTATTATCCTGCGACTTCAGTGGCCGACTCTGATGATGTTCCGAACTTTTCTCAGCCGAGAACGCCTACAGACAACTTGATACGAGTCTGTCCACGATGAGATGCAGTAAATTGTGAGCATAAAGAGTCGACATGAGCAAGCGTGTAAGGAAACAAACGGATCGATTAACATAACCCTCGCGGCTTGACATGCAGAAAAGCCACTTCACGCCCACGATCTGGTCGTCCGATAGGGATCACAGGAGGCATAACATGCCGCAGGAACTGCGACACAGGCTCGGTCATTTGTCTATTCCCTACGCACCTACTCTTCCTATCCTTTGCTCCTAATGTCTCTACGGAAACGAATTCGAATGAGAGGCCACTCATCGGAAGACATAGCTTTCAGCCTCAGTGAGGCGAGACGAAATGCTGGTAGAGACGACAAAAGGGCGGCTAGGGGAAGGTGTTCTCACGGACACGACCGCAAACAGGCCTAGTTATCTTGTTGTGTATGGCCTGGATGCGACACAAATCATTACAGTGTGAACAAAAGAGAACATACCCTCAATATCCCGGCTGCGACATCAACGAGGAGAAGAAATGATTATATTTACGCGTGTTTGGAACGGAGGCTCGACCACGTGTAGATGTCGCGGATCCTTGGACATGAAATCTTTGCGAAATCTTTCTAGTCTCAGTTCCGCCACAATGCTCATACTCTTATAACATCCTTGATTTCAATCTATGATCGATTGACTTGCATTTTGCATTGGTGTCTCTCTTGCAGGCGTGCTGATCTACCACATGGCTAAATGCGGTCTTAGCTCTGGCGCCGGCATTGTCTCATTTGTTGAATCACTTATACGCCCCCGACCTTGGCTGCAATAAAGTCACGGAACAATTTCAAGGAGTGCAAGTGAAAACTTCTGTTGTCATAGAACTAATCACAACAATGATCATCTTTTCCAACCTTGACGGATTTCTAGTGCCCTGTACATAATGGGGGAGGAAGGGTTTGGTAGGTGTTATTCTCATAAACCACCCGTTACCCCATGGTGGCTCAGACAGATATTCCAGATTTTTCCGATGATGACAAAGCTGTCTTGTTCCAATATCTTGACGCTACTCTGAACTCCAGAATCCTCTACGCGCTATTGCATGGTAAGTAACGGCGTTTAATATCTTCAGATGCAAGTGTTGAATGATGACAGGCGTATACACTGGCATTCTTGCCGCTACGTTGTGGAATATATGTGAGCCAGAAGTGTCTCCACTATGACATCCTGGCCGACATCAAACGCAGTCATCAATAAATATTGGCCGATCCGACGAGCTATGGTTCTCGTCATCATTCTCCTTCATGCTCTGACTACCATCAGTTTTGCTGCCAGTTGGTCGTATATACACTCCTTATTCATCGAAAACGGGCAGAGTTTTTGGACCATATTTATGAAGATGACCGACGGTACGACCCAAGCAGCCTATTGGGAGCTGGGTATTACAGCCTCCTTGAGCACCATTCTCACAGATTCATATATGGTGCGTGACTCCCCCAGGCATTATCCACAACATCTCACCATACCAACTTTTCGACTCTAGATTTGGTGCTGCTGGATGGTTTGGGGTCGATGGTGGCCCGTTGTTCTGCTCCCGATACTTTCCCTAGTTTCTGCAACCGGTACAGCGTCTGACCTCATCTTTCTCTTCGTGTATTCAACCTTTGGTGTAGTGCTGAGAATCATTGACATATATCACGAGTACTCCAACATACACAACGAAGTATTCCCTATGCTCTACATATCCTTTGTTCTGGCGACGACACTATGGTGCTCTATGCTGATCGCTTATCGCATATTGACTATTACTGGGACTAGGCGTGGAGTAGAGGGTCGACTGGGGGTTTATCGCCGTTTCATTGAAGTACTAGTGGAATCCTCGGCTCTCTATTCAATATCTCTGATCCTTAATTTGGCTTTCACTATTCGCACTGACAATCGGGGAGGGTACTATTTTGATGTCATCGCTGCCATTGCGAAGGTGTGGCCAAGATCTTGGTCTCCATTATCATTTACCAAATAATTAATGCAGGGAATTGCTCCGACGCTCCTCGTAGGACGTATTACATCTGGACATCGGGCCCGCCCAGATGATTCGTGGCAGGGAAGCGTGGTCGCGTCAACTTCAATTAGGTCTCAGTCACAAGATCTTAATCGAACAAGCTCCCAGGAAGACAGTGCCCTTAACCGTGATCTCGAAGCTCAGCGCGAGATTTCTATCAGGGTGAACCTATTCGCCTCTATTACACATATCTCTCCAACTGAAACGAGATTATTGCTTCTTAGGAACTTGCTCTTGCACTTCGCTCTGCTTTGACCGATCGTGCCCACCCAAATACTGCTGTTGTTCCGGAGAGTGGGACTTCCTCGCCCCACCTCGGGAATCACTCGCTCCTTCAAGACAGTTTACCCCCTTCTGAGGATGTCATCCGCAGTTCCACCGTTGTGGACGAGGCGGCAGTTTCAACTCGATGAAGATCTGTTCTTAAAATGAACATAGTACGCAATAGCCCATCTGTTTTTATTGTAGCCCTGACGTCCTACCGTATATATATAGAGCCCGTTTTGCAAGGGTTCCGAGACTTAGAGTATGTCGTATGCATCGTTGCGTTTAAAATAAGCTGTCCGATTTATAATAGACTAATATCTATGAGCTTACTTATCTACACAACGGAGCAGATTCTCAGCCCCAGCCTAGAACATCCGCACGCAATACTACCAAGATGCTTCATAATTGAAGTCGGAACATACCAGTCCAACGACCAACGGAAAACTTGAAGGTCATCTGACTTCCAGTCTTGCTCCGTTACCACAGATGCACTTCCGTCGACACTAGACAGTTGTCTTACAGTCCGACGGTAGATGTGGAGGATGCCAGACCATTTTGGCGCGTTACCATCCTGCAGTCATGATGGCCGACTTCGACGGACGTTCCGAACTTTGCTTAGCCGAGGGGGCCTACAAACAGGTTGATACGAGTTCAGTCGTGGTAGAACAGTATATTGTGAGCATCAGGAGTCGCTGTGTCTCTAACCACAAACGATTTAATTTAATCTTCGAATGCAGAGGCGCCAAGAAAGCCATTTCCTAACTACGGTTCGCAACGAGTAGTCGCCGATAGGGACCACAGGAGGCATAACATGGCGAATGCAAGATGAGGAAGGTCGTGCTGGAACCGCCACGAAAGGCATCAGAGAGCCAAAAGGGAAACTCGGACTTGTTCGTTTGTCCATTCCCTGCACGACGTGCATTTCTCCTCCTCTTCTTATCCTTTTCTCCCAATGTTTCTATGGAAGCGAACTCGAATGGGAGGTCGCTTATTGGCAGACACAGTTTTTATTAACCCTGAAGGCAATATATTAATAGAGACGACAATGTGGCGGACACGTTGACCGCAAGCTCGGGCCAATCTCAAAGGTGCGTGGCCTGTATATATGCGACAAATTATTACAGCGTGAACAAAGGAAAAAAGCGTTGAACATACCAAACATCTAAGTAACATGCCCGACTGCGTCAACGGGGAGGAGAAATGATTTATTTACGCATATTTGAAACTGCGATTGGATACCACGTGTCGGAGTTGACATCTTTCTCGCCCGGAAGTCTCAATTCCGCCACGATGCTAACACCTCGCTCTTATACAATCCGTGATTTCAATCCATAATCGACAGTCATGGAAGTTGCATTGATATCTCTCTTGGTCGCATTGATCTCCGCATCTTTATATCGTGATCTGCGTGATCTGGTTTGGATGTGGGACCGCCAGCGGCATCTTCCGTGTTGAATGCAGTGCTCCAGTTGTCCTCATACTCACAATTTACGCGGTTTTAGCTCTGGCCCCGGCAGCGCCACATTTGTTCGTCACTTACGCGCCGTCGACCTTGCAGGCTATGATAAAGTCTCACAAAACTTCCAAGGAATACAAAGGAAAATTTCTGATTTTGATTTTGTCATAGAACTGAAGATGATAGCGATCATCTTTTCCAGCCCTTGACGGGCTTCTAGTGCCATCTATACGCTTTAAAATGGGAGCATGGTATATTATTCTCATCAACCACCTACTTCGTTACTTTTGCTCCCCCATGGCGATTCGGGTTGATATTTCATCAGACCTTACCAATGACGACAAAACTTACATGTTTCAATTTCTCGACGCTAATCTGAATTCCGGAATCCTCTACGCGCTATTGCATGGTGGGTAACGATGTTTAGTACCTTGACACGCAGGTGTTAACTGAAAACAGGCATCTACACTGGCATCCTTGCTGTTACATTGTGGAATATATGTGAGCTAGGAGCATCTCCACTACGACATCCAGCTGAAGTAACTCGCACAGTCATTAACAAGTCCTGGCCAATTCGACGAGCTATGGTCGCCGTTATCATCCTCCTCTATACTCTGATTACTATCAGTTTTGGTGCCAGATGGTCACTTACACACTTCGCATTCATCGATGATGGACAAAGTTTTTGGACCGTATATCTGAATCTTGTCGGTACGACCCAAGCATTCTACTGGGAAACGAGTATCACTGCCTCCATTAGTACCATTCTCACAGACTTATATATGGTGCGTAAATTTTCATTTGTCATTGCCTATATCAGCTCACTGTTGTGTCGATTCTAGATTTGGTGCTGCTGGATGGTTTGGGGACGACGCTGGCTTGTTATTCTCCTTCCAATGTTTTCCCTGGCTTCCGCAATCGGTACGGCATCTGGTCTCATCTACTCTTTCCATGCTTATAGTAATACCCAACTTTTCATGTAGCATCAAAAATCATAACAGTGTATCACGACTACTTTGATGAACCTGCGGGCGTATTTCTTATACTCTATATATCATCCATTCTGGCGACGACATTAACATGCACCTTGCTTATCATTTACCGCATTATAACTATCACCGGGGTTTGCCGTGGAGCTGAGGGTCGACTCAAAGTTTACCACCATTTCGTTGAAGTACTAGTGGAATCTTCGGCTCTCTATTCAATAACTCTGATCCTATTTTTGGCGTTCATCATTCGCAACCACCAGGGACAACATTACCTTGATGTTGCAGCCAGCATCGCAAAGGTGCGTTTACGTTCTTAGACTCCGTTAACATTTACCAAACACCTTGTGTAGGGAATTTCTCCGACGCTTCTCGTAGGACGTATCACTGCAGGTCGCCGGGCCCGCCCAGACGATTCCTGGCAGGAAAGCGTGATGGCGTCAGCTTCAATTATGCCGTCTTCCCAAGAGCACAGTAGGACGAGCTCCCAGGAGGTTGGACCGACAAGTTCAGTCCTTGATAATGACCTCGAAGCTCAACGTGGGAGCAGTGTAAGGGTAGACTGATCTTCCTCTATCATCTCCCTATATTACACTAAAGAATACCTTTTCGTTTTAGGGACCCTCTCCTACATCCTTTTCTGGACCTAATCTAGCTGAGCATGTACGTTCCATCACAGGGCAACGCGATGACCTTGCCTAAGTTCGGGAATTCCCTGCTATGACTTTGGCGACATCAATATCAGGGCTTTAGTGGCGGCTAATCTAGGTCTTGGGTTGTTGCGTAGCTGGACCTTGTTAGCTTTACAAACACCCCGCGACGTTTGTAAAACGGTCGCTCTTCTCTCACTTCCTATCTCAATACTTTTACACTTGTTCTATTGATCGTCCGGATTGGCATCAACTACAGTATCGACTCCTATAGTTTTAGATATTATTAATCCTATTCCATCTGTAAGTAATACACTTGCAATATACCCTCAAGACCTCTATCATCCCATCCATTTTTAGTGCGCACCATTCCTTAGCTCGCTTGATGTCTCTCGATGGAGTTCATATCAAGCCCCAAGCATCTACGCCGTTATGCGGAAAGACAACCTACACTGCAGAAAATTTACTGGTTCCTATCGCAGTCATTCGACTTGGAGGGTGATAGAGGGTGATTTCCATACATGGACGGCCACTTTTCGGCACTCTCCGCTCGACCTTTCTTCCGCACAACCACAGTGATAAACGCCATTTTTCGATAATCGTTGGTAATCACGTCGTATATATTGTTCTAGGACGACACGAGCTTCGATTCAGGATGGCCACAGTCCTACAATATGCGACTTATTGACGAATGGTACGGCTGTAGGTGGTCCTGGTGGAAGCACGGTGGCCAACAGACTGAGCGAAGACCCTACGGTCAGCGTGTTATTGCTCCAGTCTGGGGGTGAAAATGACCCTGCGGTGGATCCCACTCTCGCTATACCGCTTTTCTGCACAACACTGACGTCAAACAAGGCTTACGATTGGAACTATCATTCCACAAGAAGTGCTCAATGGAAGATGCATTCCGTACCCTCTGGGCATTGGTTTAGGTGGATCAAGTGCCGTTAGTGAGTGTCATGCTTAATCATACGCACCGTCATCGGTAATGTGGCTTTCAGACTGCTTGGTATACACCCGTGGATCCGCAGACGACATCGACAAATGGGTCGAGCTTTCGGGAGATGAGGGCTGGTCATGGGACAGGTATGCTGCCATACTTCAAGAAGGTATGGCTCCAACTCATCGTATGATTATACTAACACCCTTATATAGAGTAAGAAATTCAATACCATTCCTCGTGGACGGGCATAACACCACTGGTCAATACCTGCCCGCCTTCCATGGCACCGATGGCGTGATTGGTGTCAGTCATCCAAGATATCCTTAAACCTTCGATGGACGCGTCATAAACACTACACAGGAGCTGGTAGAATTTCCATACCGCGTGGATATGAATTCCGGCGAACACAGGTGTAGGATGGGTTCAGACACCTGTCGATGTTGGACTGCGCTCCAGTGTGAAATCGCACTCAAATATACGCCCATTCTAATCCTTCTTTAGAATGGATTATCCATTGTCAGAGCAAGCGGCAACTACGTCGACGTCCCTACGGCATGTGCATCGCTGGCTTCACGAGGTCCAGTCTCCATCAACTTCTCCGACCCCTTTTCTGAACCTCTGGTCGACCTCCCTCCTCACTGTCCAAGTCGATATCCTCATTGTACGGGAATGCATCGAGGTTGCTCGACGATTCTTCAGTGGCCCCGCGTGGGAGGGCTACATCCTCGGCTCACTCAATCACAACGCGACCACCGACGAAGAGATTGAGGGGTTTATCCAAGAATTGCCGTGTCATTCTTCCACCCAGTCAGTACGGCAGGTATGTCACCAGAGGGGGCCGATTGGGGCGTGGTGGATCCAGATTTAAGGGTGAAGGGCATGAGTGGGCTGAGGGTTGTGGATGCGAGTGTGATTCCTAGGCTGTCGGCGGCGCATACATCTGCTCCGGTGTATGCTGTGGCGGAGAGAGTGGCAGATAGTCATCAAGGCGGCATACGGGTTGCAGGTCGAAGCCCCGTGAAAGGGTTGTTTGGAGCAGAATATGGGATCAGTGTTGTAAGGAACTTCGTCAGGCTGGATTCCACATCGACATACCAATGATTATGATAGTTGAGGTACACGGTCGTCGATAATATCTGGTGGAACGTTTGTTCAAGCAGCCATAGTCAACGTCGCGTGGGCAGACGCTGTGAATGATTCTGTCCTTCTTTATCGAACGCGTTGTCTTCGAGAAGCCCGGCAGATGTTGGTTAAAATAATCACCTTTAAGCTATAGGTCAGGTGTTCGATGCCCAGGTTGTTTTGATGAGCGGCGCTAGCGGCTGTTCTGATTCAGATCAGGTACTGTTGGGGATAGGACAGCTCGCCCCATAGAGACCGATAATCGATAAACGTTTAAACCTGAAGGCGCTTTTGAAAACATGCACTTACTGCCATGAAATCTGTCAGAAAGAACATTCGCCACGCCTATGAATTGATCCCTATTTTGAACGCCTATTTCCTTTGGTTCATACACTATGTCACTATCCTCGGTGCCCTCGACGACGTGGGGCGTTACACTTTCTGGAGTATTATGCAAAGCGTAAGAATTCAAGTGGAGGGATGAGATTACAGATGTTTAGATACACTATATGTATTTGATATAAAAATAAGAGGAAGTACGATAATCGACAAGGACAATCTGATAAGAAATGACGACCCAGATTTAGTCCAAAGTCTTAACCCGAGTCTGAGATGTTCGTCGTGAGCCCTATTGTGTCCCTTCAACAACTACCACGAGCTCATCTGTACCGCTCCGGTTGAGCTTCAATGCCAATTTCAAAGACCGCGCTCTGCATGGTGGATTCTTGAAGGCTTGGCGTACCAACTCCGGAAGGTGTCCGGAACTGAAGGGTCGACACCGTACTTTCATCATGGTCATCGTTGGGCCGCGTGTGTCCTGCCACCACCCGACCAAGAAGTAGCGTGGGCGCAACCCCCTGCACAAGTATATAGTAGTAAACGATAGCGGAGTCTAATTTCATCGACGCACCTTCGCGATGCTAGCTACGATATCAAGGTAATTTGCTTCCAAATTGCCACGAATAGTGAAAGCCAAAAATAGAATCAGAGTTATGGAATAGAGAGCTGAGGATTCCACTAGGACTTCAATGAAACAGTGATAAACTCTTAGTCGACCCTCAGCTCCACGGCGAACCCCGGTGACAGTAATAATGCGGTAAATGATAAGCAAGGTGCATGATAATGTCGTCACTAGACTGAAGGATATATAGAGCATAGGAAATATGCCCACAAATCCATCTGCATAGTCGTAATATACTACCATGATTTTTGATGCTACATGAAAGGTTGGGTATTACTATGAGCATGAAAACTGGTACCATACCGATTGCAGAAGTTAGGGAAATTATTGGAAGCAGAATAACAAGCCACCGTCGTCCCCAGACCATCCAGCAGCACCGAATCTAGAATCGACACAACGGTGAGCTGATGTAGGCAATGACAAATAAAATTTTACGTACCATATATAAGTCTGCGAGAATGGTACTAATGGAAGCAGTGATACACGTCTCCCAATAAGATGCTTGGATATCATAAAGATTGGAATATGCAGCCCAAAAACTTTGCCCGCTTTCGATGAATGCGGAGTGTATATGCGACCAACTGGCACCAAAATCGATAGTAATCAGAGTATAGAGGAGTGTGATAAAGGCAACCATAGCTCGTCGGATTGACCAGCATTTGTTGATGGCTGTCCAGTTACTTCAGCTAGATGTCGTAGTGGTAGATCTCCTGGCTCACATATATTCCACAGGGTAAGCAGCAAGGATGCCGGTATAGATGCCTGTCATTAGTTAATCATCCTACGTGTCAAGGTACTGAACATCGTTGCCCACCATGCAATAGCGCGTAGAGAAGTCTAGGAGTTGAGATTAGCGTCGATAGATTGAAAGATGAAGGCTTTGTCGTCATTGGTAAGGTCTGGTGGGATATCTGTCTGAGTCACCATGGGAGAAAATAAGAGTAACGGGTAGTGGCTTATGAAAATAACACTTACAGACCCTCTCATTATAAGCAGTACTGGACACACTCATGGGCTGCTGCAAAGGATAATCATCAGTCCAAGTCAGAAGGGATTCTTAGATCCAGGAATGCAGTGTGTTGGACGATTTGATATGGGCCACTTATGGTTTCAACACAACTCGCAACAGAGGCGCGACTCGAAGTGCGATATTTCCCGAAAAGGTCCTATCACAGACATATGTTCTGTTGAATTAAAGATGAAGCTGCGTCCTGGAAAAAATCAAGGGAGATCATCCCAGTGATATCTCAGCGCAGATGTGGACTTGGACTTGATCCTTCATGTCATGAACCTGGAGATCGCTGCAGATTTGACAGAAAATGTTTAAGGGAACTTTGATGTTACGCATGACTATTACGCTCTGACGGACCCCAGGAAAGGATTTAGCGAGAATACCGACTTTCGCTAGTTATACAGAGATGATATCCTGGAGCGAGGTCGCATACGATGGGAGAAAGCTTACCCCGAAATGGGTGCATCTATCAGAAAAGTGGGGAAAGGGAATATAGCACATACTCCATGATGAGCTCGATGAACTTCCATCTCTTCCAAGCGCAGATTTCTTCCCGGCACTAGGTAAATCTTTGAACACAGCACATTGTGCAACGTCTCGGAGCCGGCCTATCTTTGTTTGCATCGATATTTCTTCATTAATCAACACTTGGATGCTGGGACAGGCAAAATTAGTGGTGGTATGCGGTTCCATGCTGAGAGAATATACTACCGAGTCATAGAAGTAGATATCTATATGAAGATCAATGTTGATATGGGGCGACCCCTTAGCAGGAAACAGTCAATCAAGGTCCACAGAAGAGTAACCCGGCACCTCGAAAGACTGGATAAGATCATGGCAAGGAGAGATGCCTCGCTGAGCAATGGACAAGGACAAGGCTTCGTGGATGGGCTCGTTATTCTGGCAACCATATACCATAGACCAGGTTGACCACACAATGACCATCTAGAACATCATCGAGATGATCCTACAACTGGGTCTTCAAGGCAATACAGATAATACCCTAGAGACCAACTAGATAACGCATCAAAATGAAGACCAATGGATTTGACAAGACTCACCTATCATCTCCTCGCGACTTCTGGTTTCGTCGTTGTGTGATATTTGACATTCAACTTCCGTACCAACACCCAACTTCTAAGATAGCATCTCATAGCTCGAATCTCCGAGAGGAGGGGCAGAAGTTTGAGAGGATCTTTGGCAAGGGAACAAGGTAGGGACGAGGTTTGGGATCAATGGTGATGGCATTGAGAGGTACCGAGTTCTCGGGAGCCTGTAAGGGGACAACCCAAGCCAACTACGGAAAGTACATGAAGCAATGGAGTAGTAGAAGAAAAAGAAGAAAGAAAGAAATCTCTAAGTCTAGGAGGGAGGTGAGTGGGCGAAAAATCGTTGTCGCGCGAACGATACGGCTGCAAGCAGTGTGTGAGAGGGTGAAGAAAGGTGCTGCTCGCAATCAAGGAGATTTATATACAAAAGGAAAGCAAAGGAAAACAAAGGAAACAAGACAAAGTAACCTGGTCCGAACAAAGTAGACGAGGCCCCGGGAAGCTCCCGCCAAGGTTTGTCCGGCAAAAACCCTGATTTTTGGCCTCAAATATGCAAAGATTGGCACCTAAAATATGCTAACTCGGACAAGGCTTCTGCCGTTCCGTCCGTGCCGGACAGCGCCGCGGGCCAAATTTTGGCGTCTTTCGCCTTATATTTTCCGGATGAAATTTCGGTGTCACTTCCATCCATCCTTCAGATCCCAAAAAGTCTTCGCTATGTGCCTCTCCAACTACAGGGATTCCGCCAGGTGCCATTCATCCAGGCCTCAGAGGCCCTAAAGTATGCTAACTACGGACAAGGGTTTCAAATTTTGGGTCTGAAATATGCTATCTACGGACAAAGATTTCGCTTTTTTTGGGCCTAAAATATGCTAAAATCCAGACAAACCTTGGCGGGAGCTTCCCGGGGCCTAGTAGACGCGACGCGTTGATGCCGTCGTTTCGGCAATGACCCTGAACAACAACCTTGTTCACCAAATCTCTGGTTCCAAAATCTCCGACGGATTCGGTGTAATTGGGAATGCAGAGGCAGAAATATGGATGCTGGTGGCATAACACAGTCCGGCAAGTCCAGTCACCAAGGCGCTAGGAAGCGGTTGATGGATAACATCAAGGGGGTTGCGGACCGTTGTTCCGGCACACTGGGTCGGACGGTCAGTCGGCTGCAGGAGCCCTTAAAAATATTTTTGCCAACTCTTCAATGTGAGGGATGGAGGTAGCCATGAGCATCCGTAGTCATAGTGTTGTACTGTAGTACTTCAAAATGACTGCTTTGGATGCTTAGGAGGCCCAACCGAGGCCTCTGAAAGCTGGTCTCTGCTGATCTTCGGCAATGATGACCAAATGTCTCGGCTCGGTGACCAAAGTTGCCGGTGGCTGTGGCATGTATAACCGGTAGGACCCTGAAATAACATACCTTATCGGGCATATTATTCCCACGTCGGTCGGTCGGTCTAGTGTTGCCGCGACTCAGCTAGACTCGGCTCGGCTAGACTTATGCCGACTTTGGTAATTCTGCTGAGCCGAGTCGGCTCAAGCCTGCGAAGCAATGTCGACTCAGCTAGACTCCGGCTCAAAGTCGGCTTAAGCGTAGACTATTGGTCGAAAAAGGAAATCAATGTATTAGATGGTATTCTGCGATGCGAGACACTTAATAAAGGCCTGCATATCCTCGGGAATCAATGTTTGCCGGTCCAGAAGTGCCTCAAGCTCCTGTATCTGTGAAGGCTCATCCAAACCATCCATAAAATTAAGACCCTGCCCTTTTCTGATTGAGAACTTGAGCATCTGTAAGGCTTCCATTGCATCTGATCCTAAACGATTCCGCCGCAATGTATCAGTCTCCTTCCCACTTGAAAAAACACGTTCTGAAGGTACGGCAGTGCCTTGAATGGGTAAAATATCGAGCGCAAAAGAGAAAATCGTTGGGTATCGTTTTTGATTCTCCTAATGTTAATACATTAACAGACTCCGATGAAATGCGTTGTATGCATACCTGCCAAAACAGCAAGATTGATGTATCATTTCTAATTGGATCAGAAAGATATGCATCAACTTCCGCCCCAAGACTTTGCGGGGTGCCAGTAGGATGTGCACCTGTACGGTGGTTCATGCGAAGAATGTCCCGGGCACGAGCAAGAGCGTTCCCGGAATTTGAAGCTATTGTCCGTGCAGGAGTGCGTGGATCCGGCGAATTACGATATTCACGAAGCTATGAAATCAGATCAGAAGATAAAATCTCTGTTGCAAGTCAAATGACTAACGGTTTCTATAAACAGCTTCTTGATTTCCGGCACTCGATCAGGCATATTGTCTCGAAACCACTGCATCTTGTAGTTAGGGTGTATAACTGTCAAAACATGAGTTTAGATCTCGAAGAAATAAAACAGTTTACTAATTGCCAGGAAATAGACATCAACTTCGTCTGCACGATCCCGATACTCAGCAAGCTTGTCAAGACCCGCATCAATGATGTCAGACAGATGTGGCATTTCTTCTTGAAGGGCCTCCCATGTTGATCTCATCACCTCAAATGCAGGAATTGTATCAGAGATGCACGGAGTTTTCTCTGCTGAGAGAATTTGCTGGAATGCATGTAGAACCTACGAAAATATGGCATTAGCTAATTTGTTTCCCAAGCTCGAAAAAACCATACAGCAAGTATTTCCCGAAAATCAGAAAGTGCATCCCATTCAGCATTACTCAGCTGATACCGATGTAGCTCAGGAAAATCCCGAGAGCTAAGAAACATTTCAATCACCTGTAACCATGTCATTTGAATGGCAGAAGCAATGTAATAAAATCACAAACTGGACGTAATGAGAGAGCTCGATCAATCATCAGGAGTGTTGATGACCATCGCGTAACAACATCTCATAAAAGTTGGAGATTCTTAGTGTCTAACACCTCAAGTATTTCCACAAATACTTGACGCCGTATGGATGAAGAACGAATCTGAATTTAGAAGAAATTAGTATACATAAGAGAGCTGAAACTGTGGACGTATTACTCACAACTCGGACAATTGTTCTTACAGTTGCAATAGGGTCACGTTGGCATGCAGCATTGAAATTGGTGGCTCGTCCAGGTGGCGGAACAAAGTCATCACTGCGATCAAGAGCATGGTCAAGATTTGTAATCGCTTTCAAAACGGCTTTGCATGCGAGGTTAACAATATGCGCAAAGCATCTAGAAGTGGTGTGAGAAGGGCTGGAGACAAGGAATCATATATTAGCTCACCGAATATGCCGTTTCAAAGCATCAAATGGTATACCTCATTGCGTAAGCAGAGTTTCGAGCCATGTCAACATGGTATCATTATTAGAAGCGTTATCAAGGCTGATCCAACCCATCTGAGACAGAGTATTAGCTAACATGAACTAAGTGACATTCTGAACTTACCTTCAGCACAATGCGGAGACGATCAACTATATGAAGAAAAGCTCTCGCTAAGTGCTCCCCAGCATGGCGACCCGGGATATGATGGAAGCCAATCAAATCAGCTCGAAGTGTTAGAGCCAAGTACATGTCACTGCCATTGGGTGGATGAACCTCCTTTGTATCAATCCAGTGAGCCGTAACGGCCATGAATGGTACAAGATTGGCGTTTGACCACAAATCGCAGGTGAAAGAAATTTTACCAAGAGCACCCTAAAGATGGAACCGATGTCGAAGAGTTTACGTGCTGAAAATAACAATCTACATAACATACCTGCATTTCCTTTGAGAGCTGTTTCAGGTGCTCCTCCCATACTTCCATGACTCGGGACCGAATCTGTGTTCGGTGTGGTATGTCGGCATCAGTAAGCTCCTCCCGGAGCATGAGAAAGATGCGACGCAGTTCTGGAGACTCAATAACATTGAAAGACTATCAAATATTAGTTTCAGACATCTCTTTTCATAATTGAAAGCATAACATACCTGGTCATTTGCAGCAATAAATGCAACAATTGCATCAACGAAAGCCTCGAGCGAAAACCCTGGAACCTCTCCAATGTCGCCTGGCATACCGAGAGTGGTCTTAGGCTGTCCTTGTGATTCTCGGTATGCAGTAACAATGGGCTCTGCTTTCTCTGCTGTGATTTTGATCTTGAGTTTATCACATGCAGCTACCCAGAGTGATAGATGCTTCGTATACAGATGTCACCGCCAGTTGCTCGTAGATGTTGTCGAGCGACCAAATGACGTTGTTATTTGTTGTGCCCTGAAAACAGTGTTAGATCCACACATAGAACAATATATGATTATCAGTACTCACGAGCAGAAGATGCAATGTACGCGATCCTCACGCACTTGATAAAATGGTCGGAGATCAGGTATGTCTGGCATCTCCGATGTCAGTCGTTTAGCTCGGCGGCGCTGGCGATTGCTCTTGGGTGTCGGAGCAGAAGGGCGTAGAATAGGCGTCGGCGTAGTAGGCCCAGATGAATCCGACAGTGTATCAAAGTTAAATGTTTCGGTGGTGTCAGTACTCACTAAGGAGCGACCAAGCATCGGCTGAGACTGCGAATGGCTAGTGTTATATTCTAGGGTAGAAGCAAATGGATTATCGTCATCGAGATTGGCAGGGTCAGCTTGATGCCTACGTGAACGTGTTGATGGTGGGGTAGTAACGGTAGTTCGTACGTGCAGAGAGGGTGGGGGAGGTGGTTGTCCATGCTGTGGTAAGGGACTTGGCTGAGAGATGATGTTATGTCCTATAGAGAAAGATACCTAAGAAACGAAGCCAATTAAGAAGGGAGAAATGACATACCAAGGCCCTGAATGCGAAATCGCGCATTCAATGCCCCCCCTGGGTGCACAGCAAGAGTCTCTGTTGGCCCAGGAGCTTCATTCTCCACGACAGCTGAAGGTTCGGGATGATCGCCACGTTTCTGAGCGCGACTACGCCCTCTGCGAGGAGCCATTCAGGCAAAGAAAGCTAAATGTTCAAAGGTGGGATAGCGAGAAGAAAAAAGGAGAACGACTTGTTGTATAGATGTACAGCCATTGAGAGCCATATTTAAAGAGTTTGCACGACGTGGGGAGCAAATATGGACATATTATATTATGGCAGTAGATACAGTTGGTTTCAAATATCAGCAGCTTCATAGACGACTATCGGTAAACACCTGGAACTGTGTAAGTGCAAGTACACCATATATAGAGTATAATAACGCACCTTTATAGCGATATTCGCTTTCTCTACCAGTTTTCCACCCTCAAACGACCTCGAGGCTTGTTTGAGGCGTTGTGCTTGAAATTGTTGTCGGGCGAGCGAACGGATATGAAAAAAGCATGCTGGAAGATGCTCAAAGGAAGCAGGAATATTTATGGATGTCGTGGTTTGCTGCTCGTGCTTCAGGCAATCGGTACGAGCGACATTCGAGCTGGTAGGAGGGCAAGAGCGAATATCAACGAATCATTACCAAATCAGTGATCGATAACCGGCTAAAGCGGCTCGAGCCCGGCTTTAGCCGACTATGCCATAGGCTTGAGTCTAGAATGAGTCTGAGCCAATTAAGGCTCAGGCTCAGCTAATCAAGGCTCGGCTCGCAGGCTTAAGCGGCTTTAAGCTTAGCCGCGGCAACACTAGGTCGGTCGCCCAGAGGAGGCCTTAAAAATAATATCGACCCGATATCATTTTTTAAAAATCTGCAACCTCCTTGGATAACATGTCGTCGAACGAACCCCAAAGCCAAGAAGTCAAGAACGGTACCAACGACGGTGGCTCCACTGTGGGTCATTAGCTTGTTGTTCCTAGACGTAAACGGTGCTGTGTACATCGTTTGAGTGCTTTTCACGATGGGATGGATGTTTTTAGTCGTACGGAATTTCACCTTTCAAATGTTGAAACATAGGGCTGGAGATATACGCAAGCAAGTCTCGAGCAAGTTGGCCGTTCGATGTGGCTGTGCAGTCCCCAATGCCTTGCCGTTTTGATTCGAAAAGCCGGCAGGCTTAAGAACTGGCATGCCACGGAGCTTGTCGAGCGTTCACGATCCGTGCCACGACATGCATCTGTAAATTCTCCAGATAACTTCTATAAGATGATTCTTTATTTGAGGCAGGTACAAGATGGTCTAAGTAATTCGAGTCGAAAGCATTTCAAATAGTAGTGAAATGTGTACATGTACACAATTGGATTAATCTACAACTAGACAGCAAAAGAGAAGGGAACAAGCAAAAGTTTTCTGGTACAAGGATCATTCTTCACCAATAGCTAGTGTCGCAAGCGCGTTCTCAGCTTTCTTGGTCAGAGCAGGAATCGGAGCCGAAGCTGGAGTACGAACTTCATCAGCGAACATGACGGTACGCGTAACAGAGCTGATCTGGTTCAGCAAAGCCTGAGGAGATTTCTCCTTCATAGCCGGGATGCTTCCTTTCCAGAAATCATATGGACGTGCAAAGCCTATTAAAATGCGTCCCAAAAGGAGGGTCGGGACAACTGCCTACAGCCAAAATTCCTTTAGGATAGGGAGACGAGAAGATGGAAACCGAAACGTACTCCTATCATCTCGGCCACTGGCTCGAGGTAGTAGCGGATCCATTCAGTAAGAGCAACGAACATACGACATAGAGGATCGCCCCATCAGAGTAGAGAATTGTCGATTCGACAGAGCTCGACAGTGAGATGGTACGACGACGGCCCATCCTCCGAACCATCTTTCTCCCAAGACGACACGTGGAGACGGTACATAATGAGCGGAGTGCACTAAAGGGCTGTGGCAATGGCGAAGGACACGGAGTTCATGAGCCAAGGCGCGTGAACAAACTTGTCGTGTAATTTGCTTGGGTTTCGATGATTTTCGATACTAGTTAGATGGGAAGTTAAGCGTGAGAAGGATTGGACGTACAATAGTGCAGACCAGAACCACGCCGAGAGGCATGACCATCGCCCAGTGTTCGTGGTTTTGAAATGCTCCATACCATACTGCCCCATCACTCTCCAACTACGCATGGCCTTCATTCGGCCAAGTCCTTGCTCTACCGATACATCCCTCTGCGGAGTGTTGGGCCAGGTAGATGGAAACCCGAGCATCCTGCCGCCGTAGTGGGTGGTTTGAAGTTGACATGTTGACGAATGGAAGAAAAAGGAGCTGACGGGCCGGGTGAATCCGAAAACCGTGTGCCTCCAAAATTGGAAATCACCGTCAAAGCCTAGATGCATGTTGAAGAGCTGATTTAGACGACCAACGCGACAAAGGCTAAAGTGGTACTATATAGAGGTATGCATGTAGTGTATAAGAAATAGAAAACTAGACGAGGCGAAGCAGGGTAATCAAAAAGAATACGACGACAAAAGACAGACAGTCCATACTAAGTCCGATCTGAACCCCGACCTTCAGTTGTTCATCATTACCACTACTTATTGCATTTACAACTGATACAGCGAGGTCATTCTAATTCTCCATCTGGGCTTCAATGTCCATTTCAAGGGCTGCGCTTTGCATGGTGGATTCCTGAAAGCTTGAAGTGAAAGGTTGCGAAGATTGCGAAGACGTCTGGAAATGAATGGTAGACACCAGGGAAGTTTCATCACGTTCTTCATTTGGGCGCGCGTGTCCTGCCGCTACCCGACCAACAAGGTGTGTGGGTGCAATCCCCTACACGCGGTGTTCGGTAAATGTTAACGAAGTCTAAGATCGTAAACACACCTTCGCGATGCTGGCTGCGATATCAAGATAATATTGTCCCTGGTGGTTGCGAATGGCGAACGCCAAAAATATGATCAGAGTTATTGAATAGAGAGCTGAAGACTCTACTAGTACTTCAACGAAATGGTGGTAAACTTTTAGTCGACCCTCAGCTCCATGGCGAACCCCGGTGATAGTCATAATGCGGTAAATGATAAGCAAGGTGCATGATAATGTCGTCGCCAGAATAGATGATATATAGAGTATAAGAAATATGTCCGCAGGTGCATTGACGTAGTCGTAATACACTGTTATGATTTTTGATACTACACGAAAGGTTGGGTACTACTATAAGCATGGAAAGAGTAGATCAGATCAGATGCCGTACCGATTGCGGAAGCCAGGGAAAACATTGGAAGGAGAATAACAAGACAACGTCGTCCCCAAACCATCCAGCAGCACCAAATCTAGAATGGAAACAAAGGTAGTCTGTAGGCAATAACCAGTGGAATTATGCGCACCATATATAAGTCTGCGAGAATGGTACTGACGAAGGCTGTGATACTGATCTCCCAGTAAAGTGCTTGGGTCACACCGCTAAGATTCAGATATACGGTCCAAAAACTTTGTCCATCATCAATGAATGCGGAGTATGTATGTGACCAACTGGCACCAAAACTGATAGTAATCAGAGTATAGAGGAGCGTGATAACGGCGATCATAGCTCGTCGAATTGGCCAGCATTTGTTGATGACTGTGCGAGTTACTTCAGCTAGATGTCGTAGTGTAGATCTCCTGGCTCACATATATTCCACAGGGTAACAGCAAGAATACCGGTATAGATGCCTGTCATTAGTTAACACCTAGGTATCAAGGTACTGAACATCGTTGCCCACCATGCAATAGCGCGTAGAGAATTCTAGAGTTGAGATTAGCGTCGAGCAATTGAAAGATGTAAACTTTGTCGTCATCAGTAAGAGCTGACGCAATATCTGCCTGGGTCGCCATGGGAAAGAATAAGAGTAATGGGGTAGTGGTTATGAAAACAACACTTACAGACCCTCTCGTTATAAGCAATACTGGACACACTCATGGGCTGCTGCAAAGATAATCATCAGTCCAAGTCGGAAGGGTTCATTCTTGGATCCTTAGGGATGTAGTGTGTTGGGCGATTTGATATGGGCCATTATGGTTTCAACACAACTCGCAACAGAGGTGCGACTCGAAGTGTGACATTTCCCGAAAAGGACCTATCATAAACATGCGTTCTGTTGAATTAAAGATGAAGCCGCGTCCTGGAAAAAAAATCAAGGAAATCATCCCAGTGAGATCTCGGCGCAGATTTGTACTTGGACTTGATCCTTCATGTCGTGGACCTTGAGATCGCTGCAGATTTGACAGAAAATGATTAAGGGAGCTTTGATATTACGTACGGTCATTACGCTCTGACGTATCCCAGGAAAGGATTTAGCAAGAATACCGACTTTCGCTAGTTATACAGAGATGATATCCTGGAGCGAGGTCACATACGATGGGAGAAAGCTTACCCCGAAATGGGTGCATCTATCAGAAAAGTGGGGAAAGGGAATACAGCACGTACTCCATGATGAGCTTGATGAATTTCTCGTCCAGGTGCAGATTTCTTCCCAGTACTAGGTAAATCTTTGAACACAGCACATTGTGCAACGTCTCGGAGCCGGCCCATCTTTGTTTGCATTGATATTTCTTCATTAATCAACACTTGGACACTGGGACAGGCAAAATTAGCGGTAGTATGCGGTTCCATGCTGAGAGAATAGACTACCGAGTCATAAGAAGCAGGCATCTATATGGAGATCAATGTTGATATGGGGCAACCCCTTAGTGGGAAGCAGTTAAATCAAGGTACACAGAAGAGTGTCCCGGCACCTCAAAACGACCGGAAAAGATACCTGCTTGCTGACCAATGACAAAGACAAGGCTTCATGGATGGGCTCATTATTCCAGCGACCATAAAACCTGGGAGAGCGCACGACGACCACCTACAACATCATCGAGGTGAAGCAGGAACTTTGTCGTTGTAAGCGATAAGTACTAATAATTCCCTAGAGGTGGACTAGATGACGTGTCAAAATGGCAATTATGGTCCAGGCCGATGGCATTTTACAAGACTCATCTATCATTTGTCCCTCCTTGGATGCCTCGCAGCTTTTATAGCACTGATTTCGACCGAAGTCCGGGAGTAAAACCGGCTGTTCGTAACCACCAAAATTATATGAAGGCAGACTGATAGATAATACATCATGGAACGAAGCCCAAACCCAAGATGAAAGTAGGAAGTCGAGAATGGTACCAACGCGATGGTGGCACCACTGCAGGTTATCATTGGCTTGTTGCTCATTAGGAGGTGATACAGACAGTGTAGGCACTACCGGCGCTGTGTGTATCTCTTGAAGTGCATTTCACGGCGGGATACCGTCGGTGGGATGACTCCAGTTGATTTTTGGACAGTACAGGTCCGCTGTTCGAGGAAGATTGGTGGTGCATCCACAGAGCTAAAGTAGTTCAATCCATTTAGTGCTCGCTGCACGAGGTTCAACAAAACCTGGATCGAACCAGACCGCGGCCACACTAGCAGGTGCTCTTCAACGAGAAGGCAGAGTTGGGAATGTGCGCTGTATTGGAATCCCAAAATAATATTTCTGAAGGTATGCAACGAGGAAAAAGTACCGCCGCGGTGAGTACTCGACAACGACATTTGTCTGTAGTGATGGCCCTGGTGTTGGTGTTGGTGGTCACCGGTCACCGGTCAAGTCGCAACAGTTGGTTCGGCTACCGGGCCGGACCATCGGGATCTAGACCCACAATCGTCTTTGCACTCGTCTGTCAGTGTGTCATATTTCTCTTGTTCCATGACTGGCAAGTTATTCCAGGAAACGGCCATGTATAAGCCAGTAAGCTTGAAACCTTCCTTCATCGTCTCGGCCATGTCTGAGCCAGTTTTTCCCCCTCTAGATTCCTCTCTTTACACCTCGACTGAGGACGAAGCTGCGTTCAAGGCGGAAATGGAATTTCAAGATGATGCCAGGTTGAAGAATCACACTTTAGCTATTTATGGAAGAATACAAGGCGCGTGGTGATATTAATGAGCTATCCTGTCTTCTAAGGTTTCACTTCGCAGCTTTACAGTATCCTTATCCTTGCATTCGCCATTTTACTTTTCTGGGGTGCGCCGTTTACATTTGTGCTCACCTCAGTCGCTGACTCCATGCAGACTGAAAATCTCAAGGCATCCGTCTTACCAACAGTTCTTGAACATTGGAAAGGAGCACCAGGGAGCTAACTATGCCGATATCGGGTACTGCTGTCAATCGTTTGCTCTTCTATATGTTCGACGTCTGATCTAACCACAGTTGGAAATGATGTTTGAAATGCGGCCGTCGATGGATATCCTGTTCAGCAAGCCATAGCCACAGATTTGTATCCAGGTACGGCTTGACAACGATGCGATTTTCATCTCATTCTGACGCGTACCAGAATTCTGGGATCTTGGACACAAGCTCTTCAAGAGCATTCCAGAAAGCATTCCGGCACTGTTCATACCTGCGGACATATTCGAACTGAAGGATTTGGTAAAGCAACCGTAGTCTCCAACCCCGAGCACTCAAAAGTCCAATCCCTCACCGAGCTTTCTGGGAATATCTCTGCTATTCATGCTGCATCTCTCTTCTACCTCTTTGATGAACAACAGGAGTTTGAGCTCACAAAGATCATGGCGGGCCTGTTGTCCTCTGCTCCTGGGTCGATGATTTTCGGTTCTCATGGAGACAATCCTACCAAGGGTGTACGTGTTGAGTCCTTTGGCACCCATACAGTGCCGATCTTCTATCACTCGCCCGAAAGTTGAAAGGCACTCTAGGATGGAGTGTTTTTCTAGGACGATGCGAGCTTCGATTCGGGATAGTCACAGTTCTACTATATGCAGCGTACTGACGAATGGAATGGCTATAAGTGGTCCTGGTGGAACTCATAGCCGCCGTGTTATTGCTCGAGGCTGGGGGTGAAAACGACTCTGCGGTGGATCCCGCTCTTGCTATACCACTGTTCTGCATGACGCTGGATCTGTTATGCCCGACCAGCCTTGTTCAACTGGGAATCAGTGATCTAGAACCGCTCGAACCTCTCGGCATAACTACTATGTTGTCACTTCCATCAGTAGGAAAGAACCTTACAGACCATATCGGTGACAGCACGACCTTGATTGTGAACTTGACCGACACGTACGACACCGTTATCAGAAACGAAACTCTCTTGAACGAATGGATAGCGGAATGGACTGAGAACAAGGCGGAGCTACCTTACAGACACGTCAGAGAATCATGCCGCTTGGCTTCGTCTCCCAGACAACTCAACGTGTTTGAGAACTATTCAGATCCTTCGTCGGGACCCTTGACCGCACATTACGAGTTCATAGTCCAGGTATGGTCCATCCTATAGGTTTATATGCCTCTTCTAATCCTTCTATAGCATATGGATTATCCGGTATAACGGCAACTACATCGACGTCCCAACGGCGGGTGTATCGCCTACCTCAAGATGTTCAGTATTCATTAACTCCTCCGACCCTTCTCTGAACCTCTAGTCGACCCGTCCTCGTCGCCCCAGTCGATATCCTCATCGTACGGGAATCCATCAAGGCTACCCGACAATTCTTCAGTGGCCCCGCATGGGAGGACTACATCCTTGGCTCACTTAATAACAACGCGACCACCGACGAAGAGACTGAGGGATTCATTTGCGAAAATGCGGTGTCATTTTCCACCTAGTTGGTACGGCAAGCATGTCGCTGGAGGGTGTTAACTGGGGCTTGCCGGCGGCGCATACGTCTACTCCAGTGTACGCTGCGGCGGAGAGGGCGGCAGATGTCGTCACTTAAGGCAGCATATAGGTTGCAGGTCGAAGCCTCATGACAAGGTTATTAAAGCGCAACAATCTTTTTTGGGAGTGTTGTAAGGAAATTCGTCAGGCTGGATTCTACGTCAACATATGAAGGATTATGGTAGCTGATCGATAATACTTGGTGGATCGTTTGTCTGAACAGCCATTGTCAACGTCGCGTGGGCAGACGCTGTGAATGTCTATCTCTCTTCATCGAACACTTCGCCTCTGGGCAGCCCAGCATATGTGGGTAAAATAAACACCTCTAGGCTATTAGGACAAGCTATTCAATGGCCAAGGTGTTTATTGTTGTGGCACATGTACTGGTGATTGGCCCTAACGCTTGTCCTGATTCAGATTAAGTCGCATTGGGAATAAAACCCTACAAAACACAGTTCACCTCATAGAGACAGCCGATAAGTCTGGAGGCGCTTCTGAAAATATGCGCGTACTGCCTACTGTAGGCTCTGACATTGTTCCCGGCTTGGTCGCTCCAATCAAGCTGTTTAATGCTTAACTCATCAGCGCCGCTGGTAGTATGGTACAACGACGGCCCGTCCTCCGAGCCCTTTCTCCTGAGATGAACGGTACATAATGAGCACGGTGCAACAAAGGACTGGCAACGGCAAAGGATACGTAGATCTTGAACCAAGGCGCGTGAGCAAACTCGCCGTGAAATCTGCTTGGGTTTCGATGATATTAAATACTAGTCAAAATTCAGACGGGAAGTTAAGTATGGAAAGGCTTGGACGTACAGATGGTGCGGACCAGAAGAATGCTGGGTGGCACGACCGTCGCCCAGTGTTGGTGGTATGAAATGATCCATACCGTACTGTCTCTTCCAACTACACATGGCCTTCACTCTGCCAAGTCCTTGCTCTACCGGTCCATTCTTCCGCGGGGTGTTGGATCAGGTGGATGGTGATATGAACGTCCTGCCCCCGTAGAGTGTGGTCTGAGCTTGACATGTTGACGAATGGAAGAAAAGGGAGCTGACTGGCCGGGTGAATCCGAAAATCGTGTGCCTCCAAAATTGGAAATCACCGCCACAGCCGAGATGCGTGTTGAGCTAGTTTAGACGACCAACGTGACAAAGGCTAAAGTGGTATTATATAGAGGCATGTATATATTGTATAAGGGGTCGAAAAATAGACGAGGCGAAGAAGGGTAATCAAAAGGGCTATAGCGACAAAGAAGAGACATTCCACGAGTCTCTGAACCCCGACGCTCAGTTGTTCGTCATGACCATTATTGTGTATTTACAACGGATACGACGAACTCATCCGACTGCTCCAGTTGAGCTTCAAGGTCAACTTCAAGGACTGCACTCTGCATAGTGGATTCCTGATAGCTTGAAGTAGAAGGTTGCGAAGGGTGAGAAGATTGCGCAGACGTCTGGAAACGAATGGTAGACACCACCGAAGTTTCATCATGTTCTTCGGTTGGGCGCGTGTGACCTGCCGCTGCTCTGCCGACAAGGAGCGTGGGTGCAACTCCCTACCCAAGATGTTCAGTAAATGATAAGGAAGTCTAAGGTAGTGAACGGACCTTCGCAATGCTAGCTATCGCATCAAGGTAATAAAACCCAAAATCATTGCGAATGAATAAAGCCAAGTATAGAATCAGAACTATTGAATAGAGAGCGGAGGATTCCACTAGCACTCCAATAAAACGGTGATAAACACAGTCGGCCGCCTGCTCCGCGTCCAACTCCAGTAACAGTCAAAATGCGGAAAATGATGAGTAGCGTGCACCATAATGTCGTTGCCAGGATGAAGGATATGTAGAGCATCAGGAATACTTCGTACGACATATAAGCATTGGAGTTCACTAAATATACTTGAAGGACTTTCGACACTGCACATAAAGTTGGAGATATGAAAAGAGCAAGCGAGATTGGACACTTTACCAGTTGCAGTAATTAGGCAAATGATTGGAAGCAGAACAATAAGCCAGCGCCGTCCCCAAACCACCCAGCAGCACCAAATCTAGAGTCGAAAAGATGGTGAGATGATGTGGAATATCACCAGCGAAATGACACATACCATATACGAGTCTGTAAGAATGGTACTCATTAAGGCTGGAATATCCATCTCCCAATAGGAAGCCTCGGTTACATTAAGATTCAAATATACGGTCCAAAAACTTTGCCCGTTTTCGATGAATGCGGAGCGTGTATATGACCAATCGGCAGCAAAATTGATAGTAATGAGAGCGTGCAGGAGAATAATTATGACGACCAAGGCTCGTCGGACCGGCCGAATTTTATTGATGACTGTGTCGTACCATCCGCGTCAGTTTGGATGCCATAGCCGAGATAGTCCTCGCTCACAAATATTCCACAGCGTAACAGCAAGAATACCGGTGTATACGCCTGTACATCTGTCATCAGTCAATGTTTACATGTCGGGGCGTTAAACGATGTTGCCCACCATACAACAGCGCGTAGAAAATTCCTGAATTTAGCTCAACGTCCAGAGCTTGGAGGAAGAAAGCTTTGTCGTCGTCGGTGAGATCTGGTGGAATATCTGCCTGAGTCTCCATGAGGAAAGCAAGAGTAGCGGGGTAGTGGGTTATATAAACAGTACATACCAACCCTTTCTTTATAACAGTGCATTTACTGGACACGCTCATTAGCTGGTGCAAAGATAATCATGGATGTCAAATTAAAACGGGATCCTTACGTACAGAGTGTATTCTGCGATTCAATGAGACATTGTGTACATTGAGAGTTTCACTGATGCAACTCGCAAGAGAGATGCGGCTCGAAGGACGCTATTGCCGGAGGATGCCCTGTATCATAGAAAAAATGGTTATATGAACTACGAGCTTCTCAGATATATGTTCTGTTGAATTAGGGAAATCGTACCCTGGAAAAATCAGGAAACCCATCCTAGCGAGATCTCAGCGCACCTGCAAACTTGAACTTGTTCTGTCATGGCGAGAAATTTGATCAGATCTTGCTTCAGAACCAACAGGAAAAAGGCACGAAAGTTTTGGTACCAGTTGCGATCATTACTAGGTTGGTGATTCCTGGCTATCTGAGTCCCGGTAAAGATCTTCGGAGGGACACTAGCGTTTGCAAGTCATATAGAGACGAAAACCTGCAGCACGGTCATATAAGATGGGGGAACGTTTACCCTGGAAATGGGGCGTCTATGAGAAAATTCCCGAAGAGAATACAGCACGTACTCCATGATGAACTCAATTAACACCGATCTCTTCCGGAGGCGGTTTCGATTTTCCAGTACTTGTTCAATCTTTGATGGCAGGGCGTTGCAACTTGCGCAAAGTATTGAACAAGATGATGACGGAGGGGAGATGCCTGCTCGTCGAGCGATGAAGACGGGGTATCACAGATGGGCGTATTATTCCAACAACCCGAAGAAGACGCTGCAGCCTATGACAGGTTTGTCGTTTCAGGCGGTACCAATAATCCCCTAGAAACCAGTCAGATAACGCGTCAAAATGGGGATTATGGGCACGTTACAAGACTCATCTACCATTTTCCCTCGTTGGACACTTTGAGACTTCTATGGAACTGACTTCGCCGGCGAGTCCAGGGAGAACCGGTTGTTCGTAATAACCAAGGCTCTAGAGAGGGCGGTCGATATGTGATATGTCGTGCAGCGAAACCTCAAGTCAAGATGAAAGCAACGAGTCAAGAACAGTAACAACGTAATGGCAGCTCCACCGTGGTCTGTTATTAGAATGCTGTTCATTATGACATGATACAGACTGTGTAGGCGTCAATGGTGCTGTGTATATCCTTGTGCGTGTTTCATGACGGAATGCCGTCGGCTATGTGACTATAGTTGATCTTTGGAAAACACGGGTCCGAGATTCGAGCGAGAGTGGGTGGTGCATCCATAAAGTTAAAGTAGTTTAGTCCATTTAGTGCCCACTGTACGACGTTCAAAACCTGGATCGAACCAGACCGCAGCCGGTGCTCTTCAGTGAGAAAGCAGAGTATGCGAGTGTGCATTGGATTGGAATCCCAGAGTAATATTTCTGAAGGTATGCAAGGCAAGGAAAAATGCTGATTCGGTGAGTTTTCGACAACAACACTGTCGCGGTGGTGGTCAGTGGTCAAGTCACAACAGTTGGTTCGGCTACCGGGCCGGACCAGCGGGCTGGAAGCCACACTCGCACTTCTGTTTTATTTCAACAGTTCCATGACTGGCAACGTATTCCAGGAGGCGGCCACGTATAAGCCGGTAAGCTTAAAACTTTCCTTTACCGTTTCCGTCATGTCTGAATCAGTTCCTCCCCTCTAGATTCCTCTCTTTAGACCTGACCGAAGACGAAGCTGCGTTTTGCAAGGCGGAAACGGGAATTCAAGATGATGTCGAGTTGAAGAGCCACATTTTAGCCATTCCGGAGGAAGCGTGCAAGGCGCGTGGCGATATTAATGAGCTATTCTGTCTTCTAATGCTTCACTCCACAGATTTACTTCTGGGGTGCGCTGTTTATGTATTGCGCTCACCTCAGTCGCCGACCCCATGAAGACTGAAGGATCTCAATGCACCCGTCTTACCAACAGTTTTTGAGGACTGGAAAGGAGCGCTAGGGAGCTAACTGTGCCGATATCGGGTGCTGCTGTCAGTCGTTTGCTCTTCTATGTTCGGTCTGACCTGGTCACAGTTGGAAATGATGTTCGAAAAGCGGTCGTCGATGGGTATCCATAGCCACGGATTTGTATCCAGGTGCGACTCTCATCTCATTTTGACGCGTACCAGAGTTCTGGGATCTTGGACGCAAGCTCTTCAAGAGCACACCAGAGAGCTTTTCGGCGCGATTCATACCTGCGGACGTATTCGAGCTGAAGGGTTTGGTCAAGCAACCCATAGCCTCCAACCCGAGCTCTCCAAGGTCCAATCCTTAGCCGAAACTTTTCAGGAAGTGATCCTTCTTCTACCTCTTTCATGGACAACAGCAGTTTGAGCTCACGAAGATAACGGCGGTTCTGTTGTCTTCTACTCCTGGATCGACGATTTTCGGTTCTCGTGGAGGTAATCCCACCAAGGATGTACGTGGCGAAACCTTTGGCACCAACAGAGTGCTCGCCCGATAGTTAGAAGGCATCCTGGGATGGAATGTATTCTCCAAGGGTGCTGTTAGGTTGAGGCTTTTCTGAAGGAAACTGTAGTGGATAGTTTCAGCACGAATTTCTATTTCTCGTTTGGTGTATTACGGTCTTAAGCTTGTAAATTGATGGGTTTGCATAGGCCACTTACCTTGATAAATTCTGACTGCGGTCCGCTTTTTCGGAACGGTATTCCGGGTCGACACGTTTCCATTTTTTTCCTCTCATCGTCTCGGTAGAATAAAAGATACCACAGAATCTGGTTCATTTTTTTGCAGGAAGTGTCCTTTTTCCCCGTCGGCCTTCAATGGCTTTAATGCAAAATCCTATGATTGGTGGAAGGCAGACTGAAGTCTATCCTATCAACGGATGTCTTCCGTCTGTCAGTGCAGAGTCATGTAAGTGTCTGCCAAATCGTTTAAGCAAAGCGGCTGTTCACTTCTTCCTTCTCTTTGGCAGCCACGTCAAGCTCGTTCGCCGGTTTTTTCGGCCCCTCTCGATAATACTATGGGGACTAAACCAATAATTGAACATTTATAGAACAAAAGCAGATGACGACCAATCTAGTGCTGGCGACAATGGCACGTTGCACTTACTTCGCGCCGGAGGCAGCAACGTGCAAAGCGCTTTGGTCTCATCACGACTAATTTTGCGCCCGGCGTTCATTGCACGATAAGGAGGCACGTGCGTTCCATGTTTATCCCGAATGTCGTCCGCGGTGTCTACGCGTCTCCAAGATTTATGTTGTGTTCTAAGTGCGCGGACGTCTGTCTTTCATGGATTTTGTACGGACACCGAAGCCTTTGAAGACAGTCTTTGAAAAGAGGTGGAAAAAGGTGGGCCTGCTCTTGCTCCTGCTCGTGGATATATCCAAGTCAGACGCTATCTCTAGAAATGCTCCAATTTCAAGAATTTTTGGCTACATTCAACCGCGGCAAAGGCGCGGCCGATAACAGGCAATTCCTCGGATTTCGGACCGATATCGAAATTGATAAGCAAGACGTATAAAGGCACGTTGTATGATTGGCGTTTTCCTTTTCCTTTCTCTCTTCCATCTCCAGGGGTCATTCGAGCGAATACAACGAAGGAAACTATGCCAGCCTCTGAAGCAATATTGACGCAGATACTGGCCCAGTTGCAGGCGCTCCAGGTATCCCAGCAGATGCTGCAAGCAAAGGTATATATCTCTTTCTCGACGTGTCTTCGTTTTCTTTCCAGACATTGAGTATTACGTCGTGAACCAGTTGGATGCGGTTACAGATGGAACTTTGAAGCCATCAACTCCTGAGCGCCGTAGTATTCCAATACCTGGCGTGTCCACATCGCCCTCGATTAGCGACCTGGCCTCCAAGAGCCCGTTGTCCTCGAGCCCTACTTCATCGCGTATGACGACCGACAAGGAACGCGAGAAATTGTTGTATCCAGGCCGAGTTAACCTCACAAGCGAGTATACATATTGTTGTCTGAATACTTGTCTAACAACGTGTTTCAGCCTACCCGGATCAGCATGGCATCGCGCCTCACCCTCTTGTCTGGGGTGCCGCGGACCCTACTACACGTGGCCCGGTCATATGTTCGCGTCTCCCGTCATCGATCAAGCAGCGCAATGCCCTCGGTGCTCATTCCGGATCCTACTCTATCTATCGTGCCCTCTCCGTTGCAATGGGTAGTCTATCTTTGACCCACAAACCCGACTACAACCTTACCGATCCCCCGGTTTCTATTCCCCCACAGCCTTCCTGGGCCGATCCTAAGAAGATCGTCTCCTTCGATCCATGGGGCCATCTCGTTCCATCCGTATTCAAGAAGGAGATGGAGGAACTCGGTCTGGATGCGAGGCCCAGTATCGCCATCACCAAGGCTCACATGAAGTTGAGTGAGATTGACGATAGCGTAAGGAAGGGAACCCTTGAACTAGACGGCAAGGTTCTCCTCAAAAGCCGGCCATTACTGGACGAGACGGGCAAAGTTTGCGATGCTGATCCCGGCGTGGAAATGAAAGTGAGTAAGGCCGCGGTGGAGCCTGTTTGGTTCCTACCTGGTGTCGCGGAGCGCTTCCAAATGTTCGTACTGTCTCTTCACGCCGTATTACGTTGTCTGACACCACTAATAGATCCGAAAGTCTTCTCCGTCGCGCGTTGTTTGAAGAAACCGGCGGAATGTACCCTGAACTCATCACTCGGCCCGATATTAAGGTTTTCCTCCCTCCCATCGGCGGCATGACCGTGTACATCTTTGGAGACCCTGCGTTCATGTCTGACGAGAGCAAGGTTCTCACTCTCCGTGTTCACGATGAATGCAATGGATCCGACGTGTTCGGCTCAGATATTTGCACGTGTAAGCCGTACCTCATCTACGCCATCGAAGAGTGCGTTCGCACCGCACAGCAAGGTGGCGTTGGTGTTGTTGTGTACTTCCGGAAGGAGGGCCGCGCTCTTGGAGAAGTGACGAAGTATCTCGTCTACAACCTCCGAAAGCGTGGTGGCGATTCCGCGGACAAGTACTTCAAGTCTACTGAACTCATTGCCGGTGTCAAGGATATGCGATTCCAGGCGTTGATGCCCGACGTTCTCCACTGGCTTGGAATCAAGAAGATTGACAACATGGTTTCGATGAGTGACATGTGCGTTCTATGTACGCATGTTTGACCTTTTGGCACTAACAGCTTTGTATTGCGTAGGAAATATGATGCCATCGTGAACAGCGGTATTCCCATTCTCAAGCGATATGACATTCCTGGTACGTAAAGAACAGCATACAGTGAAGTCAGGTATGGTCTGCTGACGCGTTATGTATTTAGACCACTTGATCCCTCCCGACTCACGCGTTGAGATCGACGCCAAGATCGCCTCAGGCTATTTCTCCAGCGGCAAACAGGTCACCGAGAAGGACCTGGTCAAAACGGTTGGCAGAACCTGGGAAGAAACGGAACATTAAGTTGTTGCGTCCTGCTACTAAGTTCTTCGTTATGGATTGTCATCAAGTTTCGTACTACGTATATAGGACCACTGTACCAGATATCCTACCAAATCAAGAGACCTAATTTACAAAAACTGTTATACACTAGATGAGGTGGTAGTAAGTCTCGTTACTAGACTTGCCGGTCAAAATCGTCACATTAGCGGGCTTGACACCCATTTCATGCAATGATGCATCAACGCGCAGTGTGCCCTTGGGAAATATTACACCATCCCAGAGCGATTTCCAACTCTCTGGTGAGTGGAAGAAGATACCATATCTATCATCGTTGTCCAGGGCAACCTCGAGGTAGATCTGTCCTTCAGGTCGACTAACATGTGCCCCAAAGATCATGAAGCCTGGAGCGAATGACAACAGAGATGCCATAATTTTACCGAGTTCGAACTGTTCTTCATAGTTGAAAAAGTGGAAGAGAGCTGAGGCGTGGATAGCGGAAATGTTTCCTCTGAGCTCGGCCAGGGACTGCACTTTGGAGATATCGGGGATAGGGCCTCCTTCTGTCTTTGATAGACCTGTCAGGTCGAAGATGTCTACAGGGATAAAACGTGCTGGGAAGGTTTCAGGAGTGCTCTTGAAGAACTTGTGACCGAGTTCCCAAAACTCTATCGTGCGTATGAGATTACGGTGTTGAGCTGAACTTGGGCTAGGATCTTCATACCGGGGCGCAAATCCGAGGCAACAATTTGATCTATGGGATAGCCATCCATGACCGCCTTTCTGGGGTCAGCACCAACTAAGTATGACTATCAGTATAAAGTAATATAGACGTGCAACGAGGCGGTCACTGACGGCAACATCCAATATCAGCGTATATTCCCTTACAACCTCTTCCGAGGTTCAAGAACTGTTGGTAGCACGGCAGTTTGGAAATTTTGGGTCTTGACGTTTGCTAGATAAGCGAAGTAATAGGACCCGTCTAGGTAAGCATTACCCACTGAGCAAACTCGAATTGGTGAATGCTCGAAAAAGGGTAAATCTGCATCGCCGTTACACTAGCACGAAATGCTAGGATGAATACCCATCCACTGTGCATGCCTCTTCCCGGATAGCGAATATGAGGCTTTTTAGCTCGTCGTCCGTCGTATATTCCAGTCTGAGATTTAATAAATGCGGCTTCATCCTCGGCTAGGGTGTAGAGAGACGGGTCCAGGAAGGTATGATTAGAACTCATCGTGGGGTAAGGACGAACTTCGCCCTCGGACAAGGGGGGAAATGTATCAACGTGGGACAGGCAGGCTCCACGATCCTGAGAAATGAAAAGAGAAGACTCATCCATCCGGAATGTAGTTATTTTGGTATAAGTATGCAAAATTGGTGGGTAGAGGCGACCGGGACTTTGGGATCGGATCGGATGGAATAAGGAACAGTGATCCTTCAGTTTGCCATCGCCCACTATCCCTAGTCGTTGAACAGGGCGCAAAATGAGGGGTCTACAAGACTAAGTTATCGTTGGGCCGTTGGACAGATTCTGTGGAGAAACAACTGTTGACACTGGAATTTGATCACGCGCCGCGGATTCCACCGTCAATAAGGCAAAAAATAGACAGAAGAGCTTTGGGGATCAACATAGTCGGGGAACAGGAGATTAGGGTTATCGCACGACACTAGCCGAAACAGAGTCGTCATGGATTGTGCGCCAACGAGTCTGGGTCAGAAAACATTCTATAAGTCCATCAAGAGACTCATCTACAGAACCGTTATGCACCATACGAGAAGATATAACTTGACGCTCGGATCTATCTTTATAGCCTCCATATCGGGGCGTTCCGTCTCAAGCAAAGATACGTCGACACGAACAGCGCCTTTGGGAATACACCTCCATCCCAGAGTGATCGCCAGCTTTCAGGTGAGTGACAAAACATGTCGCTGCTCCAACCCTTATTCGAAGCGACCTCTGTTCGAATACCTTTCTCCGGTCGACTACCATGAGATCCCAAATATCATAGACCCCGGAGCGGACGACAGTAGAGACGCCATAATTTTGGCGAGTTCGAACTGTCCTTCTTCATCAAAGAGATGAAAAAAGGCCGATGCATGAAGGGCAGAAATATTTCCTCTGAGCTCCGATAAAAGTTGGACTGTGGAGAGATCGATTGGGGGAGTGCGTACGGCTTCGTATGCCAAATCTTTCAGTTGGAAGATGTCTGCAGAGATGAAACGCGCTGGGAAGGTTTTCGGAGTGCTCCTGAAGAATTTATGTCCCAGATCCCAGAACTCTAATGTGGTATATTCAGAAGCGACGAAATCAGAGTTAACGGCAGTGACATACCAGGATGCAAGTCAGAAGTTATAACTTGCTCTACGGGATAACCATCCGCAACTGCTTTCTAGCGTCACTACCCACTGTGTGCATGTCGTAAATCTGAGGAAGGGGGAAAGTACAAGAATGGGGTTACTAACAACAACATCCGATGTCGGCGTAAATAGCTCCCTTCCGCTCTTGGCCGAGTTTCAAGAACTGTTGATAACACGGGTGTCTCGAGATGTTCCATCTATACACTGCAAGTCAAAAGGGAACTGATCCAGCATTCAAAGATTACCTACTTTGCAAATCCAAACCGCCGAATGCATGGATAAGGTTCTAACTGTTTACCGTCATTTATTGCATTTGGCTAAGTTGGCTTGGGGCATTGAACAAAACACTTACCTTGTACGCTTCCTCCTGTATAGCGAGTATATGTCTCTTCAGTTCCTCGTCATCCTCTATCCCAGTTTGAGATTTGATGATTGCAACCTCGTCGTCAACTAGCACGTAGTAGAGTGAGGGGTCCAATGGACGATAGCCGGAGCCCATTGTGGCAGAGTTCATGACAATGGGACTCTTAGATGGTCAACGTAAGAAGTGCCAAATATTAAGTTAAATCATTGGGTTCGACCGGTAGTGGAGCAAAGAATAGAAAGAAGCATGCAAGAGGAGATATCAGAAATAGCAACCTTGTAGCCAGTTCTAGGCAGTTCTCTGCTGCTGGGGAAAGTAGCTAGGCACAATCAATCGCAGGGGGGCTAATAATAGGCCTTCAGGTCAATTCAGCGGTATCAACCTCGGCAATATTGTTAGTAAAGGAGTGAAGAATAAGGACGGAAATTTGGTATACGTCACTACTGGGTTCCTCACAAGGCGTTACCCTCTGTCGTCCGAAGCTCTGCTAATGTGGACGACTGCGGACCAACAGATTACATGATTGCCTGGCCACATAGCCGATGATAGATTACGCTATTTTGTGGGACTGCGGTAAATGCCGGTCACTGCCATTAGTTCAAGGACGTACCGTGGGAAAATGATCAGATTAACCTTCGACTGAACTTAAAAATAGTACGGCAGAGCCTGGGACCTCGACCCTGTTGGAAAACGGGGTATCGGTTCGTTCCCAGTGTCACATGCGCGGTAGCAAGCCAATAGTATTGCGCTTGGCTGAGCTCTGCAAAGGCATGAGGATCTACGCTACAGTACCTACTTTATACTAAATGTACTTTTACTAGAACTTTCCACACTTTTCCTCTTCCTTCTTCCTTAATAAGTGAATTCGGCATGATGCCGGATTGCCAAATCCCAACAGACCCATTATCTGTCTATGCATCTTACTCTTTGCATAATATTTGACTACCATTACTGCCAATATTGATCATCAACGGTACTTGAGATGCATAACATCCGGTGTCACGACGTTGCCTCGCCGGTAAGGGTTTCACTTAACGAGGTGGCATCGCCCATCATCTCGTTGAGGTGTCCGGACCATACCTTCCATACCAGAGTAAAACAACGCAACGCTTCCGCACAACCTTGGTCGAAACGATTGGCAGGCCTCAATAAGAAACGTATGTAAGACTATCACTTGCATATGCTACATTGCCATAGACAATATTACCTTCTGGTACAAATTGAGGAATCCTATTTTACAGAACCGTTATACACCAAACGAGAAGGTATTGCTTGACACCAGCATCGATTGTTATCATATCTCGGCGTTCCGTTTCCAGCAATGATACGTCAACACGAACAGTACCTCTGGGAATATTTCGCCATCCCATAAAGATCGCCAACTCTCGGGTGAGTGACAAAATAAGTTATTATCACATCCGGGAGCGACCTCGAAGCGGATACCTTTCTCAGGTCGACCGCCATGTGATCCAAATATCATGGATCCGGGCTCAGACGACAGCAAAGCAGCCATAATCTTCGCAAGCTCAAATTGCCCTTCTTCGTCAAAGAGATGAAAGAGAGCCGAGGCGTGGATGGCAGAGATACTTCCTCGGAGTTCGCCTATGGATTGCACCTGGGAAAGTTCAGGGACAGAGCCTGCTTCTTTCTTCGGCAAATCTTTCAGTTGGAAGATGTCCGCAGGGATGAAACGTGCCGGGAAAGTATCAGGCGTGCTCTTGAACAGCTTGTGTCCAAGGTCCCAAAATTCTGTGGTATATTTTTAGAATGCATATCAGGATTCTATTTTAGGTAGAAACGTACCAGGACGCAAGTCAGAGGCTAGCACCTGCTCGACGGGATAGCCATCCATGACTGCTTTTCTAGGATCATTGCCAACTATGCAGACATTGAGATCGAAGATCAAGGCGTACTACAAGAAGACTGCTCACAACAACATCCAATGTCAGCGTAGATAGCTCCTTTGCGCTCTTTTCCAAGTTTCAGGAAGTCGTCGTAGCACGGATATGTCGAAATGTACATCCTAGCAAATACCGTAAGAAAACCACATAGAGCTGGTCATGGATAACTCACTTCGTGAATGCGAATCGACGAATGCATGGATAAGGGCATATCTAGATATTTTGTTTCTGTACACTGATGTTAGACAGGAATTAAAACCTTCGACCTTGTAAGCTTCCTCCTGCACGGAAACGATGTGGCTCTTGAGCGCAGCGTCATCTTCTATCCCAGTTTGGGATTTGAAGAACGCAACTTCGTCCTCTGTCAGCGCATATAATGTGGCGTCAAGGGGATGTGGACGAGACATCACAGAAGAGACGAACGATAAGAGAACGACTTGGACAAAGGGTCCTATTCAGCAATAAAAACACCGGGACAGTTCCATCTAGAATGAGAGTCGGACGGCAAGGCAAGGCAAGGGAAAAATAGAAAGGACCGTGGTAGAGAAAATAGAAATAGCATCGTCGCGGGTGGAAGATAGTAAGTGCCGAGCACTGCGCTTTGATTGCTTTTGATTGAGAAGTTAGTCCACAATTCAAAACGACGACCGCCTTAGTAAAGTGGAAGCACCGAAAAGGGAGACAAAGAAAATAATCTGCGGGGATACTTTGATTTCGAGATCCGGAAGCCAGCAAACTCATGGAGGATCAGCTACGCTGGTTGCGAGCGAGAGGCAAAAGTCTTCAAATCACGGTAGTTGTAGTCGCTTAGTCAGCGACTTTATCCTTCGGTTGCTCCGGCCTCTGCTCTTCAACGTTGGCAGCGAATTTCGCTCCGAAGACGCGGTTTCCACTACTCGCGCCGCTTGATACTCACAGTATTGTTATCTATGGGATTGACGTTACCTGCGTGCCGCAGGTAACTCTTCTGAATAAGCACCTAGTAAAGAAGCCCCCAGATGAAAAAGGGTCTATGAGATTCCTTACCCGACGTCTTAGTAAGAAGCGTTCGCGTAGCATCAAGATCTCAATGTCAGAGCTTTACCGGCATTTCGCAAAGTTTAATATTTGAGGGTGAAACCAAACCTTCCGGAGTCATAGAGCGCAATTCACTGGCCGTCAAAAGTCAGAAACCATGGGGCCATCGTCTCGGGCGTTGCCAACTTCATAAGATCGAATTTCCTTTTGGCTAGTACAGTATTATACAAATCCAGCGGATCTGGTTCACAAAAACCGTTATGCACCAAACGAGGAGGTATGATTTGGCGCCAGAATCGATCATTTCAGGATGGTCATGTTCATGCAAGAAAGCATCAACACGAACAGTACCCTTGGGGTATATTTCGCCATCCCAGAGCGATTTCCAACTCTCAGGTGAGTGGCAAAACATGGGGCTTCGACGGCCACTATTGAGGCCGACTTCGGTGCGCAAACCTTTCTCCTGCCGACCACCGTGTAATCCAAATATCATGGACCCGGGCTCAGATGACAGTAGCGCCGCCATGATCTTTGCTATTTCGAACTGTCCTTCTTCATCAAAGAGATGGAAGAATGACGATGTATGAATGGCGGAAATGTTTCCTCGCAGCTCAGCTAGAGACTGTACTTGGAAAAGTTCCGGGATGGAGGAAGGGGCGTCTTCCTTAGTAAGGCCTTTTAACTGAAAGATGTCTGCAGGGATGAAGCGTGCAGGGAAAGTTTCGGCCGTGCTCTTGAAGAGCCTATGTCCGAGTTCCCAAAACTCTGTTCCATGTATTTAAGTTGTGCGGGACGAATGGAACGGTAGAAAATTCATACCAGGGTGTAAATCGGAGGCTATGACTTGCTCTACGGGAAAGCCATCTGCGACTGCCTTTCTGGGGTCATTTCCAACTATGTGAACGTTATACAATCAAGGCGGGGCAGATGTTACATGAGAGATCTACGAACAGCAACATCCAATGTCGGCATAGACCGCTCCCTTGCGATCTTTTCCGAGGTTCAAGAGCTGTTGATAGCACGGTTGCCTCGAAATCTTCAACCTAGGTGCTTCAAGTCAAACAGAATTAACACGGTGGACTCGAGGACTGCTTACTTTGCAAAGGCGAAACGGCGAATGCACGGATAAGGGTGCACCTGTAACGCATCAGTATTATGGAATTGTTATTCATCGAATATGAGCCCACCTTGTACGCTTCCTCCTGGATTGTGAAGATGTGGTTCTTAAGGGTGGCTTCATCCTCGATTCCAGTTTGAGCTTTAAAGAACGCAGCTTCGTTTTCTGCCAGTGTGTAGAACTTGGGGTCCAATTGAGGAGTGATAATGTCTGAGCTCATTGCGGAAGAGATGGGCAGTGAGAAGAAGGGCGACTGATACAGGGGATTTTATACAATCTCAGGATCGGAAAACATAAATAGCCGCGCGACGGTCGTGGCTGGTATGATATTCCTAAAGCCTGCGAGGGTGCCATAGAGGCTCCAAAAAAAGAATCAGTGCTAAAGATAGACCCATGCTGACACGAACTAAAAGTGTCATTTGATCCGAACTGCCGAGTAAGGGGACCATTCCAAATCGAGCGGTGGTCTGACATAATCAAGGTCACTCGCAATGGATGTCGATGACGAGTCGTTTTCTGTTTCTGTGGACCTCGACAGCGATGATTCGCCCCCTTCTTACCGCTCGACGCCGCAAGCAACGAGCTCGAGATATGCAGATTCACCCCAGCCGCACTTTGGAGATTCCCCGCAGCCTACATTACCTCGGTTGACACTGAAGCTTCCGTCGTTGAAGAGCTTACAAGCTACAACACATGTCGAACACAAACCAAGAAAGTCCCATACTGGTGCTGCTGTCGGCAAGAGAAAGAAAGGGACAAAGAGTTCAGGGCATGAGTATGGCGTGCCTCCATCATCAAAGGTGCCTCGACCGGTGAAGCTGAAACCTTTGAAAGAGGTGCTAAGCAAGATAATTGCCCAAATAAAAAGGTCAGCATTGTCATTTTCCTGTTGGGGTTGTACTAACATGCATCTAGGAAGGATGCCTATGCCTTTTTTCTTGCGCCTGTAGACGTGTCTTTAGTGCCAGGCTACACGAACGTCGTCAAGCATCCGATGGACTTGGGCACAATGACAAGCAAAGTGGAGAGAGGGCGGTACAGGAGCTTGGAAGAGTTCACGGTTCGTGACCCTCACGCTGATCCATTCGCCGCTAATTGGCATGCAGTCGGACCTTAAGCTTGTTACTGGTAACGCCAAATCTTTCAATCCACCTGGTTCGATATACCACACGGAGGCGGAACGCATAGAGGCAATAGGGCTTGATCTGATAGCCCGTTCGGCAGGGACCGTGATTCAATATGAGACAGAGTGGACTGTCGATGTCGTCGGAGACGACGAATTGGAAGGCGTATCTGACGGTGCCTTCGACTCAAACCAAGCGATGGATGTGGACGAAGCTATTCCGGAACCTGCCGCTGCCGCTTCTGTAACCGAAGAGGATTTTGGGCGAAGGAGGAGTACCAGAGCCCCGTATAAAAAACCCACTCCAGCCACGCTGAAAACAACTGTCTCGGAGAGCATCGAAGATGGACGTCTTCCTGGAAGCAAAGATGGGTTAGGTGATTTCCCCCCAGGGTCAGACTGGGCGAGAGTGATGCTTGAGTTGAAGGTAAAGGGTATGCGTGCTAGCAAAACACCTATTCTGCTTTTGTTGACTTCATCTGCAGGCAAACGTTATCGGACGAAAAAGGAGCGTTTACGATTTGAAAAAGAGGGTCCTCCATATACTCCGGATGGTAGCCTGGATTATACAGAGAGTGAGTGCGTAAACATGAGTACACGCATGCATCTAACCTTCCCTTCACCAGTGGAAGACCCGTTTTCGATTTTGTCAGTTCTCGTTCCAGAAGGGAAGCCAGCGAGATTAGGTCTAGTCCCAATATACTCTACTGCACCTTCTACGACCACCACCTCAGCAAGCACACCGCAATTTCTATCCACTGGAACACCTCCACCACATGCACATTCAGCAACTCCACAACCACAATTTCCGTCGTATCCTATACCTGTTATGCTTCCTCCCACACGACCCCCGCTTGTCGTTGACAACCCTCCTACGCGAAAACATTGGAACCTTGTCAAAGGTGTTACCGCCAGGGCAAAGGGTCGTGAAGAAGGGGTCGACGTCAACAAAGAGAAGGATGGAAGACCTAGAGAGGTCCATCCTGTTGATTGGGGATCGTTTGCATGTGTTGAAGGCGAATTGTGGGATTCGGGCGAGGAGCTTAAACAAACGCTTGAAGACGCCATGACAGAAGAAGAGTCATATATTCAAGACATCGTGTACGGAGGTGTAGAAGGCTTAGCATATGTGAAAAGTCTGTCCGAGTTTGTAGGACAAACCGGATGGGTAGCCGAGTGGGTGAAGGAAAATATCGTGAATCCTATCATTGGAGGTCCTCATTTATCGGAAAAGATTGACATGGAAGCATTGATTCAGCGACCAGAGGAACTATTCGAGAGCGAGGAGGTGTGGCAAGGGAAGATGTTTGTGAAAAAGGAACATGTGCTCGAGACTTCCGAAGAGCTTGGTGAAGTACTCGAGTACGTAGCAGGGAAGTTGAAAGATCTGGCCGCCGCGGGTGGGCAACGGACAGTGGATGATGAAGAGATGAAGAACCTTCGCATGAATCTATTGGCCTTGGCGAAGAGGGCTCCCCTTGATAGTATCGCCACCTTGCCCACCGAGCTGATACCGGAACACATCAGAGGTCTACTGCATGCGCCTTGACGGCTCTTTGTCTCCCTATTATCTCACCAATAGACGCACCTACTCCATCCGACGAGCCAGTTGGGATCCAGCACTTTGCTGCGCAGTTCCACTGCTACGGGAGACGCTTGGAGGACTATAGAATTTGGTTATGCATCTTCAGATCCACGTCTGGCTCTGCACATTTATGTATGTGATATAGAAGGGTGGACGCATAATACGACATTGTAGGACTGTAATAAAAGAGAATGACATGCTCCTGCGACCATTACAAACAACTTGGTGTCTGAGAGATCTTCCTGCCACTGCTGAGCAAATGGTTTATTTAGCAGCACGGAAAAGATATCTGCAAACAATATGTTTAAGTTCGACTCTGAAAAACTGTCGGGAAATACTTTGTCCGATCGCAATGCATCTTTCCGACGAGAAAGGGCGAGAACTATTGGGGTACGATCTTGACATCCTAAGAAGCTGAGAGAGGATTGTTATGCTTACCTTTGAACACGCCAGTTGGACGTAGGACTAATGATTCATTGCGGAGCCCTTGTATGAGGACCATCGTCTGGAAGATAGGCAACTTGAAGACTTACAGTTGTTACTAGCTGACGAAAAGGCAGACGACTCCACGCCAAACCTTGCAAATAAGAGGCAACAATATTCCAAGCCTGAAATTTCGGAACCCTTTCGTACTATGCTGCAGATTGTAGAATGAGAGCTACGACTATGAAGGAGATGAAAACCCAGCGCACCCACGTCGATTCATCGCCGGAAGAGATAAAAACTCTCCGAAGAGAGTAAAAGAAGCGAAAAATTTGGCATTCACTCCGAGAGTGTATCAGCCTAAGAAAATCTGTGGTCTCAGTCCGCCGTCCTCAGGGACAGTTGAACAGCTCGCTCATCCATCCATCATCTATTCAGGGAATTGTCTCAGATTCCAATCAGCCTTCCCGATACGACTCGATGGTAGAGGTTACCAGTAACCTCCGACGTCCTCTGACAAGCAATCGTTAATACGAAAAGGCATGACTACCTCTGCGTTCACACTGAACACTTGCAGGCCGCTAAGTGGCGGCCTATAGTCAGGCATGTCGCATAGGACGTCGTTGAAAAGTGCTTGGTCGAAGATGCCAACGTTGTGGCTTCCGCGATCTTTGAGAGAAGATAGATTGTTGATCTCTCGACACCTAACGTTCAGCCCTAGTCGAGGCCGACAGTGCACTAACCGTGACACGGAGGTCCACAACACGGGGAGATATTGCTTATCGCATACGGTCAAGCGAGGCCTTACTCGTCGGTCAGTCCTGCGGTCTCCAGTTGGAAACGTGCAGTACACCGTCCAGCTTCGAGGAATGAGGAGATATGAACTATCTCTCGCCATAAAGCAATCGACATCCATACTGCCGACCGGAGGGGTCATGCGTATGAAAGTGACGAATCTTGAGCATATTTGAGAGAGATTTCTTCTCTCTCACCATTGTTTACTTGACGGTCGGATTGCCGCTTCCGACTGGAGGCTGAGCATGTCGCCACCAGCTCAAGAAACGGGAAAAAATAGCTGATCTCTCAACCATCTCTCCCTCTATCCTCAATGGTCCATGTTGACATTCACTGAAAGGCATCCGTTGATACAGACACCTTCACGTCTCGCTGAGACGCTCAAGGAGCGATAGCGCCACCGTAACGGTAATGCTTCAACTCCTAACCAACACTTACACCGGGAGTAGGGCAATATTTGTCCGTGAAAAATGGCTGTCGCCTCATGTGTGTGGTATAGATGTTCGTTGGGTAACAGCGCAACACCTACAGCACGTCTACACCGACGAACATAGCCACACATGCTGATATTAGCTCAAGTTGACTTGAAAAGGCCCCAGCGTGCCAGAATACGTCCGGCCCAGGAATCTTTGCGTTCTGAAGAACGCGCAAGGGTCGATAGCTATTTAGCCTCGTAACCCATTCAGCACATGCAGATCAGTCGACAGTGTATGCACATTGAGTAACGTTCAAACGGTCTTGCGCGTTGCTTGAAAACAATGTATTCACTCCGCACGCGTGTCATACGTGTCGAGGCAAGCTACATTTGTTCAAGATACCTACAATACATAGGTATATGCTAGTCCTTGGTCCTCGAAATGTCGGGACAGCAACTACATCCGTCACTATCGCGGCATCACGTAGTAACCAGAGGGATAAGACTCTACAGTTGGGGCCACCTCTACGCAACGGACGGTAATAAACCGACCGTAACGCAGGAGTACCCTGGTGCAATCCGATTGGAACGCAAAGTAACTTCAGCGATGAGGCCTGTTTGATAAGTCTCTCCTGCAAGAATTCGTAGCCGTAAAGATCAAGCTGATATATAGTCGAGTAAACCGTCGCCAACGAAGAATGATCCTTCACTGCGCCTCAGATGAGACGCCGCGGAACCGATAGCACCCTGATAGTGATGGATAATTACTGAAGCTGCTAAAGATCCTAAGTGGCCCTCGCCTGGAAGAAGGGTCTTGGGGCAAAACGCGGACATGGAGGAGTGAGGGGGAAGAAAGAGTCGGCCTGACGACGCTTTTAAACGAAATGTGGCTGCTATTTGTTCTTGTTTTGGGCTCCCTGTCGGCCCGACCGCCCGACTCTGACTGACTCTTCCCGTACAAGAAGTTTCGAAAACATTGCGCGGCCACATTGGAAACAGATTTCATAAGTATAACATACTGAGCAGTTTTCCTGGACCGTAGATGTGAATATCAAAAGTTCGTTCTCTTCAGGTCACCTTCAGCGACGCTGGAACGAGCCCTTTCTTTCAAGAGTTCATTATAATTTATATGCGGGTTCCGATAGGAAGACTTTGGTCATGATGCATGATCTTGTAAGAAGGGACTTGACTGAGGGTGGGATAGTCTGTAATTGACTCTTGTAAAAACATAAAGATAGGATTGTACTTCTAAATGTGTGCTATTTCATGCTTGCTATGAGTAGAAGGTCAGTTTGAAACCTGCTGGGCGAACGAGATACTGACCGAACATGACCGACTTCTTCACCCCATCACTCATCTCTTGAAGGCTCATCATTGCCGTGCTTCACATTCCTTTAGGATCCAATTATGCCAGATGTCAATTAATGTAGATTACGACCGATATTGTAAGGTATCCCGGAGAGCTTGGCAAAGCTGGAATATCGTCATGCCCGGAACCTCAGGTAGGCCATCAGAAGCGCGGAACAAGTCGTGACTAAAAGGATAATAAACGGTATGCAGAAAGGGATAATCATACAACTCACCAACTCCTACGATGTATTGAAGAGTCGTAGCCTTGTCAAACAGTTCAGATTTATAGCAAGGGGCAAAG